GATCCGGTAGGCTTTTGCTCCTCCAGATAGATCACAAGCAAACGCCTGAAGACGCCCGAGGGCTCCGCACGCCCGAGATTGTGCCCAATTGGAGAGGGCCTAGCGTATGAAGGTAGCCTTGTGGCTATAGTACTATGTATGTAGAGCGAAGCAAGCATGGGACCATTTCCTACTTATCCAGCCAGACTATCACTCAAAAGTTCCACTAGCTCTAATGCCGAGCCGCTACAGTAGGGTTGGAATTACGATTCTATTTTGGCTTCACGCCCGATAACTTGGGTCTTCTACGGCAGCTATACTAATGTATGTATGTACGAGTATGAGATGTTGACGCGGCACGGCACGGCCAAAGCACGGTCCAGTTCTGATATGTACCTGCTCTAGCGCAGGATCTGGATGTCCAGATAGGGCTACTCGCAGCCAGTGGTGTGTGGTCTACACCTTCACGTGGCCTTGTCGTCTTTGCCGCTCGGTATACGAGAGCTGAGCACCCTCACCCGTCCTGGCGACGAGTCCTACGCTACCTAGGTAGCTCAGGTACTGTACCTGCGTTGGTCGAGGGATTGGCAAATAAGCATAATCCCGTGATCGAGCTGATACAACGGCAAAGCACGCCATGTACTGTACCTACGATACCTTACCAGCGGCAGGATATGCACGTTGGTCCCAACAGCGTCAACACGCCCGTGTCTAGCCTAATACCTACTTACACACGAACACTCAACACCACCGTTGTTCCCTGCTCTTCCTTCCTCTATCAATGACGACAAACTGCCACACCGAGGACTAGGCACGCCACACTATTTTCTCACGCCGATCCGCAGCAAGCACTCTGCTTGTGGGGACAATTCCCAAGATGTAGACTTTGTACACTACATTGCCTACACTACAAACATATGTTGGTACCTATTATACGCGCACAGAGCGATATGCGATCTCCGCTCCATCCGGGCGAAGAGTCATCGCACAGCCCTACAGTCGCAGGGATGTCCAACGGCGACGATTAACGCCGCTGGTTCTGCGCATGGTCTGCATCGCAGCAAGCCACTGCCTAGGAAAGATGGACAGAGTGCCTGAACGTTGCTGACCACCCTACCCACTCCGCCCTGCCCTACACGACGGTAGCGTGCCCTGAAAATATATCACAGCCGCCAAATCCCGTTGATATTCGGAGGTGGTAGTGTTGTTTGGGTTTTTGTCCACCTGGTACCTGTTGGGCTCAGAGATTTGTGTGGTGGACACTCGGGACGCTTGCTTGGTTTGGGTGGTCAGACGAAGAGCCTGTTGGTGTTTGAGGTTTCCAAGTTTTGGTTCCTTATCTTACCCCTCTCGGCTTTTGAGCCGTACAACGACAGCTGCTGCTAATATTTTTGTATTACTTATGATAGGTAATATGTGTATATAGGTTTGTAATCTAGGGAGTGGGGTTGATGGATGGTCGTGATACTGGCAGCCAAGATATACCGAGGACTTCACGACGCTAAGATAAACCAAGCACGTAATGCTCCATCTTTGAGATATATAGAAAACGTCAAAACTTAAAACATGGATGATAATTTTGTACTGTATATCGGTAAGTAGACTTAGCAACGATCGACTTTCCACAGCTGTGCTCCCCACGACTAGCTCATGATGTTCTAGTAATACTCTACTCGATAGGCAAGTTTTTTTAAGCTACTCACAAACTCTCTCTGCGCTAGTTGACACGCAACCCAAGAAAAATATACAAGAATCGTTCATGCTGAGTATCTTGGTATATCTTGGCTCCGAGTTCTGAGGTCTATGGCGCTCACAATGCAAGGCACCCCTTACATATCCGCATCTTACCGCATAACATTAATACCCGTCAGTTCACACCCCGCAACAACAAGATGACAAACACCCGGCGTCGATCACAGCCTTCAAGTATGATATGACTTCTACGTGGACACCCTGGCATATACGCTACAAGACAACCAAATCCCTGACCTTCGGGATTACAGTCTCAAATTCTATTTCCGCAGACTCGGCAGAAGCAATCGTGTTAAGCCCAAACGTGATTCACGCCGCAGCGAAGGATTCGGAATTTACCTAGTGTACGCAAGATTTCCTCGCCCTTGGTAACGACTAGGCGGTATATTCCAGGATCGTTAGACACACAGACCCTCTTCTCTTGATATGATTAAATCCCATACTTACATCTCAGCAGTGCCTCACAATCATCTGACCCAACAGAATGCGCAAAGAACGTTGTGCGTGCCGCGAATCCTCCGGGGTTACGAGTTACTTCGGTATTAGCTCTCAGGTGAGAAACCTGGCTGTGCGATTGACCGATGCCTATTTGGTGTAGTAGCGTATTAGTGAGGCGAAGTTACGAGATATCACGAGTGGGTCGCGGCTTTGCTTTGGGTTAGTATCGCGATATAGCGAGATCCTTCGACTTTCTCAACAAACAAACTACCCTGCCGACGCCTGCTCATCAACCTGTATGTATAACAGAAGTAGCGAGGTAAGTACAGTACCAAAGATACATACATCGCCGTTCGTATTCTGGGCATCGACGTCCCGATGGATTTCAACTAGCAGGCATCCAGTCCCCAAAACACCATCTAAGTATCCATGCCTCACCAACTTCCTAGCGTAAGACGGGGGACTAAGTAGACAGAGAGAAACGTCAGAATATGTGGTCCGCGAGGTATAAATATAGTCTAAACCGCCTATCTATTCCCGTTTTCGTTCTCTTGGCGTGCGTACATACTTAAGTACGTATATTCGATCTGTGTACACGCGGTGAAGTTTCAAAAACGAGGGATTCGATACCTTGTGTAACCTCGGATCCGAAGGTGCGGTAACCCCACGCTGGGAACCCCAGGTTTTTCTTGTTTCGGTATTTCTCTCTCAATGCATCTGTGCTAGGGATCCCTTCACTGCAGTACGCACCCCATGATGCCATCTACACCACGAATGCCCTGCTCGACATGGGGTATGTGCCTGATTTACTGACTAAACTCCAAGGCGGTGATGACGATGCAAGCTGATAAATCATGCTTAGGTATGTATCCTCCAAGGAAACCTGAGTGTGTCGCGGGTTGGATGTGGGATGTACCACTATTCACCGCTTTTGAATCGTGCCTGTAAGAGATAGTATGGTAATGTATTCAAACTCAGTCCGGCTATCTTCTTCCCTCCGTATAACTGTGTGCGGGGATATACGTCACGAGCACAACTTCGTGACGATCTAGCTTGTTTCAGAGTTGATGGTGTCTACGATCCATATGAGCATATTTCGGTAGTGTCGGCTATTGTGTTGCATCGTTTTCACTGACAATATAGCTAATATCGCCGTGGTTCTAATAGTCAATAGTTAGGCTGTTTGTGTAAAGGGAAAACAAATGCGGCATTATATGTCAATATAGTGAAGTAGACGTTGCCAACCCAAGAAGTTGGTTACCTACACTTGTGAAACGTTCCCGGTTTTTGTATAACAACTACTTGCTAGTGAGCGATTTATAAAATTGATAGGATAGGATGATATAGGCTATAAACATGTATAATTCCCGGATTATAGCCCAGAGTTACGTTACATTTTCGTTTAAACTTCCTTTCTCCTTAAACAACCTCTGAGTGTGAAGTTTTCAAATTTGCTTGTGACAGTGGCAGGTTGGTTGTCAAAGAACATTATCGATGATGACTCTCCAGGAGATAAAATCGATTGTCTTGAATAAATAGCTTAGAAACAGGGATCGAATTCTATAGATACATGAAATAGCATGAACTGTATCACAGTATTTAATGATCCTTTAGTCATACCTGTGACTTATATCAACTCCACGAGCCTAGCCAGGCGGCTTAGCAGGTAGAACGAGAGCGAAGACAGCTCGAAACAGGCAAGAAAGACAGCTATGAGTGAATAAAAGAAACTGTTATTTAAGTCAATATTGAAACTTCTGACTAAGATAAGCACTGAATGCAACAGATGATGATCCTGTTCTAAGGACATGCTTTAAGCAAGCTATTCAATGTTGCGCTCAGTGGATAATTAGGCAGCAAGGCGGCATGGCATGACTTTAGTTGGTGGATATAGATCATAATGAGCGTTATTTCGTGACCGGCTGGGTTGAAACCTACAAAGGAGTAGCGATTTACTATCTAAACCGTACGCCATCGTAGTACATTTCTTTACCACAATTGCAAAAGCTAGTAGTATCTTGCTATTTCTTTCCGTCATTCAAATACGAAGTAGGAGGCATTGAGTCATTATTGCATCTCTACAGTCCCTGTTCCTGAACGTAATGTAACCATGGATGTATTTGGCAATTCCCTTGGGGCATGTGGTTGTCTGTTCAGGCCGCGGCCCATGCATGTATAGATGGAAACTGTTCAGGCAGATGCATCTTGCATATGTATGACTGCTTATTTCGACCGGCATGCAACGTATCCTCATTACCGGCCAGCAATTAACTTGTATCCTATGGTCATTGGCAACTATCGCATCTACCCCTCATCGTCTCATCTTGCAGTGCCGATGGGCAAGCGGTAGGTTATTAAGATCTCAAGTCTAGAACCCAAAAGACGCATGAGTCCATGCATGATATCCGCAAGTTAGCGCTGGGGGCGGTTAGGGGCCAGTCAACTTAGAAGCATCTCAATGCTAATTAGTATTCGGCGCAGGTCAGGTGATATAACAATGATTAATCGCATTAGAAATGCCGGTATGGCGATTGGTGGTGGCCATGCATTAATGCGACCATAGATTGGTGGTTGGTATTGTGTCTTTTCTTTTCCCGCAGTGGCCATGGAGGTGGTTGTTGTTGTTGTGTTTCGATTTAAGGGCGGTTGCAGATAAGGATCACCAATGTAACCTTGGGGCTGCGAATAACTTGGATGCAGCCAAAGCCGCAGTCGCAGTTGCATACACTTATAACGCAGACCGTCGGCTATACCACCCAAGCTCCTGTAGCTCTAAATTTATCGAATGAACCGCCCCCACGGCATATGCGCCACACGGCAGTCTCTCAAGCCGCGTGGGCTGATGTGCGCAGGAGGACGGAATGTCCATGCATCTCGACATATGCTGTGTATCCTCGAGCATTTTGCAACTGGCTATATCCCGTTGCTGATATGCATTCTTACGACACATCCGTACCCGCTGGGATTTGTGTTGATATAATGAAATCCTCCATCATAGCTTGTCCTCGACCACGGCTCGCAGCCTTGGCTCGGTTGTTTCCGCTCCCTCCCACACTCGGCGCGGATACATTGGCGTTCCGTTCCGCGCGATCGGCACCACCACCATCTCTGCGCTTGACAACTAAACAGAGTACACGCCCGTAAATAGAAAATCCTTCGTATGAGATGTCCATGGTCAGCTTCTTCTTGTCCTCGCCGTTATTCTCTGCCGGAATTTGTGCACTAGCAGGTCTCCGGCGTTTTGCTGGCGGGGATTCCCTTGCAGGGCTTTGTACAAACAGGCCATCGTCATCTTCGTCTGCATAATCCTCATCTGATATGACCTCCACCTGATTGTTTTGGTCGCCTGAAATGGAGCCTGCAGTGCTGTCTGCATCTGCATCGGCATGGGTGTTGCTGCGTGTGCGCTTCGGCCGTCTCGTCTCGTTGTTAGGCGCTGCCTCGTCCACTGCCGGAATATCGGCCAGTGCAACCGCAGTATCCTCGTCTTCGCTCTCCTCTCGCAGTATGACGGGGGCCGACTCTGCGGCCATATCCAGGCCGATAGGGGCGTCAGTGGCCTCGCTGATGAGGCGGCCCGAATTAGACTTCAATTTGGTCTGTGTCGTATCATGGAAATGCTTGTGTTTGGTGACTAGCGTGTGGCGTGTACTTGTTTCGGTGAGGAATACAGAGACCTCAAAATCATCTGGACCATGTAGCACGAGGCGTTAATCACGGGCTAGTTATCGCAGGGTTTGGTTATGCAGCGAGCCGCGACGATGTACTGTACTTGGTCTCCCAACAACGTCGGATAGGAAGGTACTTGAGTAGGCATTTCGGGGATGGAGGCGTACCTTCGATAACCACATCCTTGATCCCCTTTTTCTTGGTGCTGCGCTTGCGACTCCGCTCGCGCTCCTCTCGCAGTTTGGGTAGAACGTACGGCCGCACGCTCTCAATGACTCTCGGCAGGATTGATGTCCGTGGGCTGAGCAGCCAAGTATGCACAAGTCCAGGATTATCAAGATAGATTCGACATTCTATCACAGAATACTTCGTAATGCGAAGGTATCTCCGGATCGGTGCCATGGTAGTAGCAGTACGTTGTCATGGATAGCCGGCTCCATTTCCTATGTACCTACCTCTCATATGTAGATGCTTGAATGGGAAGCTGGACAGTGAATGTACAATGACGGAATGCCATGGGCAAGCTGTGGCTTGGAGGGACAGGGAGATGTGGCTGACACAAGCACTGTGGCTCACATGTAGGGTACCTATCTTAGGTAGCTGCGTAATCGTTATCGATAACCACCTCGATCTTGAAGCTATCGCAGCAACAATTTATCCCCATCATTTCGGCGACTATCGTGAGTGCTAGTGCGCTATGGCTGAGGACTAGAGTCAACCAGGATGCTGTAGGAGCGACGATGTCGAAATCATGGTCAGCGACATTGAAGCTGCCCAAATCCACGTTTCCGTAAGCCAATTCGTCGTGGGGACTAGTCGTAGAATAGTAGTGCTGATGGCCTTTTTCGTATAGCCCCCGACCTCTTCCTACGTGCCGTGACCAGTACATACAACGATGCGCCGACCAATATTACGAGTGGCAAAGGCAGAATCGGCCCTCCGATGACACCTTCGTCCTCCATGATGGCCCGCCTTATGCGAATGGTAGTCTTCATGTTGGTCATGCCCTGAATAAGATCTTGAAGGACATGATTGTAAGGACAAAGGTCCAACAAGGTTAGCATCTCAACCATGCCACTAGAATCGCAGTCGACCTTACTCTTGGATATTGCAGGCAGACGTATAGAATACATCCCAGGATGGGATTGCCACGGGCTTCCAATCGAGCTAAAGGCTCTTGAAAATGCTAAAGAAACGAAGTTGACGCCCCTTGAAATTCGAAAGTCGGCCCGAAATCTCGCCTCGAACACAGTTGTCAAGCAAATGAAGACCTTCCGCTCGTTTGGTATCATGGGCGACTGGAACCAGAAATGGACTACTATGGATACCGCTTACGAGATGAGGCAGCTCCGTTTGTTTCAGAAAATGGTTAAGAAAGGCTTGATATATCTCAAGTTCAAGCCTGTTTACTGGTCTCCATCCTCGCAGACTGCCCTCGCAGAGGCCGAGTTAGAGTACAAGGATGACCATATTTCGCATGCTGCTTGGATTAGATTTCCTATCACCAATGACTGGAAATCAGTGCCAGAGTTTGCAAGCTTACGAGACAAGGTTAAAGGAGAGCTATACGCTGTGATATGGACTACGACACCATGGACACTTCCAGCAAACCGGGCAATTGCTGTACACAATGACTTGAAGTATTGTGTTATTCGCGATGGCGCAGATGCGTTGCTAGTAGCTGAAGACCGTCTCGACACTTTGGGTCAAGTATTGGCAAAAGCAGACAGCACTCGACCCGAATCACAACCGAATGTTGTTTATGGCACTTTTGAAGGGAATCAGCTTGGAGAACTGAAATATACAAATCGGCTAAGGGGCAAGGCTGCGCCAGCTCAACCTATAATTCATGCAGATTTTGTGTCGGCCAATTCTGGTTCTGGCCTTGTGCACATGGCCCCTGGTCACGGATTTGATGACTATGAAGTATGCAATACTCATGGTATACCTGTGGCAGCTCCCATAGATGACATGGGAAGATTTACCCAGGACGCTTTCCCTGATGCACCAGAGCTACTACAGGGAGCGCCTTCAGTTATCGAAGGTGGTGGCCGAAAAGTCCTTGATCTTTTGAAACCCTCTGGCGATGTTTTACTGGTAGAGAAGCACCAGCACAAGTACCCATATGACTGGAGAACAAAGAAGCCAGTCGTCATCAGAGCCACAGAACAGTGGTTTGCCGATGTAGCATCGATCAAGGAAGAGGCCTTAGACTCTCTCACAACTGTACGCTTCATTCCGGAGAGTGGTAGGAAACGACTTGAAAGCTTCGTGAAAGGTCGTAGTGAATGGTGTATATCAAGGCAACGTGCTTGGGGTGTTCCTATTCCAGCCCTGTACGATAGCACAGGTGCCGCTGTAGTGGACGAGCAAGTGGTTGAGCATATCATCTCAGTCATTCAAGAAAGGGGCACACATGCATGGTGGTCCGATGCTGCAGACGACCCTGCATGGATTCCAAGTTCGTTGAGAGGTTCGTTCAGGCGAGGCACCGACACCATGGACGTCTGGTTCGATAGCGGTAGCAGCTGGACTATGATGTCTTGGCGGGCAGATGTATACCTTGAAGGCTCCGATCAGCATCGTGGATGGTTTCAATCCAGTCTACTTACTCGCATCGCTGCGGGTACTGAAACAGGCGCTACATCTGAGAAGGGAGCACCCTTTAAGCAGTTGATCACCCATGGGTTCACGTTGGATGAAGAGGGCAAGAAAATGTCCAAGTCCATCGGAAACACTATAGAACCACAACAAGTCATGGATGGCACGCTCTTGCCACCTATGAAGCGCAAAGGAAAAGCCGCCAAAGGCCAACCAGCATATGATGCGCTAGGCCCTGATGCCCTGCGTATATGGGCTGCAAGCAGTGACTACACCCGAGACGTCGTACTCAGTGTCCCTGTCCTGCAGTCTATCCATACTGCGCTTATCAAGTATCGCACAACTCTAAAGATGCTTCTTGGTTCTATGCATGAATCCGCCCGTACCGCCCCTCTTACTGTCACGGATCAGGTTGCTCTTGTCCAGCTACAAGATACGATGGACGAAGTAGGCAAAGCATTTGATAACCATGAATTCTATAAAGGGTATAACGCTCTCAATCGATGGGTCAATAATGATCTCTCGGCATTTTATCTGGAAGCCTTGAAGGATCGTCTCTATTGCGGTGACGGTGGAGGTGTTCTTGAACCCATTTTTAACGGGTTCCTCCGGATGTTAGCTCCTATGACCCCGTTACTAGTGGAGGAGGCCTGGGAGCACCGCCCGGAATGGATGAAACAAGACACGTACGTATTTCCTACCCGTGGTGAATTCGATAGGTGCTAGTTAACATACTAAACAATACCTAGATCCTTGATACACCCACTGCAACAACTCTACATCGACCCTTTGATTGACACTAATCGCCTTAATATTGACCCATTAGAATTGCGAAACGATATTCCTATCATAATGGCTGTACATGGTGCCGTGAAGCCCGCTCTGGAACAGGCTCGTAGCGCCGGCCACGTTGGCTCGTCGCTGCAAAGTACTGTCAAGATTCATGTTCCGGAGACAGACGGTGGAAATTACAAGATCATATTGAGCGTGCTAGGTAAGCATGCAGATGAGCTTGCAGACCTGTTCGTCGTCTCCACGGTCTACATCAACAAGGCCGAAGACACAAACTCGAGTACCCATTCAGCGGATTTCTCGTTCCGTGAGGAATTCGAGGTTCGTGGTGTCAAGGCATATGTTGAAGTTCGCCCCCCTGAGCATGCTAAATGTCCTCGTTGCTGGCGCTATGTTGCTCCTCGGGAGGATGCACTCTGTAGCCGCTGCGAAGATGCTGTACAAACTACCTAAGGAGTTGAGAGTGTGGCGTATATCAATGTAAACGTACGACTTGTGATGTAACGATTCATCTAATCTTTGTTGATTACATCCACATTCGCGAAAGACAAATACATAGATGCTCTGTATAATAGTTTGTATCAATAGAAGATACCCAATTTCATCTCTTCAGAACTTTTCAAGTACCATTAACATTATCTAGGGCATAAACACTTTTGTATCTAAGATGTTCAGACCGACCCTATTGCCACCCTCTATACTCATCCTTTCACTAAAGTCGTATAACAGAGCCATACCTGTTACTGCGCGGTCTCTCTCCTTTTTATTCAAAGTACTCAAACCTTCAAACTTGTCAACCACTGAATCGTCACAAACGTAATACATAGCGCCGGCGATAGTACTTGGGTCAACCGGCATATGCGGCCACTTGAGGAAAAAGGAGGCCAGTAAGATGAGAAGCATGAAGGACATGATCCCGACAGCTGCCCAGATACACAGCTGATTGACGAAGAACGTTTGAGTAACTTGAAAACGGACGTTGCCTAGGAATATACCGAGCGATTCGGAGAGAATCGAGGCGAGTGATACTACTCCCAGGAAAAATCGACGTGTCCGAATCGAATGCCACAGCCCAGAGAAGGCATTTGTCGGTGGCGCCAAGAGAATTGATTTACTGGCTTCACGTGGTCTTTCCGAGAGATACTGGTATGAGTTCATAGTCGAGACAGCTGTGAAAAGTCAGTAACTAGTCCACAAGGATGACTCTTGGGGAACTTTACCTCCGAGAAACCCAAACCACAATATACTGATAACCACACCTAAGCCTGTGAAGAGGAATTCAACCCCAAAGGAGTCACTGTCGATGAACCGCTCGAATGCCGTGTCACCGCCAGTCCGCGCGTAGTACAAGACTAACACCAGCACACCGCTGAGGAACAAAAATAAACATAACCGGCCAACGATGCCTAACATGAAGAAAGGGGAACTGTGCTTCCTGCCAAGGAACTCTCTGTCTTCAATGTTGCTGGTAAGTGGCGATTTCTCATTCTGCCACATAGGCGACAGCCCGGTACCTTTGAAACGATCGAGTGCCACAACCCCATACTCAATCTGTCCTTTCGTGTTGCGGAAATAGTCGAGCTTGAAGTCATGATGACTGAGGTGTTTTCTTGCGTGCTTCGCATCCGGTCCCGTAGTGGCATCGACAACCAGCCGTCGAACGTCCGGATTGGTAGACAACGAAGCGAGCGTACACATACCCCAGGGATTCGTGTAGACGCCAAGCCGCCACCTTCCAATCATGACAACTAAGAATAGAGTAGCGAGACTCATGACGCCCAGGATACCGAGCGTAGCCTTGGCCACCATCGGCGCGACACTGAGGACATAGGCGCAGTTGCTAGCCGTGCTACCCCCTATCTTACAACCATCTCCTCTCAAATCCAAAGTAACTGCCCCGGCTGAAACAGGAACAAGCAGCGCTGATGACAGCGACAGCAAGCTCACGAGAAAGACGACCGCGTGACCACCCACAAGTGAACGAAGACCCATGAGCAGTGACCTCCAGCCGCCGGTGTCAAGACATAGCGAATCACGGCCGGGAGCCCCTTGGTCGTGCGTGAGCGCATGCCACGGCTGGAAGGACTTGGCATTCGTGTCAAGGATGCGTACGGCGATGGCCAGGATACTGGCCACGACCGTGGTCAGGAACTTGCCCATAAAGTAGTGCGACGCGTTAATGCTGTACACTGCCGTGCGCACGGTTGGAGGAATCGGGTAAGTCGCAATTGTGGCTGTTGGATTTCCCGCACTGTCGGTTTTCACAGATAGCGAGGGCGAGATCATCACAGTCACAACTTGCGTTGCCGTCGCGTCGCCGTCGGAATTTGTCAGCGTGCTGGTTTCTAGCGAAGTTATCGGCGTTGGAGTCTCTGTGGATGTGGCGATCACAGACCCCTTCTCGTCAGTTAAGATCGTCACACCGAGTGTTACGTGCGTCACTGTCTCAATGGGTGCTAACGAGCCTGGATGCTGTTCGCTGACGGTTTTGCTCCCGATGTCGCCGTAGTCGGAAGGAGGTTTGCCAGCGGTCTCACTGACCGTGGGCGTCGAGGTTGGTGGTGTCTCTGTCACCGTTACGGTTCCAATATTACCGTAGTCGGTCTGAGCTCTTGTTGACTCAATTAGCGGCGTTTCAGATGTGTCATTCGTTTCCTCGGATATCGTGACGGTCCCAATTCTGCCAAAATCGCTTTGATCTTTGCTAGGAGCAAACGTTGGCGTTTGCGAAGCACTATCCGAACCATCGGAATCTCCTGGGGGTGTAGTGATAGTTGGATCTGCTTCTGTAACCGTTTTCGTCCCAATATCACCGAAATTGCTAGATGGTTTGGTTGTGGGAGTGAGGCTAGGTTCAACCGTGACAGTTTGCGTTCCAATTTTACCGTAATCGCCAGGCTCTTTAGTCATCGGAGGCTCCGTCGTCGTTCCATCATCAGATCCGGATGGTGTTGTCTGAGCTGGGCTAGACGAAATCGACTCGGTGGTATCTCTGGCCTTCACGGCATGGATTATGTCAGAAGGCTGATATAAACCTCTAGCCTGCACATGTTCAGACGTATCATTCGACCCAACTACAGGAAGAGATGTTACTGCGTAGCTGAGAAATGCTAACGTGGTCAACAAGGCCAACAGCAAAGTGATCAAGAACGGCCACTTCAGAGCCGTGGGCTTGTATTGCCGTTCAGAGCTCCTAGAGGCTGCTCTACTCTCATGATTGTGCTGCAAGTCGGTAGGATTAGGCACATTATGGTATTGTGAATGGTAGCCAAAGCCTTCCACCTCATAACGTTCCTCGAGGCTGTCTAAACTCTGATCTTGTACCTCGGCATACCTTCCCTGAAGACGGCCCATGGTTGAACGCGTAAAGAGTCCGAGCAGCTTAAAGAACTCCTATCATTTGAAAAGAGTAGAGAGTCTCAACATTGCGTTGCACTCCTAGCAGTGGGAGATGGAAGGGCAGAAAAACGTAATGATATAACAAAGACACCAGGTCCCGACTGATTTTAGGTACCACAGTTGGACGCCATAATCGTGAAAAGAAAACGCCAACATACCGCCACATCAAAGTAATAGGGTCCAGCTCATAGCCCTACCTGTGAAGCTACGCGCGAAGATCCAGCCATTTCGGGCGATATGAAGGGGGCTGAATTGGACTTATCCATGCAACCCATGCTAGTCGGCGGCCTGGACCCGGTTTCATATATTCATAAATAGAACACCCATGTATGATTGGCTGGCGGTGACCATCTTGATGTGTCAGCTCCAGTCAAGTATCAGCAAGTTTCTGATCTAGCCGTGAAAACAGAGGACACACGTACCTACGACCTATCATAAGAGACATTGAGCAGAGCTTGGTTCTCAGGTCAGTATTCTCGGTTCCGAATGGCTGGTATGAATTTTTATTCACTTCGCGGGATTGCAAGGGGTGCACTGCATATTGAAGTGATAGGCTATCATGATGAAACAATGCTCGCCAAGGTTACATAATTTGCTGTCTGCCAGTCAATCTGATTGATACAGCTAAACTCAGCCACGCACAGACCCTCCTGTCTTCAGTATACGTAGGACTTTTCAGCCCTACAAGCTCGTAGCTGAAGGGATGAATGTGGCGTAGCCGCACTGCTAGCTGATGTCGCATAATGGCGCTACATCAAGGTGAATACCGTAGATCAACCCAACCTAGCTTGTTAATGCGTCCTCTGACAACTCATAGTGATTGAGCGATGCTCCTTTGACTTCTTAAATCGAGATCATTAGAACAGGATGAGTCGAGTGAGTGAAGGAAAAGTCAGTTTCACAGTGAGAAGCCAACCATTCACTAACCGTGTTTTAGTACTTGGCAAAGTGCGGAAACAGAAAGCTATCGACAAATTCGATTTAGTGGGTTCATAGTTGTCTACTAATTCTTCCCTTCATTCATGCTTAATAGGCTAAGTATGTGCGTGGGCCGGAAGTTTACCTGCACGTACATAGTACATGTATATATGCTTCAACTGTGCTTCGTAAATACTCCAATGCGAAGGATCAAACCTGCAATCGGGGGGGTGTTTGTGATAGAAATGGCAGGCTTTGTGTTTCTCCTACTAACACGAAGATGCGAATGTGTTCACCGCCTATGGTGGCGTGTGACAGAATCAGTTCCTCAGCCTGGGTAACTCCGTTAACAGACGCTATCAAATTAAGAGATGACTGTGGGACGGAGGGTGGAGAGAGCAGGGGTTAAATCGAAAGGAAAGAACAGACGACAGAGGCAATGGAAGGTGATTCGGAACCCTAGTCCACTTGTTAACAAGTGCGCGATCAAATTCCGGAACCATAAGTTATCATTACTCAAGCAAACAAGCTTATTCACTCGATCACGAAGCGATCCTGAGCGGCATTTCGATACTGATAATCACGGCTGGCGACAGGGCATAAGGTTAAAGTGATTCGAAATACAAGTTCTTCCTGCCTACCTACTTAACTGCAATAAACCAACCATGCACTCCGGGACACATATCATTGAAATAGTATGGGCCCTATCGCCCATAGGAATCCATAAGCCAGCAATCTTGATCTCAAGCACAAGCGTCTCATAAGGCTGTTGTCCGATCACCTTCAAAGCTCTATGGAAATCAGCCGCCACCTCCCTGATGCGCGCCAACCCCCTAGAGCCCCTGATGATTTCATATTTGGATCATCTAAAAGGCATATAATCTACGTCGCAATTAAACGACGCGAGTATATATTGATCTCCGTCGTCGATAACATAATAGACTCATGACGTACTGCATACGGATATGTAGGTAGTCACTGGAAATATCGGCGCGTCAGTGAGCCGGAGGGTCGCTAGCTGCTATACTGATAGCCGCCAGATTAGCCCCTTGAAGAGACCGAGGATTCATTGGACGCCTCGTTCACATCTGGCATGCAAACCTCAGTAGCCAATTGAGACAGTCAAGGTCTTATTGAAGGAAGTTCAATCATGCCTCGCTAACATGAGGCATTATGGCAGACCTCGATGTTGCCATATAGACGAAAGAGACCCAACCGAAGTATCAGATGACCGTCGGTACTCATGAGAAATAATTGTATGGGAGATAGCTTCACCCCGACCCCACGATCCCTGTCCTTTGTTATACCGAGAGGATCTTGAGAGTTGCGGTGGGTTTCCCTAGCAAGGAGGCCCTCGCCTTGCTGTTGGCGCCGTATGCGGCGCCGATGACGATCGTACCGTTGGCCACGGTCAAAGCATGGTGCAGCCGGTGATTTGGAAGATGCTCCCGTGCCACCGTGGCGTCGAGTGTGTGTGACGAGGGAGATTTTCCACAGTGTATATAGAGAATGAATCTCCGTGATCACTAATCAGTTTGAGGCAGTCGAAGCAATCGAGTCGCTTGCGCGGACTAGGTATGATTCTAGGGAAGCTTTGGCGTTTCAGAGTCTAGAAATCTGAGGCGTCTGGTATCTGTAGATTACATTGAAGCTGGGTAGAGAGATGTTCGTGGAAGTTGTGTATCCAAGGTAGATTATGGAACGGACTCTGGAGCCTGAGGTGCCCTTTTCTGTATCAGTTCGACTATTCACGAGTTCAGCAAACAGCTCCTCTAGTAGATATTTGTCGAGACCGACTAGGACCCCGTGGATCATGCGCCACCATCTCGAAAGGCCTGTGATCAAGAGCTCTGGCGCCTTTGCACAGCTCACGGACAGAACCTTCCTGCTTGAATTTGAGCCGGATGTGGACCAAAAATGCCGCCTCTGTGAGACCGTCTTGCCAGTTGAAAGGAAACTGCACACACTCCAACTGTAATTCGAAGGAGGGTTTTTTTTTTTTGAATGCATGCGCCAGCTTTGTGGTATCACTAAATAAGAACGAAAGTATTATTGGAAGAACCTATAGCCACAGCTTCTTCGCTACCAATAAAGTACGATTTATGAAGTGTGAAGATGATGGTATCCATGATATACACCCTGTTGCTTATAGTCTATCCGATTGTGTGACAACGAGGGGAAGATGCTGTGTCACGCTGTGAGCTCATACCCAGTGCATTTACATATCTGTACGGGTCTTACGAGCCACGTTCATAGTCTCGGGGGGTTGAACGGCATAATGTCTCATACCTCGCTTATCTGGTTCGAGAGGGGGTCGGGTGGCGTGTTGAGTATATGACCCCAAAGAACCCTCTTACGAATAACAAGATGAACTCTTAACGCAAATGCATTGCGACTGCATCTAAAGTATCAATCATGGATCTTAGAAGCACCGATATCCTCCATCGCGACGAACGTTCGCCTTCGGGCCTATCGTCTCCGAGAATTGACGACAAGGCCCTGTACCGCAAGATCGACGCCCACATTCTTCCCCTTATGTTCGCGAGTTACCTTTTGCAAAGTTTAGACAAGATCGTCATCAACTATGCCAATATCATGGGTCTACAAGAGGATTTAGGAATGTACGGGCAGCAGTTTAGCTGGGTGGCAACGTCCTTCTACATCGCATACACTGCTGGCGAGTTTCCTCAAGGATGCCTTCTCCAAATATTCCCTCCAGCAAAAGTGTTGGGGGTGAACATCGTGATATGGGGTATCTTGGTATGCTCCACGACTGCCTGCGAGAACTTTGCCAGCCTGCTGGCCGTGCGAACTTTACTGGGTTTCTGCGAGTCGGTCATCGGGCCTTCATTGATACTGGTTACTAGCCAGTGGTACACGCGGCGTGAGAGCATACCCCGATATGGGCTCTGGTATTGTGGACTCGGAGCTTCGCAAATTCTGGGCGGTATTATTAGTTTCGCGGCACAGCATGGGTCTAGGACGGCATCTTTTTCCAGCTGGCGCATCATGTTTGTTGCGGTGGGCTCTTTCAACATCGTTGTAGCCCTGCTGATTCTTCTTTTGCTTCCGAAGACGCCGGATGTCACTCCTTGGCTGAACGAAGAGGAGAAAAAACACATTCGTGAGAGGCTGGCGCTTGATCAAGCTGGTACGGGGAGGAAAGTGTTCCAAAAGAAGGCGTTAGTGGAGGCGCTCTTCTTCGACGCACAAGTATGGATTCTTTTCGTTCTGACGACACTCGTCCTGATTCCCGCAGGAGTTATAGCAAACTTTAGCGCGGTGATGATTAAAGGCTTCGGTTATGACTCTAAGAGTGCTGCTCTGCTGAACATTCCCTCCGGAGCGGTCACAATTATCGCAATTCTGGGCAGCACGTACGCTGTTATGATGGAATTTCCGCGATACCTGTGCATAATAGTCTTGATGGTGCCAGCGGTGCTCGGCGCCGGTCTAATGTCGTTTTACCAAGGTGGTAAAGGTGGCGTACTTGCGGGTATCTACCTTCTCAACTTTGGCACGGCACCACTGGTGTTCATATATTCTCTTTGCGGCACCAATACCCATGGGTACACGAAGAAGGTTGCGACGAATGCCATCGTAGGAATTGCTCATGGTCTTGGGAGTGTCATCGGCCCACAGACGTTCTTGAGTTGGGAGGCACCGCGATATATAAGTGCTAAAATCACCCTCTTTGGCGTAGATGCTGCCGTTATTGGAGTAACAGTACTTTTACGGCTGTTGTATGGGTGGCGGAATAAGGAGAGAGTCAAAGAAAGGCGAGCAGAGCTTGATGCGATTAGTAGTGGATGCGTGGATCCCCTGGCACGCGACCAAGAAGGAGAAGAAACGGATATGAGGAACAAGGCTTTTGTGTATATCTATTAGCTGGCACTTCTATGTGGTTGTCTTGGTTTTTGTTTTGGGTCATATGTATTTTGGTCTGTTGAATGAGTGTGTGTAATGAGGCGAGCGACTGAGATCAGTATATACTTCTAGTCATATAATAAATCTGTATAACTAATGCAGACACTTAGCTTTTAATAACAAAAGAATGTGCTGATCTATTCTATGTACCAAGTTGACCCAACCTGTATGAAATTTCTAGTTCGCCTTAGGTGTTTCACGATACGCAGGTGGCAATAAGCCTTCCAATTCCAGTTTGATCTGCTTGGCCACGTTTCGCGCTTGCCATCGTTGGTGTTGGAGGCCACCGCCAATAGTCCAATAGTTTTCCAAGCGTAAGTGACGTTTGCCCATTCCGCGAGTCTCTCCTTCGATATCTACACCCCAGCAAGCATCCATTCGCGCCACGATATCTTCCGGTGTAAGGACATCTTTGCGGCCATTATATTCGGAATTGGCTCCCCCAAGAGAGTCAACTGCTGCTGTTTGGAAGTCGGTGAACCCGGTGCACCAGATCACTGCGTCCGCGGTGATGCTACTCCCGTCGGAAAACTTCAGCCCAGTTTCGGTGTATGAAGTTGGCTCGACAGAGCCCTTCACTGACACCTTTCCATGTGAAATGAGCTCTGTAGCGCCAATGTCGACGTAATGGCCGCCACCTCGCTCGAGTAAGTGATGCTGTAGATCCGTTGCGGGGTTTCTGCTGTCAAGGACGGGAAAGCCGGCCCGACTGAGAGCTAGATAGCGGTTCCTAAGAACGACGTTAATGACAACCGTCTACAAGGCTCAAAAAGTAAACCTACGGCTCCAGCGACGCGAGATGAGAAAACGCGCCATGTATGATCCGGCCAGCTAGGGCCTGAGGTGTAGTGTTTGCGAGCTTATCAGCTGCGTCAAGGGGCATGAGATCGTAGACCCCAAGACCACGGGGGCCCATCACGTAACTGTGCGGGAGAACATAGGTTGGTGACCGAGCCACCATGGTGGTTTGAAGGCCCTGTGCATGGCAATCTTGAATCACGTCAAATGCCGTATTGGCTGAGCCGACTACGACGACTGACTACGGTGCGGAGTGTAAATTAGCAAGAGTGATTAGATCGAAAACAATGAATCACATCGTCGGGGTATCTTTGACGCACCTTGGCTCCATTCTTCGCTAATATTTGTGGGTTGCGATACTGCGACGAGTGGACAACAGCTCCTTTGTAGACATCTTTACCTGGAATTGGTGGGATATATGGCTTTCCACAGCCGAACCCAGTTGCTTGGATAAAATGCTTTGACGTGACAGTCTTCCTCGACCCATCTGCGACCTTTAGGACGATGGTCCATTTCTTCTCGGATTGATCGAAAATGGTAGATTGCACTGTTGTAGACAGTAATACATTGAGATGCAACTCTTTGACATATTGTATCAAGTGCTCTGCGATCTCATCCTTCGTGAGGCTGTGAGGGGTCTGTAGCTCTTTCGGATAGGCTGGCCAGTGATGTTATGTCAGCAGGAGGCTTTGAGATAATAACAGCTTGGCTTACGTAAGTATGGCATCTCGCAATTCGAAGTTGGCACATGGATTTTGACGCTATCGTAGCGTTTAGCCCAGTTATCTCCAATTCGAGCGTTACGGTCGGCTAGAATGGTGTCGACACCAAGCGCCTTTAGCCGCGCAGCAGCCATCAGACCCCTTTACCCCATGATGTATTAGCATATTAACGTATTTTTTCGGATAACTATAAGCACTCACGCAGTACCAGCCCCAAGAATGAAGACTGCGGTGTCAATGGTTTCAAGCTCGTTGAGCTGTCTGGCAGGCACCAAAAGCCGTTTCTCGTCCTCTGGATGCTGGATCAATGATTCTATCCATGTAGATAGGAACCAGATTTTCCAACAGACTGGGCCATTTCCCTCGTCGGATTTTACAGGGAGGAGCAACATTCTGCCCTCGCAGCCTATTGCGGGTGACCTAGTTTGGAATGATACCGAGCAGTCAATGAACATCTTCAAGCAGCAAATATCAGCTAGGTTTCTTATGACGCAGTTGGTATTTACTAACCAATACGGGACTGGCAACAACCAGACGAGGATTGCCAGCAAGTTCAATCATACCCTCAAGCTGTCGCGCAGTCTTCATTTTCATGAAAGCTGCAGCAGCAACGCCCGGTGTCGAGAAGGTGCGCCAATGGCTAGTGAGAGCAGCGAAATCCCTCCAGAACGCCTGCTCGGCATAGAACGTGCCAGCTAAGGTATCGACATCGTTAGAAGCAAGGGCTGAATTAAAAGCATCCAAGACTGCCTCGGCCTGAGTGGCGACCTTGTCTCCAACCATTGAATCCTGGTCAATAGTCCCAGGGGGGATTTTTGGTAACGACCTCTGAACATCTTTACGAAGATCGGCCCTTGGGGGATACTTGATGCTGAAGGGGGCTTCGCTAAGATCAGGAATAACTGCTACAATTGAGTGAGCTTTTACGTCGGAAACAGTATATCTCAGTACGAGGGATCTATACCAGAAGGCATCGTCGGTAAGGTCGGTATCCTAGTATGCGTCAAGAATCTCGAAGGGATAAATGCTCGCGGACCAGCACTGATTCTGATGTTGACTGTTTCACGATATGAACTAAGAAGATGATGCTGAAAGTGAGGTGACTTCACTTGAGAATTTCTCAGGGATTTTGGGAGTTTATATGCAAAAAAGGACACCCCAACTTGTAACGAGATGCTGCCACCAGTGATGAGATGCAATGCAGTATATACTCCGTGATGCAACATTCGTATGTGCCGGAACAGGACCCGGGTAAGTACTGAAGCACCGCAGGGTGGAAAAGGAGAATAACCCAGCAACAAGCTCGGAACCCCAGGTTCTCGGATTACTTCGTTATTATGAAGCCCTACATATCATAGTAGTTGGCAGGGAGTCTGTACTTATTGTTTCTCCCTTTCGTCAAGTTATTGAATTCTATGTGTTTATTTCATAATCGCCACATCCCCTAGGTATTATTCAAATATCTATAGAGGCGTAGGATTATCTATCTCCTTGAGTATGAGTAGACTATACCACATATTCTTAAAATCATCCACTTCAGAACCTAACGTAATAAGAGTCCTATCTAGTTGGACTTGGTGAGGTGTGTGGGTGAGTGCTGCCAGCAGACAGCAGACAGGGATTCTTGTTGCGACAGTTACAGTGACTGTCTCCCATTGGTTAGCCACTAGGCTCTATGTTATTGTAGTGGAGCGATGAATTGGTGAATGTAGAGGTCGCCAGTGTTCGGACATTCAGAAGGCATTTTGATGTCACATGGACTATTCCTGCAGAAGAGGAGCGCTCTGAACAATGCTGGTAACTTGTGGTAAGACATTTTGAGCCCCGTTGTTAACCCGACCGGTCACAGTCTCTGCAATCTTATCAGAGTTAGCATGAACCGAACTGGCCAGCATTGTTACACGCCAGCTCTTATTGGTGTGCTTGTTGCTGTGGGTGAGTATGCGTGACGTAATGTAAATGTAGTTGTGGTACGTGCTTCCCGAAAGATGCATATAAAACAACTCCAACAACTCCACAGAGTGGAATACTCTGCTAATTTAGGGTAGTGATGCAGCAGCTCTGCCTATTAAACGGTCAAGACATGCTCGAGCTCAGAACTCGAGACTCGTCGTCGCTCAAACTGCTCACAGACAATGAGTATCTGCTCGTCGGTCGGTCATCGGTCGAAGCTCGAGACACTGCTTCCGCTTCCTCTTTCTTCAGTAAAGAAAGCCGTTCTATTTCCCGCGCCGTGGCATCTTCTTCTTCTATCTCTCGTTTGACCCGCGCATTATTGATTCGCGATCTGCGAATGCCCTTAACACCGAAGAATAGGGCGACGAGGACAACAGCTGTCCCAACAATCGACACCGCGACCTTGAGACCAAGATTATTCTGATGCGGGGCCTCTAAGATCATATTAAGCTGGTCAAGAGTTGTTACGCCGTCGTAATCCAACGTCCACATTGGCAGGACGCTGCTCCAACTTCTCGTCCACGCATTGGCTTCCAACTTCACGCCTGTTCTGTTGGGTATGGTTCCAGATGTTACTTCGATGAGATCTGCAGCAAGATTTCCTCCAATTCCCCCCGGGCCAGGGGCCTGTGCAAGCCAATAATTCGCCACAGTGTCCGCATCATCATTGTACTTGAAAGAAGAAGCCAAAAATGCAGATTGGAGAAATGCGCGGCCTAGCCGTGGCCAGGTGTACCAGCCGTTACTCCATTCGGAGTCATGATGCGAGCAAGGAAAATAACGTGCGGGGGGCAGAAGCGAGCCATTTATTGCTCGCGTGGTGGCATGAAAGGTATGTTGCAGTGATGCTATAGGAACCTTGATAGATACTTCAGGAACCCCTGCTTGGGATTCGTCCAAGTCATAGTCATCCCAATATGGCCTAAGCACAAACTCGAGATACACGGGAGATCGAAATATAGGGTGATCGGGCGGATATGACCACAGGTACAGATTCCGTGTAGCATCATATTCCAGGTCTAGTAGCCCCGCTAGTTGACCACAGGCCCCATGGTTCAGGTGAAGATATGGGCTTCCGGGCTCTATGATGATTTCCGTGGTGGTGAAATTCCGTCTATCGCGCAAGAGGCTCGGATCTTGCTTGTACGGACCCTGGGGAAAAGACTGATTATTGAGCCTGAGGCTGTCTAAGGGTAGAAAACCAGAGTCAACACCGATATAGATGTGAGTTAACACAAGGTTGCCGCTCGGGTTTCCTCTTGTGTTGTATGTCTCGGTCCAATTCAGCAGATCGCCCATAATCTTTTTATTATCATACCCACCAATAATGAGGGATCCATTGACTGGGGGTTCGACCGAGCCCATGTGAAAGCTGGAAAATGGAGAAGATACCCTCCCAGCCTCCGACAGGCTGCTGGCCATGTTGGGAAGAGATATCATGGAGTTCAATAACGGTACTGAGTGTGAGTTATTGGACGCTTGAGTAGCCAACTTCTCGCCCACGATAGCAGGTGTCTCGATACGATGTCCTGCAAGGTTGGACGTAAAGTTGATGCCCGTGATAAGCCCGTTGAAAGACATGAAACGGAAGAAGTCCAAACCTTGCCGCGAGTTCAGAGAAAATTCATCCCAAGGTGTTAGATAACTAACGTTCGACAAGAACGAGTCCGTCAACTCAGGAAGCCTCGTCTGTTTCGCTGTCGAGACATTGTGGTACGCCTCGGGGAAGGTAAACTCGCCACAGCGCAATTTGCCATCTTCTACCTCATCCCCGCATGTATGCGGTCTAATGAGAAGAGACGCGTTGGCGAGAGTGAGATATGTGTTGAGAGTTAGATTATCTTGCGAGTCTTCATAGTCGACCCTCAAAGTAGGCCAGGGACCGTCAATGTCGGGCGATAAGTGAGCGTAGTTGTTGAATGGGACTTGAATAAGCCTGGCAGCCGCTGTCACAGCGAAAGCCGCGAAGACAGACTGAAATGGAGTTGACAGCATAGATAGGGGCGATAGTAGCGACAGCGGTTTGCAGTGTAGTCATCTACCGAACAAGTTTCGATTTGAATTTGCAAACGCTTGGGGCCCTCGCGATAAGGCGATGTTTAATACAATTCTATGCTCTCGTTGTCAGGCCGTTCAGAAGAAAATCTGTGCCGCACACCCGCCATTCAGCTATTCCAGCAGAGAGATGGCGATACCTACTGTCCACTACCGAGCCACCAAATACTACCTAAACCTAGCTTGTGCACCTTGCCAAGAGACGAAGGAGGCCCTACAATCTGACAACGACTGTAAATAGTATCGTCGCCAAGCCCGCAACTTATATGTATTCGTATCGCGCAGCAAATGCCTCTAAAGATGTGGACCTTTGAAACGTATTTTATGTAGGTCCCATGGATTAGCCCTTCACGGCGCACAAGAGTGACATCGCGAGCAAGGCGATGCGTTGTTCAGCCACTGTGTCGCGTCTATCGAGTGCTCACTTCTAGCTTGCCAATTTCTCGGCAAATAAGAGGATCTTCTGCCTGCTCATTAATTCCATAAAGCTACTTTGCTTTGCTGTCCTGTCTCGCACCCGCCTATGCTGAGCAAAGGTAGTTCGTTAACCCGCTTCTGTATTCGCGATTAATGCTTTATCTGTCGAGGCACGCAATCCTATTCACTGCCTCATGGAACGATTGAAGAGGGTGGCGACCAGCGCTATCACGTACCCTGTCCGGGAATATCGCAAGTTCAGGGACTATCGTCACCAGCGGATCAACGACGCTCCCATAACATGGAACCTGAGTGCCTGGAAACGTCTGCATCCATCCCTTCGACAGGGCTATAAATACTGTCTCGTCATCGTAGCCAGTATCTGGGCGCTTGTTCTCGTCTTTTCGGTATGGCTTGCGACTGTTCACGAGGCACAGGCTGGCTTGGTTTATACCCTTCAGACCGGCAGCTGCTCGGCTGCCCAGAATATCAACTTCTGGGTTCACCTAGTGGTCAATGGTCTGGCTTCAACCTTGTATGCCATCTCTTCTTATATCATGCAGCGGCTGGCAGCACCGGGGCGGGAGGACATTGATAGGGCGCACGATCCAGCTGTTGAGAGGCCGATGAAGATTGGATCGCTCGCTTTCACCAACTTTATAGTGCTCAGCAAGAAACGACTCTGCGTATTCTTCCTACTTTGGGCGAGTTCGCTCCCACTTCATCTGTTGTTCAACTCTGTCATCGTCTACACCTCAACGAACGCAGAGTGGCCAAGCCATGTTTATTTGACTTCCGAGGAGGAGTTCAAGTCTATAGTCTCCAGAACCCCAACTTCTGCCGTTTCTGGGGTGCGACAGTACGATGAGATACCTAAAGTTGAACTTGGAGAGGATGATGATCTCTCTAAAAGCCTTGCACTAGAGGCGCAAGCATTATTTCACCAACAACCACCCATGATTGATCTCAGGCTCGATGAATGCATTGACACGTTTGGTTCTGGGTCCAGTGAAACCTGGGGCGACGTCATCCTCGTGCATAGCACCAACAACCAATACTCTGGAAGTTATAGATTGAAGAGTACCCTTCATAGCAAAAGCTACCTTCCTGCTGCTGACGAAGATCCATGGCAATGGATGTGTGGGAGTAACAGGTTTCGTAACGTAACGTGCGATGCGAAGAAAATCTTGGATAGTGGCCGTTGGATGGTAAATGATTTGGTCATATCACGTTGTCTTGCACGCAAGCTTCCGGCGCTCTGTGAATTGAACGCGAGCCTCGCAATCCTGATCGCCGTGTTTGCAGCTGTCTCAGTCAAGCTCATTGCTATCGTCTTTGCAGTGGTGCTTGGGCGCACCCAGTCACTTCTGACGATCGGAGACGCAATTGCCTCGTTTCTTGAAGAGCCCGACAAGTATCTACCACCGCTAAGAAGGTCTCAGTTGACATACCGCAGTCGTCGAAGAATGGTGATGCTAGAGATGAGGGGGGCATTTTTGGCTGCGGCCATTTTGTAAGGTTACATTTCTCTCCTTCCATTGTCTCAGCCACCTAACGTGAATTGTAGCGGCGCCGTTGGCCTGTCTTTAGCATGGTGGTTCTTCGCTTTCGTATTCCACGAAACGTCAGCTGCTTTCTCTCTTTCGAAGACACCCTTCGATTTTGACGCTATGCTCCGGTACGGATTCGGGAAGATGCCCAGCCGGTGGTCGGAAACCTTGAACCAGCACCTCTTATCCTACTCGGCTGCTGAAGACCCTTACTTCACGTACACCAGTGGAGCCGTGTTGGCGAACCTGCCACAGCTTGCACTAAGTGCCTTTTATCTGGTCTTCAACAATTATGTCACGCGACTGTTCGTTGCGCTCGAGTTCCGCGCTTACTCTACTCGTCGTCGAGGGCTCCGGGTCAGCCAGCCTGTTAAGCACACCAAGCAGCGCCGAGCATATTTTCTCCAGATACCGCTCAGATACAGCCTACTCAATATTGCACTCTTTGCGCTGTTGCACACATTTCTTTCCCAGACGTTGTTTTTACGCAGAGTATACGCCATATACCCGCAGTCGTTCGATGGCTCTGATGAGATCGGAAAGAAGCTCCTTCCAATGATCGGATACTCGCCTGTGGCTGGCTTTGCTTTCGCCGTGTTGCTGACATCCTTGGTTCTTGCAGGGGTTGTTATAGGGTTGACCCCTTTAGACTGGAGGATGTTGGACACTAGCGGAGACTCACTGGCAATTGGCCAAGCCTGTCACCCCCCGGAGGGTTCATGCAAGACTCATGAGGGTGCAATAAGGTGGGGAGTGACGAATAGATGTGAAGATGGTAGTGTTAAGTGCTCTTTCAGCCTACTGCCAGTGCGACCTCCGGATCTACAGGAAGTCATAAAAACGCGCGCGCGCGTATCGAGCTGAAGAGATAATGCCAATTGATGGATTTTGTTTTTACAGGTGTCTTAACCGGAAATTGCCACGTACGAGAGAGTTGTGACTGGCCAGCATCGACACTTTGGGTCTCCTTGCTCAAAGCCCTAATAGGCCCAGACTCTTGACAGGCAATTTGGAAGAAGCGCTAACCCAGAATGCTGATAATGAGCGGTCGCAACCCATCGCACACACGTAAACATGTGTATGAAACCACAGCTTCGGAGTTTGACTTCCCGCGATCAGCACCCGCGTTCAGTGTCCGTCCTCCGGCAAAATAGTTGCTCGCCCCTCCACGGAATGTGCAAACGGGATATGGGCCAAAAGAGCCAATGTAACCTCGCGGGTGAGTATATAAAGACGTAGAAAATCCCTGAGATAAGAGACTATAAACCACATCGACAAGTAAGAGTTCGACGTTGTATATTGAGCAAGTCTTCCATTGTCAACATGAAGTTCACCACAACGGTCAGTTGGCTAGCCGCCACTGGCTCAGCAATGAGCGCTTCCCTTCAGCCAGTTACTGGCTTCGGCACGAACCCAACAAACCTTGGAATGTACATCTACGTCCCTGACAGGGTTGCAACCAGCCCAGCTCTGATCGTGGCTGTAAGTGAAATGCCTTCTCTCATCCCCGGACTCCCTTAAACAGCTCATCTCTGACACTTCGCCTTATTAGCTTCATCCATGTGGTGGCAACGCGCAGCAGTGGTACGGAGGCACCCAGTTGCCAGCAGCCGCGAACAGTGGAGGCCACATCTTGATTTACCCGCAGACGACGCGCTACAGCAACTGCTGGGATGTCCAGAACGCAGGATCTCTCACGCACGGCGGACAAGGAGACGCTCTCGGTATCATTAACATGGTCAACTACGCCGTCACCAAGTACAACGTCGACAAGACCAAGATATTCGTCATGGGCGGCTCGTCAGGTGCCATGATGACTAGCGTCATGGCGGGCTCTTACCCTGATGTGTTCGAAGCTGGTGCCGTGTACTCAGGTGTCGCTTTCGCCTGCTTCGCTGGCAGCAAGTCAGACCCGACGCCCTTCGGCGCCAACCAGACTTGCGCGCAAGGCATGCAGCACACGCCGGAGCAATGGGCCCAGTTCGTGTACAACGCCTATCCAGGCTATACCGGCAAACGCCCCCGCATGTTGGTGGCCCATGGTTTGGCCGACGGGCTCGTCCGGCCGCAGTGCGGATATGAGCAGCTCAAGCAATGGTCTGCGGTGCTCGGTCTCAAGAACACCAAGAACAACACTGGGTCTGCCGTTGCCGAGGGTTCTCAGTACACCGAGATCGTCTACGGTGACGGCACGCAGCTGGTGGGGTACTTCGGTCAAGGAGTCGGACATATCGCGCCTCCCGTCGTACCCGTCATGCTGAAGTTCTTCGGGCTTTCATAGATTAGTCGCGCTGATGCGTTTGTGCGAGGAAACTGGCTTTGGGAGTCATCATGCTGAACCCTGATTGGCATGGAAATGTATCTAGTCACGCTATCTTCCGATGCTAGTTGAATCTGCCAAAAAAACAAACTTACATCATCCGCCTCGAAGAACCACAGTCGCCATGAGGTACGATACAAGACACCCGCCAGCTGCTGTTAACATATATCGTGCAAGAAGGTAGTTTTCAATATCCGTTGGCGATATTGTCGTAATATCTTCTCCGGCACGTACTATGTACAATAGACACGGACCCGTAATACTTACCTAATTAGGATTAACGCATCCGGCAGATATGCCCCTGTATCTGCACGTATATATTCTACTATGCAAGTACTTATGCTAACATATTAACCTATATTTAGAAGACACGCCACTCTTCGCTGTTGCTATCACCATGTAGAACTCACTGGTTCTTGCATCAAATTATCTGGTTAGAACCCTCTTGTGACGTGGCCAAGTTGCGGTGCCATCTTTGACTTGAGATAGGGCAGTATTCTACCAGTCATGGTAAGGCCCCTAAGCAAGAGAACCTGCACTACCTAATCTGGCTAGATGAATCGACCCAGCTCAGAACCCAGCCAATGGCAGTGCCTCCCGTTAGCACCCGTCAGTACAGAAGTACAGAAGGTTACCATGGTATGATGATCAGAAACAGCAAGCACCTTACGTCATGGGAGTGGCTTTGCCATCTGCAAGAATCAAGGGAGGCTGGCCATTCTCACAATTACACTGCAAGACCTTTTGTAGGTATAATACTCAAGTTAATCTCTCGATATATTTTACTGCGATCTTCTCTCTCTCTTAAGCGTCTCTCAACAAACTCCACAACAAGCAGCGTTGCTACCTTATTCAGACTCCAAGAACTCGTCTTCTCCCTAACTACCTAGACACACACGCAATGGCTCCCACACAACCCGAAAACGCCCAGATTGCCTCAGCGGCCAACAACGAACAACGCCAGTCGCCTCAAGGCGAGATGCAGGAGATCTCGCTGCAACCTATGGTCTCACAGCCGATGGGTGCGTGCTTCATTCTCACTCCTTTTCACCATTTTCCCCTACCTCGATCCCGCGTCTCTCATCGCCTGATCAAGGCCGGTTTGAAGCCTGCTTAGGCACATCTGGAAGGCAACACGCTGACCGTATTTCTAGACCCCGAACGCCCGCACGAAGACACGCAGATGAACCTACGCGGTGGTGACCGAGGTGGTTGCTGCCCAGGCCGTTTCTGCTTCTGCATCCCCTGCCCGCTGCCGTGTGATTTCTGTATCATTTAAAGGGCGAAGACGGGGGCCTATGGCAGCGTGTCGACCTATTGTCGTCCCTGTAGTGGGACTTTGGTAGACTACCTAGTGTACGAGACGAGACCTCTTGGCGACTTTCAATTCAGCTTCTTTCAAGAGGCCAATGTGTGATGATTAATGAACGGTTAATGAGATTTGAATGCCTATTCTCTGGGATGAAATCATGGCGCTTGTAGGCATAATTGTCTATATTGAATATTAGAGAATGTCTTAAGTTGCTCCAAGTTTCACTCAGGTCTTATCGGGCAGACTGCCTATTGTGATTCAGCTGCTACACTGACTGCATTGGCGAAAATTTAAGTAGGTTTCCTAATAATTGGGGTAATTAATTGATTTCTCGGTGCATGCGTGCATGGTAGTATACCCAGAAAGAAATTCTACGATTATAGCTCATTACTTATCTCATATCATCAATACAGTGTCCTTAGCTGTCCAACATCAGTCATGTTCCCAATCCCCTTGAAAGCCGCATCAGCCTTTTCCGCCCTGGTATCCCCAATCCTTTTCGATACCTGATCGATGAACTTCTTCTGCAGCTGTGCCTCCGTCAACGGGTTCTCCAAGCTGCCGATAGCATGCTCGATGTGTTTCTCGAGGGTGCTGCCGTCCTCGAACTCGATCGTCATCGTAGCTTGGTCTTTGCTGAACCGCTTGTCATCCGTCACGACGTTGACCTTCTTCCTAAACTCGACGACGGTCGCATTTGTCACCACCTCGTCCGTGAAATACGTAGGCGTCGCCTCGCCGTAGAGTATCCCCACGGCCGCCGCGTGATATACGCTGAACTTGCCCTCGAGGCCCGTCTTCGGGCTCGTCTTCCCCGTGAGCACTAATACCTCTGAATTAACTTGCAGGTTGATGCTTTTTATCGACGCGATGTCCTTGCCCTGCTCTATGCTCTCGTTGTGCAGCTGCGTCGCTGCATCGATGGTAGGGTGCAACACGATGCCGCACGGGAACGGCTTGAATGTGTTCTTCTCAATCTCCCAGATGTGCCCGAGCTGGTCGAAGTACGCCGTCGCATTCTCGCGTGTGCTCACGACATGCAGCCACCCGTATTTCGCCTCTAATGCTTGCAGCGAACTCGTGTAGTTATTCTTAGCCAGGAGTGCGCCGAGCATGCCACCTTGGGCAGCGCGTCCCACGTGGAAGGACTTCGTCATAGACCCGAAGAACTCTTGCATACCAACTACCTGTGTTGACGCTACGCCGATGGCGTTCTGCATTTGGGCCACGTCTAGGCCGATGAGTTTGCCCACGGCTACCGAGGCCCCGATACTCCCCACGGTGCTAGTGATGTGCCATCCCACGTCGTAGTGTTCCGGCGTGACGCTCAACCCTAGCTTACACTCGGCCTCGACACCCGCGACGAACGCCGTGAGGAAGTCCTCTCCCGTCACAGGGCCTTTCCATTCTGCGACGGCCAGCAACGCACTGGCTACTACCCCCGTGGGATGGATGATGGTTTCTAGATGAGTGTCGTCGTAGTCATCGACGTGCGAGGCGATGCCGTTCAGGAAAGCTGCTAGTTGTGCATCTGCATATCCTTCACTTATAGAACCGTTGGACCCGAGTATGCTCGACGTAGGCGGGCCGCCGAAGAACGGCTGCATCGTAATTTGTGCTATATGGGGCGCATCTTGAGCGTAGCCGCCGATAGCACAGCCCGCCCAGTTATAGATGCTGTTCACTGCTGCTTCGATTACTAGAGGTGTGAGATCCGCGAATGTCAGATTAGTGGCCCACGAGGCCAGTTGGAGAGTTGCCATCTTCGTCCCGTGGCTAGGTATATAGAAGTACTTCGATGCCTAGGCGAGAGCAATGTACTGATTCATTCGTGGATAGACCATAATACCAGTCCTTCCTCTTACAAAATTAATGGTTCATCCTGGATTCCTTCCCATGCGGAGTTTCCCCGTCTACGGCGATGATGTAACGCTTTGGTCGAGTATGGCCATTGCTAATCCCGTGATCGAGTCGGCATCGTAACCTCCGGCCTGTTCCCGTGCCATATCCGAGTTACCGGGATTTTATCCTCTGCAATCGTCAACATACCCCATGCGATATCAGAGAAAGCCGAGTAGTTTGGGGTTCGATGCCCACATGGTTCGGGAATCCACAGCATGCCGGCTCAGGATCGACTAAGCTAGTGTAACTACCTACCGCTGAAGGGCTAATAGTATTCCCAAAGGGTGTTAAAAGGATATCAATTTGGCTTAGAGAGACCGGCAGAGTCGTTAGTTGAGGCTTGATACTCGTGCTTTTGATGACTTATTTCCCCACACTTTCTAAGATCCTCGCGCTTTCGCTACTAGTGAGGATTATCTAGTGGGAGATGAATCGGGGTTCAGGGGTTATACTGTAAAATATCAATTAATTCGATTCGGAGGTTTCCATGCCAAGTCAGTGCCTCAGCCGCCTATCATAGTCCTGGTCGTCTGTACAGTAGAATCACTGGCATACTATGTATGTATAAAGAATGGGGGCGAGGCCAGTTGAGACATCTTGATCTGAATCTGAGATCCATTTCGGGCATACTGACTCATAACATCGAACAGTGTTATCTCATATTTTGTTGATTAGGTTTTCATCGCGTCCCATTTAAACACAAGCCTGCATGAGTTGTTATCTCTCCTTATTCACAAAAGTCGTCATTATTAATGAACTCCTAACACTCGGCATTGAGAGCTTTAAAAAAAGTTTGCTTCGTATTTAAGATAACAATTACTCGATTATCTTAAGAGGTCAAAGGATGAAGATAATGGCTAGCTATTAGTCTCTACTAAGTGAATTATTTTATGCGTCAACACTTAGAATACACTGTTTTGCGATTAAGTCAAGTGTGCATTGATTGACACATTACACCGAGCAGGAGTTAAGGCGCTGGGCAACAAATGAGTCACTTGCCGCATTTTTATCGTGTTCTTAACTGGAGACGAGCATATGCGGCGATTTAAGTTAGTATGCAAACTGTGGTTGCCAAGGTAGCAATGTCAAGCACGCCCTTTCTCAGGGTTCAGGGCGGGGAGAGCTCCAGTTCATGCTGCGGAGAATGGGCTGGGGCCCCTCGCGATGATGTCAGTTATATTGTATATATTGAACTTTACTGCTCTAAAAAGCCTTCAATGGTTGGTACAATCACGGAACAAGATCGAGTGCATTAAATAAATTGCCTGACTCCGACCTGAAGGAAAGTTGCGATATCTACGCTGTGTATAGAATTCCGGCCATAGTTGATATACACACAATACGGCAAGCGCCACGACGATCACGAGGAATATAAAGTTATTAACTGGTTCAACATGGCGTCTTCACATCCAGACTTGACGACTTTCAAAGCTCTCAGGTACGCAACTTAGCTGTTTCTATCTAGACTAGATCAGATATAACAATTACACACTGGTCTCACCCAAACCCTTGAACCCCTCGAAAAGAGTCCTCCAACTAACTGCGCATCTCAAGCTTCGATTGCTACGGCACACTGATCGACTGGGAATCCGGGATCCTGAAAACCCTACAACCGGTCGTATCCCTATTACCTCCATCGCACCCTCTAAACACCGACCCCCCAACAGCAGCCATGCTCCGCCTAGACGAGATCGTAAGCGCGCATCAAGCGCGCACGCCCACGCTGCCCTACAACGAGATGCTCGTAATGTCTCTCTCCGACCTCGCGCGCGAGGCCGGGACCTCAGTGCCCGATTCCGTGAGCGAGCCCTTCGGCAACGCAGTGGGGACGTGGGCCGCGTTCCCAGATACCGTGGCAGGCCTGCAGAAGCTCGCGAAGCACTACAAGCTGATCATCCTGTCGAACGTGGACAACGCCAACGTCAAGGCCACCGTGGAGAAGCAGCTAGCCCCGGCGAAACTAGATGCCGTGTACACGGCGCAGGACATCGGGAATTACAAGCCCTCGCACGCGAATTTCGAGTACCTGTTTAAGCATGCTAGGGACGATCTTGGGGTCGATTGGACCCGAGGCGATTTGCTGCATGTCGCGAGGAGTTTGCCTGTTGACCATGTCCCGGCCAAAGAGCTTGGGTTGCGGAGCGTGTGGATCTCGCGCGGGGGTGAGAAAAAGGATAGCGAGGGCGTGGGAGGTTCGTTGGAGGGGTTGAAGGGTAAGTTGGGCTTTGAGTGGAGGTTTGATACTATCGGTGAGTTTGCGGATGAGGTCGAGAGGCAATTTGCTGCGAAGAAATCGTAGCCTCGTCTCCCAAGAAAATGATAACAACTTCTTCGTTCGGAGTTTGGAGACTTCTGCTTGTCTTATTGATATGAGACTGTGAGAGGATGTTGGGTTATGATAATGAGCGGTAGCAAAAGCACAGTCGTATGAATAATGAACAGATAGCTGGGTTTTGATCCATCAATCAATCAGACACTTCCTCATAACCGGCCATAGAATCTGTGTCCCGCATCCTTGTATCAGCCAGCTCTCCCCCTCTTACCCTCATCCGCGGCCGTCTCTTCTCTTTCGCCGTATCCTCACCGCGCCAGCCCGGCCGAACCCTCATCGTCTTCATGAACCCGTCTGTGTGCACAGCGCCATGCATCTCATCTTCGCTATCGACTGCCTCCGGCAGCTCGTCGCCATCGTACATGTGTATAAGTCTCAAGTGACGCATCAAATTCGTACGCTTCACAATTGGGTTCACAGACCTTGGGCAATTGCTGAATATGCAGAAGTATCCCTTACCAGTCGATGCAGATCTCGACCGTGACCTGCTCCGGGGCCCGATGCTACGGCTTCGACCTCGTACTGAGCCTTCTGATGGGGCAATGCTAGGTGCGCGAGATGTGCGAGCGCGTGGACCTGAGTGTGCCTTCTCATCGCCTTCGTCTTCGGAGTCTTCTAGCACATAAGGGGTTGCCATGCCTGGTTCATAGCGCACGGTTTTGTGCAGTTGTGTCTGGTCCAGCGGTCCCTCTTGTAACGTGTGAAGAGTAAAGCCCTGGCTGAAGAGGTCGGCACATCGTCGCGCAGCTCGGTCGAGGGCTTGTGCAGGGAACCCCGCGAGCGCAGCGGCACCTAGAATATCTCTCCAGTCGCGCATGCGGACACGCGCTAATCTTGGTGGCCGACGGGAGCCTGTGCTAGTTCTGCTGGTCGATGTGACATCCGACAGAGCTTCCGAGCCTCTCCGTTGGCGGGATTTCCTTGTCTTGGACTTAGATTCGTTGTTATTGTCTGTGTACTCGGCGGCTGAATTCGGCGCCGGTGTGGATTCCGAGACATCGTCGTCTGCGAAGCTTGGGAGGCGCTCTTTCCGCAGGCGCGCTATCCGGATGGCGTACTCCCTGTCTGTCTCCCCGTCAAGCGGCGGGTAAACTTTTTTTGGTCGGCCCCTCTTCTTCTGAGCCATTCCAGATGCTTCCGAAGGTCCCTCTGCGACTGATGATGCACGAGACCTCGGTGGTGGTCTACGTGGGGTGGCCGGCGGCTGGGAGCGCGTATTAGAAGGTCTCCGACTACAAGAACGAGAGTGGGACTGAGCACGTGACGATACATCAGACGCATCAGATTCGGAGGGGCAATTGTATTTGGACTGCTGGGCATTGAGGAGGATTGCCAATGCCGCATCTAGCTTTGCTATTATGCCTTGTGTCGAAGGACGTAACAGAGCGTATGATAGTTCATCGTCCGTTGCAACGACTGTCCTGAGTGGAATCATCTCCGCCAATTCGGAAGATTGCTCGTCAACCGGTAGATCATCGATGTCCATCATGTCGCCCTCACTAGTGCTCTCATATTTCAGTGCTCGAGACCTCAAACTTGATTTAGCTTTAGATTTGGATCTGGCACGCCTGGGTTTAGCGCTCATCTCTGTATCAGAGTACTCTTCATCATTCGTTGCAGGGCCTGTCTCGGCTGTATCTTCGGTCTGTTGCGTCGTCCTCTGCCTTGCTTGAAACCTTTCCTTAGCGAACCGTAGCATAGCAGCCGAAATTGTCTCCTCTAGTTCGGCCCTAGGTTCGTATGGCTTTTGCATCCTCAAGAGGAGTCCCTCATCTGTGTCCTCGGTGCGCCCCATAAAACCCGGACGCGGCACTGCCTCCGCGGGCAAAGGCCACGCTGTCCATGCATTGGGCGGCACCCATTTGTCTTCTTGCACTAGCTGACCTGTTGCAATATTGATGTCCTGTGCGGCGTTCCGGGTTAGCAGTTACCAGTCTCCATGTAGCGATGGGATAAACTACCTGGTTAGGAACCGGGTCGGACACATCTTGTGTCTTTCTTCTGTCATGCCTATGCTTGAGCGCAAATGCGTTATATAGATGGACAGAGAGGTCCTGGTTACGAATCTCATTGAGCGCGATGTGCGTGTTGATTTCAGCATTGTTCAGCTGCTGCCAGGTGGACGGGGGGCCGGACCAGCGGTTGAGACGCTCATTAGAGTTATTGGAATCATCAGAATCAGGTTGATACTCATCAGAGTCATTCCCTGGATATGCCATCATGGAATAGTTCGCGATTTAGTTGAGCTGATAAATGCGTGTGACATGATGCATAGTACAGAATGGATGATGAAGACCAAAAGAAAAAAAGATTTCATCCAATTGTGGGTTCAGTTTTTGGTGGTAGGACAAGGAAGGCATCTTGATCTTGGTACGCACCGTAACACTTTATTTTGACAACATCACGTATCGCAGACCATCATTTCGTCTTTACAATAGATTTGGATGATGGCATCAATGCTCAATTTATGTGGTATTATAAATAGTCCAATCTAACATTCCTTACGCCTTTGCCCGTGCCTTCTGTTTCTCTAGTTTTCTCCTCTTTGCACGGAGTTTCTGGTCTTCGACACTCTTCTTATTGTTGGTGTATTGCATCTGCTCGAACAGCTTCCGTTTCTTCTTGCTCAACATGCCCTTAGCTCTTTCAATCTCTTCTGCTTCCTCCTTGGCCTTCTGTGCAAGCTTTTTCTTCGCCTCTAACTTCTGCGATCGAGAATCAACCTTGGTCTGTTTGACAGGCTTGCCACTAAGTTCAGCTTCAAGCTCTTGCTGATTCCGCAGTTCCTCAGATTCGGATTCGTCATCCTCCTCATCTTCAGTTGCATCCTCACCGTCGGAGAAGCCTCCGAATGAGCCGTCATCAGCTTCATCCTCTTCATCGTCTGACACATCGACGTCCATTCCATCAGCAGTAGCTTTGGGTTTCTTCACCGCAAGACTATCTTCTTCCTCATCTTCGTCTACTTCCTCGTCGTCCTCTTCCACGTCACTACCTTCCAAGGCTTCTGCCTCGGTTTCCTGATCTTTCAGAGGTAGCGTCGGATCGTAAGCGCCTTGCGTGTTCTGCACGAACGGGCTTAGATGTGGTGGTAGTTGAGCACCAGGTGCGTACTCATCAGGTCGCTTCAACTCCTCATCGTTGACACTGTCCCAAACCCATTGTGGTTGTATATAGACACGACCCGGTATCCTTTGGTTTGGCGCAAGTTTCTGAGAGGTCTGGTTATCTTCAGCATCTCCATCGTCCTCTGTGGCCGCCTGGATAATTGGACGGTCAACAATTTGATGAGTGATAGACGGGTCGAGTTCATTGGTCGTATATGCACCCTCGCCTAATACGGAGTCCCAACCAATACGCTTGCATCCGAACGCTCGTAGAATAAACTCCAGTGGTTGCCTGGGGGTTTCGCGCGATAAATAAAAGGTGCAGTTCGCGAATAAGGTTGCTGGGCTGCCGCCGGAGTATGTAGGCTGAGGTAGAACATCACCGCCGGGCGCGGCTGGCTCAAACTTATCTATCGCATCAGTGGGTTCGTCTGCTTCTGGTGCGGCATCGGCCTGATCACCCTCAACTACAGTGTCCTTCATTTGTCGAATAAGCTTGTTTACTTCAGCTTGTGTTTTGGGATCGGGTTGGGCTGCAGAGTCGCCATTTGTGAGCTGCGCTGGTTCGCTTGAAACTGTAGCGGCATGGTTGCCCTCAAGTTTGAAAGCGCCAAGTTCAGCAGCTTCGTTATCCTTGTTCTGATCAAATTTCGGAGGATACTTTAGTCCAATCGATGTGTAGAGTCTGAAGTTGACAAAGCCGAGAAGAGTCATGTAAAACTCAACAAAAGTGCCCATGATCCTGAAATCAACATCGCCAACAACACGTTGGTTGAATTTGTAAGGTACAAGCCATAATATGTCCTCGCCTTGAATATTTGCCTGATAGTAGATACCTTTGATCGACAAGAAGGACTTGCGGAGGCTTTGTGAGACGATGAGGTAATGTTCGAATTCAAGACACAGGCGCTCGCAGCGGGCGATCATCTTTGCAGGAACTGTTGAAGTGGAAGGCAAGTTCGCAAACAGGAAGAGCATGGATAGACAGTCATCTAGATCACGCAGAGCATCGACGAAGGTCGGGTAACGGTCGCGGATGACATGATCGAGTGTGTAACGCGGTTTACCGGTTTTTTCGGGTCTGGCAGCATTGCGTTCGAGCCGGCTGGCATCACTGACATCACCACGTCCTAGGGCTTTTGAGATCTTCTTCTCGAGGGCCTTCTGTTCGCGGAATTTCTGCAGTAGAGGCTCGTGTAGAAGAAATTGGATGTCCTTCGCGTAGTAAAAAGTCGTCGAGGCAGTCGAGCTTTTGGAGGCCTTTTTCCTATTCCTTGGTTCTCGGGGGAATATGCTGTCAGAACGTCAGCTTGTGAATTACTCAGACGTTGCATAATAGGAGGAATAGTAGAGATATTCACTCCTCGCAACAACATGGACACGCGACAGTTGGATAGTGATATCTTACCCTTTCCATATACATAGCTTTCTAAAGTCTGGAAGACTGATCTGCAGCTTTTTGACTGCTTGCGTGCGAGTGATGTAGTTTTTGGCATTACCGGCCTCGCCCTTCTTCTTTATCCGACCCATGGCGACGTCTCAATTTGGGTTGTGGCGGGTTGAAAAGTGCAAAGTCGCAATGCGAAGATATCAAGCAAGTGGCTAAGATGGCAGGAAATTTCGAGGATCCCAGCAACTTGACGCGCTAATCGATAAGAAAATGCTACAGTAGGTATCGAGTATCTACCTACCGGTACCTCACCTTTGGCGGGGCGCCCAAACTTTTTTTTTGGCTGTAGCTCCCTGCAGGATATCAGCATATCAGCATATGACAATGCTGACCGCCTTCCTAAAGCTCTTTGGCATAGTGAAACAGGCTTAGCGGAATTCTGACGGGATCCACTGGACAGCAAGACCCTTTATCGATAAAGTCCAACACCCGGGGTACTCTATCCCTGGTTCCGACAGGTGTTGACAGCCCACCCACTCGGCAATCGGCATCGATCCGCTCTGCGTCCAGGGCATCATCAGCTTACACGACACATGGCCGATACGTGCCAGTGCGTATGTAGTAGCAGAGTCACGTATTCCGTATTCCCTCTGATCTGCGCCCTCAGAACACTCCCGGATGATACTTTCCCACGACCTCGGAACAGACTCGGAACAGACTCGAAGCAAGCGTGGGCGCCAATTCAACCTGCCGTCTCCTACGATGGAAGCTAGACTTCATCAACGGTAAAATGGGTTTCCAAGACACAGCTGGTCTCTACGGCGCCGCTGCCGCCCTCCGACTCGCCCTCTTCACCTTCTTTCCCGCCCTTCCTGATCTCCTGACCAGCCGTGTTGAGGTTTCGACACCTGTTACGAGCTTCAAGCGATGTAAGATGCAAGACTTCCCGGTATATGCCATGATGAAGCACCCTACTGATGCCGCATCTTCATAGTACAAGAGGGCTTGTTCCTATACAACCACAATGTCTCCCCGTATGACGGTGGTGTCTACCATCAGGCACCGCTACTTCTGCCGCTCTTCTCCCTGCTCCCTGATGCCTCGGCACACCCATTCTTTACCTACCTCCTCTATATACTTGTCGACATAGCGACTGCCGATGCGCTTTACAAGATTGCAGAGTCGGGCGAGGCTGCGGCATCGAAATTATTTACTTCTGCGCGCAAGGACAGGAGATGGGGTGGCTATGTGGTTGCTGCAATGTAAATCCCCATAGATAGCTCCATGTTCCTCATGATAGTGCTTGCTGACTTTCTGTAGTTTTCTCTTTAACCCATTCACCATTGCCACCTGTTTAGGTCGGCCAACAAATGTCTTCACCACTTGCGCCATCCTCCATGCCGTTGCCAAGGCCATCTCTGGACATCCATTGACGTCTATGCTGGCCCTCTCATTCGCCTCTTATCTCTCCATGTATCCGGTTCTTCTACTCCCGCCTTTGGTTCTACTTGCCTATGACCGGCAAAATTCAGCCAATAGAATCACTTCCCTTGTACAGTTCACTAGTACTGCACTTCTCGTCATTGCGGCCTCTCTCTCGACTCTTTTCACCGCATCATACCTACTTACCGGATCGTGGGAGTTCTTTGCTTCCACTTACGGTATTCAGCTCACGCTCAACGACCTCACCCCCAATGTAGGCCTGTGGTGGTACTTCTTCATAGAAATGTTTGACAGTTTCAGGTCTTTCTTCCTGGGCGTATTCTGGTTACACCTCTCCTCTTATGTTGGCGGCCTGTCCATACGCATTCGCTCACAACCCCTTGCTGTAATTACCATTCTGCTCGGTATCTTCAGCATCTTCAAACCTTACCCTAGTATCGCGGACATCAGCTTATCCCTGGCTGTGGTGCCCTTATTCCGACACGTATTTCCCTTGATGCGATATACATTTTTCGCGGCATCTACGATACTGTACTCTGCCTTCTTAGGTCCAGCCTTCTACTATCTATGGATATACGCTGGCAGTGGTAATGCCAACTTCTTTTATGCCATCACATTAGTCTGGAGTTTGGGCCAAAGCTTATTAGTTAGCGATTTGACGTTTGCTGTATTGAGGGATGAGTGGGAGATAGAACGGCCAGAAATGGTCGGAAAAGAGATTCGACAGATATAGACCTCATCTTCAGATTGGCCCGCAAAAGAGCCAAGCGGCACTTAGCCGTCAGATACCATAATAAAGGAAACAGCCCAAAAATTATCACGTTCAACTTTATCTTGAACAGCTTTGCCAGTTAATTTCCATATTGAATAAGTCCACCTCATATGCTTCAGGGCTAGTGGTCTATAACGATTCGAATCGCTCTCCTCGGTCGATAACAATACAAGTGGCCGGATCAATCAACTTGCCGCCTTCGATGAAGTGCTGGGGTACCTCCGTGGTATAGACGAGTAATCTTCTTTTCGATAAGTTCTCCAACATCGTTAAAGTGCTGAAGAACTTGCTTGAAGTTGTTGTTCTCAACAACTGCAGACATTTTTGTGGAAGGGGGAGAACTAGCCGTTTTCGAGATTAATAGTGCCTGTGAACACACAGGATTGCTAATATTTCGCGGAAGTAGCTTACTTTGCTCGAAATGGGGCTTTATAGACTTGTAGTAAGCAAGTCACGGAAAGTCGAGGTGGCAGATCTGATCAGGATCGAGTTTTTGGGTAGAATACTAGACTTTCTTGTGCACCATCGAAGTTGGTAAGAAAAAAGTGAGAAGGTAAGTTTGGGTAAGGAGGGAGGGCCTCATTCCAGAGATTTCAGCACCAGTCTGATCACTTCTACAGACGACTCAGCCTTCCGCTCTGAAAGGATGTTCATCCCATCAGGCGTTGTGTATCTTTCGCTGTAATATCTTTCTCAGTGCCGAAATGCGCATCACGCTCACGTGTCAAATCTTCCCATGAGATAGGGTGCTATCTCTTTCTACACTGCCGCTATCGTCAATGGGACTTCTATTATCATTTCCTCCCAGCTAGTAACCACAGTGACTTGAACGAGAGAATGAATCCCCGCCATGAGTGATTCTGCCACTTGAACGACCGCTTAAACTACATGTTTATTTGGTTATTCCAACGTTGCTGTGACGAGGTATTAGTTACCAAGTGTCATTCATTCACCGCCACCATGTTACCGATCTCAACGGGATTTTTGAATGGGAACCCAGGCAACAGTAACTGGACAAAACACGAAGATTCGATCAAAGGAGCTCTTCCTGAAAATAAATCTATATAATGAACCCTCCCCCCACCACCTAACCTAGACTTCTACCTTCTACCTTCTCTTCTCTTCCCTCCACCAACTGCGATTTGCACGCTCTACGCGCTCTTCGTACTTTCACCAAAAAAAAAAAAAAAAAACTTCACACACAATTCGTCACTTCTCCTGATATCACAAGAAGTGCGCCGTATCAAACGCCTACTTTTCACAGCTGTGGTAAGTTAACACCTCTACTTATGGTATTGTTTCGCATGCGCAGCGCTCACCTCGAAAACTGCTAGTTCTTAGCCTTCAAGATGTCCGCAATTGTGGAAACCAACAACTTCAACCAAATTCTTCAGTATTTTAACAATGCTGGAGAACTTATTGAGGAGACTATACGTTTCGCTGTTGACTGTCCAATCTGCACGGCCCGTCTGGCCCTAGGCAACCCAGACCTGGACCGGGTGACACAAGATACACATGAACCATACATCATTCTGCCAGAATGCGGACACGCATTTGGGGCCACCTGCGTGCAGACTGTAAGTTGCCATCGCCACCTACAAACTTCACCCCCGTCCAGCCTGAAGTGGTGAAGTGTATGTAAACTGACTAAGAGAATATAGTGGTTCGCGACTGGGGAGGATGCCTGCCCAATTTGTCGTACACCAAGCTCCTGCGCCTTTAGAAACAACGTCTATGTCCTCGGCTCCCACTTCAGCGCGATTAATCAGGCCGCCGATATCAATATCGCCCGCGATCTGCTGAACGGTCGTCCTGTGCGTCCCAGACAGCCAGCACTGCAGCAGGTTCGCAACAGACCACGAGTGAACGTCCGACGACCTTCGGCTGAAGAAGTTCTCGCGTCCGAGATATTTAGAGCCTTGCAGACAAACTTGCAGCCCACCATCCAAGCCGCCGCTCGATCAGGCGAGGAAAATGACGATCACTGGGCTCTCATTCACTCTGCACCTGTAAACCGGCGAAACTGGAGAGAGAGTTCCATTGATGAGAACCATCGGATAGAAGATGCTGACGCCGCCGGAGTCTTTTATGCGATCCATCGTCAAAGGCGATGGGGTGGCCAGTTAGACTGGGAACGGGTCGAGGTGCAAGTCCCCGGTGCCAGAATAATGGTTGAGGCGCGGACTGCAAGGGATCGGCCAAATGCCGACAGGGCTCTTCTTCAAGAGAGCGAAGAATTTTATGAGGAGGAGGAGAGTATTTTTGTTTATCCATGAGCAAGGCCAAATTTGGTTGGTTTACAGTACATATGACATATATGACCCCTGATGAATGCATTTTTTGGGATAATTGTAAAAGTAGTAAGGTAGAACTGGTGGAGGTGAAGGTTAGGTGAAGTGGGTGGGGTTGTAGATAGCTTCAAGTGGCAGGTGGCGGGTGTATCTCTAGACGTCAGAAGATTACAAGGGAGTGTCAGGGCTTGATGTAGTTTTGGTGGAGAATCGACAACTGCAGATTCGACTTTGCCTTGCTCAAACCTTGAAAAATGAATCCTCATTCAGTGTATACTGCAGTCTCCAGTAGTGACCCTGACAATATGACTAAGTTGTATATGAACTTCTCATCTTTACCATCTCAGACTAACAAGATAAATCAGGGGAGCCAATTTACCATAATCATGTTAAGGAGTCGGTGGCCATGCTTGTTGTCTTCGCTCCGTGCCAGAGATGTGTTGCTCGTTGGTCAGCTCGACCTTTATGTCGCATTCGTCCACAGCAGATATTAGGGGTCATAATATCTATACGCTACATTTGAGGGAGATATCAACGGCTATAAGAAACCTTCTCCTAGTGCCATTGCTTGCTTTGCTTCTCTTTCACATACTGCAGTCGTTCAGGAACTATTTGATACTCTAGACTCACTAAGCTCTATACGATTTTCTTCACGTTTCTCCTATTCCCGGTCTATATCTTCATTCGAATAGAAGATTCAAACGGTGTAGCTACCCCTGAGGTTTTTGCAATCCACCAACAAGCAGATGTCGACGCAACCCCTCACACTACAAATCTTCATGGATATACCGCAGAACTTCCTTCTCCTCCTTTAACAACCTTAATAGAACCCCTCTTCAGTTCAATGCCTCCCAACCAAGAGAGATTTGGTCCTGTTGCTCTCGTTATTTAACACCAGAAGCATCTCAACCGGACGGAAGGGGGAGGGCCACTCCGCTCCCACCACCCGAAGCACGTCTTGGAGCTCCTCTTGATGCCAATAATGCATTCGAGTTATCTACTTTCCGGGTGTCTGACACTATATCCAACAGCCTCATGAGTGTCTTTCAGGGCTCTGTTCAAGGCTGCCCGGACGAGGGCCCTGTTCCCAGCCTAAGACTACCACTCCAGCAATCATTTGGAACCTTCAATATTGTCATCATTTTCGGTGGCTCGTTCCTTACCTTACTTGTTGTTTAATTTCTCCTCTTCCTCTGGGCTGGCAGAGGGCCTGTCAAGGGTGGCACTGAAGCACCGCGAGCATGGCGATATATTATGCTTCATGACTGAGCTACCCAGGCAGTAACTTTGACTTCCCTTTGTCTTCGCGTCGTAATAGCTGCCCAGGCTGGTCTCTGCACATCAATGGTAGCAGCCTTATTGCCTCTCGAACGTCAAAAACGACGCCATTAGACATTCGAGCAGTCTAACGGTTATTATATAGCCCCACTACGTTCAACATTGCTAGAGAGGCATGGTGCCCCTATCTTAAAGCTTATCTAGCTTTCTATCACCAGAAGTGTGAACGTAGGCCCTATGGAGTTTCTATATGGCTCGCGGAAGATCGGAAAATTGGCTCTCCTGAAACCAGAGGCGCTGCTACTTTTCATTCTTGTATTGACAGCTATTGGTATCCAGTTATCTTCGACCATCCTTCTTTCCGCTTTTGGTACTACTCGGCTTGTCAGGGATACAAACCGAACACTCATGAACGTTGTAATTTCGGCATCAACTAGCAGTCAACAGCCAGGGTCACTCAGCATAAGTTATCTCTAAGGAAACCATGCGGCTGCTGGAGAATAGCAGCGAGATGAATGACGACGATCTAAAGGAGCAACTCGATATCGAGAGCGAGGATTTTGTAGTAAAGATTGGGCGCTCGTCACATGATGGTTATGTTATAGTGTTGAAGGTGTAGCGATAAATAGCGAGTTGATTAGAATTCGATAAACCGGACACACTCTAAAAGCATTGTTATCTGTACATAAGCAATCTATCTACAGCATATAGCAGATTTATTAGAGTACATGGTGTTTGTGACTTTAACTTTTTGTAGCTTTTCAAAACCGTTTTAGAAAATGGTACGATTGAATCCATAGTCAACTTCCTCTCTAGACCCAAGATCAACTAAGTAATTAAGGAGTCAGTGACGGCGGCTCTACATTTTCGGTCGGCCTACAGCCCTATTATATCAGTACAATAAAAGCTCTTAACATAGAGTTTGAACCAGTTCCTGAAGTCAAAGGCGAATTCATAAATGAGCTTAAGTGATTATTGTGTCTAGGCCGAATTGGGCGCAAGGTCACTATTAAAGCATAGAGCCAGGCATTATGCTCCTCGTGTGAAACAGGATACGAAAACGACAATATTTTGAGAATGATCAAGAAGAGGCTGAAAGAAGTCTTTGAGGGGATGAAGATCTCGGCGTTCTGCGCTATACTCAATTCGTGGGCTGACATGAGGCTTTTGAGACCTTTGTCACAATTGTCCTTGACTCTTCGCACCAAGCTCTTCTTTAAGTGAATTTTTGCTGTTTAGACTCTTTTATAGCCATTTCTCAATTATAGTGTTCATGTATACCGGCCATATATATGTGTTAGATAATTGTATCGTCTTAGTTGTCAAGCTCGTTGATTCTTCTAGCTATTATCATCGAAATGTCTAACAGCTCGCCTGTGAACACTGACAAGCTCCGCAGCCATAGGTTCAAAGCACGTCAGAGAGCATGGAAAAGACTTTGCAAGGAGTTAGAGCCCCTCGTGCGCGCAGGCGAAATAAGATATAATACGGTTCTTGGAGCCGGCGGCTTTGGTCTCGTACAGAAATGGACTACGAATCAGCCAAAGATAAACGGGAGAAACCGCACTGTTGCCGTCAAAACAAGTGTTCAAGCCGAGAAGGAAACCTGTTTGATGGCCCTAAAGCGTGAGATATTCTGGATGAAGGTAATGGAGCTGCTCTCTGCCCGTTATATCTTTACTTGGCAAATTAACTGATAGTACCTATGAAGAAATTTACAGGCTGCGAACACCTAGTACAACTAGTAGATTTGCCAAACAAGACTACTACTCTTGAAAATGTCAACAACGAGAATTGCCCAGGGATACCGATTATAGTTATGGAGGAGTTCGGTTGTGGTAGTCTAGATCTCCTGATAAACCGCCTATTTGACGTACGAGGGATGAATTTAAAAGTACCGGACGAGAGCGCCGCCACCAGAGTTCTACAATATATCCCTAACAGAGCATTATGGAGTATATTTTTATGCTGTATGGGTCTCCCTTATGCACGCCATTCGGTGAATTACTGATTATGAAGCACCTAGTGATTCGGGCTGTAATCGGAATGGCTTACCCGCCAGAAGACCCTGAGTCTAGAAAGGGGAAAGTGATTCGTGAAAGCATGAACGACGTCAAGCCGGGTACGCGGCCGTCAAGAATCATCCACAGTGATATAGATGTCTTCAATAGTAAGCCCGTTCCCTCTCACAGCTCTGGACCAATATATGCTAGTGATGCAAGTCTACTGACCCATTCAATAGCCTTTGTAGGGTACTCGAACAAGGATGAGGTTCAAGCCAGACAGGAGGCAGATTCCGAGCACGTTTGGCACCCGATAGTCAAGGTAAGCGCATCATATAAACAATTAGGAAAGCCATGAATTTTCAATGTTCACCAATAACCCACAGATTGCGGATTATGGATGTATGGTCAGATGGGATTATAACTGGAACCGTGAAACGTAGAGATCCCAAGCTCTCCTGACAATGAAAACATCCCCTGACCAATTCATAGAAAGAAAGCCTCTCTTTGGGGTAAAGCTGATTTCAAGGCCCCAGTAAGGTTCTCTCTATTATTGAGTCTTTGAACATGTCCCGCTGAATACTCGCATAGGAACAATTTGATCCAGACGGGCAATTTGGCACTCACACCAATATTTATCAAGTGGGACAAGTGAGTATACACTATATCAGAAAAGACTCTGCATATAGAAAGGGCCTTAGATGAGGATCTGTATAGAGGCGGAGTGGAAAGCACTAATTACTTATTCAGATAATGCACGATCTTATAACCCTTACTCCAGTCGACTACAATCATCGCAAGATGGTAAGTGTTTTCGGTCTGCTCATTATCAAACCTTCTCACATGACGGCCTCCGCGAACGCACCCAAAACACCAACAATTGAACTTAACATTTCGCTGCATATTAGCAAAAGCCTGACATCTAATATTTATGTAGATGAGGATAGATACACAATTCGGCCGAGTATGGACGTACGGTGGCCGTCTGCTAGAATTCCCCAGCGAGAATAGGAGAATCAGGCACAATTGGATCAATGTCGATCACGAGCTACGGGAGCTTGTAGCACTGTGTATGGCTGTAGATCCTATTGAGAGACCTACGGTCGACCACCTCGAGACCATCTGCGTGAGTCGCATAGCTAAGAGTATGTATTCCTTAGAATCATTTTCTTCCTATGCTTGCAACTGGCGGAGTCAGAGTTCTCCCTCTTTTAGTTACCAGCATGTCGCGGGAGCATTCAGAGCTCCTAGAGCACCGTCTACGTTAATCAAAAGAGCAAATCGTTAACTTCAGCGTACTGTAGTGGACCTGGTAAACAGGCAAGTAAAGCTAGGGCAGGTACCAGAGAGCCCGGTATGGGTGGCAGAGTCGCCGGATGACGCCGTACAAAGATACAAGCAGCGGGTGCCCCATGGGCAGGTCGAGCCTGACACACTTCTAACGAAGTTCTATAATGAGTACTTCCTGGAGGATTGGGAGACCCATGACAAGTACGAGGAATATTGGGCGAACGATACGCTTCAGACCCCGGACGTAGTGATGGAAGATGCTCCCTCTGTACGAGTTGATCCTACCCCTCCAGCACCAAAGCCTCCATAGCTAGAGCCCCCAGAGACGCTGCCGCAGCGGACTCATGCCGAAATGGGATCAATGATATTCAGCATGGATGCCCATGACCAATAATGGTTTTGTAATACTGTCCTTGGTTGAGAGTTGGGTTAGCTAGCTTTAATGTCTAGATTTGTTTCCCCTATTAATCATCAGCCTGTCCAGATGATAATCAGGGCAACTTCCCAGGTACCTGAATTGTAGATGCTTAGTTGTATGTTCCTACAATACATACTAGTGTGAGACGTATGAAAGTGTGGCTCATTTGATATACCTCGTAAGGGACCTCGTAAGGTATGGCATATTATCAGTAGGCGATCGTGGATATGACTTTCGAGGCAGCACAGAATCATTGTCATGTTGTTACGCACGGTATACTTAGGAGAGGTCTTCTGAGGTGTAGCAAGGCCAAATCCAATATTCATCATGAAGAAACATTGCGCTACAATAGCTTGACCAGGCCCCCACGAGCCAGCGCGAATGCAAGATCTCGTGCTCTCAGATCTGATGTTATTACGAATGGAGTGCTACGTGATAACACCAAGCCAAGGGAGCGAAACAGGCACATCATGGAACAGATATCAAATTATCAAACTTAGGCGGCCCTATTAGCCGCAAGTGGGGTTTTCTTCGCATCAGACAATTCAGGCTAAATAGATCTCTACCTCGTCACATCCCAAACTACCTAGTCGACACCTCGAGTCATTCGGATGCCGGCGAAATCATTCTCCAAACCAATGACGTCGCGTACATGCCTACATCGCGGATGGGGTTGCGTGCTGAGTGTTTTTCTTTTCTGCGCAAGAGCTAGTTCTTAGTATTCCCCTTACCCCTCAAAGTCCGCCCCCCCACGACACCTACCTAGTATATACGCCTTACTTCGTAGATGGGAGAAAGGACTTTAAACGCGCCAATAAGATGTGGCCCATCAACCAAGATAGGCAAGTTTCCCTCATTCTAGATCCGCCGGATAGGACCGAGTCCCCTTGCTGTGGTGTAATACGCGGACCTGTCCGAGCTATGCCTGCAGAATAACCATGCCAATCAGACGGCCGCTGGGCTCATACAATCGCGCTTCGATCCAGGCTTCAAGCTATGGGATTCTCCGCACGGCGCGTCAGATCACAGTGCACAGTAGATGGCATGATAAGAGGCTGTACATGCACATACATATAGATCCAACACCTTGTGACATCCTTTGAAACCACCGGATAAGCGTGATGGCGCACCCCACCAGTTGGTGGTCGCTTCAAGCATGAGGTGGAGGAGGACTATGATAAATAAGTAGGACGGCAAGGCCATGGCTCCCTCTCTTCGATGGTTTCTATTCCCTACTGCTACTCTCTTTGCGCATCCTACTGCCACCGTGTATGTTTCGACTCTATTTTGCTCCAAGCCGGTGGACTTGTCGAGCCTCGAGTTATATCCGCTTTCAGACCCCAGTACCCGTATCAAGTACAGCCTGTACTATCAAGCCGCACTTCAGACTCGCCAGCACGATAAATCGCAGATTGACCACCATGGGCCCTACCATAAAGTTGAGCAGTGGTCACGAGATGCCCCAGGTGGGCTTTGGTCTCTGGAAGGTGGAGAATGAGAAAGCCGCCGACATAATCTACAATGCCATCAAGGTTGGCTACAGGTTGTTCGATGGTGCCGCCGGTAAGTGAGACCAAGGATAACTGCTATCACAGAATCCTGCACCTTCATCGCAGTCACCAACAAGGCCGATCAAATCCACGCAAACACATGATCAGAATAGAAAACCAAGATGAGAAAAAAGCAAATAGCTCAGCTTGCCCCTCATCGTCCCTTCTGCAGCCTTTACCCCGCCAAGTGGACAGGAATGAAGATACCCCTGCTCGCCGCTCGGAGGAATAGATCCCGTAATGGTGCAAAAATTGCCCTAAGCTCCTAAACCCCAAGTCTTCTCCAAGCCAGAAACATGCACCTCAGCCTACATCACGATTGCGCAGGCTATATCCTCCGAGACCGAAGCTAATCAAGTATCGCGGCGCCAGACTACGGTAACGAGAAGGAATGTGGCGAGGGCATCGCCCGCGCCATCAAGGACGGCCTGGTGACTCGCGAGGAACTATTCATCACGTCGAAGCTATGGCCCGTGTTCGAGGACGGGGACAAGGTCGAGCCTGCAATCCGGCGGTCGCTGTCCGACTGGGGCCTCGACTACTTCGACCTGTACCTCATCCACTTCCCGGGCGCGCTCAAGTACGTGGACCCGTCGGTGCGGTATCCGCCAGGCTGGCATTACGACGGCCAGTCCGAGGTCGTGCGCAGCAACACGCCCATGCACGTGACGTGGGCGGCGATGGAGTCGCTCGTGGACAAGGAGCTGGCGCGGTCGATCGGTGTCTCCAACTTCCAGGCGCAGCTGATCTACGACATGCTGCGGTACGCGCGGATCCCGCCCGCGGCCCTGCAGATTGAGCACCACCCTTATCTCGTGCAGCAGGAGCTGCTGAACCTGTGCAAGGCCGAGGGCATTGCGGTCACGGCCTACTCATCCTTCGGCCCCGCCAGCTTCCTTACCTTCGGCTTCAAGCACGCACAGGCCCTCAAGCCGCTCATGGAGGACGATCTGATCGTCGGGATTGCCAAGAAGCACGGCAAGGAGCCCTCCCAGATTCTCCTGCGCTGGGCCACCCAGCGCGGCCTCGCTGTCATCCCCAAGACATCGCGTGTGAATGTCATGGCGCAGAACCTCGACTGCACTGCCTTCGACCTCGACCAGGCTGAGATAGAGCAGATCTCTGCCAAGGACCCTGGCTCTATCCGTTTCAACCAGCCCTCAAATGTGAGTTTTCCCTGGCCTTTGTAGTAGAGGTATTGTGCTGATTGTGGATTTCTTGATTAGTACTTCGAGACCGACAAGTTCTGGATTTTCGGTTAATTCATGTGGATCATTTGGACTTCCTTGCATTAGCACATATTGACATTTCGGCATAGTACCGTATCAGGAATCATCTGCCCTGATGGATGATCTAATTGCAAGAGATATTGAAACTTCACAGGATAGCTCAGCTTTGGATGAGCTGTAAGCTCTTTGGGATACAGGCATGTAGAATGAAGTAGTATAGATAGGGAATAATACCCTTTCATATCGCTGTCTCAACAAACGTTATAAAGCGTTAAGGGAGTCGAACATACTCCTTGTATGCTGAAGGTCATGAATCTGATGTTTTCGATCATCAAATATGATGGTCTAGCAACCAAGCTCCGAATCACATCTATCCGTGGCAAGTCTTGAGTCTGAACCCACATACGAATTCCACATGGACCATTGAATCCAGCTACGGCGTTCCAAAGCAAATGTTTTCCCAAACTCCATGGCTATGCGGTATAAAATACATGCTTACACGCGTAGTTGAAAGAAATAACCTTAAGCAGATTTAACGAAGGCTGTGGAACACACGTCAGACACGCTATATCGCCACAATGTTGTTAAACGAGAAATGCAGGTCAAACTCACTGGCATCTATTTGCTGTACCTGGGGCAGGGCCAATCGGAGTTTGTTTCGATAGAGGGCTGGCTGTCTTAGTTGGATGGGATTGCCTTCAAGATAAATTGTTTTGAGATCTTCCTTATCAGCCAGTTCTCTTTCGACGTCTGCGAAATCTGACACTTGGTTATAGCTTGCCCATACTTCCTCGAGCTTTTTCAGCCCACCTAACCCTTTGAAGTTGGCAATCTTATTGTTCGATATTTCGAGTATTGTTAGGTTAGGGCAGCCTTCTATGCCTTCCAGAGTTTCTAGTGCGTTATGTGACACGTAGAGCTCCTCTAGTTGTGGCACTTCCCGTAATGGAGAGAGGTCGGTAATGCGATTTGACTGGACACTCAGCAGTCTCAGTTTTGGCAAACCCCCTAGGCCACGAAGCTCGGTAATCTTGTTTTTGGCTAGCCATAGCTCCTCTAGATTTTTCAATGCGTCGAGATTTTGAATTTCCCTGATCCTGTTGGAGGCGAATTCGACCTGACGCAGGTTCACCAGTGTATCAAGTCCCTCGATCCGGCTGATTTTGTTGGAGACAAAATACAGATCAGTCAAGTTTGTGAGCGTTTCGATGTTCTTGATGTGTTTTATTTTGTTGAAGCTGAGATCAAGCGAAGTGAGCTTGGTCAGCTTGTCCAATCCTCGCATGTGCGAGATAAGATTATCATAGAGATCCAACTCCTCAAGGGTTGCGGCTAAGGCTGACAGCCCGTCAATCTCTTGCACCAGGTTTTGACGAAGATTTAATCGCTTGGCCTGTTTGAATCGTTCCAAGCGTAAGGCAGGGATCGAAGCAATACGGGACTGCATCAGACTCAGGTCATCGGTGTCGGGGTCTTCATCATCAAGCAAATCTAAGAGAGGCAAAGTGGTCAGTCGGAGCGTGTCTCCAAGAGCACATTTGAAGGCAAGAAATACCCTGATCAGCGGAGATTTCCTGGCCGGGCAGTACATTCTCGGTATCGGAGTATTCTGGGTCGGAGAGGGCCTCGGGATTTTGGATCAAGGCGTTGCGGTCGACGCGTAACTTGCCGTCCCAACCTTTGCTGTCTCTGAGACTATGACTTAGTTGGGTGTCTGCGCTCTCCTGGTGATCTCCACTCGAAGCAATCTCCACGTGCGACGGCGACTCTTGGCTGTTCCCTTCATTGGCGTGATCTTCCATGATGTATGGCGTTGCGCGTGTCAGAGCTTGCGTGCTCGGGGACAAGTGGGATGAGTAGTTGATCCAAGCGAGGCAAAGTACGTGACCATAGAAGACGCAATACAGAGACGCGATACAGGGATGACAGGAAAACAGGAAGACTTGGTGTTCAGTGATAGAATCGGGAGATGTAAGGTGCTAGAAAAAGCTGTGGCAACCCTGGCGATACAAGAGTGTATAGTAGGTAGGTACTTCAGCGGCATGAGGGGCTCGGGGGTGCTGTAGAAAGGCGGGGGAACCTTCCATGTGAGCTTCGCAGGCACCTGCCGGATGTCCACTTTATTAGGCTAGTACCGAGATCATCAGAATCCATCACGTACTCGTGACAGCAGGTACGCATAGTTATCACAATTTCATGTTATGTTTTTGTTGTTGAACTCGTCAATCCACTTCCCTGTCATATGTAGGTGGTGAATATAAGTACCTATACGGAGAGCAGACAGACTTTAGAGTTGAGGTAATCAACCCGATAGATACTTACCGGCAAGCAAGTTGCAGCTTAATCTCACTTTCAACTTATTCCTGCATACCATAGTGGCATGATTGCTTTGAATTCAGTCTTGATTAAATATAAATTAAACACATGATAGCACTCAGAAAGATGCATGCGTTTAACTGGCAACTCGTAGCTCAAATCAAGGCTAATATTGTCTTCGCTCGTTGTTTTCGACGCTCGTTTCTCCAGAAAGGCCTGGCATTTCTCTACTCGAACCTCTGATAGGTTGGTTAACTTGACATGAGTACCTAGGTAGCTGAATCATATAAGCCGAGTACACGACGACCTACCTATCCAGTTTGGAGTTTGAGGCTTCATACGTTATCATACAATTATGGTCCTCACTCTAGACACACACACACGGCTTAATGTTCAATGCCAAGAGCTCAACGAACGTGTTCAACAGGGATAACCCATGTCGTCGGTCTATTTTATTCTAACCCACGGGTGTTGGCGCAGCAGGACATCTTCCTCAATGTCTTTGTCTATATCACAAAGTCCATCGGCCCTGATCTCATCTCTCCGTATCTCTATGGTTTTTATAACGCACATGGGCTCAGGCGGCCTTATGAGGACTGGATTTTCGATCACAGAGATGCACCGCGTTGTGGCCGTGTCACCCATGTCGCCTGGGACGCTCGTTCTATCAAGGTTTGTGTATCTCTTGCTGGGATCCTTCTTTTGCCCACGCCAATGACCCAGAACGCTTCCATCGAAACCGTGATTTTGAGCCCACTGCCCATAGCAGTGTAACACTCTGGCGAAAGCGCTAGCAAATGCTGTAGGTACAGCCGGGAGCCCGTATACAAGGATAACACTGCTCATTTCGCTGAGGGCCCAGAAGCGAATCGGGGAAACGGAGTAGGTAGAGTCATCTGACTTTGAGGACGATTGAATAGCAATTAGTTGGAAAATAGCGGAAATGGTACCGCTATGGAATGTCTTAGCACTGAACGTACCAACAAGATGGTAAAATTCGGATCCGAGTTCCAAGTTTACTTACAATAGTCCGACAGCAAAGATCACCGCCACACCAGCTTTCTTTGCCGTCGATAATGCTGGGCGCCAGATGACTACTTGTGGGGTGGCCATCAAGACGATATCCGATACCACATCAATCCAAGCTATTGCCTCAGCAGCCTTTGGGCTGAGACATGTACCCTTCAGTGTCCGGTCCCAAATAAATTGATGTGGTGTGCATTGTATGCTCTCAACAATAATGGCAGCAACATAATACGTGATGTTCAACCATATAGAAATGTAGCAGAGCCAGTAAAAAGCACTGCGAGGCTGCGGCGAGAAAACACGCAGCCACTCCATAACTATAGCCACCTTAAGGGGAGCAATTCCGGCGTTGTAGAGAACTCCAGCAATGAACACCCACTATGGTCCGCATGTGAGTTGGGTAGCAAGACAAGACACGGGTCGTTCTTACATATGAGAATCCGATCCTATCCCCAACAGTCACATCCCATTGATGCACCCACCAGCCTATCTCGACCCGTGACACATGGAGCAAACAGTAAACAAACCCTATATACAACGCCTCCATCGTAATGCTGTTAGTTCGCTAGATGGCAGAGGATTCATAAGATTGACTTACAAAGCCGATAATCACAAAGGCTTTTGTCAAGTTAGTCAGTAACTTTGTCTGTTTGAAAGGTGAGCAATTCCACACCTGCTTCGAGTCTTCCCCTCCGCTGCTTCAAAATGTACGTCCAGTAATGAACCCGCGCCAGAACGACAGATGAGGTTATGGTTATAGCAGCAATGGCGATTCCATCGGCAAGCGCATTCATATTCCGAGGATTCGTAAAATTCGGCTCAACTCCATATGGGCTGTCCAGTGCCGGCTGAGCGAGCAGAGCCCCGCGACCGGCATCATCCATCACTATATCACCTGTCTGTATGCGAACAAAGGCCCCGAGGATAGAGATGAGAATCCAGGGCGAGAAGTACTCAAGCCATCGTAGCGATGAAGTGGTGTTGAGCAGACCGGCCGCTGGGTTTCTAAATGGCGCGCTCGCTTCCCGTTGAGCCCAGACCAGGCTTTTCGTCCGCTGCAATGTTCTGATAGGAAAATGTTGGTGAGATTGGGCCGCTGTTGGTAAGCATGCTGGGGCGCCTCAGCACGCTTGATTTGATCGAGTTGGAGACCGATACTGTATCTGGGAGGTGTGCATGTGTGGTGTAGGGGGGATACTACTCTAACACGCGCAGGCTAGTCAACTGCGTATCACCAATGCAACGCAAGATATTCATAGTAATCTCAGCGAATGATCCTGGGAAGATGTATGCCTCCCTAAGCCGTCTGGATGCTTCATTACATGTTGACTATTCCATGGTTATCGTTTTATTAAAGAAAGCCGCGCGATGGGAATGGACCATTGCTATAATTTGATTTTAGCGTACGCGAGGTCGTTGTTGTATGGACAAGACTTCAAAGGTCGAAGACAACTCATCACCAAGGCGCAAGGGTCGCAATCCTTCTAACGCTGGTGCACAGCTACTCCGCCGCATGTCGAGAAGCTTCCTTTCAGTCCCCCAACGCATAAGACCCCCAGCAGCCCTGCCTCCAGCATCGTCAGAAATAGTACTAGATCCTCCGGCCGCTCGTACATGTGGTTTTCACTCAGATGGACCTCGTCATCCAAGAACGGCCGACGACAATTGGTTGCATTACCGACCCCATCGCGCTAATCCATCGACACCGCGCCGCGACCCACCTCACCTTGTGATGAATGCCTGGATGACCGTCGAGATGCGACTTTCTACTTTCGACGAATTCCGACAACTAATCTCACCGAACTAGCGACTCAATAGGAATTGGCGAGCGTTCGCAACTCTTCGGAGTCCCAGTAACGGGTGTTAAATGCGTCTAGTAACGCAATGTAAGTCCGGCTCTTGATATCAGTGGCTCGCCGAGACGATTTCACTATCTTGACCTACGTGGAGATGTCAGTAGGAGAAGGCTAAACGACGTTGCATGTTGAAGCTGGTTTATTAGGAGCATCATCAGATCCGAACCTCGATGTGTGCCGATTGGTCTCTAGCTACCTCGTGTCAAGGTAGTTAAGTTGAAACCGGTAGGCGTTTTCAAGAATGATCCGCGGCAGACCTTCTGCCTTTCCCGAATGCTACATTGGGGCGACTGCACTGCATTTTTAGCCCCGTGGAAGAGGACTCCTTGGTTGCGTATCACCTACGGCATAATCAAATCCTTTAGTAGTCGACTGTTAACCTCAAGCTTTGACTTCTCATGATATAGAATCCTATCTAGGCAGCTTATAGTATCATCGAAAATCTTATAAGTTCATCGTGACAACTTTGTAAGATCTATATTCCTACCTATTAGCTAAATTGCCTAGCAAGACCTGCTCAACGGACTTGTTGTACCTTACTTGGAATTGTGTAGAGCAAAACCCGCTTCAGTAGTTGCAGACTGTGTTAAATTGACTTGAGCTACTTGATCAAAGAGTAATGCGATGCCATCTTAAACTCAAAAATAAAAGCGATAACTACACTAGTTGGAATCAAGGGTCTTCTGACCCAGTTATGCCGTGATAGCGGGTGGAACTTAAGATCGCCCGGGCAAGTTGAATTAGCCAACTCGAAGTAAACGGCGGATGCGTACATACCCAGCGTACGAACCAAAACTATGGATTCAAGCATACAAAGTCGTGATTATGAATTCATATCAGAATCAAGAAGCTGTAATTGGGAATCACCCAACTCATCATTTTCCTTGAGCTACCTAGCCTAATATTCAAGCTAATTTGTCGCAGCAGCTGTGCCAAGTTGATTCGTGTGGGAGTTTAAGTGTAGGTACTTAAGTACATAGGTAGATACCTTGGTACTTGTCTACTCTGAGTGGTGTGCACTGACCACTTCGGCTGCAGGTGCGCTATCGATCTACAGCCCACAAACCTATCTAACGAATTGCTAAAAAAATTATGGTAAGGACCCCCTCCACCGCGAAATTCCCCAAACCCAGCTTCAAAAAAGCCGGCACTAACCTCACAGCACAACAACAACCTCACCGTCGACGACCGTCCATTCTCCCTTCTACTCACCACCCCAATCCGAGCGACAACATGGCTGATCGAGGCGATCGAGGCGGTGCCCGTGGAGGTTTCGGTTCCCGAGGTGACCGTGGCGGCGACAGAGGCCGTGGCCGTGGACGTGGACGTGGCCGCCGTGGAGGTCCCAAGGACAGCGACAAGGAATGGATGCCCGTCACCAAGCTCGGCCGTCTCGTGAAGAGCGGCAAGATTAAGAGCATGGAGGAGATCTACCTGCACTCTCTCCCAATCAAGGAGTACCAGATTGTCGACCACTTCCTCCCCAAGCTCAAGGATGAGGTCATGAAGGTACGGTTTTTCGCCAATTCGGTCGCCTTCCCAATCTAGACGACAGGGCGCTCGATGCGCCTTGTGCTGCTCAGAGAAAAACTCTTAGAGTTATCTACTGAAAATTGGCGTGCTAATGTGTATTCTTTCATTGCAGATCAAGCCCGTCCAGAAGCAGACCCGTGCCGGTCAGCGAACCCGATTCAAGGCCATTGTTATCATTGGTGACTCCGAGGGCCACGTTGGTCTCGGTATCAAGACTTCCAAGGAAGTCGCTACTGCTATCCGTGCCGCTATCATCATTGCCAAGCTGAGCGTTATCCCCGTACGACGTGGTTACTGGGGTACCAACCTTGGTCTGCCTCACTCGCTCCCCGTCAAGGAGAGTGGAAAGTGCGGTTCCGTCACCGTCAGAGTATGTGGACCTGAAGTAAAACTGTGTTTGTTGAGCTATGGTACTAACTAATCCATAGTTGATCCCCGCCCCTCGTGGTACCCAGATCGTCGCCTCCCCCGCCGTCAAGCGTCTCCTCCAGCTCGCTGGTATCGAGGATGCCTACACATCATCTTCCGGCTCAACCAAGACTCTAGAGAACACCCTCAAGGCTACCTTTGCCGCCATCTCCAACTGCTACGGTTTCCTGACCCCCGAGCTCTGGAAGGAGACGAAGCTTATCCGCAGTCCCCTCGAGGAGTACGCGGACACCCTCCGTGAGGGCAAGAAATACTAAAAAGGGAAATTACGGGCATACGGCGTGGATCTCTTTTCGGGTTTTGTTAATTTGCATCGGTGCCGGGTGGGCAGGCATCGCATTGAGGTAGCAAAATAAGCACCTATCTTCTGACCATCTGGTTTCTCTCCTTTTAGACAGTGTCCCTTTTGATGACATGTGCCTATCAACGTTCTTATTAGCCCACCATTTGGGTAGGTGACTTTGTAACTGCCGCGGCTGGCTAGTTTGCATTGAATGCTGCTCTCAGTTCTGTGGAAGCACTGGACAGTAACGGCTCACCTGGCGCCTCTGTATGCCAAACAGTAGACTATGTTGACTCTAATAGCTACAAGATTGACTCATACCAGACGCGATCAGACTTGACTCTCTGTTCAATTACGAGATCATCCACTGAGCTTGCTCTCTATCTTCACACTCTGGTCTGGCTTAAGTTTCCCAGGTGATACGAAATGGTAAGTATTCGCTGAGAGCACTGATATGTAGGCCATCATCAACTCAAGATCTCGTAGTGTCGTGCGATGAGGGCCCTGATATAGGATCTGCATGTGTCTATTGCGCGTTGTTCTTATTCTCCTCAAGTACTTTCCTCATACCACTACCTGGATCCTGCCCGGTCGTTGTTTCTATGTTGGCAGCGCGCAATGGAACGGAAACAGCAAACATGAATCCTCAAATGATGGGCAGGAACACTCGTCCTAAGGCCAGGCGAGATGCATCCATCTTCCATTACCTCTATAATCTCATCATTCCTCCTTGATCTTAACTCTCCCTCAACTCCAATCCATATCCCGTCGCTTTTGGTGTTTTTGGACTTCAATTTTGGCCCGATTTTGAAAGTTCTCCTTCATTAACACCATCTTAGCCCTTCATCTACTGCTCCTCTCTTCGATCCACGGACTTTAGTTTGTCGAACTATCGTGTCTCGGCCAAACGCGATGCCGCCTCAATCTCATTCTCCGCCCATAGCAAGATGCCTACTAGTAGCCACTCTTTTTACTCTTGTGTTTTTCGCTACAGTTTCTCTTTCCGACAGCTTCGCCTCTCGATCATCCCAAGATAGCAACTCTTCCACAGAAGATGAGGTGCCAGAACCGGCTCTTGAGAAACGTCTCCTTGGGTTGGGTGGTGTCGTTGGCCTTGTACCTAGCCTTTTAGGAAACATCGTTCCAGGAGGCATTGTCAGCTCATTGATTGCCCAAGTCACGGCCGATGTCAACAGTCTGCTACCCATACTTGATGACCCAAGCGCTAAAAATCCAGATGGTATACCTCTTCTCACAGGCGCCCAGGCTGCAGTGTCTCTTACTGCACAGCCTCTACCGACAGCAGACCAACTAGGTGGGCTTGCTAACAAGCTTGGGGGCATTCTCAATGGTATCGTTCCTGTAGCAGCACCCAGCATTATAGCGGCAATAACAGAACAGGCCCTCGGCGTTGTTGCGTCTGTTGAAGCTATAGCCACCGATGTTGCCTCTCTGGGCAACCAGATAGGCAGTGGTCAGATGCAAGGCTCGGATGCTCTGGGTCAAATAGGGGGTCTCCTTGGCTCCCTCGACGCAAAGGTTAACGACATAGTCAATGGTGTTACATCTAACCTAGGCTCTGATCTTCCTCTGCCAGTTTTGCAAGATATTGGCCAAGTTATCAGTAGCGGATTAGGCGATATTGTAGGCGCCGCCAATGGCCCTCTGTCCCTTGTTGGTGACCTAATTGAGCACGATGTCTGCGGTGCTGTCACAATTGTTGACGGCGTGCTCGCTACCGTTGCTGGTCTTTGCGGAGAGATACCCTCTGCAGTTGCTCAAGTGTCTTCTGAGCTCGCGACTGCGCCTCTAACTAATTCGGATGCAGTGTTAACTGGTGATGCCTCTGCAACTACTATCTTCCCAATTTCTACAGTCATCACCGCATCCCCGACTATGACTACAGCGTCGACCTTGTCATCTACCAATCCTCCCATCAACAGCACAGGTGGTTCTGGGTCTAACCCGGCAGGCAACGGCGCGACGCCTTCTCCATCAAGTCAATCATCTCCCTCTAACTCGGGCTCAGGGCCTTCTCTTTCTGATACCCAGACATCACCAGGACAGCCACCAGCTGGCTCTGAAGCGTCAGGATCTAGTGGCGGAGGGCCTTCTACGGCTACCTCACCCTTGTCAGCTATCAGCTCTACATCTCTGGGACCAGCCAGTGGATCAAATACCGCGTTGACTTCGCCATCAATGGCTGGCTCAGCACAGCCAGGTGTCGGTGGTACATCGCAAACAACTGCTACAGGCGGTAAGCTTAGACCTATGTTGGAGCTATGATATAAAATATTCTCAAGCATGGGGCTGACAACTCTGAAAGTCAACGGACTCGCTACTGTCACCGTGTATCAGACTACGATCCAGCAGTGTACTTCAGGCGCGATGGGGTTAGTATAGTTTCCTACCGTTTGAAGTGTTTCTTTTCTAACTTGTAGAGTAGAATTGGCCCGACAGTCACTGTTACGCTAGACCGGGGATGCCCTGCAACAGGTTGTGCTCCTAATTCTCAAACAACCTGTAATTGTCCGAATGCGAGCCCTACTCCCCCAGGAGGCAATGGTGGCAAAGGTCCTTGCCCAGGGACTGGATATACGTGTGACGACTGTCTTAATGGCTGGTTCTGCCCTCCCTCTCAAACACCGGCGCAACCTGCGCCTTGTGGATTCGGTTGGCCGTGTGCCCATTGCGAAGGAGGCTGGTTTTGTGCCCCTCCCCAAACTCCTGGGCCATGTGGGAGCTCTAGCACGCCGACCACTGGTCCTACCACTCCAGGAAATCCTGCGCCCAGTAAACCCATTCCTCCTCCTCCAGAGAAAGTCACAGGTTGGAAATATTGTGGTTGCTGGGCAGATGACCTAAAACAGAGAGCTCTTGGCACAGAAACTTTCACTTTAGACCTCCTGACAAACGAAGCATGTATACAACATTGCATCATCAGGGGCTTCCTGATGGCTGGAACGGAGAATGGTGACAGCTGCCTCTGCGGAAACTTTTTGAATGGAACACAGCAGATGGAAGAAAGTGTTTGCTCATTTTCATGCTCTGGAGATGCAACACAAATGTGCGGTGGTTTGAATGCACTGAGCTGCTACAATCCTGATGGTGAACCATACGGTTGGGCCAGCGCCGGTCCTCAACTACGCACCCCGACCATGTCACCACCAGAAGTTGCCGGCTTAGATATTGGAGGTGTCGCCCATACTCAGATAACGACACCCGCGATTATCTTCCCCGCGGGAAATGTAGATGAGGGAAAGCTCATCACCAAGTACGGCAAGACCACCCGCCAGCCCCTGGGTGACTTTCCACGCGATCTCACATTCTCCTCCTCGCCTTTAAGCTCACAATTGACATCAACCCCTTTCGGTGGAGGTGGCGCGGCTCCAGGTCACGGAACATCACCAACTGCTTTAGGTAGTGGCCCAACCCCAAGCATTCCAAGCAACGCAGGTAGTTCTACTGGCCCAAGTATCACACCAGGTGTGTCGAATACCCCGAGTTCGCCCGGTAATCCCAACAATCCCACCACCTCAGTGACTCCCAGTAACTCTAATCCTCAAAGTACTGCGAGCCCTCCCATCATATCAAGCCCTCCAGGCGCTCTGAATAACCCCGATATTTCTACTCCTGGTACCTCAGGTACTCCCAATTCTTCCGGTACGCCTAGCACATCTGATACAACAAGCACCCTGGGTACGTCTTCGAGTCCAAATGGGAGTGGTGGCGCCGCGCCTGGTCACGGCACTCCACTTACTTCATCGAATAATGGAGAATTGAGCACAACGCCCACAGGGGAAAATTTCCCAACGAGTTCAAATTCAAGTCCAGCATCCAACAATCCCGGTAGTAGCATCGCAACAACATCGCCGACCAATCCAAGTGAGAATGCGCCAAGCTCCCCGACAAGTTCAACCTCAACTCCTAATGGCGCTGGCGGAGCTGCCCCGGGTCACGGACAGAGCCCGAGTACGCCCTCAGGGGAAACTCCAGGCTCCACACCTTCGGGGGCGAGTACAACTTCATCAACTACGGTCCCTATCAGCACTACCAGTGCTAGTATAAGCCCTACTGAGCCTGGTAGCCCAGGATCAGAGACTACTGTACCGTCATCTAGTGTACCTAGCGGCTCAGTTCCATGTATTCCAGGGAAAGATGCAAACTGTGCACCAACGCCGAGTAATAGCAACGCCATTTCAAGCTCGAGCCCAGGCCAGAGCCAAGGAAGCACAACTACACCGACAAGTCCTCCAGGCGGCAATGCTGAAAATCCCAGTACCACCCCAGGACAATCCCCAGGAACTACTACATTGCCCTCGGGAGGTGAGAGTCCTCCAGGTTCATCGCCTCCATCTGGTGGAGGCTCCACCAGCGTTCCATCATCCTCACCTCCTTTCAATGGAGGAGGGGTGGCACCGAGACCTGGCCAACCTTCCACGACAACACCACCCGGCGGTAGTTCTATCACCTGCACCCCGGGCTCCAGTGAATCAGCGTGCATTTCTCCCAGTCTCAGTGGAAGTGAGCCGCCTGGCCAGAGCCAACCTACTACAAGTTCACCAAACACCAACTCTCCTGCCTGCTCTCCGGGTTCAAACGATCCAGCTTGTACTTCACCCGGTGGCGGAGGGGTGCCTCCAGGTAATGGGCAGCCTTCAACCTATACATCAGGCAGCATATCAAGCAGCTGCACGGCCGGGTCTACAGATCCGGCTTGTACGTCACCAAATGGAGGAGGCGCTGCGGCACCTGGTCATAATCAACCTACTAGTCCAACCAATCCCGTCGGGGCGTCTGGTGAAAGTACTACATCCATCCCAAGTTCAAAAACCTCAGGCTCAACTACAGGTAGTACACCACCTGGCAACAGTGGGCCGAGTTCTAGAACAACTCCTCCATCACCTGGGAGTCATGGTCTAACTACTACAAATCAAGAGCCATCGCCGCCACTAGGTTCGAGTGAAGGCACTCAAGCTAGTTCTTCTACTCTTTCAGGATCAGGATCAACACCTGGCGGAGCTGGTGGAGTGGCACCAGGCCACCAGAGCCCTACTACATCGTCAGCGGTGAGCAGTGACCAAACCTCTTTGACTACTTTGATTCCTCCTGGAGGATCCACTGGAAGTGTCAATCCAACAGAAACAAACCCAAACCCTTCGACATCCAACGGACCGACATCTTCACCCAATGCTCCGGGGCAGTCGAACCCTCCGAACTCAGCAGGTACTGGTCCACAAACATCATACACCTATCCACCCGGTCTGGTCCCATACGGTGGCTCATCGCCGGCCATGACGACCTTGGCATCGATGTTGGCATGGCGTGAGCCTGATGGAGCAGCAGGTGCTCCTACCATGTTACGTCCTGCAACCATGCACGATGACCCCGATCTGCCACAGGAGCTCCCCACATTGGTGTTCGAAGAGGCCCCGACAACTGCAACGACATTCTCGCAGCCGGCTGATCCGCGATGGCAACGCATTCGTCCAGTTTACGTATGGTAATACAAAGAAATAGAAGAGCCCCGTTCAGTATTACAGGCGCATCAAGCAATGTTATGTATAATAAGTTGGGATGGACAGGGATAATCAGATAAACAAGTATACAGGGAATTTACGTGAGAGTGAAAAGAAAACACGAAAACAAAAGGGGTCACACGTTCTTTGGAATGAAAGCTTTACTAGGGTATCTATCAGCCTATGCAGTTATCAAAGATCATAATTTGCTCTCTTATTACTCCAGGGAAGTTGGGGCTACCTGGCCGGTTCAGATAGACGAAATACGTTATGGGGTTTTGGACGAGGGCTTTGATAGGGATAGATAGAGGACTCGCGTGGGTAGTAGATACCCGTGCGATATTATCATTTAATCAATTGTGTTTCTTAAGTGAAGTTTGTATTTACCTGGACTATTCTCAGTTGATTAGGGGTTGAATGTTTAAATGAACAACTGACTCGATTGTGGGTATATTGGATTTACTACTTGATGATTATACGGTGAGATGTAAATAGGGGTATTCAAGGTCGTTCTTCTAGGCTCATATTTGTTCTCGTGCTCATGTTTTTTGCATAAGCTATCGAAGGGGCGATATGAATATGGCTGAACAGCTTTGTCTTGGGAATGGTGTTTAGCACTTGTTTACCTTAATGGTAAATAGATACGTGTATGTGCATATTACTAAAGATAACCGTGTTCTCTAAGCACGACATCGTTACCAGGACAAAGTTATCAAGTCCTCAATTGGCAGAGTAGTGTTTTCTATTTCTTTTGAGAGCCTGGCATCACTAGCATGAGTTCTAAACAACCTGGTTACACTGACAGAATAGAAGCGAGGTCCACGTGTATACACGAACGAGGAGTAGCCCATTATTTGCCAACATGGAAATGCGAGTTCGGGTTCGGAGTTGGAACACTGGAGGACCAGACAAGAGTAGGGTTGGTGGGCATACAGATTCTTAACTTTTATTCTCCGAGGCTCGTGAAAAATTCCATCTCCAAAACCGCAGTGGATAAATACAAGGCGATTAGCAATAGGTTGAGAAGGGTGAGTTCATGGGCGCACCCTGATAATTATCAAATTCATTTCAACGATAAACAGTGAACGCCACAGGATTCAGGTCGGGTATCTCGCAACGTCATTCATTCTTTTTTGTTCTATTTTTCGAGGTTCTTTCTTTGCGCCTAAGAGTTAGCTAAGGAATGATTGACATTGAGAAAGGAATGACCTACAGTTTAGACTAGGTTATGTCTCCTTCGGGGGATCTTTGATGATCAGATTATCTGAAGGTTGCACGCGCTGTGCCCACTCCCTATTCGCACACCCAAAAGTTAGCCTGTGCTACGAAGAATGCTATGCTGTGTTTAGATCAAGGGGACTCACGTCCAGCTACCGTCGTAAACTTTGCGTTTCTCAGCTGAGCCATAGCCAGCCTCCTCCAGGGCTGTGTCGACGACCGCCGCCGTTACACCGGTCCCGCAGCTCGAGATGATTGGCTTCGAGGGGTCAACCCCCTTCTGCTCAAAGAGCTTTCTCAGTTGGTCCTTTGGCAGGAATGCCTTGGTCGTGGGGTCCAACACGTCGCCGAAAGGAATATTGATTGAGCCTGGGATGTGACCCGATGACAATCCTTCTCTCGGCTCCGGAGCCGCACCCGTAAATCTACCGCTTGGCCGTGCATCAAGAATCTGGACTCCCTCGGCGCCCTCCTTGTTGTAGTCCTCGGCCACTTCTCGTACTTCCTCGTAGCTGGCGACCTTGCTCTCCTCAAGCTGGGGGATGGGATAAGGATTGCACTCGATGGTGTACATGTTGCCGGACTCAGTTGGATATCCTTCTTCAACCCATTGCTTGAAGTTGTTCAGAATGTGTACTTTAGGATGACCAAAGACTCGAAGTGTCCAGCCAACTCGGGGGGCACTGAATATGCCAACCTCATGGTGATCGTAAACAACGACAGTGTCGTCCTTGCGAATGCCCAAAGCGCTCATAGCCTGGGCGAACTGCTTGGCGGTGGGAAGCATATGCGGGTAGGGCGAGTGCTTATCCTTGACCTTGTCGAGATCGAAGAAGCGGGCCTTGGGAATACGCTTCTCAGTGAAGGCCTCGATGCCAGTACGAGGATCATTAGGCATGAACCATGAGGCACAGAGGGGTATAACGCGCGGATCAGTACTGATAGGGGAGGGAGGGCTTGTCTTGAGAGCTTCGGCTAGCTCTTTGGGTGTGACTAGATAGGATGAGAGATCGCGACGGCTGGCCATGTTGGCGATCAGGGGTTTTCGAAAGAGATGTCGGGGAAGAGCAGCACTCGTTGAGCGGAAGATATGGATGGCCGCCATGACGGAGGAGTGGAGTACCGTACCGGTTACCTCGCGTGGTGGAACAAACGAAGCCGAATCAGGATCGCAGTGAGTCTCGCAGGCGATATCGGTGTTGCAATATCGCGTGCTCTGCAGCGCCGGGTTTCGGCGAATCTGCGACCCAGCAGCGAGCGGAGGAGAAGTGACGATGCAGGGTATTCGGAATTGGACGAAGCCGAGAACTGGATCTGCCGAATAAGTAGAGCAAAGAGCTGGTAGAAGAAGACGGACAAGGACAAAGAATTGGCCAGGATGCGGGGAGGTTGAGCTATCTCTGTAGCTTCTACGTCAATTTATCGAAGAACGGGGAAGGCTGTTGCTAGCGCTATTTAGCTCCCGATGCTCAGTATGCTCCTTACATAGTACATAGTATGTAGAAAGCAGGAGTTGGTGCTAAGTCTGACCACTTAAGCAAGATATTTCAATCAAGTTGTTGGGTAGAACAAGGTAGGAATAGAATTCGATGACGAACGTCGACAGGCTCAGCGCTTTTCCTCTTATCATGAATTGCTTCCCGTCATTCGCCCCAACCGCCAGTGTACCTGCACTACACGTACCTTCCCTACCAACATAATCCTTGTATTTCCAGCATGGTCTACGTGTACTTGCAGGTACTTCAAGTACAAGCCAAGGGCTGCTGATAAGTTGCCGGCATGCGAATCAAAGCCTGTGATAGCGGTAAGCTCATGGTCGGAGATAAGCCCATAAGTAGATACTTAGTGATAAGAGCGTATTGGATGTACACGTAGGTAGTGCGGGCGGCTCAAGGTGGGGGGTTTATTTTATAGGCAGGAGGCATGGGCTCATCGTCTTTTATGTATACATGTGTGCTTGGTTTTGTTTTGTTACCCAATTCATAACACCTGCTACATACCAACGTACACCTCTTCTCCAAGGTGTATGATATCAAGAGTCGGTTTAAGAAAGGCTCCGACAAATCACCCAAAGAACGCGGAATGGATAACACTTGAAGCCCCGAGCAAAGCTTCTCAGCTCTCATCTTCGAGGTCACTGCTACGAGCCTTGCTCACAGATTGTCCGAGTGGATAGACGAAAAATTTCCGCCCGTCGTTTACGGCCCGCAAATCGCGCCGCTATGAAGGTCAAAATCAAGAAGTGGGATGCCGTCGCGTCGTGGCGATGGGATCTCCCCGAAGACGATGTCTGTGGTATCTGCCAAGCTCATTTTGACGGCACATGTCCTAGCTGCAAATATCCTGGCGATGACTGCAGCCTCTGTAAGTTTTACCTCAGTCTCTACATGTTCGTTCTTAGCACGGCTAGCTGACTTTGTCAGTGTCTGGGAAGTGTGGTCACAACTTCCATATGGTTAGTGCCGGGCCTAGCTAGAGCGTCCTGGTCCATCCCACACGACATTTTTTTGAGCCTTTAGCTAACAAACAGTGCGTTCCAAAGCATTGCATAATGGAGTGGATTAAGCAAGGTTCTGCTAAGGGGCAATGTCCTATGTGTCGACAAAGTGAGAATATCCACTTGGTCTGTGGCCGACTTGTGCTGATAGATTAATCACAGAGTTCGAATGGAACGAGTCAAGCGGCGGTCAGCAACAGCACCCGGAGACACACGAAGATACCAATAGGCCGCAACAGACACCGTAGCTCAGGTACAGCAGCAATGCTACTCCATGGACAACTGTTGCAGGTTCTAGTCTCACTATTGAATCACGACCATGCTGGGGTTCAATACTAAATGATTATTGCTTGTTGATGAGTCTTCTCATCATATAAGTGCTTTCAGAGCAGCGAGCAAGTGGGTCTCATATTTTGGATTGCATTGATTTCATGTTTTCATGTGCGGAACGCCTCAACTGACGGCGGCAAAGTGGAAGCGGTGCCGAGGCGAGATGAGACAGGTCCACGCATAATAGCAATTGTCCGGTCTTTTATCAAAGATGTTCCCTCCTACTTGCGAGTCCTTAATATAGGTAAGAAAGGTAGGTTTTGGACCGACTTACCTCCTGAATACCACTCTAGGGTAGGCTGCCTGAACCCATGGGATTTTCCATTTCCTGTTGGCCCCCAATCCTGGGTTTGCCTGGTCTCCATATTTCGCCCGATAAGATAGAAGCTGCCGCCTGCCCTGTCAATCACTGCCTATCACACTGCCTATCACCACCACCTAACAGACCTACTACCATGTAGGCACCCACTATCTAGGTACCTACCTAGGTAGCTACATGTACCTAGGGCAGAGTAGGGGCCGCCAGAGGGCCGCCTCCTGGTACCTATTGCTCCTGCTCCTGCTCCTGCAGCTTGCTTGCAGCCGAGCTGCAGCTGTCATGCATCCCCGTGTGCATCCGTGACCAGACCATCAATCCGACGGGAGTTTCTTGCTAGCCTTACAACTCACCTTCAGCTCCCCAGGATGTGTCTTCCTTCTTTCTTTCCTTCTCATCTCATCTCTTCCATCTCGTCGTTATCCTGAGTCACCAGTGCCCATGTCTCCCATCCTCGACCTGCCTTCGAGATGACGGATCCAGCCGGCAATCGGCCGTCGACCGCGGACCACCTCCAGGACACTGAACACCCACGCACGCCTCCTCCCTTTGCACCAATCTTCACACTCGTCAATAATGCATCTACGAGGACCACCCATCACCCTCATGTACGATACATATTCAGCGACGACGATCCTGAGGTCCTAACCCAAGCGCTTGCCGAGTGCGAACACTCCTATGCCGACGATTCGGGCTCTGGCCCTGTACCCACCAACCGAGCCATGATCCTTGACCTGGCTACCAATGATGACGGAGTTTATAATGTTTCTTGGGCTTCTAGCATATCCCCTTCGTGGGCTGTTCTGAATGCTCAGCTCAGTCAAATCTCGCCTCCTTCGTCGGATGCAGGACAAGGCAGCGGCAACGGAACCGGGGACACCGGTCCTGATAATATCAGCCGCCCCGACAGGCTCATGCTACGGATTGAAGGAATCGAAATGAGTGCTCCCAGCTCACCATCGGAGTTGAGAATATCTGGTGAGACGAGTCGGCAGCGTCCCGGCAGTGCGGGTGGTAGTGGTAGTGGGCACCGAGACCGAGAGCGATCCGGAGACGGAGACGATTACTCCAGTATGCTGGAGGATTTCGAGAAACGCATGTCGACGCTTCGAAATGTTGTCAATGCCAGCGAGGACAGACGGAAGAAGATGGACACTCCAGCGGAGCATAAGAGAGACACAACAAGTACCAATGATCCTGCCCCTTCAGCCTGAAAGCTATTTCCGGAACCATAGTCAAGAACAACCGACCTACATAAATAACCACCATCATACCATCCAAGGGAGTTAGTTGCCAAAGCACACCGAGCAACTTTTATCAACCAAGCTGCCAAAACACACAAGTTCTTGTGGCATCCTAGGCACGATTGATCAGTCGTTTTGAATACACGACACAGTATAGCGAAAGGATAATTATCATAAAGGCGCAAAATGCCCTATGATCCTCTCTTCGAGGACACCAGGTCTCATTCCATCTGTACGGAGATAAGGGGGTATGGCGTTATCGGCGTTTTTGGTGGAATACCATCATTAGGTCATAGGATAATGCCCGTGTATTCATTCATCTCTTTTTGATTTTCTCTCTAGGCTCTTGTGGACGGAACAGCACGTTTAGCCTAATGAAAGGCTATGTCTTATAAATCTAGATTCCTGAAGAATGCTTTTCTGACTTTCCCATGTGGGCCGAGATGAATTCATCTGCTTGAATGACTACTGCAGTGCCTGCCCAATTCACACGCAAGGTTCATGAAATTCGTGCTTTAAGTCGACACACGTAGGAAGTAAAACCTCCATTCCTTGTAGTTTATCCCTAAGACGGACCGGACCGGTTCCTATTGAATTATCATTCGGATTACAAACATTGACCTAGATGGAATGTTATCTAACCTACTTACTCCCTACCTAGGCATTATCAAGCAAAACTAAATCACAGAGCATGGGAATAAGAAGCATGTTCATTAAATAGGGTTGGGGGAAATAATAGTGTACTAATTCAAAAAAAAAGTTTTTATTCCGGACGCCTTGAAAATGCATCGAACTCCCCTTCTCCGAGCACGAAATGACAGAAATATAAGATGGAATCAAAAATACACAAGTGAGACGTACGCCCACTTGGTATCGATTGGTATCGGAGGCGCTGCGGCGAGCACCTATTGGTTCCCTCCTTACTCCTCGAGAGTGAAATTTGACATCAAGCCAAATGCCTTTACGAGGAACCGTTGGGAAACCAGGGCGGGGCGGGGGGGAATCTAGATATGTTGAACAACCCGAGCTAAACACTCGTTTCACAAACGAGCTCGTTGCAGATTCGTGAAAAGCACTGGAGGAGCCGAGGAGCTTGTATGGTTGATCGATTGCGGGTATCATTGGAGCCAAGAAATGTGGATTTGCGCAGCGCCATGGTTGTTCGGAGTAATTTTCACAGACGGTGCACGGGCATTACTGAATTATGACGGATTCAGTGCACCGCACTTACGTCGTCGTGCTGGTAAGCCATCGCCTCGATTCCGCGTTGATTCTCGAGGTCAGCAGCTGAGGCGTAGACTCGCTCTCGATTATGGAACGAATGCCAAGGATCTCATCCAAGCTTCGCTTGTTGTTATTGTTGTTGTTACCACCTCCGGGAGGGTGTGTAACGAAATAGCCTGCCAGGATAGCCGCAAGGATGACGAGAATGAGAACTAGTTTATAACGTTAGCTGGCAAGTAGGTGATTCAATCGGAGATGACATACCAGAGATACCCAGGCAAATCCACTTCTTCTTCCGTGTTGCTCGGGCCGTATTAACGGCAGTGCCGATCTCAACATTGCCCCTGTCCAAGTTGTCGACAACCTCCTCGCCCTTCTGCTCGATGTTCGTGACTGCCACATCCTGTTGCATAACCAGTGTATCCATGTCCTGGAACAGCTGCGCCAACTCTATCATCTGCCGCTCGATCTTTTGCAGTTGGGCATGGCGGTCTTGGACAGCGTTCAGCACGGACTGCGCCTGACCCATACGGTTGCTCTGCATCAAAGCCTGCTGGAAAACCTGTCCACCAGTCTGGTCGGTCACGGCAGCCCTGACCTCTTCTTCGGTGGCGTCGGGGCGCACGATCCTGTATTGACGGGCCATCTGCTCCTCCGTCTTCTTTCGGAAGGCCGACTCGACTTGCTGGTACGCCCGGATGGCATCCTTGAGTCGACCATCTACACGGCGCACCTGTTGACCGAATCTCTGCGTGTTCTCGGGCTTGCTCTTCAACTGGCGAACGCGCTCGGTAAGCGACCTGTACTGAGCCATTGTCTCGGAACTGAGACGGTCGAGCTGTCTATTGGTGTTGCTTGAAGCGGAGCTATCGGCATCATCAAGAGATCGCTGCTGAAGCATCTTCAGCTGTTCCAGGTTGCGGTCAATGGTGTCGATACCGCGGTTGATATCAGATATCTCATCCAGGGCTGAATTTGGGCTTCGATCTTGGAATGGGTCTACATTTTGAGCTAAGGGCGCCATTTCAACGTTGTTTGCTGTGAGAATCCAGTTAGTGTATCCTTATATTTAGGGCACTGTCTGCTGTCTGGTCCAACATACACCCATATTCATCGTAGCCGTTCCCCTGGGCACGATAGTTGGGGCGCGAGGGCAACCCTCCTCCGTAACCACCACTCGAATCATTGCGGTCGTCGAAAGGATTTTGCCGTCCGCCGTATCTGAGGAGCATCTATGTTAGAGCAGGTTCATCTCGCAATCGGAATACGCGATTAGGAGCGAAAGGAAATATGTACCCGTACTGTGCCATTTCTGTTAGTCTTCTCCTATTTAATAACTCGTATTTATTTTCGGACAGAGAATGGGATAGAATTGAATTGTTGCAGAATCAGGAATCAAGAATCGGATTGTGAGGATAATGGGGCACGTCGAAGACTTAACCCGAGTCGCGTGTGGTTCGGTGTGCAGGTGATTGAAACGGGATGGGGACAAGATGAAACACGTACACTCATTTTGAAGGGTTAGCTCTGTTTCTGGCCAGGAGACTCGGTTACCAACAGGACTACAGGCGTCTGTGTCGTGATATATACAAGAGGTGTCAATAATTATTAATTATTGGGAGCAAAGAAAACAGATATAAAGGCACGAAGGACGAGAAATGGGGTTGAGAGGCAGCAAGGAAAGCCAGTGAAGCCAATGCCGAGCAAGGTGAGGTAGGTATAGCAAGTGCACGTATGGATTGGGTCGATCTGGCCGGAGGGAGGTTGAAATAAGTAATAAGGAAGGACTTTAAGTCAGTCGGTCGGGAAGGGTGTCAGTGTGTCAGATCGAGCCATGGCCCATGCCCATGCCCATGTCCATTAGCCCTTGCTCTGCCCTTGTTCTGCCCTCGGGCCAGGAGAAGCGTCTCTCTCTCGCATCTTTGTTACAGCTGCCGCAGAAGAGCTGCGCCAGACTGCCACTTTTGGCAGGGAAGGGACCGTGCTAGCGTGTCTAGCCCCTGAGAATCCACCGCCAACCATCCCAGCTCGTTCATCTCCAGCCCACAGGCAAATGTACACTCCTCACTATTTGCAGTGGAGAGGTACTTGACAACACATTAAAGTGAGGCACTGCCATCCACTACTTTGGTAAGTGTCTGGCTAAACCACCGACCAGATCAACGCCAGCCGACTATCAACGGATTGCTAACGTGAGCTAAGGTACTGGTAGAGTCTGGGTAGAGTAAGGTGGCAATCGTATGTCTCCTCTCTTCTCTAAATTTAGATGCCGTTGAATCTTTCAACTAGTCATTCTACTGACTGATGGACAGTACATACATAGTAGGCAAGATAGGTAAGTCCTCGATCACGCTAGAAATCAGGCATCACTTTAGGATATCGCTCCATCACATCACTCACTCAAGGTTCGCTGAAGAACCAGCAGTGTAGAAGTCATGATGCTGGGGGAGGGGCGGAGTACCTAGGACGGGCAGAGACGGTGTAGTACGAAATGGGGGCCAGACGGGGGCCTACACTAGTTCGTGCAGAGCAAGTAAGAGGTGCCTACTTACATGTAAGCTCATTCAGCCAGTTCAGCTTTTTGCCATCATCTGTGTCGGTCTCTACGTATTATTTCCTCTTGTATCTCCGATGCGGCTGCGAGGCGTGGTGTGTACGCGCGCATGGGCTGTGCCATTCTTAGCACAGCCTGGCTCGGACTCGGAATACAAGAGTAACAAAGAGGATAAAAAATATCATCATACCTTGCAAGTCTGTAAGGCGATACACGGCGGGTAATACTCGGTCCGGGAGTTGGATGATCTAGTATACTGGTAGTTTTGTTAAGTCAATTCGTACATGTAGTTACATGCTGCGTTCATTGTCGGTAAATCGTAGTTACTTGAATTCAGAGAGCCAAGAATTTCGCGCGAACCGAACTTCAAACCCATATAACAATATCCACGCACATAACAAAACAAAGCATGCGAACGCATGCGAACCAACAATCAGCAGCCTCTGCTCAGGGCAAAATACCTACAATAATACTCTCGTTAATACGACCACAAAGCACCAAATGGGTTCTTCCGCGACGCCGCTCGTGTAGGATCGCCAACGTCATCTGCAGAACCCTTCCTTTGCCGCTCGCTGTCCCCGCCCCTCCCAACCCCATCCGCGCATCGGCAGGCAGACGTTTTATCATGCTGTTCATTGGCGCTGCTACAACGAGATATGCCCCCATCGAACCCAGCATGTAGGTATTTGATGTGGTGCTTGTCATCGCTTACATGCGCTAACTTACATCTACCTAGAGGCACTTTCCCAGGCATCCAGATAAATCGTGCCTGCGGGACTAAGTGTCGGAGAACGAGCGTCGATCTATGCCGATGATCTTGTATATGCATGTGCTATGGCTGCTTATTTTCGTCGTCTGAATTTATCTCTGCGTGTACACGGCCTTGCTTGTAGACTAGTCGCCCCGAGAAAGGAGATTGTCTCGTGCGAAATGCGCTTCAGAGTGAAGAAAGACGCTAAAACACATGGGGGCACTCTAAGCTTCTTTTCCACTCTAAGATCTCATAAAGGATAGCCCTACCAGACCCTACCTCTACTTCGGCAATTAGGGTGTTAAATACACAGCGGCTACGATCATGATGAGCTAGGCTCATGTTTTCAGTAGCAATCAGAAGCTAGATCATTCTCAACATGCTCGAACACGAACACGAGGGTTCCTGCCGGCAGGAGACTAAATCTGTAGATTCACAACGCCACTCTCAGACAATCGCATACGCAGACGCATAACTCACGCTCGAATCTGAGTACACCTCCACCAAGCTGCTCCGTTGATACTGCACAAACTCGAACCTGTACTTATCCGGATCGGAAGCCCCCTGTGCCAGCTCTTCCAGCGCGGCCATGGTCACGCCTATAGGATGTCTTCCGCAGACCGTGTTTTTGGTCTTCCTGAGGTTGTCGACAAACTCGTCGTGATGGCCGCCAGCAATGGCGTCCATGGCCAGTTGGTCAAGCAGCTTGATGCTCTCATGGATTGGCGGGTCCGCGGGCTTGCGCGTCCTATACGTCAAAGATGTGAGGTTACTCACGTCGCTTCCCGGCGCATAAGCGGTGTAGCTGAATCGGTCGCCCCAGTGGCAGAAGTCGGAGCTCACTACAAAAACGTTATCCGGATCTTGCAGGTAAGGGGCTAGCAAGGTCCCGAATTGCTTCTCCTCCAGCCCCTTGTTGTCGCCTACCAAGATGGGCACGAGCGTAGGGTATTGGTCTTCCGAGGGGAAGGTCTGGGTGATACGCTTGTGTATGTAAGGTAGATGCATCTCGAGAGAATGCTCTGCATTTTCATTGTGCGTTGGCATGTCCTGGAACTTGCCCGTCTCCCGTAGTTTCTGCACGATCGGTTCATCGATGGTCAGATCGCCAAACGGCGTCGCATATCGGGCGTACTTGGTCAAGGCACATCCACGTAGATAGTAGGTGTGGGAGGGACCGAGGAGAAATATTCGCTTTGCTCTGCTAAGATCGAGACATTTATAGGCCCAGGCGGCGCATGGACCTGAGTATGAGTATCCTGCGTGCCTGTAGGATAGGAGTCAATCACCCCAGAACCTGAACACCTCGGCTGGAACAGATTGGGCACGAGCACACGTACGGGGCTATTATGACTTTGGCGCCGGGTATGGGAAGATTCTTATTGTTGATAGAAGCTGGCACGTCGCTAAGATAGCTGTCTAGCTCACTCGACAAGACATCGGGATCCCCTTCGTACCAGGAATCGGCCTTGCCCGCCTCTCGTGTCCCGCTAAGCTTCGTCATAGCCAAGATGCTGTGTTGTTGGGGATAAAGGAACCCGCGACTGGTTATCGAAGATTATTGAGCTGCGATCCCGTCAAAACAAATACATGTAATGTGATCCACTAGTTCTTATTGAATTAGTCTATCAGTCAATACTAGGACACAAGAGTGGGTTGTCATCAGGCAAGTGTGTAAGCTAGGTAGATGGTGATGATGCAACTGATGCGGGACAGCGGAGGGGAGATGTCAAGTAATCGATAAGAGCAGCGCCGGTTCCATACCTTAGGTACCCGACCACAACTCCTGCCCTACCTACTATGTACCTGTAACCTACCTAGGTATGTGTAAGTACATATGTAGATACCTAGGTAGATGTTACCAATGTAGGCCAAGAGAAATAAATACATATTTCAGAACTCAGACAACCATCGCAAGAACAGCTCGCGATGTCTTTATCGCACGCAACAAGTCCTCCATGCTTGACCCGCGCGTCGAATGACCTTCTCCTACTTATGCACCCCTCACAGCCTCCCAATGATGCATCTCACCATGCATGGTGCCCCAACTACACCCCGGCCAGAGCGACAGCGGCTGTGCTGTAAAAGGCTGACAAAAGTGCAAATATTGCCTCAGTATATAATTGATCTCTGAGTTCCCAATGGGCACGTTCTCGTAATCCATGCCTCCTCCTCTGTTATCCCCCAGGGTGGCATATCGTCAAGTCTCATCATGGAAGCAATCGCTGCAGCTGGCGCTTTGCCTGGCCTTGCCTCAGCCACTATCCAGCTTGGTACTGCTACCTTCCAGTTCTACCAGCAGCTACACAGCCTGTACAAAGCAATCAAGCATGGAGAGAAGCAACTCGGTACAGTTGTCAAGCAGCTTGACCAGCATGGAGATTTCATCAAAGGTAGCAAGGTCTTTCGAGCCTTTGATCAGTTGCGTCGGATTTGATCTAATCGCGAAACAGAGCTGAGGTTCAGCTTCGAGCACATTACAGTGGCTAGCATCCCAGCCAGCACGCACCGTCTTTTCGAGCGCTGTATCGTAGATTCAGAAAGAGAAGTCGAAGAGTTTAGACAATTACTAGATCGGGTAGGCAAACATCGCTTCGAAAAGAAAACCTTGCACGCCATCGAGACTGGCAGTCGTCTCCGCTTCCACGAGCATAGTATTCAGAAGTATTGCGATCTTCTCGACAAGCAGATGCATCGCTTTCTCTTTCTCCAGTCTTCTGTACAAAGGCACGTATGCTGGTGGTCTACATAGGAGGCTTGCTAATAGTAGCACAGCATACGGGTAGAGTCAAGCTTATCGGAAGTTATGACCACTCTCGTGAAGCAAGGGGCCAAAGCAGCCAACTTCTACGACGAGCATTCAGCATTGTTAAAAACTAGCAGGGGCCTACGCTCAGCTTCGGGCACTATCTCAAAGAGAGAGCAAGTGAGTTGGGAGATTCGGCAGTTACAGATTTGAATCAAAATGATTAATTGCTAATTAGCCACAGCTGTTAATGGGACAAATGGATAGAAGCAGCCGCACGGCTTCACCTTCCCCACAGAGCGTTATCCCTGGCAATTGGTCTATCATCAAGACCAAGGGGTATTCAACGCTGTGTGGTACGGTCACAGTTGCGACGTTCTCAGACTCAGAAGTTAACAAGGGTAAGCGTCACCAACTCGCCTACAAAGTACGATTTAAGCCCTACAGCTGGATTTCAAGAACACTGGTGGAATGGCGGTGTCTTTTCAGTCCATCCCCCAAGATTCACACGATGCTGTTCTCTGTAACTACTAGCATACTCTGCGATGACCCCGATGTTTTAGATGCATTGGGTTTTGTCCGATCATCGGACGCATATTGGGGCCTTCTGTCCGCGTTTCCTTGGTTCTGGACCATGAAAGTACCCAACTCTGGGAAAATCCGGGCTCTTTTAAACACAGGTCGACTTCTGAAAGACCATGTCCTATGGTCGGATCGCTCAGATCCGGTGGACGTCATCACGGCGTATGATAGAACTCCAAATCATATATGATAGTATATTGACAAGTGAGCAGGTTCATTCTCTCTTATGAATCTTCCCATAAAGAGGAACTCTCTGGTCTATGGAATCGCGATCCTAATAGGAGGTGCACTGAATCGAACCGAGATTATTTATCCCAACAATACCTCGAATTCTATCGGGTAATTGAACTACTTCTTTCATGGGACTTCCAGCCTCATCTCTCTAGCTGGCAACAGTACGTCATATATTATCATTTTCTACATCGCGCTCGATTTATTGAAGACTAGCCAGCATCTACGGCGTAGCTACGCGGCACCACTACCACCTTTTAACTGAGCATCCAGAGGTAATTGGCACATTTGACCTTACCTTGAAGCCCATCTCCCTTTTAATTCTCGAGACTTGCGGGTTTTTGATCCCACTTGACTATAAGGTTACGTTCCATGATCGATGTCGGGTAATGACACCGTATTTAACATATACTGGTACACTTGCGAAAAGTTATGTCACCTATCATGACCCCTACAACCTTGGTGATTCTTATCTCGCGCATTTCGTGGCCGAAAAAGATCCTGTTGCGAGACTGAAAGGGATTCTTGAGCTAGACCCCCTGGACCTCACTGAGGATCGATACATGTTTGACCGGTGGTTACTAGGCGTGTTTGCTCTGTTTCGCCCAGAGACTGCCTCTCTCGTTAGGGATTACATCAACTCTTACCAAACAATGGCAGCCCGCAATCTCTTTAGCATCGATTATATTCGTGAAGAATTCCGACAGCCACCACGCGAATCTAATAAGAAACAACGACGAAATTTCCTGATATTTGTCTGTGCCTATGGCAACCCTTCCATTATTCAAGAAATGGATTTAACTGCACTTACAGCAGCAGAGATTCGAGGTATGCTGTTTCAGGCAGCCCAGTGCTCAAACCCCGAAATATTTGATCTTTTGATAAGCCAGAGTCCGAAGGAGGCGGTAAATGTCACGCCTCATGCACCACGTATGCGTGAAAAACTTACTAACGATCCAACATTCCTCGATAATTATGTCAAAATACTCTTCGACTGTGACCAATGGCCACTAGCAGGGTTGTTTCGTGATCCTGGTACTTCGAGTACATTTTTTCTCCCCAAATCTCAACCATTACCCAACTATGTTGAATACATAACCCTAGGCTGCATCCAAAGATATGAGATGAACCCACTAGCAGTAAGAATAGAGGTGCGGTCGTTGATTTGGCATGCCACGAAAGAATTTTGGGGATCCAAAGCACCCGCGGCACTGCTGCTTCAGGACCTCCACTTCTACGACGTACTTCGAAAGCTTGTTCGAATACCAGCTTGTAAATCACATCTCGACATCTCAAATTTCGTACAATTCGGATATTTGGTACATGTGACAAGTTATACGGGGCTTAACGAGTTTCAGTCCTTCCCATACCCTTCTGTCGACGGATATTCAGCGTTGATGCTCGCTCTTCACTGCGGAATGAAGCCTGCCGTTCAAATCTTAGTCGACGCAGGCGCTTCTGTCTCGGAACCTATGTGCTGTGGAAAATCTGCACTTTCACTTGCCCGCGAAAACATCCGATCTCGACACCCTCGGCGATGGGCCGTGTGTCGCGATCCAGTCACCGGGGTTACCATCCCTACACCCCGCGGGGTAATTACCCCTGAAATGGACATCTTAGAAAGTACGGATCGGGAGATGCTTGAGATATTACTTGAAGCACTACGCGAGAGGGGTGAGATAGAACCTATAGATTCAGACGACTTGACTATGCCCAGCAGGTGGAGTATGGTTCTTCGCATTCTTCTTATGAGCGGGTATCTGCTGACACTTGCCACAGAGTTATTGAGGGGGAAAGTTGGTCATTTCGCTGCATGGTTATTTAAACCTTCCTATAGTTTCGACCCCGATTCCTTTCGTGAGAATAGCATTTATACTATCCTAGTGAGCACTTTGTGGCTCTTATCTGTTCTCAAAGTGCTCAAAGCTGAACTCGGCGACCTCCCGTCCTCTCTCACCAGGGTTTTGTCTCGACCTGTCGTCATACTAGCTTTGCTCGTATGGATACTATCACGATTCTGGTAGCTTTCTTATCTTTTTGATATGATAGAAATTGGATTGCGTTTTCTCATTGTGGTCGGTTGTGTACGACCAGTCATGACTGACGATTTCGACGGTACACGAATTTACGGTCTCTTGTGTTCTACTGCCTGCACCTTTAGATTTATGAATGAAATACAAGGCTTCTTTTCCGAATACAATACAGTGTCTTCACGGACGTGATCTGCAACATTCGTGCACCCTGGAGTCCATCAAATAACAATACGCATTTCTCGTCGGCGGCCTGTTTCATCGTTTGCGATTTCGCATTGGGTGCCTCTAGACTCTATTTAACTCAAGCAACAGCTTAACAATCTTCGTGTCTTGCTCCTCGTGTGCTTAAGTCGTGCTGTGCAACCACACCGTACAGCTGACGCAGATGTGGATTTTCACCGCCTCTAGTTTCTTTTTCTAATAGAAGGCATTTTTAACGAAATATATCGGCTCAGCCTTCTTACCACCATGAAAGCTTGACAAAGTGTAGCGAGGGTCTTATTGTACACTTATATAATAGCCGCCCAGTATGGAAATGACCAGTCATTTTATACTAGCCTTGCGGTTTCTTATATCTTAAAGTATTGACTTCATTTGTTCAAGTATCGCATAGATGGGTGTCAATACGCGCACCTATAAACATTTGGTGATATAACCTCCCAAGTAATCATCTACCTGCCTGCCTGCTTACTTACCGACTATTATTCCTACATAGTCATAACACAAGCGATGCTATTATTCACTGCATCACCACGGAGGCGAGTTCTAACCACGATACGTAAAAGGTATAGCATCTTGTGCCCTCAACTACCTATCTATCTATTGTAAGCGTAAAATAGCTGAGACTTCGCAACGCTACGGCGCAAACGCCACGCAGGGAGGCCAATGTCAAATATCAGCCCTGGAACTTGCTTACTTCTTTCAGTACGAAGTATGTAGGTAGGTATGTATGTATGCATGCATGCCAAGTTGGCGCCCGACGAATGTTGCTTACCGAGAGTACCTGACCTAACCCGCCCTTCCCTGTCAGCCAACTATTTACCAGCCACCGTTCTCTCTAAAGCCCTCGCGCACCACTGTGCCTCTTCTTCGCTTTGTCGAGATTACTAGGACATCTACTCGGTGCGTGAAGTAAGGGCAGGTTGATACTGTACAAAGGTAGGTAGGCAGAGAAACAGATAAGCAAAATTGCGGCAGGGTAGATAGGCAGATAGGTAGACACTGGCTGTTAGCTGCACAAATGACGGCATTTGAGTAAATACGTGTCTCGCCTACACACCATTTCACTCGCTTGATTATACCAACACCAGATCACAAGACGCTGCTGGGGCTGGCATTGGGGCTTGCGCCACGCTGCATTAGCATGTCATGCGGCCTCGGTCGGATTCAGACATAACTTACATATCTACCTACACATCATAGGGCAGAGACCAATGACTTGCTTGCTTGGTTGATGGGTTTCAAAAGATAAGTTGCTTCCTAACTCAGCTCGGCAGATAGGCAAATAGAAGAAAGAGGGGACTTTTGCAATACCTATCTCGGTAGCAGACGATAACGGGCAAATTGTCTCACGCGTTACCACAAGAATCGGATTGTTCTCGCTTTCTTTGTTCATTGTTTTATACCGGGACGAACCCACTATTCTCAATTCTAGTTTATTTCAAATTTAATACTATCTTTATCTAGACTACTTCCGATTGAGAAGTAGGAGGAAGTAGTAAGAAACCGCTTCAATGCGCAGACGGCAGATCAGCTAGATGAATGGATGGGCCGTCGTATATGGCGCTTGAGACGGTCGGCCATGTAGTCGCTGCCCTACTAGACTCGTACGGCGCCGCTCTCGAATGCTACGCCGGTTGGCGCCGGAGACAGCGGGCGCGCAACCATTACTATTACCGGACGACGACGACGAGTACCGCGACCAACGATGGCAATACCAAGGGCGATACTAAGAGCGGGAAAGAGACGACGTTTTCAGCAGCTGGCACATCGCTTAGCATCTCGAAGTTGAAGATTGAGGAGGCATTTCAGAGTGGTGTCGATGTGCTTGGGGATGAATTCGTATACGGAGACGGTAAGACAATGACAGTAACACCAGGTCTTCCTTCCTGATGATCGTATCTACGTCTGGCGTGCGTAGGCTGATGAGAGATGTGGCTCGACTGCACCAGCGGCCTGTCATGATGTTCTAATGCAGAATCTCGCGCGAATACGCGATTGCGTAGCGGCTCTACAACGAGCTATTGAGGGAGGAGAATATTATCCCCTGCCGCTCGGCGAGGTCACTCGCGTGTCGGAGGCGATGCGCATATCCACCTTAGCTGCGTTGCAGAAGCAGTACCAACGTCTTGTCGTCGGCCGATTAGCGCCGCGGGCAGTATCACCACCGCAAAATATTTCGATAAGCGGTAATGCTAGCCATGTCGACGACACCGCCAGTCATGAACCAGGGGTGGATCCAGCAACACCGACACAAGTACCAGATCACCATCTAATGAAGAGTTCGGTGGACAAAGATTCCAATAGCACCGTTAGCAATAGTAATAACAACCCTCGCGAGCCACCGTCCCCCCCTACGACGCCAACACAGATCTCGAAAGAGCCATCGCTGAACCAAGAATCCGAGTCCACGTATTCCTGGTCTACAGCGAGATTCGGCGACGCTCGGCCGAAGAACAGCGTTTTCAGCGTCTTCTGCCCTGAGGCGATGAAGTACCAGGTGGACCTGGAAAAGGCATTGCCGATTGACGGAGCGAGATGCAGATGTGGTTATGTTTGGAACGCCGGCTGTCGTGCCGAAGACAGGGCCACCATGGTAATCAAAGATGGATTCCACATCACGCCCAGGTTCCTGGGTAAATCACATTGCAACAATGGGTTAGGATGTGTTCTGTGTACGGTAAGTCTTCCTCGCTCTGAGAACCCCGTTGATTGAGGAATGCATTTGGATCGCGCACGCGTGAGCCGCTGCTCGTACCCTCTGCTTCGATGTCGAGTATCACGGGGCTAACCAATTGCTCAGTCTAATGGTAGGATCGAGACGTTTGGTAGCGTGGAGGGCTTGAGGACCCATATCAACTCTTCGCATTCAAAATGGCAGTTGTTGCATGACCGGGATTTGGCGGGTCATTAAAGGACCGATGATTAAGCTGACCGGAAAAAATTCATGCTTCTTTGTCCAAAAACCAGACTAGGTAGTTAATAGCTAGGCAAGTGGATGACCGTTAACCTAAGCTTATATGATGTTCTTTTTTGACATGGTGATGGAGTCATCAGGGCCGTTTGAATAATAGTTCGAATCCATCAAGGCTAGTGTGGTGTACCAAGCAGTGCGCTATGTTCCGTATCTTGGGTTCTCTTCACATGGTAATACCAGGACGGACTGGCCAAGTCGGCTTAATTCTCGCCTTGCAAGGAGGTTCGCGTGGATCACAGACATGACCCAGTTGGGGTCCCTGGCCGTTTCTTGCACCCAAAATAAAAGTGCAGACCATCATCGAATGGTTCGCATGTATTTCGTCTCCGCTCTCCGGTGGATATAATCAATGTCAACGGCCCACTGCAATATGTCGGTTAGATAACTGCCTGCCAAGGAAAGGATCATCCCAACAGGGGGAGTGCCAGGTATTACACCATTTTGGCCATGAATCACACATTCGCAAAGAACTGCCAATGAGTGGAGGATCTGGGAGACATTGACGTACCTTTATCTTGCGGTCCTCTAGGTCGGGAAAGGCTTCCCGCAAGAGCTGTGCCACGTACACGAAGCGTCGTTCGATTAGCTTCATGTTCTGCATCCACTCCCAGCTGCCCTTCTGCCTATCCTGAATGACTGAGTCGTACGGGACAAACCCGAAGTCGTCGCGCTTTGCGTTGGCACAAACCCAGGGGTCGAGGTCGCTCAGACGGACAACAAGGACGACCTCGTCGAGGTTTGCGGACGGCTTGGGGAAGTCGACGCTTGGTCCGAGGAACTGACGGAACCCTTCATACTTGTAGCTATCGTGGATAAGGATAGCCACCCTTCGAAGCTTGCTCGCAATAGGTCCATTACACACCCTCCTCAGCGTCTCGCAGTTGACGTCTGCACCGTCGGTGAGATAAAGCAAGTCATTTGCCCAATTGACATGAACTCCGGGGATGAGCGTGTCGCGCGGTTTGCCACCTGGGTTCCTGACGAATTCAGCAAGCTCCGGTGTTGATTGCAGGATATCTTTCGGTACGCTGAGTGCTTGCTCCCGGTCCTTGCGGTCGACGAGGTCTCCAAACCTGTGCTCATACAAATCTTTCACATGTTTACTCGGCAGTCCCATGAAGTTCATATGAACGAGATCCAACTTTTTGTGAAACACTTCGAGTGCTTCACTATTTATAGTGGCGGCAGCAAAGCGAAGACTAGTAGGCACATTATGGTTTGTCTGTGCGGTTAGGTCGGCGTAGGCTATAGCAGCTCCATTGGAAGTTGACTGAAGTTTCGATGGCGCCGGGTAGAGTACATGAATCCGTGGGATGTCGAAGTAGTATTCCCATATCTGTAGGCGGAGCTCGGCGGGGAGGTCTGAGAAGCGGTGGAAAGTCCTAGTATCTTGGTCCGGCACCGGCACCGGCACTGATGCTGAACTGTCCTCGGAAGTGAGGAAGAACCGGTCCATTAACCAACGCATTGTTATTGGTGTAGTGGCCTAGCGTGATCGTAAGCTTCAAGTTGGTATGAAGTTAAGATGAGAGTTTTGTCTAGACTTGATGCTAGATGCCGCAAAGGGAAGAAAGGCTCAACAACAAGAACACAGGACAATGTGAGCTATCATATTAGGTTCTTAGTCTTTTTACTTACTGTTTGTTATTAGAAGCAAGTAAGATACTCCAGGTTAGACAATATGATCACGACAAATTGCGCAACGTTGCAGCGAGATGGCGACATTTCACGATATGGTATAGCACGGGAGAGAGCGAGTACATGATAAGGTATATATATCTCTCCTTGGATATTTGTCAAGTACTCGTTGGGGCGAGACACGATACCCATCGTGGTGGTCGTACTAGAATAGAACCGAGCCATGGCATGGGGTTGATGCTCCAGATCGTACGCTGGGCAATGCTAGGCGTGACCGAGTCTATTGCCGCATTCTTCATTTCATTTGAAAGACACCGGCAACTCCATCAGCAGACAAGTGGTGGTTAGCAACTGGGGATCGTTGTTTGCTCCAGGGGTCACGGAAAACTCCATCTGCAGTACTTCCCAGATCTGACCCAGGCGCCTAATAGCTGGGACCAAATTGCCTACCCGTGTACTCCTCACTAAACCCTATCGGCCAGGCTACATTAGCGAGCACGATGCTGCTTACTTGGCACCAAGAAAGGAAGTTCTCAGCCTAGTTAATTGCGTCTTAGCAGTCTGTGCTCTCACTTAGTCGTTGTTTAGTGTGAAAACAAGAAACTCCTAAAAGTGTCTACCGTACACTAAATGGCGCCAAAAGCCAAGTGAATTCGGTGTGCTAGCTTAACGCAGGTAAGGGGCACGTATTTAAATCCTGTCAAGTGCGCTGGTTCTAGACTGAAGCCACTGACGCCTCTCGTGTAATATGCAGTGTAGCGCAGTCTTCGTAAATCACCTCATCGGTGGTCTAGATGATGAGACCTGATAATGCCCTCACTTACACGATAATACAAATACCTCCCTGCCGGCCCCGAATGTTGAAAGCCTACCTACCTAGATCTCCAGACAACAGGATAGCTCAATGCACCAAGTATGGTAAGCACAGCTAAACATACTAAACGCAGCATTAGTCAACACTAGGCACGGTTAGTTTGACTGATATTCTTGGATTTCTTGGATTTCGTACACTACTACCTAGTAGTTATGTACTGTACTACATGTGCACACTACGGAGAGTACCCCATCCAGGTCAAACGTTTCTCGGAACCCAATCACGGCTTTTGCCGTCTACGGGACACACATAATACCTGCAGATAGTTTCACGTGTAGCATTGCAATTCCAATCCCCGGCCCGGAAGTAATCAGCCTCCCCACCGGTCTAAAGAATGTTGGGCCAATGACTATTCCTCTTACAAGATCTCTCGTAACCACGAATTACACTAGCATGTCTACTAACGGTCTTGCACCACTTACCTAAGTCAATATCCACTCCTCAGACGACAAATATCTATTTTTATGCCTAGACTTCTTAGAAAAGGCCTAGAAGCCCCAGCGAAGCGAACAAGCGAACCCCTTCGTCAAAATCCTTCAATCTCTGTGTCTTGTCCTTACCTACACTATTGAATCATGCGATGACAGATTTAACTTGGGAACAGTACTAAGTAAGCTAGTAAACTCACCGTAACTCCATGTAATATAAAATAATGCCATAGTCTATGATGGTGCCAGCTCCAGCTACCTGATCGTACTATTTACATTAGTACAGTGAGCACACATACTCAGTTTGTCGTTGATATTAGGCCAGCCTCCCTTGCCTGAACAGGTAATTTTGCTATCATTGGCTATTGCCCAACCCGAGGGCGCTCGGTAAGCGATCCCGACTCTCAATAGGTCCGATTCGCGTGTATCCCGAAATATGGGGGGTTGTACAAAGTCTACTGGATACTACCGCAGCTAAGCCGTGCTATTAGGTATTCGAGTAGCATTCATTGGATGCCTACCATATCTTCTTAAAGCCTTCGGCTCGAAGGTAGCGCCACTTAGGTAGACTCCTACGTCGTTAACCCTACCGTGGTTGCCAAATGTTCATAACGGTGCTTTGTTGTTTCTCCTCTTTCGTCAGAGGTTGGAGTTACCCGGATTATCTAGTTGCCATATCTACACCGCTATCTGATCCTCTGCCCTTGCACCTCCTTCACAATTGAAGCACCCATGGACAAGCTCCTAGCTAGAACTACATATTCCGTATATAATAGGTCTACGCTTTCCTCTCTCCCCGAAATTTGTGTGATTGTGTTTTGAAATTTGCTGCTTGCACATGAACAAAGCTGGAGTGACTTCGAAGTTTCGGGTTCCGAAATTTTATGCGGCCTTGGATCAACATCCTAACGCCTCACCTGTAGGTAACAACAATTACATGCGGTGAGTCTCTGGGTCGGTGCTTGACTCTGATCCAATACTGTGGGCTAGAAGGGCTACTGAAGCGGCAGTCGAGAAGCCAGAGGAGGACCAGGTGTCACTACAGTTGGTGACACAAGCTGGTGAGTGGTCTGGTTAATACGCCACTTCGGGAAGGGTCAAGGTCAAATTAGGATTACCCACAGTAACAAATATGTGCGCGAAATATATTGATGCTTGGGTGGAGGAACTCAAGCAGGAGGCGAATGCGGTCTTTCTTTACCATAACAAGCAATCAGAACGCTGAGCCAATACAGCTCCCTTGTACTCGGCATTCCCTAGCCAACTCAATTTTTCCTTATGTATGGAGATGCTCTCTTTCGCTACGTCCAAGTAGCGGTTTTCGTCTTCATATCCGGTTCTCTTACAAACTCATATCTTCCCTGGCCCTGTAAACCATAAACATGAACTGTCCCACGTTCATCCGGGAGAGATGGGTCCCTAAATAATCATATACGGACTCATTACCACGACTAGTTGAAGCTCTCTAGAAAGAGAACATCTATCAACACTGCATTTTCCAAATTATCGCCAGTTGTACATCTTTAATCTCCGAATGTATTCACCTTGCTTGTTATCATCCTTTTGAGTTCAGTACCTAAATAGCTCACTGCTACACACGGGTGGGTTTGAAGATTAGAAAAAGCTTGACTCACTGTGTATAGAGTCAAAAGTAGCTATCAAGGTCAGAAGGAAACTGGTGGCCAAGGACATTTGCAGCCCTAGTAGACGATTATAATGTGAATAGCCTGGGTTCCAAGTCCTCTCTCTCTCTCTCTCATCAGCCCTTCCTACACACTTTTATCCTTAGCTCAAGTAAACGACGGATAATCCGGCTAGTAAGCGCTGCAGAACTGAACTCTGTCACGGAACAGAATAAGAATGTACCATACTAAACTAAGACCGTGTGCGTCTACACTCAACTATATGGTACTGTGACAAACTCTACATTATTCGGTTTAGGCGACTTAAGAATAACAACAAGTCTACTCATGGGATGCTCATGATTTCATTAATCAATGTAGCGCGGTATAATATCAGGGGTTCGTCGCAAAGCACAAGTAGCTTACTTGCAGCTCAACACACTTAGTTTCATAATCTAAAACGAAATTTAGGAAAACCGAGGAATGAAATTCACTTTATGTAGTTATCTCATTTAAAATAGAAAAAAGAAAGACCACCCGGAATCACACACAATTCATATGCATAACTGGCGGTGGAAACGGCAAAAGAAGGGCTCAACCGGGATTCGAACCCGGGGCCTCTCGCAGTTTAGATGGAGACCCAAAGCGAGAATCATACCACTAGACCATTGAGCCGCTGATGCGCTGAAGTGAGCTTATGATGGTACGAAAATAACTAGGACCTATATATTTGTTACATGTCTTCTCACAGCCACACAGCACCGTTGAGCATCCTGAATGAATATCAACATCTGAAAATGAGATGCATCCTATTTGCCCATGTAGTTACAGGCGCGCAGTGTGAAGGCCTGAGAAGAAAATAGTTCCTTTCTACATATATCTCACAATGGCCACAAAATAGCAGGGGACCGCGTATGCGAGGAAATGATATAATTAGATAGGATTAAAACCTTACCTACCGGTACGTAAAGAACCACCGTAGACATGGAGGGGAATGCGTAACAAAGCGCCTAGTAGGTGAGAATTCCATACCTATACTTCACCACAACTACGGCCGTGTTAAGATTACAACTATAAGCTCGCCGTATCTAGTCCACGTTACCGCACCATCTCATCCCTCTGCTGTCGATTCAACCATCTATTCCTCGGTCGCAAAGCCAACTTAATACCCTTGCCATGCGCAATCCGCAAGAACGTCGTCATCATGTATTCCCGCTGAAGATCCGTCAACTCCTCGACACAACTAGCTACATATAACCCTCGCAGCAGAAAATAAGCGCCCAGGGCCTTCCCGTCCTTACCGACGACTGGTAGGCCTAGCCGGTCTACGTCGCCTAGCATGTACGGGACACAGGCACAGATGTCATCAACTGCGCTGTAGAGCCTTCTCTGGAGATCCTGAATGGAATATTGGTCTTGGTTGAGGCATTGTTCTAATATTGGAAGAGAAGATGCATGAACGAGGACTTGTAGGGCATATACGACGGTACACCAGAAGCTGATCCACATTGCGCCATGATGAATGTTCTTGAAAAGATGGTACTTCTCTGGGTAAATCGTTCCCGGCTGGGCATCTCGACTGGGCATCTCACAGGATTGGTATGACCAGATAGAGGGCAGTGTTTTCCTCCAGTTCAGTAGGCCATGATACGTCGAGTATAGATTATCAATAGATTTGATAACTTCATTACTGGATATTTCGTAGCTTGGAACCGAAATCATCGTCCAAGTCGCGACACAGCATTGCGAGGTCTTGCGCATAAGTCGCCAGAGCTCAGCTTCATGCAGAGCGATATCTACCCTCTTAACATCATAATCCATGTTGATCGGGGAAGGACAGAGGCCCCCTATTGCGTTCGTATGAACCCGGCCGTGGATAACTTGAAGCAAGGCATTGTCGTTCCTTGTCCCGAGCCGAGCATTCCCGCGTATCCGCGATAGTTCCACGAGTCCTTTCTGGTGGGGATCACATGACACTCTCGTGATGCCGACGATTACCTGCAATGAATGATTGTTACAGAGGGAGGTCGACAGGTCGTCTTGATGAGCATATCTTACCTCGTACATCTGGAGGATGATGATGGCGACCAGTGTAGCATCAGAGCTCGCTTCTAATGGGTTCTTCAAAGCGCTTGAAATACATCTTAGTGTCTCACCGTAGTGTTTCTCCGCAGTTATCTGGAGATAAACGAGCCCGGTTATGTTGGCGAGACTCGCAGAGCCAGCTGCAAGCACCGCGGACTTGAGATACGGTACGCTTGGACTGTTGCTTAATAAGTCTGACAAGAACCCTAGATACCCGGAGCTGTCCTTCGTCGCAGATGATGTATAATGGTATAAGAAATGCGAGATGGCTCTCGTGTCCCATGCTTCAGAAGGCTGTGCGAGGAGTTGCGGTATGCATGAATCTGATGCCAAATCTCCTGCGTGATCTGATGCTGCAGAAGTATTATGTGTTCGCGTCCGTAACGGACGTGCAGCTTTACCCTTCGAAGCAAGTCCTTCATTCACCGACCGGAATATCACTTGCTTCGTGTCGGGATAGCCTGGGCATAAACGACGAGCCTTTGCACATCTTCCACATTGTGGCTTCTTCTCATCGCACTTTTACGAAGCCGCCAATTAGTACTTATCTACGGGGACAGTTTGGGATTGCCTATCATATGAGCTAATTACTACCTTGACTTTCATCCTTCTGCATGCGTGGCAGCCTAGGCTGTACGGAGTTCGGGTCGCCATCGGGTCCCGTAGGGCACTATGATGAGGATAGGTAGGGAGGGGCTGTGGTTCGAAAGTAGAAACGATCCGGCCTTGAATGAGGCAAGCCGCGCGACTCGCAGCGATAACCTAGAGCGACCAAGGAAACACAACGTCGCCAGTTCCAAGTCTGATGCCTATGTAAATTAGTAATATGAAGTTGAACCGGGACATGTAAAACCTATGACGAGGTCCTACACTAGTCTAGATTAGGTCATACTACTTTGTATAGGCGCGCCTTGAGTAGGTAACTTATCCCGAATCGCACGAGTTACCCAATTAGGCAGTAGGTGTTGATGTGAATGGGTGCAGGTGGTGACACCGATGAGCCGTGGATGCGATTCAGGCGTCGTACACATCGTAGGTGGCTCTCATAACGTGAGCGTTTATAAAAGACCCAAGACGTCGAAATCCGTGGGTTTCCGTCGACCTTTCGAGGAGCGGAATCATAATTCGTGTCACAATGTCTCTTCTACCATTTCTATACGCATCCTTCATGCTTGCCTCTCTCGGGGCTGCATGTCCATCCCATAATGGAGCGGAAATGCAGTTCAACTATACTCTGGCCACTGACAGCAATGAGAAGTTTCGTTCGATGCAAAGAAATATTCCACTTGCCATGGGAAAGATAGCCATCAACAATGTACGAGTATTTGATGGACACCGACTGCTTCCAACTACTACTGTAGTCATTGAAAATGACAAGATCGAAAGTATTGGGCGTTGCAGCAACGCCAATACACATATTGACGGGAATGGTGGCGTCCTTCTACCCGGACTCATAGACGCACATGCGCATCCGGAGAATGTCACCGACCTTCAAGATTTAAGCCGGTATGGAGTGACTACGGCACTGCTCATGGCTTGCTTCCAGCCACAACTTTGTCAGTCATTGCAGAACCATACTGGGCTAGTTGATATCGTGGCAGGGTCACTACCCGCCGCGGCACCAGGAAGCATGCACGGGAATATTATCATCATGGCAGATGGCAACGGGGATCGTCTGGTCACCAATGCTAGCGTAGCTGCTTCATGGGTTGACGATGCAGTATCGTGGGGACCGGATTTTGTCAAGCTCATTGCCGAATCACCTGGTTTAGACCAACAGACACTGAATGTTTTGACAAAGAGGTCCCATGAGCAAGGGAAGCGCGTGGCCTGCCATGCATCTGCTCTCGAAGCGTACAATCAAGCGGTCACGGCTGGCGCTGATAATATCCAACACGCGCCGCTCGACACGCCGATCTCTGCTAGCCTAGCGCAACATATCGCTTCCAGCGGCCAAGTAGCAACCCCAACGCTCACCATCCTGCGAGCCATCAGTGATGCATCGCCGGAATCGCGCGACTACACGGCTGCAGAAGAGACGGTGCGACGCCTAAAGGCGGCCGGGGTGCCTATCATTGCCGGCACGGATGCCAACTTGGTCCAAGGACTCATCGCTCTAGTGCCCTTCGGGATAAGTCTTCACGAAGAGCTTCGATTGCTGGTCCATGCAGGGCTATCCCCGGCAGAGGCGTTACGAGCCGCGACCTCTGTGGCGGCAGAGCATTGGGGATTGAGTGATAGAGGGGTGATTGCGCCGGGCAAACGCGCGGATCTGGTGCTACTCTCTGGGAATCCTCTTGAAGATATTACGGCCACCCGGACTATTCAGAGGGTCTGGCTGGCTGGCGTGGAGTTTTCTGGGGATATAGGGACATTTTGAGGTCACTAGGTATTCATATACCTACGCGTTCTTATCGCGTTAGGTACCTTACAGTCACTTGTAGTTCGCGTCCGTCACATGCTAGTCATAATTCTTACCGCGTAACACATTTGACTTGCTGTTCTGGTCACAGCGTCGGTTACAAACATATATATATATATATAAATGAATCATTCATCTCATAGAGCCACCTAGGCAATCGAAACACTTGCGCCTCGTTTGATTCTTTTCTAAAAGTATATGGTATGTATTGTATACCTAGGTAGATATGAATTTGATTGATCTGATGTTCTACAGGCGATACCTGTACCTATTACCTACCGGTAGTGCATGGGTAGTACCTTTGTTGTACTACAGCACAGGACCACAAGACCTGTAGTGGTACCTACACAGAGGTTACCACATACAGCGCAGGTAACGTACAAGTACAACCTGGGCAACGTGTGCGCACCCATGGCTCTGGTACCGAGCAGCTCCCAATGCAACGCGATTGATACAATACTGCCAATACAACGTCAGTATTCCAACCTGTTACTGAGATACAACACTGCAATACAAGGCATCAGCCCAGAAGACCAGCGCGCAGCCTTGTCCCCCTCTCTCTTCTTTATATGTAGTTAAACAAATGATTTTATACCCTGATTGTTATCCACTGCCTGCCGCGCTTTGAGACGTTGAAAGGTCAGCGCTCTATGTGATTCGATACCTACTTCCTCACAAATTGAGTCATCCACTGCGCAGAACCTCCACAAGGTCGACAAAACCACCACTCTTCTTGCTTGCACCACATCTTCGCGCTTCCGATGACTCCGCCATAGGCGTACTCCGACACGTCGCCCACATCGAGACCGACATCGAGATGGAAGTCGATATGGTCAAGCCAGAAAGATTCTCTGCCACCGATGGAGAATCGTCTCGTATAAAGTCAGACCCGGGCAATGCATCACATCTCACCTCTGGCGGGCCACATACCGCCGCCAACAATCAGGGTGGCTCTCAGTCGCGCGCCTGGAGTCCTTCACCTCAACCGCATGACCTTCTCCTTGCGCCTCGCCAAGATGCAAGATACGGCGCAACCGCTGCGCATTCCCACGTGTCTCAAGCAAATCACGAACCTGGTCAACATGACCTGGCTCACCCCGGATTCCCCCACCTGCTCCCAAACGCCGAACCATATGACGAAAGAGAACAAGAAGCAATTCGCAACCTTTTGGACGTGCCTGATGTAGACATACCCGTGTGGGATCGCGAGCGTCAACCCGTCGCTCTACAGAAGAAGCTCATGGCACATCAACAAGTCGGATTGACGTGGTTGATCAATCAAGAGGAAAGTACTCACAAGGGCGGCATCCTTGCTGATGACATGGGACTGGGCAAGACTATTCAGGCCCTTGCATTGATCCTGTGTCGTCCACCTGTGGACGGTACCCGCAAGACTACGCTTATCGTCGTTCCTACAGCCTTACTCCGCCAGTGGGAGCGCGAGATTGAGGACAAGGTGAAGCCTAACCACAAGCTCAAAACGGTCATCTTCCATGGTGCGAAAAAACGGAATTTGACCGTCGCAAGGCTGTTGTCTCATGACATTGTTCTAACAACCTATGGTACTCTCGCCCATGAGTACAAGCAAATCTACGAGCAACGGAAGACCGCAGCAGCGGTTCTCTTAGCACCCCACGCCATATTTCACCGCATCATTCTAGATGAAGCCCATAATGTCAAGAATCGAAACTCACTGTCTTCCAAGGCTGTAGATCGCCTTCATAGTACCTATCGACTTTGCATGACCGGAACACCCCTGATGAACCGGCTTGATGAACTTTATCCTCTGATTCGCTTCCTTCGCATTGAGCCATACCGGCAATGGGAAAACTTTAGGCGAAATTTGTCGTCCATTAAGGGGGGTGAGACCAGAGCTTTGAAGCAACTTCACGTACTCCTTGGCCGCACCCTTTTGCGCCGCACCGAAAAAACCATAGTCGATGGCCAGCCCATCTTTACCTTACCAGACTTGACTGTTCAGACCGTCCAGGCTGAATTTGACGAAGATCAGTCAGAATATTACCAGGCACTCGAAAAACACTCACAGTTACGAATGAACAGATACTTGAGGGAGGGCACAGTTCTGAGAAACTATTGGTATATCCTTCTCCTAATCCTGCGACTCCGGCAGTGCTGCTGTCATCCTCATTTGATCAAAGATCATACCATTCCTGAGGGTGTGAATATGACATCTGAGGAGATGACGGACCTCGCCTGTACGTTAAAGAGGCCAGTTGTTGACCAGATCAAACGTCAAAAGACCTTCGAATGTCCAATGTGTGGAGAAACAACTGAATACCCCATCATCATTTACCCGTGCGGACATCACATCTGCGGCGCCTGTATAACGAACATGGCACCAGTAGCAGAATCTGGCATGGATTTCTTTGAGAGCGATAGAGACGATCCGGTATTGGGGGCTTGCCCTACGGAGGGGTGCAACGAATTCATTGACTCGAAATTAGTCATTTGTTACAATAATTTTCGCGAGGTGCATCTCTCTCATGACGACAAGGGAGACCGTGCTTTGGGCAAGAAGGAGGAAGAAGAATTAGAAGACGATGACGATGCGGATAAAAACGGGAATTTAAAAGATTTCGTCGTATCAGATGACCACGAAAGTGATAATGAGGATGAGGTCGAGTCGGGTGATGCCTCACTTTCTACTAGTGAGCCTGACGCAAAACGTACAGAAGATTCTAGTGGTGCCAAGTTAGAGGAGAGCTCAAGAAGTGACTCGCGCGTCGAGCATAGCCCAGAACGTTGCCTAGTCCCAACAGCTGCTGTATCGGAGAGCGATGCGGATGATTCTGATGACTCTTTGCCACCCATTGACTCAATCTTTAGTCAAATTAGGAAGAAGGTAGAAACCAAGACCAGTCCCAAGGCACCACTTACAGGGCTTTCCGCCACAAGGCAAAACAAGAGGAATAACCTCCTGCGGTCTCTCACCAAAACTGAGCTCAAGCGTGCTATGAAGCATGATCCCGATTCTGAAAGTGAAGCTACAAATGAAGACATCAGTGTGGTTTCGCGACAGAAGAGGAAAAGACGACTGGGGCAAGGCATAGCCAGACCGCAGAAGAGGTCGAGAAAGGGCAAAGGTCGGCGGACTGAGCTCACCCTAAGTGCTCTTAAGTCAAACTTGTCCAGCGCCGCTGCCAAAGAACGATATTTCAATGGACTTAGAAGAGATTGGGAGTCTAGTGCGAAGATTGATAAGGCGATGGAATTGCTAGCAATGATCCGGCGAGATTTTCCCAACGAGAAGACACTTGTATTCAGCCAGTTTACCTCTTTTCTCGACCTCATGGAAATTCCCATTTCAGACGATGGGTACAACTATCGACGCTACGATGGCAGTATGCCCAACGGTGACAGAGACGCGGCCATTGATGATTTCATGAAGAAACCCGAAGTCAAGATAATGCTAGTCAGTTTAAGGTGCGGCAATGCTGGATTGAATTTGTATGCGGCCACACGGGTTATTATGCTCGATCCGTTCTGGAATCCATCGGTAGAGGACCAGGCTATCAAACGAGCTCACCGACTAGGCCAGACCAAACCTGTCGTTGCATATCGAATCCTGGTTGAAGAGACGGTGGAAGATCGCATTCTTCTATTGCAAGAGAAGAAAAGGCAGCTCGTCAATGACGTTCTCAATGCCGAAGCTCGGAAGGGTCTGAGTCGGTTGAGCGTATCAGAGCTTGCGGGTCTGTTTGGTATCAACTGGCGCCGCTGAGCATTATTGTGTTTTCGAGAAAATCGGATGGTTTTGGAATTGTATCAATTCGGCGTTTGGTGGATGATATCCCATGGTTCTGGCAATGGATTGACATTGCTTTGTACATGTATTTTACACGGAGCATTATTAGACACTAAATGGCCTACGCAGGCTGCTGTTGCTGCTACTACTACTCGACAAATACTTCGACACATGGCTCTGGAAGCTAAACGGTTAACACGTCATCAGATCAACTACTTCACTTAGACTTAGGTGGCTAGATATTCACATCAGAAATATCACCATTGCTCACCGGAGAATAGCCGGCATTTGTTGATACTATCAAATCAATGATTTTCTACTACCATCCCCTTTTTCACACTTTCACACTTCTCAGGCTACCTATCTCTTGTTTCCCTTTAGTGTCGATTGACCAACGCATCTAGCTGAGCCGTGATATCAACCAGCGGGAAACTCGTCCTGTTCCCCGCCGACGTCCCCGGGACCAAGGGATCGGTAAACCACTCTTCGACGATGTAGACGCGCCCGCCGATCTCGACCGCAGCCGTCACGAGCCCGCCACTCGACGCGAGCTCGGTCGGGTTCGGAATGCGCCCTAGGAACTCGGCGGCGCGCCAAGACGGGCTCTTCTCCCCCTTTCCCCCTCCTCCCTTGCGGGACCGCACCACAGACACCGCGTCGTGCTCCGTGATCAACAAGACCTCGCCGCCGTATTTCCGCGGGAGATAGATCGCGTCCGCGGGACGGATCACTTGGTCTGCTTCCGCATACGCAATCGGAACTACCCTCGGCGCGCCCCTCGAGGCATCCATGTCGAACGTATACAGCGCCCCGCCCTCGGCACTGCGGTTCCGCGCGTCCGTCACGAGGAGCACGGAACTATCCCGCACCGCGGCGAAACCCGTGTATCCGACGACGGCGTGGTCGAGCGGCTTGGTGCTGGGCACGAACCACTCGCTTGCGAGACCGCCTGTGCGCGACACCCGCTGGATCGTGCCTGGATACGTACCTAGTACGTAGATGTTGCCCCGCGCGTCGTGTTCTATGTCTTGAGGCCCGCCGTACCGCGTCCCGGATGTGCGCGTTAGGTTCGTTGACCAGAGGACGGAGTGCGTGGACGGCGAGTAGCGGATTAGGTAGTTATCGCCTGAGATGTCGCGGCCGGCTGTTTCGCTGGGTGGTGGGCGTTAGTTCGTGCATGCGTATATGTATGTCTCGTGAGAGGAAAAGGTCTTACTGTGCTGCGGCCGCATCCACGAGGATCGTGATCTCGTCTGCGGACTTGCCGTCGCGGCTCTGCAGGTACGGATCCCAGGCTACGCCGCCGATGTGGAAGGGTGGTGTCCGTGTGATGTTGGCGAACTCGATCGTTGAGACTACGGATCCTTCGTACGGGTCGTATACTACCACCGAGGCATTGTAGAGGGCGCCGATGTCTGCTCAGCCATTCGCTAGGTGAGTATTCATACTTTTTCATTTGTGATTATCACGAGAGTTACGACCAAGGTTCTCTTGGGATTGCGTTTCTGAGAACTTACTACAGAAGCGTCAGTCTTCTTGAAATTCGAATTATTCTCTTCGTCTTCGTCGCACGTACCAGAGCAGACAGGATTGTTCGTCAAAGTCGACATTCTCGGGATATAGCTGATAGGATCCGATGTTGATCGTGCCGTTGCCCATGGGCCGACATGGCGCCTTCGGTTGTAGCAGCGGATGGCTTGATGCTGCGGTTACAAGTGATATTACTGTGATGATTGAGAAGGCGAACATTGCGTTTGTTGGACGATAGCTGAGTTTTCCAGTAGGATCATCTGTGCTACCCAGTCGCTACTCCTATCTAACAAGTTTCTTTCTTTATCTCGTTTCTTTTTACATTGTCTCTCTTCCCGTCTCCCCTCACGAGTCCACTCATCACTCGCAGGAATCATCGCCACAAATGGACGGAAGAACGCATCGGCTAAAAACGATTGGGGTTGGGACTTCGTAACTGCAATGCGGAGTAGGGGCTGTGAATGGCCTAGATTGCGGTTTGAACCTCTTCAATTCAACCGGGGAGAAGTTACTAAACACCTAAGATTTTTGTCATCATTTCGTTGGCGACTACATACTTGTAGTCTTGCTGACTATGGGCTGACTGATGCGCTTGTTGGAGAGAGTGCATTCATTACACGAACGCGAAGCCACTGGATTCTCCTCCCCTACATCTGCAATGATTCTTACATTTCTGTAATCAGGGATTCCACTTTCTAAAAAATCATATATCGGCATTATCAAGAGTTAACGATCTCATTATTATCGCCTTAGTTCACCTCCGTCACAGAAGTTTTTGCTATCCGTCACAAACCCGTACGCTTTCTGTGTATGGAGTATTAGCAACACCTTATGAGAATAGGAAGCTCTGTTTTCGTAGAGTCATACAAGTCCTCGTGGCGAGTAACGGAATTACGAGGATGAACTGGAATACTCACGGCTACATTCCAAGTAGTGACTTCTTGTCCACCTGGTGTCTTCGTAGCACAACAATCCTCTAGCATCACACAGGTATATCCGCGATTGTACGCATCAACGAGCGTACCCAAGACGCACTGGTCTGAATTGACACCGGCGAACAGGAGAGTTGTAAAGGGTTTGACTGTGTCACACAACTTCGCGTCGTCTGACCACATGCCCGACATCCGGTTCTTGTCGCAGAAGATATCCTTGTTCTTGTCACTAGCATCGAGAAGAGATTCGTAGAGCTCCGCGTTCCAGGAGTTGGCCACTGCATATGTTGGGTCAGTCATTTGACTCATCAGCAAGGATTCATTCACTTCGGAGAAATGGCACCAATTCAAGAACGGATCAGGGGGAGTTGAAGGAATAATATAAGAAACCTTCGTACTTAGGAGTCTGCCTCGTCCAGAGCCCATGTTTGAGCCTAAACCACATCGTGACTGGCCTTGCTTGTTTGGCACTTCGCCAGTCCGCTCGCTGTCAATTAGTTGACCAGAGAAACCCCGATGAACAGCAGGAGGCATGCTGGAGAGATCTGATTCTGTCAAGCCCCAATTTAACCAAATAATCTAAGTGGAATGACGATCTAGTTAGCCCGTCATATGCGAGCCCAATTCGTGATAAGAGCTTAGCTTCCCTCTTGAAAATACAACAGGTACCCATGCAGAACCAGCATCTCTTCCTGGCCAGTATAGCTTGAGATCACAGCTGGAGTAATGTGTGTAGAAGATAGAAACAATAGAGGATGAAAACTTGGTGTGAGAATATATATCATATCATGTGGTTCGTACCTGAATCCCGAGCTCTCTGCACTTCGCGACGACTTCAAGAATACGCTCAGCCGCCGTAAGACCCTCGGCAAAATCATTGCACCGTGGATGCAAGAAGAAGTTCTGCATGTCTACGACGACCAAAGCCGTCAACGTTGGATTCACGCTAACATTCGGACATGACGGGCCCTGGGTTGTACCAAAGAGGTAAATATCGCTGGCATTAGCAGGACTGGTATCGTAACAGTTACTATCTCCATGATATATCCATCCGTTTCCGGATGTTCTGTCTCCAAGAAACAGACCCATTGTAGAAATGTTCTCGTTGCTGTGGAGTGAAAAGAACGTTCACTAATGTTTAGAAAGTTGACCTTCTATATGGCCGTCTTATAGCTTTGTCTGCCAAGCGATACGAGCTGATCCCATTCAATCGTGAGGGGCTAGGTGGGTAGCTCGCTGGGTAATTTGAAGCTCAGGAGCGGTATTTTGGGGTCATAACCTTATCTATATGTGATTGCGTCTGCACCCTCCATTGGGTTGAGGCGAGACCAGTCTTTATAGCCAATGCTTGTTGTGCCTCACGCATCCCTCCCCTCCCTCTCTACATGACAGATGACATCAGTTTTGAATGTCCATGCCAATAATCTAGTAAATGTCGTTTGAAAGAAAGTCACTCTCTGGATCTAGACTCAAATCATTCAATGGCCTTGTCTCAATTGTCGCGAGGCGGCCTAGCCGCCACCTACCTCTTCCTTCGCTTCCTACTACTACTGACGCAAGATGCGCGAGAACCTCTAAGCATCGTGAACCAGATTCCATTTCCCAGCTCCTTGGTCGGGATGATTAAGGAAATTTCCAATAACTCAGAAATACCTTCGCAGTGCACTCTAGTTGGTATTTCATATCTTCCCCAATGAGCATGTGTTACGAGATATCTGTTACGAACTTTCGGCCTTGATAGAAGAAAGTTGCAATGAAGTTGGCGAGACCATCTGCTCCATTGATCTAGCCAGCATCCGAACAAGCTGCGCTGTGCTTCTCAGTACTTTTCAAGGGACTCTTCGTTACCACGCTATTAACACCGGACCGCGCGTATTCTTAAATGGGCCGCATTGTTCCACTTTGGGTGTACCTGATGATGCAGGCTTCACGTTCATTGAACCCCGTCATGCACTTGGATTATACTGTTACAGGCAGTTCGAAAGGAAACCTTCACAGGCCAGTATCATAGGAAGTAATATTGATACCTCCGAGACTTCACAAGTGGCAACACGGAAGTTCTTCTGTTGCAATGCGCATACGCTGAGGTCTTCTGTCGCCACGTCGGTATCCTCATCACACGACCTGTGGCGGAGCCTTTCCCAGTTGGAGGCTATAGTGTAGTGTGCTCAAGGGGTCTATGCTCCAGGCCTCAACTATTGTCACACATCCTGTTGAAGCTGTATGTACTTTCTTTCCCTTCTTCTTTCTAGACATAGGCTGTCATTTCACGGCCATTTCTTGAGGGGGGGGGGCTTAACGGGCCAAAGTAGACAAGCAGTTGGAATATCTGCTAGTTCTCAGGGGGTCGTATGGACCGGAGAAGCGGCCCGTCAGTTGCTGATAGCAAAGGAGCTAAAACTTAACGACGGTGAAGAGCCCCGTCGCGCACCGGCCATGCCATGTGCCGAATATGCAATGGGCTCACAAAGGCCATGAAACCTCAGACCATGTCGAAACTTATTGGAATAGAGCTACCCTATGCCTAGGCTGTATGGGAGCACTTGATGTTACTTATATGATGCTTGGCTTTTCTCCAGACAATTTAGCTAATGCTGCAAAAGTCCCCGCACCGCACTATCAAAACCGAGAAACTTGCATTCTGTATAAATATCTTATTGGTTTAATTGGCTAGAGTTTGATACTACCATGATAAGTAGATACATAGGGCAGCTAGTAACCCGACATTGCTGTAGACGTGCCGCTGCAACGGCGTAACGCGCTCGAAATAGGTAAGTAATTCTAGCAATTGGACACCATGGAGGATTCTTTTCCAAGGCTCCAATGCGATGAGGGTATCATAAGTAAGCCATTAGAGGGGAAGAGATTTACATTAGCTAGTTGCTGTCATTTGAGAGCCAAGGTGAGATCAAACTCTCGGAGCCGCGGAATCGTCTCAGTGATCCCTGCCTGCATGGAGGCGTTTTATAGTTACCCGTCTCCAAAATGTGGCTGGGGTAAGATGGCCGACCCCTTGCCAGCGTTAAATCGTGGGATGATGGAATATCATATTGTGACTGGGTATTTTCCATGGATGGAATCTTTTTATCCGGGAGTACTTAAGGAGATATCTAAATTGCTATTATGTTTGATCGATTATGCTTTCGCACCAGAATCCGCAAATATACGGTACCCAGATAGAAGGCAGATAGTTTCGTCTTGTATACACGATCTGGGCATAGCGTGCAATGATTTCACACAGACCCTCTTTTTTATTACCCCTTCCCCTTCTCCAGGTTCTGTTTACCGCGAGTTATGTCACATCTCTGATCCAAAATCCTGGACTATAGTAGGCTTCACTAAGTACTGACGCATTCCGATGCGTGCAAAGTACGTAACTAGTTGTTTCAATCCTTTGGACTCGTGATCGCTGGAGAGATCTTTGCTACCAAGGTTCCATTCTTGAAGGATATCGCATTGTTTATATGGACACGCCTGCGAAACTTCATTTCAATGCTAAACCCCCGCGCCTAGCGATACACTACATATAGACAATTGTGGCAATGTCATTAGCATGATTAAAGCATCCTTCCAGTACTGTGGTGTACTGGTATCCAGATCCATCTGCAGAGCCTCACCGAGCTTGCACAAGGGTCTAAAGTTGGTACCTTGTCCGTCGCAAATGTGTATGCGAGCGCGTATTAGGCCAGACAGATCTCTACTGAAATTGCCCACGCTAATTACAATCGTCGACATGGAATAGAGAAACGCGAGATGAGATGAAAACCTGGCGAAGGGAAACAGATCAACGCGAGGTCCATAGATGGGACTGGGTTGGGCGCCTTGCTAGACGACTACCCCTGCAACACATCCATGGCTGTTGCGAGACAGTTGGAGTCCAGTTGCCATCAACGACCTCAATCCAGGCCAGCTTAGGTATCTCTACTCAGGCTGGCTTACCAAGGGCTCACTAGTGTCAACGAGCAGCATGAGACGAACTCTGGGATTTGCATGTTTTTGCCAACCCCCCACAGCGTCGTCTCATCTGGTCAACCCACCTTGCTGTTCGGTATGATCGTCGCATGGAGCTTTGCTGGCGCCTATCATCAGACGATCAAGACATAGTGACGATGGTCCTCGCAATCTGCCCTGCCGTCCCATCGCGCCGTGGTGTATATATCCATCACTTCGCCGCCGGTCGCCATGTTTCTCCCCTTCATCATTTCAGTCTCGTTCTTTCTTTGAATATTAACTCCTTTTTTATTCTATCTACAGTTCTGTGAGCTATTTAGTTCTTGACGTTCTTTATTGGACATTCTTTCGCATATACCGCCAGCCGGTTTAGACTCTTTCACTTCTCGACTCATATATTCGGTGCTATTGTATATTTTCCCATTCCGATATCAACGATACAATCCAAAATGTATTCCAAGGCCACTCTCATCTCCGCTATCTTGGCTGTTGCCGAGGCCCGTTTCGCCCAGGAACAGGTCCCCGTCGCCGACGTCCAGGCTTTGACCAACTTTGGCAACCCTGGCGAGGCCGGTACCCTTTCTGGTCAAGTTCCCGGCGTCCTCCTTGCCGCCGCTGATCCTTGTGACAAGCTCTCCCTCGCTGATCAGATCGTTTCCACCCTTGGCGACGATGCCCAAGTCATCGCAGCGGCACAGAAGCTCGTCGCTGCCGAGCAAAACTTCAACCCCTTCGCCGTCAGTGTCCCTAACATCTGCGGTGATGCCTCCCTTCCCGCTACTGAGGCACTCCGAGGCATTATTCCTCTCGTCGATCCCGATGTTGTCGGCTCTGATGTCGAGAACGCCAACTCTGCGAGCTCGCTCCAATCTCCCTTTGACGCTAGCGGTCTCAGTGTGGCCGATATCATGATTGCTCAAGGCTTCTCCAACTTTACCGTCAACGGCGCCGCGGCGGGTGGTGGCGCCAATGCCGGCGATAACAATGCCGGTAATGGAAATGCCAACAACGGTAACAATAACGCCGGTGATAATGCCAACAACGGTAACAACAATGCCACCCCACCCGCCTTCAACTGTGGCAACAATAACAACCAGAATAACGGCAACAACCAGAATAACAACGGCAACAACCAGAATAACAACGGCAACAACCAGAACAACAATGGTAACAACCAGAACAATAATGGCAACAATGCGGGTGCAGGCAATAACGCAGGTGGCGCAGCCGCTGGCGCCGGCGCCGTTTCCGACCCTGTGACCGGAACCTTCGCCGGCTTCCAGCAATCGTCTCTCGGTCTCGACTTCGGCACTTGCACGCCGACGGTCAAATTTGAGGAGTCTCTCAACGGGCGCAAGGCTGGCGAGTTCACGTTCCAGGCCCAGGACCCCGTCGTCAACAAGGGCCAACAGGAGGCATTGAACCCCGCCATCATCTTCAACCGCATCTGCGACCAGCTGGGCAACGTCTGCGGCGCCGCGGACGACGCCGTCGCTGCTTGCGAGGCTGCTCAGGCCGACCTCGGCAGCGCCGCCAAGGACCAGACAACGGCCGATGCATGGAACACTGCTCTTGGCTTCGCCGGCGCTGATATCAACCCTGACAATGCTCCTCAGGAGGGTCTCGTTGGACACACCTAAATAGCCCAATCCTGATAATTGCTAACGGGGAAGTTGGACGGGTCGGAAGGGACGATGATATGGAGGATCTGATGATAAATTGTAAAAGTAGATAGTTGGGCGATGGCTGACTATCATTGTGGGCCGCAAGTACATACCTATAGCGAAGGGCGTTTCGGCTTTGAATATGAGATATGACAATACATTTCTTGAGACTTGGATTACGACACACGAACTTCAAGCCCGTGATGGAGGAGTAGTAACTCGTTAAAGTGATTCGTGATGAATCTAGCCCTATAACTCTGACCGAGTACTATATCGCATTATAGGTAGCGCAGACTCAGTGACGGTATCGAGTCACGTATTTTGATTTCCGGACAACTTTGAAAGAAGATGCTGTGATTAATTACGTCTATGATGTATCTATCCTAATAATACGAAAGGGATGTTCCCGCCTGATCACCGCCTCTGTCTCCCATGACACCCTCATCAACGATCTCAGAAGACAATCCCCCATACACCTGTTAAGCCAAAGTATAAATACATGATATCGAAAGTGAGACTCACCCTCCAACTCCCCAACTCCCACCTTTTTAATTAAAAAAAAAAAAGAGAGAGAAGAATCGAGAAAAATGACAGAAAGAAAAAACCAACCTCACATATAAATAATCTGCCACCTTCCATCCCCAGGCCTTCTCTCCCCCTTCGCACTAGGCAACGAATCCACCGGCAAAAACTCATGCTTATCCCCATCGCCTCTCCAGAACCTACACTCTCCCTCCCCCTCCCTCGCCTTCCCCATACCAGGTTTATCCCGATACGCAACCCCGATGCACTCCTGCAGCAGCCCCATGCCCGCCATCTTGATGACCTGCCTCTCGCACGTCTCCAAACACCCCCTTTCGCCATCCGTCACGTCGTGCCTCTCCTCGTTCCACTCGGGCCACACGGGGCTCTCGGGGATGTCGACGTCGCAGCGCACGCGGAACTCGTGCACGAGCTTGGGGTGGTTGCCCCCTTTGCCTATGAGCCCCTTGAGGAGCCCCTCGACGCCTCCCAGGATCTCGTCGAGCAGGTCCCCTATCCCGAGGAGGTTCAGGTATTGCGAGAAGTAGTGCGGTTCGAGGCCCGTGAGCTCCGACACGTCGATGCTCGTGTACGACGCGTTGCAGACCCCGGACGTCGGCGCCGGCGGGCTGGCGGAGCGAGATGGGGAAGGCTGCTGCGGCCGCGACGGAGGCGGCAGGGGCGAGGTCGTGACTACTCTCGTGATAGTTGCTACCGTGGGGCTGCTTTTCGTCGGCGAAGACGTGACTCGGGAACTTGTAGTGCCAGATGTTGTTGATAATGTGGAATTTTTTGAGGACGGGATAATGACGACTGGCGTAGGCGAGGGGTCGCCGGGCTTGAGCGTGGAAACAGGCAGCTTGGTGTACACCGGATGAGAAGAAGGGTGGTTGACGGTTGGCCGCGGCACCGCGGGGTCCTCCTTCACAGGGACATGGTAAGGCTTAGGCGGCGTCTTCTGATCCACCGTTCCCGGATCCATCGGCCAGCTCGTCGTCCACCATGACGGAGACGGGTCCCCGTTGCCCGGCGGTGCGGGGAGGCTGACAGGACGGGATTGCTGATCTACGGGTCCTGGGAGGGGCCCCGTAGGCGTAATGCATATAGAATCAGTGTCGATTCTTTGCTGTTTAACGACGATCTCGAAGGTATTGCCACAGCCACATGCGGGGGGCGCGGCCATCTGTACGACACATTGATTGGGGCTGGTAAAGTCTAGTACCATTCGCCCCATGGGGTGGGAGTGTTGGGGTGTTAGGCCTGCCATTGGATATATTATAAGAAAAGGGGTGTTGTGTGTAGAAGAGTGGGAGTGGAAGAATAAGAAAAGAGGTAATGAACCAGCGAGCTTGAGGCTCGATGTGATGAAGAAGTCAAAACGCGCCCGCGAGGTGAGAGAGGTGTTGATAAGCAAGATACAGATCACGTAGGATAAAACGTGTGAGAGCAGACACATGGAGGTGGCTACTTATAACAGTCCACTTTGATAGGGACCGAGACTAGAATTCAGGGACGACAGTATTGAAGCCATCGTCTCCTAGATTTTAATGACTGAAAACCCCTTAGTAGATATCACCAGGGCGAAAACTTTGACAAGGAGTGGCAATAATGAAACCCATTGACCAAGACTCCTTACGACCTCGACCCTTTCGAACATTTGTGGAAGGTAACTAAAGCCTATAAGATGGTTACGATCACTACATAGGGCGTAAGTAGGACGACTTAGGTGGGTCAAGCTGTTTTCAAGACAGTTGTCTCATCTACACGACAACTAGTATCCTAACCTATAGGGCAAGCTATAGGGAAGGGATAGATTAAGGGCACACAGTTGAGACTGGAAAGGGGTAGAGGAATGCATAAGTAATGATGAATTCAATTCATTTGGGGGCCAGTCAAGTTCCTGGGCTCTCCCTCCTAGAACGCCTAACCTTGAGTTGTATGACGGCATAGTCAATGATACAAAGCAAACCCGGCAACTCCATGATGTGCTCATTCATACCAATACACCGCGCCTGACCTGCCAATATGCTATGTGTTCCCAATCAGCAGCCTTGAAACTGAAGAGTTGCTCCAACTCCAGATCAACCGTATTGTCACAACTTGCGCAGTCCATCCGAAACCTATACATGAAATCCAGATAGAAAGGCTATACTGTGGCCTAAAAGCCACCAACACTAGCAGCAGGCTTATTGGCTCTCCTTCCCAATAACGTTGCGCCATCCATATTGAGCTCAAACGCTCCTCGCTGCTTATTACGATCCCGGACTTGTTGACGAGCAGCTTGTGCAACAGCGGCACTATGTTGGCCATAGCCTCGTGCGTCTCGTTCCTGCCGGGCACGCTCCCGACCACGGTCCTGGTCCTTACCCAGATTTGTGTTTCGCATGCTTTGTTCGAGTTGCTGATCGTCCGACTTAGTGGGATGCTTAGCATCGGCCTTACCCTCCTCTTCCGATGATTCCTCATTGAGGTTGGTAAGGCGAGATGGGCCACCTGCTTTGGGTCCAACTTGTTTCCTTCGTTTCGCCTCCTCCTCTTGTCGGTGGACGGAATATCCGACATCGAAAATTTCACGTAAGTTCACAGCACCGGGTGACCGGAAGTCCATGCGCTTGTCGCCATCTACCAGCTTCGCAGAGTCAAACGCACGCAGTCGCTCGGGATCTTGCAGTTTCTTCTCGTCGCGAGGTGTTGGGCCATTTCCTTGAATCCATGGATGGGCCAAAAACTCTCTGATGGTATAGCGCTTGTCCGGATCAACAGTCAAAAGATGACTAATCAGGTCTTGGGCAGATTTCGAAATATCATCCCACCAAGGAGAAAGAAAAGTGAATTGGCCCTTAGCAACCTTCTCTGTCAACACCTCAATGCTCTCGTCATAAAACGGAGGGAAGCCGCAAAGTAACGTGTAGAGGACGCAACCTAGAGCCCACATGTCAACCGATTTAGAGTATCTCTCGTCCTTGACTATTTCCGGAGCAGTATAACCGACAGTACCGCATGGAGTCATTGTTTGTTTGTCCCACACGATTTTTGATAGCCCAAAGTCAGCTATCTTAATCTGCCCAATTCCTCCCGACCCAACTCCGGGTATAAATTCGCCTTCGTCAACTTTATCTTCGTCGCCTGGTTGTTTCGGCTTTGGAACCTTAGATGGCACAAAGGGAATTGGACGGAAAAGAATATTTTCCGGTTTGATATCTCTGTAACTCTGTAAGCAACCAAATAGAAGAGGCGGTAACAAGAGATGGTATCAGCTACGACTACTGATTGTCCACTCTGATATGCCATCCACTATGTTTGATAAAACTTAAAACTGCTTACCGATGAACAACACCCATTTCTTCATGTAGGTATTCAAGGGCTTGGGCCACTTGGGTGATGACATGTCTCGAAAGGTCTTCACTAAAGTATGTAAGGCGAACAATCTGGTGAAACAGTTCACCGCCAGGTGCAAGCTCAAGCACGATATAATAGTATTGCCGGGACTCGGAGAAATCGACTAGTTTAATGATGTTGGGGTGATCAAGCTGGCGCATAATCTGTACTTCTTTCAAGATATTTCCTCGCTACCAGGCAAGTTAGCCACCGAAAGTGAAAGTCTGGCGCGTTGTTGTTCGCAGAAACGATAAGAAAAAACCGATACACGCCCCATGAATGCAAAATAATGGTGTAGTGAATAAATAATACGAGGTGCAATGATGGTGGGATTTTGACAAAGGAAAAATAGTTCTCGCACCTCAACAGCTTTCGGGACTTTCTTAAAATCCGGATGTAGATGCTTTTGGCCCTGTATCACCCCCCCAGTTGGTAAAAGGAACAGGATCGAGAGAAACAAAAGTCGAAAAGGAAATCATTGTTGGTCGAGAATGGCGGAAATCAGCTGCCAAGAGGACTAACCTGCATATTATTCATTTCGAATTTGCGCACAACCTTAATGGCGACTTCGCCAGCACTTCCTTCACGATCTCGCGCGCGATATACATTACTGAAAGCGCCGTCACCCATTTTCTCTACTAATTCCCACCGCTCTAAACCTGGGTATCTGGGAAACTTTGATCGACTCTCATTCTCCTCCTGCACAAGCTTGACGAGGTGTGTGTCAGGAGCATTCTTGCTCTTGGACGATACATTCTGGTGCGCTCCGGCGTTGTGAGCAGCTACTCCATCGGCTTGGGCAACGCGGTTGTGGTTGTCACCGGGGTGAGCAGAGTATGCGTCAGGTAATGGGACATTCTTCTCGTCGCGGTGAGCTGGAGCTGGTTCTGTAGGGTTTGCCATGGCCCTCTGGGCAGCGGATGTAGGAGAATGCTCTGACTTCTTCGCAGGGTCACTGTAATTCGCCCTGGCTTGCTTGCCTGTTTGGGATATCAGCCGAATGATGTCAGAGTGCTGGGGGGCTGCCGATCCACAAGCCAGATTCGGCAACACAACAGGATAGTAAAATAACGAGTAGCAAATATATCAGATGCAATCGACTATCAATGAGGAATAAAAGGAAAGAGAATAAAGTGATTTAATATGAATAACGACGACAAAAGGGAGTGACACGAGGAATATTAAACGTACCATGGCGAATGAAGTTCTTTAATTGCTGAATTGTAGACATGGTGTTTGTGGTTATATGGAGAGACGTCACCCAAAGGGGCGGGTGCCAAGCACGGGGGCACTGGGGCAGTAGATGGCAAATACCGATGGTTACGTCGAGACGTCACCAGGTGCAGTAGCAGCCGGACCACTGAGGCTCAAGTGATGCAGTTGTGCCAGGCAGTCGTCCGCTCACCGTCAGAAAGCAGTGCGTGCAGTATGTGAAGATCACAAGTCCACACTTATGGAAGTTGCAGCGCACACCCAAAACAGCGGGTAGCGACTCCGGATGGTATGTTTTTTCGTCTCGGCTTCGTTTTGTTCTGCGGCTATCCGCCTGCAACCTCTGGGGACCGAAGCAGAATGTGAGTGAATAATCAAGGAGCACGCAAGGTCGCGAGCCGGATACAAGGAAATCAACGTCCCCCTCGTCGTAGCCCAAATGAGGCAGTGATAAGAGCGCCTGTCTACTGTAACCCGAGAGCTGATGCGCTCGCTGTGGCACGGCCAATATTGTGCTGGTGTGAGTTGGAGTTATGGTGTTGGAGAGAGGAACTCAGACAGGCATTCAACAGGGCTATTTATTTGGCTACCAGAAGCTGTACGCTGCGACGACGACGACGTATGGTGTGATGAAGGGTCGAGGGTTCTATGAAGATCAATAAACCAAGTCTGTTGGAGGCTAGATCGTCACTCTTTGAAGACCAGGCCAGGGATGCGCTTCAAGATTAGAAATGGAGGGAATGAGAAGAGAGAAAGCAGGGAAAAGTGACGGTGCTGAGCAGACGGGGATGGGGGGGTACTGTATACTAGCGGCGCTGCAGTAGGCTGGTTCGGGGCGACCTTAGGCGATGATGTAGGCAGTGGCTTCAGCGCATGCATCCCTGGGCAGTGCTGGGCATTAGGGCATCATCGAGCAGCATTAGGCGCATTCGGGGTGTGGGAGGGAGCCTTAGCAGGGGAGCCTTAGCAGAAGGCCATAGGTCATAACCGTGCTTTTAAGAGCTCGCCTGTCTAGGTACATAGGTAGTAGGTATACCGGTAGTATGCCATTTAACCCCCGGTACGTTTACGTTGTGCACACTACGTCTGGCATCATGGTATTGATCTCAGCTTGCCACACCCCGTTCATCCTATGACAGCAGAGGGGCCAGCATCAGACACCGATACATGGATACAAGCTGAGATGTTGGCCGAGATCTAGAATCGATGAGTCACGACCCCTGTTAGAACGTGGTTGTCAAAGACGGGGTGCAGCAAGAGCTACTGAAACATCAAGGGGACGAGGAGGGCGGCGGTGACCTCACAGCGGGAACGCGAACGCTCCCGAGCGTCATACCTTTCTTCTTCTTGACCAAGTTGCGCGCTTGTCTAATAGGCGACTCCTTGGCGAGTTGCCTCAGGCGGGAACGGTTAATCTCGCACTCGATACACACCTACATACAACTACAACTACTACCGTACCTAGGAGGACAATAGCATTTATTATTTACTCGACTGCATATCGTAGTTAGCAAAAGGACAACGGTACCAATAAGTGCCCCGACGACAGGTCAGAGAGAGGTGTTATCAATATCATATAACACCAGGATCTCGTGAATATGCCTGAAGCTTGGCCGAAGCCCTGGAAATCTAAACGCAGTCTTCTCCTTTGTTCTACCAAGCTTACATTGCGTCCTTTGTATGGTAGAATGTAGCTGTGCCTGCTTTGTAACCAGCTTCGAAACACTAGGCTAGATACGTGAATGCATCAGCACCAATGTGGACAGGATGCCTCGGGACGCATGTGCGAACATGACGTAAGTAGTAAGTAGTATGGTGGTATGGGCGTGGGTGTTCTCCCTGTTTTGGCATGACAAAGGAAAACGCATTTCCTCGTCTAGGCATTCAGGAGGTAAACAGCATACTTGCAGGATGGGGGGAAGTGGTAATGTCACTAACACCTTGCAAGGTTGGCGTATTGTAGTCCTTCCTTACTTACTTTCGCCATTTTCAGAATACTACACTCCAAGGTATGATCAGGAGTCTAGATCTCAGGCTCGAATCATTGGATACCAATAAATTAATCAGGCATCCTTCACTCCGGCTCTCAGATACAAATGCGCGCCGTCTAGGCCCGTCTCAGCCCGTCTGGCCCCGTCCTGATTTGCGAAACACCGGCCACGAGATTCGATGGAGCATTTCTCCTCGCTTTTGACGCCATTAACGGCTAGGGTTGGTCGACAGCTACATACATGCCTGAACCCTCGACTCCCAAGGTCCGATTATAAGTACTACGTATGTAAAGTATGTAGTACATATGCAGTATCCAAACCGGTGTCACATCATCTGAGAGGTCATGGCCATGGCCGCCGTTGGTCACCGTTCCCAGTGGACACTAACTATCTCGTCGATATATCCAATTTGCCAGTCAAAGCTCGTTCTGGTGTGGGGATGTCACCTAGAAATGCCCCTCCCCCTCTCTGAATGCTGCATTCGGAATACCTTCAGAAAAGATGGTTTTCTAAAGAGGGAGAAATGCGGAAATGGAATGCGACGGCGACAATGAATTGCGACATCCATGCAGTTAGTGTACAGGCTACAGTAAAAATAATAATGATAAGCAACCCATTACAGAAGGGAACCTTTAACGAGCCATGACTCCATTCCGTCACTAGCGCCAAGAGCTCCGGGATCATGACGTATATCGACGTACCCCTACGTCATGATCCCGGACGCCACAGTTGGACCCTGAGATCCCATTTGCTGGTCAGGTTTCCCACATGGTAGAGAGGTAACGAGATTGGCTTTTGCCGGTAGCCTAGCCTGTAGGACGCACCAGTCCTGGCTTTGTTTAACCCCAACCTGGCATTTATTTAGGACATTGTGCAGATGAGGCCTGGCTACCTACTCAGGTACCAGCAGACACAATGTGACAAATTTCCCTCGTCTATCTTGCTGAACCAGACTGAACCAAAGCGTATCGACCTAAGGAGGCCTGTCCTGTCCCTATTGTCTCGTGAAATGGAGATTACAGAATTGACACTACCTCTACGTACATAGTACTAGCTTACTGCTAGTTGTAGATGGATTGACTAGGTTCTTGGCGTCGGCACAACATTGCCGTGAAAGTTGGCCTTGATGTAGTTTTTGCGACAGCTCTGATTCTATTGCGAAATGCCAACTAGCCTGCCCAGAGTAGTGCTAGGGCTTGTTAATTATCGTACGATCCCCCCGGACGGACTTTAGACGGACTTGTTTGCAACGACGTAGCCAGCCGAGAGCGAGAGAGAGAGTATTGCTGATCGGCAGTCGGGAGATTGGCCTGTCTAACGCGCAGTCGCAGCGGATATATCTTGAATGAGAACGCGGATGTTTGCATATCTACATGGTGTAGTGCGGGCATGCCCTTGTTCGCAATATCGTACCTACACGCAGTTAGCTACATCTACAGTATCTGTACAGTAGGTAGGTAAGTTTTCTTTGAGATTCTTAGGCGCGTTCTTCAGGCCTGCCTTACGTCATGCCTCTCAGTGACGCAGTGATGCAGTACCAGCAATATCTACTGTAGTACCACGGTAGCCTAGGTAGTATGGACTGCTGAGGGGATTCCCGACCGTTTGTCATGGACTAACTTAGGGCCAATCAAAGATGACATAGTCACGAGCAGACTGGTACCACCTAGAACTACACCTCTACCTCCGGACGGTAGAACTTGCTGTAGATCTTTACGCACATGTGGTTACATTCAGCGCCTACCTGCTGAGACAGCATCATGTTCTGCCAATCATACACTGTATCGGGTGCTGTGCTTGCTCAGCATACGTCTACAATTTTATCATATTCAACTATAATCATCATACCCTTTTGGTGGTAAGCAAACAAATACTTTCATATCAAGCATTTCGCATAGAGAGAGAGAGAGAGAGGAGGCAACAACAAACGGTATCCTGGTCAATATGTCATCAGGCAGCTTCTCGGGGCCGAGGGTGTATTTGAGGTCTGTTTTGTGTAGCAGGCATAAGCCTCGTTTGAGCAGGCTTATTCCTGCGGCTCTTAGACCTATTTATATTGAATGCGGCTAAGTAAGCTCTTCTGCCTCGGTAGGCTTAATGATGTGGTTAGGATATAGGCCTCCGATAGTCCTGCTTACGGTGGGCCACTACCACAAAGTGCGAAAATAAAAAAATCAGGTCAAGTGCGGGGTAAAACCTATTTTCCAACTTTACCTAAGGGGACCAAATATAATAAAGGGTATAAAGTAAAGTTTTAAAAATATAAATAATTACTTAAATACCTATTTTAAAGGTTATATAAATAATCTATAGTTTATATTAGGCTTTATAACTATTTAAGTTATAGCTTCTGGCTATATAGGTCTGTATTGTAGTCAGTACTGTAGGTCTGTATTGTAGGTCTGTATTGTAGGTCTGTATTGTAGGTCTGTATTGTAGGTCTGTATTGTAGGTCTGTATTGTAGGTCTGTATTGTAGGTCAGTATTGAAGGTCTGTATTGAAGGTCAGTATTGAAGGTCAGTATTGAAGGTCTGTATTGAAGGTCTGTATTGAAGGTCTGTATTGAAGGTCTGTATTGAAGGTCAGTATTGAAGGTCTGTATTGAAGGTCAGTACTGTAGGTCAGTACTGTATGTCTGTATTGCAGTCTGTATTGCAGTCAGTATTGCAGTCAGTACTGTAGGTCAGTACTGTAGGTCTGTATTGTAGGTCTGTATTGTAGGTCAGTACTGTAGGTCTGTATTGTAGGTCTGTATTGTAGGTCTGTATTGTAGGTCAGTACTGTAGGTCTGTATTGTAGGTCTGTATTGAAGGTCTGTATTGAAGGTCTGTATTGAAGGTCTGTATTGAAGGTCAGTACTGTAGGTCAGTACTGTAGGTCTGTATTGCAGTCTGTATTGCAGTCTGTATTGCAGTCTGTATTGCAGTCAGTATTGCAGTCAGTACTGTAGGTCTGTATTGCAGTCAGTACTGTAGGTCTGTATTGTAGGTCTGTATTGCAGTCTGTATTGAAGGTCTGTATTGAAGGTCTGTATTGCAGTCCGTATTGCAGTCAGTACTGTAGGTCTGTATTGAAGGTCTGTATTGAAGGTCTGTATTGCAATCTGTATAATAGTCCTATTTAACGGTTAAGTTATAGCTTAATTAATAGCTTATTATATGTACGCTTATATATAGTTAACCTTCTTATGTATAATTTATATAGCTTGGTTGCAATATAGATTGTAATAGAAACCTACAGTACTAACTGCAATACGGACCTTCAATACTAACCTACAATACAGACCTACAGTACAGACCTTCAATACAGACCTTCAGTACTGACTTCAATACAGACCTTCAATACAGACCTTCAATACTGACCTACAATACAGACCTACAATACAGACCTACAATACAGACCTACAGTACTGACTGCAATACAGACTGCAATACAGACCTACAGTACTGACTGCAATACAGACTGCAATACAGACCTACAGTACTGACCTACAGTACTGACCTTCAATACAGACCTTCAATACTGACCTTCAATACAGACCTTCAATACAGACCTTCAATACAGACCTTCAATACAGACCTACAATACAGACCTACAGTACTGACCTACAATACAGACCTACAGTACTGACTGCAATACAGACTGCAATACAGACTGCAATACAGACTGCAATACAGACTGCAATACAGACTGCAATACAGACTGCAATACAGACTGCAATACAGACCTACAGTACTAACTGTAATACTGACTTACAATATAAACCTATATAGCTAAAAACTATAACTTAAATAATTATAATGCTTAATATAAGCTATAGATTATTTATATAACTTTTAAAATAGGTATTTAAATAATTATTTATATTTTTAGAACTTTTAGATCCCTTAGGTAAAGTTGGAAAATAAGTTTTACCCCGCACTTAACCTGATTTTTTTATTTTCGCACTTTGTGGTAGTGGCCCACCCTACCTGCTGCCAGTCAGATGAGACATTGCTCACGTACAGTACCTACTCATTAAAATCCAATCCGAACATCTTTAACACACTGAAGCATAGCATTTTAAATAAGTTTTAAAAAAATAATAAAAAAAACCCGTTGTTACACGCAAATCTGTGAGCTGCTACCTAATTACGGCTTTCGCCAACGCGGAGATAAAGTTCCCTCGTACCTTGCATGTGGGCTGGGCTACCTACCTGGATGAAACCTGCTTCGGGCGCGCCCGCCTCCACGAGCTGGGCTGCGGGCGAGGCTTGGAAATCTCAGAATGCAAGCTTGGCCTTGATTTCCTACCTACCTATGATACTCTATATTGGATAAGCTAGATATATGCCCCATTTTACCTTTGACTTCTGCGTAAACCAACCAATATCGCGCGGCTTGCGTCGCATAAACTTTCCACGTGAATGATGAGTCGCAAGTATGGTGTTGCTGGCCTCTTTTACATGTTCGCAGAGTCGATTCATGCACGAACGCGTAAGTGGCACATGCTAGATTCTGGCCACGGTTGGTAGACCGAGGAATCGTAGAACTAATATGTTTGATGTTACTCGCTAGATGAATACCCCAGGTTGTCGAGTCATATAATTTTTTAATATATCATGACTAGGAGCAGTGTCTAGGTAGCGTTATGGATCAGTACACACGATTACAGCCATATTAATACGGCCTCACTACTAGCAACAACCACGCTAGCAACACCATCCTTGACAGCCACGGTCGTGGTATCCTGCCGCACATCCTTGACTTCCTTCCCCAGACTCTCGTACGTCCATTGGCTGCCACCGTACGTGATGGAATCAGCCGCTGCACCGGCGCCCGCCGGCGAATTCAGATGATACACGGTGACTTCGACGACGTCGTCCGGGACCTGGAAACCCAGCGTCACGCTGCCGCGCGTCTCCGTCGACGACGTCTGGTTCCAGTAGTTCATGTTGATCGCGGCGATGCGCTTCGGCGCGCTGTCCTCGTAGGCAACGTATGCCGCGATATTGGCGGCGCCGACTGAGAGCTGCGAGACGCGCGTCTTTCCCGAGGCGCCCTGTTGTGTGTTAGATGCGCCGCTGGCCTACTCTTCTTCTTACAATCCATATACTAAGGAGGAGTGACTCACTACGGCAATGTCAGTTTAAAAGATTACCGCAGAAAATTGTGACGATTTACTCACCTATGAAATCTGCTAGGAACGGCTGTGAGTAGTAGTTGGAGAAGACCTGTGCCGGAAATCCTGCGCTCGCGACCGGGAGCCATAGGTTGTAACCCGCATCTTTTCACCAAGATACAACGTTAGCCATTTCTCGCCTGTGTTGAATGGTGAATAACTTAAGAAGAGGTGGCTGGTTTGATGTACTCACGCATGATCTGCTGGTAGTTGATACGCTTGACGCCAATGGTCATGCTGTAGAGGTAGTAATCAACCTGCCACAAGGCCGAACCTAGACGTGCTTGAAATTCGTATCTGAATATGTCAGTACTTGAAAAGACCCGCGTGATATCCCAGAGAGCTGTGCTATACGTACGTATTCTTCGGCTGAAGTGAATTTCCAACCTCGGATAACACTATCAGGTTTGAAGTTAGTAGATAAACATCGCGATACTAAAGGTGGTCTACAGGTCGGCTTGAAGAGCGTAGAAATAACCAAGACAGAACTGAGTACCCAGTGGAGGGACGGTCTTGAATCCCCGAGTACGACAATCTATAGCAGGATAAGGTGTTTCAAGGTCCCCTTACCAAATCCTATCGCCGGCTTGTTAGTGCGTAGCCAGTCGATCCGCCCCCTGAATTTGTCGAGATTGCCGTGCGTGAGTGTGAGGTTCATAAGCACACTGCCGAGCGTCGCCGCTGTGCCTGCCTGTCCTTGATAGTAATGGCCCGCGACCTCCTTGATGATACCGGCATCGTCAATGCCTAGGCCGAAGCACACATCGACCGGGAAAGAGTTTGCCGCAGCGAGGTCGAATGCCGAGAAGACGCGGCCCTTGGGTACCGCAGAGACGGCGTCCTTAATGGCTGCTGCGTACCGCGTCCAGTTCCCGACATATGTCTCGCTGGTGAGGGTGCCGTGGTACTCCGGTGGCTGCAGTGGGATCCCATTGGCACCAGTGAACCCGTCCGCGTAGAGATCGGGCTCGTTTCCGGGCTGGATCGAGAAGATCTGGTCCTCGGATATCGAGTCTAATGCTGATTGGGTCCAGGCGATAGGTTCGCTTATGTTAGTTGTGGCTAATGGCACTTGGATGATATACACGGCGTTCGGGAAGTTTTTCGTGTATGACCAATATGAGGGTCCAATCGTCGTGCCTCCTATGTTTTGATAATTGTCTTGCTCGGCCACTGGCAGCGCGGGCTCGGCTTGGCCAGGAAGATATCTCCCGTAGTCCGGAGACGTCCCACCTAGACGGATGTTCGGTTTCCCACCCGTTCTCGAATAGACGGAGTCCATCAAATTGGTCGAGAAGTCGTTGATATTGCCCTCGTCATCCTCTGCATAGCGTGTAAACGAGGCTTGTTCGAAAGCCAAGCCGAGAAAATCAGGATCTATCTCACAGGAGGCGTCTTCCGGGACCACTGCTGGGACCTGAACTGAGCTTGAGGATCTGGGGATACAAGCTGTCAGTACTACATCTCCGAGCGCCAACAACAGCAAGACAAGACGGAAGCTTTTCAAAAACATTGTGTATTAATAGAATATGAGACTAAAGAGCGCTTCGGGTATATGATTATATGAGAGCTTTCCCTGTCTCCTAACCCCCAACTCAAGGAAGACAGTGAGGAATTCACACGAACTTGAACGGCTCCCAATGAAACCCTTTATACCAGGGCCGGCATTGCCAGGCCGCACGTAGCGGCCATTGTGCCGCGTCCCATTGCATCCTCGGCCGCGCAGTGCCAAGGCCAATGAGGTACGAGGGCCTTAGTGGTCACATTTACAGCTTGACGATGCTACGCAACTACCAACGGGGCAGGTCAAAGCACGCGCGCGGCTCCTTTGGTACGTTGGCGCAGATGTCGTGCTTCGAGACCGACGCGCCGGCACTCGGGACCAACGAGCTGCTATTGGACCGATTGTTGAATCCCAATGCAACGCGGGGTGCTGTACTGCTCCCGCTTCATGTCTTGGCCTTTGGTATCCTCGGTATTTTGGTTCTGAATGAAGATATATGTCGAGTTTGTTAGCTAGTCAGATAATCCATATCTAGTAGGACCGACGACATACTTAACCTCCGTCGGTCTCCATTTTGGAGCGTTTATGATGATCGAGTTGGGGAAATGCTCTGCCCGAGCTGTGGACGAGCTCTCTCTCCCGCCATGACTAGAGTGATAGATGATCGGCCGGTGTGCTGATGTAACCTAGGTAGTCTATCGACAACAGCGCCTGCATTTATATCCAGCGATTTTAAGGTCCTGATATGAATAAGTGACTAAGTAATTATGCCTGCGTGGACATCTGGGCTGGGATAGATTGCGTCTAGAATGAAATGTTTTAAGTCAATTAACAATGACCGAGTTGATGCGGGAAACCATCACAATACCTGATCATCTTTCTATCTATCCATTTCCATTATTCATACGTATTCAACTCTCGGGTTTTCTCCAATCGAAACCCTCTGTCAATTGGGAAGACAAACTGCTTGCGATACCAAGTTGACTCCTCTCTTACAGTTAGTTCTACGATCATAAGCTCATTGCCGGGGCGCTCTGACTAATGTCTTCATATGGGAGGAAACAACCATGCTAAATGTAATAGAAGTAAGATAGAGGATCAGATTATCACAAACAATCAGGAGACTTTCTGAGAGCGGGGGCAGCTATATTTTCTTCTTGTTCCATCTGTAGGCATGATGCTTTGTGTAAAAGTACCTAAGGAGGTACCCTGAAGTGGTTTCAATGGACTAGGGCGCTATCGGGCCAACCAAGTCACTAAATGAGGCACCTAACTGATGTATCGGTAGTTCAAATGGGGATGCCTATTAAGGTTGCTCCCCGCCGCACCACTGACCGCCGCCTCCGCCGCTACTAAGTGTGCCTAGGTAGGTCCTCCTGGGCCGTTCCGCGGGGTTCAGCACCCGACCCTGATGGGACCCTCCCCCTCCCTACCTACGGCGTTCTGGCATTCTGGCGTAACATGGCCATGCAAACCACTGCCCTAGCCACGCATCTTGCTCGCATTGGAACTTCTGGCAGCTACGTTTGCTTTGGCCTGTTTTACTGATTACAAGCTCTCCGACTTCGCATTGCTTGCACTGCTTGCGTTACTTGCGTTGCTTGCGTTGCTTGTGTTGCTTGTGTTGCTTGCCTCGCCAGCCTACTACGCAACCCGCATGACCGCCGCCGCCGCCGCCGCCTCTTGGCTGCTGCTAAGTTACCCCAGACCTAAACCTTACCGTATCTCAACAGATTCCATTCCATTCCTCGCTCTCATTCTGCCGCGCCCACCTATCACACCACCTGTTTGCCTGGATCTAATCTAGGGACACCGTAATCACACCCACGTTCTTCCTGTTGTTATTCTACTACTTCGCTATCCAAGAATCAGATACAGATTTGATCTGCCGGTCCCGCCGATATGGCTACTGTGGCTGCAACAATTGCTGCAGACATATCCGATGACTGGGAGCATGTTGCTGATGACGATAACTACTCGGTCATCTCCCTTCCTACGTCTGAGGATCTGGCTATAAATTCCTCGCAGCACCGACAAGTCCCTGTTGTATCGGATAGTCCTCTCACAATCCCATCCCAACCTCAGTCCGAGCATCCCACACAGAGCGATCCACATCCTTGCGATGCAATTACAGAGCCTCACCCGACAGACGACGCTGTGGAAAGGTGTGGCATGGACTTGAAGGATGTCATCGATGAATCGGACTCTCCACCAGTCCTGTCAAGAAGATTGATTACGGACAAGATCGAACTGATGGTTATTCTTAGCAAAATTGGTTCCCTATCCACAATCATAGGACCTATGTGCACCCGTCATGGGAACGCCTGCTCATTGTTCGCTACAATATTCGCAGATTTGGCTCGTCTGGACCATATTGTGCGCATATATATAAAACACTGTAGGGCAGGAATGAAACCTGTAGTATTCCCTTATCGTCTCTTTGACTGGATTGACAAGATCAATCACCAGGCGCTAAAATATGCCGCGTCCCTATCTAAGCGCGAGAAGTCAAGTCAGCCAATGGACAGTAAATGTTTCATTGAAGTGACGAGTTTGTCCTTTGAATTCGATACGTCATTGATGCCTGCTGTGGAGAGGTGAATAAGCCAATACCCTACTCTCGTCTGGTTATCCTAACTCATCGACCAGTGATTATAAAGCTTTCAAGATACACCTTGCACAGGCATCCGCGGACCCAAAACGCACTACTAACGGCAAAAGCCGTGACGGCATCCCCCGTATAGCAGCTACGAACAATTTGACCCATCTTTTCAGAGAACTGCAGCATCTCCGCGACCAAATCGTGGTGTGTCTCGGCGAGATCCAATCCGGTGCTTTCTATGGAATCTTTAGGCCGTTTCAACGTTTGGACATTAATGGGTTAACTGACAGCTACAAATCGGCCAAAGAAGTACTAGACCGAATGCTGGAAACACCTATTGACTCCAGCCGAGAAGATGGGCCCACATACTCAGAATTCCATCGGATGAATATTGATGCAGTCCGCTCCATTAATCTCCAGCTCGCGGAAATCTCAGATGACCTGTGCCGCGAGCGGAGCAGCAGTTCACTATACCTTCGTTATAGGAACGACCCCGATGACATGCTTGACAATGGACAGCAATTCATCAAGGACTATACGATGGACGCACTACGAGAAGCGGAACGATTGCTGCACTCCATTCTGAAAGACCGCGGGGATCCTAGACCAGGCACTTAGACGCCTTTACTTCGATCATGAGAAGATGAAAGATTTCTATGATATTTGGGCGTTGGTGTATTAAGTAGGCGTCTGGCGGTGTTTAGATGGATGGGCGATCACCATATGACATCACGATGGCATCGAGTGAGATGTCTATTCATCCTTTTTTTTTTTTTTTTTTTTTTTTTTTTTCATCCTGGGAGCTATGTGGACGGGTTAATTCTCCACTCCAAGTGCTCTTTTGGTCTTATCGACTTTGCTGACAAAGTCCGCGATCTCTGTCGTCACCAATCAATCCTGTTAGAAAGAGAGCCCTGTGTACCCAGGTATTAGCCCCGCGCCATGACGAATGTTTGGACTGTACTATGTAGTCTGCCGATAAAGCAGTTATACTGTAGTAAACCAATCCGTTCTTACAGCACGTTATCAGACCTCTTACGCTTAATCTGATGAGGAATTACTGCATCAGGCAACTGGAGCTCACTTGCGGAGGCAACTAATTACTACCTAACCGTCTAGTGGCACGACCCATCCCGGCACTCGATCAGCCGAGAGCTGGGCCTGGTACTACATGGCAACACGATGCGGCACCTGTGCTGTTCTACTACCTACCTAGACTATGGTAGGTATGTATGTACGTATTACCCACTCCATCCGTGACCGCATCCTCGGCGCCATGCGTTCCTGCCGTCAGACTGCCGTGTTACCTGTAAGCATGGACGGCGCTGTTGTCAAAGCCCTCTGGAAAATGACGCCACTTATCGGCAGGAAAGAAGGCAAGGCGTATATACTATGTGTGTATATATAGATATATATACCGTATGTCCAGTGGTGCATGTGCGATGGATGGATGCACCTAAGCTGACCGAGGCAACACTACGACTCCCTATACGAGGTCTTGTTGTTGGTGGTCTTGTTACTCTAGCTACCTACTATATCTCACCTACATAGAATGTACTATCTATGTATGTACGTTGTACGTTATGCGTTTGTGCGCTGTCCTCGAGCTGACCTACCTAGGCAGCTCTTTCACCCGGGCCAAGCCTCTCTCTCCATCGGTGCCGATCGGGGCGGTCGTAATAGGTGCGGCCACTGCCTGGACGTGCATCATAGGATCCGTAGCTGAATGGATCTGGCCCGTTCCATCTCCGCAATTCGCATGTAGGGTCTTGAACCGTTGCATTTCGTCTGCTCGCACTAGCGAGGTTGCGTACATACTGTACTACTGTATGTAGGTATGTATGTATCTACATTCTTTTGGGTCTGTTTTTGGGGGGAAGGGGAGGGGGGAGGTTACGTGCGGTGTACCTAGGTTATGACGGTCGCGGCCTAGCGACGATGTGCAATTGCGACCACCAGCCCGCCTCATCGTATTATTTGGGACGCGATGTCACGTAAGATGGTGGCTGCCAGGATCGGACACCGATATTTGCCGGCATTGAATAATTATTGAATTTTTTTGGGTTGTTTTGTTTTGTTTTGTTTTGTTTCTCTCAGCCTTCTAGGTATTCCCATGAGTTTAAATACGGCTTTTCCTCGTCGCTTTTTCCTACGTCCTCAGTTTGTTCTATCGCAACCCGAACCTTCATCTCACTTTGGCAGCATCCAGGAACGCTCCAAGCTTGATACCAACCCACCTACCTACCTCGTCTACTCTCTCACCTGAAATTACTTGAATAATTATACCTTCCTATTTAACCATACCTGCTCCACGATGCTGTCCCAACTCGCTACGCTGTCGGGCCTCCTGGCTGTGGTGTCGTTATTCACTCCCTCCGTAGAAGCTGCCAAGAAGATGACGGCTGTGCGATTTGAAACTCGCGCGAACGATTACCTCTGGACAGTGCAGTGGACCGGACCGACAAAATGTACCTCGTGGCCTTGCGGCTATTGTAAGTATTTCACACTTCACCCCTGATGAGATTCTGGCATTTCCACATGTTTGCGAGCTTGAGATGGCTAACATATCCGTAAAGCGTACAGAGTGTCAGGCCCAACCTACACTGCCGCCGAGGGCGCAGTCCCTTTCTTCAATGCCACCTGCACAGGCACCGTAGACAAGCCCTTGCAAGCCTGCACTCTACAGCCAGGTTCCGCCGCGGTCGCGGTCTCGGGCAACTTCAGCACGTTTGAGACAAGTGGCGTCGGCAGTGGCTTGATTGATGTCACGGCAAGATATATTGACCAGGCCTCGTATGTTCTGTCCTATCACTTTTCACTTCTCACCTCCCATGTATAGTGCATGCGCTAATTCCTCGCGCTGCGATAGTTTCTCCAACAGAACCCTCACGGCCGTGACGCCCATGCAGGCGAGCGCGGCGAACCAGAACACGTGGACGGTCGAGCCTCAAGGCTGTCCCGTCTCAGCGTGCGATGTCGCTAAGGCCACGAGATCCCTGAGACGGGGTACCCTTGGCATTGCGATTTGAGGAAAATATGCCCTCTGATGACTTTCAATTTTTTTAACGCCTTTATGAAAGATAGAAAAAAGAGGAGCCGGACTCAACGATCGAGCTCCAATAATAATGGGAAATGCAGGGAACGGGGATAATTCCTACCGTACTAATGAGGACTTGGATCCGCTTATGGTTTATTAGATGAGAATCAAATGGGAGGAGTTAATGGGTAATGACGTCTTTCACAGTCTGGATTGGTGCGGGTAAATGCTTCATGTTGATGAGGAGAGAACCAGCATAGGTCGGAGTCGTGTTGGGCGAAATCGATTGATAGAGCTCTACGGAGTACTGCTAGGTAGCAATGACAAAAAGCATTGACAGTATCAGTATCAGCCCGAGGTCCATCAACATTGATCAGCTTCTTGGGGATATGTAGGACTTCATGTACCTACCTCGTGTCTCTTCCCTACACAGGACTTAGTAGGTAATGTTCCTACATGACTTCCAGTTAGGTAGGTACTCGCTTATCTACTGTACCAAGAGTCCGCAAAGAGAGTGTTGGGGTAGCTATGTACGGGGTCAATATAGGTACAATGGCAGAGTAGATAGATGTCTTAGTCATCTCCGTGTTCTCATCGCTTTGAGACCAAATATGACGAGGCCCTCAACAAAAAACGCCAAGATATTGGGGGCTGAGAGTACCATTCATTGGGTTGATCATGACCTCCTGTCCTTCTGTCTAGGTAGTCCTAGATGCAGTGCTGATTACAGTGCCAGGTAGCAGAGGGCCTGTTCACCAGCCACATGCGGCTCATGAAATCTAGGACTCACAAGCCACTATTTTTATCCGCCGTCCGTCCAAAGGGCTGTTGCTGCCTATCAAGGTCGGACCCACTTGGGCCGATTGGAGGCCCATGAGGACAAGCCGCGGCCAATCACAATCGCACTCAGTCCTACGAAGCAACCTCACCTCATCCCTCGCCGTGCCTCAGCACTTATTGCCTTGTCTCGACAACACCTTCATCATACAATTAGACTTTTCAGGCGACTAAATAAAATTTTCCAAAAAAGAAAGAATGCCCAACAGAAGATCCAGAACTTCCCTTTTTGGTCCGCTCGCGGGCACCCAGTACAGTCTGCCCTCCTTAGCCCATTAATCATTAATTATAGCGAGATCCTGTTGCCCCGGCTGAGTCCTACCTTACCGGTTTCCTGAACGCCTGACTCCTAATCCGTACACCTGACAGGTATGCCTAAGGAACCCGCCCGACCCGGTCCGATCGACCAACCTAGCTTACCTAGGCGTCCGCGATCAATCGGTCGCCCATTGCCATTCGAGAGATGTAAGCCCTCGCATTGTCCACTGAAATTGGTGAGTTAAGTGCATCCCCACGCCGCGGGTGAATGAGTATGGGAGTGAGGATGGGACGTACCTTGCTTTTCCATCTTAGCCTTCCCTTTCATCCAGCGTACGTCATCTGCCTCATACCTGTCATCTGAGCTGTGGCAGCAAGCGCAGAACTCGTATTTGGAATGCCTCAATTCATATGAGGAGGTCGATTCGAAATCGGGAGTAGGGAGTCTTGGGATCATAGGCGCTGGAGGCAGATGGCCCCGCTGCCCTTCCCCGGCGTGAAACCTTTTAGGCAGGGGATTGCTGTGCCTGCCGTATTGGTGGAGCCCGTCGGTGGTGTCCCCGTTGCCTGAAACTCTTGTAAGGTAGTCCCCAGACTGCCCTCTCAGGCTGTCCCTTCGCCGCACTACGGCACCTGAGGCCCTTTCCGGTTGACCAGTGCTCAGGTACACCTTTTCACTGAACCTCTCTGTCTTCTCACGTGTCCTCGGTGAGCTTGACAATTTTGCGGGCTCTGAAAACTCTGGTGTGCCTGGTCTTGGGAGTGCTGGTGTTTCGGCCCAACTCCTCTGCATCAAGGATCTCTCGTCCTTGGTCTTGGATTTGCGTCCTCTTTTGCTGTTTGGGTCGAAAGAAACGACTTCAAGCGAATTTCTAGACCTAGGAATGCTTCTATCACTGTACGAAGCTGAGTCATCTCGCTGACTTCTCGGATATGAATAACCAGAGGCATGTGAAGACCTATATCTCCTTTCACGGTGCACTGGAGAATTGTGCAATGATATATTCATATCTGCACAGTATCAGATCAGAGTGATTTGGAGTGCAATATGCAGATTTGGGATTCTAGTCCTACCCAAGCTCCTGCAGTCCGAGAGGTCTCCCTGAGACCCTTGAGCAGGATACATGATGAAGTCCTGATCCTCATATCCTAGGTAAAGAGGTTCTTTCTGTCTTCCGTAGCTATCTACGGAGAAATCAATCTCAGTCCTGAGTGCGGATTCTTCTAATGGGCAGACTTACGCCGCGAGGCAGACATAGTGGCTTTTGAAGGTGTGTTCGGATATTCCCTTGAATTCTTCTTGATGAAGGTGATGGAACTGAGTGTTTTTGGGTTGTTTTATGATGACTATTTGATAACTTTCACTTGGGATGGAGAGAAGGAAAGAGTGTGGGAATATAAGAGTAGGAGGATGGGGGGCCTTTTATGGGCGAAGTAGTAGGATGCGAGTCTGCCCACTCACCTCGACTACCCCTCACGGACCAATCAGCAGTCAACATTCCCCGACTTACACCCTACATGCAACTCCCATGCATCTTCTTCCCACCCGCCACACCATCTCCTGGTAAGGGATCGGCACCCGGTCTTTCATTCTTCTTTCCTATCATATTTCTACTTATTATCTCGCCATTGAAAGAGCCATGCTCCTTGCTTATTTTGTGCAACCCACCGTGGATGACTCTCGGCATCGCAACGGCCGCAGCCGTGCATACAATAGCGGCACATACAGGTCTCCCACCTAGACACTACGTGCAGCACCCCGAGACGGCTCACCCTCGATGCCCAATGGCCTTTCCATACCCTTGGTATTCCATTTTTCCATGCATCGTCTCATATTGGTCATTAGTCTCCCCTTCCATCCTTTGTCAGCCCACCATTGCCGCCATGCCGCTTTTTACCCTCTCTCTCTCTCTACCTCATCCTCAAACACTTCACTGCCACCAGCCTTATTCCGGTTTTGTCTACATGCATCTTTTATACTTCGTTACATGCCCAATTTTGTCTCCCTTTCTATCACACTACCCCTCAACACCTTAAAGTTGACTCATATCCACCATTCTTCAAGACTATGTAACCCCCCCGTCTCAACTTACTTTCAGGCTTTTTAAGGTTTTAAGCATTCTGAACTGCCACCAACCAACCACCAACAGACCATAGAGCCATTGACAACACTCCGCATCCACAAGCCACCCACACTTTCATCATTCTTGTAGATCTATCAACTCCGACTTTGGGCAAGCTAATGCACCATCATATTTTGACTATTTATATGACCTTACTGCAATTGTAGATAATGAGGTATAGCCTTTTGATATAGTTGCCTCCCTAGATATGAAGACATATAGAGACATATCAACTAGCAGCATATTTATAAGACCTACTCTTTGAATTCGTTGTGCATGTGACTCTTTCACAACTTAATCAAGCATACGTCAACTTAGCTTCATGTATTGGTAGTACTGTCTAGGATGCACGTTTAATGACATTATAGATTAGCTACTTTGATCCAGACAGTAAATGACAATTGCGAGGGAGTAGCAGCATGGGACGAGCGTGATGGGTTGCAGCAGCTCGCCAGCTACACCCTACCATCGCCAAGGCAGGCGTGCTGTATGATGTGTGTAGATGCACGTACGTGTATACGTGCAGTTACTAAGATGGGTATTATAGGCATCATCATTGAGGTTATACTACCTCTCCATCCCACACATACGGTTCTCTGATGCGAGAATCTGGGCGGGTAAGTGGTGGTATGGAAGAGAGGCGAGAGCTGGGGATGACTGACTATCCGTCAGGTCGGGGCCCGGGGCCCTCGCTTTCCCTCTCTCTCCCTTGGATTGATGGTGGGCGTGAAAGGTGACAGGGGAGTATGCAGCCACCCTAGAACAGAAACTGCAGTCATGGGGCCAATCAGACGTAGACTTGCTTGCCGTTCTCAGTGCATCACGTGATATGCAGAACGTCTGGATATCCAGGCGTGGATGGCGGGTGCACGGACCAATGTCTTATCGTGGGGATTCGGAGATAGGACCTGGACCGCCCTTCATGGGCTGACTGACCTGAGTTGACTTGGCCACTCCGGCCGGTGGCTTGTTTCGTGCTTAGGCACGTAAGAAGTATTCGGATTGAGTATTCAATGAATATATAGATCTAGTCTATCTATCAGATAGGGGCATCGGTCTCTTACATCTAGATCGATAGTCTGTTTTAATGCCTTTTGAGCGTGTGGATGTTCATCGCTGCCACACTTGATGAGTCAGCATATACGGGATATCCATCCCAATGCAGAAGGACTGGCTGTGCCACATTCTGATGACTCAGCATATGCGGCGTGCTCAGTGCTGCAGGAGATAGCCAACTCATTTACTACCTACGTACATTGGTGCTGTTATTTCATCCTCATACCTCTGCTCATATCTTGAGAGCCTTGAATGGGTTAGGTGTGTTGTTTTAGGCAAATTTTCGTATCCTCAATATGTTGCGTGTCTGCTAATACCTAGTACTAGCCACTTCAACCCCAGAGGTATTGCATCGCTTAATCTATTGGCACAAGAGCTTTATGAGGAGTCTGTCACTTCACATTGACCGTTTATTCATGGGCACTCTATTTGGGCGTTTCTACCACAGGCTACTCATCATCAGTGCTATCACCGCGTTATCAGACCGTACCTAGGTAATGCTACCCTCTCACCCCCCGGGCTGATGAGGGCAGCGTTGCCAAGAGCCACTACCTTAGAGACGGGATTCGTGCCTGGTGCACCATCTATGCAGGCTGGTAGTCTTGCTTGGTGCATCTCTTCGATGATCTCTATTCGCTAGATGCCTGACCTTAGGAACTAATCCGATACAATCCGATCCGACTCTTTCTATTGATTGTAATCTAACGCTCTATCACCCAATCTCACAATAGCTTCTGCCCCCAGTTCCGAATTACCGGCATATGATACTTTCTCGTCCCGCTCATGTCTTCTTGCAGCTTAGCTAAAAGTCCATCTAGATCTTGTTGTGTTCTCATCCCATCGACACCACCTTTGAGAAATATCCCCTTCAGTATTTGGCCAAGGGTAGCATAGAACTCCTCATGTTCTCTAGCGAGCCAATCAGATGCTTTAGGCCCAAACAGAACCGAGGCGCAATGATAGCTTCTGGTCTCACAATTCACCAATTCTGCTTGCTCCATAGAGCTGGCAATACCTAAAGGGAAGCTATTCTACTCTCAGCACATATGCTCATAATGCGCATACTTGGAGGAAGATGATATACTTACTCTGCTTCTAAATTTGCGCTATTCAAGAAGTTGTAATACACCTTCTGTGCCTGGAACAGGCCGTCGCTAGGCGGTTCAGCACTGGCTAGCGGTGCGGAAGCCTCAACCCAGACCAACCATCCACCAGGACGAAGGAGCGACGACAAATTTCGAATAAGAGGTACGCCTTGGCCCTTCCTCATAGCGAGGTTGAAGTGGCGCAAGTGGACGACATCAAATCGGTTCCGGAACTCCTCTGGGAAGGGCTCGTACGCATCCCCGAAACTCAGCCTGATATTTGAGGGCAGCGCCTCTGGCATTGGGAACTTTGACACGTCAAAGTCAAAGCCGACTAACTCCGCCGATGCGGGGAGGGTCTTGGCAAGCTCCTTCAGCCAAATGGCCGTACCCGTCGCGATATCGCAGACTCGGGGGCACGGGGTCTGGGCTAGTTGGTTGGTGATGTGTACGGGTAACAACTCATTGTTCATCACATCGTCAAAGAAGTGATGCTGGAAATCCAGACGGTCACTCTCTTTCTTAACACCATTGCTGGTGGACTCGTTCAGCGGGTATGGTGAAATTTCGGTCATTTCGAGTGTTGTGATCGCGCATTCATGCTGTGCTTGTTCGCTTACGGATCTGGATAGATGAGAGTTGGAGTGCCCGTGTGACGGATGCGCGGGGTAAGTCTTCGCTTATATGTCCATGTTGGAAATGCGGCTGACCTGCGATGTACGAGTGCCGATAAGCGATGCTTCTTTCGGTAATATGGTGAAGTTTGCGCAGACCCTTTTCCGGGTAGCATAGAACTCCTGCAGGATCTTTAATACCGCAGCGGTTTTGGACAATAATCCTTCATCTTGGCACCTACCTCCCCAGTAGGTAGTTACGATACATGGAGTCCCAGTCAGATCCCAGTGTTATATGCAGCGCCTTTCTAGACATACTCCACCACACCACACGCAGGTGACATCTGCATAGCTCAGCTACAAAATCATAGCTCCTCAAATGTAAGTGGCCTGCATTCCAAAATTCAAATAGGTAGGTAGGTAATAAGTAGCTACGAGCGCTTAAACCTTGGGGAGGTCTGTTGAGGACCACGGCTAGCATGAACACTACCTATTGCACTATAGAGACAAATAAAGCACCATGTATGTATACAGTAAAAACCTGTGGAATAGTCAATCAGCACGCCTCGCGCAACAACAAGAGTCCTTCGCTCCCCCCTTACCTTATATCATGCTACTATCACGATGCCTCTAGCCATCATAATCTACTAAGTAGAGCCAACATCGACTGTTTCGATCTTAATCCAACGGATGAGAACGAACTGCCAATGGCGATAGCCCTCAAGCAAATCCCGAGTCACCTTAGAAGTACGCAGCATGATTGAGCCATGAAGACTACAGATAGTCAAACCGACTGCTATACTAAGGAGCGCATGCTTCCCAACTCATCTTCCCATGATATACAGAAAACCCCGCCCAAGCCAAGTCATGTATGGAGAGGTATCACTATTACAAGTGAACAGCTATACCATGAAACCCCCGGTACCATCATCACTACATATGACACAAAACTTACTCGGGCCTGAAATCGACTATCTCTCGCCTAGAAGCCACGATGATAATACCGTCTGGAAGACCGTGGCATCCGCAGGTACAAGGTTACGATGGAAGAAAAAGTTAACTTTATTAGGACACAAGGATCAGGAGACAAAGAGACTGCGAGTGTATATGGCTAGAAGGAGTCTGAATGCCCTCGCTCCTAGCCCTTCCAACTTCGTGCGACGATAGAAGTCTTACGGGTACACCTCGTATTGCTTCATGACGACCTCCCTCGCGCAGATTGCAATAACGCAATTACTTGCGACTATATCTACTCGCAAGCTGCATATATTCAGTTGTTGTTTATATATAGATATAGTAGACGTCACTAATGAGTACAATACACATTTCAAACTTGTTTGCAAGCCTGCTAGCTACCTATTCCCAGTGAGATGCACTAATCTCCAGAAACCATCTAGCTTATTTTCTGGCGATACCGTAGTCTCCTTGAATAAAACATATGGATTGCTATGGAGGCAACGATCATCATCAGTTGGTACCAAGCTTGTGACTACGCAATAGCACTAAATTGCTTGATTGTTACGATGTTCAAACCGTTTTCATTCATTAAGCATACCATCGGCCCAGGGACTCATTGCTGTGAAGTTTGGCCTGGAGTTTGGTTTCCAGACTATATTATGGCATAGGGCTGCTATTGGGTAGGAACCATTGTTACGTAGAGGTCCGTGTCTTGCTTCAATGGAAACAGCTGCACTCAGGGATCAATACTATCCAATCCTAAATCATACCTAATCGATCTGTCTTCCCACCATCTATGACTCGGCTCCAAACCGCACAGTTCGTCACCGTGTCTGATCCCAGAATGTATCTGTAGCTGCATTGATGTTAGATCTTCTCACAGGCGGGGGTCTCACCCATTCTCCTAACAAACGCTAATCTGAATTGATCTCGTAATAATAGGTAATAAATGACAATGGCGGGTATTCAGTTAGCTAGCCGTGGCTTTGGGCCGTGCCTGACTGGTGGTCAGGTCAAATACTGGTCCGGTGCAATGGGCAATGACCACCTACCTATTCAGAATGAAACGTTTGTGTCTCTACATCTGGAATCAAGGACATTGTATACATTTGTATTTCCCATTATTTCCCATAATGCACATTTGAGCTGCTCCCCTGTCTTTTTCTTACCGTACTTCTCTATATAAAGCCAAGGGGCATAAGTTGATCTTGAGTTCATCACATAAACAAGACTCCCACGATACACAGACGACAGTCATACCTCAATTTCTTCATTTCGTAACATCTCTTACTACAAATATCCAAAGTCACCAATTCCTTCTAAGCTATAGACAAACCAGTACATCATGTCTTGGGACGATTTCACCATAGACTACGGCCGGAATACTTCAAGTTGCTGTCAGGAAGAAGACCAGGGAAAGCCTTACGACAGTCCCTCGTTTCCTCAGTTCCCCATGCTCCCGCCAGAGCTTCGATTTGCCGTCTGGGAACTGCTAGCCCTCCCGAGGGGCCCAATGCGCCGTGAGTACATCCCCATCTATTTTCACTTCCTCTGGAGACAAAGGAATAGTAGTTGGCCTTCGTCTTTACACCGTGACCCCAATCACATTATAGAGACGCTTACTAACTTCGCTTGAAATTTTCGTGCAGATATACTAGGCGAGACTTTATTCCATCTTGAGGAATACGCGATGCCGGTCATGCAATATATCAAAGTGAACAGAGAAGCCAGACGGGAAATTCTACGGGGACGCGAAGTCTGCATAGTGGAATTGACTTTTGGTTCGAAGCCCATCTTCGTCAATTGGGAGTTGGATTTATTTGAATTTTACCCCTTCGCGCCGCTGTATGCTGGATACGGTGAAGACTTCATGAATAAAATCAGAAACATCGCGTTCATGGTTGGAAGTCCCAAGTACCGGTACGGCGTTCCTAATGCTGAAAGACGCAGTGTATTTGGTATAGATGGACTTTGGAGAATGGATCAGCACCAACCCTCACAACTATTTGCGTCGGTCAAAAAAGTCGTCTATCTCGTAGGCAAGAGCAGTTGTCCCTACGTCCTTAGAGAGTCTTCTGAAGGGGTCTTCAAATTTTGCAGCTGGGCCGAGGGGGAATATACAATCCATCCAGACAGCCCAGCCCTGAGACTGAACGAGTACGGGCTTCACACGATCGAACCGACAGCCTACAATTATAACGATTGGTGCGACTCTGTAATGTTGCGGTCGGAAGAAGGACCACTAATGGAGATTCCCTTCGTCGAGTGGTTCGATATAGCATCTCAAGAAGCAACTATGTCTAGACTTCCGGAGATGATTGGACATGAAGTTGAGTTTCAAATGATGATGTATTATAAGGAACCCGAATACTGGTACCAAGGGCGGCCCGATCATGGGCTTCCGAGGCGGGGAGAGGTTTGGGAGACTGGGACTGGGAGGGTCTGGTAAGATTTATACGTGGGATAATTCAATAAATCCATCCATCAACTGATATAATACCTTCTGGACGAGTTTTCGTATCTCACGTAGAGCTATTACCCTTTACCTACCTCTACTCATGCCTCCTTACGTGAATCATTCATGCATTTTCACCCTTGGCGTATCTCACTTGACGCGAAGCTGCCAGAGCACATGAGACGACGAACAATTGTGGCAAGACTACAATTAACCCATTTTGCTAGGTTGCCATGAGCTGTTCAATTATAATCCCATTAGAATCTTATCCAATCAGGCTGATTAGCTGCGTAAGTATCTGAAGGTACCATACTACGTATCTTAACTGAGAACTTAGCATAGAGGATCAAATGAAAACATCTGTTAGTAACGACAACCTCATGACATTTACTCTATGGGGAAGGCCATTTTCATGTACAAGTATCTAGGTAAGGTATTGGTTGGAAGCTAGACCGGGGTTATCTATTTAATCATGATTATGCACTTTGTAAGGAAGTGGGTTTTATCGGTGGGTACCTAATCTAGTGGACCTACCTACCTAGCCTTCAGCCACAATGTTAGCGCACTTGCCACTGTAGGTACCTCAAGAGTCTTGCTGATGAGGCTGAAGCTCCCTTCTCCATTTACTAGCACTTCAGCAAATCCGCCCTGTCTGTTTTAGTCGATCGCGAACGTCGAGCACCTGTCAATACTTCACTTGTCCATGCACGCACTTTGAATCGCACCCTTGCGCTTCACCACTTCCAAGACAGAAACGCCGCTGATACCTTTGATTTTATTCGAGTACCTTAGGCAGAATTACTCAGAATGGGTGGCAAGAAGCGCAAGCATCCCGATGTCGAGGAGCTTCTCAACCGCCCCTGGTGCTACTACTGTACGCGTCTTCTATCGCGTATGTACGATTATAGGTTCTAACTATGTCACAGGCGAAAGAGACTTCGAAGATTTGAAGCTATTGATCTCACATCAAAAAGCGAAGCATTTCAAATGCGATAGGTGTGGTCGGCGGTTGAATACAGCTGGAGGTATGGGACCATAACTTTGACGAGCGACTCTCGAGCGCGCAACAAGGCTGATGAATTATCTTCTGCAGGTCTGTCTGTTCACATGAATCAAGTCCACAAAGAGTCGTTATCATCTGTCGAAAATGCACTTCCCAACAGACAAGGTCTTGATGTCGAGATCTTTGGTATGGAAGGTATTCCAGAGGATATCGTCCAACAGCACAACCAGCGTATCATACAAAACTTCTACCAAGCACAGGCTGAACGATTTGCCGCTACCGGAAACCCGCCACCGGGTCAGAGCGACAAGCGACCCGCTAAAAAGATCAAGGCCGAGACACCGGAGGAGATCAAGAAGCGCTTAGCGGAACACCGAGCGCGACTGGCTGCGCAAAAGAACGCGAACGGGGGCGCTGCTACGCATACACCTCCTCAAGGACTACCAGATGGGCACAACCCTGGACAAAGTGCATCACCTGGTGCTTTTGTAGGTTTTCAGACGGACCTATGTACCACTGTCATCACTAACCAAATTTTTAGAACTCTCCCTTCCACCCACCCGGTGCACAATATCCTGGTTACCCAAGCCAACCGCAATACCCTCACGCATACCCTCCGTCGAATCTCCCTTCGCGGCCCGGGAGCAACGCCCCTGCTGCATCTGGTCTACCTCAACGGCCCGGACAGCCTGGGTGGCCGGCTAGTACCGCGACACCTGAGGAGCTTGCAGCGAGCGCAACGCCACAGCAAGGCGATGATATCGACCAACTGATCAGGATGGCCGAGGCTGGTATCCGGCCACCCAAGAAGTCAGAGACACCCGCCGCCACGGAGGAAGCGGCGCAGGAGAAGAAGCCGAAGAAAGAGAAGGACAAGAATGTGCAGATGATTTACGAGGACGAGCTCAGTCCAGAGGAGAGGATGGCCATGATGCCGAGGTATGCTTTCACCCTCGAATCTGGAGCTGCTTAGGGGCAGGGACAGCGGAAGAGGAGGCGCGCATTACGTGTATAATATCAAACGAAAACTATGGCATGGATGAGCCTGGTCATTTAGCGCTTTATAAACCCTACTGGGAAATGAGAATAAGCGTTGCTGAAATCAGGACTGCGCCGTGAGATTTTGACTTCAACTTGCGCTGTAAATATGTCCATCTATATGTAGTTAAGCAACAGTTGGCGAAGTTTTCCACTGTAAACAGTGAACAGCTTATAAATAATTGGATGAACGTGTACTCAATGTTCGACTGTTTAGGTGGGTTTTCTTATTTTACCTTCAAGATGATTAAGCATAACTACTTCATTTCAAGTTAAGTTGTTCACACATTAGAATTGTCAGTTTCTCGAGCAGCTGTCAATCCAATGTGTAGGAGAGAATGCCAGAAGGGAACTTTGATGGAATCAATTCATTCGCTGTTGTACTATCTTACTTGTACCTGAATATGAAAATGATAAAATGTATCGCTAGAAACTTCGCAACGCTCCCAATCAGTCATCATGTAGACAGACTCAAGTCATCCAACACCATTCGCGTTACAAGGGTATAAGTCATGTTAATGCTTCGATGTAATCACGTTACTTAGCCTGCGGGGGTTGGAATCTGGAGTTTAGAAGGGAGAGAGTAGGTAATCTCAGCCGCTTCACGCGCCTTCTGTCTCCGAGCTTCAGACGTTTTGGTCGCGGATACTTCCGAGCATCGAGCATTGTTTCATCTGAACTTGAGCTCGACGAGCTGTCTGGAAGGAGCTGATGCGGTTCCTTCGAGTCCGGCGGGGTCAACATCACCTTCACGGGCGAGGCCACCGCTTTCCCCTTTTTCTTCTTCGAAGGCGTCGATGCATCTCTTATTCTTTCCCCTGTCAATGGGTCTCTCAGCCATCGAGTGCCGACCACGGCCGCATCGGTACCCTCTTCGGTCGGTGGCTCGACCATTGCGAATTTCCACCACGGCTTGTCGTAGCATACGGATCTATAGCGGCCATAGTCTCCTACTAGGAGAACCCAGAGCCAGTCTCTAGGTAAGAGTTTACTATATATTGTAGAGGGCGGGAAGAAGAACTGTACGTGCTCGAGGGCGTGATCCTCTAGCCACCTGATCACAGTTGGTAATAGCGCTAGTGTATCTGTGGTGAATGGGCGTTGAGGTGCCTGGTTAGGATAAAGCTCCCTGTCCGGGTATAAGTATGGCTTGATCGCGATCTTGGTCAATAGATGCATCTGCATGGAACGGAACGGATTTGTGTGGTATGCCTCGGCAAGTCGGCCGACAAAAGTGAGCTTGTTTTTAAGATGTTGGATCTTTTTCGGGTGAGCTTGTATCATGTCTAAACAACCCATAGCATCAGCGTCTGAAACTTCTAGACCACGCGACTGGGAAGAGGGACTTACTTCCTTGACTCCAGGCTTCATCTGTCAGTCGAGTCATGATTGCATGGCACATCTTTATCACGGTTGGGGAGAAATTAAACTAAAAGTCGCCCACTAGTTTAACAAGTGCTCGAGAGGGGTGTTCGACATGGGTGTCATCAAACAATTTGCCGGCGGCCGAGTATACACCGAACCGATACTGAGGGGATTCGATAGGATCTCGGAGACAACAATATAATATCTCGAGTATATAGCAGTATCGCCTTTGTCGTAGTGCTTCTGTAGGTGTCATATCTGATGGCGAATTTATTGGGAAATATGACGTCTTCCAGTATAGTGCTACAAATTCAACAACAGCATTGTGAGTCTCCTCGATGCCGCGGACATACTCTAGTCGGCACTTGTTTCTGAGGGCTAAGCCCCAGGATAAAAGGGTCTGAAAGACTATTTGGATAGCTTGGGGAGTTCTATCATTCGCGCCTTTCACAGCGGCAGCCGTCAAGGTCAAGGCGACGCCCAATTGGTCGTTGTCTTGTGTAATGGTCTTAACCTTCTCCAAGGCAACACGAGACTCTATCGTTTGCAAGTCTGCTCTCATTCGCTTGCTCGTAGCACCTAGAGCAACGATGGAAGGAATGTCCAAGTGACTGCTGATTTTCACCAGGACGTCATTCCTCGTGCTATGGAGATCAAACGTTTCTATCGGGGCTGGCGTTCGCAAGTCTACTGGCCAATCCACGTCTAGAACAATCAGTTAAACTATCCCTCGACGGTCGGCCGAAGCTGCGCGTGTAACCTACCACAGTCCATGAGATCTTGATGCCATCCGAGCGGCGCGCGCGGGGTGCGCTGCTGCATGGCAGGTTGCAGTTTAAAATTAGGGGCTTTTAATAGCGAGTAATTATGAGGGGAGTCAACAAGGACTGTGGGTAGATAGGTCTGTTGCAGGAATTGGATGTCTGGGGATTGTGAGATTGTGAGTTGGAACGGCAGAAAACCATCACCAAGAGTCGACACCGGATATATGGCAGTTGTTTATGTGACAGATGGGGAAGCCGCCCGCTTCCAGGACTGAGTGTATATGCCTTCCAACATCATGACAGAGGCAGGTGCTGCATCCTTCTACATACTTAAGTATGGATATAACTGCATAGATAGGTAGGCACATAGGGTGCAGTAGATAGGTGCCATGGAGTGAAGAAAAGGAACCAGCTTGTGGGAGCGAAAGGACTTCTTCAAGCGTAGAAGTAGGCACTTTCTTAGATGATGTGTACTTGCTGAGACCTGGGAGACTTCAGTAAATGATTAATCGACCGTTTATCCTTGAAATCAAGAATTCTCCAAACTATTAATCAGCATTTCACTAGTTTTTGGAGGGGTGTTTGTAAGATTGATGATTGATAGAATTTAACTATCGTATGTATATTCAATTCTGTCCAGACGACAAGGAACAAGTTCTTGAACAGTGATCTACGTCGATCCACAGGCAGTATATATACCTAAAACTATATAATATAAGCTTAAATCCCGGGTTCCCTAAGAATAGTCCTGATATTGCTCTTACCGAGAAATTGACACATAGCCATTTCTATATCTCGAGTCGAAACTCCATGTCGCATTCCCGTCTGCATACAAAGACCAAGCAAGCCAAGCAAGGTAATTCAGGTAAAGTAGGTATCTTACCCGCCGTCAATCACATGCATATCAGATCTGATGAGATTGGGGGAAAGAAATAATTATTCTGGCCAAGCAAGGCTTGAAGATACGAAAATGCGGCGATGGAGTCAGACTGCAGACTGTGGACCAATTTTATGGGTCGCATATGGAGTACAGAGAGGTACGTAAAATGCATGTGATTGCCGAGGCATTGAAGTTGAGCACTACCGTACCTACAGAGGAAAATATGTGCAGATACCTATGTGGAATCTTGTCAAGCATCCAAGCTCTCAGTCCTTTGCAAAATGAAAGATACAGGAATCTACCACCCAGCCTAAGTATCCAATTAGACAAGGTGAAACGATTCGGTTTGTGACGGCACGACGAAGAATCGTCGATTAATGAGACGAAGGAAGGTCAGCAGACAGTTCAACAGTTGTATCGTGGTACCGATTTTGTCTACTTAGCGGTTCGTATCGGCTGAGCCAATTGGGGTTTGGCATCGCACCGCATGTGGTATATCTTTGGCCCTTGTACCTGGACCTGGACCTGGACCTGGAAGGGAGAGAGTCAGGCCAGTGTCAAGTCTACCAAGATACAGTAATTAAGCATACTTGACTGTCTAATGTTGACAGAGCGGCGAGTCATAATATGGAATAAAACATACAACCATTCAAGCATTAGGTTTACTACCAATATGAATATCACATAAAGAGAAGAAAACAAACGAAAGCTTTTGCTACTGACTCATATATAGAATTACCGAATATTGTGATAGAGTCTGGATGCATTAGGTGGCTGAGACTTGGGTTGGTACCTAGTCAGGTACCGCTACATGTACCGCCGGGCCGTTGGCGAAAGCTCAAGTTCCTTTTTAGGGCAAGCTGCATGCAATACCGCCTTGGGTCTTTGCCTGTTTCAAGCGCTGTATCTGCCCTGTAAATGCCCGAGATGCCTAGGTTACCTGCCTATGCTACTTACCTAGGTAATACATTAGTTTGGCTACGTCACGAGTTTCCTAGCTGGGAAACCCCAGCAAAAATGATGTCCAGGACTGCTGCTAGTCGAGGTACTTGCCCCTACAGGTATTGCTCTAGTCGTCTCTACCCACCACATAGGCCAGACAGGTGGTATAGTCTGGTAGAGATCATAAGTATGCACGTGGTAGGTAGGTACCTCCTCGTCAGGCCCTTGTAGGTACTGGGCGTCCCTCAACTGGTGACTGCCCAGCTGGCTGACTGACAAGCTCCTGCAGGGTCAGGCGTCCCGTCATTAACCAGCCTGTTATGGCATTACTTTGATTCTTATAGCTTGGGTACACTACACCACCACCAACCTGCGATCCTCCATTCCTCAGCTTGGGAACCTCATTTCCTCCACGACGTTGCAGCTGAGCCTCTGATCTGTTTATCTTGCTTACAACTCCTCACTGACAACAAGTGCATGGAAAGGATATACCCCGAGTCGTCTTTCGTCCTTTGACTGAGTACGTCTTGTCCGTTCCGCCAGGAACCCCACGCTCCATCAAGCCTCAACACTTCGATCCTCCTGCAATTGATGAATACATCCTCACCTAGGTGCTGACACTGAACCTGCTTTGGCTATTTTACAGATGTATAGTTTAGAAAACGCACACGCCTTGTTGTATCACTTACAGCTCCGTATACTCACAACGTCTCACACCTCTCTATGAACAAGGTTGCGCTCTTGTACAGCACCCTCTCGCCGATACCTTTTACCCTTCGTTCCTCCTTGTTTGACGACGGCCCACGATCCGTATCTCAAACCCTCGAACGATGCAGTACGTTCGAAACATTAGCGATTCAGTGTCAACAGCCTGGAATTCCATTAATCCTGCCACGCTCAGCGGTGCCATCGATGTTATAGTAGTAGAGCAAGAGAATGGCGATCTGTGCTGCTCACCCTTTCACGTTCGCTTCGGCAAGTTCTCTCTCTTGCGACCTTACGAGAAGAAGGTCGAGTTCAGGGTCAATGGCGTCAAACAGGAATATGCTATGAAGCTCGGGGAGGGGGGAGAGGCGTTCTTCATATTCGAGACTTCAGACAATATACCTCAGAGTTTGCAAACCTCCCCCCTCGTATCACCGGAGACTAGTCCAAGTCTCGCTCCCACCGAGCGGTCTGGTGCCGCAGGCATACTCCAGGAACCTGACCTTTTGCAACTCGACGGCGAGAATGCAAAACGGAGGGGCTCGACTATAATAAGGCCGGGACCTAATGTGCTCCCGCCTCATCAGTTACGGCCAGGTTCGTTGCTACTACCCAGCTGGACGAAGCGCTCTGGAAACTTGCTAAATCCTATAATCCAGGTGTTTCGGCCCCTGCTGTTTCTTCACCCGAATTGGATGGAGGACGTCCGAGCTCTAGGAACTGGCTTGATGTACCTACTCGACGAAATCCTCCCAGCGATCCGGTCGTCTCTACTCATTTGCGTGATCAGGATGATTCGGCTGATGAATCGTTTGGGGATAGCCCCCCTGCCTCCCAACGATCACGCAGCCCGCCGCCCGTTGGCCCACTTGAAGCCATACAGCGTGCTATGACACTATCCCAGCAGCTCTCGGCTGTAAATATCCCAACTCGTGTAACAGAGACAGGGGATTTAATGCTTGACATGGCCTCATACAAGGGCAGTGAGGAGGACGCTATTAAAGCAGAAATTCTTGCTCGCAAAATTTTATCCGAACAATTACAAGGCGACTATGACATTGGCGCTCTATTTGGAATGGATGAAGAAGGAAATTTGTGGATTTATAGCAGCGAGGAGGCAAAAGAGGCAGCCATGCAAAAGACAGTTGCTTCACTTCGACCCGCGCCGACTTTGGCTGTCGATGCTGTTTCGGATCCCGGGTACGCTAGTGATGATTCGACAACCTCCTCACGAGTTCCTATACACCGCCGTAGCGAGTCTGATATCGGTCAAGGTTCGGTGCACACCCCCCCTACTACGCCAGGCTCTGCTTCACTAGTTAGCCACAACCAAAAAAATTACGCCAAGACCCTTCGTTTGACGAGTGATCAGCTGAAGGCACTTCAGTTGAAGCCCGGCGAGAACTCCATGAGTTTTACCGTGAACCGAGCAACCTGCAACGCCAACATGTTTCTCTGGAGACACGACATCCCCGTGGTGATTTCTGATATAGATGGCACGATTACGAAGTCCGATGCCTTAGGCCACGTTTTGAATATGATTGGCCGTGATTGGACGCATGCGGGTGTCGCAAAACTATATAGCGACATCGCGGCAAATGGCTATAATATCATGTACCTGACGAGTCGATCAGTCGGTCAATCTGACACAACACGGGCTTATTTAAATGGTATCGCCCAAGATGGCTACCGCTTACCAAAAGGCCCAACTATTCTTTCTCCAGACAGGACCATGGCTGCGTTAAGACGTGAGATTTATCTCAGGAAGCCTCACGTATTCAAAATGGCCACACTCCGTGATATTAGGAGCTTATATGGACCAGAAAACCACTGCTTTTACGCAGGATTTGGTAATCGTTTAACAGATCAGATTTCCTACCGAACTGTTGACGTCCCACGCAATCGCATCTTCACGATCAATTCGAATGCGGAAGTTTCGTTGGATCTATTGAGCTTGAATAAGCTGAAGCTTAGCTACGTCAATATGGGAGAGGTTGTTGATCATTACTTCCCGCCTGTCAGCACGTTAGTAAAGGGGGGCGGAGTCGAGTACACCGACTTCACCTTCTGGCGTGATACACCGCTAGAGTTGGACGAATTCTCAGCTAGTGGGTCAGAGTTAGATGACCAAAGCGACGTAGATGAAGATGAGGAGGATGACGAGGATGTGGGAGAGATGGGGGATAGCTTCCTCTCGCGCGGAGATGATGACGATAGGTACGCGGGCGAGAGCGTCCAGAGTGGTGATTACGAGGACGAAGAGGATATGATGGATTCGGCGATTTACGATCGACCTGATGACGCTGATGACGAAGATGGAGAGGACGAGGATTACGAAGACGAGGACGAGGCGGCGGGTTATAGCGAAGATGAAAACGATACTGCGGAAATTCAACCTGGTCCAGCGAAGAGAGCGGTACCAGACACAAATGCTCAGATAATGACTGGTTTGAAGAATCTGGGGATCCAAAAGAAGGTCTGAAGTTCAGAACGACACTGAAAAATCTACGCAAACCATCTACAGCCCAATGGGGTCATTCAAGGGATATTGAAAGGCGCCAATCATGTCCATGATTAAATGCTACGAAGGGAACGACATCATTCAACCTGAGCCAATATTTTTTGGAGACACCGTGAGCCCATCCTGGCTCTCGCTCTCCTTTGCATAGCGCTAGGCGTTGATTTCTACTGGTTCTCATTTTGTTTTATTCCTAATTCATTGAATGGGAGGCTCTAAAATTATATTGATGTTTGTTGGGTCAGCTGGGGCTTGACCAGGAAAACCATGAATCAGGAAGCGAATTACATTGCATACATGTTTATTTAGACAGACAGAACAATGTACAATGGCGACACTATGATTTAGGATCTTTCAAATCATCTAAATATCTGCTGGCAGTCGGACATCTGAGATCGACTTGTTTTGATGTAACAACCTAGCCTCCATTGTACGTCTGTCGTGTGGCCTCGACGACGGTTGAAAATAATTCACGCCATGCCTGTGAGTTCTAATAGTGATTGATCCTTTACGTGATAGCTATCTATGTACAAGGACGGAACTTAGCGGTCCTAAGGATGGTATCGTGTAAATTTTGTCCTCTCAAACGCCCGAACGCCTGGTCCGCCCACCTTAACAAATAAATAGACCTCTACTTTGTGACCGAAATAATCAGTCAAGTAGCTCTGTTCAATACGCATGATACAGTCCACCATCATCCGGCGAGGAGGCTGATGTAAAGGAAATAGATACTGACATGTAGCGAGCGCATTACTCCATGCCTTCCATGTCTTCATCAGCCATGTCGTCACCAAGGAACTCATCTAATCCACCGCCACCATCTTCCTCGCCCTCTTTCTCCTTGCTGTTCTGATCTTCCACGCCCTCCATCGCGTCTGATCCGTTCCCGTCATCGTCAGCCTCGTCCTCGCTGCTATCCGTCCCGCCCTCGACAGCCCATTGGTCGCGTAAGCCCCAGCTCTGCCCGCTGAGGACGAAGCGCTCGTTAGGCAACCGCACGCCCCATTCGAAGGCCAGTATGCGCGGCAGCACGACCTTGTTGCGCTCGCGCGCGAGCTCTTGGAGCCACTCCTTGCTCGCGCCGCCTCCGCCCACGCCCCCGCCTACGCCGCCGCCGCCGGATCCGCCGCGGAACTGGTACGCCTGCCGGCTCGCGATGGCGATGTTTATCGCGTTCGTGCTCACCGTCGCGTCGCTGCCTGGTGGGGCCGTCGGGACGGCGCCGCTTGAACCGCTGGGCTTGGCGCCCGCGTGCGTCGCGTACGGATCGCCTGATAGGTGCAGGGCGTCGTTGAGGATGCTGGACGTGTGCCGGTAGGCGAAGTCGAGAAGTAAGAGCGGCACCCGGTTGTCGAAGGACGTCACGCCTTGGGAGGTCAGGAGTAGCTCGATTGTGCGCGCGTCGCGGGGGCGAGGCTCCTGTGTTGCCGTCGTTGGCGAGGACGGGGCTGCTTGTGCTGGCCCGCCTGTTGCTGTTGTGGTGGTGGTTTGCTGCGTGTTTGGTATTGTTGTGCTGCCGCTTGTTATGGTGTTTTGCGTTGGTTGCGATGCTGGCTGCGTCTGTGATCCTGACGAGCTGGGAGGTATCCCATTTGGTTGGGCTGTTGTCGCCATGGTCTGCAACGGCAGGACAATACTACAAGTAGCTGGTTGGCGCTTGCTCTCAGGCGTGGTATAGCGTGATGTGGTCAGATATCACCGGGTTGAGGACTTCAGAACATGATTGCGTAGTCTTTCGCGGGGACGTTAGAATTGAGGTTGTAGATGTCGTCCAAGGATGAGGAGCAACTTTATACCACCTCGGTTCGCTTCGCGAGAGCAGTTCCTGCGAAGCTCCAGGAGGTTATAGTGTAAGTTGCAGTTGGGCCCAGGCTGGGGTACGTACCTACTCCACTCCGATTAACCTTATCAGTGATCTAGATCGGTGTACTTAGGTACATGCACCCGCTTGGAGGGGCAATTTTTAACCCCGCCATCATTGGTCTTGGTCACATTTGAGTTACCAGCAAAAAGCAAAGCTGGGCCGATGTAGGAACTCGACGTGGGTTGCATCATAAATAATAATAACTAGGTCCCATCGCTTAGTGCAGATCTAAAATGTCTTCCGTTTCTCGTGGGTTTGACTCATATCTACAAGTTCCCCTGTGGAAGGTGACACGAATTGCATTGATGCGGGTGTATCCTCTCTCTTCATCTTCAATTCTGTAAGCCAGTTGATATGGAATCCATCCTTCCGCTGCCCTTCCTGATCTCTGTGCCTGTCCCGCCGGGGCTCGCCTCGAGTGACGGCCTGACCCAGGAAGAGGTGTCGTGTCTAGGTTGTGTCTTCTTCGATGCCACTCCCAGCAATCTAGGCGAACTCTTCGAGATTGTAGACAAGCACAACGCCGAGCTTCAGATATTTTTCGATGGAACCGCGCTGGAGTCCCATGATATCGTATCGCTTCTAGACCACGGTGCTCGCAAAGTTTTCGTCCCGCCCAAGCGGCTGCCCGAATTCTCCACGTACGGAGATAGAGTCGTGCCAGTTGTTACCCAGTTGAATGAGAGAGTCGGCACAGAGAAGCAATTACTCCTCAGGGACTTCGATCAACAGAGCTTCGATGTCGCTGGTTTCTTAGCGTCCAGTAAGATCGAGAAACTCCCGTCGCTGTACATCAAACCCATATCGGAAACCAATTTTGAGCACTTCGTCGACATATGCTCACAAGTCAACGCAATTCCTGTGATCCCATCTACACAACTGACTACGAAAAAGGAAGAAACAGACAAGAAGCTGTACATTCCGAAATTATTCTCAACATCATGGAAAACAGATCGTCCGGATAAGTTGCTCCCCACGGTCGTTTGTGACGAGCGAGGAATCGCACTGGGCCTGGTATACAGCAGTGAAGAGAGCGTAGCAGAATCTCTGAGGACGCAGACCGGTGTATATCAGAGCCGAAAGCGCGGTCTGTGGTACAAGGGAGCTACATCCGGTGATACTCAGGAGCTGGTCAGCATATCTATGGATTGCGATAACGATGCGCTGAAATTCATTGTCAGGCAAACGGGGAGGTTCTGTCACTTGGATCAATTTGGCTGTTTTGGAGAACTCAAGGGCCTTTCGAAGCTTGAACAGACTCTGGTGTCAAGGAAAAAGTCAGCGCCTGAGGGATCGTATACCAAAAGACTATTTTCCGACGAGAAGCTACTACGGGCAAAGATCATGGAGGAAGCCGAAGAATTGTGCGATGCGAAAACACCCGACGAGGTTGCATTCGAAGCCGCTGATCTGATATATTTCGCCCTTACGAAGGCCATTGGTGCGGGAGTCAGCCTCCTTGATATCGAGAAAAACCTAGATGCCAAGAGTTTGAAAGTCAAGAGAAGGCCCGGTAATGCCAAGGGTGAATGGGCGAAGAAGGAGGGAATTGCCGTTGAGCCGGTCGAGAAAGCGAAGAATGCCGCAAAGGAGTCATCCATACCGTTAGCATCGGATCCAGCAACAGATGCCCACACAAATCCAGATGCTGATAAGATCGTAATGAAGCGAGTTGATGTTAGCAAGGTTGGAGAAAAAGAAGTCGATGATGCTCTAAGGCGGCCATCTCAGAAGTCTGCGGAGACAATCATGGGCATCGTCACGCCAATCATAAATGATATACGACAGAACGGTGATAAGGCGCTCCTGTCTTACACACACAAGTTCGAGAAGGCAACGTCGTTGTCATCACCCGTCATAAAAGCACCGTTCCCTCAAGAACTGATGAACTTGGCACCCGAAACTATCAAAGCCATTGACGTCTCCTTTGAAAATATTCGAAAATTCCACGCCGCCCAGAAGGAGGAGAAACCGCTTCAGGTCGAGACTATGCCAGGTGTAGTGTGCAGCAGATTTTCTCGCCCAATTGAGCGAGTAGGGTTGTATGTGCCCGGAGGAACGGCCGTTTTGCCCAGCACCGCGCTCATGCTAGGTGTGCCAGCCATGGTTGCGGGGTGCAAGAAGATTGTACTCGCTTCACCACCGCGAGCAGATGGCAGCATCACTCCTGAAATCGTTTATGTGGCTCATAAGGTCGGCGCGGAGAGTATTGTCTTGGCTGGTGGCGCACAAGCTGTCGCTGCCATGGCATATGGCACGGAGAGTGTGAGCAAGGTAGACAAAATTCTAGGTCCGGGCAACCAATTCGTTACGGCAGCAAAGATGTTCGTAAGCAATGATACCAATGCTGGCGTTAGTATCGATATGCCTGCGGGTCCTTCCGAGGTTCTAGTGATTGCCGACAAGGACGCGAATCCAGCTTTCGTAGCCTCAGATCTGCTGTCGCAGGCTGAGCACGGTGTTGATAGCCAAGTCGTCTGCATCACAGTTGACCTTGACGAAGAACACTTAAAAGCCATCGAGGACGAGGTTCACAAGCAAGCCATGGCTCTACCGCGTGTAGACATAGTTAGGGGTGCCATAAACCACTCCGTAACCGTCCTTGTGAGAGACGTGGACGAGGCCATGAAGATCAGTAACGCATATGCGCCCGAGCATTTGATTCTACAGATCAAGGAACCCGAAAAAGCCGTCGAGAAGGTCATGAACGCTGGAAGTGTTTTCATAGGACAATGGACACCAGAGAGTGTAGGCGATTATTCAGCCGGTGTAAATCATTCGTTACGTATGTTTATTTTCCAAACTCCCTTGTCTTTTCCCCATACGAAGTTCTCCTTACTAACCCTTTGTTTTCACAGCTACCTATGGGTATGCCAAACAGTACTCGGGTGTCAACCTCGGCTCGTTCGTCAAGCATATCACGAGCTCGAATCTTACGGCCGAGGGCCTGAAGAATGTCGGAGGTGCCGTGATGCAACTTGCTAAGGTTGAGGAGCTTGAAGCGCATAGGCGAGCAGTTGAGATTAGACTTAGTACACTCGAGGGATGAAAATGTAGGTCAGGCGAAAAGAGGAGGAAAAAAAATTGAATACAGGCTAAGGGCTTCCTAGGTTCTTATGGATTCGGTTACTATATCGACATGGGATGTGATGGTGAGGAAATATGAGTTTTGGCCGAAATGCTTCTGATGTTGGCTTCATGTACTGTTTTAATAATATCAAGGCACATAAAATTCACGAACAGTGTCACGAATGTCAGCCCCAGTGATTCAAGTTCAACATATTATGTTTTCAAAATTTCCCTAAACATACCAAACCCGAACCAAAACGGGAAAAAACGCCGGCAGTATTGGGTATCATTTTGTCGTTCGAATAGCCTTTCAGGACGCCGTTATGTACACATTTGATTTAAAAAAAAACGCGGTCTATATATTATGTGCGTGAGTGCAGGTATTCACGCCGCCCTCTCTCCGTTCTACCGGCCCCATATCCCGTTGTGACGCGTCTGGAGAGCGTACGCCTCGGTGTAGACTCCAAATGGGCGCTGTTGTACATCGTCGGGATGGCGGTCGCGGTTGTCGTAGACGTGCGGCGGTAGCTGGTGCTGCGGGATTTGAAACTGCTGCTGCTGATGTGGATTGTCGATGACTTCGGATGTCGTGCGGACCTCGGTCGAGGTAGATACCACGAGCACCGTGTTCGACTCGGACGTCTTTCGGTCGGTTCCCTCGCCTACCACGACGTACTGCGATATCCCTCGCTTCGTCCGGTTCCCCGTGGGATCGGTCGATAATACATTGCCGCTACTGGTTGTCTTGACGCCTGGTTTGAGGATCTTGGACCAGAGGACGCGAAGGGAGGGCACGCAGCCTACGATTAGCGCTACGGCGGACTCTGTTATTCTGCGTGGTATATACGGATGAGTAAGAGCTAATAGTAAAGGGAGATATGAAGGAGGTGGATTCTTACGTCGCTAAGATTGATAAAGCGAGGGATGTTGCTGGACGCTGCAGCGATATCGCTTTGAAGTATAGTGAGAGGATGCTCGCCCCTATCGCACTATGGTGGTATGAATTAGTTAAGGTAAGGGGTACATGTCAACGGGTATACGTACAAGAGACCGCTCAGGAAGAGGAAGAGGAGCCCAACCTTGCTCCTGACGAGCAGGTTTAGACCAAAGATAACGGGGACCGGCAGCACGAGGATAACGACGTCGGCGAGGACGGAGAAGCTACCGGTGACCACGTTTGTTATCCGCGTTCTCGTCTGGCAGTTGGTAATGAAGCCTTCGGAGAGATGCATTGTGTGCGGTGTGCAGGCTGGTGGTATGGCGACGATGGCGGCGATGTATACTGCTGCTGTGAGAACGAGGGTTACGTATGATAGCACACGTAGCCATTTCTTGATCCCGAAGAGCCGGAGATAGAGGAAGAGAATGGGCGCTTTGCATGTCCACAGTGCTAGTGGTGTTAGGACTGATATTGCTACGGCAAGCTGTGTGTCGAGTTACTCAATGTCAGCGCCGCCAGTCTTCGTGCTGGTCAGATGTTGATGATGACAGGTCACGTACCTGAGCAACTCTATAGGGCGCGATCTTATCATCATGAAAGCCTGTCGAGGATATTAGTATTCTAGTTTAAAGAAGACTATCTATATTATTGTGATCACATACCATTGCCAGCTGCATCACTGAGGATCGATGTCGCGATCAAGAACGGTATGGCGGATATAGAGATATCTAGTCATGAGAATAGAGCGCATCAGCATTGAGTTCCCACAGCCCGTACGTCTATATAGACTATGTGGACTCACAGTCGTCAACCAAGAGTCTCCGGTTGTATTTCCAGTTCGTGATGAGTCGCAGCAGGACAGCAATGAATGCCAAGACGACAAATAACGACTTCAAGGCATCGATGGCGCCTTTTGGCAGCGGCGGTAAGTCATCCATCGAGGGGGCCGCCCGTATAGGCGCCGCCAGCCAGGTCTCAGGGCAATATAAAATGCGAGCAAGAAGCAAGAATAATAACTATATACATGAGTCCATAACGAGCCACTCGGGTGCGACTAAAGGATATAATAACTGTGAAGAAAGCCTGTCTGGTGGTGACTAGGGGGGACCAGTCCAGAGATCCTGAAGACTAAAAATGCCACAACCCGTATCGAGCAGGTGAAGATACTCGGAAGAAAAGAATGTTATCCGAGTGGGCGACAAGCCTAGATACATACTTCTGTAAGTCCACTACGCTCCCTACAGTGGTGTAAACCGGGAGGAATATCTCAAAACGAGGATGGCTTACGCTATCCTACTCTCAAACCCAGGGGGGGAGGTGGCTAGCCCGGATATCCCAGGTATTTGCGACTGCATATTGCCATGTAGATAGTTGCAGCTTAGGATTATGTCTAGCAGGCCACGTTCTTGGAAGCTCAGGTAGGGTTATCTAGTCTTCTTGGACACAGTCGGGATGACGGGATAGGCCTGCTAGACACATCGTATGTATACCTTGGTATAGACTAACTAGTATAGACGAGCCGCAAAAATAGCCGGGGACGCTACCTAAGTTGAGGACGTGGACGTGCGAGGCACATGTCTTTTTGACGCGTGGAGTCAGGTAGCTATTCGTCTGTTTCCCCCCTTTGTCATGATATACTAAACTGGACAAATGAATAGGTAAGTGTCCAGGTCCAGCATGCATGAAGATGTAATGTTCTCCAATTCCAGTGCGACAAACTCCTCAGTGGCCTAGAAACTACCCAGCCAGAGTCACCCGAACGCGAAACTACGGTATCATGATTCGAAAGCGTTCTCGAGACGTCGCAGGCTGGCAGTTGATAGGTAGTAAGCATCGTTGACAAATCGACTCATCCATCGGACGTGCAGTTGGATGGAATGGGCAACTAAGTATGTAGGTATGTATCTTCCCTTCCTATTATTAGTAAAGTGGTACTTCGACTAAGCTCCTCTCAGCTGGTGCTTGGCCTTATTGCTGCACTGACGCCACAGCTTCTTGTCACGGCCCGGTTACCAATAGTCTCGGTTAACGTGACAGGGTATAACGTACATGTTAGCCCAGAGACAGTGGGTTGAAGTCCCTGTTCTCAGTATTAATGTACGTACTCAGTAGGTATATGCGCAACCCTCGAGGCCGGCATTGTTTATGGTATCGTGATGAGAGAAGTGTTATTATCAACGAGCTAGACGAAGAGTCAGCTCGGTGATGCGTGGTTGGGCGGGATTCAGCCCGTAGGATCGCGGATCACCAGCCGAAGCCCGACCACATGCTGGGTTTCTAGCTGGGTAACCTTGGCCTCGGTAACAGTCTGTCAGTAACACCAGGGATAATGCTGACGATCAATCGCGATTCACAGCACAAAATCAACCAATAATGAGCTTTGCCAGCAGAATCAACTCGGGTATGCTACCTAGGGTTCCAAGCAGTAGCTATCTATATCAGTAGAAAGCTGGCTTGTGGTATTTCTCTTCTCGGATAGACTAACTACGATAGGCGTCACTCCCGGTGAGATATTCTTGAGCTTCTAGAAGCCCTCGGCTAAACTAAGCGTAGTAAGAAAAGAGAGTGCTTAAATCGAAGCTTCAAGAGTCTCATCCTCTTGTTGATAAAGGACGATGCAGCATTCCTCGGGCTAACCTGCCTTGACGAGCCTAGCGAGTAGAACCCACGCCGCCAGTAACGACGGGTGCCATCGTGGGAGCAACAGAATAACGTCCCACTGACTTTCTGTGAGAGCGAGCAATTTAGGAATCGCATCCAACTACGGTTGTGCGACGTGCAGCCGGGCCCGTGATTGGTCTTGTATCTCTCTTGATGAGTGTCTGGCCTTTTGTGAAGCTTTCCCGTACATGTAAGTAGTTTTCGCCCCTGCATTCTTACACAATGCAACTCTACGCTTATTACCCCTTCATCTCACGCACTACATGCTTGTACAGTATGCAGGTACCTCCGCGCTGCGTGATAGGGGGAAAGGTGAAGTCCAAAGTCGAAATTTCCCATATAAGACCTAGGAGCGCCACCTTGAATCCGAGGCGCGCTCAGGCTATTCTCCCTTCAAGATGCATTTAGCTCTCGGCTCGCTATGGCTCTACACGTAGATACCAAGCGCAAGCTCGTTTACTTTCACATAATGATATGGACATGGGACTGAGAGTAAGTGGATTAGGAACGGACTCGTGGTGCGCCCAGGAGTTGTTGAGTCCTGTGTCCTGTCCGTACACACCCAAGCTGACTCGCCTTCTATTCAGTAATGCATCTTCTTATCCAAAACTCGTCGCCACATTATAGGCTTTCGGACCAATGCATGCTGACAGCAGTCGAGGCACGAGCATTGGGGTGCAGAGGATTACACAACATCTCCCAACATATTATGACTGCAAGCCACGTTTCGAATATAGTGTCCCTGGCACAGCGTAACGGCTTACAAATAAACTAGCTGACTCAAGCGCTCTCGTGTTGAGTTGTGCTGGGACCACTGACAAGCTAGATCTTTCAGGTGATTTAAGTTGGCGTTGGTATTACCTTACCTACCTAGGTATTGCTCACTTGCTGTAAAAGCCTCACCATATTGAGGTTATACATATACAAGTTGGTGATGTGTGTGTGAAGTTCTCAATGTACGCACTGACATAGCTGCTAAAAACGTGACTACCCAGGATCTCTTACCTCATATTCGTAGTCCCGAATTCTGCCGTGGCCACCTATGAATAGATTTCACGATTGGAAGCGATCTGCAGGATCGAAGCACATGGCTAGTATGCATGGGTCCGGGCGGATCGACTGATCTGCGAATATGGGGTTTCAGGCAACTACTCATCGAGATATGGTAGTAATTGAGTCTGATTTGAGGAAATACAGATACTCTTTCAGATACTCTCATTATTCGAAGTGATAAGATCAAGCTGAACTTAAGCTGAATTCTAACCTGGGTTCTACTGTACTATGTAGGTAAGACATCTATCTGCTGAGTAAGCTACTGAAGATATGTGTGCATGTATCTCTAGGGGCAACGAGATGACTAGCAGAGTGATAGAAAATGGCCTCAAGCTCGGCACACAATCATCGTCATTGCATGATTTCTTCGTCCTGTGCCGCAGAACCCATCCTATTTCGAGATTCACGCCTTCCATACAGTAGTATAATCGGTACTAGATACCTGTGCAAAGTGGTTCTGCTCAACCCCTTCCCTCAGCTCCGCCTGCCAGCGCGCGCCAGGTTCACAATCCTACGAGCTATTTAGGCCGCACTACGGAGGGATAACCTAACTACTGTGAGTACTGGCGCCTTCGGCTGCGTCCTTGGTATCACTTGATGAAGGCCGATTTCTGGGCCGATGAGGCGGACACTATATGTTGCTAGCGTGTCAGGTGTGAGTAGGATACGGCGGGAGCTTCGGTGAATATACTAATAAACGGGCTTGCGACGTTACCGGCGAGTAAGCGCCGGCAGAGGCCACAACAGCGTTTCCGATGATAGCTGCTGCTTAGTTTTCTAAGCTATACTAATATGGAGCCAGCTTATGACCATGAGGCTTTTCGATCAGATTAAAGAAAAATATGTTGAGATTGCGCCAAGTGCAGAAAAGAAAGCTTCCTCTCACTAGCTCCCAATGCCAAAGTTAATCCTTACAACATATATGCTACTGCAACTATAGCATATGCAACCCTCTTGCTGCAATATGATCGCGAACGAAGCTGTCAGGATCGATAAGGAACAGCGATGCTGGGGGTACGCGGAGTTCAGACATGATTCAGGGTGGTACAATTCGGTAAACATGGATATTAATATACCCGCCACTACGTAGTATAATGTCCAAGTACAGCCTTTCCCCAGATACCCAAGCTGCATAAAGATTCTGTGGGAACTAAGGATGAGAATCTGTATCCCCTTCGTGTACGCCTACATACCTCTACACTAGGTATGCTGTACCGGTAGCGGTCTTTCCTACGGAAAGTCGTGAGAGAGTCTGCTCACCATGCTCCGCGGTGAGGCGGCACAGCCATCGAATCGGCAGATTCAACAGATATAAGGTTCGAAAAGACGAATGAGACGCACCATATTACCACACGATATGATGTGATGTTCTTCCTACTGAGTACCTAGCTATCCAAGCTGTACCTGTCGACAGGGCGCCATAACCCACCTTTACAACCGACGTCAGACAACAGCGAGTTCTCAGTTTTTGATAAAAGGAGATTAAACGGGTTTGCGTGTTCAAAGCTGTGGTCATACGGCACAGCTTTCTTCTTCCTCAAAACACGGCATCTATTCCCTCCTCGTTCGATCGTCTCTTGATATACCTATAGCGAGGGAATCAATAGTCTGCGCTGCTCTGGGTGTGTAGACCATGTGCTTCCTTGACATGCGGTACTGAGTAATGCATAATTAAACATGATGTAAAGGGATGAGCAGAGTTCGGATGAAGGCACGCAAGTTCGAGAAGACGGGAGGAGTGTAGCTGCAACTTAGTACAATGTATCATTTGATCCGTCGTGTTTCTCCTCTAGGCCATTGCGCACGGTAATAACTACGTGACTCATCTTCTGATATATTACGTAACTGGCGTGATATCCGTTGACTCTGCGAGTGTTGTAAGACTCGATGTATCTGCACAGCGGTTACACGGTTACACATATAGGGGGAAAAGTTCGGATCCGTTTCATGTAATCTCGGATGTACTAATGAACATTTATTCATGCTACCTATCTCCTAGTCTTGAGATATCATTTCTAGTTCTCAAAATGCAAGCCACGACATGTGGGCTCGACCCTCTTCTAACGTAACAACTCATTTGTGCTCGCCGTATCGCACACGGGTGCTAGACATGTACAATTTCAGTTATATAATCAATCAATGTAAGTAAAAGGTGTGGAATGTGCTGCCTGTAGAATCCAACGCCATCCTATGCATCATTATTCATTAGACTGCTATGTGGTTCAGCATCCCTGCCTCCTTTGTCGCCATTATTCAGCCAATTCGCCTCAGGCGAACTCCTTACATATGGAATGACCATAGCTCAGGCAGTTGGTCGTCGAAGCGGATGGGCTTCGGTATTAAATACGAACTCGTCTAGACTTATCAGATCTGGTGACGAGAAAATCAGATAGAAGTACCGGAGAGTCTCGGCCAGCCAGAAACTCTATGCTACAGTTAGTACACCGGTCCTCGCAAATTATACATGCGCATTGAAAGGCGTTTTTACTGACCTCCATTGAATCGGCTTTCACCGTCTCAGCCGTCTTAACAGACTTGATCGCCGAAAATGCTAGGTCGGTCTCGGTCGCCTTGCAAATGGTCTGAAACATTTTCCACGCCATTTCCTGGTACTCGCTCTTCCCCGTCATACGGTACATGAGAAATACGCTCTCGATAGCCTCGGGTCGAAGGAGATACCGAGGATCTGGAACGTTCTTGATCCCCTCCTTTAGCTTGGTATTGCCGACAATCTCCCATTCCCCCTGGTTCCATTCACATGGTTCTAGTGTTGTACACTTGAGCAGGTTGAAAATCTCAGGCATGATGCCTGCTGGCATGGCATCGTAGGCCCACACGCAACCCTTCGTGATCTTTTCACCGATACTAACATGTTCTGGAATTTGGAAAAGCTTTCCGCCGAGCCCGAACATCCCACCGACAAAGCAACATAAATGTTGGGACTGGGCAGTGAGGCGCGGCTCATCTGAGACCCAGACGTTACCCGTAAACAAAATATCGGCTTGGTCGGGGAGCTTCGGTCGAAATAAAATGTTTTCGATTATCGTTTCCATTGCCCCACGGTACAACTTCTCGTACACCGGCTCGAGACCACCGAGTATAGCAAATGTTTTCGGGAAATACTCATAAAGACTATCGGCGGATGCACCCAGCGTGAAACTGTTATCTGAGTCTAACTCTATGCGTTCCAGATCAAGGTAGGTGGGCCACATCCCGGGTAAATTTGTCCTGTTCTGCCAGTCATCTAGAACTTGCGTCACTCGAGTTATCGCGTCATAATACTTATTGTTGCCAGTCAGTTGGGTTAATCGGGTGAATTCCAGAGACGATGATGCAGCAGCGGCTGAGGGACTGCGGTTATCCGCCACCTGTTTCCCAGCTCTAGCCTCTTGAAAGTTTAGCCAGAATACAGGCATACGATTCGGAGTATCGTATGCCATATAGAGCATATCACCTAGCTCGACGGCCTTCTCAAGCAATGCCGTCTCTCTGCTTAGGTCGTAGGCACTGAGTAAACCACCAAGGTGCCGTATAGTGGTTTCGAAGTAGTTGATGGATGTGTCCCGTGTCCTAGAGTAATCGATTGTGACCGCAGCAGCGGCAGCTTCGTAGAAATCGTCCTTCAGGTCCATTATCCAAAGAGTTGATAAGGAGTCGATGAGAGTGGCTCCCCAACCGCCAAAGCCGGCAACATCGTGTCCTTCTCCAGATACGGGCATGAGTTCGTCATACCCAAACCCAACATTCTTGTAACTCCTCCAGCTCTTCAGAAAGGCTTCCTTTACTTCGTCGCGCCTTGACGCTAGGACGGCCTCTCGCGCGACACCCTCGGGACTCTTATCTTGCTTGAACGCATACTGGACTGGGGGTAACGATTGCGGCCGGCCGGTCGGTAACGGAGTATATTCAGATACGGGATAGAATTGCTTCTGCTGAGACCAATCGTAGCGATCAAAGACATAGGTGAAACCCCAGAGAACGTCGCTGTTATCGGGGACCAGGCCGACAAGAAGGTACACCAGGATGACGACCAGCAGCGCGACCACTATACGCGACTTGCGACGAAGGATTGGGGTCATGGCGTCGAAAGGCTGGTCTCGAATCTGCCATGCCACATCTTCGGCGAGCATGGGCAACGCGCCTGTGCGACACGAGTTGGGTTACTTCGGAATCCTGTTGAGCGTGGTATACAGGCTCTCTTCGGTCCCACAGTGCCGCCGTATCGAATGCCGCAAGACGACTGTGGCCGGCGCATCGATACAGAATAGGATAGATGGTATTACACTAAGTATTAGTCTAATAAATGAGAGCTGCCACCGTCATACGGGTCTAAGGGATGTCTAGCACAGCATAAACATAAGCCGGGTATATTCTTGTGAAGACGGAATATGAAGCCGAGAAAGGACCTGGAGATAAGGAATTAACCTCAAAGGCTTGTGAGGTACCTGGCTAGCCAAGCCTTGACAAGCAGGGGGGACCCATGCTCTATTCTCGCTAAGCCAAGCGCCAAAAGCTGGGGCCGTAGGGTGCCTGGGCGCTGGAATAGGTACCTGGAGCAAGCCTGATTAGCGCTGCACTACTATCATAGCACCGTGGGGAGGACTTGTGAGTGATCTTAACTAAAGAGCAAGAGAGGAGTTTCAACAAGCTTGGGCAATAACGAGTTTGGTAAGATAGATGACGATAATGGCCCCTCTAGGCGAGCAAGCCTTTTACGAACTCCTTTTTTTGCTTCCCTTCTTTGAACTGACGGTAAACAGGCTGAAAACGAGACCATCATTGTGCAAAGTTCTTTTGACAATAGATATTGATGAGTAAGATGGCCTCAAATAATCCTCAGCTTAAGTATATGAAATTCACCAAGCCAAGTATTGGACCAGGGGCTTGGGGCTTACCTTTTCGCCGGAATTCATATCCGCCTCAAAAGATAGGGCTCCAACAAAGGATGAGCCTCGCAGGTAGGGTATGGAGTAAGTAGATGAGCCGCGCCAGATCGGACTCCTCAATGCTATTACCATAGCAGGTCGACTCCAGTACTAGATGCTCATGAGTCTCCTTTGCCAGCCGCCCTATCTTTATATTGACAATTGCCCTCAGTTCTCTGAAAGATACATACATAAGATCTTCCCGGAGCGCTCCTTTCAGACAACAATATAGCTCAGCAAACCTGGGCTGTCGACAAGGTTAACCGCCGACGCACCAACAGGCGATCGTGCAATGTCGTCGTATTGCATTTAGGACGGCATTTCGCGGTAGTCAAAGAAGCGGTCGGTTGCCTCTTGGACCTATGAAGATTGGGTCATTCTCGCAAGTGTGATATTCTGAGCTCGTCTCAATATGTATTCAATATGTATGTCAAGGTGTGAGAAATGCATGTATCGTAGAATGTCATAGCTTTGACGGGAGGAGTATTCATATTTAGTGTTGCGGAGGAACCAAGCAAGGTACAGGCTAACAACAGATACCCATCCAAAATGTTGGTAACCTCAATCCAGCCGTTGTTCGTGTAATGAGATTAGCTAGTGGTGACTCATAACTCAAGCTTTTCTGTTGTATCCAGGTTGCAATTGAGAAACCATAACAAGTGTCAACTTCGTGGTACAAATGATTCTATCTTCTGTTTCGCTCCTTCCTAACCGAGGAAGAAGAAAAAAAAAAACAATTGAATATGGACACACAAGGAATTGAACCTTGAATCCCTCCCAAGTACTTTCTTCAAATGGCGTGAGAAACACGAACCATACGAAAGCTTAGGCAGCGAGGTGCACTAAGTAAGCAGCGAGGTACACTTACTCAAGCAGTACGTTGGGAATGTCATACCATTAGACCATATGCCCTGTTTGTTGTCAGAAAGCTCCTCGATAGCTATTATATTCCTCATTGTTACAATTTTCAAGACGATGACATCACTCTGGGTGTGGTATCATCTTGTAGGAAAGTGAACCAGAATTTCTTACAACACCACAATGATTCTTAACATCGATATAGAGTAATCTTCTTACTTCGAACTATGCTGCTATTTATCCTGGTTCTTATAAATCAAGTCTTTCGTAGGATATCTTATACCCATCAGTTGATCAGAATCGTCCCGTCACGAGTACGTGGAACTAACATCAACTCTTGAACATAGTAAGACACAGGGTTGCAATGAATCCTAGACGATCTCTACCGATCTCAGTTCACCCAGGCTCCTATATCAGCTGGATACCTATATATATTTGTGGTTGGCGCTACTTTCGTATTAGCTAAACTCTCCTTATATAATTCAGATCGTGGGAAGTCTCGAATGAGAATATAGACGCCATGTGATTGATACCAGCTAAGCAAACAGACCACGGCCTGGGAGGTTCGATATGCGAATTCAGGGCATAGATTTACGATAGGTATTTCTTAAATATATAGCTCTAACTACCTAAGTCCTTACTTTACCTATTACCTTTTTTTCTCAAGCGTTCTGATATAGTGAAATTCACGGATGCTTGCGTATCTTCGTGAACGTACCTACCAGCCCAGGTATTCGCAGCAGTACAACATTGATGCATAATATTATCCAATATCACTCACAATCTTAGATATACCATTATACTTTCAACATGCGTACTATTGCTGCGTCACCAGAAATAGCGTTTTCAACCTTGATGGGAGGGATATAAGATAAACTTACCCCCCTCCTCCTCCCTTCATTCATCCTATCAACAACTACCGCAACGCAGCAAATACGACAGTGAATATGTCGAACCAGAGCTATCTTGTACAGCCCTTTGGCCGTTTGTCAGTCCTTGCACCCGAAATTCGAGATATCATCTACGAATTTGCTTTAGTTGAGCCACCGAAGTGGGAACGCCTAAGTGAACACTGGCACCATAGTCTTGAGAACAACCAACATCCATCGTGCAGAGGTCGAGTGTGGAAGGGCATCGGTTTGCTACGCGTTAATAAAGCTATACATACCGAGGCGGCCCCTGTTTTCTTGTCGCAAAACATCTTCTTCTTTATTACCCGAAACGAGTTCATCAAGTGCATCGGCATCTACCTTCGACTTCGATACCGCAGCCTCGTCCGGCATGTTCGTATTGCCCACGTAATGCGAAATCGTGTGGAACGTTCCACTCTTGAGCCGAGGTCGTGGGACTGGAATCCGGATGATGAACAGGTGCACTTCGAGAAAGCCCTTGGAGAATGCACTGGCCTACGCACACTAGGAATTGACATCGACTTGGTAACCCAATACCAGTTGAATCCACCTTGTCTTGACGTCGAGTCCGTCAGAACCCTGGCGGGTCTGATCTCCCCAGAAGTACAATTCAGTTTCTTGAAACAAGGGTCTATATCTCCTGCAATGGTTATGGCGGTAGGGCGACGGAGAACACATGACTCGCTTTACCGGACTCTCAGCCAAATGCCGTATAACTTGCATGACGAAGCAGTTACGGGTACGAAGGCGACCGAAAATGGGGTTCCAGAGGGGGACTGGGAACTTGTCTACAAACAACCTCAGCTAAGCGGGCGTTTCATCACTTTTTCACAAATCTTTGAATACCCCTTAACACTCAACCTTTTTTGATCATCATATTCCAGCTTGCATTGAGCTATATGTGTGGTTTTTGGCGTCTCAATTTATGTGAGATGACCATTGTGGGATGGCATATCGCAAGTCTTTGGTGTCCTCATCAACTTCGGTTCCTAGGTGTTAGCCTCACATTAGCATTCAGGCATAGTGGTGATGGATCACTGCGTGAAGAAGTCGTGTCAAAAAGTAAGATGAAACAGGTCAGGGTCTGATGTAGAGTATCTAACCCTTGTATTATATCGTGTACAGTAAAACGGAATAGGGAGGAAGTTCAAGATATTACCCAAATGGTACTCTCTGCGTCTTTAAATCGTCTCTTGTGCCAACTTGCCAATTTACATGAGCATCTGCTTGAAACTTCTGGTCGGCGCCAACGAGCCTGTGTGCCATGCATGGGATACACTATAACCTCCACTAACGTAGCTGCTATGGTCCATCTACACAATGTACATTCTCCAGGGTCATAAATGCCTCCTGGATTCTTTAAGAGCTTTTTGTATTGGTATACGCAATCTACCCTATAAGAATTCCTCCTGCATTAATTTAATTACCTATAAAACCAATCATAGCTTGACTACGTGTATTTTAAGACGACCGACTCCATCGCATAAGGGAAAATGTTGACACGCTGAGTTATCATTGGAGACTAGAATATATAGTTTTACATGTGTCGAGCTATCATCAATTGGGCACATGGTCTAGTGGTATGATACTCCCTTCGCACAGCTTGAGATTCAGATCCGCCTCTGAAACTCAGCAATTAGTGTATGGGAGGGGTCCGGGGTTCAATTCCCTGTGTGTCCAGACAACCTTTACTTTTGCCATTTTTGCACCCCCCATCCGGGCTTAGAGTTTAGAGCTTATTTTTATGTGATGTTTGTAGGAGGTTTGAATTAATAGTAAGTAGTCGTCATGTGATGACGTACGTTGGTTAATTATCAGCTTGGGTATCTACACTTTCCTTCCTATGATGAATTTCGCTCGGTCTACGTAGTATGTCAAGTGGCTCAGTTGGCCGTGAAGTTGGTTGCTGCTTGTGTCTAGCGTAACTGGTCAGGTAGGTAATCGCACGCATTCCGCGGAGTATATTCCCTACACCCTCGAGCATATTGAGACAGAGACGAGTAACGCCCTGGTTAATCAATGGAAGTCTGTGTCATTCATCTACAGCAACCATAGCTTGACTTCGCCTTTGGAACAATTAGTTGGCGTGGATAGACATTATACTAGAACAGAGCACAGGAATCACCACAACCTAAACCGCCTCACCCTCTTCCAAACCCCTTTCCAAACATTCGTCATCACCTCTCCCTCATGTACGCACTCAGCATTCTCCAACACCCACCTCACAGCATCAACAACGTCCCCCGGGCGTTGCAAAACAACATGATGTCCGCAATCCGGCAAGTGCACGAAGCGATTCGTCCGCGAGAGTCCCAGCTGTCTCCTCTTCAACCTCTCGTCCTCGGCATCCATGCGCAGCAGCATTTCGCGCTCCGCAGCTACCATCCGTCGCTCTGTCTCAGCCAGCATTCGCCGTGTATCTCCCTCCCCCTCCCCTTCCTCTCCATGGCTCATCTGCGCAGCTTTCTCCTTCGCCTCCAAACCCTCCCATTTCCCCAGTAAACTATTCCCACGAATCACGCACACGGGCCGATCCCCCATAATCTTTCGCCGGATCTGCTCCTCGTCGAGCGCGGCATCGAGTCCGCCTTCCTGTCCCGTTTCCACGAGCACGAGGCCGAGGACCCTATCTCCGCCGTATTTTCGCTGTCGACGATGGCGGTACTCGTGCTGTATGAATGCGCGCGCGAAGGCGCCGCCGTACGAGTGCGCGATGAGAAGATACGGTCCCTGGAGATCGCTGCTTTGCCTCGCGTTCTTGCCATGAGTACCTACGGTACGAGTAGCGCAGAGGACGTAATCCCACATTTGCGCCGCGACGTCTGCTGGCTTGAGATTGCCTGGCCCGCGACTGTAAAGCAGTACCCGACAGTGCGTCTCGGCGACGAGCTTCGCGGCTAGATTGTCCCAGCTGGGCGAACATGTTTCGCCTGAGCCATGGAAGCAGATGATCAGCGGCGTCCCAAACTTATCGCCATTTCCTGTTGATATATCATCGGGTAGTAGTAATTTGTGCGTAGAGTCTTTTAGGATGGATGGAGTTTGGTCGTTGTCTAACGCCTTTGCCATCCTTTGTTATATGCGCGGACTTAATCGTCCAATGAGGGGTACATCCTCCATTGGTGGCAGCCCTTATATAGACGTTAAAAAATGTTTGAGATTATAGATGTAGTGTTCTGCGGATGATGGAGATGGTAGGTATACATTTCATATGGCACGCCACCATAAGCACAGCGTTTCAGACGGCGGCGTAGGTAAGTAGTTGTTAGTGCAGCTTGCCTACTACTTAGCTGAGCAGGTGCCGAATCGGAGGAGAGCCGGCCATCCCATGTCTTGATGTGAGCACAGCCTGCAAAAGCCTACCTAAGTAGATATGATCGCGCACCATACTTAAGGAAAAGGATGCAGATGAAAAAGAATATTAGCCGTTTGGTCAATATGCAAATGTGGCATACTGTGTAGGTATATAGCAGCTGCCTAAACTACATACCTACCTACTGAGTACAGGAACTCCCCGCGGCCTATCTGCCTACCTGGAGCTTATCACGTTGGCATGTAGAAGCTGTCACGAACAGTTTGAGTAACAGACTACCTAGGTAGGGTTTTGGGTGCAATACCCTTCACTCATCCACGGATAACCCAGTCTAATGTCCATCTCAATTACTCTTTATTCCGAATATCGAGACTCCTACGTACTTAGATAAGCCAATGTAGCGCAATCAAAGTTGAAATGATAGTACATAATTTCAGTAACTAGGGCTATGCACAGTGCTTAAGGCGGGGGTATATCCAAGCAATATATACGCCTTCTGAGTCTCATCTCATTTGATCCTGTGGTCAGATGTTGACCCCCTAAACGCCCAATGCTCGCTTTTATCCAAAATATTTTTGCCCAAAACCAACTCAAACCAGTGATTCAGCACATACCTTGATGCTGCATCCCAAATGGTGACGCCGAGCTAATGCTAGAAATGACTACACGGGTATCATAACAACCCGATTCTGGAAAATCAAGTAAAGCCGGGAAATACCGACCGTGCAGCACGCTGCCCTACAAAGACGTCAGTGGTCTTGAAATAATAGAATGGTATGAAGAAATTAAGCAGGAACATACATTGAGGACGCCCATCATCGCTGTTCGTTTCATCAATAGGCGTGATCAGCTCTCGCATACGTTCTCTCGTGGGACCGGAAGGGCTGGGCTGCTTCTGTAACTGAATCGAGGTACTGGGTTCCGTTGAAACGGATAATCCCCGTAAAGATGGATCGTCGGGGCCTTGCCGACTTGATAACTGGTGCCACCAATTGTGAACACCAGGTCGAAAGGGCCGCTGTGACCTCAACTTTCTCGTGCCCAGCTCTCTTCGAACCATCGAGTTCGTAATCGGAGGACAGTGTCCTCGAGGGTACATTGACGCTTTGCAAAGGGGGCATAGAGAGCTCATCTCACTCAAAAATTCATCAATGCATTCAGGGTGGAAGATATGGCCACAAGATAGCTCACGAATGATGGTGACCTTAGATTCAAAAGACTCCAAACAGATTAGACAAGTAGGTTGGTAGTCGAGCCTGTCACTCTGCTTCCCTCGCTTGTAGCTGGAGGATGGGGAAGCAGAGTCGAAAGACGCCTTAGTAGGGGACTGAAGAGATCTGCGTGGATTCGGTGAAGATACGGGAGGATCATAGTTGTAGGTGAACAAAGGGTGAGTCTGGATGTGGGTCAGAGGCACAGTAAGTCGTTTGATGCCCAAAGCTTCAAGGTTTACTTCGCCATCCATGACACGACGGCGAAGAGAAGACCTTCGGCGACTCTGAACATAGTGCATGAGAAATGAGGTCCCACCAATAACAGTGACGATAACGCCAAGAATGATCAATACCAAGGCCCAAATAGCCAGCAGTGAACGTTCGGGGGCCACAGTCAGCTGCGTCCAAATCCGCACATAATCTGCAGGATTTGGTGAATATGTCTCATTGATCTGAGCGGCAAAAGGAACCTCCGAGAGACTTCCGGAATACAGATTTAACTGCTGCATCATGCGTTGTCCTGAACTGCTAGACATAGCATAGACAGGAAAATGATTTGACTGCTTCCAGTTCATTGCACCATCTATATACCACATATCTGAATCAGCATCAGGTGGTTGGCCATCCTCATCATCCGGGCGGTACACAAGCATGGCGTGCAGAGGGTCCATAGATGCGGCCTTCATGAACGATTTGGTGCAACTTGAAGTGATCCATGGTACTAGGGCGATAAGGATGTAGTCGGTGGGTGGAAGGTCGGCTTGCCTTGTGGCATTTTCTGGGACGTATTGCTTTGATAATTCAAAGCATACATCGTGAGAGAGAAGATCTGGCACATAAACTAGACCTTGGATAGTCCCTTGTGTTGTTGGGACAGCATTGGTGGAGAGTGTGGTGATGTTGCCTAGAATGGTCTCTGAATATGCCAACTGACTCTGATGAGGGTCGGTGTTAGCAGTGCGGAATGGGTTTAAAGCGTTGTTACGACGTACCGAGAGCGCAGTGATGTTTCTAATGATGGTGCTAGGGACTGTATGCCCGTTGGACCGTGTGGGATTGCTGAACAACAATCTATCGGCAGGTTAGTGACAGTGTGCTTATGAAAGGAGCAACTCATGAGGGGAATTTTGTTGTCGACAAGGCTCGAGATACTATGGGAAAAGCAACATTGGTCACATGTAGCCGATGACTAGCACAAACTACCCCATACTTCACTCATAGACGAACATTGATGTTAGCCTCGAGGCTCTTGTCGATCACAAATGGAACATGACTTGGCCACGGCCTTGGCATCCACGACGGCCCTGCGAGGTCCGGAACAGACCGAAGGGTCGGGCCGTAAGCTAAGAGGATGAGGAGGAGAAAATGGGCTTAAGCCTTTTTCCCAAGATATCCGAGGCTACCGGCAGGCAGGTAGATCTGAGAAGGGCAAGAGTAAGAGAGAAAAGAAGCTTTGCTTGGCAACCTACACGACATTCCGAATGGTTTGAAGTGCTGTAAAGTCACGTTAGTTACCGCTGTGCCAAGGAGGCTTAAAAAGAGGGCTGGATTGGCGCCAAGACGTCCCGATCAACCACCATGGTCCACCATTGGTGCACGCGGGCTTGACCGGTGAAGCGAGACTTTAAGAATAAGCCATCTCAATGAACGAGATGCTCTTCCCTGTTTTTATTTTTCTAACTCACGAGTCTCGATTGGGAGAGGAAAAGCACGGTGAAGGAAGGGTAAGGGGAGTGAAGGGGAAGCGTGCGCCTGGGCAGGAAAGCCAAGACACGCTGGAAGACATACACATGCTCCTGAATCATCGTTCATAGACAGTCGTTGTCGGTGTTTCAGCGACAACGACAATCGGCAGCCAGATGGAGAGAGATCGAGACACACACGCACACACACTCACTCACACACACGAGACTCGCCGCACACTCACACGCAGACGCGGGAGGTGGCGAGATGGTGAGAATACGTTGAGATGGCAGATATGTGAGCAGCAAACCGAGTTGAGAGGTGAGATGGCACGGTTCCTGGAGGCGTGTGCAGCAATGACGAAGCCGAGAGAGATGGGCGAAAAAGTTGTTCTTGGCAAGTTGGGGATTACGGGGGCCAGCCAGCGAGAATCCAGGAGCTTATGCTGAAGGCCTGGGCGGGCAGTCCCAGGATTTCAGGTGATATTAGGGATGACGGGGGGGGATTTTGTGGGGGACGATGACTCGTGGTACCATGCAATATAAGTATCTACCTGATTCCACCGACCTAGTGCCCTCCTTTTGGGACTGCTTACTTGTTTAGGTAGATGGATACGCCGTAGAGAGATAGCTCAGATAGCTGGATGAGAGGCGAGAGGCAGATACTTACGCGGAAATAGGCAGGGCAAGGTAGACAGGCGAGAACAGGGTGGGTAGGGCAGGCAGTGCACGGCTCGCTGGGATTGCTGATTGCTGGATGGGCTGGCTGGGATGGAGGGGGATTTGTTATGGGACGACTAGCAGCGTAGTCTACACTCCTCCGTCAGTAGTGTACGTGTCTAGGTTGACAATTAGGTCGTCTCGGGTCGTCTAGACTGCGAGCCCAAAACCTCGTTTGCAGGGGTGAGCGTGATCGAGGTTGCATCAAGAGGGATTGTCTCGAGGCCACAGGTCGACGAGAGCATGGAGGTGGGCGCACACTTGGTTAAGTAAAAGCAGTAGCGCGCACCATAGCGCAACATAGCGTACGACTGGAGGCATGCTACCGGCACAGCTGGTACTCACGATATCTGCCCGATGAATGGATTGGTTGGGGAGACGATGCTGGATGCTGGATGCTGGATAGGCGGCCCAATGCGAGATGGGATGGGTGGATGGAGCGCCGGCGGCGGGGTTCCTCGTGAGGGCCACTCTTCAGCTGAAAATGTAACTGGCGGCTAGCGAGCTTTAACCTCACCAGACCTTCAATAGACCTTCAGCACTCGACACATGACGATAGGTATGTGCTAGGCAGGCATGTATGTGTGAGGCACTGTAGGTGCTGTGTGCTAACACTCTACAGTATGTACATAAGCATGCATCTTCGTATATAGTAATCGTCAAAAAGGACCTCATGTTTGAGGGAATGAGATCATGTCAAACTTGAGTTGTTGTTGTTACATGTACCTAGTGCTGATCGAAAAGGCGGAATCCGCATGCTGACTTGGGACATTGATGCAGGCACATGAGATACAGTACGTAGGTACGTTGGTACTGTCGAGCAAGGGCACGTATCATCTGTACATACTAGTACCTTCTTAAGGAAGTACCTAACCTTATATGATAACATTTACAATAGGTGGCGTACCCATATATCTAAGGTACATCATATCAACAGTGAGAATGTACATGTGTTTATGATACGTACCTACCTTAGGTACCTACATGTATGTAGTGATACCTACGATAATAAATGATGTATGAAGTACACATTTAGTTCTCGCTATTTGCAGAATGAGGCTCTGCATCGATAATTTCCGTATTTTCTGCCAGGGACCAAGAGGCTTGGCTGTCCTGTCGTGCAGGTATAAGTGAATACCCAGTATGTCATCTGTTGACGCCTACCTATTGTTCAAAGTCCATATGAATGTAGTACAAGTAGATACAGCATTGGAATAAGTGCATAGTGTACACTGGTGTAGCTAATTATGCACTGTAGCAATGCCTGTTTTGCTGGCCCACCAAATAGATTCAGATTGGATGATGAGCATCAAGGCAGGCAGAGCAGAGTGTGCCTACCTATCTAGGTTAGTCTGTCCTGTGACTTCTAATCCTTTGAGAAATACATAGGTAGGTGCCTAGTACATGTACGTGATGTGCTTGTTGCTGGCTAAGATCAGATACCGGTACCTAAGTTGCCGGTATAGTACGATCTTCGTGAATCTCTTTTCTGCACACACCGTTAATCTCAAGATGAAATTAAGTCTGTTAAGTAGTCTGTCGGGAAAGTTGGGTGTGCAATGGTTCCATTCGGAATAGGTGACACACTACCACGTGTCGGTAACTTCGGAATTGCCTATATAGGAAAAAATAAGATAAAAAGAATAAAAAAAGGGAGATACGTATGTGGGCTCGCCTGAGAGCCTTTCCAACGTACCTTAGCTGATGTCGTGGAGACAAGTAAGTGCCTAAGTAGGCATTCCAATGTTCCAAGAGTTTGGGTCGTCGATGTTGCGACTTTGAAAGACATGGCTGTCAGCTCTGATCTACAGTAAGACATACTTAGCAGCCTTAAAGATTCATGTACATACCTACTCTGTACATACTTACTCAGTTAAAGCCTAGTATGGATGTTCCGATACACGGCACTAACTGGACACATGAGACCTACACCGACACAACAACGATAGCCAAGTACCCATGCCTAACTCTGCACAAGTAACATACCCGCAGGAGTATGTAGCATATCTTATTGGACACCACATGACTTGCAATTTTGTAGTTGTCTCCGATTGGGGATGATGGCTGATGGTTGATGGTTGATGGCGGGGTGCATGGGCAGACTCGGTTACTTACCTAGTGCGTAAACCTCGACCAACCATGATATGAAGAAGATCCCTTATTCCGAGAGCTGCCAAACAGATGTCAGCCTGAGTCCGACCAGTCTGTCAGTCGAGCTGTCCACGTCCAGCTTACTTAAGGATCTGTTAAGGAGGACTTTGACCACCCCATCACACCCCATTACATCCAATATGCCACCCGCTAATGCGGGTGATGAAGAATGGTCCCCGCCCGGCAGCGCGGTAGACGGGCCAAGTCTGGACTCGCTTGGCAGCAGAAAGCCCCAAAGCTTGTCTGTTGTCGTATCAGTGTGTCTGTGTGGTCATACACGCACCACAACTCATCTCGATTACACCGACGATCCTGATTCCTGACAGGGTTTCCCGGCCATGTCGAAACGCGACCTGTGTGTGCCTGCCGCTAGACGACGCCACAATGGGCATCATCTCGCGCGGGCATCTCATTGTGACCTGATGTCGCGTTCTGCGGCCCATTAATTTTTTGAAAATCCTCGAAGCAACCGTCTCAACAAACTTGGGAAGCCCCCTCTACCGAACCGGATATTGCCTAGCAACTCTCATAACCGACATCGGAAAGTCAAAATATACGGGCTTTCCACCTACTGAGTAGGTAAGTCAAATCGGTGGTGCGGGAGGGCATTAGTAAGTGACGGCGAGCCTATCTTACATTCCTCCTATCAGAAAGGCTATCTAATGGAAATGATGTATCAGGGCTGACCTGTGAAATTAAGTCTATGATGTTCTGTAGTCAAAGCTTTTGGAAAATTTTGCATCATCGCAACTACACTTTGGCCCGGATTGACGCGCAGCTGGCCGTTCCTAATGCGGACATCCCCACCGCAAAACGCTCGACAACGACCTGTTAGCGAAACATGCTATCTAGCTCTTTGCTTCGGATCGTTCAACGTTGATGATACAATGAATAAGTTAGAATAATAGGACGTTCAAAATAATTGGCCCAGTAACTGCAACGGCCATATCATGCCACGGATGGCCGTGTGGAACCATCAAGAGATGGTTACACTGAGTAGCACACTCTAAGCCAACCTCTTGAGAATGTTAGGTAGTGAGTACCTACTGTAGGTAGGCAGTCGGGCACTTGGCTGAACAGGTTCCCGATCGAGGCTAGAGGATCACCTATTGCCGGTCCGTCTTTTACCGCCTTTAGGCCTCAATACATACAAGGCTGCTCCTTACTCAGCGGATAGAGTGAAACTGACCTGCAATCTCACCGTTAGCATTAGCAGGGACTAGTTTCTCCCGAGAGCAAGATTTGCCCTGGCCCGCACGAATGTCTAAACATGTTTTTTGGTCATGGGATCACCTCGGTCGCTTGTGTTTTTTCCGTATGAGTGCAGACTGGCAACCGCAAGAAGATAACAGGTGTAGGGAGAACGCCACATTCGGACCGCTCATTTCATCGGGCTGGAAAGGCCGGGCATAGGCGAGGAAGATGCTTGTCCAGATAACCCCATGGCTGCAACAGTAAGCTCCAGTTGTTAGCTTTCATTTGATGCATGGGAATGCTAAGGAAGTAAGTTGACACAGGCTGTACAGACAACATGACTACCACCGCTACTGTAGCTTACAGTACATATATACACATTGTAGCATCGATTTGCGCCAATGATACTCGATGAATCCGGCATATCCTATTACGTCCAGGCCACTTGAAATTGATATTGATATCAAGACGTGCAGCTGATTCAATGAGCAGCATATATACCTACAGTTGTATGGCAGTCACGTGTTTAAGGTTTGGACTTGACACCAATTTGCTCAACCCTTCTGTCAATCCGAAGATTTGGCGTTTAAATCTCTAGGAATACCATGATAATTGCCGGTCAGGATTGCTCATAGATGATGCAGCCATAAGCTTACCGATTACCGAGGGCGTCAAAGCATCGCCGAGATTCGACGGAAACATTCCCATTGGATAGAGCGCTTGCGCTATCTTCCGATCTCAAGGCATTTCCTTCAACGTTTCCATTCCCAGTATTTCGCCTCCATCTCGCCGTCGGGGGTAACAGTTAGCAGCGTTGATTTTCACGCCAAAGTGATCCACTGACAAATTCTGGGTTATTGTTCGTTGTTGTCCAGTTAGTTGCGCGCCTAAGTAAGACAACTCCTAGGTTACGTGGAAATGCTTAACAGACGATATTATGAAAAACCCCGCTTGAGCGGCTTGACTGACCAAGCTCTACCCACGAACATAAAATAGGAGCCACCTGCCACACATCCATTATTGTCTTAAATGTAACGGTCCATTCGTGCCCTGCGAGATACACGACCCTAGAAGCAGATATATCCATTCCGGAATTGCGAATGATGCGGGACCGAGCCTCCGGACACCGGTGCGTCTGCCGCATACTCCGCAGTTGGCCTGTAGATGCCGGTATCAGAATTCGGTAGTTGACATAGAAATTTCCCTCATAAACCAGAAAGAAAAATTACAGGCAGGAGCTGTTAGCAAGCTACAATTTAGCATCGTACGTCGTGTCTGATGTTGAGCTGGTGGAGCGATTATGACGACAGCAACTTATCCTCCCTCATTCAAGTAGGCGGATGGGGCTACTTGCAATTGGAACCGGTGACCTCTTGCCACCACTTTCAGGAGTGAGATCTTGAACAAGCTCGGAGTTGTCCGCTGCTGGGAAGCGATCGCCATATACTGTACATTAGGCAAGATGACGCCACATGATACATGGGCATAAATCGAGTTGTATTTGGTCATCTATCTGAGGGCAGATTGCAGAGCTTCGTATCTAATACGGGTATACCGTTGCCTTTCTACAACACTCGAAAACTTCTCAAGCTCTGCAACTATACGGGCGGTGCGGATACACATGCAACAAATCCACTCCACCACAACAAAGCCTCCACCATCCCATTAAACTGCGCCGCTCTCATTGGCCACCGATGGCTACATGCAGACCGGGGAGCTGCCATTTGGGACACCAAGTACCAATGATCGCATGCAGCCGGTGACGTGAAGGGACCCGGAGGTCACCAAGAAGATCTCAACCATGCTAACGACCCCAAGCGTCCCTTGGGTCCTCCGGTGGACTGCTTGCTTGGCTGCCAATCCCATGCAGGACGATGGGCGGTCGGCCGGTGACCACTGTAACGTTCGTCTAAGAGGCCTCCGATGACTGAACGCGTACACTCGCGTTGACCCGGGTCGGAGAGGAGGGGCACTTCATCGGCCGCGAGTGCGGGCATCGCTCCTGAAATAATGTAACCAGGCCTCTTCGACTGAAGACTTAACGTGCGCCCATATCTTCCGGTTGCTCCGGGGCTTGATATCGCCAATCACGGAATTAGGAGCAGCATATGTTCGTGTTGCTTGCTGACGATTTGGATATAGCAATCTAGTCTCACATAACCCTGGGACATGACACCGCCTGACGTATTTCCGTGCTATTTTCCGGAGATTGATAGTTAGGGGAACGGAGCACCTCAGCTTGCATTCCGAAGGTTTATCTCAATCCGTTCTTAGTTCTCGCAGGTATTGGGGTATTGTTCAAACTATGATAGACACTGTACTGAATGGCATAGAATGTCTCTATGTGGCAGGCATGATTTCCTATCTTGTGCCTCCTTCCTCTCAAAGGTTATACGACCCAACATGAATCATACGGTTAGATGATGTCCTCTGATATTCAGAGACTAAGAGCAGGCCATGGCTACTAGTGGATAGTGGGCAGCTGATGGCACAAGTCATGGCATTGGTGATATGGGATATGTAGTAGAAAAGACCGTCTAAAGTCCCCTGCTGCTCATGCACTGTATGGACGCAACTCTACGACTAATACGTGGTCGCATCTGGCGGGTTTCCAACATATGTGTAGTTGTCAGCATCGAGATTGAGAAACTTGGGCTGTGGACGATGGCGAATCAGATCCTCAATCGCAGATCCGTATTTCACCAACTTGGCTTCCTGCCACGCCTGCTGGATGATGCCTATGCCGAAAGGTACACCATTATCATTAACCCCGACTGGGACCGTGATCATGGGGTAGCCTGCCTTTGCAGCAACGGAGCATGCGGCACCTCCCTCTGCCTGTACTGGCACAAGGAGCCCGTCTAGCTCTTTCCCATGCATCATTGCCGCATCGATACCTTCGTCTCTGGACTTCCGCAAGTTGTATTCGAGAGCTTCCAAATATACTGCCTCGCCGTCATCCTTGGAAGCAATGCATCTATCAAAGTTGTCCTGTCCTGTCGGCCAAGCTGGGTGAGTACCAGGGACCCCGCCCTCTTTGCCAGTGTGTTTGATATTATAAGCAACCACATCTTCCAGTGTGAGGATTTTCGCCTTGTTGTTTTCGAGTGTGCTGAGGTAACTTGAAAGACTTCGGTAGAATTCTACCTTGACGACTTCGAACTCGGATAGCTGAGACCCGGATACACCGGCTGCATACTCCCAGTTCCAGCCGTCGGGAGATATAATCTCTTCGGCACTGGGGAAGTCCACATCGAAAACTTCTGCGCCAGCCTCCTCTATCTGCTTGATGAGTTCTATGAGAGCTAGATATTCGGCTTTGTGCGATTCGCTGCTTCTTGCTTTCTCCCAAATCCTTTTTGATGGCAAACCAAACCTCGCGCCCTTGAGAACATCCTTCGTGGCAAGCCATGACGTATATTCCCTGGTCGTGTCAATTTGAGCTACTGAAAACTCGTACGCATCAGCGTGAGAATCCGGAATCGAACTCCTATCGGCAATTATATCCAAGGCTATCGTCGCGTCTTCTACCGACCGTCCAAAGGTTCCCACCGTGTCGAAGCTCGGCGCCTCGGGGATAACACCCAACGTCGACGTAAGTCCAACTGTAGGCTTGATGCCTACAACGGCGTTTCGATCAGCTGGGAAGATTACACTGCCATCTGTTTCGGTGCCGATGCTGAAAGCGCACATATTGGCGGCAAGCGCACTCGCGGACCCAGAGCTCGAACCACCCGGGTGCTCCGCTAGATTGTAGGGATTCCGGTTCTGTCCTCCCCGAGAAGAATAGGCTTCGGAGTAGTAGCTGGCCCGCATTGACGCCCACTCTGACAGGTTCGCTTTCCCAAGCAGCACGCCGCCAGCTGCCCGAAGCAGTGCGACGACGGTGGCGTCGTTGGGCACTATCGTCCCGAGAAGTGCCGCGCACCCCGCCGTAGTCTGCATACTGTCCCTCGTCGCAATGTTGTCTTTCACGAGAAATGGGATACCGTGTATTTTGCTCCTCACCATCCCCCTCTCGCGCTCAGCATCTAGCTCATCGGCAATCTTCAAGGCGTCCGGGTTCGTCTCGATCACGGCCTTGATGCGCGGGTTGACTAGTTCAATTCGCCTGAGGTAGCACTGCGTCAAGTCCCGGGATGTAAATGATCCTTTTGCTAGGTGACACTGCAGTTGTGTGATTGAGAGCTCTTCAATGCTTACTCCACGGCAAAGGGGCATTTGCAGGCAAGATTGAGAAGAATCCATGATGCTTCCAAGGAGAAGTAAAGTGAATCAGTCAAGACTTGCTGTAAAGGGGCTTGGCTAGGTAGAGAAATAGTAGAGGGTAGTAAGGCTATATAGGAATCAGTTTTGGGTGTCTTGAGGTTTACATAAGCACTGTACATCAAGGGTAGGCGAGAGGGCTTGGTCCTTGGCAGAAAAGAAGGAAAGAAGCAATAGAATTACTACACGATAACGAGAGAGGGGTAATATATATTACCTACTGTTACACACGATGTGTGAAGTACGCGGTGCTATATTGCCGCTAACTTGCACAAGGGAAGCAGGGCGAGTATTCCGGACCACAGGCGTCTTCTTACGCTGGTGATGATTCCATCCCACAAGGCGAGAGAAAGAGACACTTTCGGGAGATGCACTCAGAGGTGGGGAAAGGGCCTTGGATTCTACCTAGTTCCTAATCGTGCTTGCATAACATCCACATATGCTAAGAGGTCGATTTTTTTTTTTCAAGCCACGCGAGCACGGAAGCTCGAGAGCAAAGATCGCTCTGATGTTTCATCGCTGGAGATTTTACGTCTGTGATTTACTTCACAATTCTCAACAGTGATCAGGAGAGTGATGCTTATAGATTCAATTACATAACTGATGTTTATATTATTAAGCATGTATATCTCGACGTACTCACAGGCGTTCGATACAGAATCGCGTTCCCCTCCGATATATTCGCGGGTTCTTAGAACAACAATTCAACATCATCGGCTCACGCCCCTCACTCGTGGACAAGGCGCCAGCTGAGAGGAAAGTTATCTTTCAAGTATCGATCAATATGAAGGAAGAATTTAATCAATAATTCAAAGTAGAAGTCATTGATACATGTAAGATGGTGATAGCACTTAGGGGCCGTACCGGCTTCATGTTGTCGTAGCTAGTAGACGGAGAAGAACTGGACAGGGTAACATGCCCACCAGTTTGGGCATTTTCAACACATGAATTAGGCACTGCCTCAAATCGAATAAGTATCTGAAGTCATAAATTCTTAGTAAAGGGCGAAACCGCGTCATACTTTTGTTCATGCATTCGATTACTCTATGTTGAGAAGCCTCTCGCATGTAGCTCACAGAACCCCGCACTTATAACCACGCCTCAGCGCAGAAGCTTTGCTATTAGATAGCTTTTGGATGGTGTATCTTATGAGAACATCGCAACTTTTGATCTATCTTGTTCTTTGGGCTCGTGCTGTTATGACTATTGACAACTCTTATGTCACGGACATTACTATCAGGTTCGGACCCCCGATCTGCCCAGTCACCTCGCCGGGCCCCGAAGCCACCAGCCGACAACGAGGGCATCGCATAGAGAAGGATTTATATCTCTACTCTGCTGAGAGTAGTGCATGGCTATATATCGCGACTATAAACGACGCAGACCTTCGGATCGATGACTTAGTCGTGACTGATGTGAAAGTTGGGGAGCATAACACTCGTGATGAGGACCTAGGTCTTGGATGGGAGAGTCGACCTGCTGGAGTCTGGATACGGAGAAACAAGTACAGGGAGAGCCATCAATCCGTGCTCGATCTAGATGTACTATTTGGTCTTGACGCTGTCGACCCGAGGCCACAGTGGACTCTCATGCAACAGCCTCTCCAGCTGAACGCTTCCCTCGACATACCGATCGCGAGATTGACTATCCGGCGTGGACGGGCTGCGCCTGAACCCAAAGATCCGCACCCACCAACGCCATTGAGAGCGAGAAAAAATGGGAAATTCAAAATTGTTCAGATCTCTGACACCCATATGGTTACTGGCGTCGGTGTCTGCAAAGATGCCATTGATGCCGACGGCAACTTTCTCCCCCAAAGCGTCGCTGATCCGCTCACCGTGGACTTCATTGGAGGCATATTGGATGTCGAGAGGCCAGATCTAGTGATATTGACCGGAGATCAGTTGCACCACGATATCCTCGATAGTCAATCCGCTATTTTCAAGGTCACGGCTCCTATCATCGCACGCTCGATCCCATTCGCGACCGTGTTTGGTAATCATGATGCAGAAGGCACACACGCTCTATCTCGTAAGCCATTCAAATATTTACTTGTATATTTCATGGAGAGAGATCTGTTTTGCCTGACTTGAGGATCTTGTAGGGGCCGCACAGATGTCACTGCTTCAAAATCTTCCTTTCAGTCTTTGCCAAGCTGGTCCTCAAGAGATTGAAGGTGTTGGCAATTACTACCTCCAAGTCTTTTCCCACAATGCACCGTCGCCACTGATAAGTCTATTCTTCCTCGACACCCATGGACAGATCAAAAGCGAGGTCAAGGATCCGGACTACGAACCGATCCGGCAGGGTCAAATCGAGTGGTTCAAGAACACTTCGCGGAAACTACGAAAAGCACGGGATGATGATATTAGTTTCAACAACAACGATTACCATGTATCATTAGCGTTCTTGCATATTCCATTCCCCGAATACGCAGACGATAGCCTGAGGATCTTCGGTGGCCACCGAAGGGAGCCTACCGAAGGCCCGAGCCTCAACTCGCATTTCTACGATGCTCTAGTCGAGGAAGACGTGGTGGCGGTAGGGTGCGGGCATGATCATGTGAATGACTTTTGCGGCCTAATGCAGAGGAAGAACGATGGAGACTTACAAGAGGGTCGCCATAAGCCATCTCGGCTGGGCCCCTGGCTGTGCTATGGAGGTGGCGCCGGGTTTGGGGGATACAGTTCATACGGCGGAAATAGATACCATCGCCGCATGAGAATCTGGGATTTCGATACGAACACTGGGACGATAGCGACCTGGAAGCGCGTTGAGTATGCTAGAGAGAGGGTAGATGAGCTAGTACTTGTTGAAGGTGGCACTGTTGTTAACCCCAGTACACAGGATTAACTCAGTTCGCCTTTATCAATAGTCCTTTGCTCCGTAGGGTGACCTTAGGGGTTGAAAATATGCGGCATGATCCATGAGGGTAGGTGATTTGCCTGTGTTATTGATAATGTAGGATGGCGGTCTGGCGAGAAGCTATCACTGACAGATAAATCCAGTGGACTCTAATATGTGCATTAGAAACTTGTTATGCTAAGATCCTTTGCTATAATGGTAGGTAGGGAAAGTGATGGGTCTTTGGTCAGAGTATTGCGAGTCCTTCTTGTAAGATCATAGTCACATGGCGATTCAAAATTCGCAGCATAATACATGGTATGGTCGTCGATGTCCCAGCACCAAAGAATTACAGGTTAGGTATCCTGCGTGACTTGAAAGCAGCGCCCAAGCCTTTGATGAGGATACTTCGGAAGGTGCACCTTGACCACCAGTGATCGCCACTTCCTGATGGTCCCTGACCTTTGCTGATCCATCGTGTCTCTCTTGCTTCTCCCGTTACTATTTCTCTATCCGCCTGACATCGCGCGACATGGACAACAACGACATGCGTCGGTATAGATATATAAGCACCATCGTAGTTAACCGCATCACCATCATTCTGAGAACGCCATCTTAACAGTCCTAATATCTTTTTATATCCTGATCCTAGTCCTTCTTCCCATAGCAGGGCTAGAGAGGCCCGGAGACCGTGCTGTTTTCTCTATGACGAAATCAACGAGCAAGCGATGCATAATCCGTCCCAGACAGCCCAGCTAAATCCACGCAAAGAATTTGGCAATATGAACGCTGAAAATTCCCCAACATCCGATCTAGAATCACAGCGGAATTCACCGAAGACACCAATCGATCCCTCTGATCTCTCGCCCCCGCCTCCCAATGGAGGACTCGTGGCATGGCTTCAAGTTGCCGCTGCCTTCGCTGTCCAATTCAATACATGGGGCTTCGTCAGCTCGTTCGGGACCTTCCAGACTTATTACGAGTCAGGGGAGCTGTTCAAGGCATCCTCAGCCCGCATATCTTGGATCGGGTGCACTCAAAACCTCCTGATACTGTTACTCGGCCTCATAGCAGGACCCGTTTACGACAGGGGCTACCTTCGGCAGCTGCTCTGTGTAGGCAGCTTCATAGCGGTGTCTAGTTTCATAGCCCTTTCCTTTAGCAAGAGGTACTACCAGGTGTTCCTCTCACAGGGCGTGGGCCTCGGCCTCGGCTCAGGATTGCTGTTCGCGCCTACTATGTCGCTCGTTTCAACATATTTCAGCACCCGCGCAGGCCTCGCTCTCGGAATCGCGTCTTCGGGCTCTCCGATAGGCGGCATCGTCTATCCTATTATGCTTTCCGGATTGATCCCTCGAATCGGGTTCCCCTGGGCTGTGCGAGCTATGGGTTTCATTGCCCTCGGCATATTCTTGCTCCCATTAGCCGTGATGCGTATCCGTGTACGTGCTCCTAAACCTCGCGCCGTGGTGGACTGGTCCGCGTTTCGTGACACCCCTTACATGTTCTTCCTCTTCGGCGTATTTCTTAGCTTGATAACTCTCCCTATCGTCTCTTTTTATATCTCTTTTTATCCCTTGAATCGTGGGTTTACCAATAGAAACCTCGCGTTCCATATGGTAGCCATTCATAATGTCGGGTCGTTTTGCGGGCGAATCCTCCCAAACGCCTTATCCGACCACATAGGGGTATTCAATACTCTGGCACCATCAGCTCTACTACTAGGGGTGGCCATGATCTCTTTCATCCGTATGTTCAACGCCGCCGGTATAATCACGGGCTCACTTGTCACTGGATTTTTCGGAGGCGTTGTTGTTGCGCTGCCACCCGTCTGCTTTGGCGTACTTACCGAGAACAAGTCTCTGATTGGTACCCGTATAGGAATGGGATTTGCGATGGCCGGACTCGGGCTGATGGCCAGCGGGCCGGCCGCTGGCGCGATACTCCGCGCTCCAAGAAATCGATTAGACTGGACCGGTGTTTGGGTGTACGGAGGTTCGGTAGCATGCGCATCTGGGCTAGTTTTCGCCATTGTGCGCATTATGAAGTCTGGACTGAAGTTGCGTGCCAAGGTTTAATATCGCTACACGAGATGGCCCAAGGAACTTTTATACACTACGAAACCTGATGCGCTATGCGGACGCACAAATGCAGTTCAGATGAGGCCACCATCTAATACCCATCTTCCCACATTGACATGACTTAGTGAAGTATAAAATTAGTAACTAAGATTGCTAGAAACCATACCTTTCATCTCAATATTTTGCTCAGGTTGTGCCCTTCAGATCGACCCATATTCACATAGAATTTCAATATTTCTAGGTGTTATTTGTGTTTCACCGTTGTACCATCCCCGGCTCTTCGGCACCCCGATCACCTGTTAAGTGGTGCATGCACCTTATTACGGCATTACTGATTTGCCAGTAAAGGAAAAATGATCAGGTGATTCGAGACTATTTGATACACCAATATTATGTATCTGGACTCAAGATCTGATTATGATCCTCGGCAGATTCGTGCATCCTCAAGGTAGTTCAGATTATGCCAGCGTTTCTTCTCCTCACTGATACTGTGTTTCTGAAAGAAGCTGAGTTCATTTCGTATCGCACGTCGATAGTGGTGCGCTGAAACGCGAATCGCTACGCGACTGTTTTCATATGCATAGGGATTGTGCGCTCAAGCGAAGTTCAGTTTGTCTACAAGAGGCGATAATCAATCATTAACTTCGTCGCTAGATATGGTGTTGTAAATGGAGAACTACGATACGTAATAAAATTTTCCTTCATCGTCTGAATTTTGGGACACTTCAAAGCTGCATCAGTGGTCTCTTGCTGCTCTATCAGGATGAAAGCTATTTTGCTTCTGGACCCAGAATGCCAACGTCTAGACCCATTCTGCGAACATCCTCATTCGTAGAACGTTACTTCAACAGTGGCTCCCCAAGACTCCAATAAAGCGGGAGATTCGATATGAAATATAACGACTGTCAAAGTGAGTTGGCGAAATGAGTGTCCTGAATCTGCATCTTATACTTAGTGAGTACCAAGCTGACAATTTATGATGCCCCGCGTCGAATGATATAGGATTGGTTGGAGAAAGCGGCCACATCGACATATCCTCAAATCACGATTTTCTGGGTTCGGCCAAATACACCTTTTATGCTATGACAAATAATGACCGTGGTTAGGTTAGCTTTATATGTATTCAGGAAGCACAGGTTGATTACATGACTTTCTCATGGACAAAGTAGCATCGCTCCCGAGCTCTGTGGATTGTATGATTACTTACGGAATATTAGGTAAATAACTAACCGTCGAGATTTGGGTATGGGGTCCCCCGCCTTTGGTGCCATTTTGGTTCAAAATATTCCCCGCTCCCTGTCAATTGCCATGCTTGCACCTAACAGGCAAGACGGACGAGCTCAATTTGTTCGTCTTTTCGTCTTTGATGTCTATCCTACTGTTGACTCTGGCGAGCGAGTCTGCCATTGGACCAACCTCTCGCGCTTGACTTGACAGAATTCTTAGTTTGGCCCCGTCGAGAGCGTGCAAACCTTGGTCCATCGGACACTGATCGGGTGCACGGCGGCTATCTGTAGTGTGATGCCTGACATGATTGGGCTGTTCGCATCCCCACCTGCTGCACCCGGCCGTCTATTTTTGGGGCCGGGCGAATCAGACCTCAGATGTTCCCTGGATGGCGTTCCTCCATTCCCATATCGTCAAATGCCCATGTCGGTACATGTCAGTACCGTGCTGACCATGTCACTTCTCACTGGAGGGGGAAGCCTGCTACCCTGAAGGTGACTATGCAGCGGAAGCAGCCTTGGCCGCTCCCAGTGGTTGTCCGTCATGACCAACCCCACCGCCGAAGGCGTCCAAGGCGCTTAATCTTGTGCGAGAGCGCCGACAATGGGAGATGGCGAACGAACATCACCGCCGCCAACTACCTGTGCCCATGTGCGCCATGCAGCGCGCTGGGCCAGGGTCGAAAATGCTTGGGCACTCCGCTGCTCTGGTATATACACCTCCATGGCTCCTAATCTACCGGCAGACTGGGGAGAGATTCCTATTTTCTTGCCACCTTTTTAGGATCCTGCCTGCCTGTTGGTAGCACAGCGACTCGAGTAGCGTTCGGATGTTTGTGTCTCACTCTTCCGTCCTATTTTTTGCATCTTGGTTATACAATACTGGCCACCACAAACTTCGATTATGACCCGATAGGACGGGCTTCTAATTTCAATATATCGAATTAATACTAGGAGGTGGGCTAAGGAAGACGGGCGATAAGTTGGGAACAGGATACTTTTTCTATTTGACATAGAATTGGTGGATATATATAATAAGCAGACGGGGCGGCAGCATGTCGTCGTCAATCGCGCCGTCGGGAGGGTTCTCTCTCTTCCCGAGCGCCAGTATGTCCCAAACACCTCCGAGGAAGACGACGCCCAGGCCGCGCGCTAGCACGCCGCAATCACCACGAGGACGTGGTCCATCCGTGGATATGTCGCCCCCACGAAATGGTCGACGCACGCCGGATGGCCTGGCGGGGTATATAATTGACGGGGCTCCAGCAGAAGCCAGTGAGCTCCGGATGGCGTCAAACAATCCATTTTACCAGAGCGCAGCTGGTCCATCCGCACAGACGCCTCCCTCGCCGCGTCCAAGCGTCCCACCGAAGGACGTCCCGCAGAGGACGGCCACACAATTGTCAAAAGCGAGCACTGTTATTGGCCGAAGCCCTAGTGAGAGATCACGGAATTCAATAGCCAAGCGGCCGTTGGAGGAAATGCCAGCAACTGTACCCGAGACAGAGACTGCCATACGATCGATATTTCCCCAGTATGACCACGCATTACCATATGATCAACAACACTACTATCCCACCCAAGCAAGCCCAACCCATATACCACGGACAGTAATCAGCAGACAGTCCCATATACCGCAACAGATTGAACCTAGGAGTCCCCCCATTCGAAGTCCCATACGGAGTCCGATGAGTGCAGGGTCGGCTCAGCAACGCTGGCCGAGGCGGCCGCACGAACCTCCCGTGATCCCACCCGTGAGTACTACCGAGGAGCTCCGGGACTACTGGAAAGCGGCGAATGGGTGGAAGGCATCCAGCGTTGAGGGACGGACGTTCTGTCTGAAACTCCTCCCGGAGAAGGACGCCCCTATCTACACGTTGACGTCGAGGACGCAGCAGCCGCTGTATCACATGCGTATCGACCCAACCTCAGCATCCGCGTACGTAACGCTTAGTAGACATGACCCTAGCAAGCCGTGCAAGGACAAGGACCCTACCGAGGCCTCGCGCAATTCTACGGGCCTTCTGAGCGCAATCCGCGAAGCCGAGGGCAAGCAGCCATGGCAAGAAGCCCTAACTACAACGCTCGAAGAGCCGTCGCGGCGTCTACCTCCCAACGACGGCCTCGTGGCCCTGCTGTACCCGAGCGCCGCCGCCAAAGTAGCCATGGAAAGACCGTACGACGTGGCGGCCGTAGCGGCCGCGGAGCGCGAATGTGCGCGCCTCGTCTGGGACGAAGACAGCGCCAACTACTTCCTCGCGCACCCGGCGGTCGCGACGCCGTTCTGCATCACGGTTGAGCGGAGCCCGGCGTGGAGCCGCACGGAGTACACAATCGAGCACATCGAATCGCCGCAGCATCTGGGCCGACTGACGCGAGACGGCACGGGCGAGGGGTGGATGGAGCTCGACACGCTTGTCGCGAGCCGCATCGAGAGCTACTACGCGCTGGACGTAGCCGCCGCAGCGCTCCTCCTCGTCGCGCGTCTGGACGAGAAGAACGTTCTCGTCGAGCAATTCGCGCCTCCACCTGCCGTGCACCTGCGCGACGAGCAGCAGCCCTCGCGACTGTCGTTCCAGCGCATGGGGAGCGCGCTCGGGAAGGACAAGAACAAGAAGAAGAGCAACAAGAAGCGCGGCCGCTTCGAGGTCTTCGAGCTGGATCTCGAGAGCCAGGCTAGCAGTCTCGGGGCCAAGCTCGATGTCAAACAGTCCGAAAAAGAAAAGCTACCGGGCACCGCGCGCACCATTATCAAGTTGCTTAGTTTCGCGTTCAAGTGCGTCATCTGGGCGCTCACGCTCGCGTTTAAAGCCGCCATGGCTATCATCGTGGGGCTGACGAGATGCATTACCAAGGACAAGTTGTGATACACGGGACTAGTCTACGCGACGGCATGGCTTGTCTCTGTTTGCTGCACCTGGATAGCAAAATGGGCGAATAGGGTAGAACTGGGCGAATCTTGGGTCGGGAATCTTTGTACTAGTTGGATACGGCTGCGCTAGAAACGGGCGATGGGGGGTCTTTTGTCGCTTACTTTAATCCCTCTTTCAGCTTTATATTTCAGCTTGCCCGATATATACAAGTAATTACTACTACCCCGTGCGTCGACGCATGGGCGGGCTCTTCTTACTTCCTCGTACCTCTTGCATTGAGCTGGGATATAATGGTACCAGAAGAGAGGCGGGCCACCGAATGAATACATGATTGATGGTAGCGAAGCGCGGAGTTCTGTTCATATATGGGCCGGGGGTGTTTTGAGTGAGCGAGTGAGCGAACGGGGAAGACATAGGTATATATATTTTGGGATATTGGATAGCAGCCTGGGAATTCAACGCCTGGTGGTTTTCCTGTTAACGCCATGCACCTGCCTGCCTCATCAAATATATATCGAATTTCCCGATCGCACAATGCAAGAACGCCGTTAATGCTAAATATGACCTTGTATTCGCCATCCAGTTAAAAATCATGCTTCGTAGGGTAATCCGTTTACCGCTTCCTCTCTCGCACCTTGAACTTCTTCCCGGACTTCGTTACACCCCCCATTGTCGCGGTCTTAGCCATTCTAGCGCGCTGGATCTCGAGCTCCTGCTCGGTTTGGGCAAGCACGCGCTGCTTTTTCCGGGCGTTTTGTAGGCGTCGCTTTAACTTTTCCAAGAGTTTCTGTTTCTCTTCTGCACGCAATTTTGCCGGGTTCGCGCTCTCTAGATCCTCGTCCTGGTCCTCCGGAGACTCGGTTTCCAAATCTTGCCGTATCTTGTCTTCCCGTTCATCTTGTCCATCTGCAAAGATAATCTTCTTGTTCTTCGATCCGGATTTCTTTTTCGCGCTGGGCTCGTCTGCGAAATCGAAGTCTAGGTCCATATCGTCCTTGTCCTCTTCGTTTTCGTCGATATCACCACCAAGTGCAATGACACGTTCTTCGAGTGCGCGGACCTCTTTCATCGCTACATTCCGTACTGACCGTATATACCCCATATCCTGCGTTTTGAGGAGCCGGACTACGTCTACGTCGAGCCCTTTGTTGCCACGGTCGCCGGCTACGGTACCGTCCCATTTCTTGCTGCCACTTGAGAGCACGGTATCAGGGCCTTTCCGTGAGAGCATACCAAAGTAGAATTCCTATTTCAATACCAAACACGTCAACAACTCATGTTATACAACCCATGCTTGTGGGATGCGAGTTTATTTGGGATGGGAAGGACAAGAGTTAGATCTACATCTTCATTACGGTCTTCTGCCTTCTTTCGAAGGCTCTTGAGCTGTGCCTTCTTGCGATTGTGATCTTGCGCTCGAAGACGGTAGTCCTATGTCCCGTTAGCGTTGACTATCAGCTACGAGGCAGTTGGTCGAGAATGCACACCTTGTGCTTCTCGAGGAGACCGTAGCGACCCTTTCGTTCTTGCAGTTGATCTCGCTCGCGGTGAACGCGCCGGTTTACGGCGTTTCGCAGGGAAGACATGGTTGCGATCGTTCGTATGTGAGTTGATGGTTCGCCGTGCGACGTCTGCGGGATGTTTGGATTGTAGAAATTTGGTCCTGACGATAGACGATAAGACAGAGCTGATAAGGGAGCTAGGGGTCAGTCAACCCCTTGTATCAGTGGTACCTACACAGTACCTAACCTAGGTAGAGCCCAGCCACCAGCCCCGCCCCCAAAGTTTAGTGTGGGTGATACCTGTTGAAAGTACTATGTACCTAATCTCAGGGCCTTAACTTTACGCACCGTACAAATTCTCGAAGACGTTCTGTATTAGATTTCGATTCGTAATACGTCTTGTCTCTGATCTTGCGCGTCAATATCAGAAAACATTGGATATTCCCTGCTGTAGAATCACGATGATTATACTCAAGCATGATTCATTCACCTTAATCTGTTTGGAGCAGCCGTGATCGTCATGGAGACGGGAACATAGCATGTTGTAAGTTGGGAGGTGATGCCGGATAAATAACCAGCAGAACTATCAGATCTGCTCCCTTAAAATGCTCTTCGGAACAGAATGCACCGATATCATAATGATCTAAGCTTGAGTCGTCCTCAATTTCATTTTTCCATGCCTGTGCAAATTGACCCGTTGCGTTTGGTCTTCGACTTCCCCTTTGACTATGCGTTACATGACAAGCATTCGACAATTCCTCGACAATGGCTAAAAAGTCCAATGCCAAGCTGGCCATAACCAAAACTCAAGCTGCAGCATCGATCACCATCGCCATCTTTTGCGCTCTTTCCGCTGTATGGCTACTTGGCCCAGCATCGAAACTCCTGAGGGATTCGCCCCAATCCCCCTCACCACTACTGCAGGTGAACTCATCACATAGCGATTTGCAATGTGAAGACCAGAGCTATAAGACCGAGCTTATTTCACTCGATCCACTCGTCATCTATATCCGCAACTTCATCACCAAGGGGGAGATTGACGACATCGTAAATGCTGGCGAAAATCGCTTCAACCCCTCCGTAGTGAATCAGAATGGGCGGATGATTCAGAACCCGTACCGTACCTCGTGGAGCGCTGGCTTGCCAGCTGATGCTCCCGCAGTAAAATGTGTTCTCGAACGGTCGAGAAGATTCCTCGGAACTGTTCTTGACCCTGATGAAGACGAGATGGGTGTGCCACAGCTTGTGCGATACACCGAAGGGCAGGAATATAATCTGCACCACGACTGGATGCGGATACCCCACGCGGCCTTCGATGGGTCAGCACGAACGTTCAACCGGGTTGCGAGTTTCTTCGTTATTCTTCAGGATGAATGTGTCGGAGGGGAGACATGGTTTCCCTTCGTCAAGCCCGTTTCATCCCAGCTGAACGGGAACGACGAAGGCAGGCTATGGCGCGAGCACGAAGATGGTGGGCTTGCTTTCAAACCTGTGGCCGGGAATGGTATCTTTTGGGTGAATTTATTCCCCAATGGTACGGGAGATACACGGACTGTGCATGCAGGGTTGCCAGTCACGGGCGGGTTGAAGACTGCAATGAACATTTGGCCAAGACAGTACCGCCCTAACTCGTGATCAACTCATTATACGAGTTAGAGCCCATCTTCTTGAGCCATTCATCTGCCTAAGATCTAGGTATAAGCACTAGCCTCTGTGATTATACCCTTCTGAGAGACTGTGACATTGTGGCGAAAGCCTTTATTGTTGTACATTAGAAAGATGCATGTCAACTTCGAGGGCAAACTAGGGGCTATGCAACAACAAAATAACCCAACTCGGAAAAACATGGAACTAACCGTTCACTGTTTCCGAGTATTGAATCAATCATCGTGCCTAGCAATTTTTACGTACTTCGTTTGATACGATGTAAATTCTTGTATGCTACGTTAACATTGCGTATTTCACTTGAGCCAAGTGGGGAGTTGAGCATTACGTCAATGACTCACTTCTTCCCCATAAGTATAAATGGATTATAATGACATGGTATCAAATCACGAATTCATCTTATGAAGCAGATCATACTTAATTAACCCATTCAATATCAGAATGCCTCATCCAGATGCCGATTTACACCCCGTCGCGACCGGTCTCGCGAAGCCGACGGTTGACGTAAGACTGATCGTCATTATCAGTTACAGCTGTTATGAAATGTACTAACAACTTTCATAGGACCACGCAGCTGAGCAACAATTGAAATTATTCGCAGGATGGTTCTGCCCCTTTGTTCAACGGACATGGATTACTCTCGAGGAGAAAGGGATACCCTACCAGTACATCGAAGGTAATAATATTCGTCGCCCCGTCTTAGGCCTACGTATCGGAGCTTTTACTCACATATGCTCAGTAAATCCCTATAACAAGGGTCCAGAGCTCATGCGCTCGAACCCGCGGGGTCTGGTGCCGACGCTAGAAGTAGCGCCCGGCAAGTCACTGTATGAAAGCAATGTGCTCTGCGAGTACCTAGAAGATCACTACCCCGATCACAAGCCGCGCCTACTCCCCTCAGACGACTACGAGCGTGCGCATTCTCGCATCTGGATGGACTTCGTCACGAGCCGCATAATCCCGGCGTTCCACCGTCTGTTACAGTTCCAGCCGAAATCGTACGAAGGTGACGGGGCCGCGCGGCTCGATGAACTGCGCGCTGAACTTAGGAAGTTCCTGCTCGAGTACGCGGCCGAAATGGCTGATGCTAAAGAGGGCCCTTTCTTCGCTGGTCATGACATCGGATTAGTTGATATTGTTCTGATGCCGTTTGCCGTGCGGCTTTGGGTCTTCGACGAGTTCAAGGGAGGGCTGGGGATTCCTGAAAAGGGGAAGGGTGGAGAGGACGAGGAGAACTGGGAGAGATGGCGTGTCTGGATTAATGCTGTTGAGCAGCGCGAGAGTGTAAAGAAGACGACGAGCGATAGGGAGCATTATCTGCCTATTTACAAGCGGTATGCTGATGATACTGCTCAGTCGGAAATGGCTAAGGCAAGCAGGGCTGGACGGGGAGTACCTTGAGAGGGAAGATGAAGCGAAGGATAATTACTAGGTATCTAGGCCTGTTGCATAGAAGACTGAAGCCTCTTAGTGGCTAATATGATCACAGGCGTCAAGCTCACTTGAAGACATAATGGCTGTTTCCGTGCATAAATCATAAGTATCTCTTGGTCAAAATTCACTTCGTGTCTAGACAACTATGAGTAACATGAACATCTCAATTTCTCTCCCTACTAGAGCATTTAGCCGTGGGTAGGTGGAGGGAAAGCTACAGCCAGGAAATTGAAATTGGGATTATTATAGCCGCCGCCTTCTTTCCAAGTTGATGCATGCGGCGCGTAGTAGTCCCAGTTAGATGAGGTGTTGAGACCAAGTTCAGCCCAAACAAAGAGACCGTTAGATAGACCGTTACCAAGTAAGATATAGTTCGGCAAGGGATCGTACTTCGAGGTGGCAGCATACCCAGTGAACTGATCCACCAGGTTTGCTGTCTTGGGGATCCGGTTAGTGTTGTATGGCGCCGTAGCCTCGATGGCGTCGCGTAAGGTCTGATCGAAGAATAACTGGGAAAGATGTGCTATGCGACCGCCGGTGTAGGTTCCGTTCGGCAAAGTCGTGGCTCCAACGTGTGCAATGAGGTGCTGGTGGGTGGCACGTCCCTGATAGTGCCCTGGGAAGATAGTGTCGAAGGACTGTTAAGAATATGAAGTTAATAATCGACAGGCACACTAGAACACAAAAGGTTATGTTGTTGAGGAGAGCAACAACAGCGGGATATTTAACATTGCTAGAAGCAGAAATAAAAGACATAGGGATACTAACCACTACGCCGTCTTTATCAGTGGGCTGAACACCGCGCAAATACGTGGTCCCGAGCCCTCCTTCACCGCGTGCGCTCACGCCGCTATATTGGCCGGTTGCGTTGCACGACCAAGTGTCGATCAGGAGCTGTGTGGCCGGCTTGCAAGTATTCACGTCGATGAATTGGAGTTCGAGATGCATGGGAACGCCAGGCACATTCTCCGTAACGTCTGAGCGGATGTGCTCTTGATTGACGAAATACGGCCCATTCGCATTATCCGGAGTCAAGATACAGCTGGTGTTGGACCCAAAGATGTCTGAATTAGAGGACTCCTTGTTCAAATCGATGGAACCTGTTTTATTATGACTTAAAGCGGCCCATTGTCGGAATTGGGCAGCACTTCGTCGATGAAGCCACGCCGCTAGGTACATGTGAGTCTTCATCCATCATGTCGCTGCGAGGTCTAGTAGATTTCCTTACCTTCAGTTAGACCTCTTTCTTCGCGTAGTCGTGCGAAGGTGGCAGCCCGGCGAGCGATGGCTCGCGCTTTGCGCGCTTTCACTTCCGGATCATTCTGGCACGCTTCCAGGGCCCTCGAGTTTATAATGTTGACTACGTGGGCATTGTCCACCTCATCCCTTATCTGGCGCGCACTCAGGTTCTCACCCGGATGCGCCGTGACCAACACGGACAGCGATAGCACCACGGCCACGCCGAGCTCGAAAAGTCGTTTGAACATCACGGTCAGGCCTGAATATTTCGCAGGAAACCCCGACTCAATCTTCTGGCGTCTTGAATTCTTAGTGATTTCATGTCTACCCGGGGCGCTTTGACCCTTTAAGCTAAGGCGAGAGTTCAATTGCTTCTCACGGGGCTAAGATTCGAATCCAGTTTAATTGCTTCCGTCCCTCATCTAGCTGCCAAGAACATAACTTTAAGATATATATCGGCAGACTACGGTGCGTGTAGCGGTGTGGTCGGCAAGACACAACGGAAGGAATAACAATTTTTCCTGCTATGGACTCAGATGACTCGTCGATCTAGGGCCCCCTGGCTCCGAACATAGCTTCTGTGTTTATCCGGAGCATTCAACAACCATTTTCGCACTAGTTCACGTGAAGGGGATGTGCACATCCCTTATGAGGCTAAATTAGTGAATGACATACCACTTTATTCTGAGAGGTCGCCTTAGATGCACCCCAGATGTATATATGCATCCTTTATAAGGACTTACTTGCCGAGACCAATAAGGCCCAGCTTTACCGCTGCCACGTTGCCCAGTCGGTATATCATCACATGACAACTGACGATCATTAGCAATGTTAACCGGTAAATGCAAGGGAGTATGGAGGAAAAGAGAGAATGAAATTGCGTGTTCCATAGTAGAGCATGCATTGAGACATATATTATCTTGTAAGATGTGGCCTGGGCGGTAGCTGCGGAGTATTACTTGACACAAAGCCCTCAAATATTGTTAAGAAGCATGGAAACGAACTTCATCGTGCCACTATGAGAGCCGCGGGTATTTCTTGTGAGAAAGTCTTTCTATCTTGTATAAAAATAGGATGATGCTAAAGAGTAAGGAGCTGTGCTTTAAGCAGTTAGTTTGAGGGTAATGTAGTAGGAAGGGGGAGAGGGTTAATTATCTGGTAACAATCATGAGCAATGGGAGGAAAAGACAACTGGTTGAGCCTAGTCTAGATCTGGTGTTCGCGTTTAGAATTCTATAGAAAATCTGTGTAACGCGCATGAAGAGCCGGATATTTACATTTTTTATAACGCATTGAATCCTTGAAACTAGCTAAGTTGTATGCTAGACGATACACTCCTCTCCCAAAAGATGTGCCGCCTTGTTCAACAATTCGGCTTGTCATGATCATAAGCTCGTCGGGTGCTCGCAGCTTCAAAACACCATTGCCAGAATGCTGCTAGCCTGGTAAAACTTTAGCACATTATGGCCTGAAGTCTTCCACTATTTAAGCACCGTTGCCGTTATAGGCGATGAGGTTCACAGTACTTCTGGGGAGGCTGGAGATTCCGTTGGAAGTACCCAGCGACTTAATGCGGGCAGTGACGGCAGCAGGGGAAGAGAGACCTTCAAGGGCAATGAGGTAGAGAGCAAGACCGGCTACATGAGGAGTGGACATGGATGTACCAGAGATGGTGTTAGTAGCGCTGTTGCCACCAATCCATGAGGACAGGACATTGACACCGGGGGCAGAGATATCGACGTAGGAGCCGTAGTTAGAAAAGTAAGCGAAAGCCCAGTTGGAGTCAATGGCGCCAACGGTGATGGCATTGGCAGCAGAGGCAGGGGAAACATTAGCGGCGTCAATAGCGTCGTTGCCGGCCGCGATGACAGATAGAACACCAGAGTTGTAAGCACTGTTGACAGCGTTGTTGAAGGCAGCAGAGTAGCCACCGCCTAAAAATATTAGAATTTGGACTGCGAGGAGGGATGGATGGGAGCGAATTCTTACCGAGCGACATGCTGATTACAGACAGCCTTTGGCGGCCCTTGCTAAGGATATCATTGACAGCCCAGTTGAAGCCATCGAGGATTATAGAGGTAGAGCTAGAGGATCCAGAGAAAACCTTGACGGAGATGATAGTAGCGGCTTTGGCTACACCGTAGGTAGCACCGGCAAGAGTACCAGCGACATGGGTTCCGTGACCGTTAGAGTCAATGTTCTGGCCACCGACAGCATTGTAGCCATAAGAACCGCGACCACCGAATTGGGTGTGAGTGGTCAATAGGCCGGTGTCAACAATATAAGCGTAAGTTCCAGCACCCGCGCTGTTGTCGTAGATATAGTTGGTAGAGCCCCTGGATCTGTGGGATATCGTGCCCAAGCCCCAGGTCGCGCCAGTCTGCTGAACTAGGGCTCGCTCAGAGATCTCTCGCTCGGAGACCTCCACCACATCATCGAATAGATGCCAAACCTGGTCCTGCTCGACAATAGCGACCTATAGAAAGCTTTAGTATTCTCTTGCGACTGTGAGGATTTTCAGCATACCTGAGGGCTGGCTTTTATCTCGGCAACGGTAGCCTCGTCCATCTCGACAGCGTAGGCCTTGAAGTCATCAATGCTGTAGGTCTTCTCAACACCAACAGTATCACGACGGCTCAAGCTTCGAGCGTGAACATCACGAGCCCAGTTAACGTGACTCTCGAATTCGCTGGCGCTGACATCGGTCTTCAAGGTGACGATGTATTTGTTGGGAATGTATTCAGGGTCGCTAACCTTCTTCGCCGGGGCAGCGAAGGCAGCAGGGAGCAAGGCTCCGAAGAACAGAGCCAAGTTGCGAATACTAGGCATGTTGGGAGTAGGATGGATGAATCGGTCTGGAGTCTACGAGCTGTGACGAGGAGATTGGAACATCATAAGTCGACCACTTCACCCCTTTATATAGACTCTTAGAGTCTGTGGCGACATCGCGGAGAGAGCCTGAGCAAGTGTTGCACAATGTTTGCCAAGCTGTTCGTCACAGAGCCAAGAGCTGTTGGGTTTCCCAAATCACTTAGACATGACTTTCAAAACGGGCTTATATTCGTAGGCTCTCAGATACCAGTCAAAATGAGGAAGGAGTGAAGCAGACAGCCTTGGTGGAGGGTAGTCAAGGCGAAGGTCGGGTGACGATATCTCTCTCTCCTATGTACACTAGCAGCATTTAGCAGCCTCTGCCAGCATTCTTGGCATCGTCCAAGTATCGAGATAGTGAAGCTCGAGCTGAAGAGTTGCATGATGTGTCAGTGGCCGTCGGCTGTCGTCGTGATACCCGCGAGAGTCAACATAAGCGATGGCGGCGACTCGGTTTCATCGAGTACTCCGACCTCGTCGTTAAATACGAAGTTGGTACTCTGGTATTCCTCGGACTTCTGAGGCAGTGATCATCGTACAGCTACTCGGAGCTCTCCGGATCGGCGATGTCTCGTGCCCACAAACTCCCACGGGTCTGGGGAGCCGCCCAGAGCGGCTAGGTGAGCATGCATGTAGCCGGGGGCATACATCAACAATATACTGAGGTGCGTGACACATGGAATGAAAGCATTCCAGGTGCGTGGAAATTGCCGCTAAGCCACGGGGGCATAGATATCGTCGAGATGGTTTAGTGTCACAGCTTGACCATCTCCAGATAGGAAGGCGGCAGATAAGTGTTCTTGAGGCTCGGGTACCCGCCGAGGGCGAGAATAGGAGCCAGCACGCGATTGGGCGTCAATCTAAACCAGCCTTCACCACCAGGTCTCAATGCTCGACGCCTCATAGGCAAGCGAGGTTAGCCGATCACGCTCGTTGGAAGAGCTGTGGATGTCATATTTCGAAACCTCAAGGGGCGAATACCTAGATGGCTGTGGCAGAAACATATCGAGCGTGGAGGATCAACATGCAAGCCACTTGTGCGCAAACGGACGGTAATGAGAGGCGTTAGTACCAATTTGGTTTCGCAGGCATCCCTTGGACCCAGACGCGTTAGCAACCCCTCCCTGTTAGTCGACGATAAACCCAACGGTTCAACCGGCAAATGATTGGTGACGTGCTTCTAGCGCCGGCTGCCTCATCTTGGCCATCTCTTGGCTGTCCTTGAATTAACTTCACAGCTTCCCTTTTCGTTATACACCCCGCCGGGGCTAGGGAAGGCTAGAATAGTCAATATGATGAATACCTCTCAAAGTTTGACCTCTTGCTGACAACCGAATGCGCCCTTAGTTGGAAAATCAGGTGTAAAACCTGTCTGATTTGTTATGTGGCTAGCGGTGTCTCTGGTGGGGTTATCGTAAAGACTTTGCAAGTTTTTCCTGCTCTTCATTATGCTATGATATATGATATATTGCCTAGTAAAAGCTGGTAGATGTGATGCAACCGACGTCGGGGATTTATCGCGATCAAGCCAAAATTTGATTGGGCAATTCATATCCAACCCGCTTGGTAGAATGGTGCAGTGATGCCAAGAAAACACGACACTGCAATCATGTCCAATCCAAGCTCTCGCTGGCGCTTGAAATGAGATGGGCCAAAAATGTGGCCAATGCCCATTCGCGAGAGTAGAGCAAGGCCAGCGGAGCGGACTGTCTAAATTCACCGCATTCTTGCTAAACAAGTGAATGTGATGTACTTTGACTGTATACTAGAGCACGTGTCTTTCTAGAATTAAGTTGGCCGTGCCCTCCATATCTTCGCTCGTCTAGGCAGCTAAACGGCCTTCCGTTTTCAAGCCCAGCGTCTCATTAGAAATGGATCATTCAATACCAATACCCTGCCGAGATCCGGGATAGTTTCAATGCACCATAACATTGAAAGGGACGGGTCTGCTAAGGCTTGTGGTCACTGAAGATGGGATATCTCATCATAATCACGATAATCCAACAATAGCTAGCCATCGGTGTTCGCGAAGCTGGGAGTGTGAGCATAGACCTCACAGGAAGCTGATGCTGTAGTCTAGAATCAATTTAGCTAAGCCACGTGTTGCAGAACGTAACACTCTCAAAGGCAATGCTCAGTTGACTCGTTGGCTTGTCTATTCTTGTCACACTGGACTGGAATGCCACGAGCTGTCTAGACTCATGATAATGTCTCTCAAGGCCAGATTCAAAGCCTCAGCGCTACGGCTCACATCCACGACCCATGGTATCGGTAGCTTCATGTCGCAGATCCGTTTTGCCTCCAACATGTGGCCGGAACAATGCCGGTGCCACTGTAACAGTAAACCTAAAAGTAGCGGCAGGCAAAAACAACCCCTGGTAGCTTATAAACCATGCACCCATGCTTCCCTGCTCGGAAATGTATCTGAATCAAGACACGTGATCCAAGACATCACTTAGAAAGCTACGGAATATCCGAGTCACATAAGCAGCCATCAAAACTCCAGAACAAGATTCAATGCCAACCAAATGCAAGAAAGGGAAGTTAATGTTGTAGTCGGAAGAGGAGGGAGTTGAAAATGGGAAATGGGATACCTAGGTAGTCACTTTCGTAGTTTACAAAGCTAGTAACCTCCACAATGCTTAGCCTATTCTTTCAAGAATAGAAATAGAATATAACACTATTGTTATGAATTCGTTACACTAAGATTGCAGGAACATAAATCTCAAGGTAAGCCTCAAGGCATTACAATGATCTTGAATCCCACTCAAGAACCAATTTATATGATTGCACTTATAAAACGCTATCACCTTTCATAACTGTGCTATGAGTTTCTCATGACTCGGAGATGGTGTTTATAGCATATCGGCAATTATTTGCATATGATTGACTTGACGGAAGGCGGGAAGGAACTATCTGGGCTTGAGAACCTTAAAGCGGCAACCCACTGCTGATTTTCGAAATAACTGAAAGTACTACTTGTTAAGAACTTGTTATTTAACTTTACGCGGGTGACAGATTGGTGTTGCGCCAGCGTCTCACCAACTTCCTTTGCAGGCTAAGTTGCAGGTGCATATAGAATTCAGTTTATAGCTCAAGAAGTACCCAAATGAGCACAAAGCTGTCACATAGCAGTGTCTTGCCTATAGAAATAACTAGTAATATGGAAATTTCCATTATAAATCCTAAAGAGCGTTGTCTGTGAAGAAGGTTTTCCAGAATTTAAGGTGCATGCTGCATTCTGCTGTATAATTCGCACTAGTTATGCTATAATTGCGACTTGTTAGTATATATAGCGGTGGTACAAGGTGGCCGAGTAACCGATGCATTGATTCTCACTTACATGTCGTACCAATTCACAGAATGGTAACGAATTTATGGCGGTGTAACTTTCTTGATTTAAGGGGTAAGTCGCGTCCTTCATTCATTGCATTCAGGGTAGACATATATGTCGTTCATACTTACATCCCATGTCATGTAAGGCTGAATTCGAATGTGCATGGTATACCTCCAGAATCTAATTGCTTTCAAGCTTAAGCAAACTTGTTGACAATTGTACATATCAAGCTACAACGAATGTGCTGGATACGTGCGTAGATAATTAAACTGTGACTCCTTTCGGCTAAAACTCGGTGCTATGACGCCAACTAACTATTTGTATCAGGCGCCCAGAGGCATCAAGCTGACGCGAATCCTATTTTGGAAGACCGTCGCTTCAGCTCCAAGGCGTAGGACAGTGATTGGATACGAGAGGCAACAGCATATGTGGCACCATGGGCTAACAGACAGATGAGGTAATGGGAGAGCTCTAAATTTCATGAACCTCAACATTCATTGCAGACTAGGTCGATCTTCATTGTGAATTATTGAGTATGAGGAAAGCCCAAGCCCTCTACAGCTAAGCCCAAGAAAGTGATATAACCCATGATAAACTCAGCCTGCAGCTGTGGGATGACCTGAACAGACGTCAGCTAAGCCTCATCCCTACTGAGGCATTATGTATAATTTTTGGAAAAAGGATTATGTCCAGCCCTCCGGAGTAGTCTGTCATCATTGTCGAAAATTATTCGAATTAACTAGTCAGGATGTGTGCAGCGCAAAACGCATTATCCATCATTCCACCACCGAGTCCTTTGTTTCGTCCATCAAAGCAGGGTGCCCTATTTGTAGGGCTATTCTGTCTGAAGTTGACGATCCGCAAAAGTTATTTTTATATCCATTCTTGATATCATTAACCGAATGTCTCATTCGTGAACCGATGAATGGATCAGTGTACGACTTAGGCTTTACTTGGAAATCGCCAGGAATTCCTAAACGTTATCGGAGAGTGTTGGTCCAGCGATACGACCGTAAGTGACCGTGATGCATTCAGCTGCAATTACGTCTAATTGCTAACACCCATAGTTATAAAACAATTTCTTCCTCGTATTCCCCCAGCGGCCGATAGAGGGTGGAATAATCAAACGCTTGAAGTGGTGAAGAAATGGATGCGTTGTTGTCGCAAGGAACATCCAAATTGTCAGGCGCTAAATGCTTGGAGAACAGCTGGCTTGGATTTTCAGCCCAAGCGTCTGGTCGATATTGGGTCCGACAGTGGAAGGACGTGGCGCCTAGTTCTGACAGGGAACGACAACATTTTCCGGAGTCCATATGTGACCATAAGCCATCGGTGGAGCCAGAATCAGCAATTTAAGCTCATCAGCGAAACCATAGAAGCGTACACGGCTGACCAACCGGTGTCTGATCTACCAAGAATATTCCAAGACGCCGTTCAAGTTGTCAAGTCCCTAGGAATTCGGTATTTATGGGTTGACTGCTTGTGCATCATCCAGGACTCACATCTGGACTGGCAAAGAGAAAGCCTCGAAATGTGTAAGATATATACGAATGCCATTTGCAATATATCCATCACGGGCTTCGAAGACACCTCAAACGGCTTCCTAGATCAGACATGCAGATATGCACCACTACCGTGCCGGGTGCAACCGAGATGGGCACCAAGCCTTCGAGAGGGCTGGTGTATTTTGGACCCCTTTTTCTGGTGGGCGCAAGTCACCAAAGCACCTTTGACAAAGCGTGGCTGGGTTTTCCAAGAACGATTTCTAGCACCACGCGTCGTCCACTTCGGGCCAGATCAAATACTTTAGGAGTGTTCATCGCTTGATGCGTGCGAGGCTTTTCCACAGGGTATACCGGAGATTGTCCAGGCACCACAACACACGGGCTTTAAAAGAATGGATTACCTTTTCCAGCATGGCATGCAAAAGGGACCGCTCCCTAGAGCGAGCTATAAAATCAAGATGGATCAAGAAGATCTTCTTTACCACTGGTGTCAAATCGTCCAGGCATACACACGCACCAGTCTCACTAAGCCCAGTGATAAAGTCGTTGCTCTAGCCGGTGTTGCGCAACTCATGTCACAATCAGAAACCTCTACTCATATGACGAGTCATACGAGATACATAGCCGGACTATTCGAACACCATCTACTGTTAATGTTAGAATGGCATCCAGACGGCAAAATGTTTCCGCGCCATGAACCCGACGGTGTTCGGCCTCCCCAATACCGTGGGCCGTCGTGGTCCTGGGTGAGCCTGGATGCGCGCATATTCTACGATTACCTGCCGAAAAGTATGAACGATCAAGCGTTGTGGAGCCGAAGACCAAGCTGGGACATGTTTTTGGAGAAAGTGTATCAATATATAAATCCCAATCACATAATCCATTGGCCTATCCCACATAGATGTCTGTCCTGGAAACCCCTGATCTGGAACATGAGATCATCCATAAAGACGGCCGGTGAATCGCCTTTGGGCAAATTCTAGACGGCAAACTAGAGTTGACTGGGTTTCTCGCTCTGGCTCGAGATATCATAGACATGTCTCCAAGCAGCCTGTTATCACGCCCGATGATGCTGTACTTGGATGTTCCTACCGACTCTAGACAACTCAAGCCAACAACTATGCTACTACCCCTCAGGTGCATGCAGCTGAGTAGGCTAGACGACCCATCCCCCTTCTACTGGGCGACGAGTCTCCTGCTAGAGCCTGTAGAGGGCCATGAGTCTACCTACCAGCGATGTGGGATGTTGAGTATACTATCTACGGATGGGGTCCGGGAGATTGGGGTCGAGCTTACAGACAATCCATTTTCTGCGAGATATTCATATGATACGGAACTGGAAAGTATCCAGATTATCTAGATAGCTTCTTAGGAAGAAACGGGAAGTACTACGAGTCTTTGAAGGATTGTGAAAAGAAACGCCTCAGAACTTAGCCAGAGTAGTTACGATGTGCGGCGTATGCTGTGAAGGTGTGCAAGAGATGAAGAATAATGTGAGACGAATTAGTTGATAGATCTCATAGAGACCAAATAGTGGGCTAGGTGACATGTGTTTCATTCACGATCTTATTTGTGACTGAGGTTGCATCGTATAGAAGTGACAGGCAGATAGAACAGTCAGAGAACACTAAGAAGAAGAGAAGGGCCATGAACGGGTCATGTCGTTCAACGCCAGGGAGTAGAATGCAAGCAGACTCCCGGTTATCCTGACGAGCTAGGATTATACTACGGCAGACTTATGTAGTTGAAATTCTTGCATAACATACATCGCATTAGGTAGACTGGCGTTATGAAGCTTGGGTTGATGAGGTAACGTGATAGTCAATTCAATGAACTCGCTCATAACGCCGGCTCGTGTCCTCGGTGCAATGGATGCTTCAACCCGTGGTTTGGTTCATACATCCGCAAAGAAATAGAGACAGACATACGTGTATAATATATTATGCGGTGATACTGTGTTGGTTATTCCGATGGTATGGTTTTATTATCATGGTCTTTTCTTGAATCTAGGTACGTTCTTCCAATTTAGATTAGTAGGTACCTAGGTAGCTTCAGAGTGGGGTCATCTCAGGACATACAATCCAATCAAAGAAAGCGTAGCTGCTTAGTGTACCCACCCGTATATAAATTACACTATAAATCGCCCTATGAAGTACATAGTACACGATTACTGTAGGGGAGTCAAAGGCTAGCCCGCAATTAGACTAGCGTTGTCCCAAATTAAAGTTGTCGCGACAAGGCGATGACATGCCATCCTTGGCTGTCTCCCTTTTGATACTTTGGACGCTTTTAATGTTGGTGGACAAGCGAAAGGTGTTGTGTGTATTCAACGACATCTTCCAACGCCCCTATCTCGACGTCATTGTCAAGCTTCCAGACAGCCAGACTGTAATGATGCCGCCATAGCTTATCGTTTATTGCATATAACTCCGTCTACCTCCAGACCCGTGCGATCCGCGATCCGCGATCCACACTCCGCACTCTAACCTCCGCCGCTGCCGCTGCCGCCGCCGCCATGGAGCCGTTCGACCTACTCAATAGTAAGTGACACCTATAGCATAAAACAGCAACAAGCACAAGCTTACTCGGTCTCAACAGATGTCTCCTGGTCCTCTATACCGAGCGATATCCTCCGCGCCGAGCTGGCAAGACGGCAGAACGACGATGGCGTCTCCGAGAAGCCCGCCTGTGGCTCTGGCGACCGTGGCACATACGATACACCCTTACATGTCTTCGCCCTTGTCCTGATTCTCTCTCTCAGCACACTTGGTATATCTCTACCTCCCGTATTTGCGAAAGTACTCGGACACACCTAGCTAACTTCCCCGATTCCTTAGCATGTGGCTTTCCTCTCTTCTCTCGTCAGACCTCATCGAAAGGTAGCCGTCGCGCGAATACTATCATCTTCCTCAGTCAACACTTCGGCACCGGAGTCCTTATCGCAACTGCCTTCGTCCATCTCCTCCCGACGGCCTTCGTATCGCTTACGGACCCTTGCCTGCCCGACTTCTTTACCACAGGATACCAGCCAACGGCTGGCCTTGTTGCCATGATATCCGCCCTCGTCGTGGTGACTCTAGAATCTTACCTGACAACCAGGGGCGCAGGACACTCTCACTCACATAACCATGGCTGGGAATCGGAAGACGACGAGTCGGAAGATGGAACCCAACTCAAATCTCATATCAACGGTGGATTCGCCGCAAAGAGGATACCGAACCGTCGACCAGCTGATATTGCGCTTGACGATGTGGGCGCAAGTCGCGGGCTTATGACCGACGTATCCCCACTTCCGGAAACGACACCTACAATTGTTACGCCTCACGAGAATGGCAGGAAGCTTTCCGTCCCCAATAAGGACACAAATCACGATGACGACGATGACGCAGATGATGACCTAGATCTGAACTTGAACGAGCTCGATCCCGCTACGAACGATCACACGCAACCCCTCACCAACACACACCACCCAAGGCGTGCTTCCGAGACCGGCCTGCCGCAAGAACCACTAACACCCGAAGAACAAAAGAGACGAATGCTACAGTGTATGCTGCTTGAAGCTGGCATTTTATTTCACAGTGTATTCATCGGCATGGCCGTCTCCGTTGCGACAGGCCCTCCTTTCGTCGTTTTCCTAATCGCGATTGCATTCCATCAGACCTTTGAGGGGCTGGCCCTCGGCTCCCGGATAGCAGCAGTACAATTCCCACGCTCCTCGATCCGCCCATGGCTTATGGTGCTGGCTTACGGGATCACCACCCCCGTCGGGCAAGCTATTGGACTTGGAGTACACACTCTCTATGACCCGAAGAGTCAGACCGGGCTTCTGATGGTCGGCTTTATGAACGCCGTATCAAGCGGTCTCCTCCTCTTCGCTGGTCTGGTGCAGCTGCTCGCCGAAGACTTCCTTACTGAGAAGAGCTATAAGACGTTGAAAGGGAAGAAGAGGAGGAATGCGGGTCTTGCGGTGTTTGCGGGAGCCACGCTTATGGCTCTTGTAGGCGCTTTCGCCTAAAACGTCAAATTGAAGGATTCGGACTAGAGGACTGCCATTTGAATTGCTGCTGTGTTATTATATAGAATATCGAAATGTATATATACTGATCTTGGGGCCAGGTATTGTATCGGAGTTCGGGCGACATAAGGCGTGCAATGGAGGAGACAACATAGAATGATATATCATGATTCAATCCTGAATTTTCTGCGCTTTTTGATTCGCGGCCGTGTTTGATAGTTCCTAGGCTAGCTTCGGCACAGCCTGGTCTACGGCCTGATCGGAGAGCCGTATTAGCCCCTATTCTTCTATCCCCTGATCAATGGCGAGCGCCCGCGGCGATGTTGTGCCTGTCGCGGGGGAGGTTCTCGGCGTGGGTGATGAAAGTGCTGTGTCGTCGCTTTATAACGCATATCTGGCTCTAAGTTCTCTGTCATCTTGTCTTCTGTGGTATCGGTAGGCTCTGGCCCTTGGAACCTGCACTCATCGGCGGTGTCAACGCTTGTCGAGGAGGCTAATGGTGACGAGCGCGCCTTCGCCAAGATGCTAGTAACCTGTTACGCTGGAGTTGGTTTCACGGCTCTTTGCGCTGGGATTATCGGGGGATCTGGGGAAGTATAAGGGTCTTGCTGCTAGGCATCCTTGATGGAGGGGTTGGTTATGGTGTCTGGGTTGATTTGTGCGGAAATGACATTGTTTCTGAAAATATAGCTAACGCATTGATGGGGGGAGGAGGGATGGGGGAAAAGGAGGAGCGAGTTGTAGGTATTGCTAGTTGTTCATGCCGCCAATGTTGATGACGAAGGGAAGGGGGGAGCGGGCTTGCTGCTTAACGCGCCCTGTGGTAGAGATTGTCTTGCGCTGGGTTTACCTGTCTTGCCGCCGGCTGTCAGCTATATATTCGCTTTGATCTCGCTGCGTGTCGTCTTGAGTTTCTTGGTTGTGGTCCGGGTAATAACCGTCTCTGTCCGGCAAAATAACGTGGGGTTAGTCGGAGTCACAGGGGTCACAGCAGGAAACCGTAAAATAAAAGTCTCGGATCTTTGCCTCTAATGAGATAGAGTATGCTGTTACGACGACTGAAAGATAATATTTCCTATCACAAGTAACTGGAATATGGCAATCATGATATTGTAATGCTATTCTCTACGATGACCCTTTGCTAGGAACGTAAAGGTGAGGAATCGACACTACTGGGAAGCATGAAAATAAGCACACATACTGCATTGACTTCACCACAGGTACTAATATTACCGAAGCTCGTGAGTGTGAATATTGATAAGAAAGGAGCGGAAAACTAGGAATCGGCGAGCTTCTAAAATCAGCCCCTAAGAACCGCCGCACTATTTACTAGCAAGACGAGCTCTCACAACAGTACAACATAACAATCGACTGGCTCTCTTATTGCTGACAATTCTTGCTGTCGCAACAGGATGAATATATATATATATATATATGCTATCTGTTCACAACTGGTAACAGAGGCTTTGGCAAGTCTAATCTTCTAAGACAACATCAATCACAGACATGAAGCTTCCAACGGGAGTATTGACGACATTAATTCGAAGTCGTGAGTCAACGACTTTGAGCAGTGCTTTCCAACCGTCGATATCTCGCTCTAGAGAATTAAATAGTTGCATCATGCCGACATCGCGGGAGCGCAGCACCCGCTCGTTGACGGGCAGGACGGAGCTGGAGTTGGGGACGACAAAGTCTATGATCCGCACATGAGAATCTTTACCTATTGCGACGGCTGTGTTCTTTATGATGTTGACTGATTTTGGTGAAGTCCCAGTTGTGGAAGATCTGCCGGAATAGATAAGCGTTGGCGCCCTCGACAGGTTGCCTCTCGAAGAAGTCGTACTCTTGGAACTGGATTCATGAAGCGATACTGGTCTCGGTCGCGATAACTTTTAGGTGGTTTGTTATGGCCATGCGTGCCAGCGACTTGAGCCTAAGCTCTGAAACCCCTGCTTTACCGGCCAACTCTGAGTAAGACACCTGGCCTTCTAAAGGCACGAGCTCAAAGATCTTGAAGTGACTCATCCATCGAAGAATCTCCACGTAATGATACTAGTAATAAAGGATCAGCTACCTCACACTAGTAGTACTAACGGGCTTTTCTATACTTAGTCACCTGTATCTCAGCGGGAGCCTCTGAGGAAAGAGTGAATATGGGTGCATTCTGCTAAAAACTTGGCTCGGGAAAATTGTTGGCTTGGAGATATATTCGTGAACTCGACGGTCTGCCTGGTGAGGTCACGAACCAAGAGCCCAAGTGTGCCGGATTAGGGTTTAGACAAGCCAGAATTGTTGCCGTTTGTAACGTTTTCATCATAGCCTAAAGCCATCTTGAATGATAATGACATGTGAAAAGGGGGTTCGGATACTGTGATCAGAATAAACTAGATGTTCGATAACTTTCCTTGTGTGGATGTTGATGAGAGTGATGAGAGCTAGAGGGGAATAGCAGCTCAATTTAATGACCTCGTGCGGTTTGGTAACTATGTCATACGTATCTATATTTAATAATGCGTCAACGGTGGTTCCCCAAGGGAGGTCAGAGTTGCGGTGGATAGACTGCCCCTCACAACGATAAAAACAACAACAACAACAACCTAGTCAGAGTAGCTAAATAGTATTGTCACTCCAGGCTTCGTTGTCATGTTTTTTTTTTTTTTTTTTTTTTTTTTTTTTTGCATTGTTTCTTGGAAAAACACTTACCAGTCACTATGGCTCGACCTAAGTAGTACTACGAAGTTGTTATCGCTGGCAGCGGGATTGTTGGCGTAACTCTTGCTTTGAGTTTGAAAAGCTCGGCATCACATACATTCTTCTGGAAGGCCGTGACAGACACTCTCGAGTCCGACAGGGGAGCCGGTATCAGCTTGCAGTCAAATGGACTATGCATCCTCGATTAACTGGCCCTTTTGGAAGACATTGTGAGCGTGCCGCGGTGCCACAGAAAACGTGGTTCTCATATAGAGTCTAGTCAAGCCACTAACAGCCGAGAAGGAGTTGGTTGGTCAAGGACTCATGCAGCTCTAGTTGATTATTGTAATCTGAATAGCATCAAGTTCCAAGCCCAGTTATCTGTCCTTGTTATAGTTGCTGCAATATTTGATCCAGAAGACTGGCGATTCTGATGGGAATGCAAAACCTCCCGAGTTACAGTCGCCCGAACAGAGATCTGACAAGTGGACCGAACCGATAACTGCAGATTTGGCTCTGCTCATTCCAAAGGTCGGGCTGAGATTACCATTAAGTATCCACGTATTAATTTCATTTCATTAAGCTCCTCGCACGATGGCTCTATGAGTTGCCCTGGCACTCCAGCCTAAATATTGGCTAAGCATTCCTATTCTCCCTCGGCACCAGCAATACCTCAAGTTATTGCTCTTCATTCACACCAACAGTCAACCGTGTTACTGGCTTATTTTCCTAGAAATCTTCACCTTTCTCTAGTTATTGATCCACCAGTCTCTCTTCAATCGCCCTCTTAACCCCATCAAAAACACCCGGTGCACCTAACTCAGGTACATAATCGTTCTTGGCAATGTACGAGCAGACCATAGAACACTTTGCCACGTCTAGCTCAATATTACCAATCTCGAACGCTCAAAAACGACGCCGTTAGACGTTCGAGCGGTCTAAAGGTTATTATATAGCCCCACCTACGTTGAACAAAAAACCATGTTCTCGCTTTCCTTGTTTGATCGGGAGAGAAGGTTAGGGAATGGGGGAATTTCGCTAATTCGACCTGCAAGGGGCGCACCAAAATGCGACAGACATTCTTTCCTTAAGGACCCTACAAGCTTCTCGAAAAGTCTCGCTTTGGGGTTTTCTGCACTCTCCAGGAGCCCCTTTTGTTATCCACACAGAACTCGTGGATTGTAGAATCAAATATGTTCGTAGCTAGGAGCCGTACTGTTTGTGAACAGCTGGCCTTTGATGCGCTGCGACGGTCCACATATTCTCCTTCGACATATGTAAGTGATGAATTTCACACACATGGAGAGGCAGTGCATACCTTGGTCAAACGGGATGAGTAACGTATTCCGCAGTGCCGTCGTTTTTTTCTCCTTTTTCAAATTCGTCCACGAAAACAATATATTTGCTCTCAGACATTCTAGCCAGGAAATTATTCACGGGTGAACCTGTATCAAGGCCTGAATAGGGAGGCTTGGGCCAAAAAACTCCTCTTCTCGACTGAACATGGTGCAGTCTACGAACTGATGTTCCAAAGACATAAGTTCTCCAAACTTCCGGGCGAGCTGTCTCACCGTGGCCACTAAGATCTGCGAATAACAAGAATAGAGGCTCGTCTCTTGTCATTGCTAAATGGCAATAACAATTAGTTGAGATTGATATCACGACAGATGGTAATTAACATACTTCAAAAGGCTTCCCTTCAATTTATTCACCGCATTCTCTTAGCCAATTACGAGGAAATCGATTCCAATGAGTGCCTCTGCACTCTTTCTACGTGCTAGAATGCGCTTTTGACCAGACAGCGACTGCAACCGTGCCGCTCGATTTAGTAAATAGCGTTCCGCTAAAGCCAAGGCGACACCGAATAACGACCGAAGACTAGGCTTGCACTAAAGCTTGTTATCTTCATAGATGTTGTTCATATCCGCTTCAGTAGGCCCGGACCTGGGAGTTCTCTGTTGAACGGCTGTAGAGGCAGCTGGGATGACTTTAGGGTCAGCACCTGAAATCAGAAGTTTCCGCAATATATCGGTTGCTTGATGGAGTAACCGGGAGGTGCGGAGGAGAGCGAAAGCTACCAGAAGAAAGCCACTGGCGCCATATTCCCCCCGGTGGTAGATCAGTTCTCTATTATTCGCCGCCACCACATTAAAGATAGCCGTTGATACAGGCTTCTATTTCCTCTCCGTTAGCAGCATGGTGATATGCCAAATATTGGGTAGATCTGGTCCGTCGAATCTCCTGACTGAATGGCGCTAATAACGCTTTGGAGGTTGAAAGCTGAGCTATGTAGGGTTTCGCATCTTAGTGGAACTGGTTGAAAATTTGATGACAACTGGAGGGGTGATAAGATATTGTTACACGTGCAACCTCTGTGCCGGCTGAAATATGCGGTTCGCCTTACGCTTCGGCCGTACGAAGGGACATTGCAGGCTGTTCATGATCTTTCAAGACATGCAGGCAATATTGGGCAATATTGGAAAGTGAGGTTATACAGACTTCGCTTCTTGAAACAGACCCTAGAGACCCAGGCGGTCTGGGCTGGCAGATCATTTGTATATAGAGTCATCTCAAGCCACCAACAGCCGAGAAGGAGTTGGTTGGTCAAGGACTACTGCAGCCCTAGTTGATCATTGTAATCAGAATCCTCAGTTCCAAGCCCAGTTCGACTGCCCTTGTTATAAATACCGACGGATCTGAAATGGGCGCTTATTTGCGGGCAGTTGCATAGGTTGGTACTTTGGGGGAGGTAGTTGGAAGGGTTGAGCTAGGGGCTTAAGCAAGGACTTTAGCAAAGGGTTCAATCCAGGATTTGAAAGGATCAGCAACAACAGAAGGCCAAGCTGTTGGTGGAAGGTCTGATTCTTAGCCATCGTGTGAGAAGTGCCCGGGAGTCGAAGATTGGTGTGATTTAGTATCTAGTGTCTTGTTTATGCCGCCTTTTCCGGAGCTTGTAGGACTGTGAGTATGCAAAGCCTCGAAAATGCCAAGATGGTGTCCCAAGAGGTGGACATTCAATGGGAACGGCCAAGTAGTTGGGAGCGTGAGGAGGCATAGGTCATTAGACGGTTAGAGTGTGTTTTAGGCGGCTTCTGGGTTCCTTGGAGCGTGACGATCGCCGGGATTTTAGAAATTGAAGCGGCACCGATAGTATGTGCTGGGCTATTAGTCTAACAATCTGTTGATGAACAGCCTCCTGGAAGACTTACTTGTACGCCTCAGCCGTTAACACCACCACCACCACCACAGAGCACACACCATGAAGCTCTAGGGGGGGAACCGCCCACCCACCCATTCGACGATCCCATGTCGCTGATACCGCCCCCAGGCATACTACCGACGGCTACATCAGCGGTGGGAGCCGCCGAATTAAACCATCGTTTATACAAGGTCAGGTTCGCTCGCCACCGAAACAATCTTCCAAGCCCAACGGACTACGGTGTCCTGTACGGCCGTTGCTCCCCGTCTCCATTGTAATATAATATCCCTTTGTTGAGCGCCATCACCAAGTTCAGCAGCGTCGATACCAAAACTCAGAGTGTGGAACGTCGCTAGTCCCCACGCAAACCCCATTCCGGTGAGCACCAAGGTGCCATACAACCAGACGCGGAGTAAGAGGAGTAGGTCATCCGTTCCCATCATCATTTTAAGTAGAGCGAACACTGAAGAACCTGCCAGTGTTAGGGTAGACATGATGGAGCTGTACCAGAAGATAGCACAGATGAAGTGCGTGGGATTCCCACACCCACGCAGGAACTGAGTCAAAGAAGTTTTAAGACGTAGCATTGTGCTATCAGAGATCATAAGGGAAAAAGAGGAAAAAAAGGGAAAAGAGAGGTGAAACGGGCGGAAGGGCACTTTTTTCATCTGCTCACATCACTGCAAGCCGCTCTTTCCCTATAATATTCTAACATGAAGCTACTGCGTGTGATGGTAGCTGTTGGCGGAAGGGGCCACCAGAAAATTGAGCGATTGCATGACAACCCGACGTAACTTCCTTCCCGTTCATTTGCTTGTATAGGAACTGCTTGAACCGCTAGGTACATACACATGCAGGCAGTGCACGGGAGACGGCTTGAGATGTACTCATGGAGTAAATACCTACTTCTGCTGCAACGAGTACCTAGAGGAGCAACTATGGCTTGATGCAGGTTCTTTCTCTGGTCGCTTCTCTTGATAATTCCCCCCATCCTGCCGTAAGCTCGCCTTCCCTTGGTCGCTCTGCAGAGCCATGTATCTATCAGCAGAGTAATTTCCGGCTGAAAGAGGTAGAGACATAATCAGCAGAAGAACTTTGAGTGCCAATGGTATATACTCCGCGGAGTTTGTTTGTTGGCCTCTGAGCACCCTCGAGCAGAGCCATCCGACGTAGTAGATCAACTCCGAGATTAGACCAAGTAGCCAACTAAAAACCCACCGCCGGGTAGCTTCAGGAGACGTAAACCAACTATATAACCATTGCAATGGATCCGCATCGAAAAAGCTGATTGGGTAGAGAATCAAGAACAGCGCCGGACCAAGATAGCCGCCAATCATATAAATGTTCAAGGGCCAGATAGTGAACGCTCCGAAAAAGATACGCCGTAGTATCGTGATATAGGCATGCATTGTTGAGATTCGAGAGCGGTAATGACCAGAGTTGTTGGGTTCAGGGTTGGTCGTGAAATGGTTTTGTTGCCTGTTACTATTAGCTAACCCTGTCCTTTTCTTACTTCAGTAACTGACATACCTACTTCCTGAGTTAGGTTCTCGTAAATAACAAGGAGCACTGCGATTCCATTTTAAGGTGAGGGCACGAAATGATATTGCATTGGGAAGAAGAGGCACCTCAATGCGGTGTCATAAAGACGTCCAAGGTTGTGTGCTGTGTTAAAGTTTATGCAGCTTTAAAGTCATGATTTAGGCGAGTAGGGCCCTAGGCTCGTAAGTTTTGGAGGCGCGTGAAGGGTCACATGCTGCGGCACAGGCACCAATGAAATCTAAGTTACCAGGAAATGAAGATAATATTGAATAACCTTGCAAAGTAATGATAGCACTGCCGTATTACACTACTAACAATATCTTTAAGAGCTGTCCTATTTGTAGTCGATCAATATGTAGTTTGAAGTTCGCATTAATCGTGAGATTAGTCGTTGGATACGTGATATCACCACCATCTATTCACTGATTTCCGAGACCTATTACGGTAAACTGCCATCATACTCAATCTCGCCGCATCCGGTCTGATAGACAAGGCTCTGCCCCGGATAGGCGTTAGGAGACGAAGTAAAAGAGAGGATGAAAGCATCACAGATGGGCTCGCCCTCCACCGTGGCGCTGTAGTATAATCCACAGGCGCCGAAGCCCGAGTCAGAAGCTCCGCATCCCTCGTTGTCGATGCATGCTTGGCAACAAGCCGTGTAGTCACTTGCCCATGGCTCCTCGCGCGTGTAGATTACAGATACCCGATCTGCGTACCGACCCGAGCGGATCCCTTCGCCGTTTATGGTACCGATTAGATTCGTCGGTGCACAACGCGCGTCGAGTGTCTTTGTCACAGTCTTCTCCGGGCACGCGACTGTGTGAGTTGTGGTCTCGGCGTGCGGCACATAAGAGGTGATGGTGGATGATACTGTAGTTAAGTATGACGTTACTGTGTAGTAGATTATTGTGCTGGTACTTGTCGTTGTGTATGACGTTGCGTACACCGTTGGTGTCGAAGTTGTTGTGACAGTAGAACCCCGGGTCACAGTTGGGAGGATGAAATTATAATAGATGGTTCCCGTGGAGCAGAGAGCCGAAACCGGATAAGTAGCTGGGACAGTGGTCTCCTGTCCTGATACAGCTGTATACGTACCCGTGTCTAGAAAACGACCGTGTCAACAACTTCCATCGCGCGGAGATACCGTCCGATTAAAAAGAACCCTAATGTGCCTCATGGTGACGCCGGAGTGCCTCCTTCGCATATCAACGAGAGGAGTGAACCTGACTTACACTTGGTCACCGTGGTGGGGTTTGCTCCGTTGGCGCAAACAGTATCAGCGAAGGTGCCTGTGGCCACTGTCTTCCAGACTTGAGCATAGCTTGTAGATGTTGGGACCGTCACAGTTGGCACAGCAAAAGTATACGCGGTTAAGGTGTGCAGTGTTGAAGTAACTCTGGGAGCCTCAACCGTCGAAGTTGGGGGGACAGTTAAAGTAGCGTTGGTTGTAATCTCAGTGGTATAGAATGTAACTTCACTAGTTGGAACAGGCGCTATAAGGATATGGCAGTTAGAAAATCAGCATGCTCTATCCATGAAGTTTCGCGGTCCCTTGGGAGAGCGTACTAGGTGGCACACCGCCGGATTCAAGTTGATAACTGCATGTGCTTGTGCTTGTCCACGATACGAACGTCACTGTGGTTGCTGAAGCGAGGCTGCTGCAAGTCACAGCACCGAAAAGAAGACATAGAAGCATTTTTATATAGTCGATATGAGCGATTAGTGTAAGTTGTCTGCTTCTGAAGCTTGCAAAATATCCTCCTGCCTCAACACAACGAGGGAATCAATGGTTATATCATTTCGCCGCCTTCAGTTGGGCAAGCTATCTATGCTGGCGCCAGCACAAGTCACTTGATAGATGGATAAATGCTGAGCCCTACGAAAGGAGCATAACACACTACGTCGCTATGCTCCATATGTGAACTTGCATCTCGGTACCACTACCTCATATTTCTAAGCATTAGCTGAGCAGATCTCGAAGTGAGGGTTCATGATTTAAGTAGACGAGCTGCCACGGAACGTTCGATCATGGTTCTCAAGGATAATGAAAAATCAGTGGAAATACAACGCAAATATACTCACAGTAGGAACGGTGTCCGTGCTACGCATCGCTACGCAGTTTATGGCGCAAGCCAGAAGAAGCACCTGCCTATATAGTCCTGTAGCTCAACGGAAGACCTGCAGAATAAATCCAGCTAATAGAATCTTTATATGATCTGCGGGCTAGGACTTGACAGTTGCTAGAATAGGAAAATGTCAAAGCTTGTTGAATGGAGGTCTCGCGACTTGATTCGATCGGCTCAGTAGCCGATTGTGACGCTATACACTACGACGCTAGGCTATTATGATAATAGGTGGTATGTAGGAGGACAGCATAGCAGGGTTCTTGCTTCGCGGACGTCAACAAATGAGTGCTTAGCTGGGCTTACAGCGGGGGCAGTTGGCAGTTGTGAGCTACACCCTCGTTATCGACAAAGCATAAACTTGTTCATCAAGTCATCGAGTTTCATTCGAGTTTCCCCATTTCCACAGAACATCCTGTACAATATACTCGAATCATGTGCTCGGGGCCTAGCGATTAGCAGGATCGCTGGACTAGACATTAACTATACTACTATTTACATGTTGGATGATTGTCAGGCAAGATCAAGGAGTCCGGACCTCTTAAATGCGCGGTCCAGCTCTTGAAACAAATCACCGCGTATCTCACCAAAGATCTCATATAACGATAAGTATGGAGTTTTTACGAGGATCCCCAGTGCGACTAGAAGAAATAGGGGCGCATAGTGAATAAATAGGAATAAAATAGATTTTCGAGGGTGAGTAGATTAAACTAACTAGGTTATCAATTCATCAGCTCCAGCGAATATAGCTAAAAAAAAAAAAAAAAAAGAAAAAAAAAAAAAAACTCCCGACTACCTCTAAAAGCCACCCCCTTCGTAGGACGTGGAAAAGGTAGGTGACGGATGAGAAACCCAAGGCGCGGTAGGCCTGTTTGGGAGCTAGAACCAATTATTTCTAGTTGTAATGTAGGCCATGGGAACGGAAGCCTGAAATCCTGTATCCTCCAGCGTCAGCCTGGGTATTGCATTTACATTTGCTAGCTTTGTTTTATATACACCTCAGCGGGCATCTCAAGCAGTTCAGCTGGAAGCTCTTGCGGTAACGCTGTAGCACCAAGCACCTCATGGGGTAACCCATCCTTCCTATCAGGCAATTCTTGAGCTTCACTTGAGTTGTCCATCTCGTTTATCACTACTGAAGATCCACTTGACAGTTCAGCCTTTTCGAATCCTCCAACTCCTTCCTCTATAGCCTGAGTCCGTTTGCTATTTATTCCATTGGCCCTTTCCCATTTCCAGGATCGGTACATCACAATGGACAATGGAACAAATACAAAGACAATTACTACGGGAATGATAATAGTAGGCAGCACAATCCCATCATCATCGCTCGCCCAACGCTTGACTCTTGAAGTGACCAACATGCCTTCATTTGGCCGAGATAGCCAAGACCCGTTCCACGTCATATGCATTTTCTCTCGGTTGGCGAGGCTCAAAGCTTGCATCCTAGGCATCTCAATCAGAATCATATTGTATTTATGATGGACGAAACTTACGATGAGGTTATATCAGGCAGTTTTTTACTGACACTTCTCTAAAATGTCACTTCGTCTTTTCTTCGATCGAGCACGCCGCACGTTGGGATATAAACGAGCTTTTCATTGAATCAAACGCCAGCATAAAAAAATGGGCGAGGGTGGATGGAAAATCTAAGAATAATACCGTTTTAGGCCTCTAATTTCGAAGTTCAAACCTCCGGCAACATGCTTGAACACTTCCAATTCGTAGTCTGAATTTTGGTGACCAAGTTGCTAAACGAAATCCGTGGGTAGTAAACCAGGCTTTTCAAGCTTTCGAGAACTCGGTGCCTAAGAGTAGTATAAGAAGCTGATGATATTCCGTTTACTTTGTAGGTGATACGACATAGCTAAATATAGGATCTTCGACCATATTATCACGGCCCGAATCGTATAGCAATGATACCTGCGTCAACCGCTGATGAGAATAGCTGTGTATGCATGCAACTCTGGGGTGGCTGGTGCACAGCTAGTGACATGCAGATCCTCAAGTCTCACAGCACAAAGTTCCGAAGGCGGAAACTGTTATCTAATCATGCCCGAGTGCATGAGCCAGCGACATGAGCCTGTGATGTTATAGAGATATGTCTAGCTCTAGAGCCCTTTGAGGCCGACAACTGTTGTTCAGACCACTCTAACAGCGTCAAATGAACCCAGCCATCGTCGCATGAAGAGAATTGATAGTAAGTATCTAGGTATACATGACCACAGTACAGCATTATGATCTTGTGTAACGACAAATCTGTGCCGCATTACCGCTGATAAATGGTTTGCCTAACTTCTATTGGTAGATCATGCCCGGTAAATAGGAGTGACTGTGCAAATTGTAGGAAATCTGCATTGTCGATCATGCAAAGAGCTCTTGACTTTGCATCAAACTGAATTTACTGTGTAGACTGCAAACAAGGGCAGTTCCAATCAGCCAATCACACTTTTCAAACCCGATCTGGGAATTGCCTCGGCACCTCCGCTCAGATCCGCCCACCTACGGGACGGCCCCCATCCGCGCATCCTAAACCATCCAGCAACTCAGCATTGGGTTACTTGGAGCTGATCATAGTAATCAATGGACCAAGAGTTTCCTTGGACTGAGCCTCCATGGCTGAGCTCATTAGCATCGCCCTACTACGACGAGTCACACCGCAGACTTCAAGCTTACGCGCGCAAGTATTATGACGAAAATGTCATACCCCACATGCTGGAATGGGAGGAAAAAGGAGACTGTCCTGAACCCGCAAAGCAGTCATACCTGCAGTCTGGTCTAGGACACCTTGAGGTCCCAAGGGAATACCGACCGAGAGAATTCGCCGCTGTAGCCGGAATCCCAATCGGCGAGCTAGATATTTTCCACCGCATGATCCTTATTGACGAGTCATCGCGTGTCGAAGGCGGTGTAACCACGGCGCTGTCCGGGGGCGCAAATGTAATTGGCGTCCCGCCCATCGTGAACTACGGTACAGAGGTGCAGAAAAAGCGCTGGCTACCCGGAATCTTCACAGGAGAGACAAACTTCTGCCTGGGCATTACAGAGCCCAGCGGCGGCAGCGACGTGAGCAATCTGAAGAATACGGCGAAGAAGAATCCCGACGGCACGCACTACATCGTTAGCGGGACCAAGAAATGGATCACGGGGAGTCAGTGGGCGACGCACATGACGACCGCAGTGCGCACAGGCGGGCCCGGCGCGCGCGGTATCTCGCTGATCGTAATTCCGCTGTCGCTACCTGGGGTATCCGTGGAGAAAATCCGCAACAGCGGGCAGAGCGCAGGCGGCGCGAGCTGGGTGCGTATGGACAATGTCAGAGTGCCCGCTGACCACTTGCTTGGTGTCGAGAACGCGGGGTTCATGTACGTGATGAAGAACTTCAACAACGAGCGCTTCGTCATGGCCATCGGGTGCAATCGCAAAGCGCGCACGTGTCTGTCCACGGCCCTGGCTTACGCGCACGAGCGCGAGACGTTCGGGATCCCACTTATCGGGCACCAAGTCATTCGGCATAAACTCGTACATCTGGCCCGGGAGATAGAAGCTCACTGGGCTCGTCTTGAGCAGATCGCGTATCACATCAAGCAGCACGGATGGGAGAGCAAAGGCATTGCTGGCCCTATCGCCATGGCTAAGATCTCAGGCGGACGCATCCTTGAGCTCGCCGCCCGGGAAGCACAGCAGGTGATGGGAGGCATCGCGTATCAGCGGGATGGTCCCGGCGGTGGCGGACGCGTCGAGCAGATTACGAGGGATCTCAGGATGATGGTTGTTGGGGGCGGTTCTGAAGAGATTTTAGGGGATCTGGCGTTTAAGGAAGAGATTAAAACTGCGAAGAAGAAGGCTGATGAGAAGTCTAAGCTGTAATATGTTGCGCGTTTCTCGAGATACTGATAGTCTGTGTAAGATATAAAGACGAAGATAATATCATCATATGTGCACATACGTTCATTACGAGTGATTAAATATCGCTCAACCCAGCTTGTCAACGTCTATCGCAAGATATTAATGTAATTAAGATCCTTGCATTCTGTGACCTTTTTGGAGGGAATGAGGTGGCATTGAGTCTTCAAATCTTAGCCTGCACTTGTCTGACTGGAATGTCGGCTGACCCTAGATGAGAAGCAAGCAGCTTTCCCACTTTATCTGCAACACCCCAACTAAGCTCGTAACCACGCCCTCCCAAGCCATAGGCATGGATAATACACTTTTCACCCTGTGCAATCTCTTTCTCGAGTCGCATGCCGCCCTTCCGAGCCGGGCGTCTACCGATGATATCCTTTATGACAGTAAACTTACCGTCGGGACCTAGAATATCGGGGTATATGGCGGCAAAGTTACTTAGTATCTTCTCTCTAAGCTCAAGAGACGGGTTGGGGTTCCAATCATTTGGTATCTTAGTACCTCCAATGATTGTTCCACCCTCGAAACCTCGCGGGACATTGAATGTCGGCATGCCCACGGCGTTCAACTTGACGATTGTAACTGGGCAGGGGTTGGCTACAAGGCACGTTTGACCTGTTATGTATGAGCGATATATATCAAATCACCTTGACATAGTTGCTTGCCTGTGATGATGAAGACATCCGGATCCCCGAATCCAATGCCCGATGCGTTGACAAGCACGTCAAATGGCGCCACTTCCTTCATTTCGAATACTTCAAGGGGCTCCCTGATCTCTCTCTTGACTATATGAACTTAGCAACTGTCATCTGTATGTTGCCTGTTCAAATGAGTGCTGTAAAACAATGGGGCAATCGTCGATATTGTCACTATTCAGTTTGCCCCTAAATTCGGGAGACAACGGTAATATAAGACAAATAAGAAGCTGAGCCACTTACGAATTTTGCCACCCCTATAAGCAAACCGTCGTAGTAGAAACCCGCAGTAAACCATTGGATTTAGACTCCAGGTATCATACTCGTACCCCATTTGCACGCCATCAGGCAGCTCATCCTTTGTGAAAAACTTGAAGCCCTTCATACCGTACTTATCCCGCGCTTTCTCCTCCGTGAGCGAAGTTTGGGCTAGCTCAGGTGCCTCGAAGTAATCATACGCTTTCATAAACGTGATGCCAGCTTCAGGGTGTTGTGTATGCAAGGAGTGCATCTCCTCCCACGTTACCAACGACATGGCGTGTTCACGGGCTTCTTGGGAGTCTGGCGCGGCACCTGGAGGTGGTAAGATGAAGCGATTGTGTGCGCCACCCCATGGGGAGGTGAAGTTGATTTGGGTTGCAGAATCAATGGTTTCAAACCCGCTGGGAAAATCTTTGGCTATGATGGTAACGCTATGACCGGCCTCTTGAATGCGCAAGGCGCAGCTGAGACCAGTTACACCAGCACTTTGGCCATACGTTAGCAGAGTCTAGAGAGACTGAGAATTGACATACCCGATCACGACAATCTTGGCCATCTTAGTTTATATATCAGCTAACTTCATAATAATACCCTTTCGTTGCACGCGTGCTATCAGCTAAATATAGAAGGCCATGTTGATCGAAGGTCTCATTTGTACCTGAATAGATAAGCAGAAGCAACATCCGATTCAGGAAACACCCCACATAATGATCACGCTACCCAAATCACCCTGACCTGTCACAAAGGTCACGGAAATGGGTGGCTGCAGGCAGATACACTCAATGAAAATACGATAACTATGACATACTCGTAGCTGCGAAAGAAAACAGTAGGATGCCAGTCGCTATTTTAAGCAGCTTCGCTATTTGATTTCGAGCCAAGGGAATCAAGCTTCTTATATTTTACTCTTCAATTCAGGTTATGACTTTCATACACTGACCCAGTATATCGCTTCAGGACTGTCACCAGACAAGTCATATAATTCCTTTTCGGGTTTGACCCGACGCAGTTGAATCCGACGGTCGGAGGAGCTGAGGCGGGGTTGTCGGCATTTACCGATATATGCAATCGGAGCGGAGCTCCGACTCGATAACCTGAACAGGCGAATGCTCTTCATTGTGCTTTTAGCAGGAGCAAGCAAGCCTATCTGAGCACAACACGGGTAATTATTCATACATCCGTCGGCGATAGCCTGCATACACCGATAGTTCGATGATCCCTAGATGCCCCTTCTCGTGGTTTCGGCGCCACGATGTACAGTTAAGAATATTATACTCCGAGGTTAGACTTTAGTAGTCGCTCTTAAGGCTAACAGTATGGATGTTGATAGGAGGGAAAGCGTTATATCCCTGCACCTTAAATGGCATTAAACTAAATTAATTCAAAGCTACTTCGTCTATTGTTTGGAAGTTTTCCTTTTATACGCCTGGTTAACCCTACTTTTTACAATATAGTCTGTAAATTTGCTCCGGTCAAACATCCATCACGGGGGATTATGGATAGGGTTTCCTAGTGTAATGGTTATCACAGCGGATTCTGATTCCGCTAATCTGGGTTCGATTCCCAGGGAGACCTTTATTTGTTTAGCTTTTTACTTTTAGTTTTTCTGCACAGCATCCAGCGCTTCATACTTATTTTGTTTCATGTGCCTCCATTTCCCCTCTCTTACAACCCTAGTAAAAGAGCATAAGAATATTATTTATAGATATATTAATAAATGCTAATAAAGCTTATGAAATCAGTAGTTTGGGCCTTTATGATGTGGGGTAGATTACATCACTAAATCGAATGGTAGTTTAGGAATAGTATTAATCCTACTCTAGGAAGAGAACACAATTGTAGAAATGCTGCTGTTATAAATCTCAACGAGTTGCATAAATGCATAGCAAGACAATTTGTTCATGCGCGGTGTCTAAAAGTCAAAAGTGACAGCGTTGAAAGTCCTTCGTATTTTCCATTTTCTCTGTTCTTAATAAATGCGGTTTAGTTTGCGCGTCAAAGCACAATAAAAATGGTAATACAATTAGGCTTCAGATATGTTTCCCGGCGAGCATTATATAGAGAGTCTCACCTGTGTGCATAGCTCAGAAAGTAAAAAGAATAAGATAATCAGTATCTATACATTGGGTCAAATGTCGTTTCATAATTTTAACCACAAGCGAATGAGACTCTGTGGTATTCGTCGCTGGAGTTATACTACATACTATTTGCTTATTTGCGTAGCCAAGACAGTACCATAATAGTCTGGTACATTCCTCACAGAATACGCGGTTAGATATATCGTGTTGTGCGTAAACCTCAAGACCAAACCTTCACTCTCGTTAGTGGGATAGAAATACCCATCCCTTCAACAGTCTAACTCCCTTCGACCTCATCAGATGCCTTTTCATGATGAGCTTTATCCCAAAACTAAAGCCGAAAGCCCTACTCAGCCTGAGCAAGAAAAAAAACAAGTAGTACAGGAGCAAAAGAATTACGTACAACACCAAGGATTCGCCGGTCGTCACCGACCCGACTACTGATTTGGCGCTCTCTGGTTTATCTAGGGGAGAGCGAACGGGATCCCGAGCTCTCCAGAGGCTATGGTCGTACGTGACGATCACTGGTGCCATTGGGATTAATATCAACGGCGTTGTAGACAGCTGGATATCCAATAATGTGTGTTGAGTAATTAATTACATGTACCCCCGATCTACATAATTCGGTATCTCTGACTTCGATTGCAACAATAACTTTTACCCCTCACCGAATAAGTGTCTGTATTCCTATCGTGGTGCTCTACTATATGTCTCAGTCAAGTGAAATCGAGTAAAATGAGGGTGCGGTCTGTATACTTCGTCTACTGCATTTATGATGATAAAAGGCATGGACGGGTAGGAGAAAAGAAAAATTTAGCGAGACTTGGCGAAATACACTGAAGCTTTCAGCGCTGAACATTATATAAAAATACCCAAGAACCAGATGATATTACTTTGATAATTGACTAGGTACCTATCTTAATATCGTCTTTGCAGGGGATATTTGACGTACTTGAAAACAAGAATCCCTGAGAAATAGTCGGCTTAACATCTACTTAACTTAAGGGGACGGTACGAGTTACCTTCAAAAATGCACATTAAGTTGCATTATTTTTAGTATATACGATACAATATTCCAATATCATCCTCCGCTATCTCAACCTGGCTCCCACCCCCAGGCCCCTAAAAGGAAGCAGTCCCAGTAGCCCCAGGCAACCAAGTGCTCACACTGCTCGAGCCCGTAGGTGTCTCATTAATCGCATCGTTGTTCCGCGAGCATCCGCTCTTGGCGACGAGGGCCGCGGGACACGCGACCTGCTTGAAGGTGACGCCCGGGTTGTCGGCGCCGCCGAACCAGTCGAAGCGCCAGTAGCAGCCCGCCTTGAGGGCAGCAGGGAAGCCGTCGCATTCGGACCGCGACGACACGCCGCCGTAGCGTTGGCCCCAGCCGTTCGACGGGGCGCCGTATTGGTTCGTGCAGGCGTTGAACTGGCCGACACCGCCACCGGGGATCTGTGCACGGTATGGTGTATTAGACCTTGTCATGTCGAAGCTATTTGTTCTCGAAAGAAATGGGATGGATGATCGCAAAGAGGCAGTAAGAGGAGAAGTGGAAATGAAATGATACGAAACCCGAGAGACTGATGGGGTGGATAGAACCAAGAACAGATAGGAGGAAGCAAATGAAATCCTAGTCTCACTCACCGCAAGATCGAAATGATTCTGTCCCAGGTCTCCGCCAGTATTGCTCGCCTGCACAATCATCTTCTTGCCCGCCACAGGGCCGCTCGTGAACGTGAGTTCGTAGCAGGCGCAGCACCAGGTCGTCTCCGTCTGCCCGGAGATGCGCACGGCGGCCCAGCCGTAGCTCAGCGACTCGCTGACGGCCCAGGGGCTCTGGTTCGAGCACATGTACGCCGAGCCGCCGTTGTCGCAGCCCGAGCGCGTGGCGCCGTTGTCGTTGAGCGGGGCGTCCGACTTCGAGCACGTCCCGATGAGCTTGCCGCTGTTCGTCTTCATCGACCAGGCGCACGACGGCTTGCAGCAGTCCCAGTAGCGCGTGGTCTGCCCTGAGCCCGAGGCCCCCTGGGAAGAGGCCACGCCGGCAAGGGAGAGGGCCGCTAACGGGAGGTGTTTGAGATGCATCCTTTCTGCCTTTCTGCTTTCGAAGGCTGCTGCTTGTTTCCTCTACTTGAGTGTTGTGGTCTAGGGGATGTTGTGATATTGTACCACGAAGTAACCCGGTCACGTCGATCGCCAGACAGCCGAAAGAGCAACACTATCTACCTAGTACATGATTGAGAGAGAGGTCGGAGCTTTAAAGAATGCCTGAATCGCATGATGGGATGTCATACCAGTCGGGATTCTAACCGAAATAGCTATATTGCCGCCTTTGCTTGAAAAATCGCCCATGCTACGCGGTCCAGTAGGAAATATTCCATCGCTAATTGCACACTATGTACCGGAAGACGGAGGTTAGCATGTAGACATGGCCTGTGAGCTATCCATAGGTTGGTTCACAGTGCTGGATCAGGAGTACCTTCTCGAGATCTCTTGGAGTAACTATCGTACTACCCACCTACGTAATATCATCCCGTTTTATCCCAGCGGCTGGCGGTGAGGGGATATCGGGCCGAGTTTTAGCATGATTGCTTGATATAATTTGAAAGTGAAACGGGACAATCTGGGAAAAGAGTCATTGTTCACCGTGTGCCGGTTCTCGATACCACGATAGCAATATAAATACAGATTTGCGATGTCATATCATTGGCGGCAGGGTTAATACAGCCTCATTCCCCGCGTTTGGAAAGCTTGGCTTCGGAGTCTAGCCACACTTGGACTTTTTAATAGCTGACCTAAGCATCAGAAGTTCTCAAGGGGAGGACTCGGAGTATCTATTCAAGTCTTGAAGATGAGAAAATAGAACCAAGTCAGCATAAGATGTGAGAGTAAAGTAAGAAATAGAACATCGCCTATTTATTATTCATTCTTGTAGGGAGGAGACTGTGTTACTAGCTTTTAGAAGCATTAGCCACGAGGGATTCTGATCCCTGAATCTATGAACCAGCACTTTCGGGCTACAGGATGTTTTTCTGAGTAGAAAGATGCTTAGGACCATCCATCATCTCGGCGTCGTCTGTTTTCGAACTCTTCACCAACACGATCCATGACTCTGCCTAGGAAGCCACCGCCTCCTGATTCATCCTCGCGGCGATCTTCACGACCGTCGTCATCGGACCGTCCATACTCCTGTCTCTCCTGGCGACCATAATCATCGGAACGCCCGTATTCATCTGAGCGTCCGTATTCCTGTCTCTCAGATCGTCCGTAGTCGTCAGATCGTCCATATTCTTGTCGTTCTTGGCGGCCATAGTCATCACCTCGCCCACCGTAACCGCCATCATCTTCTCGTCGCTGACGCCATCCACTAGACTCCTCATAGCTGTCTTCATTGCTCTCGTATCGGCGCTCAGTACGCTCCTCGTATCCACCACCATAGGTAGGACGGGTCTCAGTTCGCTCTTGGTAACCGTAGCCTCTACCGCTATCATCTTGTTCATAGCGGCTGTATTCGGAACGCTGCTCTCCGCTAGAGTAATGAGTTTCGCTGACGTTAGCCTGTCCATAGCGGTCTTCAGAACGGCCATATTCGGTCCGGCTCTCGGTGTAAGAACCGTCGTTGTACTGCTGTCTGCTCTCGAATGATTCGCTTTCCTCCTTCTTGAAGGCACCACCAAGTATTGAGCTGCCAATTTTACCAAGAAGACCTCCGCCAAATGATTCTTCACCGCCATCTCCTCCACCGCCGCTGGGTAGTTTGATTTGACCACCTGACTGGGAGTCAACCACGTTCGAGATACCACCCGTGATACCTTCGAAAATGGCACCGGCAGCGGCGCCAGCGATGCGATCCTCAACGGTGCCGCCGCCTTGGAAGGTTTTGTTCATGCCGAGGGGTTTTCCACAGCCGTGGCCGGTATCATGGACGCCCTCCTTATGGTTTTGACCATTAAGCACACCTTCGCGGGAGAGCTTCTGTCGATATTCATCTTTGGCATCATCAGGCATCTCGCTCCACCATTCCTCAACGCTGCGGAACATCATGTTTCGACCGTCTTCGGCACCGTCCTCTCCCATATGGCGCTGTGCTGGGTGGTGAAGCACACCGTTAACGATTCGGGTTAAAGTACGATCAATGTCAACACCCTCGTCGTCCCAAGCCTCCATTATCTGAGGTGTGACCCAGGCTACCACCTTGCTGGCAGTCTTGCCTGCAATTTCGTTAAGAATCTTGAAATGGTTAGTAAAAGACTATACTACGATGAGGTTCTAGAAACCTTACGTTTGAAAAGTGATCCTTGGACAGCATTGAGTGTGTGGGATCGGAGCAGTTATGGTCATTGAATACGATATGCTGTTCATTCTGACTGCTAGCGATGATTTCGCTTGACCCAGTCGCAAGCTCATTCTTCACCTGGGAAATGATAGGTAAGACGAAAGGCGCAATAATGGTGAAGACCCACATCGATAGCTGTTCTTCGAGCTGTTCGATGATCTGGGGTAAAATGGGAATCTTCTCGATAGCCGCACTGATGGATTTCATCAGGTCATCATGGAACTCGATGGCGGGCATAATCTGCTGGAAGACTTGACCGGCATATTGAGTGAATTCCTCAGGGTCTCGGGGAGAGATCGAAGTATTCTCCATTTGTGCTGCCTGAGCATTGGATTGGATGTTGTTCATTTTCTGCTTCTTATCGTCAGCACCAAATACACCATCTGGGATCTTGTCGAGTAGATCTGCTAGGACACTGGTGTCATCGTGGGAGTGCTGTTCTAGTTGTCCTTCAAGTTCTTGGATCTCGTTCTGGGTCAACTTGTCCGAAACTATATTGTCCCCAGGTTAGACATGGCCTCATGGGCGTTCATATGGTTAACTACGGTACCTTCGCCAGTGACGGAGTGGAGGAAATCAACACCACCAAATGTTCCCGTGACAATCGGCCAAACTTCGTGTCTGACACCTGGGATTTGTAGTTGGGTACGGCTACCGACGTGAGGAAATATGTCACGCTCGCCCAACTCGATCAAAGCCAGTTCCGTGTAGTTACTATGAGCCAGATAATCTAGTGATATGTTAATGCATGTCTCACATTGACATTTGTGTGTCATTTGTGCGGCTCCTATTCTTACCTTCGAGGCAGTGAAGACCGGTTCCCAGAAGTCGTAGTGCCTCGTAAAAGTCGGCCTTATTGTTGCTATGCTTATAGTTTCGAACTAGCTCGATACTTTTGCCGAAGAGGCGTCGAACGTGAAGGGCCGAAGTCATAATATTCACGCGCTCGTTTGCGATATAATTCTTCATTCCGGTTTCTTCATCAATAGCAAGCTCAACGCTCTCATCGACAGGGCCACGCAGTGCTCGATGGTACTGGCGAGCGTCTTCATTGTCGGCATAATTCTTCGGGTTATCGATATGGTCTTCGGGGCGGTAGCAGCCGAGACGCTCCGCGGTAACTTCGAACTCCTTGGAGCCGAAGCCGAAACTCATGAAACCGAGAACAGAAAGGAGAAGACGAATGGCCTCGGCTGAGACTGACTTGACGGTACCTACGTCAATCGCTTGAGAATAGTCGCGAAGCCAGTTTCCGAAGTAGACACGCGAAACCATCAATTTATTGAACTTCTTGCCGCCGACCGCGCGGGCCATAAGAATGGTGAGAAGGGTGTCCTCGATATCGCCATGGCGCCCTACGACGATGCATACGTTAGCACACCTAAAGGTTGTCGCTTGACAGCGTGAGTAAATAACAAGGATCACAAACAGTTCTGGCCCTCAACCTTGGAAATGCCGGCGATGTTGCCGGCGCCGAAAGCAAGCGCGGGTCGCACAAAGATAAACAAGATAGCCAGCCCCAGCAGCCCAGGGTAGAGCTTCGGAGAGATCATGATTGTATGTCTCAGGGCTCGCGTCGCAGTAATATGGTGATACACCAAGTGATGTTGGCGAGGAAGTGGAAAAGGAAAAACAAATACTAGATAAAAATTGCCAAGCTGGACCAAGGAAAGAGAGATTGTGTGGTGATGTTAGGCAGACGACAAAATATAGCGACCTAAAGGTAGGGAGAGAATTTGAACTGACTGAGGAGGGACTGGGACGAGATGTGACGTTGTGGTGGTGGAGAGGAGGGGGAGGGGAGCTCTGAGACCCTGGCTCTTCCTTAGCTCTCTGCCCTGGCACCGATGATACAGGCTGGAAAGGAGGGCAGAGAGGGGGAGGGGCATCTTGTTTGATGTCGTTTGTTCCACCAGCAAGCAAGCGGCCCCTTGACTAACAGTAGTGCCATTGGATCGGCTACCGCATGCCGTACTAACTGGCGTGGTGTCGGGGCCCTCGGGTGCGCCCGCGATACCGTACCTTGCTACGTACTTCGTACAACAAGTCAACAGGTAGGTAGGTAGGACGACCGCCTGGATTTCGATGGAGGGGTTTGGAGGGGACCTGTCTGAGGTCAAGATTGGCTGATCACGGAGGATGCCAAGAGAAGGCCAAGCCAAAGAGCGTACGAAGTAAGTCTGGATAGCAGTCGTAGGCAGGCTAGCAGATCGCCCATTGAATCAATCACTTTATGAAACTTGACTTGTTCAGACTTGTTCATCACCGGCAGCCTACCGTCGTCTTCCTTTGGCAATCCGCTCTATAGCGATGTTATATGGTGTAGAAACTTATGTCGTAGTGTATTTGCCGGCTAAGAAACTTGTCATCACTTAGTTTATGATCTCAGTACTCATATCTAATCGTAATGTAGTATCAATGATGGAAATGCCCGAAACGTGGAACCTCGTTTCACCGTTCGCATGGCTACATATACTTAATCTCGGAACATGGAGCAGGTGTCCTCTTCCATAGGCGACTTCCATAGGGGACGGTGAAAATGGCATCAACAGACTGTGTGATTCGTTCACGGTGTTATTCGAGGGTGAAGGCAATTAATTGGCCTTTATAAGCAGTAGGCAATAATATCTGTACATGGGCATTTGCAGAACAGAGCAGTGAAGGCAGGTCTAGTTATGCAGGTGATATATAAATTGGGTAGTAGGTATGTGACAAGGTCGTCACAGACTTGTCACGATTGGCGCTAAGATCAAGATCTCGATATCCCGGAAGTCTGGTTTGGCTCAAAGGGAAATGGTGAAACTTGGGGCGGGCAATGCAATGCAGGTGATGGTGATGTGGTGATGGGACGGGATCGCATGGCAATGGGGGAGAGGGGGAGGGGGAGGGCTTGGCGGATCAACTCGGCTCCGCAAGCCGACAGAGGCGGGGCGTGTGGCATAACGCGCTTCCGTGTCTACACACCTACCCAAAGACAACTTCATAACAAAGATAGATCAAGATGCTCGCTGCAAGATTGATCTTGCTCTGGTATTATGCTTACCAAGATTTTCGAGAGTCTGCTTGTTGTTATATCCAAATATTTCCTCTGCATCTACAAGCATTGAAGCTTAACATGCTTATGACTAACTTGGAATTATACATACCTACCTAAGTAGGTAGCTACCGTCTTTCGACACCTGTACAAATATGTGTGGCAAAAGCTCCCCATTGCACTGATAGATGTAAATGTTAGCATTCCTGGAAACCTTCAATTATCCAGAGCTTAGATGATATGCTGAATTCGAGCAACGCTTGAGAAAGTGATCGCTGTAGTTAGCTTGTGGGTATCTTGGAGCGTCTTGAATATGTCGACGGGAGCTTTCTTGCATTGCTCAACATGTTTGTACAGTCTCAAATGCTCCCGTTTCACCAGACTACACACCTAGATGATCAAACTTATGGGCATACACTTATATGCACAAACCCGAACTCGCACTTGACGATCAGATGTGACATGAAATGACCTCAAGACTGGATGGGCGATAGTCGCACAAATTTGCTCTTGAGGTGAACACGTCCATGTACTCTGACCTACTACGTACGGACGTGTTACTTGTTGTTCCATTCGCACGCAAGTTTACATAGTATCAGCAGTTCGTATTTTGCTAACCCGAAGCGCGCCAGGTAGGTGGTTGAAAATGAGTAGAAGGCCGATCGAGAACTCTTCTCTACGGGATGAATACATTTGTTGACAAGCCTTGTACTCTTCTCATCGACCTCTGGGCGTTTGAATACATGCAAGTATCACCACGCAATGAAATCGGGATTGGACGGGTTCTAATAGCCTTTGCTGCTTGGAATATTAGGTGTAAAACTTGCCCAAAAATTTGAAATTGTGAATAAACCATGAAAAGGGTGCCCGAAGACTCCGTGGTGTGTAGGCACTGCAAATGATGAGGTGAGGGCAATAAGCCGCAAATATTGAGCCGGGTTGCTTTGGCAGAATACCTATCTACATACTTAGACAGGCGCAATACCTCCAGGCTGGTACAGACAGTGTTGTATCGGTAGGTAGGTATGTAGGTAGGTAATGGAGGAGATTCGTGCTGGGTGTTTGCAGGCAGGCCACTCGCGAGAAATAGCGGTTGCTTTAGCGGGAAAGCCTCCCGTCGAGTCAAACAGGTCCAAGAGTGCTGGAATTAAACCTATAATCGAGTTGATTCCAGCATGACACTGTAAGAATGGAATTAACAGCGACGACAGCGATGGCAGGCTGGTAGAAAGAGGGAAAACGGAGCGGATTCAGGCGTTGGGAGATGGGGGAAGAGCACTGAAAATTGGCGTTAGGATCAAGGCTGGGGGGTGCGTTTGACCCTGAAATCAGCCTGGGGCCTGGGCGGGGAGACACCTGGGCAGAGCCTGGGCGCTGGTGACCCGGCAATTGCCGCCACTGTTCTACGAAGTATGGCGCTTGCTGGGACACCACACAGTGACGCTAGGTAGGTAGGCACTTAAGGTAGGTTGCGCAATCAACCTTAGCCGACTGCACTGCAACGAACGGCCGCCCGAATGCTGCACTTTGACTGCACCCCCCGAAAGGGCCTAAGCCAATCAACTCTACAGAGGGCATCAGCCTGTGCAACACTAGGTAGGTACCTCCTCCGATGCTGGCTTACTGAGTACCAGGTAGGTAGAACACAACGCTGTAATCATTCCAAAGCGCGCTGAATAAAACCACCCAAGGCAGGTAGCATGTACGTGTACCTACCGCCTCCACACACGCCCAAGTACCTTGGTAGCTTACAGTTAGGTGTCATTCTCGGGGTATTTATTCTCTTTATTTGTTTCTCGAGACGTTCAGTCCTACTACCTATACGGACCGATTTCAGTAGTACAGAGCTGGATAAGTAAGTATGTAGGTAGGTAAGTATAGCAATGTACATCTCTTGCTGTAAGAGTGGTCAGTTACACATAGAATAGAACAGTGACATTGCATGGAGCATTGGACCACCAGAACGATGAACGGTGGTGCCATCACTAATTGATTGATCTTTTGATTATCATTACCTATTATTTTCCAGGCCTAGAATTTATTTTCTCGCGCATTTTACGGGGCTGCTGGGTGTACGCACTGGATCATGGATCAGTCGGGCCAAGCAACTGGACACTGCCCACGGCCTCAAAATCTCTGCTAGCCTCTCTCGCTCACTCGCTCGCTGTCTGCGACAAAAATCGTGCAACCCCCTCTTTCATCCTCCACTCTTTCAGGTCTACTATATAGGTACCTTAATGGCAACAACTATCTTATACTATAGGTGTCTGTTGCACCTGTATTCATTTCAAGACCGCTCGAAAAGAAAAGGTTATAGCTATAGACCTTTATAATTACAAGGAACTACAAACAATTGCAACATCTGAGCTGTTATACATTGGGGTTGCTTTACAGAGAGGTATCTTTTGGCGCATCTCTTAGTTGAATGTACCTACCTACCTAGGTACCTACCAAGCGGGGAAGGAATACATACCTACCACGGCGCATTATTGATGAGCCTACAAAGTATCCAGTACCTCTGACCAACTGAGCAAATAGAAAGCTGCATAGCGCTTGCGCCTATAAACAGTGACTACTCCAAGCATACCTATCTAGTGCAAACAGAGTAGGTATATGACACGCAAGCACTTGCCTGCTAGGTACATCCTAAGAGGTAGCCATTGTAACCATTGTAGCCCGCAGTGGTCGATTAGGTACTATAACACATTAGGTGCATATATATACCAAGGCAAGTACCTATGTATGTGGTGGGCATTGATGCGAAGTTGGTGTAGGTACCTAATACCTGTCTACCACTAGGTATGTGGAATGCACTAAGCTATGTAGGGAAACTCACACGTCCTCAGTCCTGCACACCTCTTACACTGCCCCAGTGGGCACTCAGCAAGAGGTGTAAGTAATAGCATTAGGGAGTTAGAGGTGTCTTTTGCAGTGTACTTAGGTAGGCAAGTACATTCAAATTAAATGGGTACATCCTACAACGAAGTACCTAAGGTACCATAGGTAAGTAGGTACATTCTCTTCCGATGCCACTATCGGCTGCACCCAGTGCACACCCATTGAGTGCACCCACCCATCCTCCATTACCTGCTGCTGGTATCAGTGATCAAGTGCGAAATCAGCCAGCCCGGGCAGCCACCATATTTAGAGGGCAGCCCCTCCCGCTCCAGCACATTGCCCTGATAGACTTTTCTAGCTTTTCTGTTTCCCGAGTCTCGAGTCTCTCTCTCTTTTCCCTCCCCTCCCCCCATCACTACCGTTGTCCACTGTTCATCTCCAGGACCCCCCGGACCCCCAGTACATGATAATACAGTACCACACTACCACCACACCGCACATACCTTTTTAGCTGCTAGGCGACCGACAGTTAGCGGGTGATTCAGCACGCCTGAACAGGACAGACAGTCAGACACATTTTAATCCCTCGGCTACTTAAGACAAGCAACAGGATCCCGCATCCTTCTGAGACCACGCACTGCTAGCATCTGCTAGGATAGCGCCACAAATCTCACCAGGAATTCCTCTCGGCACACACACACACATATACACACAACACCCACGCACCCACGCACCAACACACCAACGCGCGGGCAGGCGACAGGCGACAGGCCACAGCACACACTGGTGTACCTACCTCTTAGGTACCTCGAACCACCCACACACCTTCCTCTATAGCATAGCATACCTAGCATACAGCATACATACCTACCTAGTAGGTACCTACCACTACGCAGCACGGGCAACAGAACCAGTCCCCTGCAATCAGTCAATCAGCCAGGGCCCAGTCCACTCACACACACACACACACAATTCAGTCAATCAGGGCAATCAGCACACTGCTGCCGCTCTCCCCTCTCCCCCCCCCCCAATCCACCTATAATAGAGGCCCGCCCCCAAGGTCCGCACCTACGCGCCCCCTCTACTGCACTTAATGGCTCGCCCCAAGAAGACAGACGGCCTCAAACAGCCCGCTCCAGTTGCTCCCGCGCCCGCCATGGTTCCAATGCCAGCTATGCCGATGCAGCAGCAGCAGCAGCATCAACAGCTTCAGCACCAGATGACGCCCCAGCACCAGATGCCCCAGGCCATCGCCCAGCAGCCTCCCATGCCGCCCATGCAGGGCACCATGCCGCCTCAACAGCGAACCATCGGCTTTGACGAGTTCATCAGAGTACGCGACAGCGTGAGTCTCTTGCTTCTCTCTATCTCCCTCTATCTCTCTCTCTCTCTAAGTCCCTCTCTAAGTCCTCTTTGACTCGCTCCCGGTCTCCCGGTCTCCCTGTCTCCCCTACCCAAGCCTCTACCCGAGTCTCTTATCTAGTACTCTTCATAGTCTCCAAACCCAAAGTCTTCTGTCTATCCACCGCCCTCTTCCCCTAAGCCTGTAACCTGCCTGCACCCCTTCCAAGCCACTCTTGATCATGTCGCCGTCTCCCTGTCCGACTGTCTAGGCTGGTATCTAGCGTCTAGTGCACATCCAGCATCTGTTTCCTTCACCAGGCCTCCGTCTACTGAGTCCCTAAGCCGCTGTCCACTATTCCACTTACACTCGACCATTTCGTCAACTGTCGCGACATGGGGAGTCTGCTTCAATGGTTGACTGGCCTCCGGCTTATACACAAGCTGTGTGTACAACAAAACGCAAAGGTCGCCAGGACCAGCATCACAACACCATTTGGCAGTCATGGCCAAGTTGCAACGTATGTGCGGCCGTAGTACGTGAATCCTCGACGAGACGGCGAACGGTGTTCTCTGCTATAGTTAGCATCATGACCATGTACAAATGAATTGTTGGCTTTGCAAATGCTTCATCGTCGAATGTCATCAGCGGCTCTGTAACAGCTGGTAACGAATTGACCTTGTGTTGCCGAGACCTGATGAGTTTATTACATCGACATGTTGTCTTTGACTCAATACGCATGCCTTCATTTGACCACATATCACTTCAAGTCTTAATATCTCTTATATGCTGACATACTAATCAGGTACACCAACGCTTTAACACAATCACTGCTCTTATGAAGAATTTCGCGGATGATTTTGTTCGACAGACTAATCTCTTGATTGGGGAGCCTGCGCCGTTTGACAATGGAGCTGGTGCATCCATGCAGTCTCTGATTACATCACTCGATGGTATCGGCGGTCAGCTTGGAGACCTTCTTCCACATGGCGAGGAGAAGAAGGAGCGTAAGAAGCGCACTCACGATCCTAATGCCCCCAAGCGACCATTAACCCCCTATTTTCTATATATGCAAACGGCACGACCAATTATTGCCAATGATCTAGGTGCTGATGCTCCTAAGGGCGCTGTGCAGGAGGAAGGCCAGCGCCGATGGGCTTCCATGTCACCAGGAGAGAAAGTTGTATGTTACCCCGTCATAAAGTGAAAATCTTTCCGTACCAGGATATAGTGGCTAATTTCAACCGCAGGCTTGGAACAACGCGTACCAGTTTAACCTCCGCCTCTACAATGCACGAGTTCATTCGTACAAGGCGGGAAACCCCGACGCGAGGAACATGACGGATGGCGACGCTCTTAACTACGCTGATGCCAACGGCATTCCTCAGGCCGATGTCGTCACTGACGACTCGATGGCCCACGACGACCAAAACGCTATAGCGGAGCAGCTTCAGATGGCCGCTCCCGCCATGGGTCAAGACGACGGCACCAAGACGCCCAAGGGCAAGCAGACGCGAAAGCGAAAGAGCGCAGCTGGCGATCTTGACGATGGTGAGAGCAGTGCTGCTAAGAACGCGACGCCCGCCAGCCCAGACAAGAAGCGCAAGCGCCAATCAAAGGTACCAGAGATCGAGGAACCCAAGAAGTCCGCTCGTAAGAAGAAGAATTAACGAGATACATATCTTATCTAATCCTATCTTCTTCGGCTTTTTGTTTGCTTGGCCTTTTCTAACCACTTATCTCCTTCAGCTTTGAGATACCTCGTCATGGTTCCAGATCGCTTCTGGGCTTTGTTTATAGAGAAGCGGGGTCTTCGACGACGGCGGCATATGTTCATATGTTGGAGAAGCCTCGAGGAAGGCATCGGCGCCCTTCCTTTCTCTACCCTCTTCCAGTTTCATTTGGCTTTACGGCGATTGTATGAGTTATGAAAAACTTTGACTGAACGGTCAGCTCGGCTGATCAGGTAGAAGGGAAACAAGGATCCTTGGAACATCTCCAAGGTGGTGTGTGGGTTGTGTGGCGTTCAGGTCTGGATGGTTACGTATGGGATTGCGCTGTGTACTTAAGTAATTGCGTTGAAAACATAAATTCAGCGCTTGTTTGTATGAAAATCTAGCCTGTTGCTCCCAATTGTTTAAGTGCAGTAAAGGATATAGAGTGAGGTTCCTCGAAACGAAGAAACTCATGTTCTGTATCCCTCTATCACCGCTCACACGGTAAAGCGCTTCTTGCTGATTGATAATGGCAGAGCAGAAGGTAGTCAAATGTTTGTTTCTTAGATGACTAAAGTCATAGGTAGGAATCCAGGATCAGACAGTATGAACTTGACAAGCCCATAATAGCCTATAATTACTTTGTACTACCACAAAAAGGTAAGGGTTGTACTACCTGGGGGCAGTCAACAGTTGCATTCATCCTGACGCTATTTTCATGGTCAAGATGTGTTTTTACACCTACCTAGGGAAATGCGGATTTGTTACTTGCCCGTTACCTACGTATAGCTCATTGTTAGGTAGTAGAAGTGGTCGTCAGAATACCTAACAGGTAGGCCTGTGCCACTAGCTAGAGAGGTAGGTACCTACCTAGGATACAGTACCAGGCAGATTGAAGGGGAGCTGGCCCTACTGCTGCTACCTTGTAGTGAGTGGTATTACAGAACCTACCTAGGTACTATGTAGGTAGGCAGTTAGTATATCTAGGTATGAAACTGTACTCATAAGCGCAAAAGGTCGCCTAGTAAGTATCTACGCAGGTACATAGAGGTAGGTAAGGCCAGGCGTATACCTACTGAACCCATGGTAGGTTTTCCAGCTCCAGGTAGGGGAGAGGGAGGTATCTGGATTTGGGAGGACCAGCAATGGGCTACAGCACAGAGGGCTGCACAGACAGACGAATGCTTGCACTACTACAGTTATGTAGGTTATAAATACTGGTAGGCGCGTATACTTGAGTATGGGCCACGAGATCTCAACTGCGCACTTGTTGAAGTGCATACATCTAGATATATAGGTAGGTAGGTACTTGAACAATACACGCCGACAAACTGACATACATCAGTCTCTCTACTGGAGGTAGGTAGGTAAATAACTTCATGTATGGTTATACCTACATCTACTTGCAGACATGGAATTGCTTGGGCATAAGCTAGGTAGGTAGTTACTTGAGGTATCTATCTAGGTATACACCTACATACCTACATGGGATCGATGTTTAAATAAATAGGGAGAACACCGCTACTATCTGACTTTGAGGACCAGGTCATAGTATATGAACAGTGGCAATGCCAGCCAGCCAATCATCTTACATCCTTTTTGTCTCTTTCCCAGGACAGGTCCAGCATGAGTACCACCCATCGCTCTGTTTTCGCAGTAGTTTTTCCAATATAAGCGAAGATAGGAGTCTACGAATACAAACATATATATATTGGATATGGGCATTGGTAATTGTTAAAGAAACAAAACTCCGTGCTTGTTAACGAAATACTGACTCGACCGCCAGCGCTCCTGATTCCGACTTGCCATTGACACGATGACCCTGGCGCTACAGTTATCCCCCATAGTCCGTCCCCGTGCTATCGCCAGGCAGGTTGACGGGTACCTACCTAGAAGGCGACTGTGTCTACCTACAGCATACCTAGGTAGGTATCGAACCCAAGTCTTGAATTGAGCTACCTAGTAGAATGAGGACCCTTGCCTAGAAAGAATCTACATACAGCGGCCGCTGCTAATGTATCTCTCCCCTTCTCCCCTTTCTATATACCTTGCAGTACTTATATACCTACATACCTACCTAGGTACACACCTGATCGACTGTCGCCTAGCCTAACCAGAGTTGTTCACCAAAAGATTAGTCTAAATGGTTGTAAAGATAAATTCTTACTTGGTCCTTCATCTTCTGCCTCGCAAATACACCATTGCCAAGAGGAAAATCATGCATCTACTTCGGTTACACCCATAGAACATTGCCAAGCAGTACCGAAGCTGATATGTTCCTATCACGAGTGTTCCCGAATCCATCTGCTTCATAGCTTACCCTACTGCAAGCAGCAAGGTAGTATATGTACAAGAAAGGAAGATCCGAAGGCAGAAAGTGAATTATAAGCCTATGGAGGAGTTGTTGGTACTTCACAAGAGCTAGCAGGACCATGGCGCATAACTGGGGTGCCCGAGCCTCGTCTCGCCACCTTCTCTATCTCTCTGCTACATGTCCTAGAGTACCCAAGTGCCTACAGAGAACGCAGTAGCTCAATTTTACAAGTCCTACTAACTTCAGCTTAGATGACCACGAGTTAGCGAAATAACTACGCAGGTAAGTGAATAAGCAAGAGATACACGCACATAAATTCGGATAAGGTAACGCGGTGGCTGGCTGTCTATTTACATAGGGACATGGTCTGCCCAAGCCGGTAGATACCAAGGTATGTAAATCCTGAAGTGTTCCACCATATCTCACTCCCAGCATCTAAACTCACCTCTGTCCTCCTCAGTCACTACCTGAGTGAGTTCACCAACAAATATGCATGCATTCAGATATCCAAAATCTCAAAACCATCCATCCACCCTCCTTTTTGCATCGCCTTCCAATTCACTGACTGACCCCACTCACTCACTCGCTCACCAAGTTAATACACAAACCAATCCTGCGCAAGCGGCAAACCCGTCGCCGGTTCAGCGGTACACAGCTTCCCATCGGCCTCAACGGTATACCGTTCGGGATCGACTTTCATGCGAGGCATGGCGTCGTTGAAGGCCATGTCCTTCTTGCCGACCGAGCGGCAGTTGCGCACGGCCTCGACGCGCTTGCGCAGGCCGTAGGTTGACACGGTGCCGGAGGTTATGCTGGCCTGGGAGACGAAGAGGACGCTTGTGGACGGCACCAGGGGAGCGAACATGGGGCGTGCGATGACGGGCTGGACTGTTGGGATGGAGGCGTTGGGGTCGCCCTGGGGGATGAGTTAGTTGGTTAGTAGATGTTTGGGGACGAGGGGTGATAGAAAGGGTTCGTAGCTTCTATGCAGAAGGGATGGATGGAGAGAGCTGGGCAAATAGACGAGATCATGTAGAGATGGTAGAGGTAATTGGAGAGAGACTAAGATATGATATCCTTGGGTTCGGAAGACACAATGTCCAGGTGGAGGAATTCAGAGCCATTGAGTTCTGATATAGACAGATATGAGGAGAGATGGGCAGGAGGGAATAACGTGTGCGAGTGCGGGTGTAGGTACGAGTATGAGAAAACAAAACAAAAGCCAGCAGGACGGAAAAGGGCGAAAAAGAAAGAATACACATACCATCTGTGCCCAAGCAATCAACCCGCTCTTCACAACCAGACTAGGCTTGGTACCGAACCACGCCGGATCCCAGACCACCAGATCCGCCAACTTGCCGACCTCGACACTCCCGATGAGATGTCCCATGCCCTGCGCCCGCGCCGGGTTCACCGTGTACTTGCTGACGTACCTCTTGACGCGGAAGTTATCCGCGCCGGTGCCCTCGTCCTCGGGCAAGACGCCGCGCTGCACCTTGTTCTTGTGCGCCGTGTTCCACGTGCGGAGGACGACCTCGCCGCAGCGGCCCATGGCCTGCGAGTCCGAGGACATCATGCTGATGGCGCCGAGGTCGTGCAAGACGTCCTCGGCCGCGATCGTCTCGGCGCGGATGCGCGACTCCGCGAAGGCGACGTCCTCGGGGATGTCGCGCGATAGATGGTGGCACACCATGAGCATGTCGAGGTGCTCGTCGAGGGTGTTCCGCGTGTACGGACGCGTGGGGTTCGTGGATGACGGGAGCACATTGGGATGCTCGACGACGGAGATGATGTCGGGCGCGTGGCCGCCGCCTGCGCCCTCGGTGTGATAGGTGTGGATCGTGCGGCCCTTGAAGGCGGCCAGCGTCGACTCGACGTACCCGGACTCGTTGAGCGTGTCCGTGTGGATGAGGCACTGCACGTCGAGCTCGTCGCACACGGTTAGACAAGCGTCGATGGCGGCGGGCGTGGTGCCCCAGTCCTCGTGGAGCTTCAGTCCACACTGGCCTGCGAGGATCTGCTCCCGCAGCGCCGCCGGCTCGCTGTCGTTGCCTTTGCCTGTGATCCCGACATTCACGGGAAACTCGTCGCAGGCCTGGAGCATCTGGCGCGTGTAGTGAGCGCCGGGCGTGCAGGTCGTCGCCGATGTGCCGGCGCTGTTGGCATCGTCAGGAAAAGATTTGGTTGATGGTGACAGTAACGGAAGGGAGTGAAACAACGAAGAAGCTGACATTCATACTCCAAACCCATTCGGAGTGCTAGAATAGGAGGGAGAAGAGAAATAAAGAAAAAATAAAAATGAGAATAAAAATGTAGAAACTCACCTAGGTCCCACGCCGCCACCAAGCAAAGTCGTAATACCAGACGCAATAGACTCAAACGCCTGTTGCGGGCAGATGAAATGGATATGCGAGTCCATGCCTCCCGCGGTGACAATCTTTCCCTCGCCAGCAATGACATCCGTGCAACTTCCCACAATCATGCCTTCGCTGACGCCGTCCATGACGTCCGGGTTTCCAGCTTTCCCGATGCCCACGATGAGACCTTCTTTGACGCCGATGTCAGCCTTGTAGATACCAGTGTGGTCGACGATCAGCGCATTCGTGACCACGAGGTCGAGACAATCCTTGTCCGCGCACCCGCTCATCTGCCCCATGCCCTCGCGCAGCGTCTTGCCGCCGCCGAACTTGCACTCGTCGCCGTACACCGTCATGTCCCGCTCGACCTTGACCCAGAGGTCCGTCGAGCCGAGTCTCACGCGGTCTCCCGTCGTCGGGCCAAACATAGCCCTGTACGCGGCGCGGTCCATTGTGAACGGCGCCACGACCTCATCTCCTCCACTTGATAAGCCCGCTGTGGGCTGGGGCTCGTGGGCGAAACCCGCCTGCTGCAGTTTCGAGATGATCTCGTCGGCGCGGCTTAGATCCAGCGGTCCCGAGGCAAGCCCGTTGCCGCCGCGGATAGCGCGGTTGCCGCCGATCTCGACGAGCGTGACGGTCTTGGTGTCGCCTGGCTCGAACCGCACCGAGGTTCCCGCGGGGATATCGAGACGGCAGCCATACGCCAACTTCCTGTCGAACGCGAGCTGCGGGTTCGTCTCGATGAAGTGGTAATGGCTGCCCACTTGGATGGGTCTGTCCCCTTTGCTCGTGACTTTGACGCGGACGCGGCGTCTGCCCTCGTTGATGGTCACGCGGCTGCTTTTCACGACAACCACGGCGCCGGGGGCGTTCTCGGCATCGTACGCAGCGGCCGGGGACGGCGGGAAGACATCGGGCGATGGCACGGGCAAGAAACTGCCGTACAGCGCCTTGGCGAGGTCCCCGTCCTCGGTGGCGATGGGGTTATGCACCGTCACCAGATACGTGCCGACGGGGAACGTCCCTTCGACCTGGATCTCGTGGAGCGTGCTCACGACCGAGGGCAGCACGTGGCGGCGCCCAAGCATCGTCGAGCCGATGGCCATGAGATCCGCCACCGTGTGCTGGCCATCGCGGATGAGCTCCTGGAGATTATTTGCGATGAGAGCCTGGAACGGGGTTCGCATTAGCCCCCATCCTATCCTATCCTGTCCTCTCACAACCACCCTTTCCACTGCAATGCAGGGAGTATCCATCTATCATGCTTAATAAAAAGCATCTGTACACAGTAGGCCAAGAACGCATCATCCACCCGTGTACCAGAAACCTCTCGCTTCGGTTGAGGTCATAGCAAGAATTGTCTAACGGTTAGGTAATGGGAACTCACCGTCGCCTCTGTATGGTTCAGCCGGACTCCTCTGGCGAGACGTCGCTGGGCGAGGAAGCCCAGTTGGGATATGACGAGCTTGTCAAGCTATATAATAACACCAATATTCCGCGTTAGCTATGTTTCATAGTGACCCATTTTCACTTTTCTCATTCACCACATGCGTGACACACACACACACACCCAGACCGAAGCCACAATGTGTATGTGACATCTGGCGATGGTCCCAGTCCCCGTCCCCACGTGGCCTTGGCAAAACACTACACAAATGCGGGGGATGCGCACTGGATCGAACGAACCTCTTTTGGCACGAGATGCATCTTGAAGAAAACAAGCCTCTCGGTGGTTTCATGTATGGATCTTATCTTATACGCGAGGGTAACACATACGGAATCACGTCACACGCGAAAGAAAAAAAAGCTGATATATGAACTATATAAGCTGCCTAAGGTGTGAAATAGCTAGGTTAGCTAGCTAGCTAGCAACGGAACGAAACCAATTGGTAATTGACCCCCCGAGCTAAATCGTTGACTCAAAGTTTGAACACCAATTGGAGTTGAGGGACACCATGCAAGCTTATCGCGAAAGGTCTCGCTCCCGTGGTGTCAGTAAGGTCTGGTACCCCGCAGCTGGCACATCTGATAAGGGAAGCAAGTAAGAGTGATGTATGATGAGAAATAGCTTCATGTCATGCATCTTTTCAGTGAACCGTCGCCTTAAATGATGTATGCTTTTGAAGTGAGATTTATACATGGTATGGTCTAGATAAAAAAGGCATCAGCTTCGTGAGACTGGCCTATCTTATTGACTTTGTATGGAGTGATAGGTAATGCATTGTTTTAATCTTGCCATGATCAATTAATTGCTCTACGTAGCTCTTGTCAAGCAAGGTTTGATGCAAAGTTCGTCACAGGATATTCCCCACGGCAAAAGCCCCATCCCCCTGCCCATAAGAACAATGGATGCAAACAGATGACCTCCATACCATCCTCGAACAGAGAAATCTGTTGGGCTGCGGCGCTTCAACTCCCAAAACTCCATATCCGGTATCAAACAACCCAACGCCTGCTGCTGCACCCCTGTTGTACATGATCATGCTAAGAATTTTATAATCCATTCGCCAATATGAAGTCACTGCTGTCTCATTCCTCTTCAACTTCCTCGTCCCAAGTTTGTCGTTCCTTCTTCATCAGATCAGCCATAACATCAGGCTTGAAGATGGTACTATTGGAGTCAGTGGCGCGAGGCACTTTGCCGAGGTTCTCATCATCAAACACCGTTCCGATATTGTCGATCCAGCGACGCCGTCGTTCCATCAGTGTCTTGGTCACGTCACCAATGCCTGGTCTTGCCATGCCAGCACCAGCACCACCAGCGGGGTGGCTACCACCGCCGGCACCACCAGGTCGCTTTGATTTCTTACTCTTGCCCATAGTTCGCGTGCGCTTAAGGTAGGCGCCTTGGACTTGAGTATCTAGGTCTTCCAAGATGGTTTGATATTCCTGGTGTGCCATCCTCTCTTTGACAAGTTCGGTGAGTCTCGCCTTGCGGGCGCCATTGACGAGGATCTGATGGCGCAGTCGATCTTGGAGTAGTCGTAACCGTGCCGCTACCTCGTCATCGAAATGACCGTCGTAGTCACCATCAAATCCTTCTTGCGGTAAAAATCCGATATGCCGAAGCTCTTGTTTGATGCGCTCGTCGACTTGCAGATAATCAAGCTTTGGATGCGTCGCCTTCTTCCAGGCTTCGCTGGCCGATTCCGTCATGAAAGCGGCGGGCGGAATGCTTTTGGCTTCATCACCGGCGGCGCCTGGGGCCCCATCCCCGTTGGTTTCCTCTCTTGCATCTACGTCGCCGTTAACGCCGTTTGTCATAGGCTTGTCTTCGCTCGGTTGTGCGCGTGCTTCGGGGCGCATGGCTTGCAGGAGACGGGAGAGCACTGGTCCGACCGACAGCTTATCCGTCTCTGCAACATCATCGTCCATATTGTCGATGGTGCCACGGGGTTGATTAGGCGCCAACTTGTCCCTACCTTGGCCATTGGAGTCAATGGCCATCGCATTATCTTCCTCCGCCCATATCTCTGTATAGTGCTTTTTGCCTCGTTTCGGCATAATGAAGGACGTTGTACGGTCGCCTCGCTCTCGTAGGAATGTGAGATCCTCCTCGGCGAATGGACGAAAGTACGGTTCAACATAAGACGAAAAGGTGGTAAAACTAATCTGATTTGTCGGTTTGGCATTGCTGAAATCCTTATCGGGAGGGTCGCCGGCAATCTGGTCGGAGAGATCTGTCTTAGGAAAGACGGCAACAGAATACAGCTCCTTCAACTCATCAATCGACATGCCTGACTTGGCATCGAGGATCTCATATACGGTGGGGTCGGGGAAGGTGGATGGGTCTTCACCAAAAGTCTGGAATTGGGGGACTTCGCGAGCTGGCGGCGCGAACTCATCTTCCGAGGACTCTTCTCCTTCCTCCTCCTCTTCCTCGCGCGTATCCTTGTCAAGCTTCACTTTTTCGTCAACCTCCATAGCACTCGATGCGGGGTGGGCGACAGGAGATAGCGAAGAACTGGCCGAGTTGTTGTCGCGAGACTGTTTGAGAGGTTTGCTACTAGAATCACGTAGTGGGGATCGTTCTGTAGAGACTATCGTCAATCCCGAGATCGGCAATGTCGCATTGGTAGCAGTAGTATGAAGCAAGTCAATGCGAACGCAAAACAGATAAAACGGGAAAGAGACCGAGGGCAATGGTCAGATTCGAAGTAGTTTGGTAGTTAACGGGTAGAGAATGGGAAATTAATAGCCAAATAAGGTCATTGGCATCACCAAAACAACAGATGAAGCCCGCTGCGGCGACAATGATTTGCTCGAGCCAACTGCAGATAAGCATAGCATGTACCCGCATACACAATGTGTGTGCTATGCGTGAAACAAGAAGATAACAGAATAACAGAAGTGGCGCGAGTTTGCGTCTACGTGGTGACTTACCAATATTCTGGTCTCCGGCGGTGAGATTGTCATTTGCTTTTCTTTTCTTCTTGTTGGGCTTCTTCTCCCCATCCTGCGACAAACCATCTTTGCGCGATTCGGATTTGGCGGTGGCCGACTGCATTTCGTTGGCGAGGTGGCCCTTCTTCTCGCTCACAACAAGGCGCATAGCCTTGTCGCACCAATTGCCGCGGCGGTCGATGAGGTCGTGCAGCTTCTCTAACTTGGAGAGTAGCGCATCGAGGGTCTTGGAATCGGGGATAACGGCATTGGAGACGCCCTGGTCGATGATGTCGTCGGCTAGGATGGTTCGCACGTGTTCGTACTTGATGTCGAGTAGCTCGCTGTCGAGCAGCTCGACGGGCGGGATGCTAGCGGCAGCGGCAGCGGCAGCGGCGGCGGCAGCGGCGGCGGCGTTGGCAGTGGAGGTGGTGTTGGCGTTTGCGGGCAGGCTGGACATGGGGGTGGTGTTGCGACTACGCTGAGGCTTTCCACCCGAGGCCTTCTTGCCCGTGCCCTTCTGACTCGGCGCGGGCGGCATCGCGAGAGTGTGGACGGGCAGGGCAGGGAGACGGAAACGGGAAGCGAGACAGTATCAGGGAGTGAGCGATCTAGCTGGCGACCATGATGGCAACAATTGGTTGAGGTGTTGGCTGTGACACATTCGGTAGATAAGGGGGCGTCGTCCACAGCTGCGCGTGCAATTACGTGATGGGCTGCCTGCTCGTCCAGTATATCGTCGAGGATACAGTCTGGGGGACACCGGACAACTGGACACTGGGGAACGGCTTGGCACGGGACACCTCGCATTACCTAAACTCAAGCAGACAGCTGCAGACTGAGGCAAGCCACACATACATATGTACATATATACTTAGGTAAGTATAATGACTAGTACTGTGTACATCCATGTATGTATGGAGTAGGCCACAGGTACATAGCTTGGATACCCGATAGGTACAATTTCCCTATTGGGAGATAGTGTCTTAGGTACCGATTAGTAGTGCTATAAGTACCGATCTACCTTATGTAGTACTAAGCTTATATGTAGGTACTTAGGGAAACACCATGGTAGAAATATGTTGTACGGCTTCACTCACATCCATCTTAAGGGATGTCATACTTACCTATGCTTTCAATATATGAGTACATACTTATTCAGTCAATATACTTGCCATGGTTTACTTATATGAATACTCTTTATGAGGATACTGAGGTACGTTTACTGGTTAGAATGTGACATGGATGCGATAATGCGATACTGCGATAATTAATTTAGGACCCCACGAAGTAATGTTGTTAGATGTTATGTGTCGTTATGCGTTTGTTCGAGCTCATTGGTTCTCTCCTTCGGCCCTGGGGAAACTCAAGAGAACTCGGGCATCCAAAGGGCAAACAATGACTTTACTGCAGTTTTCTTGGCTGATTGAATCTTTCCGATGTTGATAGGGTTCGCAATTCGAAGCACCCAGGCTGCGTTCCCATTCCAGAAGGTACCAGGGATTTCATTTACGTCTAAGCAACCCAGATGCGGAGGGCTTGCACCATGAAACACGCGTGCAAAATGAAGTTGGCATTATTACTCTCGCCTCGGCTGCTCTTTGCTATATTGAACCCAACGTAGTCCCCTAAGTTTTTGGCTGGTGTGGCGCTACCCGCGATTACCTAGGCTGGATCCTGCAAGAATTGATGCCCGGAGCACCACTGGCTGATGCATTTGGAACAATGTCTCTTGGCCAGAAGCAAGCGATCCTGGCACAGATGGCGGGCCTGCTCAAGGCCCTCCAGGACTATCCACTTCCCGTGAGTGTTAAAGGCTGGGGAGGTGTAACGTTTGATGACAGCGGTGCCATAGTCGGCGCGCCCATGCCAAGCGTTGGTACAGGGCCGTAGTCTTCCTTTGAAGACTTTTATAAAGCGGCCTAGAATAGCAAAGCTGATGACAACTGATATTTGGAGGGGTGGCGTGCTAACGGCATCGGAGAGCGTGTTGAGGCTTTCCTTGAGCGCGGTCTAGTGGTACAATTTTCTGGCTTGGAGTCGAAGCAAGAGAGGAGTGTTGTATATGTAGATTTTAGTTAGTATCCTTTCCTTCTGATGAGTATCTCTTGTTGGGCCTTTAGCTAGATCGACCTTAGTATTGACATTTGTGCGAAGCTACAGATAATATACTGTACGACCCTGTGATAGGCTGTATAATAGCACTTTTTGATTATGATTTTGCCAGCATCCTATACCTTGTGTATGAATTCTTCCGCTCTTTCTCTACCACTGGCGGTTAGCTTAGGGGCTGGTTGAGCGACGAAACCCCAAAGGAGAAGGACGCCGAAGCGCTTCGGAACGCCAAACTGACCAGTCTATTCCTTTCACCTCTTTTTGTTACGGTAGGGTCCGATAGCACGGGGGTTGACTGGGAAGTCGCGCAGGCATGGGAGGATGAGCTGCGAAAACAGGACGCAAAGCGACCTAGCTCTATTCAAGGAGTCGAAAAGATTGCAGATATTAACGAACTTTTGGGATGTCTAAAATCCTGGACATTAACTAATCAAGATTATTTGAGACTGAATCCAGAGGAAGATCACAAGTGGAACGTAAGACGCAGGAGCGAAAAACAGCTCATAGGCTTACTGGATCATATGGGATTTTAGACGGCAATGTTGGAATAGGTAATAGGCGGAGATGATACAATTATCAGGAGCATATGTCCCGGAGTGAGGCTAGGTTGCAGGTAGGTCGGATGCGAATGCGAGCGTCCTAACATCGATACTCTTTCCTCTTCGTCATATTCTCGTTTACAAATGGCACATGCGGCACAGTCCGCGCTCTTCAGGCTATCCTCGAATCGCATTTCCCAATCAATAGCTCTGGTACCCCTTGAGGCCGTTATTTATATGTTTCTAAAGAAAGTGAACTCATCCAGCGACCTTCTAGGAGCAGTTAACAAAACCAAACGCCTTGGAGCTATCTTTAAATTCGTCATCGTACAATCTCCAGTGTTGTCTGACGACCCCCTTTCTCTCTCCAACGCAAGGATAATTATTCAAATTGCAACTATAGTCGATTTGAAGTCGATGTAACAACAGTGGCAGGCATTTCTATACTTCGTGAGAATTTTCCATGCAGTCAGACGCATAAGCCATGCACTGAATCCACAAATCCAAATTCAAAGAGCGTATGATGTTTGATATTTCATGCCTTGCGCTGTACGCAACCTACATTATCACCCCTACTGCATAAATATATCCGACTGTTGCACGGAAGTCTAGGGAGGGGTATGCAGGTGTCGTAAAGGCAGCAACATTTTAAGCCTCAAGTTCTAACCTGTGAATGGTTACTAAGGATTGACATATTATCACCGTCGAAGTTACTGTCCCATAGTAACATTAAGTGCCTAGCTCATGATGTATTCAGCCAAGTCTAGCAGGTGGTATGATTTCTTCTTATTTTTGGTAATCTTACTGTCGCCCGATAGTGGCCTTGATGGCACCGAATAAACTTTTGTCTGTAGCAGGAGGCCGCTGTTAGTGCGACCCAGGGTCGGAGTTACGAGCACTGTCCGATGCCACTGGGGATATTGCAGGTAGGGACGTAGAAGATTACCAACACCAATAATATAGAGCAGGGAGGAGGCAGGCTTTTCTGGCATATACTAGGGCCTGGATCATCATTTGTGGTACGCCAGATATGCACCCAAACCGATCAGGGACTCTGTACGCTTCATAGAACCTATTTGGGCGATGTATAGGTCTGGGCTATGTTTAATTCACACCGGTTCTGTTCGGCTACTGGAGCGTGCCCGCTGTTGATCTTGTATGAGTAAACGAGCGGGTAATTTTCCCATGAAGGCTACGAGTTTGCTCTCCTCGTGTCGGTTAGCTGCTACTGCGAGCGAGTGTTCTGATTGTTTGTAATTATTGCATAGGTACGCTTTCTTGACTTGGAGTGCTCGCTTACCATTTTCTTGGGAAAACTCGGATGATTAGGGCAGAATAATTTTGCATGCTTTCTCTATACCTTAGGCCTACCTATTAACTCGCTAACCGTAAGGCTTTAGACAAGCAGGTCCATAGACTAGATCTAGGATTCTTCAGAGGCCTAAAGCTTCGATATCCAAATCAATTTTCCTAAATGACTTTGCCTGTTTTGCACTTTATTTGGAGCCTGGAATTGAGTGCGACGGTTAGTCGTCCCCTCCGGCTCTTTTCTCCTAATTATTCAAGCCTACAAGGCCGTGTTACCTGAATGATATCTTCGTGACGTCTTTCCGCTTCCTTCTAGCTGCCTGTCATCTGAGTCATGAAGTTAAAGCCCCATTCTATTACTGATAGAGCAAGAGGGCTCAGTCGCGCTTACTCATGTCATGAGACATGCGTTGAAGCTTACGCGCGGCGGTAGGTACACCTTGACCTAGATCTTGCTCTCACCCTTGAAAGCCTAGAGTCGGGACTATCCCAAACAACGCTCTTCCCTTTAAGCGTGTTCGTAACTTCTATTATTGCAGGGAAGCTACTGACGAAGGATACGCGTATCAAGAAGTTTACAGTAAGATGTAGGTAGGCGGCTAGGTGTTTGCCTTTATAACCTAACATTCCCATACTTGATTGACCTGTGATTTTCCGACTGTGACTAGAAGCAGACAGAAAAAAATAACGTATACCGTTGATGTATGTCCAGATCAATACAGCTTTCACGTATCGTCACTGTTTTCTATTTCACGGCTTTCAGTTGTCAGGCGCTGTGTGATACTTCTAGATACAAACGAGAACGCTCGAGCATATCTCCAATGGAGACTGAACAAAGGTTCGCGCTTAATCATCCAGACGGATCAAGTCGCTAGCTGACCTAGAGGATAGTGTTCCGACAAAGCTCACTGCCGAGGCACTAAGATATATACCACAAAATCCCCTACTTAGGGTGAGCAAATGGAAGTCAAAAGAAGATGGAACAGTCCCAGGACTATACTATTTAGGTGAGGCCCCGTAATGTGGATGAGGATGCGCAATTAGCAACAGCCCCTGACTTAAACTCCTGATAAGGTCTTGCCGACCAATCAACTAGTAGGGCTGTAACTGTGAGAGACAGAATGAAGGAAGCCAGCGAGATAATCGCTAGGTTCGAAAAGGTTTTTAATGAGGCAGCAAGTCGGTAACCCCTTAAATCTAGACAAATCATCCATGACTTTACTAACAAGGTCTTTTAAAGAGGAAAATGAATAGACCTCGATCCACCTGTCTACGGCAGCAACGAAACCAACGCTGAGGCAGAGTTACTCACACCTTCCTTTCCAAGATACTGTAGGGCGCAATTACAAGCATGGATACGATTCGGTCGCATAATAGACGGTTGTTTGGCTTCAGGGATAGAGCTGAGGGTAGAAGAGAATAAAATGATCAATACAAGCAGTAACACTTTATACAACATAGTAGGCCTGCCGTTAAATGATTCTCCAAAATATCGTTGATAAGACTTATCACTGGTAAATATTTTACGAGACTTGGTAAAGCTTAGATGCTAAACAATACCTGAGCTTGATACCTCTGCCATATGCCCTACGATAAACCTTCAACCTAGAATAGCAATGGGAAAGTAACAACTGTTAAATGGCCTATCAAGAGAGCTGGCCGTCGCAGTTAGCAAGGTCCGACGTCTCGGAATTGAGTTATACTTTAACTCCGGGTGCGCATCTCTATATATAATATCACAAGATCTCTCTAAGTGCCCGCTAAACGCTCCTGGAATATATCAGGCTTAGGTAAGACGTAGCATGCATCAGAATCAATGAAACCAATGCTACTAAGTCCCACATTTTCTACCGTTAGAGTATGTATGAGTTATTATTACCACCTGAGGATCTCAATGCCTCTGTTGATAGGCTAGAGACCGGATACAGACACGGACTTCTTTTTTTCTTGCCATCTTAGGAACGTTCCTAATCCAGCCTCTCCAAGTGTTCTCAGATCTTGAGAGCTAGAGATATGTAACTTGATGTTCTAACACTGTGTATATGTCAATAGTTGAATACCACTATAAGCTTTGGGTACCGCGGGAGCCGTGCTCGGGGACATACGAGTCAGCTCTCGCATGTATACTCCGAATATTTCATTTGATCTTATCACTTGTCAACAAAACCAAAGAACCTTCGTCCCGAGACTCTGATTTCACTTGATAATCAACGCAACGCAGCGAGGTAAAATACGCTTAGTATTAACTACCATAAGATACAATGGCATTCTTGGCTCTGAGACTCGTAAGTCTTTCCGAAGAAGAGCCACAATGGCTTGATAATCACATCGAGCCTATCCAGCTGAGTAGTCACGCTGAACGTGAACACCTTGATATTTAAAGACGTTACACATACTAGCCGCGCCGAGCATCTTGCACTTATGTTGCCTGCGGAGCGCGAGCGTGCGCCCATTAGAAATATAAGACATCTTTGTAATCGAAAGTGAGGCTATTCAGCCCCGGCTTATGTGAGACATGTTAAACATATCCTGGAGGTTAGCAAAGTCCAGTGAACTGGCACCAAAAACAGGGAGAGATCCGAATGGACCACATTGCTCTTTGTTTGCCATAGCGCATTCCCACGTGTAGCTTTCAATATCAAGTCTTGGTATTAACCCTTGTTGCAAAGAGTCGGTGTACAGGGTACGTTAGACTATGACAAATATATAAATGAAAATACCCAATATTCAGCCTCTTTCTCAAACCGCACATTTGAGGGTGTTGCTACACATCGAACTAGGACCTCGCGTTCTCGGGTCTTAAACGCAGGAAGCCGGCCTCTAGAAGGTATCCGGAAAGGTGGACTTTGGTGGATGTTGGAGGAACCTCGCAAGGAGTTGCCAATCTGACTTACACCGCCTTAGGAGTGCTGATTTCTAAAGGACCCATCGTAGCCTGACCTATTAAAGCGATCTAATCTGCCAGACTCCTCAACATGCAGCGCTAAATACAACTGTATATACTCATTAGTTATCTTCATCTTCATTCCAGGCATATTCCAGTTCGGAGAATGTATTCAGAATGCGTCAGCGGTAGATGTAACAAGATCCCGCTCTTAACTCAAGCATCACCTACACAATATCGATCTATCGTTACAAATATGAAATATATAGAAGACTTGGCTAGTTGACATCCCTCACGAAGGTGTGGGGTTAACGGAAGTGAACTAGCACCACCTCAGCACCTTCATTAGCGATCAATTCGAGATCTATTCAGACGATTTCAAGTCTAAGTTGTAAGCTGTATCCCTACCCCTGGAGATCCCTTTGTTTATAGATGATGTCCGCAGCAAGGTTGCACCCGCTCCGTGTCCACTTCTCCGTGAAAACATCCTAATCGACATCTTCGTCTTTTGAATTCTCGGAAACATCCTTGCCCTTCTCCACGTCGGCATCGTCTATCTTCCCTGCCTCCACCGCCAACATCTTATCCTCGTGTGTCGCTTCCAGTGCCGCAGGCTTCAGCGACCCGTCCTCATTGACGTCCTCCTTCAAGTACAGCGAGAACAAGATGACGAGGTACGTTTCCTCCGTGGTGCGGTTGCGAAGCACGTACCTAAGGGTGTGTGAGCGCTTCTTACGGTCCCTATGTGCGAATAGCGAATAAGATACTGCCAATTGGAAATAAAAGAAAGACACGCAGAGATTATAACAACGACAAGAGAGAAGAGTTTATCTGGCTTCTTACCTAAGGTCCTGACCATCCCAATATTTCATAATCGGCAGCGTGAACCCGGGTAGTCGCAGCGAAAAGTCCTTGAAGTCGATGTAGGGGTTGAAGAAATCAACACAATACGTCTTTTCATACTCAAAGACCCATTTATCCTTGCTATCCTTCGCAAGCGCCCATTTCTTCCTCTCCTTAGCACCGTCAGGGGCGCCAATCGCACGCCGGGCCTCCATCCCGGCTTCATCACCTCCTTCATCAAAATACAGGCCCCCCTTTTCTGGATCGTGCTCTCCAAAGCCGACGTATATGTTGTTGAAAGAGGAGAGCCCCGGCCCGTACAGATACGGCATGTCAGCGTACGGGTCGCCGTCGAGACCCGGATCGATCCACCATTTGACGATATTCATGGCATAGCTGAAGCCCGGCGGTAGACGGTCTCTGATCGGGTGATCGAAGTCATTACCAAACTGCAGATCGTGACCTGGGATGCCGTTCACGGCAGATGAGGGTTCGGCCTTTTCATCTGCTGTGCTAGATTCCTCTGACGCCCCTTGAGGTGCGTCGTCGTTGAAAGGTCCATTGGTAGTTGGGCCGGCGCATGATGACGGCTTGGATCCGGCCGAAGGACTCTGCCGACGGGACTTCTTAGGCCGCTTTGGCGTGAACCGGATAGCAAGACTGTATTGATCGTCGTTACTGGCGTGAGGCTCCAAGGAAAAGTAAGGAGAGGTAGTTGGCGAATTACGTGGCAGGCCATTATAATTCTGGACACGCACGTTGATCTCGGCATCTATGAGGTCGTTGCTGATTTTCACAGTCTCAGGGGAGTTGACTGGAACAAGCACGTGATTGTCGGTGTTGTAGTCGGACCCCGCCGTTACTCGGATGACATATTTATCCGCCATACCGTGACACCCTTGTGAAATATCGCCAGGGAGCTTTACTCCCGTATCACGTCAACTGTTCTCAAGAATCAAACAGAGTGGGTTGGAGACCAGTGACAGTCGCACGCCTTTGTTAGGTATCTCTTCAGCTAGAGTTCTGGAACCGCAAAACGACTGTATGTCTCTCGAGTGAAACAGTTATGAAGCAGCTCGAACAATATCAAACTAGATCAAGAAAACGTTACGGACGGAAAAAATATGTTAAATATATACACTCCACTTGTGGAATTTGATATTGGAGCATGTCATAAAGCCCAGATTGAAAAGCTGCACAACTGGATGATGGCAAAGAACAAATTGAATGACGTCGGACATGGCAACCCAAAACGGACAGGGATGGTGTGCGTTAGCTCGCTTTAATAGGTCAGGTTGGCTTTCAATGTACAGTGTAATTTGTCACCTTTATACACTGTAATGTTTGAGCCATGTGGCGTTCTTCTCTCTGGTCTCGACTCGACTCGACTCGACAACACAAGTCGAATAGCACCTCGCGTGAACCCATTCGAAACAATATAGCGATAAGCACTGTCTGGCAGTCAGCCCTGAAATCTGTGGGTATGTCAAAAAAGGGAAAGTGACGTGTGCAATTGCTCCTTGGCGCGCTGCCACCAATCCTGGCATAGCCATGAACAAACATCTTACGAAGTAGGTAAGCCTCTCATGGGCCCTTCGTCTTCTGGCCTGAAATGCCAACGGCTGGCTGGGAATCTAGCACGGCCGTTTGGCAATCAACGAGGAGTACCGTACCAGTAGGATACCTAGTAGTACGGACGCCCGGGAAGCAAAATTTAGGTGGCTCGGGATGCGGAGAGTACTACGGAGTCCGAGAGGGGTCACTGTCCAAAAACCTCAGATTCATTATCAGGGTCCCCTTAGATTACTAATGCATAGACATAACAGGTAAACTTGCTATAGAGTATGGCCTCTTTATATAAAATAGGAGAAGAATTGCGATTCAAGCTCGATACATTTGTTTGTTTCACTGAACTGAGGTAACCCGAGGCAGGGAAACGAGAGAGGAAATCTGAGCATCTGATCTACCTTCACCTTCGCCTGTTTCGCATCGCCGTTCAGTCTCATAACCGGAGCATTGCAGCTGATGTAATCGGCACAACGTACATCTCTTACCACCGCGCCCATCGCCCTTAAAAGAAACCCAAGATGTTGCTGCCTCTCCTGCTCACGTCTCTCATAGCCCTTGGCACATATTTGTACATCACGCTCCGTTACAAGCGCTTCAGCCAATATGCTCACATTCCTCAATTTCCGTCCTCCCTTCTCCTAGGCCACTTGAAGACTATGGATGAGTACATACGGCGTATCCCAGCCGATGGCCATACTGGTATCGCATTGCCCAGCCCCTCATTGCACAACAGTAGTATACTCTCGCTAATCATCAGATAGATATTGCCTTCACGGCAATGCATGAGAAGTTGGGTCGCCCACCTCTGTTTTTGATTGATACCCGCCCCTTCAGCATCCCAGCCGTCATCGTGACGAACCATGATATTGCCGAGCAAGTAGCCAAAGCCTCGGCTCAGTTCCCAGCAAGCGCGCCCAAGCCAACTTTCAAGTATCTCGAGCATCTCATTGGGTCAGCTTCAATCCTCTCGTCCGAAGAAGACCAGTGGAAGGCGCTGCGGAAGAGGTACAGCCCGGGGTTCGCTCCGCAACATCTGGTCACGCTCTTGCCATCTATTTTGGATAAGATAGTCCCCTTTGTGAAGCATCTTGATAGCTATGCTGATAAGGAGGAGACTTTCGCCTTGGTCCCTCTCATCACTAACTTGACTTTTGACATCATCGGATCCGTGATTATGGACTCAGATCTAGACGCACAGAATCCAGACCCAGCTATGCAGGGTGAGCTCGTTCGACGGTACATCGAGTTGCTCGTTACCTATAACGACGACAAGGCAGATATACCCTGGTGGCTCACCCCCATGAGAGAGATGAAACGTTATCGACTGAGCAGTCGTGTCGACGAGCTGATCAAGGACACGATCCGCCACAAATTCGCCGAGCAGCGCGGCGCCTCCGCGTCTCAAAAATCGCGCAGCATTCTCGCGCTGAGCTTAGGAGACGCCGAATCCCTTACTCCAGAACTCGTCAACGTGACATGCGACCAGCTGAAGACGTTTCTCATCGCAGGCCACGACACGACCAGCGTAATGCTAGCATGGGTGTTCTATGAGCTATCGCTGAATCCCCAAGCCTTAGCTGCCGTTCGCGCCGAGCTCGACAGTCTCCTCGGCCCCGACACAGATCCGGAGGCGGTGCGCGCCCGGTTTCTCAGCCCCGAGGGTCCGGAAATAGTACAGAAGATGCCGTATGTATCCGCAGTCATCAAGGAGGCGTTGCGACTACACCCACCGGCCGCCACGGCCCGTTACACGAAGCCTGGGACGGGATTCACGGTGCGCGCGCCGACGGGCGAGGAGTACTGTCTTGACGGCGTGATCATATATAACTGCACAGCCATCATGCATCGCGACCCAGATGTCTACGGAGACACGGCCGACCGCTTTGTTCCCGAGCGCTGGCTGCACGATGGCGGCGCCGGGAGTAACGTCCCCGCTAGTGCATGGAGGCCATTCGAGCGTGGGCCGAGGAACTGCATTGGGCAGGAGTTTGCCAATATCGAAGCGCGCGTCATCATTGCGCATATCGCTCGTCGATATGATTTTACCAAGGTTGGCATGGGCGAGGTTCTGCGCGATGAGAAGGGTCAGCCCGTTATAGATGGCCAGGGCTGCTATACGGTCGTGTCGTCTGTGTACAAGGTAAGTCTCACTACCATTTGGAGTATTTCTATATGTTCCTCCCAACTAACCTGGTATTGTCTAGACTAGACAAGTGACGGCGAAGCCGGCGGATGGGATGAAAGTCAAAGTGGCGCGGAGAGATTAAAATACCTGCCAGGATTAAGGGTCACTTTAATGACCGCTAATGGCAGCATTGGATGAGTAGCTGGCTCAGAGATTATGCTGCTGCCTGTTTTCCTTTCTGAGTTAATAGAGTAGTTATAAAAGTATTTAGGGATCATATAGACTTGATATGCTATACGCGTTGAACGTGTTGAATACGCTGTCACTACAAGTTATACGTGTGTGATCTGCAGACTTCGGCCAGACGCAACGTGATATCTAACGCGAGGCTATTCAGCCCTCACTTATCTGAAACATATTAGCGGAGTTCGGAGATTAGAAATATAGGTTTAATTGTACAGTTAATTGAAGTAAGGTCAGGCCCGTATAGGCCACTTGGATTTGTCGTACGGTGGATATAGTCAATTTCAACCCCCCATCAGCCTTTGTCATACTTCTATCAACTATGTGCTGATCAGAAAGCAGTGTTCATGTACTTTTTGACGACCCTAGATTGGATGTTCAGCAATGGTATATATACTGGCGCTTCCTTTGGGTGTTTTCCAGGGACATTAATATGGAGTACGTCGTAGGCCTTGACGGAGACCTGATTTGGGAGCATGGGCTACAGTAGCATCGCACACTATTTGCTTACCTTCAACTTGGAAACTTCATTGGCTGGCCAGGTGGCAGTGTTTTCCAGTGCCTTACGTGTCCTGCGAAGTGGCTGAAGCAAGGAACGTCCTCGCTACACTTCACATTCTAACAGCGATATTCTGACCTGTCATTATCTCGAAATGGCCCCTGAGAATATTATACCTACACCCCTGAGGTAGTATAACTCTCGGGGTAAAGCTCATCAATATCATCCCTACGACGTTATGATACTTGCTGGCTTAATTGTATCATGTAAACTCATACCCAGATAGGGACTGCCCCCTTGTCTCTTGGGACTGGCTGGGTGATACCTAGGTCCAACAAGTAGCTGACAGCTGCAGTGTCCAGCTTCTCATTGCCCGCATCTTCTGACCTGGTTTTGCTCAGCCATTGCCGACCACCAAACCCCGCACTCTGCGCCGCACACATGTCCTTCCTCGTTTCGTGCACTCACCCCTCTTCAACATAAGTCCCGCAACTCAAAATCTTTCAAAGAATATGATACATCACAGGACCGTTTCTTAGTTCCGTGTCATAGCCTTTCAATTAGTTGCCTACTGAGTGAGTAGGCATATCTGCAAGCATGTGGCTGATCAACGTCGAATCAATGAAGCTTGAAGAGTTCACGCCACCAGATTTACCGACCTATGCAATATTGTCTCATACTTGGGAAGATAACGAAGTTACGTTCCGGGAGTTCAAAAAGAGAAAATATGATAAGAATAAAGCCGGATTTGTCAAGATTAAAAAGACATGCCAGTTAGCCGCTGCCAAGAGCATCAAGTACGTTTGGGTTGATACTTGTTGCATCGACAAGTCATCGAGTGCCGAGCTCTCGGAGGCTATCAACTCTATGTTTGATTGGTATAGGTTGTCTGCCGTTTGTTTTACCTATCTGTCAGACCTCCCAGCAAGTTCTATAGTGTCATTCTCGCTCTGGCGTGATGAAAAATATCAGCTGGTATGCCGCTGGTTCACAAGGGGTTGGACGCTTCAAGAGCTGCTTGCCCCTGATATATTGGAGTTCTATGATAGGGAGTGGAACTTCAGGGGTCGCAAAACAGAATCAGTGGTGATGCAACAACTATCGACTATGACTGGCATTCACAACATGGAAGTCTTTCGAAATCGCGATGCGATTCGCAAGACTGTAGTGGGAGAGAGGATGTCCTGGGTTTCTAAGCGACAAACGAAAAGACTCGAGGACATTGCATATTGTCTTCTAGGTATTTTTCAGGGTAAGTTTTCCTATCTCCAGTCGACCTAACAATGGACTGAGCGATGTACACAGTAAATATGCCTATGCTATATGGGGAAGGTATGCGAGCTTTTCAGCGCCTACAGGAAGAGATTATCAAATCAAGCACCGACATGTCACTTTTCTGCTGGAGGGGAACAGAAAACGAATTTCTTTGTCGTGGTATTCTGGCGCACTCGCCTGCTGAATTCGCCACATACCATGAAACTTCTCAAAACCTTCGAGATAATTATGACCAAACTTACAGCTCGTATCTCAAGGGATCGCTCCCTGAGTTCTCAGTTACTAATAAAGGTGTCCGCATTGAGGCCGACGGTTGGTTTAACGAGGAAGGCGATATAACCGCTCTCAGATGCAGAACACCATTACCGGACTATGAAGCCCTAATTCCGATAAAGCATTTCCACGATGGCATCTATGTTCGGGCGCAGCCAGAGTCGGTATTACCACTGGGTATTGTTCATCGCAGGAAAAAACTAATATATCTAGCAAAGATTGGCTACTTTTTTAAACGCGAATAGTGTCCCTAGGAAGCTACAAGTGATTTAAGTTAGAACCTCAGGGCTAGACAAGTGTTGTATTTGAACGATGATTTGACTACCTACACAACTGTCTGAACTCCCCCAACAAGCTCGGATTCCATAAAGAGGGCATCTCCGCGTTTTCGTCACGAACCTTATGTCCGGATCTTATCCCATTTACCTGCACGTTGGTTACGGCGGGGACTTCTATTAAGCGACGAGAGCTTCGTTGTAGAAGTTTACATATGTGAATAATTGTCAATAGAAAAAGGTTACAAATCAAAACGGGAAATATGTTAACCGTCGTGATTGCATATTGAGGTCTCCCGCATTCCCTTGGCATCTAGGAACAAGTCAGAGAGCCGAGAGTCCCAGCAATAACATGTGATACAATAGTTATAGCGAGGTTGGGGTAACGCAACCAACTGTCATCATCCTATGACCGAATAGATCTATCTTGCGGGCCACTCGTGTGGCGAGTATTATACTTACTCTCAGGACGGTCCTGTTACATTAGGACGAACTGCCCCTCCGTGTTCACAGGGCCTGGGGCGTAACACATTTACTACCTGGTGTAACTCAAATCTGATCAGTGCCAGAGTCCAAGGGCGGCCCCTTAAACGACTATGCGTTCCAATTTGAATGCACCGTCTGGACTGCTGAAAGAAGACTATTTTATACAGAATTGGGTGCAGATGGAACTATAGCTCAACAAAGTAGGGGCCAAGTAACAAATCACGTTTTCTGCACCCCAAATACATCACGAACATGTATATATCATACGTATCTCTTCCCCTTCATGGTAGTAATATATGAAAGGCCCCTCGATGGCAAACTATTATATAACTAAGCAGACTCACTAGATATCTGAACCTTGGTGCTGAGTAGTATGACTCAAAGCTTCCGCAGTAAACATTCATCCTTTGGTATCTAGGCGGGTGATAGTCGCATGTATCAACTCTTCTGATCCTATCTTAAGAATCGCCAAGCAGAGAGAATGGTTTCATTTTCAAGTTGCGTTAAAAGTATTTGCACCAAAACTAATTAATTTAATTTATTTAATTTATATTTCGCTTATGACGTACTCGCCGACCCAGTGGCATGCATATAGCTGGTATACAGCTATCTCAAAATACAATAATGCGGACAATATTAACAGGATTGTGTGATTATGTGCTCCGCCGGGGAGGGGGGTAGGGGGGTCGTAGATATACATATACCCAGGTTGATTCAAGACGGAACAAGAAATTGGTCGATTTCAACCCTCTCAAAGAAACTAATATGGCCAAAGTCGACCCAATATTGAGCCAGTCGATTGTGCGAGAGAAGGATGAGCTGTGACTCAATATACTTATCTAGAAATAGAATGTCAATATTAGCCGCGAAGCACGCCATGAAATATCTTACCGTCTGTAAACCCTATTCCAGCTATGTGACCACGGCTTCTCACAATCCTAGCACCCTGGAAAGGTGGCTCCTGGGCAATGCCGACGAGGCCCTCTTCTCCAAGATCATCCGCCAAAAATGTGTATTCACCCCTGGGAACATTCGGATCCCCCGTAAGCTTGATTGCCTCCAACCGACCCCGATATACTTTCTGAGCTAGGAAACGTGACTGGAACTCTGTGTCGCTTTCGTTCTCAAGCTTTACGAGGGGTTCCTTGTAGCCTTCTTCGTCGATATCGGGCTGATTGATAAGGAGAAACTCACAGCCATGAACACTGTAGTCGCCGACCCAAATACCTCTCCACGGTCTCTCAGGCGTAGGAGTACTGCGAGGTTCGGTGTAAGTTTTAAGAGTTTGCCAACATGCCTGCCCCAACGCAGGATTCTGTATGAGGACTAGTTTCCTGCAAAAGGATAATCAAGATGGGTAAAGACCTAGAAAAAAACTTACTATAATGAGGGGTCCAATGTCGAATATGTCACGCTATTGACTATATGTCAGCTATTGTACTACTCACAAGCTGTGACCTTTTTTTCCAACCCGCAACAAGTATTCAGTCGTATTTTGCCAGGAAAGGCGCTTTATACTCTGGGGATAGCCGCGACAAGAGCTAAATCACTTCGATAAGTACTCACCACTCCTCGCCAATATGGAACCCTATCGTTGGAGGACCCAATTCCATCCATTGGCGAATTCGGAAAGTTGTATCGGAAACCTCAGAACGCTTGACTGGTCTCCATCTTGGTGATGAAATCAAGTCATGGGTAGGCCCCCCTGCAATGTCAGACGGGTGGCCAAAAACCCGGTCAGCCGCGGGGATAGTGGGTGGCGGCCAAACCATGTTGTAAGGGAAAATATCTCCTGTATCGAGAAGGGTGTCTCTTTCATGTTCTTCGATAGGTTTCGCGAGCACGAACGTGCTGAATCTCGGGTCCGACCCTTGGCTGTAACTCATCGGGTGCTCCGGGAAGAAGCGGCGAGCGGGCCTTGTTGTAGAGTCTGGTGATGATAGAGAAATGCGCATAAGGTTTTCTAGCCTATCAACATTAAATTGAAGGATCGGTTTATCGAGATGTAGTTTGATCTTGGGCTCAAAGTAATGGATATGGACAGTAGGATCGGCGAGCCAGGGCTCACTCCCATCACGAAACCGTGTTGCGAGGAGTTGGTAGCCTTCGATACAGCCTCGACGCCCATCGTACCTGACGATAATCATCTGCCCGGTTAGTGAGCGGTCACAAAACCATATCTTGTGCCGAGTCAGGAACCAATATTGATTATGGGCCACGAAGAGCGCGCGCCAGGTTTCGCACGGATATGGCGACTTGATTTCATTCCGTGGTAGGTTCGCTAAGACGTGTCGATGCCAATGTAGATCATTCTCAGCGTGAGCTCGTAACGTACGGCATACTAAGGACAGACCAACGAGTTCAACAGGCGTTAAATACGAAAGAATCGCATCAATTAGCTCTGTCGGCAGCTCGAACAGCCTAGGGCGATGATGAGGGATGGCCAAAGGTGTCGAGGTGTCAATAGTGCCTATGCCTGAGATAGGCGCCAGTTGTCAGTGAAAGAGGCTTTGCTCAATCGTATGTTGACTGAGTTTATAGAAATAGGAATGCATAAGGACTTCGCCAATCTACAATTGACATGTTGGCGACTCACTGGAAGCATGATTGGCCATTCTGAAGCGACGTGACGTCCGACTAAGAACACAATTGGAGCTAGGGAGAGACACTGAGGAGATACAATCGAATTCTTTGACTTGAAATAGGTGTGGATGGAGGGCTCGAGCTTTATTCCCGGGCGTTTGGTCGTTGGCAGAATGAGGCGCTCCTTTTTCTTAATGAGACCCCAACGTTACAGGAGACGTAGCAACAATGAAAGGCATCAATCCCGAGGAGGCGTTAGAGCACGCGATGTTTGACGGGTTTATCAACTTCGGGCTAGAGAAGTCAGTACGTAGGATTCACAAGCCAGGCTGAGCCGATTGGTTATGGCTTGATCGAGAGACGTGGCAGGCTTAGATGTATCTGTATCTGCAACACACGATATCGGCAAGAGGCCCAATATGGTCTCGAAGGCTGTGAATTGCACTTCAGACCGGGTGTTGTTAGCCGGACAAAACTCAACACGACCTGAGGGATCTGAGGGATATTGCGAGGCCATGAGCAGCGACTCAAGCTGGCGGGCAGAGAATATCACATGGCATGTTACGTGGTGGTGCTTGAAGAAGGCCGTCTGGCAAGGTAGGTCGGCTCACGAGTCATGGAAGCGCCTGTGCGGCTGACGAAACGTATCGGGGAAGAGTCGTGGGCTACTGCTGAGTGGATTGGCGAGTGCCGTCTTCATTGGCCATCGGAGAATTGGGAGATGAATGGCGGCGGGTATGGAGAAAAAGAGCTGTTGGTTGGTAGAGGTCGAGGCAAGTCCTTGATAGAGCTGGTGGGATTGGACGGTTGGTTGCGAGATCCGGAATATATTGTAGCCACTGGTATTATGTCTGGGACTATGTCCGGTACTATGTAGCAAGGTACCACCACAAACTCAAAGCCAAGCTCACGTCATGAAGCACCTGACGAGGGCCTCGGTCCATTCGTAGTTAGCTGGCACGTACATGGATCTTGTATGTATGTAGATAGATGCAACTCAATGGTCCCTCTAAATGGTCCCTTTCTGCAGATTATAACCCACTACCTCGCATCCCATGCCCTGATGGATGATGGGGTGATATTTTGGCCTGGAGTTGCAGGTGATCAATAACAGAGGGCGGTTTTGGCGGGGAAGGGAGGGGCTCGATCTGATGAGCGGAAAATGCAGGTGAAGTAGCTGCAGTATCGCCCTCTAGGCGCTTATCGTACCTACTTAGGGCCAGCCTAGGTACCCACCATAGCAACCACATACCTAGGTCCTAGGTAGGTACTTACCTATAGGTACTACGTAGATATAGGTATACCAGGTTGCTATATTGGTCACAATTCAGGTACCTAGTGTAGAGTGCGGTAGAGCACCTGTGACGTAGCATCCCGAGAGCATGCAAACCTTTACCACCTTCCATTTCCACCTACCGCTACCAGGTAACAGCCGAATTGCTGCTCCCGATGCGGAATCTCCAAAGCATCGACGTCTGGGCAAAAAACACGACCCTACTTATGAGTTATCAGTCTTGGGTAAATGCAGAATACCTTGCATACCGACTACATATAACAGTAAGTAGGTACTAATACCTATGCTACTCGGTCAGGATCGGTCCGTTACAGCTCGCTACCTACAGATACAGATTTAAAGTCTAAGTACGAGACACAACGTTCGGTACCGATGGACCTGTGACCCGCATCTTGTGAACTGGAAATACCGATAGGTCTAACGTATCGCTAATGCGTTCGCATCGACGCTAAATTCGGATATCGGAAGGTGGATAAGAGATCCGAGGGACTTCCTCATGTTGCAGCTTACATAGTAGGCTTGGTTCTCTAAGAATGAAGTTGAACACGAGCCAAGGACTAAGAATAGAATACCCTAAGCTAGGTGCCCTTGTTGTTACCCATGTGGTTCTGTGTCCCTCCGTCCTAGTCTCCCGTGTCCCGAGCAACTGTTGTGATAGGTAGTCCATCTGTATTGAGTTCATTTCCTTCACATATATGGCCCTTTCCCATCTTCGTACATCACCCCATCATTAATCCTATCGCGGTACCGCCAGAGCCTTTTTCCTAGTGTAGTCTGAAGCATTGATTGAGAATAGCAACTAGGTACTTGTTTGCATCTTCACCCTTATCATAGTCTACCTCCATGATGTTGATTTGCAACGTACCGGGATCTAGATCATTAGATGCAACCAAATGATCGAAAACGACGCCGAAGTAGTCAATATAATTGCTAGACAAAGGCATAAAGTGATCAGCTCGAGGAATAGTTCCAGCAAAATACAAAGCTAGACTGATGTTACTAACTGCAGGCGTGGAATGCGACTGCCTCTTTTACCTACCTAGGTACCCAGCCCAAATACTGGTCTCTGATAACCATGTCACGAGCAACATCTAGACGCGCATCAACCCCATATAATATTCTCGAACGTCAAAAACGACGCCGTTAGACGTTCGAGCGGTCTAACGGTTATTATATAGCCCCACGTTCAACAAATACTTTATAGGTGAGCTGTGCAGGACGCATAGCACCGGAAGTGGAAGGTCCTGGTTGTCTATGCTCACTTCCCATGAGGCATCTGGGACAAGTCTCTGTATGGCAGTCAACGGACCATCAATACTGGTTCTCAACGGGCGTTCTAGCGGTGGAGAGTGGAGATCGTGAGCTGGGGTGTAGATGCAGGGAGGAATATGCAATTCAATAGGCATGGTGTCCGGGATATAGATTGAGAGTCGGCTTATAATTAGTGCTCATAGATGAAGATGCAGAAACCATCAACCTTGCCTTCAGATAGGAATCAAAGTAACATTGTTGCACCTATATCCTAGTTCCTGCCTTTGTATAGTTAGTGGTCTTCATGGCTGCCTGGATACAGTCTTCACTGCTACATATGTAGATAACTGCACACCAATCAACAACCAACTACATCATAACTAGTAGTACCTTTAACATATTTACCAGCATGCAGAAATGCATCATAATTACTACCATGATATTTACACATTACAGTATGAGATATCGTTGTTTTCGTCGTATTGACCACAGAATTCTTATGTGACTTCATATTCGTTTAAGTAGCTGATAATAGTCATGTCCTCGAATTTGATACCTCTGGAAGATCCCAGAATCAAGAGTTATCGCCACGATTAATTCTCATGTCACAGGCATTCTAATGTAAAGGGTTAAAGTAGCGAAGGGGGAAATTGGACGAGCTTCATTACTACATATATACAAATAAAAAGCTTCAACCATCTCCCAGCCCTCTACCTATTATTCTACCCGCTATACGTTCAGTCATCACACTCGCACATCATGGGAAATTACATGATTTTCTATGTGAATTCTTTTGTTTCTCTGACATTGGTTTCAATTCTGTCAAATCTCCTGTATACCTAGTCTTCATAGCTAATAAGACTATGTAGATGTGGCGACACTATGTAAACCGGTGGTTCAGTGTCTCCTATGAAATGCACAAGGGAGTTTATTACTGTACCTAGTCTAGGCTGCCGTTTCCCGCTATTCTTTCTTCCATCTGATCAGCTAGCGAAGAGCTGACGGCGCGTAATGTTACATGTCTCGGAAGGTGCTTCTCGAGAGGAAGAAGTGAGCAAAAGGGTTCTTTATCATGCTAGAGACACTCATTCTGCTACCATTAGAGCTGTGCGTCAAGTGATAATAAACTAAAGGTTTACTACGATTTCATTGCTTGTACTATTACCATCGGGGCTAGCTATTGAATCAAGGCACCTACATTAGGCATCTACGCGAATGTGGCTCATGGTTCCTGCCTTGAACGGGACAAGGAATTACCAAAACGTCATACCCAAGGCATCTAAATACCTATGCGAGGCGAAAAGCACGAACTATACTTACATCTTACCCAGATATATCATATTTGCTTAGGTAGGAAAATCATTCGATGGCACCTGCGTGCACATATGTATCGACCACTCTTACCAGGCAGTCGCGACGACCATACCCATCACGAAGTGTAACAGACTGTCTGGGCTGCAACAGCCGTCTTGGTGTAGAGATTGACTGTTAGAGAGACATTCCGATGTTCATCCATCTCTTCCTGTCTCAACCCTCCCGCAACACCTCCTACTCTAATAAATGAAGTGGTTGTAGTTAACTAAGTAGGTAGGCTTTAATTCAGTTTTCCAGTCCCCAAGCGGCAGCTCAAGAGGCCAAGAAAACCATGCCGTCATGATCAGGTGAAATTGATATAGCTGTGGCTGTTCAAGCTTTCAACACAGCCATTGATAAACGTCTTCCAGAAGGCACTGAGCCGGATTCAGAGGCTGTAACAGAACTGAAAAAGACCATCACCGCATTCCACGCCAAATATTACAGTCAAGGACCCGATCTGGGTCACCCGTCACCACGCAAGTTCCGCTTTCATATTTGGTCAATAGCAAATCTTAACCGTGAACGCATTAACTACCGCCCCCACACGAATTATGTGGCAAGAAGAGGAAACGGGAAGAACAGGTCGCTGGTGATAGCGAAAGCTCTAGAAAGCTGTATCTTGAATGTTATCGTGAATGGTGGAGGTTGCTTCAAGAGTTGATCAGCTTACCTCCTCTCCCTACTTCAGGTGATCCCAAGCCTTCCTTCAACATAGAAAATATGAGCGTTAGCAACAATAACGACAGCAGCTGTAGTCGCTATGCCGACCTTCTTTCACACCAGGCGTTGGGCAACCTATACGCTAATTCCGACGCAGTTATACATAGGGAGGTACAACATCTCAGTATACCTAGATCCAGTCCTTGTTGCTTTTAATAAGGAATTGGAACAGCGGAGGATTGAGGAAGAGGAGCAGCACGAGGCCCGGATGAATATGCTGATAACACTATTACAGCTTCGCGCTGCTGCTCTGAACTTTCGATGTGCGATTCAGGCTTTGGCCGAATACGAGTTCGCGTTGGGATCTCGCTGAAGTTTTAGTATCCCTGCTACTGGCTCCGCATAAAAGGCAACAGTTCCCGAAGACATTCTGCCATCATGCCTACATATTATCAGGCTTATTGAAGGAACGCATCATACGTAGGTTTTTTCATACCAACTATGTCCAGGCCAACTGCGTTTGGGGGTTTTTTTTTTTTTTTTTTTTTTTTTTTTGGTGGTTGTTTAATGTTGAAGTTCTTTTCAGTGCATGTACAAATGTACAAATGGTCAGGTACTGGTTTGCCTCAAATTCATGATGCACAGACCATGCTATGTGCAGGGAGTTTAGCGCGTCAGCGCCGCCCAATGATGGGAACCTGTACCTCGCTACGAACAACCGAACAACCGTACCTTGGAACGTCATAATTGAAACCAGAAGTCAGTCTACATATTACTGTCTACATTGTTCACGTCAGGCAGATTCCTGCATGTAGAAATCACACTATCAAAAGGCTCCTTACTCAAACAGTCGGGCCTCCGAGCAATCCATTGCGCAATAGTCGTCTTTCACCCCCAAACAGTCATCCATCATGTCGATATTTTCATTATTACCAGACATACTGCCCATGATAATGCCGTCAGCAATAACGGTGGTCAAGGCGACGGATCTTGAAACCCAGAGGGAGAAATCCAAGGACTCCCCCATGATCAGGCAAGGTGCCATCATCGGCAAAAGCGATAGGATGTGTGCCACAGGTAAATGCGCCGCTGATCTCACGACCATGTACCCTGCGTGTTCTCCACAGAACGCTCCGCTGATGTCGGCCTGTAGTGATGCGGGCGAAGCCGCATTGTTCGTCGGCAGTACATCATCACGGTGAACAAGGTAGAGTGCCTGAGGTCCGCGAGATCTATATATTCTGACCTGATGAATCTAGAAACTATCATATACGCGGCCTCCGGCAAGGGCATCTTGGTGACTAATAAGGGCGACCAGTTGAAGCGCCACGAGCTATCAGCCGGCGACTTCGTCTTTGTCCCGCCGTGGACCGAACATCAGGAGCTTAATGAGACCGACGAAGAGGTCGTATGGATTCTCATACGGAGTGGCCCCGAGCCGGTAGTCGTGTACTTGACAGGGTGGGATGGTGATAGAGTGAAAGCAGATACAGACTGAGTGTCACGTGAGGCGAGGATATGACTGGATGAGTGAAATGAATGGACACAAAGCGATTGTAAAACAGCATCTGGGCTTCTAGGTATGAGGATATTCTCATTACTACATTTACTGTCTATCATTATTATCTTGGATCATAGATTAGATAGGTGTTCTCTATTCTATTAACGCTCACTCGGCGCGCAAGAACGGCGAGTGATGGCCGCGAGATGCGCTGAGCTGTCCCTCCCATCGAAGGCTTGTGCATGGTCGAGTCCGTCGAACCATACCACCTCGATACCGTTTCGCTCGAAGTGAGTTACTCGAACATTATCTGCTAGAGTTCGCGTATTAGATGGGTTATTTGGGGCATTGTTTACAGATATCCAATCTCCATCGTTGAGGAGGTACTGTCGGACTGTCTTCGTGTCGACGATCAAGTCTACCTCCGCGAGACATACCATCACCTTGCGTGCATGCCCTTCCTTTGACGAAGTCATGCTACTAATCCCTTCACTATTAGATAGCTGCCCCACGGTCCCTAACAAGTCCTCTTTCCAAGCGATGTTATCTTTCCAAAAGAAATGACGCCCTAGGCAGTGTGCTACGCCTGGATCCATACTAGCGAAGTACCATAGTAGATACTCGTTGGCCCCACGCGGCTTACGTCTTGTGAAGTTGTATGCAACATCAGGCAAATGTAGCAAGATGCAGACTGGATCAATCAAGATGATGGATTGTATCCGTGGGCTCAGACTAGGTGATTTCAGCATATGGGTAGCCAGCACTGTTCCGTACGAGTGACCGACAACGACGAACCTATCCCACCCGTGTGAGGATAGGATGAGTGAGATCTCCGAGAGAAATTCCGCTTGGCTCAGAGGTGCACTCGTCAGTCGTGCGGACACTGGGAGGTACTCCAGCGCGATGATACCGACTTGATCATCATCGGTATAGGCTTCGTTGAGAAACGATAAAAACTGTGTATATGGCCAGAGACCAATACCGATCCCATGCAGAAAAACAAGTGGCAGTTTGTCTCTTGATGTGTGCGGTCGATACATATAGCTCAGTTTAGAGACGGACTGCCGCGTGGTAAAGATAGACTGGGGGCGTAGAGGGATCATCAAGTGTGAGGGTTGTGCATAATGCCGGAACCCGTGACGCAATAGCCGTAAGTGGGTGGAGAGATCAACCACGCCCACGATGAAGTACCATATAACGCTTCTATATCGCACCTCGATCTCATCGAGCGTCAAGCGAAGACTTCGTGCTTTGCCCCTCCCCGGCTGCAGCTGATGGCCCATGCGCTTTTCAACTTCAGCAACGTATTCATCGAGCTCTTCAAGTTCTGCGGCGGTCTCATTGCCTGGATGTCTGTCGAAGAAAGCCCATGAGAGAAACTCTTGTACATTTTCCTGTCGAATATCGGCGGCGTTGGCCCCGAGAAACCAATTCCGCAGATAGCTGGTAATGTCAGGAATGTTGTCGAGACACCGTAAGAAGAGCTCCCGTCGTTCTGTGCGGGGCAAGAGAGGAGGATGTTCAGCTTCATGCTTGAGACGGCGATTATACGGGTAGTAGATGAACAGCGCGTATATGGTGTCAGCGATGGCGTACCCAATCGCAATTGTGCCTGACAAAGATAGGATCACTCCCCCACCCTTGATGGTGATCAATGCAAGAAGATAGACTAGACATATTGGCGTTGTATACTGTAGAAGAAATATGTTTATCCGGATGAAGACGTATTCCGGGAACGAAGTCCCAATCATTCTCTGGACATATAAATGAGCCAGTATGAACGCTTATTGCAGTAGACGAATGAGTGTTTTCGGCTGCCGACTTGTGATTGCGTTTTACCCAAAACCCAGGGCGATTAGTGCGTCGTACTTGCCCCTGATGAGGTTATTTCAAAGAAACGATAGAAAGATACTCGAAGCTTTAACGATTGACGATGCCGAGGCGCATGGGCGGATTATTTGTGCTGGTGATGAGAGCAGCGTGATGACACCGGGGACCGGTGATAGGCTCACATGCCTCCTGTCAGGCAGGGTATGACGTTGCTATTTGCGACTCGAAGGACTACGGTACCTAAGCAACTACCACACGCCACTGCACAAGCTAGGTACAGCACCTGCAGCGGGTAACATTGTGGCTAAGGCGGTAAGGGCGCTGATTCGACGCCGCAGGGGTTGGAAATATCAAGATGTTACCTACTCGCAGTTGTTCTTAATACCTAGGTACCTAAATCCTAAATAGAGTACGATATTTTCCTAGCTCTTAAGATAACCTTTATTATTACATCACAACACAACATATTGGTAGTGTTCTCCCTCAAGAGATCGTATTAGCCTGAGCAATGTTATGTTCGCCGTTAGTCGCTGACGCGTTAGTATTATCGGCATGGTCAGCTCTCCTTCTCCTATCCAATCCAATCTTAGGCTCCTCAATGCGACTATAAAATCCAGAGGTGAGCTCTAAACCCACAATCTAGAACCATAATTGATTCCGCTTTCTCAGGCACTACCGACTTTCCAGCATCACTTGGAGACTAGGTGATCATTGTAGAGTGCACCCTAGGCAAAAAGCCTTCGAAGGGCACCTCGCGTAGCGTAGTGGCCCGGATACTTTCATTGAATACAGAAGTGTCTTGCCCCGAGAACTTGGTGGGTCAGGTTCGATGACGCTGACAGTGTCTTTGACATGCAATGTATCAGGAGCCGCTTGTATGGCACCCATGATCCGAATACGCAGTTAGCCGCAATGGTAAGGCGGCTGCGTGCACTCCTGGTCAGACATGCAAATGGTGCCATGAGAGGAGTTGGCAAACCATCCCACAGTCTAGCAACCCCATCTCGATTGACTACTATTGAAGTAGTCACGGCAATCGCAATGGAAATATGGATGACCCTTAACATGAGCATTACTGAGCTGGCCACATCTCCGTTTACTCCTTATTCACTCCATTTGTAGTTGGGTGACCGTGCAATGTCTTCGCTTCGTGTCCGAGGGCAAGCCGATCGAATAGATAGTACGATGTGACGAGAAGGATGGGCATAGCAATCATGACGCGCATGTACTTCGAAGCAGCTTGCTTGTACGCTGCACTGGATGTGTCAACTCGTGGTCTCGGCGGCGGTGGTATGCGCGGTGCTGGCGGTTGTCTATTGGGGGGTTGCGGTGTTGCAGGTTGAGCCATTTCGAGAATTGGTCGCCGAGTTTAGACTTCGTTCAACCCCAAATTATTATGGTTATCGAGTCTGTTGTGAGGAGTTGACTAGGATGATTTAGCTGTCTAAGCGTTGATCATGAGGTACAATAATATTTTCCGGGGAAAAGGTAAGATCTTGAAGCTGCATGCCTCCAAGCTTTGAGCTTTAACAGAGATATGCGATAACAGAGGTTTATTCTTTTATCAGCCTCCGCGCGCGGAGGTTATGATCTTATCGATAGCCCGATAGCCCGATAACCAAGACTCATCTATTCACCCCACTATCCGAGAGTGTCTGACTTGGAGGGGCAATAGCAACAGAAAAAAAGTAGGGGGCTTACCTACTTGGGACAGTCTTTCAAGGCAAGAAAGTCTCATATGTCCTGATCCCTCCTTTCTTGACCTTGAGATTGGAAGGTCATTTCGATTGCTCTTTTAGCCGCTAGGCTTGGTCACCATCCTGTCACCATGCCTTACGAAATTCTTGTTGGACAGCCATGCTTTGCGGCGTGGCAGTCCCAGAAGCTGCTGGATGGCATTGCGAAGGTAAGCCAAGCTAAAGTGAAGAGTATCACGGGATCTTGGCTATACTACATCCACCTCAGCAACGCAACCGATATCAGCGAGATAAAAGCCTTTCTCGGAATCACAGACTTAGATGAAGCTCCCCAAGGCGTTGTCGGGGCTCAGGATGTCTACATCACACCCCGAACCATGTCACCTTGGAGCTCACAGGCCACTGCAATTGCCCAGGTCTGCGGACTACGAAATGTTGCCCGTGTAGAAAGGGGTCGTCTGGTGAAAATTGAGTTTAACAGCGATTCCGAAGACAAGGAGTTCTCGTCCTTCATAGATGTGTTATACGACCGGATGACGGAGACGTATAGCGCAACCCAACCGCATCCAGAAAACACGGTATTCGCAGAGGGCACCCGTGGGCCCCTCGTTGTTGTGGACATTTTCGCCGATTCCCGGGGCCCTATTGCCGCTCTTACGGAATACAGCAAGGAAAATGGCTTGGGCCTCGATGACAGCGAAATCCAATATTTGATTGAAGTATTCCAAGACCTTGGACGCCCGCCCAACGATATTGAACTGTTCATGTTTGGTCAAGTAAACTCTGAGTGCGCTTCCCATCTCCCATATCCACACCTGACTCGCGTCTGACTCTTTACAATTGATAGACACTGTCGCCACAAAGTGTTCAATGCCAATTGGACTATTGATGATAAGCGTAAAGTCGGGAGTCTTTTTGAGATGATCAAGAACACACATAAGAGAACCCCCGAATTCACTGTATCAGCTTACAGTGACAACGCTGCTGTCCTTCAAGGAGAGCCTGCCGCTTTCTGGGCTCCGGATTACCAGACTGGCACCTGGAAGCTCACCAAAGAAGTGTTACATATGCTTGCTAAGGTTGAGACGCACAACCATCCTACCGCTATATCGCCCTTCCCTGGAGCAGCAACTGGGTCTGGAGGTACGTTTTAAGGCCCAAAATTGACTCCGCACTAGCCTTTCTTCCACACATAGAGGAGTTTGGCACTGCACTCTTCCTACAGACACTAATATGTCTTGCAACAGGCGAGATTCGCGATGAAGCGGCTGTAGGTAGAGGATCAAGGACAAAGGCGGGTCTTTCGGGATTCTTCGTTTCTGACCTCCGAATCCCGGGGCATGAACAACCGTGGGAAGCAGATGTTGGCAAGCCATACCAGGTAAGCGTGATATGAATCAATCTCACGTAGTATTATTTTGAATAGTTCTAACCATTTTTAGTGAGTGATTCAAACAATTCATGCATGGAGCGGTTGTAATAGCAACAGTACTAACAGAGAGTAGCTTCGCAAGCAGTCTTGACATCATGCTTGAGGCCCCTATCGGCTCTGCGCGGTATAACAATGAATTTGGCCGACCGGCTCTGGCCGGAGTGTTCCGCACTCTCCTGACAAACGTTGATGATGACTGGAGAGGTTACCATAAGCCTATCATGCTGGCTGGTGGTCTCGGTCAAGTTCGACCACAACATGCTCTGAAAAGTCCAGACGACGTCCACGAAGGAGCCCATGTCATTGTTCTTGGTGGCCCTGCCATGCTCATTGGCCTTGGTGGTGGTGCCGCATCAAGCAGTAACTCAAGCGAAGCCACAGCTGAATTAGACTTTAACAGTGTTCAACGTGGGAACCCAGAAGTTGAACGACGAGTTCAGGTGTGTTCCGAGAGTCGCCCTTGCATTTTCTCACATACATGATAACTAGATAACTTTCTTGTGCACCTTCGTTGCTGCTATATGTTTTACTGACCTTCCTGCAGATGGTTGTTGATACTTGCGTTGCTCTGGGCGAAGAAAATCCCATTGCCATGATTCACGATGTAGGCGCAGGTGGGCTGTCCAATGCGCTGCCAGAGTTAGTCAAAGATGCGCTAGGCGGGGGCAAATTTGAACTGCGTCAAGTTGCCAGTGCTGATGACAGCATGAGTCCACTCCAAATATGGTAAGTTCTCTTCAATACGCAGCTTTTTTTTATTTCTACTTCGCCGTTCAGCTTCCAGGTTGCCCGTAAGGACTAGCTGATAACACTTGACTAGGTGCTGTGAAGCCCAGGAACGCTACGTGCTGCTGATCAATAAAGACCGTATCAACCGTTTTATCAGTATCTGTAAGCGAGAGCGATGTGGTTTCTCCAATGTGGGCACACTCACTACTAAAGATGGAAGTGGAAGTGCTCGATTGATTCTCCAGGATCGCGAGACTCCAGCTCAGCCATTACCTATTGATCTTCCGATGGACGCTCTTTTCCCTCCAGGCCGGAAACAGGAGCGTGTTGACAAAACTGCTAATAGAAATCTGAAACCCTTCGATTCGGCATCTAGTCTCAAAGAGAAACACGGCGCCTCAAATCTATCAGAAATGATCACACAGGCTACCCGTCTTGTCTTCTCTTTACCGGCAGTGGGCTCCAAGATGTTCCTCATCACTATTGGAGACCGAAGCGTTGGCGGCCAAGTTGTGCGGGATCAACTGGTCGGACCATGGCAAGTACCCGTAGCAGATGTTGCTGTCACCTTGACTTCCTTCGGTGTTGATGAACAGCCCCGAATTGGAGAGGCTATGGCAATGGGTGAAAAGGCGTCCTTGGCACTTATTTCCCCGGCAGCTTCTGCGCGTATGGCAGTCGTGGAGAGCTTACTCAACCTGGGCGCGGCTCACATAAAGAATGATCCCAAGGTCCGAGGCGACTTGCGCCGTGTAAAGCTCTCGGCGAATTGGATGGCCGCTGTCAATCATCCTGGCGAAGGTGCTGCTCTATGTGAAGCAGTTCATGCTATTGGTATGGATCTCTGCCCCAAACTGGGTGTGGCCATTCCCGTTGGCAAAGATTCCACATCAATGAAGGCTTCGTGGAAAGATAAAGAGACGCGCGAGTCAAAGAGTGTCACTGCTCCGGTGACTGTTGCGATATCTGCCTTCTCCCTAGTTGAAGATGTTCGGAATACTTGGACACCACAGCTTCGACGCGTAGAAGATGTCGGCGAGTCTATTCTCATATTTGTTGATCTTGCTCAGGGATTCAAAGCTATGGGCGGATCAGCTCTCGCCCAGAGTCTTGGTCAACTTGGTAACGAGGCGCCAGATGTTCGTGACATAGATCTTATCACAGATTATTTCGATGCTTTATCTCAACTTCACGAAGAAGGCATTGTCCTTGCGTACCACGACCGATCAGATGGCGGCCTCTTGACTACAGTCGCTGAGATGCTATTTGCTGGTCGATCTGCGGCGGATATCTACATTGATGAATTGGTTCCCTCAGACTCTGATTCAAACGTCATGGACGCACTATTCAACGAGGAACTTGGAGCTGTATTCCAAATACGGAAATCAGACGAAACTCGATTTAGACGCTGCTTTGCAACTTGTGGACCTCCTCCTGGACTACTCAAAAAGATTGGGTACACACGATCAACGACGAAACAGTCGCTTACAATTCGGTACAAAGGCAAGCCGCTCGTCGAACTTTACAGAGCTGAAATGCAGCAGTGGTGGTCAGCAACTTCGTTCCAAATGCAGAAGGCACGAGACAACCCTGAGTGTGCTGAACAAGAGTATGCTGCGATCTTAGATGATAAAGATCCGGGTATCTCGTTTAACCTTCGATTCGATCCTTCTGACGATGGCCGCTCAGTCTTCTCAAGCCTGAAAGGTTTGGTCGCCGCAAGACCGCGTGTCGCTATCCTCCGAGAGCAAGGTGTGAATGGCTATGCAGAAATGGCCTTTGCATTCCGTGCCGCAGGGTTTGACGCAATTGACGTTATGATGACTGATATAATTGATGGCCGCACGCTTGATGATTTTAGTGGTCTTGCAGCTTGTGGCGGTTTCTCTTTTGGCGATGTCCTCGAAGCTGGGCGTGGATGGGCGCTTTCCATCTCCAAGAACGAGAAGGCCAAGGCCACTTTCGAGGCCTTCTTCAAGCGACCAAGGACCTTCACCCTTGGTGTATGCAATGGCTGTCAAATGCTTAGCCGGCTCAACGAACTAAATCCCGGCTTAGTCCCGGGGGCCGAGAACTGGCCTATTTTTGCGCAAAACAAGAGCCAGCAGTTTGAGGGTCGCTATTCTATGGTCAAGATTGGTAATGATGTACAGAATTCCGTGTTTTTCGATGGAATGGAAGGTTCATCACTTCCAATTGTCATCTCTCACGGTGAAGGTAGGGCCGAGTTCTCGTCGCCTACAAAACTCCAGTCTCTTCTAGATGAAGGCCTGGCTCCCCTAAGATATATCGACAACTCTGGGGCAGTGACAGAAAAGTACCCATCTAACCCCAACGGAAGTCCTCAGGGAATTGCTGGTGTTTCTAGTCGGGATGGGCGCGTCCTCGCAATAATGCCACACCCTGAAAGAACAATAATGGCAGATGTAGCAAGCTATGTGCCACAGAAGCAGCTAAAGGAGTTCGGTCAGTATGGGCCATGGATCAAGATGTTCCGCAATGCTAGGAAGTGGGTAGGTTAATAGAGTGCATCAGGATCGGTAAGGACTTAAAACAATCCATGGCGTTGGGTGGTTGTATTACATTTGCTTTCTACAGTTAGAGGTACCTCACTAGTACCAGTCTAGTCATGTAGACCTCATTATTCACTACCTTGTTGTTTGTATTCACAATACTAGCTAAGATTCTCGTTCTTTTGGTTCACTGCACCCTCATTCACTTGCAGTCGTAGTTAATTGTACCGTTACACCGCTAGCGGCATCTGATTGTACCATGCCTTCAAAACGCCTTGAACATCTCCTCTTCAAGTTTTTCACAAACTCTCCAGTCTCTCTTCAGATTGCATGCCAATTACTCAAAAAGCACATCACCTCACAAGATGCAGTCTGAACAATCCCAGAGACCGGAGTCGGCGCTTACAGCGCCGTCTAGTAACAGAACCAATAGACTCACTCGATTTATCCAGAAATCGGTCTCCTTGTTGAAGGCGAACAAGAGACCCGCGCCTTCCGCAGCCTTATTAGCCTCAGAAGCGTCAGCAGTGCCTCCAGAGGAAAATCCCAATCCCGAGACACAAGAGAAAAAAGAGAAACAAGGCTACATCTCGCCAAGATACGTAAGAGAGCAGCGCAACTACACACTCACGGAAGCAGACTTGAAGAACCATGTTGCCGCACTAGAGACTGCTCTAGGTGATGGTTGGCCACGCCGACATCACAGCCGGTATCGCAATGCGCATGCACTTCTTGTGTGCTGGGCTGACAGCGACTCCGTGCATCCAGCTGAGCCCTACTCCCCACCCCAATCACTTGTAACCCCCGGTAGATCCACGTTAAGTCATGAGTTGAGTCCGGCCCAGGCAACTTCTAAAGTCGATGTAAGAGGCTCATCTGGCATGGCTAGACACAACACGGGGCAGGGGCCATTTGTCTCCGTCGCACACCAGCTTGCGGATGTCTTTGAGAGCCGGTATGGAATTCAGGCACAGGTGTGGAAGGTTCCTTTGCTGGATAATGCTCAGGTTAGTATCCCTGCTATTCCAAGTGGTAACAAAATGTCATATTCAGAAGCTTCCTTTTCCAATCAACGGAACAACGCTGGTGGGCTGACGTTCATACTGACTCTCTATGTATGAATAGGAGATGCTCACGTGGAAGATGAAACATTTCGTTGATGAATATGGTGGCCCGGACAACCTGTTGATCTTCTGGTATGGTGGGATGGCTGAGTTGAGCAGTCCCAGAAGCACTGGCGAAAGTCCAGCGAGAAACAGTCTTAACGCTGGAGAGGTCATCTGGTACGGCTCGTAAGTGCTTCTCTTCGCGTTTTACAGTTCTGCATTTGGAGGGCATGCTCTGGCTCTCTGCCATTCACCATCCTGCCCCCATGTAGTTCTTATTCAACTTCTCATTTCCCCACAGATAGTGGCGCACCAACATCCCAATATTATAATACTGACAATGCTATAACAAACAATCAGAAAGAGCAAGCCTGGAATTACCGCGAGAACAGTAACCAAGGCTCTCAGGCTTGCCCGCGCAGATGTGTTTATGCTCAATGACAGCCCGTTTGCACAGCAAGTATACACAAGCCACATAAACGACCCTCAATCTTTCGAGCTTCTCGGTTCTGGCTCGACAGATCCAAATCGTTCTACCCCTTCATTCACGCGAACGCTAGCACTGATGTTAGAGTCACCCCATCTATCGTCCAATGGTGTCTCGGTGCGACAACTCCACCGCAAGCTCCTCGATATCGCCGCTGATCCGATCTACCGATCCCCGGCTACCGCAGCGAGAATCCCAACATACCCAGTGTACATCCAGATGGCACAGACAGCACCCAATGATCGTGAGGCAAAGAGAAGCATTATACTATCTCGTCTTGATACCTCTCTTGCTCCTGAGATGAACTATGCGAAGACTGTGGGTGATCCAGGGGTTAAGATTCAGTTCAAGCTTGCGAGACAGCATCTTGATGTGCGCCAGTGGAAAGAGTGGGTTTTGGCTGCGCCGACTGAAGCTCGTGAGGTTTCTGTGAAGGTCTGTGGTAAGGGAGACAAGTAGATGCGGTCTACTTAAGAGAGGTGTGAGGTTGATCTGCGTTGATTTTGTGAAGAAGGCCCTTGGCAAACCCTCAGGGGTTAAAAAAGCAGTGAATTCGGATTTTCCGTGCATGGTGCATGAAAATGCAACCTCACTGGGTAGCATTCATCAGCTCTCTGGTCGATAGCTCAAAAGCAATGAAATAATAACATGCAAAGAACATGCAGGCGTCCCTTGATATAGCAAGGGCTTGAAATTGAAGGTATTCACATTAATACAATGATCAACTAGGGCTGCAGGAGTTCATGACTATTCTTCTTGGCGTTGGTGGTTTGACTCGACTCTATATACAACTGGTCTGCCAGCCCTGACCGCCTAGGTCTCATTGGCTTGTGAATGCGGTTGGCTTACTCCACATAATTGTTTAACATTCACATCACGAGATCCATGCTTCAACCCAAGAGCCTTTCGCACCATGACGACGGCACAATTGCCAGCCCATATGCAGATCTTTGATCCAGTGCCGTTTTATCTCGCTAGGTCGGGTCCATTGGAGTTCACGTTATTCTCTCAACTTCCAACTGAGCTTCGCCAGAAGATATGGTGCCACTTTCTTGAACAACCACGGATGGTAAAACTTGGGTTGTGGTCCCATAGACTCATGGATGTCATTATAGACCACGAGGGAGAGGGCTCGTCGTCTTCTGCTAACCATGATGGGCCCTGTGCTGTGGTTTTAGGCCGACGCCAAAAGGTTCTGAGCAAATTGCTTCGAGTCAACAGCGAAGCGAGAGAAACTGTCTTGTCTTTTTATCGAGCTCATCTTCCATGTAGGATGTTCAAGAAGGAAGGCAAGAGTAAATATACTACCGCAGAAGGCGTAGTCTACATCAATCCCGAGTTTGACTTCGTCTATTTGAAGTCCAAGGAGGGCAACAGTTATGTTCCCTTCATCCACTATTTCAAGTCTGTTGTTGACCCTCGCGGGGTTGGTATCCTCAACCTCATCCTAAATCCTAAGTCCCTCGGTGACCTATACGGCGCGATCCCGCAACACTACGACGCGTCCGTAAGAAAATCATTTACAAATACGCTACAGAGTCTTCGCCAGGTCTACTTCCTTGATAAGATTTCAAGTCGTATGGTACCTAACTGGAACAGTAGGTAACCACTAGAATTATTCTCTTCCTATTCTAGTTACTCCCGGGAGTCATAGTTGACTATCAGGGGCACAAATATGTCTCGGGAGTATGCAGACTCCCAAAGCTCTTACCTGAAATAGTAGTGACTGACTCCAGCGGCTGAAGTGATGTGTCAACCAGCAAAGTATCAAGTTAACCGTTCTTGTCCGATATCAGCCACAGGAACGTCATTTCAACGTTTCCCTCGCGATCCACGCGCTGTCGGTCTGGATCTCAAGATCCTCCTCACACACACCTTTGCATCGTCTTTCGTAAGAGACTGGCGTGAGTTCCTCACAAGCTGGGGTATAGCAGTGTCAACGGCGACAGGAACAGAAACTCAGGAAACGACGAAGACAGCGACAGATATTCGCCATCTTGTCGCATGCAAACCAAGACCAGGTAGCAATGATGGCGTCTACGACCGCAAGAGCGCGCAGGGGATGTTAAAATCCGAGATGGATCACTGGACCGGATATGGCTTTGCTGACGTTTATTCACGCAAGGACAACTGGGGTAAATATATTACGGCAGAGGCTAGCAACGAAGACTTGGAAGAGGCCCTCGCTGTAAAACCAGCTTTCGGTTTCTGGGTGTTCCCTACAGAAGCTTGCATATCGGCGATCAATCATCATCAACATAATGAATGGCCCGTTTTGGACTATACGGGATATTGGCCTGAGCTTTTTCTGTGGAACTTGGACTAGATCAGTGATAGATTGCACTAGTAATGGAAGCTGTGGCCGCAATAGAGATATAGCACGCAGAGAATGAGAGATAAAGTAAGGGTGGGAGATAATGAGTTTCTCTAAATGTACTATTTGGCGCTTAATTGACACAACCACGGGTAAAATACAAGATAGCGCAACGAATAATCAATATACATGCTGATAGATCTATTATGTGTACACAGATCAACCCTTCGTCACCCCAAAACCCATGACAGGATCCCGAGCGTTACAATAACCGCTCCCTTAATGCCAAAAGGTGGATGCTGCATATTTGCAGCACTGAAAGTATCTCGCTCGATTAAAGCCGTCGGTGCGACGTAGCTGGTATTCCCGGAGGCCCGTCGTCCTTCAATCGTTAGACAGTCTTGAAAGTCGCGTTTCCAGTCGTCGGAGTCGTCGATATCGAGATCCTCTGGCAGCAAGCACCACGTGAAGCAGCCAGCTGATTGAATCTCCCGCGGGTCGCAGCATTGTGTCATTGCTGTCACGTTGGTCTTGCTCCAGGCACTGGGGATCCAAATGAAGTCTTGGGTTCCAGGACCCACGCCCTCGATGTTGATGGGGTTGCATGTGACGTTAACGTCAAGATTCATTTTGTAGTATTTCTTTCGTTGATATTTTGATCTCGAGGTGGATGCGAGAAGAATATTTGTGTATGTAGGACTTAATGTCTTCGCAGGTGTTTCTTCTTAGGTAAACAGAGAGTAAAGAGTATGAGCTTGACGTTGAGAACCTTTCGTACCTTCGGAAGTCAGAGAGTTGTTATATCCCTAATGCAAGTTGATGTCGATCCTTGTATGATGTCATTGGCGACTTGTGATGATTTTCATGTTGGGCGATCCAAAGGCACCATGCAGCTTGGCGATACCAAAATTAGTGCTATTTGCTGGCCGCAATGCAGCCTTGCAGCCAACAACCACAACGCCGCAGCTAGTTCAATTCTCTACTAACCCGTACCGACATCTTATTACTTGAGCTGTTAGTAGTTGAGTGCATCCGAGATTTTCTAAATTCTCCTGTGACGTTGAAACGGAATGAAGGAACAAGATCTACCATTCACTATGATGAAATGCAAAAGTCAACGCTAATGCCACTTTGGCACTATCGCAATATTTCAGCACACTAGACGTCATGGAGAAATTTATGAACATTATTAATGTTGCAATATGGCTCAGTCAAGTCTATTTTCAGTAATACATCTAAAACTCAAAATTATATGACGTTTGTGCTCGTGATGACTAAGAGAATGGAAGAGAGTCTCAAGTATATAAGTAGGATAGAACGTTATGGCAAGAAACATTGGCTCGGTCACACCAAACGAGTCTTGAATTTTCTATTTCCCCATTCAACTATTGTAGAATCACCATTAGTCATTGCTACTACATAACTGATCTCTATTGGTACAACCCTATTTTCTATTTACACTCTCTGAGCGCTACCAACATTCACGATGAAGACTACGTTGTGCCTTTCAGCTATCATGGCCGCTGCCTACGCTTTGCCATCACCAAGTCCTGCCAAATGTGGTGCCGACTCAAACTGCGAGCTGGTCAACATCAACAGCACCATGAGTTACAGGTTTAAGTCTGGTTTCGAGCCAGGGAGTGCAAACCACCAGAAGCAGTTCCACCCGCTCCCAGCTCGCCAAGACAACGACATAGAACTCAGAGTTATTATGGGAAAGACCATGATGCAGTGGGGGTGTGATGTGGACGTAGGCTCGGCCATCACAGGCACGATCGACGACAAATGTCAACCTAATGCCGGTTGTGACCCAACTCAGGCACTCGAATTTGATGTGAAAAAGTGGGAGGGCGAGAGCGAAGAGCCCAGCGACGCAAAGCTGAAAATCACCGCCGACGGAAAGTATTACGACCAGGATATCAGGGACTTCCTGAAAAGTGTTCTCCAAATGACCGTCACCGACGACAGCGTCCAGGTCGATGAGCAAGAATGGGTATACACGCCGCCTGCGTCGGGTCAACACTGGGGATTGCCCGGCGACCATGGTGATTGCGCCATCAAGGAGTTTCCAACCTATGTCGCTGTTGTTAGGTTTGAAGATGAGAATATGAAGGATTATATGGAGATCCGCGCGGAGCTCGTTGAGCCTAAGGGTAAGTTGACTGTCATGCCGCTTTCCAGCACATCTATTATGTTCTCTCTGTCTACAATTCTCATATCCTTTACATGAAACTAATTAGATATATAGAAAACTGTCTAGCCGCTAGTATCCTAGGCGGAATCGCTGGTGCGATCAATCCCCTCGCTGGCAAGTTTTTCTCGGTTGCTAAGGTGGTTTGCGAGGCTGCAATGGCATTTTGAAGTGTGGCGAGGAGTATTGCTGGCCGCAAGATATTCTTGTAACTTAGATGAGTATATGTATGGGCGGGATCACGTTGTAGCTATAAATTATCTTTTCACTCTGTTTGTGTCGATAACAAAATCATACGCTCTCAGCCACCTTAGGACAGATGCCGTAACGCCTCACCATCTAGAACCAGCGCTGCCCACCGACTAAGTATTATTTTGTTTGATTACCAGATAACTTGACTAGTCAAAACAAGATAAGACCTTTTAAATTATTTTACAAACCAAAATAGATTTTTGCACTTGACTCCTTTAATTGCAATTAATTGCAAGTAATCTTTTGATTTTTCTGATTTGTTTACAGGGTTTAGCTATTAGAAAGTTGTTGTTGAAGGCTTCGAAGGTTGGAAGGTTGTAGGTGATTGACCTAACCTGACCCCTGACCTGACCGAGGCGGTTGAAACAATACCACGAACATATACTATAGACACCTACTTAACTCCACCACCAATTAGGTGTTCGTAGTATTCCTTCAACCGCCTCGCTAACCTAACCTACTACCTTAAGTGTAGTATACGTTCCGTAAGGGGGCGTAAACGCGTAAAGGGGACGTCAACACGTAAGGCACCTGGGACGTTTGGGTAGTTAGCACCGTTATCGTAAGATTAGTTATAAGGGTAAGCTTTTTCCGTACTATCCAAACTATTCCGTACGGGCTAATGATAACCTATAAGGCTACTTCGGGTTATTTGGATTACTTGGTAACCAGTTACAGTCAAGCCAAATACAGATTCTAGCTAAGTAGGTTAAATAAGGCCAAAAACGGGCTCAAATCAGAGAAAATAAGATAAAGACAAATTGCTTGACTTGTTTTGACTGTGTGCAGCGCTATCTAGAACTCCCAAAGTACGATGAATTAGATACGCTATAGTGCCATCTAAAGCAAAATTAAGGGCAAGAATGACTCCTGACATTACGAGATTGATGATAATCATTCCCAGTATGATCGCATCTACATCCCTGACCAAGATCTCGAGATCAAATCTGCCGTCTTTGATCTGCTTGGACGTGGCGCGAACGTTCAGCCACTCGGCTCCTTCCCCCGGCAAAGCGGCCTTGACCTCGAGGTTCATGACGACGGTGCGGAACCATAGACTCGCCCGTGCCTCTGTCTGGCCGTCCTCATCTCGGTCCTCCGCTCTCGACATCTCGTCTGCTCCGTCAGAGCTAGTTTTGTGCCCACGATCGCGAGATGGGGGCATCAACAGCTCTCGCAATTCCGGCGCTGCCAGGTAGGCGTGCATGGGAAAGGGGAACGAGTCAACGGCAAAAGGGAGCATAGCTTGCGTCATGTACTCTCCGGTCGGATCCACATGCCTAGGACACCTGTGAGAGGGCCGGACCGAGGGAGGTAGAAGTGCCAATTGCGCAGCGAGTGAATCACTCCCGAGGCTTGAGGTAGCACGGCTTCTTCCCAGCCCGCGTCTTTCCCGCGCGCCTTTAAGGCGTCGAAATGCGGGGCGGGATCGGGCAGCGCCGCGGCGGGCGTGGACTCGTACCCCGTAGGCAGGGAGAAGCCTCCAAAATACTGGAAAGGCTGACGTGCGCCGCGTAAGCCAGAATGACACGGCGCCTCCGTCTTCAGCCCACCTTGTCACAGTGTCAGGTGCAGCGTCGATACCTGCGACCTGCCCAACTTGACGTCTTCGATGATGATGACGGCTGGCCCCGGAGAGGTTCGGGCTGGATACTCGAAACGAGCGGTCAGGGCGTCAGGCTGATTGCGCGAGAGGTGTGCGCTTGCAGCAGCTAGCATGCACAAGGCGACGTAGCCGCCATTAGGTACTGATATAATCAGCTCAGTAACCTGTGTGTTCGCCCCTCTCCCATGCTTTCTTAGTCCACTTACCGGAGCCGATGCAAGCTGCTGCTGAGGTTTGCGTTGTACGCGTGACGACCTTGATGGCGTCAGAGAAGGGGATAGACGCATACTCGGGGATTCCCGAAGCCATGACACGATATAAGCAAATTTCTGTCTGTCTGTCTGAGAAATCGAAGTTGCGTTGCGAGACCGAACCTTTTCTGAACAGGCGTTGGACAGGATTACAATCAAAGAATGCATGTTGCCTGTTTGTCCTTATAGAGGGTCCCTGCTACCGTGTACCTAAGTACCTACATAGTAGGAATGTACTGAGTCCTGCTGAAGATAAAAAGGTCTAAGAGGTAATAGATCGAGCAGAACATTGAAGAGGATGTAGGATGGATGATGATGACATCCCACCTAGGCACCCATCTCTTCAAAGTGTGATATAACCTAGGCGCTTTATGCTGGTTAGGCTTCACAGAATCTAGGATCTCCGCCTATTCGGCTTCCTTTGCCTAGGTCATTGCTGGTTTTAACTGCATGTAACTATCTGGCCTTACCACTCAGTAAACCCAATTGCTTATGCTTCACTTTCGCCAAAGGCATAGAGTAGATGGCCTAGAGTCTTGGCATATTTGACAGTCTTGGCTGTGTGATACCTATTAGAAACAAAAAATGAGTCTAAAACTCATGCAATTCCTTCAATATCGTCAGCGAGCCAGCCCAGTCGCTCTAATGCCGATTGCCCTATCTGGAGTATCTTCTTGATTGTCTACCTTTTTATCAATGTCGGACTCATACAACTCTTGTGCAGTTCTAGTCTTGACGCTTCCAAACTTGCGCAGCGAGACGCCTGACGCGAAGAGCTGATCGATCTCCTCGAGTGTGCGACCCTTCATCTCGGGGATCACAAAGAACGTCGCGACGACCATGGCAAAGTTAAAGCTGCCGTAGATAAACCCGACTTTACCTCCGAGGTTTGCGTACTCAGGGTTGATGAGGTACGGGGTTGTGAAGCTGACGACAAAGGTGGTTAGCACAGAGAAGACGCTGGCGACAAGGTTGGTCTTTTCTTTGAGACGCAGGGTCGCGGCTTCAGATACGACAACGTAGGAGCTGGAATGTGTTAGTCCGTTGTAGACTTCCGCGTTGAGAGGAAGAGCGGGGGTGTCAATAGGCCAACTTACATAGGCGCCCACGACAAGTTATAAAAAACACTGAAGAGCTGGAGCGACGCGACTAGGAGATTTGAGGTGGCCGGCGTGAAATCCTCGGTTCTCATCGTGCCTAGACCGCCGAGAACAAAGAGCCAGACGCCCATAAAGAAGCCGCCAAGCATGAGTAAGGGTCGACGGCCAACCTGATCGACATAGCCCCAAGTCAAAAAACAAGCGACAAGGGAGACTAGGTTCCCAATAACGTTGTACAGGAAAGCTTTCTGTCCAAATCCTTGGGATTGATAGAAGATGACGCCGTATTGGCTAGGGAAAGCCTGACCAGTGATTTGTTGACCGAACATGGCAATTACCGCAATCATTGTGCGAACCTAGGACATTTGGGATGATATGAGACGCCGTCATGAGCGTTTGATCAGGAATATGCAACGTGTGACATACCCGGTTGATTTTGTCAAAGACCTCCGCCCATGTCCCCTTGTCTTCATGAGCACAAGCATATTTCAACGACTCAATCTCCAAATGTATATCCTCATTGCTAGAGTGTTTTCTCAGCTTCCGCAGGCTGTTGAACGCTTCATCGTCTCTCTGGCGGTCGAGAAGCCAGCGAGGAGATTCTGGAACAAATGTAAGCAAGATAAGGAGAATTCCTGGTGAGACTAGCTGCAGCCCGATAGGGATTCTCCAACCGGCGGTGCTCGGAATGCTTTTCGTGCCGTAGGTGACGAGCGACGACACTACTTGCCCAAACACGATCATCAGTTGGATGGTCGAGGCAAACATGCCGCGAAGCTCTCTAGGTGTGGTTTCAGCTTGATAAATAGGGACAAGCACGATCGCTATGCCGGTCTGCCCGTAGGTGATGATACGGCCCAGTGTGAACTGGGCTCGAGAGGTGACTGAAGTTGTCTGCAGCGTGACCCCGCTGTTTCCAGTTCCCAACCGGTCAGATCGGATGATAGATATACCTATAGAGGCTTTTCCCAGGTAATACTCACATTATAGAAACGATGCACAGGAGATAAAATGTAGCTTTACGTCCGAATCTCTCGGCGATCCAACCAGCTCCAATACATCCCTAACAATATCGGCGTTCATACTCAGCATCTCGTCTTGAACCTCCAGTAGTGTAAGACTTACCAGAGCTTTCCCAAAGAATGGCGTAGCGGTCATGACCGACGATAACCACCCAGGTAGAGCACAAACCCCATCCTCGTCACACTCGCCGAATTTTCGGGTGAAAGAAGGAAGACCCTGCACACCACCAAACGTTCCGACCTTTAGGATAATGATGATAAGTCAATCTCCCCTAGACGATGATATAGACTGTTTCTAAGGGGATGATCGTACATCGTAACCGTAGTTGAAAGCGCAGAATCCCGAGAAGACGAGCAGGAAGGCGAGGAACCCGTTGAAGTGCTTCAAGCGCTGACTCAACGACATGTCAGTGACACTCGGGTCTGGGGATGCGCTGCCCGGCATTCTATTGCAATTTCGATAACCTGTTATCTACCTAGGAGCTGGTTCTCGAAAGCGAAGCCGAAGCTGAAAGAAGCGCGAGAAATACTAGCTTCAAGAGTCTTTGTCCGACGGCTGCTTCGGGAGAAGGCTCGTCAAGCTGGGACATGTTTAATATCTTGGAATAGCATTTTTTTTTAGTATGTGTTACATCGAATCATAGTTTTATTCCCAAGCTAACGGGCGTCGCATACGCATCATGTGGTCAAGCTCCTGTCCAGGATCCCCGCAGCAGCGAAACAGGGGTGATGGCGTGCTTGACGCCACCGTTATTTTCAAGATAGGATATTTCAGCAGTACTCATTGGTCATCCTGGTTGTGTGATGCATCAGATTGGGAAACCACGGCTGGACTTTGTGTGATTGAATTTCTTGAAGATGCGATTACCATGATGGGATTTCTACCACAGCCGCCTAAAAGAAGAAATACCTAGCGGGTGTAAATGATTGTCAAGGAGATGTAAATACTTTGTACCTATGATCTGCATATTGGCGCCATAGTACAGTGGCTGGGCAGTATCTGATTCGCGAGTCGCGACGACCCCGCGATCGAGAGTGGACAACGTCTCCAAAACGTGCGATGGTCTCATCATGTTAGTAGGTATAGGAACTAATTTCTCATCGTCTCGATTATAGAATTTTCAGATGTTTTCTTTTCTTCTAGAGATTAGAGCTAGATCTCATTTGAGATCAAAGTGCGAACCACTGTGATAAGATGGCAGAGAGACGCCCCAACTTCCTCGTCATCGTGGCCGACGATCTTGGATTCAGTGACTGTGGCTGTTTTGGTTCTGAGATCTCGACGCCTAACATCGATGCACTTGCGAGGGAGGCAAATGCCTTGCGCTTCACCAATTATCATGTTGCCGCCGCCTGCTCCCCGACGAGGTCTATGCTGATGACTGGTAAGTAACCTCCATTAGGGTTCACCCCTAACTAGAAGGGAATGTAGGAAGCAAAGTTTGGATACGATGGAACAATCTTACAAATCGCGCGGAACCCTATTAACACAGCGCAACCCAATAGGCACCGACCACCACATCGCGGGTCTAGGTCAGCTTCAAGAGATCACTCGCGCCTCACCCGCTCACTACGGCAAACCCGGCCACGAAGGGTACCTAAACGAGCGCGTGGTAGCCCTCCCAGAACTTTTATCTGATGGGGGCTACTTCACTTGTATGGCCGGAAAATGGCATCTCGGCCTGAAACCCGAGCACTGGCCGAGCCAACGGGGGTTCCAAAGGTCCTTTGCGCTTTTGCCAGGCTGCGCGAACCATTACGCCTACGAGCCAGAGTACCAAGATCCGCACACAGAGCCGGGGAAGTTCTTCGAGACTGCGACTAGGGCGCTTCATGTTGAAGACAATCATATCATCCCCAAGTTGCCAGACGATTTTTATAGTAGTGATACCTATGCAGACACCATGATTAAGTATCTCAGCGGCCGCACGGAAGAAGATAAGGAGAAACCTTTCTTTGCGTACTTGCCTTTTAGTGCTCCGCATTGGCCGTTACAGGCCCCGAGTGAGGTCTGTGAGAAGTATCGGGGCTGGTATGAGGATGGTCCAGAGGCTTTGCGACAGAAACGTAAGTCCCTCATTTTCCCAGGCCCTACGATATCTGTCTTCTCCTGAACATGAAAGCTGATGTGGCGTCTACATAGGCATTGCCAAGCTCAAAGAAATCGGCATGGTAGAGCCTCACGTCAAAGCCCACGACGTAGTCTTCGTCGACGGGAAACCCGAGAACTGGGACGACCTTGACGAAGAAACTCGCAAATCCTCCAGCCGCGCGATGGAGGTCTACGCAGCTATGGTCGACCGTATGGATTGGAACATAGGCCGTGTGCTCGAACACCTCAAGAAGTCCGGCGAATACGACAACACGTTCATCCTCTTCATGAGTGACAACGGTGCTGAGGGCGCCAGCTTCGAAGCCGAAGCCATCGTCGGTACGAGTATCATGGAGCATGTACACAAGTACTATGACAACAGCCTCGACAACATCGGTCGCGGGAACAGCTTCGTCTGGTACGGATGCCGGTGGGCGCAAGCTGCCACAGCGCCCTCACGTCTATACAAGATGCATTCCACTGAAGGCGGATGTCGCGTACCACTTGTGGTGCGACCACCCATTGCCAAGGGCAACATCAACAGTACCGCCAACCCCCAAGGGGGCGTGATAAGTCACGCCTTCTGCACCGTAATGGACATCGTGCCCACTGTGCTGGATCTAGCTAAGCTCCAACACCCTACCACGTACCAAGGTCGCCCAATCGCCCCGTTGCGTGGCCGCAGCTGGACAGACTTCCTATCCTCCGTCACCAGCGGGAACGAGAACGGCAAAGAACTATCGGAGATTCACCCGTCTACCTACGCCGTCGGCTTCGAGATCCGGGGGTCCGGCGCGGTGCGTCGGGGCAACTGGAAGATCACGTTCGTGCCGGCGCCGAAGGGGCCGCACAGGTGGGAATTGTTCGACATGAAAGCCGATCCGGGAGAGGTGAACGATCTGTCGGAGCAGTTTCCAGAAGTCATGAAGGAGATGTTGGCCCTTTGGGACGAGTATAAGACCGAGGTTGGCTCGGTGGGCGTCGCCGATGAGTGGCCAGAAATTCACCAGGGTGATCCGTCATCAACGCTCGGTGACGAAATGGAGGATCCTTACTCTTGGATTAAATATATTGGCAGGCCTGAGATTACTCCCGATGCGATTAAGCCTCTGCTGCCTGTTGTGAAATGAAGGAAAAGGAAGAATATAGAAACATACCAAGTTTGTGAAGGGCCATCATTTCATATGGGTGACAACCGGGAGAGAGCCTTCCAACTTTGGATGCCAGAACCTCATGTAGCAAGGTATACCCAGCCCGAGAAAATAATACTTGTAATGACTACTTCTGAGGCTAAATCGCCTTGAATAATGGTCCTTGTTTGGTATTTGGATGTGTTTTAAAGGCGCTATGCTATATCTCTACATATAATCGTCACACATACACTAACAGTGTCATAGAAGGCTTTAGTCTTTTCAACTTCATCCAAGATTGGCCAGATGTTCTCAGACTCTCGATAGCGGCTATTTGAAAGTAGGATCAAGCACGGACATAATCGCACAAGGAGGTCTCCGAGAAATAGGATATATTATCTACCTGATGAGTAGTCATACTAAGTCAACTGAGCGGTTTGTATCATGTCCTCCATATTGGTAACAAATGTTCGAGAATAGGATTTCGAACGGGCCTCAAAGAGTGTACAAATCACTCTTTATTATTTCATTCCTCCGAGTGTCTCATATTGGTCATGGGCACATCACTGGTTATCGACCTTTGAAGTGGTATCAATGAGATGGTAGGGCAACAGATCATTGTATCAAGAAAGGATGCCTTAGCCATCAAGCTGCCAGTTGAAGACGGGGAGAGTTTCTGGGACCCTGGTCAAAGATTTTGATATAAAGTTTACCTCATAAAGCCTAGATCAATCTATTGGCACTATTCAGTCTGAATATGCGTACTAATAGTTTACTACGTAACCCTACGCCTGCCTTCTGTAACAGGTATTGTTATAGTCTCGGTCCTATGCGTAAATTTAAATATCCTAGCACTAATAGATTGCCCAACAACGGGGTATAAGTCGTGATTTACTATCACCAACACACAAGAAGCATATTCTCTTATGGAACGAAACTGCCAATACATAAGAACAGCCTATTTACAAAGAACCTAAATTATGTGAAGGTGTAAAAACATAAGTATATTTAAAATTATAAATAATGTTTAGGCCCATTGGTATAGAGTCAAGATCAACCACTAAGGCCACGTGAGGAGTCGAACCGCAGGACTTCCAGACCTTGCAGTGGCCATAAGTGATTATTAAACATGATACAGCCAATCTCAAGCCATGCATCTAAGGCTTTCCATGATGTCCCCCGGCGCCTTATCCGCCACACGTCAAGTTACAAGGGTCTGACATCTCTTACTATGGTGCCTTGTTCGAATTAGACTTCCTTAGTATATAGCCATTAGCAACCTAAGTGCACTTGACTGCACTTCCCACTAAGCATAACACTTGTCGCTTAAAGCATAGCTGCAGCGCCAATAACACCGCCGGCAGCAGCAGCGCGCAACAAGGCACCTGTGGGCCTAGCAGCGGCAGCGGTAGGGATGAAAATGGTAGAGCTGGTAACATTGCTCGTAGCCGTCAGCGTGGGCGTAGGGTAGGTGCCATTTGACGCGCCACCAGGGGTAGGTGAGGCCGTTTCCGTGCAGATGTTGCCCGTATAGGTCAAGACGTGGTTGAAATAGCTGGTCGAGCTCGCGACAAGACTGTCTGGAGCGCAGGCCGTGATGTAGGCTACGAGCTCGCTGGTATAGCTGTGTGCAAAATCCATTAGTTCAGACCCCAAGGTCTGAAGTTCTGGGAGAAGAGAAGATGGTAGCGCGGCTGCGACCGCACAAAGCTGCGACTGGTGGCTTTCAGCGTCCCCGATGGTAAAAGAAGGGATTTGAGTATTCGCGGCGATGAAAGAAAGAATCTCAGTAGGTGTTGCTGGAGCCTCTGGGATCAGGCCCATGAAGACGCTGAATGCCGAAGAGCAGGCTGGACTGTCCGATTTTTGAGACAGCGATGTGCCTGCAAGAGCGGCTGTCAATAAAAGGGCTTTGATGCTATGCATGTTGCTTTGAGGTTTCGAAATTACTAAGTTTATAGTAATTATAGTAGGAAATTAAGTAGGAGTAATGGCTGAGAGTTTGTGTTCAGAACAAATGTAGGTTTGTATGAAGAGTTTTATATTCTCTGAAGTCTCAAATAACAAACACCAATAAGGTGCCGCAATACCATAACGAAAGCTTACTCCCATCAACGCGCCCGTTCTGCTGCATAGTAATTCTCAACCATTTCTCCACTCTTCATTCTATCTAGTTTCCATTGTGAACTCCAGTGTAATGTTGATTGATAATACCTGCTCCGTATTTACGAAGGTACCTAACGGCCCCGCGCCGGTCGAAGAAGATTTGTCATCAACAATCCCCGGGTATAAGGCAGTGCCGTTTTAACCCCAGTTCGTCCTTTTTCCCAGGCCTCATATTTGTCCGGGATGCCCAGTACAGACCCAGTAGCATCCTGGTATGCATGAGGTGGTGAGTGGTGCAGATTATCAAAAGCGGAAATAAGTATTTCTAATCCGGTACTGCGAGAGCTGGCCCGCATACCCGGGCCTCCGGGTACTGTCATAGAGACAAGCTGAGTCTTCACTTCTGTTCATGTAATTATTCAATATTTCAATTGATGATTTTGAAGTCTTAAAACTTGATGGGTTATTTTGTCAAACGAATTGAAGCTCTGGTTATTGAAAAAAGGTGTGTTCTCCTGGAGCTAAGTAACCCTCTTCCCTTACACGCATTGAATCATAGCCATAATTCCAGTCCCTAATTGGCTACAATCCACAGAAGTAATTACCTGCACTGCTTCAATAGGTGCTTTTACATGCTGTGTTCTGGTCTTGTAATCAAAGAAAGGAGGCAGTGCTAAAGCAACAAAGGAGGTGTAGTACTACTACGACAAATAAGTCAGCACACGTACCTGCGCCAGGTTGCTCATACTGCAAGATAATGTTGCTCGTCGAGATAAAAGACGCCACTTCAACACTAAGGGGTAAGGAAGCCTTCGTTTCAATGGGCCCAACCTATCCATATAGCACCTGCAGTTCTTGCCCGGGTAGTCTACGCAGTCTATATGGCTCTAGCCACAAGCTCAACCTTACCTATCCGCCAAGTCTAGCATAGTATGGAGGTTATCTTCATTTGTAGAAGACTGGACTGGGACTGGAAGGGGGCATCAGGTGGCCTAGGCTATAATTTTAGGTAGGTACTTGTCCGTAACCGTCTAGAGTATTTTCATTGTAGTTCTAGAATAGGGAGCCGAACTCCATAGGTTTGACTTTGTTTGTGGCTAAAATAAAATCTGCCTGGCCGGAGTAAATATCGCCTGATTAGTCATCATAGTTCATTCACGATGGTGCTACTAGGACTGACCTAAGGATGTCCTGACGTAGGAGGGATATTTTCTTCAAGGATCAATTATATACAACAAAATGTCAGTATCTCTTGAACAGATAATTAAACCAGGGGTTATGAGATTTTACGAATGACCAGAACAATTCGCGTTAACGTCGGTATTCTTCTGCATCTAGTCTAGACATTTCATAAGGGTCGTAGGACAGCCACATGCATGTCATTGACACCGAAGAGTATCAGCTACCAGAGAACGCCAAACATGCTCATGATGCGAAAATGCCCGAAGCCCTCATGAACGCTGCACTATATTGCCCTTTCGTGAGGCCTATCTCGATAGCTTCACTTATTCCTTGGGTGTATCGACCTACGATCTTGTCAGATATATTTAAACCAGTCAAACACCACGTTTCTCACTAGCTGAGAGTCGGAAAGGCTATAATTAGGTTATTTACATACGTATGTGGAAGTATTAGTATGAAAGTCTCCAGGATTCTAGAATCGAGCCCACGTCACCATAAATGTTGTCTCCAAGAGACAGGATGCACATGACTTATTAATCACACGTGGAGAGCAATGGCCATTGAATTTTGCCCTACATGAAAGGGAGGAGCGGTAAAATCGCTTTGCTTACATGGTTTCTATTCTATAGTTGGAGTATGCTTCCAAACCACATACGGACCTCATTCATACCAGTTTTACTTCTTACTTTAGGGCAAACGGCAGAAATTCCTGCTTCGACGCATCTGGATACAAGTATCATGAGCAACCTTGCCCTGAAACATATGAAGCTTCCCGCCCTGCTCGATACCTGGGCGTTTCCCAAAGGGATACAGAGGTATCATTCATTAAGCCATCGGCCATAACCATCAGAATAAATAGAGCCGTAACGAGCCAATTGGGCACCCGCAGTTATTCAAGCCATATAACAACGATATAAATTGTGTAGGGGCACAATGAAAGACTTCCAAACGCGACCAAGCCAAGCCGAGCTCCAAAGAAGACTCACGGTGCGGGCCGTAGAAGGGATTTCATGGATATCAAAGTTCAGCATATACCTGCACGGAACGGACATGAAGCGCGCGCAGCAAGAAGAGCAAGCGAGCCAGCATAGAAGTATAACGTATTCCTGAAATGCTGCATACGCACTCGAACATCCAATTCAAAATCAAGATAAGATACATCGATTTTGTACCAATGATGATATACTTTTTCGCTAGTCATCTGAAAGGTAGTGACAGAAGTATATCTAAGCAACTCTCCTAGTTAACCATAGAGAGAAACAAAAAAACAAGAAAAAACTATGGGGAAGCTTCTGTCTTCCTCATGTTCGACATCCAATATATTCCATCCCTTTTGATCTCGTGAAGTAGTGTACCAGCTGCGCCGAACCAAGCTATGGCCCCCAGCACACTCACCCCCGGCACCGCGGGCATATCCGGGGCCCTCGCGATCTGGCTCAGCAACGGGTTCGTAATCAGCCTGATCCTCGCGCGTCTAGTTCTGCGCCGGTGGCGGCACGACAGCAGTAGGAACGCGTTCACGGCGGGCGACGGCTGGCTCGTGGTGGCGCTGGTCTTCCACGAGCTGCGTGTCGCGGGGGATTGCTACATGAACAAGTACGGGACGCCGCTGAGCGTGTCCATGAACTACGTGATAAGTACGGCCAGACCCGGATGACATTTTCTTTTAGTTCCAACCGCCAAAGGACAGGGGAGATCGTTGACTGACTGAATGGTGGGAATCATCTAGTCCCATGGGTGGCGGGCATAGCAAGCGAAGTCCCCTTGACGGAAGCCGAGCTGGGCGGTCTTGTCCTGGCGGGAAAGTTGATGATAGTAACCCGGATAGCCGTCGTCGTGGTGTAAGGGTGTTCTCTCCCCTCCTCTTCTTCACCCCCACCAATACATGCCAGCCCATCCACATAAACGACTCTCGTCGGCAACTAGGCAGATACTAATACTTCGGTGCCCAGGCTATGGAGTCTGAAAATATCGGTCCTGGACTATCTCGGCAGTCTTTTGGAAACGATTCGCTGCAAACAGACAGGCATCCGGATCATGTACGTGATCCTGGCCATGACGTTCTCGGCATCGATTTTGTCCGTTTTCCTCGAATGCAGACCTTTCGAACTTAACTGGACCTTGTTCCCCGACGTGGCTAAATGGTGAGAGCAACGGAAACTCATTCGAAAAAAATACCAACGCTGATAATTCTTGCCAGCTCATTTGATACCCAGTGGCTAGTTATTTATGGTGTGTCCATCCCTTTAATCATATTCTTCGTAAGTAAGGGTGCTAGGACCAGTTATATGCTGACAATGGTCTCGCAGAAATATGCAACATCATTACTGATACTATGCTACTCTTTCTACCCATACTGTTGATTCTCGGTTCACCAATTTCGGAGTGGGAGCAACCCCAACGTCCCGTCGCTAGACTCTTCGGTATCTGGGTGTTTGGGCTTGGCGCAACCCTAGTTGCGATTGAGATCGTCCGTCTAGTACAGGGACTTCTATATACAAACACGCTCCTGAATAGAATAGTATGGGGATCGATTGAAGTAGCACTCGCCACTGCGGTCACTACCTTACCGACAATCTACATCTTGCTGAGAGAAGGGTCTCAGGAACAGCTGGAACGAAGCAAGAAGAGCAGCCATACGGGTACAGGCACAATATCCGCGTCCCCCAAAGCCAGCGATGAAGGAAGGCACGGAGAAAGCTGCGCATCGGAACAGACAGCTACTTTGAACGATAACAGCCTACCGCGACATAATGCACGCGAGGATAAGACACTAATATCCACGGAGATGGGCCAAGAAGAGGATACGCGCAGGCGAGCGACTTGGAACCAAGCGCGGAGCTCCGTGATTGGCTCCATACTGGACTCCATGCTATCAGAAGCAAAGAAGCGAGACAGCTGGTCAAGACCCGGATCAGTAATCAGAAACTCGCTCCGAGGCGCAGACGCAAGTTCAAGGGACAGTATGAGGATGCAAGTTGCCGACGATAATCTTCAAGACATTCTCATGGAGTGGATAGAGTTGGAGGAAACGGAATCTGGAAGTGTTCACCCCTCAGAGGTACCCGACAACGCAGAGTACAAAGGTGTAGAGATCATGGTTGCGAGAGAGATCAGCCAGGAGGCTCGTCGGGAACCGGAACTTGGCCAGCGACCACGTCTCATCACGATACCAGGGCGATCCAAGCTGGCTTGCCCTGCCCGATAGTTCTGGAAGTTGAGGACCACCTCGAAGACGGGGAAGAAAATCGCAAAGCCTTGGAGAGGAGGGTTAGATCTGTTGAATTGTTGGTCTAATGTGGATGGTACCTTAAGCATTATTGACGTTCATGTATCACATGAGGTGGCTGCTGAAACACACCAAGGTGGCGATGGAATCTGGTATCTTCGCTAGTTGGGTTGTAGCCGAATTATAGGTCTTTAATATTCAGTCTGGAAAGTAGCAAGGCCACTTCAGATGTAACTATCCCGTATCCATTGGTCCGGGAATAGATTAATCCCAGTATCTGATAACACCGTCCAGGCCTGCGGCCGCCACCTTGCTCGTTTCTTGAGGGTGCCATTGCACACACGTGATGGCTTGGTCCCCGGCCTGCAGCTTGTGATACATCTTGCAGGTTTTCCAGTCCCACTATAATTTGAATTAGCTGTAATTCTTCAAAAAAGGGGGCATATCGCAACAGCACGCAACTAGCGTGACAGGCATAGACAAAAATGCACTTACAAAGGCCACAAAGCCGCTGCTATCACCGCTAGCTAAGAATTGGCCATCAGGACTGAAGGTAAGGTCGATAGCTGTCCCAGCATTGTTATGCCCTCTAAAACTCTTCTTCCTGTTTTGCCTGAATTTATCTGTGGCACCATATACGAGAACCTGGTTGTCAGAACTCTGGCAAGCCAAGTATTTGTTTGACGGATGCAACGCAGTTCTGGTGATGGGATACATATGTGGCTCCGCGATATACTTTATTCTATGTTAGTAGATGTTGAACATAACTCGGGATGCTGAAATTTACCTTTATTGGAACCGGGATACCGTAATCCCAGGCTCTTATCGATTTATCATCGCTCGTCGTCATGAAACGCCTATTATCGTCGACAAACACGATTGTATTGATAGCGTTCAGGTGATGATCGTATTCCTGTACCAGCTCGCCTGTTCGAGTGTCGTATTGGACAATTTTGTTGTCTAATGATATTAGTCACGAGTGTGGTCGGCTTAGAGTACGACAGAGTTAACTTACCCGACATTCCAGCTAGAAATTCGGTTGGATGCTCTGCAGAGGGGTTGAACCGAAGGACATTAGGAGTCTTGCCGGTAGTAAACTTGTTCAGACATTTTCCAGTTTCAACATCCCAGAGCTTCATGAAGCGATCGAATGACCCAGAAAGGAATTGGGTACCATCTCTGTTGAAGGTGAGGTCTGTGATGGATTTGGTATGCCCACAATAGGATCTCAGAAGCTCCTTGTTATGGTAACAATCAAATATCTTAACGGTGCTATCAGCACCACCAGACAAGAGCAGGTGACCAGAACCAGGAAAGAAGCGAAGACTTGTGACAGCCGTAGCCTTATCATTACTATGTTTCCACGTATGAACAAGTCGCTTGGGGATGTAGTTCGTAATGCTCCCAGGTTCTTTCCTGAGGTCGATATCAAGATCTTGTGGCACGTGCATACTACAAAAGTCAGAGTCAGTAAATGCCACGACAAACAACGACCAAACCGTGAACCAAGGATAACTCACTATGTTCGTCCTTGGTAATCGAATTCCTCGGAACCATGGAAGATAGTCGTCTCTTCGCCCATTGCCTCCACCTCTTTGCGCCTTGCTAACGCGGCAGCTGGCGCAGACACGACGGCACCACTCTCAACAACATCATCGTCATCTTCGTAGACGTACTCGACTTCCTCATCGCTAGCGAGTTCCTCATCTTGGCCTACCTCTTCCCATTCAGGTTTCTTGTAAGCTGCCCAGGGCCCAAGGTATGCGCCGTCACCGTCAGCAATGGTTGCGTCGCCCTTCCTTTGTCGCCCGGCTCTTATTTTCGCGGCTTCTTCTTTTACTTCTGCGCCCGATCTATATTCTCTCTCTGGACCGCCTTTTCCTTCGATAGCCCTGTGTTTCGACCGAAACTATGCCACAGTTAGCTGACCGAACACCTCTAACCAGGTGCGTTGCTATATTCAACCTACTGTGTGCTCGCTAATAAAGGTCTCCTCAGCGTTGCCGGTTAACACATTTTTTCGTTTCAGCGCATTTGCCTGGTCTTTGAAGGGGTTTAATGGTCCAAGTGCCGGCCGTGAAAGATCTTGGCCTGTATAAACCGTGACGGCATGGTCCGGCTCTGCTTGCTCTCGAACGACAAGCGCGTCTTGAGGAGCCATGTTTGGCGGGTATTCGCCGAAACTGCCGGCCATCTTTGTCGTGATGGTTGGCCGAAGGGATGAATAGCCAATAGTGAGTATATTGCGGCAATATAGGTTGGGAAGAAGACGTGTAATGAATGGGTTATGGGGCGCAATGAACGAGTGATCGCAGTTTGATGGTTGATTGAAGATAGGTACAAGATAGATTGTACCTGGAACAGCTTGAACTCCGGTGGGTACATGCACCTAATGCAGGTTGGCGACAACCTTCTCCACAGTGGCGCATTATCGATAACGATCTAGTACACACGTTAGGTAATCGGTCGTTACTATGCACTTTCAACACTTCTACAGCCTCACATCATCACGGCTTGTCTGTCTCTGGGGCAGCACGGTTGGTCTGTTCCTTCGTTGACCTGTGAGACTCCTCAGCCGTTTGGTTGTTTGGAAATTAGGGCAGCACAGAGGACGTGCCTAGATAAGGTCTGTATCTCAATAACCGGGGCTTCCAAGGCTGTGATGCAAGGTTCTGTCTGTAAAGTCACTCGTAACTTCGAGTATTGGGTATTATATATATATTCATCATGTCGAATTGCACACGTACAAACATTGCGCTGTAATGACCAAGCGCCTCTCACACGCGTCCAGCCCCTGGCCACCCGCGTACACCCTCATTCCATCACACACCCTTCTATCGATAAAAGCCCTACATTCATCTCATGTGTCGTGAGACTGCGATCCATATTTCGAGGGTACATCTCCGTGTTGCCCTGTGTCTCACTCGTGACTGACTTTCCATATTGCAATGGCTCTGTCCAAGAATCACACCTAGCCAGTTCGAGATCACATCGAGCTCTTGTGTCGTAATACAACGCCCAGTAGCTACCCACAAGGCATGCGACTCCTGCAAACAGTGTGCCGCGCTAATAGCAAAACCTTGAATGCTTAGGCCTTCTCATCCTTGATCAAAGCAACGATCATGCTGTATAGGTAGAAGAAGAACATAATTAAGTGGAAACCAAGCTTGAAGAAGGATTCCTATGAAATATTAGCGGGGGTGCTGAGCCAGAATTGGCGGGCTTTGGGAAGATATTACCTTTTTATGAACGTTTAGTTTTCTAAAGATCTCGGTCGCATCCAACAAGTGGGTGTTATCAAAGATCCTACCATGCAGCTATTAGTGCCACCTCCATAGAATATTTGCGCTCGCGATTCGGTTGGTGAGGCGACTTACTTCTTGGCATTCCAGGCAAGCAGAGGAAGGTTCAGGATGAGGGCAACCCAGTAACCATTGACGAGGAACAGTAGTGTCAAGAAACCATGCACGGCAGCCTCGGGAATGATGTAGGTGTTAAGACGGTTGCAGAGATCGATGGGGTTAATGTAGTCACTGCGCCGACCGAAGATGTTAGCCAAATCAGTCATCGAGTAAAAGCATGACGTCGACAAGGAAGATGGCGAGAGCGGAACTTCGAGGCTTCACTACACAGTCGCGCAAGTACATACCATTCAAGGTCGCTGTACATAATCGTGAAGAAGACTTGAAGAAACAGGTTCACGGCATTTATGAGCACGGCGAAGAGGTACAGCCACGCTTCGCCCGACATTGTGATGGATAGCTGTTGGAGTTGTCGGATTGGAGAAAGATGAGTTTAATTCTGCGGATCGGTCACGATGGTAGAGGGAGGGCAGCAATTCGTCTCAACGCGACAAAGGGAACACTGCCGTCGATTGGGCGACCAGCGATGGCGTCGTGCAATAGAGGAGCCGGAGGGATGTCGGGGTGTGAGGGTGGTTGGTGGTTGGGCGACTAGTCGGAGCAGAGGGCAGGATGACGGAAAGTAAAGCAATGCTGGGATGGGGTGTCTGGTGGTCGCGCCGTGGCAAAGGCTGCTGCTGCTTGTTGCGACGACGGAACGGGGGGGGAGCTTATCTCGACCTAAGGATTTAGGTGCTTTGTACTTAAGTGGCAGTACCTGTGTAAGCAAGCGAGCAAGCAAATGCTATACGGTATATAAAGCTGGAATATGCCTATACCTAGGTAAGTATGGAGGTAGGTCGGTATGGATGCTGTGGTGGGATTGGGACAAGGCGGGGATCAGCGATTGGGCGCACAAAAAGCCTGGATGTGCTGCGTGTGTCTTTCGGTCTTGGTGGGCTGCTGTTGTGCGGCTGGACAGATACAGATACAGATACTGGATATTGGATATGAATTGGGACTTGTTGGGAATTGTCTGTGTGCGACTCGCGGTTGTGGATGATGAAAGCGGCTTGTTTCTGATCGAGTATGGTCCGATAGCAGAGCTTTTCCCGGCCGCCATGTTCGAGGCTCATCGCCGAGCTTCGATGAGGAGAAAATTGGGGCACATGGGGGGGGCAGGGGGCTGGCTGGGATCTAGCTCTGCCAGATTCTGCTTAGAGGTGGGAGGCTGGTGACCTAGACATGTACTTCTCGATACCTACTAAGTTCAGTCCTCAGTAGGTAAGTGCTGTGCTGTAGCTCCAATAGTCACCCTACAGAAATACCCACATCTCACACCCCTCTATGTATTTGTATGTACCGGTATTTGTGTGCCAATAAGAATACTGTAGATACCTACCTAGGTAAGTAACTTAATACCATTTGACACAGAGCCTCGTTCACGAGTTTGATGCCACGTCAACGTCGATATGTCCAAGGCCACATACACACCCATTTATAAAGCAAAAATGCGGTAGGACACCACATTCAGAGATTTATAAGAAATTAAAAAAAAAAAAAAAAAAAAAGAGGAATGAACCATGTAACCTTGACAAATGGGAACCGAACTAATGTGAACTGTTTATTACCTTATATATCACGCCGTCCGACAATTTTCGCTTTCAGATGCATTCATGCTGAGTCATTCATTCATCGTCATTCCACTACCTTTCAATACTTAAGAACTTCCATTTGCGCCATTCTCAGATACCGGCATGGGCACCGGTCCTCCCGGAGAAGTTGGCAGCCGAGCTGTCAATACCTCGACACCGGTTTCTGTTACAAGAAATGTGTGTTCTGGCGTCGTGTTAATAATACATGGCGCAAGATGACTGGAAGCCTGTGCACTTTACTTACCAAACTGAGCTGTCCTCTTGCCATCGATCGTGGTGCTCGTCCAGTTGTCAGGCCACGTAATGTCGCGGTACTTGCCCAGAGCAATCATTGGCTCGATGGTGAATGTCATGCCGGGCTTGCACTCTCCAACCGCTTTATTCTTGGCGTAGTGTGGTATGTTGGGTGGCGAGTGGAAGTAGGTATTGACACCGTGGCCACAGTAAGTTCTGATGACGCTGCAATTTTTGGACTTGGCGTGCTTCTCGATCACGTTGCCGAATTCGCGTATCAATGTTCCCGGCTTGATAATCTTGGCCGCCTCCTCCAAGCATTCCCGTGCCGCTTCGACCACCCGGACCGAGTCGGGGTCTGCCTTGGCTTCGTCACCGACGTAGTACGTTTCGTTCAAGTCGGCATGATATCCACCGTGGTATACCGAAACGTCGAGGTTGATGATGTCGCCGTCGAGGAGCACTCTCTGGTCCGGAATACCGTGGCAGATGACCTCGTTCACCGAGCTACAGAACGACTTGGGGAAGTGGTTGTAATTCAAGGGAGAAGGATACGACTAGGCAAATTAGCATGTCATATCCTCCGTAGAAACGTTATGCCTGCGAAAAGAGTAGTTGGCGCACACACCTTGCGCTCTATGGTAGCTTTATGGCAGACCTCGTCTAGATAGTCTGTGGTGACGCCGGGCCTGACCTCGGCTGCTATAATGTCCAGTACCTCTCGCCCTATCTTACAGACTTTCCGCATGGCTTCCTGTCCTTTGGCGTCTAGAATGTCAAACTTGTTCCGGTTGAGGAACATCTCGCTCTTCGGGTAGCCAGTCTCTGCGTAGTCTGGCCACGGGATGTCTTTCGGGACTGTGCGCCTTTCTGATAGTGGGTAGACGGGCCTCAAGGGGCCGGTGTAGGAAAACGAGGGGAACGGGTTGTAAAGACCTGTGGCTGGATCGGGTTTAGAAACGACTTTAGGAGTTCTGATGCGGTCAAGAATACCATTCGCTGTTTTACCCGATGCAACTTTGTGCAGGGCTTTGTGGCTACTCTGGATGAAGCAGCGCGGTTAGTCGCACAACACAAACAAGGCCCATTGCGGTGGGGGAGGGGCAGGTGAGCAGAGAGTGCGATATGCAGCACGAACCCAGTTCTTCTTGAAGCAATCTTGAGAGCAGAAGAAGCTGTCCTTGATACCCATCTTCAAGCACGTTGGACATTGCAGGGATCCGGCGTCATTCCCGCAGTCGGCTCCCAAGCACTTCAGCTTAGTCTCGGTTTCGGTTGTAGTAGCCATGATGGGGGGGGAGGAGGGATGCGCCTGGCTATCTAGCTGTTTCTTGGTTTTTCTCGGCTCTGTCAGTCGCGTTATGAAGGAGACGCTGCCGGGAATTTAGAAGTATATAGTTGAAGAGGAGAAACAAGTGCGACGAGGCCAATGCTAGAAGGAGCACAAGGCGATTCTTGTATGAAACCAACACTGCTGTCTCAACCCAGCTCTTTTTTTTTTTTTTCTTGGAGGTCAAAGGGCGTGCCCCACATTCAAGCCGCAGATACATGTTGCCCCTCTACATGACACTGCACGCACGGTACCTGCCTACTACCAAAGCACCTAGACATGTAACTGGAGTTCGCCGAGGAGTGTCATGCAGCAAACAGCTCGGAAGTGTACAAAGGCAACCTGATGAACAGTTTACTACTCCCTCCCCGAAGCTGGAGGCATGACTGGTGGTTTCGATGTTGTGTTACTAGGTAGGTAAGTATTCTTGCCTTGTTGGGTTACTCTGTATGTGGAACGGAGGGATATTCGCAACTAGTTACGTACCTCAAGTATGCCTTCAATGCCGGTTGTAATAAGCTGTGCCTGTCTACATATATATATATATATACCTAGTAGGTACTTACTTATGATTGAGGAGATAATCTCGAAATTCAATTGCCATGTATAAAGGCATAGATAGGTATTATTGCTAAGTACACAAGACTATGTACTTACTGTATAGGTACCTAGGTAGGTAGCTAGAGGTGCATGAGAATCGCAATACCTACTTGATATGCACAGCTGCACTAGTACCGCCGCGGAATTAGCGTTATACCGACTTTAAGCGTTTGCATTAATAATTCCCGTGGTCACTAGTCGGTAGGTAGTGAGGGACATCCCGTCATCGGCTTATCCTTTCATTTGAAGATTACTTATTGAGAGTAATAAGTCTGTCCTCATTTTCGCTCTCATCTCGCTTTCGACACGCCATCCGCGACCATGGCGAATTCAAGCCAGAAATACGTCGTGGTTGGAGCGGGACCTGTCGGTTCCTTAGCTGCTTTATATGCTGCTAAGAGGGGTTACCAGGTTGAGATCTACGAATTACGCAGTGGTGAGTGATGCGAAATGCACCAGCCACCCAGCCCTCTTTCCTCTTTCAGCTGCTGCTGGATTGATATTACTACACCCGGTCCATCTATCTGCACGGCGTACAGCACGAGGATAGAACAATGCAGCTGAGCCTGGGTCGGATTGGAAAGGGTATGCTGTCTGCTGCAATAACCATGCATCGTGTGGCGTACCGAGGGGTTGGATGTCCGTCCTGTCTACTGGTGACTAACAAAACGATGGGCTGTAGATCTTCGGGATCCTTCAACCACGCCGTTGAATTTTACAAAGTCTATCAATCTTGCTCTATCGGAGCGAGGCCTCAGTGCCATGCGTCATGCTGATCACGAAAATTTACTCCAGCATGTATTCTCGGCCACGATTCCCATGCGCGGCCGCATGATTCATGGAAGGAGACCCGATGGCGCTCTATATGAGGCGGCTCAGGACTACGATATTCACGGGCGGGTACGATGTGTCCCTTCATCTTTGCGGGCTCATCATGTCACGTAAGTCACTAACTATGGAGCAGACTATCTATGCCATAGACAGAGCCGGTCTCAACAAACGACTGCTGGACATCCTAGATGACATGCCTAACGTCAAGTTTTTCTTTAACCACAAACTGACCGGAGCAGACTTCAAAAGGCGAAAGGCGTGGTTTGAACACCGCGATCAGACCGCAACTTCAGATCGCCCAGCCGAGATTGAAATTGACTTTGACTTGATGATCGGAGCTGACGGTGCACATTCGGCCGTGAGATACCACCTGATGAAATTTACCAGGATGAATTACAGCCAGGAGTACATCGATACACTCTGGTGTGAATTTCAAATCAAGCCTCGGCACCTCTCAAATGGCCAACCCATTGAATCGCGATTTCGCATCTCTCCCAACCATTTGCATATTTGGCCGGGCAAGGAATTCATGTTCATTGCGATACCTAGTGATGTATGTGATACTTTACCTCTTCTGGAAATCTCGTTGTACTAATATGGAATAGGATGGCTCTTTCACATGCACTCTGTTCATGCCCGGCACAAAGTTCGCCATCCTCGAAGCCAACCCATCTGAGCTCCCTGCCTTCTTCGACTCGCATTTCCCAGGCGTCACGTCACTCATAACACCAGAAGAACTTATCTCGTCATTTCAAGCGAACCCTCACCTGCCTCTGATCAGTATCAAGTGTAAACCGTACCATTTCTCTAGCTCTGTAGTAATCGTTGGAGACGCAGCTCATGCCATGGTTCCCTTCTATGGACAAGGCATGAATTCTGGGCTTGAAGATGTACGGATTCTCTTCTCAATACTCGATAAACATGCATCAACCGAGAGTAATGACCCTAACCACCCCGAGGTAAGCGATACCGCCTTCCAAAGAGCCACAGCCCTGAATGAGTATTCTACACTGCGTGTTGCAGACGCCCATGCGATCAATGATCTAGCACTTCAGAACTATATCGAGATGCGTGCCTCTGTACTTTCGCGCCTGTATCGCGTGCGAAAATTCTTAGAGGAATTCTTATCTGTTCACGTCCCGAGCTTGGGTTGGCATACCCAATACTCGAGAGTGAGCTTTGGAAATGAGAGATATTCTGAGGTTGTGGCTAGAAGTCAGTATCAAGGCATGGTTTTGACACGGGGGCTCCTAGGCCTGCTTGTTAGCCCGCTTCTTATTACATCTCTAGGCATTGTCCTAGCACGCCAGCGACCAAATGGGCTTCGCAACCCGTTTGAACTCGTTAGGGGTCTAGTAGGGCGAGCTCTAAAGAATTGATTGAACGGTGTCTTTGCGAGTTTAACCTCATTTATCTTATGCATGGTTATCGCCATCATGCAATGGCTTTTAGGCGCTAAAAGCCGAGCTCCTGCTCCCCCACCGTAACCTGGCGCAATGTCAGCAAGAATATATAAAAGAAATAACAAGTCTTTCGCATTGTATACCAAGCCATAACTTCATCCTTCTTCAGAAAAAGCTTCACACTCAAAAATCTCAATTCCCACTTCTTCACGATGTCTTCCCCTTTCAATCCATACGCAGAACAGCACAAGGATCCGAAAGGTCCCGAGGATGGACGGCCGACCGCTTTTCAGGTCCTTGAAGATAATAAACTTCTTCAAGCATGGCCTGACAAGGTTGTGCTAATCACTGGTGCCACATCAGGTATCGGCATCGAAACCACGCGAGCAATGTATGCTACCGGCGCTCGTGTCTTCATTTTAGTCCGCGACATTACGAAGGCGCAGCCCATTGTAGCCGATATCATCAAGTCCACCAAAGGAAACGGCAGTATTGAAATCATTGAGATGGATCTAGACTCTCTAGACTCTGTCAAAAAGGCTGCTCAGCAGTTTCTTCAGAAGTCTTCCAAACTTCATGTTCTCATCAACAATGCGGGTATGTACTAGGCAGAAGAAATACCTTCCTTGTTTTTAAATCGTTAACTGATATCAAAAACAGGTGTTATGGCTTGCCCAAGAACCATCACCATTGACGGATTCGAGCGACAATTCGCTGTAAACTACTTGGCACATTTCACTCTAACGACGCTTCTTCTACCAACTATGCTATCCAGCAGCTCGCCCACGTTCAACTCCCGCGTAATCTGGGTGTCTTCTTCCGGGCACCGCCACGCAACCGGCAAGCCTGATCTCGATGACCTCGGCATTCTGGACCACTATGAGCCCTGGGCTGCCTACGGCCAGTCTAAGACCGCCATGATTTGGGCTTCCAATTACATCGACCGGACTTATGGTCCTCGCGGAGTCCATTCCAATGCAGTACATCCTGGCGGGATCCTGACCAATTTGTCGCAGTACATGACTAAGGAGGCGATCGATGCCTTCACGGAGGATGAGGAAGCGATGAGACAAATGAAGTCGGTCCCGCAGGGTGCGGCGACGCAAGTCTGGGCTGCTTCTGCTCCTGTTTGGGAAGGCCAGGGAGGCAAATACCTCGAAGACTTGAAGGTTGCCGAGCCCTGGTTGGGCGCAGTCTCTAAGATTGGGGATGGATATGCTGCGCACGCGTATGACGCGGTCAATGAGGAGAAATTGTGGGAATTGAGTCTAGAACTGGCCAAGATTGAGAATCCTTAATGTTATGTTGTGATGCATATCTAGAGTGTAGCTAGTGTTAGCCTAAGTGAAATTGGATTATCAATCGATTATTACCGGCAACTTTCAGCTCAGTACGTGGTCGAATTGATCGTTTCAAAGCCTATCGTGACGTGCTACTTTGTTTTGACCCCTTTCGAGCTTCGATTAATAAGCTTCCGCAACATATCACTTTGAGCATTAGGTAGTGATAGCTATACACCATAAATAGATTTCATCTCCTTCGCTAGTTAGGACTCCCTTAGATCCGAAGCAATAACAGCTTCACCGCACGTTGGCATCAAATGGCTGACCTCAGCCAGCATCTAGGCAAGTGCGCGCTAATGCGGGCGGGAGCTGAGATTTATCGTGGGGAGATACCCCGAACAGGGAATAGTTACTGTGGCGGCTTATACATTCATCTAAGGCATACAGTACTTGCATGTTAAATCCGTCCGAGTGTTTTGATACACCGCGAGCGGCCTTTGGAGTTTACAAGACGCGAATTGGTGTCCTAATCGGCTTCATATGTTCAACTCGCTTGTTCCAGTTCTAAAATCCGCCGGCTTTCGGTGCATGGTGATTAGGGTTGAGTTGTTATCAGACGCTCGTGTTCTCTTTGGCTTGAACACGCAGACAATGGCATAAGGCAAGTCGTAGCGAATGAAGTTGAAGAAAAAAATTGCATCATGTAGTTATTTTAGTTACTGGTCCTCAACTGAAACTGATGTTTCTTTGCTTCTCGAAGTGAACTGGTCGGGCGGAAGAGAGAACGTCCGGGATTGATGATACAACAGTGTTCCAGGAGGGAAGCTACCTATCCTAAACCTTCGATGTGAGCGTAACGAACATGAGAAGAGACAGTAGCTATTTAGAATAATTGTAATAATCTCTTATCTCTCTTTCCCTTCTTCTTTTATTCCTATGTATGTGGGACGCTCAATTTTTTATCTGAATCTCCTTAAACTTTTTCGTGTTATCCGTAATGGCGGCCTCAACTGGTATCCTTTCCATACTGCTAGCACCGAAGAACCCATGCACGCCTGTCGTCCGTGACAGGACATATTCAGCATCCTTGACCTCAGCGATAGGGCCGCCGTGACACAGCACAATGACGTCTTCTCTAATCTTCACAGCCGCATCTCTGATTTCCTGAATTAACTTGACACAGTCGTCGAGGGACTTTCCAGTCTTCCCTCCGATGCCTTGACTCGTCGTAAGACCCATATGAGCCACGATAATATCAGCCCCCGCCTCCGTCATCGCCACGCCCTCGTCAACGTTAAACACGTACGGCGAGGTAAGCAGATCCATCTCAGCCGCGAGTCGCACCATCTCGACCTCGAGGTCATACCCCATCTCCGTCTCCTCGAGATTCGCACGGAAGGTACCATCGATAAGGCCTACAGTAGGAAAATTCTGGACCCCACTGAATCCAAGGTCCTTTAGCTGGCGCAGGAACGCGCCCATGTCCCGGAACGGGTCGGTGCCGCACACCCCAGCCAGCACGGGGGTGTGCTTGACGATGGGAAGTACCTCTTTTGCCATGTCGACGACGATGGCGTTCGCGTCGCCGTACGGCATCAGTCCCGCTAGCGAGCCGCGGCCCGCCATTCGGAACCGCCCCGAGTTGTAGATGATGATCAGGTCCGCGCCACCGGCCTCGGCGAATTTGGCAGACAGACCGATGCCGGCGCCGGCGCCGACAATGGGCTGCTTGGCGGCGATGGCGCCGCGGAAGCGCTTGAGGAGTACGGCGCGCGGGATAGGTGTCATTCTACCAGAATCGTTAATGTGTCGTTCTTTGGTACCGATGAGCAGTGTAATCCGGTAATGTCTAAGCGATTGGTTGAGAGGGGATGTGACGATTTGCTGGTCGAATACGTAATTCTCGTACTGCAGATTGGCGAGACTGGCTTCGATCTAATGACTTAGTCATTCCCGTTAGCTGCCGTCTGACAGGGGCACTAGCTTGAGATACGCAAATCGGTGCTACACATTTTACTTTCTTTCAGCTTCTCCACTTCCGCATCCGTTCCACTGCTGCGTTGACGTCGTTTAGTTTGGCCAAAAGAAAAGTGATGAGGTGAGTATAAGAGGCTCATTTCAATCTACATGGCAGACCTCTTAGCACATATCTCTTGCACAAAGCAAACAATTGCCTAAAGAAACAATGACGGGACAAAAGCCCGTCACCATTGTCGCCATTGGCACCCTCGACACTAAGCTCGTCGAGTATCTGTATCTCCGATCGCAGATCCTTGAAGCCGATCCCTCCATCAACGTAATCTTGATTGACGCGGGCCGCGCCGCAATCCAGCACGAGGCCATCACCGTCTCTCAGCCCGAGGTACTGAAAGCCAGCAGCGCCAGCGATGGTTCGCTGGAATCGCTGCCCCGCGGGGAGGTCGTGGCGACCATGATCGACGGCGCGAAGCGTGTCATTGGAGACTTGGTCAACGAGGGCAAAGTGCACGGCGTGATCGCGCTCGGTGGCAGCGGCGGGACGAGCATTGCGGCGGCGACTATGCGAGAGCTGCCATTGACGCTACCGAAGCTGATCGTCTCGACGGTTGCATCGGGGGATACCAGTTCATATGTCGCCGAGTCGGATATCACCATGATGTACAGCGTGGTAGATATTGCGGGCCTGAACGACGTGTTGAGGGCCGTTATTACGAATGCTGCTGTGGCCATAGCAGGCATGGCACGAGGCTATGCCGTGAGGTGCGCAACGCCAACAGGAAGCGAGGTGAGGAAGAAATGCGTTGCTGTCACCATGTTTGGCGTTACTACTCCCGCGGTCACCGTTGCTCGGCAACGGTTAGAGGAGATGGGATTTGAGGTCTATGTTTTCCACGCCACTGGCGCTGGTGGTCGGTCAAGTAAGTAGAACTTGTTAAGCGAGAGATTTGCAGCTAAAGAAGGCTATCACCTTCTCAGAAGTAGCCTTATCATCATGTGCGTTCAGGCTTCCTAACCCTATGTACTGACTCTCAACTCTGTAGTGGAACGCCTCCTTCGCGAGGGTCGATTAGACGGCGTCCTCGACCTCACGACGACAGAGCTCGCAGACGAATTAGTAGGTGGGGTGATGAGCGCAAACGAAGAACGTCTTACAATAGCTGCTAAGACTGGCGTTCCTCAAATTGTGAGTGTTGGGGCCCTCGACATGGTGAACTTTGGGCCGAAGGATACGGTGCCGGAGAAGTTTCGCGATAGAAAATTCTTTGAGCATAATCCCTCCGTGACGCTCATGCGCACTACTTCCAATGAGTGTAGGGAACTTGGGAAGAGAATCGCGAGCAGACTGCGGGCGAATTGTGTTGATGCTAGCGCGATTGAAGTCTGGTTGCCACTTAAGGGGATTTCGGCTATTGCAGTTCAAGGACAGGCATTTTACGATAATGAGGCGGATGGAGCTTTATTCGATGCTATTAAGGCCGGACTCGATGGGAGCGGTATCGCTGTCAAGGAGGTCGATGCCGATATCAATGATCCGAAATGGGCTGAGAGTATAGCTCGCAGGTTGGTAGAGCTTGTTAACAGCAAGAGCAAGGGCTGAAGTATTATAAGGTAACTAATGAACTAACGAACTCATTTTCTCAACTGATGCATGAAGGCAATTAATCAAGTTTATTATTTTTTATTTCTCAACGTAGTGATTCTCTGTGAGGTCTTAAGCGGGTGGTATATTCTGATATGCTACATGGAGATGCCTCATCCACTAGGTGGATTTTGAGGCTCTCAAAAGGCATGAGAGGTAGTATTTTAAGTCATGACTATCTAATATCAGAACCCTGGCTAGCCTACGCACTCAAGCGATATTCCCTTTTCTGTTATCTACCAATTGGCTGTTTCGTACGTGCGCTTTCACCTCACGGGTTGAAACACTCCTCTCTGTCGCCCAGAACAACTCATTGTTGATCTCTTTGAAGATCTGTCTTTGTTTATATCCTTTCATACTATTTTAATTCTTTACTTGTTCACTTACTTTAAACCTGAATCTGAGAAATTTCTGTTGACTCAAAACAGTCAAGTCGTATGTTTTGGGTACATATAACGCCTTCAACGCTAGTGCTTCTCCCCCCATTCATGAGCCAATCACCCATGTCCTCTAGCAAGGTCTAGTTGATACTATTTGAGGCTTAATTACACAAAAGAGAAGACGGTAAAGTCATTTCCAAATTTCCATTACACCCACCATGTCGAGACTTCAAGCCGTCAAGCGTTATTTCGACTATGAAATAGTGCCTCAAGCTGAGAGAACCTGCCGCACAGTATGTGTAATGGACGAAGCTGACGCTCTTAGAGCATTTAAACATATTCGTACTCTAGTGGAGCATGAGGGACTGGTTCCAATTGAGGCCTTGCTAAAATCGAAAAGCACGCCGAGAGACCAAAGAGAGGCAATCCGTACCTTTAGGCGTCGTGTTGATGAACTTTTTATGTTCCTTACTGATAAGATATCGATGTTTGGTTCTGAAACCGGTAGCGTCGAGGAATTAGAACTCGGTGTTGATAAAGCTGAGGTTGCTAGAGCGAAGGCTACATGGGGCTGGTTAGAGACAATGCCCGGAGGGTGGCCAAGTTCTTGATTGCTTCAAGAACAAATACCATTTGTGGCTAAGTAACGTGAACCTATGCGAACTACTAGAATTTAAAGAAAGTAAATAAAAACAACTAAAGTGTGTAAAGCCCAAATCAAACTTACGGCTGGTCTATTCTCGTGACATTCTTCACATACCGTAGGTTATAAGCATGTATAATGGCCACAGATGCCACGTACGACCATAGCCACTGGAGAACTCGGGGTCCCGTCTGCTCCCCCTTAGATAAACCAGAGAGCGCCAAATTAGTAGTCGGGTCGGTGACGACCGGCGAATCCTTGGTGTTGTACGTTAGCTTTTTTTCTATTGCTAATCATGTTGATTTTGTTCTTTTCTTTTCTTCCTTCTTGGTTGAATGAGCTCCTGTGCACTAAGGGTTTTTAGGGTTTCAATATGGCTGTAATTAGAGCTTCTTGTCACCTATAATTGACATATCGTATACCAACAACCACTAACTAAGGCCATATGCAGTATTACGAACTCTTATTGTACAATGTGCCCTTTTAAAAGATAAAAGCAACCAAAAGTCCTAGACCTCATTGAAATGAATACACCGTGGTCTCTGCTGAGATATAATTAACCGGAACGTAGATGACCTTGAGCATCGGGAAGGATTCCCGCCGTTGTCATAACCCGCATGAATTGCGTTGTTGGTCATCATTTCACCTTTCAGCGTTATGCTTCTTCAAGTATCATATAAGTGTCTGTCGAGCCAGCTACTTGGTAACAGATTTCATGCCTGTACAGTAACCCACATGGTAGTACTTAGTCTGCCGCTCGAGCCAGCCATCTAACTTATACACCCCCGGGCCGCCGTAGGACGAGTGCCACAGCCAATACCTTAGTGTCATACTTTTAAAGTCAATGTTTGCTCATCACATTCACTACATTCATTGAAGGACTTTGGTTTCAGCGGAAAGCCGGAGAGCACCGTGTAACACATACACTGGCGGCAAGGCCTCGGGCGGTTAGCCATCAGCGGTCATGAACATTGTGTGTTGTCTGAAACAAGAACTAGACCATGTGGAAGACCTCACATGCATCGTAAGGGAATGATTATTTCGATGGGTTAGATACAAAGCCAATGATATTGCTTCCAGTCATCTTAGCCAATGATAGCAAAAGCAGACAAGCCGCGGCGATGCAGTGATACCGTCAACAATACCGATACAGCGGTACACTAATCTTATAAGTACTTGCCATCCCCTCTCAGCAACCCTTTGTTCCCGCAGTGGTGCTAACCTCGTAGTCGCATTGCACCGTCTGCATCGAACAATTTCATCACAGTATGATATCTCAATCTTCAGCAATTTCGGACTGCACACCACTAACTTATCGAGACAAGATCTCTCAATTTTAGCAACATCACTATCCCAAGCCAATCACAGCCGATCAAGATGTGCTTCGCCCAATCTTATATACCCGCCACCGTAGTGCAGCCTGTACCTGTCGTCATCGTGGCTCCTCCTCCACCCACCGTTTACTACCAGCCAGTGGTTTCCGTGATGCCCGTCGTCTCAGCAGTCCCTGTGGTAACCGGAGTTCCCGTTGTGTCAATGGTACCGAGCTATGTTTGGTACAAAAAATGGTGATTGAGATGCCCAATGTGCTTCTGTGTTCGCGCTGACTAATCGTGCTAAGCTAGGAAGAATCTCAAGAAAGGGACAAGGCCAAAATCTAAGTCAAAGTCGAAACACGACGCGTATGGCCGGAAATTGTGATGTCCTGCGGTTGTCGGACTCTGACCACTGTTGAATCACTGCTTCATTCTCTGGAGAGGGTGGAATGGTGCTTTCAAATTTGAGATTTACGTTCGTGAGAATTTGCAATGATCGGATATTGGGTTTGGCGGGATGCTATTCTTAATGGAAGGGATGATGGCATCAGCATACAGTTGCCCTCGGCGGGGTTGGTCATCGTTTATCATTGAATGGCCAAACGTCGCCTGGTTGAGCCGAACTACACTGAAGTGAAGTGCAGATCACCGAGGATCGCGATGCTGTTGTCAATCACTAGGTAGTAATTTGGCTTAAACTGCGCAGGCTCTTGATTTCAGCTACTGATATGAAACAATGCATTGTCAGTTGATGGTATTCTCTTATCGTAGTGCTCTGCCCGTAAATCGCTTTCGCAAGACAGAAAATGACAGCATTCCGTGCAATTTGACACTACCACGATGGTGCATGATGTCGACGGTCAGGATGGACCTTAAAAATCCGCCTCGCCAAGTTGAACCCCAAGTTTTGTTTCTAGAAACACGTGCCTCAGCGGGGAAACCTCCAATTATACTTCACTTGCTGCAATCTTCGTCCCTCAATGTCCTTCCTTCCCCGCAAACCCCACAGGTAGAGCTGCAAGAATGATGATGACCCATATGAATGGTACAAGCGGATCATTGCGCCAAATCTAAGTCGCTGTCCCATTGCACTGTTATTACGCGATCAAAATCGTCATGCCAATCCCTGTACAGCGGGATACTGCCTCGGGACAATGGGACCCGAAGGATAATTTACCATTAGAGTTTGAGTTGGGGAACAAGCCAGACCTTTTACCCGGCGCGGCATGATGGGGACATCTAAATGTGTATCAGTTGCGCCTTCTTTGCGTCTAAACTTGGATCATGAGTGGATGGAACCGTAGATCATCTCGCCGACCATAAGTGCATGATGCGTCTCAATACCTTGACTTGCTCGACTTTCTTTTTGCCTTGCGTGATCGGAAGTGTCCTGTCAACACGAGATAATAACACCTCCTCGGAGACCGTCGAGGTAAAATGGCTTGAGGGCACGCCAGCTCTTGCCCTGGGCACTACATTCGGCTTACCTTGGCCCAAAGGCAAACATTTAGGTAATCAAACCACTTTCTTGGCTTCGACTACTAGCGGCGAGGATGTGAGCTTCGAATCATGGGCAACATCATACTGGGCCGACGGCTCTGTCAAATGGACGGGCCATGCCGTAGAGGGCTCGAAATCGGTACCCAGCGGATACAAGATTAGGGCTGTCAAGGGCGTTCCTCATCGGCTCAAGCGTCAATCTATAAATGTGGTCAGAGCGGACGATGAGATTTTTGTAGATACAGGAAAGCTCAAAGCTTCGTTCCCGACGTCAGGAAATGTGCTCGTGAGCTCTCTAAGCACCTCTAGCGGGAAGATTGTGGGCCAAAATGGCAAGCTCATAATTCAATCGCAATCAGGGGCCCCGGACACTAGCGATAACTCGGCGAAAGCAGGAATTGATTACTATCGCCTTGAATCGCATATTAACACGACGACCATTGATGGCAATGGTTCGGTACGAACGTTGATCACGATCCGAGGCGACCATCGCATCGTTAGCGGCGACTCTACAGCGACACATGATCCCTGGGTCCCGTTTACAGTGCGATTCTACTTGTACGCGAACTCGGACACGATCAGGATAGTGCACACACTCATCTTCGACGGAGAAGCGGATAAAGACTTTATCACTGGCATCGGCCTTCGCTTCGATGTCCCACTGGAGGGCGATGAGCTATATGATCGCCATGTAAGGATCGCAGGTGTGGATGGTGGCTTCTTGAGCGAAGCTGTGCAAGGAATCACTGGCCTGCGCAGAGATCCTGGTAGAGCAGTGCGCGCAGCTCAGTTTGAGGGTAAGAAGACGCCGGATATCGCTGCCTGGGATACGAGAGTTCGCGAGAGACTGCAATGGATTCCAACTTGGAATGATTACACATTAACACAGCTATCCCCGGACGGGTTTACTTTAAAAAAGCGAACGAAGGCTGGCCAGAGCTGGGTTAAAATCCCCGGAGGAACCCGAGCCGGCGGTTTAGCGTATCTGGGAGGTGCAACGACTGGCGGTCTGGCTATCGGACATCGTGACTTTTGGAAGCAATATCCGACAGGCATCGATATATCGAATGCCGCTACTGACTTGGGGCAGATCACGTTATGGCTATATAGTCCCGCCGGGGAACCGATGGACTTGCGCCCGTTTCACGATGGCCTGGGACAGGACACTTACGCTAAACAATTAGATGCGTTGGAGATTACGTACGAGGACTACGAGGGAGGATATAACACACCTCACGGTATCGGCAAGACCAGCGAGATCTTCATTCGGCCCTTTGACAGCACACCATCTTCAGATGAGCTTGCAACACTGACTGGGCTCGTCAATGAACCTCCTGTTCTAGTACCCGATCCAGCATACGTTAAGCAAACAGAAGCTATGGGGACATATTGGGATATACCGAACAACACCACGAGGACACAGGCTGCGCAGACGATCGAGAAACATTTGGAGTTTCTCAACAAGTTCTATCAGGGACAAGTTGAGCAACGACGATGGTACGGGTTCTGGGATTATGGGGATTTCATGCATACGTATGATACGGACCGTCACGTCTGGCGTTACGATGTCGGCGGCTACGCATGGGATAACTCGGAACTATCGCCGAACCTGTTCTTCTGGAACTATTTCCTAAGGACTGGCCGCGCGGATGTGTACCGGTTCGCTGAAGCACATGCCCGACACACGAGTGAGGTTGACGTCTACCATTTGGGGCCTTACAACGGTTTCGGCACACGCCACGGTGTGCAGCATTGGGCCGACAGCGCCAAGCAGATCAGGGTGTCGACGCCGCTCTATAGACAGGTCTTCTATTACGTGACTGGTGGCGATGAGCGAATCGGCGAGCTATTACACGATCTGATGGACGCGGACAAGACGTTCCTGACAGTCGACCCGCGCCGCAAAGTCCGCCAAGACAATGGCACGTACGTCCCCGACCCGACGGCCATCGATCTCGACCTCGGCATCGACTTCTCCGGACTTGCAGCAATCTGGCTCATTGAGTGGGAGCGTCGTGGGCCACGCTGGGAAGAAGCTAGATTGAAGTTGAACGCCACGATGCAGGGCATCGCATCGCTTAAGAACGGTTTCGTGACAGGCGTGGGACTATACAACATCTACACAGGCGAAGTCAAGCCACCAGCTACTGATCCGGAGAATCGGGGCCATGTTGAAGTGTCGCATTTGTTCGCGAGCTTCGGGCTGCCTGAAATCATGGCGCAGATAACGCAATACATGGGCGACGACCTGCCAGCCGCATTCGACCAGGCGTGGCTTGATTATTGCTACTACTACGGCGCCGGCGCGGCCGAGCAGAGGGCGCGGTACGGGTCATCCTTCGGAAGTCTGAGTCTCAAACAGGGACACTCGCGATTGACGGCGTACGCAGCGAAGCGGTCTGGAAAGGCGACTCTCGCGGCGAGGGCGTGGAACGAGTTCTTGAATACCGATGGTTTTGCGCCGACCGCGGCCTGGAATAGTGTGTCACTGAACGGCAGCCAAGTCCTAGCTCCGGTGGATGAGGCCGCTTGGATCTCGACAAATGATGTTGCGCTATACGGGTTGGCTGCGATTGAGAATCTTGCGCAAGTAGGTAGTGCGCTTTGATATGTATGTAGTAGAATCTAAATCAGATTCATAGTAATGAGAGCGCCGAGGTATCTAGACTCAAGTTCGATGTGACCTTACGGATGCTCTGACAACCATTCTTTGAAATTGAAAAAAGAGATAAGTATATAGATGGTATTATCTGCCGAAGGATCATAGAAGTTGGCACACCTTGGCCATTCGTTCAGGTTTCCTAGTGTAATGGTTATCACAGCGGATTCTGATTCCGCTAATCTGGGTTCGATTCCCAGGGAGACCTTTATTTTCATCATTGTTTTTCCCAGTATGCAATACCTCAAATGTGTTAATTTTACATTTATGCCTTTTTTTTAACCTTTTCTTTTCTTTTTAAGCTTTATTTAATGAAAAGAAAAGGAGTGTTCTTCGGCAAGTTTATTGCGTGCGACGATTCCTACCCTCTTAGCAAACTTAGTTCGCCCCCCTGCCGACGGACTACCAGCCCGCTTAGAAGAGGAGCATGACCTCCCTGCAAAGCGGTTGACCTTGCGACTTTGTGCCAATCCTTTGGATGAGTCATGGCTAGGCAATACTGGTTTGGATAGTGGTGGTGGCGCCTTTGCTGGCGACAATGAAACTGATGATGCTTCCACTGGTGAAGGTGAAGACCAATCTTCTTCGAAACAGCATTCACAGTTGCACATATAGTGCCAGACATGAGATTGCCAACCTCGGGTTTTCCAAGGGCGCCTTATTTGGTGCCTAGCCGTTGGGGTTGACTAAATGTGTTGAACGACTTGGACTTCTTATAGTATCCTAGTATGCTTCTCTAGGTGCAGATGAATGAGTTTCTTCGCCTCGCAATAATCCTCCATTGCCGCCTGTATTTGATATAGAGTAGGTAGAAAGGAGCAGATGATAGTGAAACAGGGCATACTTAACCTTTACCCGTAGGCAGCAGCTGAGGAAGCCCAGAAGGTCAGTGTGCTATCTTGCGACATTCTATCTTGCAAGTAGTGCTCAGTAACATCGCCGACTCCTGACTGTCAAGTAGCACGCACAGTAGCATGTACACGACGCCACAGATTAAGCTGACATGACTGAGTATAGATCTTTGAAGATATCACTCTGCTGATAGCGAATCATGTAGGAGGGAAACCTTTATCTCGTAACCGACTTGGTTACCTTGTCTTGAAAACATAGAGTATATTGTCTTCTCTCCTTGATCATTTGCAATGTCTATCAACCTACGAGGTTCCGCGTAATCCGTAATGCTCTTTCACTTATGAATCTCAAGTTCTAGGCAACATTCCGGTAATAGTATTAGCAATGTTGGCATCAACAGTTGCTGCCCCTATTCCAGCACACTTTCTAATATTATAGGTGTGCTTGTATATGAAAATTCTCAGCGCTCTGACTTGCGAGTGATCTATCAGATATGGCACGGCTTCGTTGTGCGCATCCTAACGGCTTATAGTATGAACCCTGGTGGACGGGCGGATCTACGTATCTCTTGAGAGAGAGACCTTTGACGTAACAACCACAATAAAACGAGATAAAGACTGCATCTACGCAAGACTTAGCTTTAGTTGAACTGATATATAAATATTATGGCATGCTGGGTAATTCTTCAAGTGACCACTATTGCCATGGCTCTTCGGATTTTCAACATTGAGCAATTCTGAATCAGCTAAGGATACATGCAAGACCAGAGACTTATACTCAGACAGACCATCAATCTCCTAGAATTTAATGCGGACAATTCTATGCTAGCGACAACGTGGGACATATTCAAGCTTAAGCGAGTTGCTTGTTAGCTCATCAACTAGCGAGCGCTCACGCCCACCCCCGGAAAACTGAGATTGCGAGCTGACTGACGAGACCCAGAACATCCACCTGGCCATCTTGGTCATGAATAGATGTGTCATCTTCATCGAGGTGCAAGAATAAAATCCTCGAATGTCAACAATAAGAGACCTCATTCCTCCTGTCTGGGGACAGCTACAGGTGATGTTGGACATTTATTGTTTCGTGAGTCTCGCGGAACACTCTCGCACTTCTCTTGGCTACGTATGTTTCCTCCACATGTAGTCCGCTCACTCTTCCACCGCTTCGTCGACTTTTGCGGCAACTCTTCTGTTCTCACAGCTGGAGGATCCTCATCGGAGGGCCTCCTTTGTATGAGTTCAGATCTTGCACGCTTGGTAGATGGATAGCCTCCCGGTTGGGCGTTTCTTCCGGCTCGAGAAGCTTTACGCTTGCGATTGGCGTCGCTATGTTGTTTAGGGTTGTAATCATCGTCTTTAACGTCTGATTCGTCTGTATAATGCGAGTATATGTGGCTACAGAGATAAAATCAAAGAATTAGCCGATGTCATGCTAAAGGGGACTCTTAAGTGGGCGACAGGTTCATGGCCTTTAAAACACACGTATAGTAGTGAAAGTCAGTAGGTTCAAAACATAATTCAGGGCAAAAGAATGAGGAATATCAGCCTCTGACATACCCCTTTTCATTTTTGAATAATTGGTGGTAATGAGGCCGGCACCACAAACAAAAGAACTCGGAAGTGTCTGCTGTTTCTGGTGTTGGAAACCCAACACATGGTCCATGACAATGAGAGTGACAGGAAGCACACTGGATGAGAAAGTTCTCATCCCATGCCTCCTTTGTGACTGCGAGGCCATCATCGCCGTACGGGTAGCCTGGGCACTTGTTATGCTTGCATACACAATCGATCTCTACCTCCATGGTGTCTGATGACTCTTGAGACATGGTGACTGTAGTTTGCAGAACAAATGCAGAGACAGGAAAGAGCGAGAGATCCAGCGTTGGTCATCATTGTATTTCCATCTGCCGACTGTTTGCTAAGGAATTCATCGTGTTGGACAAGCTACACACACATATGTACCTACCCTAGTCAATTTCTCTACATAGATAAAAGAAAGAATATTTCCTCTTTAATTTGGACAAAACAGGATAATCGTCCCGGTAAAGGATCCCGCGTGCGCCTGTGATCATGATAAGGCACTTATCGTTCGACATCGGTGTTTGATTCCGTGTTCACTTACATTACCGGTTATGTACAGCTGTGTCGGCCATGCTAGGCATGTATGGGTGACCTACTTGAAGAGCTATCTGCAGATTATATAGAACCGTGCAGCATTTTAGCGACGCGTGAAGTCGTTGTCTTCATCGATGAGCGTTTGGAGCTCCATGAAATCCAATACAGCGACTCAGCAGGACTGTACGTATACCTAGCCGTAGCCGCTGATGATAAATATGGACAAGTCATTCAGGGACACGAAACGAAAACACGGCCCGGTCACAGCTTACTAGGTACCCCTCAGTACAGTGCAACCGAGCCTCCCCATAGGGGAGAATACTATTGTGATTCATCCATACCCGATCTTGGTGACATAACGGCAAGTCCTTCGTATCTAATGTGATATCACAGAGGCGCTCATATCAAAGAAGCAACGGTTCTTAATAAATAGAAACCTATTTGTCTAGAAATCGCGTGGCTTCTTCATCTGATTCCTATGGCCACCGTAGTTGTGTTAGTGACTAATATTACTGTTAAAGCCCAAGTGTGCGAACTGTCTTCCTTGCTGCGCCCTCGATGCGTTTTGCTCCCAAGACCCCGCATGCTCTGTTTTGCTTTTCACCTCTAGATAATTATGCCACGCAATGTCTAATGCTGGGCAAAATGTGTATGAAAAGTCTTGAGATGATGACTAGTTACAAATCCCCTCATAAACGTGAGTATCCATATACTTAGGATCCATCTGTTAGAGGGTCCAATTACTATGATAAAGATGACCCATTAGTGGACTGAAGGATTAAGAGCTCAATGTTCCTGGTTGAAGAGTGATATTTACCTATGAAGTGAGAGCAGCGATGGCCTTCAGTTGAGCTACAGTCATAACCAAACTCACTCTAAAATGGCTATCCCTTCCCCGTTGCTACCCTGCATCCTGATCACCTCATATCACTCGGACTTCCCAGTCTACCTGAGACCGCCTCAGGCTGTAAAGCAACATCCTCGTAGACTGCTGAGATGCTTATCAACAATGTACATATCACGCTCAATGGAACTCATCATTCTTCGCGTCAGCAAAGGTGACTTGATAATCTGCCATGCGTCTAGCAGAGGCACACTCAGGCGATGCTGAAGCTGGGGAGGAAATAGGACAACTCATCCACCAGCCCATAGTCGAAATCGCGACCGCAGACATGGACCTCCGTGAAAAGCACCAAAATACGGTACTATGAACGATTGCCAGTAGAAATCATCAAAGCATGTGAAACTAACCAGCGCGTGTATTACTATTCAGAAAGGAAGTTAAACGCACGTAACTGATAAAACAGCTACAGAACAGAAATTCAGCCAGTCACATCCCCAGAAGCTCTCCCTCACTCTGCATCACCACTCGACGCTTGGGGACCGTTCCCCAATGCTTGAGTGCCGCTCAGAGTCTCAAAGTAACGTCTACCTCGAACGGATGTTCAGGCTCCGGCAGCTCAGCCCATTCCTTCCACTCTTCTTCTGCCACATCTCCGTCCCCTCTAGATGGTGTCAACTCGAGACGCAAAAGAAGCACCGCCACTATTCCTAAGGTAAGTGGCTGCATGTGGCGACGTGCGAAGCATTCGCACATCGCCCATTCGGCTCCGTCCCGTGTCAAAGGTCCTCTAAAGAAGCGGAGATGATTAAACTCGTCCCACCCTGGTCCCCACATGTCGGCGGATTCCAATACATCCACATCCAAGTGTCGTAGGGTTTCGAGACATGTCGATCCAAAAATTGGGCACACTGGTTCTAGGTTCAAGATAGAGGCTAAGCCTCTCTGCCGCACACAATGTTGGATTTCATGGAGGCAGTCAGCGTTGATATGGCTATCAGTTATGATCCAATGCAGCATCCAAAATGCCCCCCTTGCTACTTCAGCCAATGACTCAGCAAGGAAAAACCACTCGGGCTCTGGAGAGATATCAAGCCCCCTGTTGCCTTCCGAGCTTTTCGCGGCTGCCATCTCGTCAAATTTACTGTTATGCGCTATGTGAGAAAAATATTCTTTCCCATTTATGACAACGAGTGTTAACTTACTGCCACGCTGCTCGTATAAACGAGAGGTCGTAGGGGTTGCGGCGGCCATACCAAACCAATGCGACAGAGAAGAAAATTTGGGTACGGATCATAGAATACAAGTTGACGGATGTCGGGCTGCCTCTGGCAACCTCAGCCAACTGAACCGCGAAGACCTCCATAAAGTCCGGAATTGGTATTCGCTCTGAGTTTGATAGGTAAGAAACTTATGATGATCTTCTGCGCGGTCACGTCTCTAGTGATGGTAGGAGGAGAATGACAGAATAAATGAAACATACCTTGTATCCGGTACTCAGGACGAAAGATTGGCGTATTTCTATCATATCTGAAGAACATGCGTTAGCTCCGGCGCAAGCGTGTCGATTATGTGTTCACTTTGAAAACTGACCGTAGTCGAACTGGTAATCTACTCGTCCCTTCAAGGAGAGACCGGAGCACCGGAATCCGTTGTGCGATTTGCGCAATTGATTCACGGTTCCCAATGGGCTGGGATTCCTGGATGTAGCGTAATAGCGCCAAAGCCACCACGTAGCCCCGAATCCTGGAGGTGATGGAGTTGATATCTTCGCGATCCATTATGCAAATGAGACTAGTGATTCACTTAAAGAAGGAAGAATCTGGTAGTGGGCGTTTCTATGTAAATCCAGGTGTTGAGAGTGACTTCCACATAGATTAAGGACGTTATCTAACTCTCAGGGAAGACTAGATTATATATACAGCAATAACTTACTCTCCAATGTGGATTCTCTTTATTAGGTCCACAGAAGGGAGGAAGAAAGCGATCAGGCGGAACGATGCTCCCGATCTCGGCAGGTTCCATCCTTCTTTCATTTGCCTTCGTTACAATTGTTTGCTTATGATTTACCTCTTCCGAGGCTTTACATACGTAGCTACACGTGATTGAAAAGCTAGCGAGGGCGGCGCCGTCGAACTAAAGTCGCGGACCGAGTAATGACGAACCCCTTGGTCCAGTCGTGCTAGGGATATCGACAACAGCACCGCTCTCAAGGGGTCACAGACCCCACATCAAACTTACATGGCACTTCAATAGGGTGAGAGAAGTACATCCATGTGTATGCTACCCCAAAAAGATTGAAGGCCGTGCCACAAGATAGACACCGCAGCACCATTTACCACGGGAACTGTGAAGGTATACGCAATCTGTTCATCACCAGACCACCAGTCTTACTGCTAATCCGGCCAAAACTCGGGCTAAAACTTGAGAGACGTTACTGTTATTCGTCGAAGCATGGCCTCCCTCTGTCTCACTTACAGACTATTGATAAACGAAAACCCAAAGTATATCCTAGGGAGAGGTCGATTTACGAACAAAGGTCATTAGGAGTACAGCATCATCCTCAGTGAGACTTCCATTCGCCCATATTTACCATATGACTCATGCTGAGTTGTATGGGTACTCAGTTGTTGTGCTGCTAAGCATGATTCAAGATGTGACACAGGATAAGGAAGGAAAGAAAATAGGAATGATCGTGTTTGCGTCTTACCAAATGACGATAGAAGCTACAACTATTTGCAAAACACTTCAAGGTAGTATGATCTTCATTTAATAGTCTCAGGAGTACCAGCATTCTGTTGTGTGAGATGAACACATCAGAGCAGAATGGCTATGTATGGTTGCAGAACGATGATGGCTTCCTCAGATTTTGCCAAGACAACTGGAGTGGCCGATTTGGTACACTCCAATGACAAAATGATCACGACGTGTTTGTACAGTAGGTAGAACGAAGGACTCACATGGTCAAAGCTTGGAGATCGCATCTGCTGTTGTTGGAACCTTCGTGTCACAATAGCAATCCATACGCGCCCCATGTTTCGTATACGAGATGCTCATAATTAGTGGCGAAATGAACGGAAGCTCACAGAAACGACTCTCGCAAGCAAAAAATGGCTTGGTATTCGTAAGCAGAGAGACGCCATCGCAGAAGTTACATGTTACATTACAAGTGCAGGTTTGTACCAGTGAATTTTGTTCGATATTGGACCAAGAGTGATTCAATCGCTTGGCTGTCAGCCGGGAATATCCGCACTGCTCTGGCCATTACCAGCGGTGCGAGTTGAGAATGGGAGTATCTAAGTAGTCAATCGCCTCGTTCTTCTTCCTCCTTTTCGATGATCCGTACAGCACCCCCAACACCTCACCTCATCTGAATGTTCATCAACTATCCTGTATCCATCAGCGTTCTCGCCCACACACAACCCAGATCCCATTGCATTTCAGAGTTGTGCTGTCACTAGCTACCTAAGTAGGTAGAAAATCACGCTACATTCAACATTGAGACCCAAGAATTTCCTTTACTCTAGCATTTCCAGACTTAAACACCTGTAACAATGTCTACCTCTTATAATTTTTACGAAATGAACCCCCAGCTACGTTCCATCAAGGAAATAGAGCCGATGACTAGGTACGAGCCGGGTGGTTATCATCCGCTCAAGGTGAACGACGTGTTACAGGGCCGTTACCTTATTATAGATAAGTTGGGACATGGGAACCTTTCCACTGTATGGCTAGCGAAGGATCTAAAGGCAAAAGAACACTGTTATTACGCTATCAAGGTGAACATGGCCAAAAATTCATCTACCCCTGTATTGGCAGAGGGCAAAGTTTTGCGTGAGCTGCGCAGATCATGGTTCCCTCTCTTTGTCCCAGGACGGGAATTGATACCCCGGGTTTTTGACGAGTTCAAACTTGAAGGCCCTAATGGGACCCACGCATGCTTGGTCACAAGCCCATCGTGTGTTAATCTCCGTGAGCTATCAGACAATCATCTCTTCCCGATGCAGGTTGCCCGAGCATTCGCTGCCAAAATCGCAACCGCAGTCCGCTTTGTGCACTCACGGAGGATTATTCATGGAGGTTTGTGACACTCCCTATCTCTTCGACCGCCGATCCTAGGCTAAGCTATTTTTGTAGACATTCATCTAGCCAACATATTGCTGCCATTCAGAGAGGGTTACAACTCGCTTTCCTTAGCCGAATACAGGGCATCACACGGGTATACCCAATTTTATTCCCTCAACCACAACCCTAATGAGTCCGTGCCCGTGCAATACCCGACAGAAGCTACAGTGCCTTTGTGTTGTCGCAAAAGGCCGGAGAACCTTACCGTAGAGGATGCCCATAGGCTTCTGCTGTGCGATTTTGGTGACGCATTTAAGCCCCGTTCGGACGTGCGCTTGGGGCGAGAATGTCGTACCCCGGCCACAAAGAGAGCCCCTGAAGCCTTCTTTTCGCCCGATTTGCTCATGCGGTATGCCTCAGACATCTGGGGCTTGGGTCTTGTCTTCTGGGAGTTGGTTGCCAAGGAGCCATTATTCGTCACTGCCTGCTCTGGAAATGAGATTGTGGCACAACAACTTGATGTCCTCGGCAATCACTTCTTCCCTTCCCACTGGGCGAGAGTCTGGTGCCGGGCAGGTTCCGATGTCGGTCTCCCAAGACCGCGTCCGATTCGACGACCAATCGGGCCCAGGGTTACTCGACTGCCTCTCGAGGTTACCTGGGAGGCCCTTGTGGAGGAGAGGAAGGAAAATCAGGGAGAGTTGGGGGCTTTTCGTTTTGAAGAAAGGCAGGCGTTTCTTGAGTTGATCAGAGGGATGCTCAGGTTCAACCCCAAAGAGCGATATACCTTAGACCAGGTGATGCATTCCGAGTGGATGGTAAGGTGGGCATTACCTGCGCTCGCTCAAACTCAGTAGCTAGGTCAACACACTTGGGCCAACTAGCATTGGCAGGGTTCAATGACTAGTTTTCAATCGAAACCCTGAAACCGAATTGCTGCTGCACAGTATCAGTGAGAGTAGAGTAACAGATATTGACTGCCTCTTTCAAAGCACTACTTCCACACTTCTAATTAACATCTCATTCATGCCTATGCTGCAATCTTTCCCCTAAACTCATCTCCAGGTAGTTGATCGATACTATCAGTGATCGAACAGACACGACTTTGAAAAGGGGCTTCAGGACAATAGACAAATAGCCTCATAAGCCGTTAATCTGACTCATCCAGTTAATCATTCAGAGTCGTGTTGTATTAACTTTGACCTTCATTCAAACTATTCAAGCCTCTACCCACACAGCTTCACTTTCCATGTTCAATTTCATCAAGATTTATCAAGCCACCTAGGTCCCTTTCTCATATAAAATGTCCTGTCTCTTAAAGGAGTCCTTTCGGGAGCACCCACTCCAACATTTGTTAGTCATCTTAAAGATAGGGACTGTCATCAGCTCAAAGGTCTCTTACTTGTCGCCCTAATGTCCTTCATGAGAACATTACTTTTCACTGTCCTTGGTGGAGCTATTCTTCAAGGTGCTGGAAACAGCCTCTGAAGAGGAGTTGGTGAAGTAAGTGCGTTTCAAGCCCGCGGTACCTCCACTACGCTGTCCGTCAGGAGGGAGGGGTCCTTTCCGCGCTGAGCGTCGCCAGATCCTTCTGAACTTTCTGTTGGCCCATGGGTCAAATTCAGGGTATGGGACAAAGAACTTGGAAGGGTGATGTGGCATCTTCAAAGACGAATTTGGCTGTGTCATCGTACGTGGTGTGTTCCTATTGCTGTTGCTGTTGATGGTACGTTCGACGCACAAGTACGGCCGCAATGAAGGTCGTGCTTTGTGAATTTTCGATAGATTTACATGAGGAACTCCTCTCTTGCTTGTTAGAGTAGGCTCTTAACCGCCGGTCTAGTCATCTACCATGCTTCATAATAAAATCATTGTTACTATATCATGATTACACTATCACCTGATCAAATGGCGAGGTTTGACACATTACGAATGCAACGAATTGATACGGTAGGCAGTCTCACATTGTAGGGAGGATGAAGGGATACGCAAAACCCATCGTTGCAATGCCGTTGTATACGCCGGCGTGAGGAGAAATGTTCGCCTCTGTAGTCACCTGAGTCAACACGTGTCTACCTGGTCTCCTGACTTCTGGGAAAGTGAGGACACCGTCTCGATCGTGGTGAGCTGGGCCTTTTCCCCGATAGGTTGGTGGTATCGTGCAACTCTAAGCATGATATCGACCAAGCTCAGCGACCACCACGCCCACAGACTGAAGGTACAAGAGAAATTCTCTAGCTCGTGATTGTTCATCTGAGTGCTTCGCCACACCATCAAATTTGTTCACATGCCAGACATGAATCGGCTCTTTATCTCTGCGAATTCTTCATTGGCATAGGGCAGATGTAAGAGTGGCACGAGTGGCGGAGGTAAATACGGAGAAACCCGCCTAGGGATTGACCTTCCAACAGTTGCTGCTACGTACGTACACTGAGTACTTGACAGCCACTCATGATCACGGTATGTGTCGCAAGATTGTTGCCGCCCATCTTCGTTTGGTTTACGTTCCACTTCATCAGACACCAAATGAGTTTGCCTTTTGGCGGCTTCATGATGTGGATCCTCAGGCAAGCAAGGCGTGTCAACACTTTGGTGACACAGGTCTAGCCCAAGCCCCTCACATTGATGCCTTGCGGGAAATCTCGGCTCATCACCGTTGAGCAGTATTTGAGAAAGGGTCAGAAGTAGCTGTTTGAGGGCCTAGGCCATTTTAAGTAATACGGGGCCTTCATCAAGTAACTTAGTATAGCATGTCAAGAGTAGTACATGTGATCCCATTAGATTATCTAGAAGTCTAAGTTACAATACAGTTATCTGGCTGGATGAAGGTCTTATATACAGATTCCTAGCATTCCAGTATGTGGAACGCAAGTATCACCGCCTTCCCTTTCTGACATAGCAATGCTGCGCAAGACAGAGACGATGACAAGAAACGAATTTAGTGGCAAAATTATTTTTGTTTTCCCGGGGGACTATGAAACTATTTGCTCCTGACCATACTGGATCTCGCTAATGCGCACCTTGTGATAGGAACAAGACATAGCTCATTAATCGACAAGGATAGATTCTACGTCCAGATACGTCAAAATGAATCACGACTTAATTGATTGATTGATTGATGGTGTTTAACGTCGTAGGGACTATTCTGCGTTGCAGTTAGTCCGGGCCTCCGAAAGGGCACTGGAACGTGGCAAGCTGTCCACTACTGGTCTAAGTACATAGTGGCTTCAGAGCCATTTTCTCACTTCCTGAGCACGTTGGGTCATGACTCCGCGTCCACTCCTCTTAGGACTTCCGTGTCTTGTACGTTCAGTTCATTCCCTTTGATGGAACTGGATTCGGGACACCTGTGGGTCAGGTGTTGGTTATGGAGGGCGATGATGGACACGACTCCTATTTAGGGCAGTGGTCTGGCCAACCGCCGCTGAGCATCCGTAGTCCGCTTAGAATTCACCTCTGGGGGCTCATAGCTGGGCTGGGCTACAGCAGGTAACAACTTGGTGGGTGGGTGAAAATGAATTACGGCGGTACTAAGAAGTGCAGATTTGTGGTATTTTGGGTTGCGCTGTTGCTGTGTTCACCACTCTTCGGGGATGAAAGTACACTTGTACCAATTGTTGTGTAGATGGAAAGTAATTCTATTGTAGTTGGAAACATCTTGTAAGGGCCCTCGTCAATAGATCGTGAGATGGTGTCTGCTTTGGTTTTGGCTGGTATTATTCTCTGGTGAGATAGGTACACACCTAACCTAGGTAGGTATTTTTGTAACAGCTCATTCGGTTGTCCAACCGAAACTAACTTGATTGGACCAGGTCAAGGTACCTGTACCTCTTAAGAAAAGAATCTGAGGTAGTACGCGGGTTTGTCGCACAGCTGGCGGCAGATGGCAGGGGTTGACATTTTCAACGTCAAGACATTCGATCTGTGCAGACATCAACAAACCACATTGGGAAAAATCCGTCTCGAAAAGGCTTGTATTGTTCAAATCGGATTTTAATAATGGCTCTTCAATAGTACGCTTCAGATATGTCCTTATCACGTTGGGTACCGATCAACGTTTGTAATACATCTCAACAAAAGCAGGCATCCGGTACTTCCAAGCCCTAGAAGCTCCCAGTCCTTGGGGCCCCTTAATCAAGAATCCAGTGGCCGTCATCAATTCAATAACATGGGTAGAATATTTTATTAGAGATAATATTGGATATGCTTAATTGGGCCAGCAAGCTGCACTTGTAATCAAGTAGGAGAAACTTTACACCATTTTCTACAAGGGCGAACTGCTGGATTATCTTACTGAAGGCTTCCGAAGGAGATGTATTCATTATCGAAATTAACCAAGAAACACTACCCATAGCAGATTAGCTGGGACGCATCCCCTATGGGCAAGGGGGATTGGGGATATGCTATCAATAATCCCCGAAGCAGTCAGGTTTGTACTTTTCAAAATCATATTTACGAAAACTGCAATCATCGGGGTCTCCTGTATGACCATAATTGTTGCACGGTGCTTTTGAAGCCCCCGTGGCCTTCGTTGGCTAGGCTGGGGCTACGTGCAGTGAGTCTCTTTGTCTGTAGCCCTAGAATCGTGACAACCTCATCCACAGGTACAACCCTTGGGGTACCTCCAGCCAAAAATCCATACCAGGCTAATTAACTCAGGCCAGATAATGTTCGTGGAACAACCGTGATGTCGTGTTTGCTGTTACGCGGAACCAAACATTGATCATCTACCAGTAATACGTTAGCTAACTCTGAAATACTGACACTAGGTAGGGAGGCCAGAGCACAGCCCACGATGTTTCTGGGGACATGTACCTGGCCGTAGATAGCACTGGATTGGAAGGCTTTGTAGGTAGGAAGGTGCGAGGTTGGCCCGGGCTGGCTTCGGCTTGGGGGTCCTCCGTGGGTTACGTCCCGGTGCTGGTACACAACTCTGGGTAGTAAGATAAGGAGCTCAAGCTGGTTGGTAATGTGCCCTCTCTGCCTTCTCCCCCTTACGCATGTACATCTAGAGTGGGTGTTTTAGTCAACTGAGTAGCTGGTGATACAAGTGGCCATTATTTTCCTGAGTGTGTCCAGGGTGTCACTGCCTCATGGCGCTGTGAACATTTGTGAAAGAACATACCTTGACCCCCCTTTGAAGATAGATGTCTTGTGAATCTATTTGTATCATTGTGAGAGCCTCTTCACATCATAAGAATGCCAATGGTATCATTGGAATACTGTTTTCACTTGACCTCCTGATCATAGAATGATGCTTACCTAAGTAGCACCCGTAAACAAGTTGCTCTGTCAAGACCATCTATGGATAAATTCTTCCTAATGATTTTGTGTGTACCACTATGTGCCTTCATGTTTGCATGACCCATGATCTGTCTCCTGTGATCACCCTTTGACGGGAAGGAAGCACCTAGTCACCGTGAAACGGCATATCCACTCCTATCAATTTCCCTCTTTCTTGGTAGACGGTCACTCTCATGTTGGGCTCCTTATCCCTGCCTTTTAGTGTTATGTTCTCCAGTAGACGTATGGGGATCTCGATTCCACTAGACTTTGTATGCTCCCCGTAGGACTAGGAGGAGAATAACGCTGAGTTCGCGTTACGCGGGTCCATAGGGTGCACTGCGCACTATCAGGCAGAATTTTTCATGACCTGACCCATCGTGCTACCACACCCTCTGATTACATCATGGGTTCAGTGGTGTTGGAGTCTATCCCCATATCCCCATACCCTAGAGCACCACCAGTACTACTATCTCAACTCTCGGCTTGGTCCGATGGAATAGTCCCACGGAGCTGCGGAGTACTCCTACAATATCTACTATTTTCTTATATATTGAACTTGATCACACCTCGTGGCTTTGTGTGTTCAGTGCTATGAATCATTTCTTCCTTCAGTCACTCTCTTCGTGCCACACTGTCTCGGCTCCAAAATTTGCAAGCCCCCTCGTTTGGGACTTTGAAACCTAGCACCGAAGCTCCAGCTGGCACTCAGTAACATTACAGTTGAGTCTTTCCTACCTCGACGCATTGCTTCAGTTATCTCGTTTTGGTGTGAAACTTACAGAGCTCGGTTCTACCGTAGTCAAAATGGGGATCACCCCACGGACCCCGAACAGAACTTGGAAAGATAAAAAACCTTATAGCCGTCCGGACACAGGCTCCAACGCCAGCAAAACAACGAAGCAGCCTGCAAAAGGCTCAGCCGCACGCGGTAGTCGAGCGGCTAAGCCGGCCTTGGAGCTAGGTAAGCTTCCTTCCAACCCAGTAACCACTTCACTCGCCCTTGTTTCCCTTATATTCCCACTTGCTAACCCCTGCGTGCTTTGGAAGGACGCAACCCCAATTCGGAGCCCGCGACATCGTCGCTTATCCCAGCGGTTCTACCTACTGCTCCGACACCCCAAACTGCACTCCAAGAGACGCCACTGCTTGTCTCACAGCAAGCACCTCACCGGGGGCTTCAGGCCGGTCCACGGGCTGAGCCTCAAGTCTTTCGGTCTAGAGAATCTCTGCCTACTGATAGCCAATACAGCTTACCAATCTTTGACACATCTCGGCATTACCAACCACCCATCCCGAGATATACTCAGAGTTACCCTACCCAAGGTCCAGCAAGTGAACAGTATGGCGACCATCGTGACTATTTGCCATCGGAACAACTACAAAGCCTCCTGCAGGCAGGCAGTCCACGTTCCCACAGTTTTACACAACATGATCAGACGGAGCCTGAGAGCACTCTGGCTCAGCCCATTCCCATGCGCCCAGCGCAAGACTTCGTAGACATTCAAAGCCTAGACACACTTTGTAAGGTCAATGATGAGATCATATGGGAAAATCAACCCCTCATGCCACCAGTAGAGCATTTAGGACCAGACTTGAAGGGGTTCATGTGGCCAACACAGAACCACAACAAAAACAACATGGTCGACCCCGGATTGATTACTAATGGCAGCGTGCCTGTAATATCCGGTCAAGTCGCAGGGGATATAGACAACGGCGCACCAGGTAGTAGTCCATCAGGGACCTCTCTCATGCCTTTCTTTCCAGACCTCGTTGAGCAGACACCTCAGGCCTCTGGTAGCCAGAACGATTCATTCCCCCATGATTCCTATGGTGACACCTCTATGGAATCGCATGGCATGAACATGAACCGGGAACCCCCCGCAGCACCTCGGTACGAGTCTAATGTTATTATCACCAGCGATGGTTTCAATGTCTTCGAACCCACCTTGCTAACGAAATTAGCGAATGAATGCGCTAAGAGCGCATTCGAGAATTGTCCGCAAGCGATTGCGATCTCGCATCAGCTGCTCATGGCTGATCGCCTTTTTTACGGAGGTATCTGGGCAGGTTCGTTCATAATCAATGGGAACGTTCTTGTTGAATACCACCGGCCAGCGCCAGCACTTCCCGATACGAGCGAGCACAAGCGCAGGGATCGACGCGGGGCAATTCTCAGCTGCAAGGGGTTCTTTGATGAGACTGGGTGGTGTGGTGATACGGGGGAAGTCATTTCCATTGAGTTTACCGATCCTTCTACCGGGGGTCAGAAGGAGAGGAGATGTAGGGTATTTGCACCTGTAGAGGAGATGGAAACACGTCCGGCAAGGGTGGTCCACGTGTTCAACCTCCGGGAATATTTTTACAATCGATCTCTTTCCTCACACGTAAATACATATGCCTGGCTCGTTGCTCCTGATAGGGTTGACTATTCCATGGAGGCGATTTACGACAATCTCACCTTGCTCGGGGCGGCGCAGAACATTGGGCTGCAGCCCATTAATCAACAGCCCTCGCCTCAACGTAGTATTCAACCCGTCGAAGCCCCTCAGCACGCCGCAGCTGAGAACCCGGCCCCGGTTCAAGTACAGGATGACGAGCCCAAGCCCCAACTCAGACCTGACATGCCAGATGAAGAGCAAGATCTGTCCGACGAAGAGCAAGATTTTTCAGATGAAGAGCAAGATCTGCCATCACCGGCTAGTGAGTCACATCCATCTACTTCTCAGCCCCTATTCCCTAATCATGACATAGCATTTGCTGAATGGTGCCAATGTTGGCCGCTTCCGGAGTGGCCTCTTGGCGAGATCACGACTTGTGATGATTCATCTCCTTCTCTTGACGTCCCCCTTCTATATCAGTCTTTGATCTTCGATATGGTAGACGCGCTAGTGGACAGATCTTCTCTTGCCACCATCTATCTAACGACCAATGCCGCTGATGTCTGCTTTGACCCTGAGTGTAATTGCCCTGCTCAATTCTTTTCTCACACCCGTTCTCTATTCGACGCAGAAAAGAGCATTGAACCGGCCGATTCCCTCAGCAGCAGTAGCTCTTCTAGAGATGGGCAAGCCGCTCAAACCGATACTCATAGCGGTTACCTGCCCGAGTTCGACTATTGGGTTACAGAGAATCCGATTAGCCACTGCCAAGAGGAGCCGGCTGACTATGAACTCTTCGAGCAATTAGGGTTAGATCTGCCTGAGGAGTGGAATGACATTGATTACGATAGCATGTATCAGGAGTGTAATCTCGATTTCGACGGAGATTTTCTTATGCCCTACGAATAGGGGCAATAGTTGATGCTCCTCCGAAAGGTGAGTATTCACCATTCTTCCCCTGTTTCCCTTTTGCGTTTCCCTCTCCCCTGCTTCACTTCCAAAGCTTCACCACGTTTAACATTGCAAACTCGCCACCTGTCAAATAAACTTTTCCAACATCCAGTCATCCGCCCATCATCTTCAAGTTCTAGTGTTGCTAACGCACCCATCGCGATCTCAGAACTCTTCCCTCGCCGCATAGCACTAGGCTCCTTACATACGCGTACCGAATCGCCGCATTGCTCTCGAAGTCTCTCACCATACTTGATTCCTTTCCACATTGATATTGGCGTTGGGTGTCGGGGCGTTTGGTTGTTTGGGCGTTGGTCATCGTTTTCTTCCTCGGTAATTTCATTTCACATCTATGGATACAAGCAATATCATACCCGGCGGAATTTTCTTTACTCGATCTTCTTTCTCCGACAGATCTCAGCTTCATCGCCCTACAGAGAAATACGAGGCGTGCTGAGCGCTGTCACAACTTCCCCGTACTATTCGGGGTGGGTGGGCGGGTGGGACATTCTTTTGTGACAAGTCTCCTTTACTGTATATAGTCTCTTTGGGATCGTTTCTGCATTTTCTCATTCTTTTCGGAAGAGAATGAGTACATCGTATATAGTCTCTCTGCTACTGTATATTATCTGACTTCTTCTCTCCTTTGTTGGAGGAGGAGGGGTGTGGGAGGGTGGGCACTCTTTTCGCGATGTTTTCTTCATTGTATATAGCCTCTCTCCGAGATGATAAAGCCAAACGTCGATGGGCTTTGTCACTATCTGTTCTCCTTTTCTAGTTAGAAATGCCAGGAGTGTTTCTTCCAGCAACTGCCTTTCCTTCACCAGATTGACTTCCTCCAAGGATTCAACATATTTCCAAGTCAGTGGACGCAACTGCTTGAACATGATAGGCAACAGCGTGGTCCTCTCAGCATCAAACAGATTGACTCAACGAGATTATGCGAGAGACAGACACATAGGGAGTATGGTGATCAATTTCACCAAATCCGGTCCTTAGATAGCCACTGACACATCTTTGGAACATCAATTCGATTGCGTTGAATTCTGCTAATACTTGAATTTTGTCTGGACTTTAATTATATTACAAAAAGTGCCTTCAGTAGCGTAAACACTCAAAAATGCGTATAGACCGATGGAGAGAAAATGCAGTAAATACCAAGAATTCAAAACTTTACCAGTTTCGATATACTTTTAGCAGCAGCGAGGTTGGTGATAGCTTCACTTGGCTCATTTGCCGTCTGAATGAAGCAGGATCGTCGCTGGCTGATCTCTCTGCTCTGTGGAACTCTTGCTTCACCAACTAACAGGGAGGCTGACCGGCTGAGTGACTGACTGAATACGAACGGTTCTCCGACATCGCTAGCTATCTACCCGACACCACGCATACGTTCAACTTCACTGATGACGCGGCATAGGAGGTGTGTGTGTTTGCCTACGCAACCGCTGCCGCCTCCCTTAAATCGGGTCAGGGTCGTGTCATGACCATGTTTGCCGTCAAGTCAAAAGTTACAATACAATACAATGTAGTGTGACCATACACTCCGACGGAGTGATCAAATCTAGCGAGAAGTACATCTATCTGACTGGGTGTGTTTGCACAGGTGGCTGTGGAATCCTCTAGAGAGTAATGGCATGATTCTGTGTTCACTCAATCCGGGACTGCTACACCCTGTGCTCTTAGTACACCCTCTTTGATGTGTCAAGGTGATCCTTGTGGGAGTGGTGTATAGGCAATAGGCTGCGAGTGATCGGTCATCGGACTCGCATTCGGGTCGCGATGTGAAGACAGTGATGGCTGGAATATCCCTTGCTTCATGAGACTTCGCAAGGACGTGCTTTGCCGACAGATCACAGAATCGACATGACGGTATGGTACATGGTATTGGTACAGTATATTGGTACAATATGTGACTTGACGCTGTTAGGTAACTGGAAATCCTCTCGTACACCCCCCTGATGCGCCAGCACTCATCCAGGGCAGTCGCCTAGAAGTCTCGGCAAAACTGATACCAGGACCTAGGATTGGGTCATTTACCCGAGACGATAGGGTATGGTTGCTTGCTTCTTTGGTAAATCATAATATCTAGAGGCTCGAAATGTCCCACTGAATTGCCGCTGGTATGACCTTCAGTCTCATGAGCGCAGATAGATGTAAATACAATGTATCTGTACATGATCCATACATTGCTCACAGTACCCCCCGATTTAACAGGTCCATCTTGTGAACCATTGTGCCGAAATGCTTCCGCCTATGAGCACTCTGCGAATGGACTTACCCTTGAGGAACCCAAACACGACGCAAATACGAGCAGTGAAGCCGCAGTTCACCGATGATGTGTCCAACACCGATGTCTTTTTCGCATTGAAAGACGTAGAGCAGGTGTATCCGGCTCATATTACACCGGGGCTAGCAAATCAATTCCTCATTACAATGCTCTTCTAACCGCATCAGGTAATCAGAGACGAGCACGACTTCATCTCGCTGGGCATCAACATCAGGAGGCGCCAGACATAATGCACAAGGAGCTTTTGCAGGAACACTAAAAACAGTGCCAGAAATTTGCTCCTTTCACATGTAACCGTTGCAAAATTTGCTCAGTTGTACTCATTGCGATGTTGTTGTGTCATTTCTACGATAGCTCCTAGATTATCCATGACGCCACTTCGTGATGTCTACGTTCCCCGTGTTTTACCCACGGTATCAGCAGGCCAAGATAGACGACCTGCTGGGCATCACAAGGGGGAAATTGGTTGAACCAACGTGATTCCTCTCACTAGCAAAGTTGCTATCACAGATGCATTTGGATACCTTAAGCGAGGATTCGTAGTGTGAACAAGGCGCTGAACACACGTTGTGTAGGGTCGCAACATACTGACACTTTCCCTACGCTGAGAATCAAATAGGCAGTGCTTTTCCATGCAAAAAAAAGATAGTGATTCCATGGATCTCAGATACCATCGCCATCCATCCATACTCCTCACCTTCAATCTTTTCTGTTTGCACCTCAAGTCTGTCGAGACAACATATTAACTTCAAATCGTGACTCATCCCAACAACAATCCGTACTATAGCACATTAAAATGCCTTATGAAGGCTGGTATATGAATGCCAGTGACAGGCCACCTCCTGACCCCGTCATACCATTCGTTAGGAGGTTTGATGTAGTGGCCGTCGTCACTACCACTGTTGCCCTCGCCTGGGTTTTTGCTTGCATCTCATGGTTTTTTTTATCCAGAAACGGGTTCACTGTCATCGTTATCGACAGGTCAGGGATCTCCTTTCGGCAGCCAGGGGAACAGGAGCGACGAGAGTGACGCAAAGCATGACCTCGTACTAGCGTAAGCATAACATTACTCTTCCCCAAGCCCGATTACCAGTTGTGTATTGACAATTTGGATGGCAGGTTACTGATCGATCCTCAACAAGCGGCCGAGGCGAGAGAAGCACACCATGTCGGGAGAAGGAGCTGCGGGAAGAATTCGTGGGGGAGAGGAGGGCTATGACCAGCCAGGTCTGTAACTACACAGCGCTAGATTCAATGTGAACTGGTTCGGTATACTACTTCGTCCATGGATTCCATAGTAGCAGTCCATCAGCTGCAAAGCTAATTCTGCGTGAGGTGATGGTTACCCATTGGCTGCTGAATCATTGCCCTGCTATAACTGTGCACTCTATGGTTAAAGAGGGTGATGCTTCCGCGGCGAATGGGCAACCAACGCCTCACGGAGAACTGGCTGTGCAGCCGATGGTTGGGCACAGACAATACACTCCTTTGAAGCATGGCTCTTCTAGCTTCCTTAATATGACAGTTGCCTATTCGTAAACATTGCTTCTTAGGTACCTAGATCATCGGAATGAATTATATCCCAGTTCTGCAGCTTCCGAGTGGCGTGTAGTAGAGCAGTCCTTAGATGGGATTTGTGGTTTATCGCTTCTCCCAGGCACCGTGACGAGGGTCCCAGGATACTGACTACACACATACAGCACAAGACAGTGGGTAGAAATAGATGAAATATGCGCGATGGCTCAGTATCAACCCATAACTACCTAGGTAGTCTGCGATTCGCCGTCTCGATACCTTCGATTCTCTGCTGCTGTTCCGACGCCACAGGGGCTAGGGGTACAGTGCGACGTGTGAGTAAGTACTAAGCGGACAGGGCTCGCACTGTATCGGAGTCGGTCCTTGGCATCGGCACCCTTGGCTCTTTGGCTCGGCCGTGGCGGAGGTGACATCTCAATCGCATGAACATCTGCATATCGATGTAAGCGTGCTATCTTCCTATGCAGGTCGATTGCTATTGTTACAATTGTCACAGGTGATAAGATAAGGCTGAGGTAGTAATCCTTCTCCTTCTCCTTCACTATCCCTTGACGGTGCTGGTGGAGCGCTGCGAATAGCTCCCTTTACTAGCTCCCTTCACTTTCTAACCTACGTCAACGGGTAGATGATCATCGACTTCTCTCACTTGAGCAATTGACGTCTTCTTACCTCTTAACTCATTTTTCTTATTACTTATTTCCTGCAGTGTGAATCCCCTCGATGCTTGAATGGTCAGAAGCAGACCCGAGTGGCTGATACAAACGCGAAGTCTGACCCTTTGCCTCCACACCAGCTCTTGTCCGCACCGGCGAACCATCAGCATCTCTAATCTCACCGAGGCCTCAGCTCCTCTTCCAGGACGACAACATCACGACAATGGCGTTCAATACAGCATTGGTAAGCTTCAATTCTACGTATAATCAACTGTCAAAATCGAACCTCCTCTGTCTGTAGCTCATGCTGGATCCTGTCGTCATGTCCAAAGAAGCGATCGCTGACTGACTACTTATTCAGGGTGTCATTCTACTAGCATTGCTGTCGCCTTTCATCTACGAGCGCGCGCAGACATTGTCGCTATTTTTCAGCAATGCGCCTCATCGCCTAGTCAAGGTGAACACCTTCGCCTCTCATGAGGTCAGGTTCGCAGATCGCATTCGCAGCTGCGAGGATGTGCTGCTCGTCGAGTCCAAGGGCATTGCCATTGCCGCCTGCGACCCCGGTCGTGAGAGGTATAATACCGTCATGGTGAGCAGCCTTGATCCGGATTGACTGAAACCCGTTCCTTCAGCCACCCCATATGCTTCTCCATTCATTCATGCATCTAAGGCCATCCTGCTGTTGAGTTGTGTGTGAGCTATGTGTGAGTGCGGGGATGGGCAGTCGGGCGTTGGCTACGCGCACATTTCATGCATTCTCTCAAGCTGTTGTCGCGCTAACGAACGGCTTCCAGGGCATGTACCTCCCTGAGCCTGTCGAAAATGGCAAGTTATACATCTTCGACTACACGACCACCGGCGCGTCAGGCGATGAAGCTCTCAAGCAGCTCGACTTCGTCGATTTCAAGTTTGAGTCAGACTTCCACACCTTGGGCATGGCCTACGATGAGGCTACTTCCACCCTCTTCGTTGCAAACCATCGCCACGATCACCCAGCGGTTGAGATGTTCTTGCTTGATCTAGAAGGCAACACGGCGACGCATCTGCGCTCTATCCAGCACCCTCTGATTCACGGACCCAACTCCATCGCGTTAATCAACGACCACGAGCTCTACGTCACTAATGACCACTTCTTCGTCCGCAAGAACCACTCTATCCTGCACCAGCTCGAGACTTATCTCGGCGCCCCCGGTGGAAACGTCGTACACGTCGATTTCTCGCCCATTATCAAAGACCCAGCAGCCCCTGTGCAAGCCAGCGTCGTCGCGCGCGTCGCCTTCGCAAACGGCATCGAGCTCCTCAACGAGACAACAGCCGTCATCGCATCGTCAGGCAAGGCAACGGTGCACTTCTTCTCTATCACCACACCCGAGAACAACGACACACCATCGTCCCCCGTGCCGAAGTTCACGCAGATATCGAAGATCAGGGTCCCCTTCGCCCCCGACAACCTCGCGGTCTCCAAGGACGGTGCGCTCATCATCGCTGGCCACCCACACTTCCCGAGTCTCGGCGCATTCACCAAGACGCGACATATCTGCAACTCGCCAGAGGAGCTAGCCAAGGCCGACGAAGGCATGCAGGAGACCTGCCGCACGCTTTTGGCGCCGTCATGGGCCGCCAAGTGGACTGAGGCTGGCGGGCTTGAGACGTTGTACGCGGACGTCGAGTATCCCAGCAGCGCGACGGCTGCGCGCGACTCTGACCGGAAGATGGGCGTCATATCAGGCCTGTATGCTAAGGGTATCCTCGTTTGGAAGGAATGAGCATTCCCCAGTTTCTTTCAGTGCGGGCATATTACTTGGATTGCTTTGTAAATGACTAAATCTTTTTACGACACGTTATGTTTTCCCTCTTACCCCATGATTTCATTTCTGGACTAGCTTTGAAGATCTCGGGAGATCTACAACGCGATGAAACGTAGCGGGTTATCTATGTCTGGCAGGAACATACCTCAGCTACAAGGGCGCATCAGGAGGATAAGGAAAATTGAAATTGGGCCTTTTCATGTCAGCGTCTTGATACTTTGCCGCCTGCTTTCTTCACATCGCTACGAGGGGCACTCTTGGAGTTCTTATGATGATGATGATGATGGTATGTGCATTGGTGGTCATTCCAAAGAAGCGCAAGTATGTACATGAATGAATAAAGCCCAGACTGTTCCCGCCAAATAAAAGCCCTAAGCCCTCGCCCCTATTGAAAGATCCTATGTGAAGTCAATCGACTTCGGCACTCGACTTCCTCGATCCTCTCTCCACCTGCGACGTTTCGGTTCGGTTCGTGATAGGTGCGCTCGAGGACGGTAGATTCGTTCGATCGCTCGCTCATTCGTTTGGGAGGCGGGGGTCTATTGGCACGAAGACCACCAATCACTCGACTTTACGCACTTGTACGGCGACTGGCAAACCGTCGGCCCCGAGTAGTCTTTGCCTCCACACCTGTGTCTGGTCAGCGCAATGTTCTCAAGCGAAAAAAGGGTTATATATATATGAAATATATATAGATTCCACAACTGGGCTTCCACAACCATGTTTTCCAACCACACATCTTTTTTATCGCCCAAAAAACCTGAGGAAAGGAAAAGGGAGGTCGTACTGTCCCCATTGTGCAACCCCTGTTGTCCCCGGCTGGCTGGCTGATGTCGTGCGTGTGGAGGTGGTCATGGAGCGCGTTGTGGTAGGCGTCGCCGTACCTCGGGTCGTCGTGCTCGTCGGGGCAGGGCTGCTGCCGCCTTTATCCAGCGACGAGCGCACGCTGTCCAGGAACCCGCTGTTGGCGTAGAGCTGGCTCATATCCCAGGCCATGATACCGCCGAAGCTGGAATACTTCTGCTTGGTGTCCGCGATGATGGGGTCGAGCGTCGAGGCGCTGACGTAGCCGCCGCCGGCAGACTGGCTTGCAGGCACGCCGATGAGGACCTTGACGTTGGGGTTCTTGCTCGTGTTGTGCGCCCAGTCGTCCCAGACGTTGAAGTTCCATGCGTTCGGGTTGGCGAAGTTGACCACGCCGCAAAAGTTGTTGTAGAACTGGATGTTGATCCAGTCAAAGGCGATGGCGCCGTTGAGCATGTCGTTCATGGCGGCATCGGGGTACACGCACTGTGGCGCAGCGGAGAGGTAGTACGCCTTGCTCGAGTCGGCATCCATGTGGTCGCGCAGGCGCTGGGCGAAGGGCACGAAGTTCTGCGTGCTCGCCTCGAAGTCGAAGTCGAAACCGTCGACGACAGCAGAGCCGAAGGGTCGGTTAGCGGCATCGGTGTTAGGTCCGAACAGATCCCAGACATCGTCTGCTTTCGAGGTGGCAGATGAAGCATCGCTAAAGCCGCCCTCGTAGTAAGTAGCACCGCCAATTGACAATAGGATGGTCTTGCCCTGTTTCTGGCAATACTTGATATCCTCCCTGTGGTACTCTAGGTTAACTTGGGTCCGGTGATAGTTCTCGGGTTGCTAATAGCTTCATACTCAATCTCAGGGCAGCTCAACAAGCTGGTGCCATCAATGGGAGTGCACTTATCACTAGCGCTAGCGAAGTTGACGCTCAAAGTCTTGAGGCCAACCAGGAAGGAGACGTTGATGATCTAGACAATATTGTTAGGACATCCGAATCTAATTAAAGACAGAAAACATTCTCACGTTGATGCCATTGTCTATCGATCTCTCAGTTAGCCAGCCGTCGAGGACACGTGATGTCATATGGAAGTTCACATACCGTCACAGTAAGTCTTAAGTCGACCCTGTGTATTGGCACCATTGGCTGAGTTCTGGCCTACGATAATCATGTCAGCCAGTTTGTAGACCCCACGTCTTGATACACTATTATATCGCTTACCCCAGTACACAGAGATGTTGTCTGTTGCAGAGGCAGAGAAGCCAGCAAGGGCAGCCGGGGCGAGGGAAAGGATGCTGGCGATAGACGCCAGGGTTGATAGGACGGGAGCCATGTTATCAAAGGAGAGTCAAGGTTAAGCTACCTGAGCTAGAAGTATAAAGAAAAAAAGGAATGTGTGAGCCCGAGCCAAAGCTACCTGAGCTGATAAGTTGTCCGAGGATGGATGTTGTGAGGGCTTCAAACTCATCAGGAACAAGCGAGGGCGTCTCTTTTTATATACTAAGCTTCCTCCTCCACCGACCGCGATGTTCCCGGTTCAAGGTCAACGTTACTCAATCATCAGGTATACTTTACCGACCATGAGGTGGTGGGACCCATGGCGCGCGTGCAACCTACGAGCCTCGAGTCGATAATACACACGGCCCTACCGAGTGGTACCGCCCGTGGGGACAGCGACGCAGTTAAAACAGTAGTTCAGGAGAGATTTGTTCCTGCAAATGTCCCTGATCTGGGAGAGTAACATCTAGGATTATGGTTTGTTGCAGGAGCTATCATCCTGGCGGTGGTCATCCTGCCGCCGATACCTGGTGTTGGTGGTAGTATGATAGCCTGCATATTGAGGCACGGCAATTGGATGATACAAGCAGGTGATTAGCCGTAGACGAATAGCAGTCGAGATTAGTTTGTGCCTAATGGGGAGGTGATCGACAGGCACAAGGTCTCGATTTTACCGGCGACTCTGTGAGGAATGGACGTTGGCAACAGGAATGGTGGCTTCACATAGCTTCAGAGCGTCTTAGTTCGCCCGATGTCAAGAGCCAAGGCAGCGATCAGCGGCCGCCCGTCGCCAGCGAGCTTCCGGATCCGGGGTGCGAAGGACTCCTGGGAGAGATCCCAACGGCCGACTCTACGCCCGAATCGGAAATAGCAGTGACGGTGGCTAGATATGAGATTTACAAGGAGGCTCTAAAATGCAAAGAGGTGGCTATTAATAAGACCTCGTCTCAAGAGACAATCCTTCAACACAACGCATGGTTATGCGCCAAGGCATACCGACAGTACTGGAAGCAGGATATAGCGAGACACTGACTCTTGAATTCAGCGCAGTTTCTTGCTTTCCACTAATTCCCATGTCTCACGCCGTTGCTGGCAATTGTTACATCTTATCTTCCAGCAACTGCAGTGTAGTCTCGGCCTCATTACCTCTTTGAAGAAGCTAAGTCGTCACTAGCCAAAGAGGCCATGCGTGTGCTTCGATTCACCCCTTGCATCCCCAGCTGCCTGTTCGGGAATAGGGGCGCGGATTGAGCGAATGAGAGGATTTAACGATGGAAACCAACAATCGACCCCTGGCAGGGACCAGGGCTATACTGCCAACTGTGGTAGTTAAAGCCAGTTCGTTGCAACCATGTGGATAGCTGTTGTCTTGCAGGCCTTGGTCCTGGTGACATATGTTCAGATAAGTCGACGCAATCAAGTGGTCATGCACCTCAACACCGAAGCAGGCTCTCACTCCCTACCCCAGAAGTGGAAGAGACATGCCTGGCGCTTATCCAGAGAATCAGCTAAGCCTTATCTCGTTCGCTTGTATGTCGATCATATGAGCAAAAACCCTAGGCCATGGTTCCATGTTTTATGAGACCTTCGGTGAATCAAGCGTGCGTTTGTCATCAGCCTTGGGCAAGCAAGCCTCATTACCACCATTATGCTATTACCGATGCCTTCCCTGCCCTTTTCTGAATAACATGAATTAATTCTCCAGGTATCGACCTACTTACATAGTAGATACTTAAGTGATCCCTCTCAGCACACGTGAAAGTGGCTACCATAGGGCCGATAGAACCCGAAGAGTAAGCCCACACGACACTGGTTCTTAAGCTTACGACTCGCTCTCTCGTCCGTGTCAACGCGTCTTCTAGTGGTGTCCACGACATCACACGTAGACGTGCAACGTTACTATTCTCTATCACGGCCAAAGCGGCTATGAAGATAAATCAATTCGTCATATGTATATAATCTTTATCTCAATGTACCCACACAATCTGTCAAACCGTCGTGGTGCAGATGGTTATGACTACCAGTCTTGTCCTCACATAGTACCACAGCTCTGGGAGGGTGTTACATCAAAGGTAGCAAACAGTCTCATCTGCATATCGGTAGCTATTAAGGATGGGAGGCAGCTTAGCTTGTTCCCAAGTTGCGAGATGACGTTCCCATCCCAAAACACTATTACATCCACGTTCATTTATCCAGTGTTCTCCAGAATCCTAGTAATTACCGAACTCGAGCCGATCGCAACGCTAGTCAGTACAGGGGAAATATGACCAGTGTGAACGGCACCTCGTGTAGCCAAGGTTGAGTTACCTAACTATATCTATGATACATAATGAAGTGCCTTGCAATTCCCGGCGCGGGCCGAAAGCTTAGAAAAGGTCAGCAGTAACCCCATATGTCTCGATCATATGCCGTTTACTTGCACTAACATCTATAAACAATGTACCATCGTGGACTACACGGCAGGGCAGGTAGGGCTGGAAGGATTCTTTGTGATGCTACTTAAAACAGCACTTAAGGACAAAAGGAGAAAAATGAATCGCAATCCTTCGTGCGCCATATACCAGTGGGTGGTTGACTGAGTCGAGCTGCCCTAAAGAGAAGTATTAGTACTACCTATACAATTTTGGAGGTGGAGAGGCATCATTAGGGGTCCAAAGACAATGGTACTTACCTCCAACTAACAATTAACTTAACGTTCTATTTAAAAACTCGATCTATCCTACGCCTCATAACTGCATAATCTGCGGCCTCACACTACACCCCATCCATATCTAGAGGCTGATGATCAACTTATGTCTGATTAGGAAATACCGCGCTGTGGTCCCGTAGTAGAAATGGGAAGGTAGCCTCATTCGACCAACGTCAGCATGAGCAGAGTATGGATATTCCAGATACGTTGCATAAACGAAGACGTTCCTGTATATAATGTTACGCAACAGAAAGGGTATAGTGAGTACTCCACATGCCAGATGGAATAGACGCCTCTCCATCGCGAAATCCTCCCATAAGCCACATCGATCAAGCGGATTTGGTCGTAGATCGCCCACCAACCATTCAACCCCGTCCAAATCCACACTCAGCCAACATCCATTTTCTCGAGTATAGTGTTGTATAGTTCGGTCTATGGCGCCCAGGTCTTGGTTGGAGCATTAGGGGTAATACATACCAGCTACCAACTTGGCGAACGAACTACTATAGAGCCAGCAGGAGCGTAAGCTATGACTGATCCCCATCATGCCTATCATGAGCTATCTGAAATAATTAAACGTCAACTCTAGACAACTACACACCAAGGTAAAAGAGAAGTTATGTTCTTCTCCTTCTCACAGTCAGTGCAATATTGAGACAGACACACGATTACATGCAATTGCTAATTATCAACACCGTAGCACTCCCCACCAAGGCACTCTTACACTCAACCACATGCATACCAGCAACAGTAAAATGACCAACGAGTCTAATCTTCGTTTCCTATCAATTCCACAGCCATATAATGACCAGCACCAGCACGGATGAAGAGCAAACCATCCTAACAAAAACAACCCGCTACTAAACCACATTGATAAAACCATCCGTATCTGACGTTAAACACTACTTACATGATGCCCGTCTAAGGGGAGAGAAGAAAATATCCGAGGCCCATAACATAACGTCCAAAAAAGAAACCGACAGCGGGGAGAAAACAGAAAAAAAGCGATCCCGAATGTAACGTAAGGAAAATCAAAACGAGCCCAGCCAAACCCCCAAAAGTAAATATCCATCTCTCTTTTTCTCCAGTAAACCACCCCTAGCACTTTCTCAAAAACATCCCTACACCACCTCCCTGCACACAGTCGAGACAAGTATCAGCCATGGGGCCCTCGGACAACAAAACCGCAGACCGAGTCGACGAGCCAGGACACGGGAAGGCCGGAAACGCGCGGTCAAGGCCATCGAACAGCACGGCGTCGTCCATGGTTTGCACGACGCGCGGCATCGAGTTATACGTGGTATTACTGTTTGCCCAACCCTCGAGGGCTTCGAAGACGACAATTCCCGTGCCCGTCAAGTTGAACGCTCCTCCTCCTCCGTGGGGTGAAGCAGAAGAGGAAGTAAGCCGGAACGAGATCTGACACGTCTTTCCCACGTCTGCGTCATCGAAGCGGAAGTTGAAGATGCTTGAGGCGTTGGGCGACACCTGGATGTGCTTGCCGTCGTTCGGGCCATAGGCCGTGTCTGGGTTGCCTAGGTCCGTGAGGATGATTTGTTCAGGGCCTGTCTCCACACAGCTAGATGTTGATCCGGGCGGGGGTGTAGACGTAGAGGAGCCGGTGCCGCTACTACTACCGGGTACTATCGTGGTGATTGTCGATGTGCTTGTAATGCTCGTTTTTGTAGTCCCGCCATTTGTCGTGAAAGGAGTTCGGGTCGGTGGGCCCGGCGATGTCGTAGAAGATGATAACGTTGCAGGTCCCGAAGAAGGACTTCCTGGCGGTGAGTTTGGAGAAGATGGTGCAGTAATCATCGTAGTAGCAGAAGTCGAAGGTGAATTCGTCGCTCCAGGAACCGGACCAGCTCCGCCACCACCAGGACATGTAGACGGCGCGCAGTTATCAGCGTGGATGGTGACTTCATGGCATTGGTCGCCGACAGGACGGAGATAGAGATTTACTTCGTCCCCTTCTCCTGTCGGACACTCGTAGAAGACGGACTGGCCACTGAATGACAGGACGCCGTCACAGCCGATATCAAACCCGTGGTCCGGCGGTTGATTCTTGTCACACTGGAGGGTAAACGTCGGAGCTAGGTACCACATGTACGTTTTAGCTCGCGAACGTAGTATCAGAAAACAAGGTGAGTGACACATGGGTGTGCGATGAGTGAGTGAGAAAATAGTATTAACCAAAACATCAAAAAGAGACACAACCTACGAGTCCACCAGCACCCACTACCCTGCTGATCAGCAAAAGCATCGCCGAACCAAGTGAACAAGCTCGGCGTCGACACGTCGCTGCCAGCGTGGGCCTGGCCACTACCTTTCTCGCCGACGGAGCCGTTGAAGGCTCCCGAGCACGACAAGTGAAAGCCGCAGCCCACGTTATCACGCGTGGCGTGGGCGTCGACGGGGTCCAGGGTGTGCATCCAGAGGATAGAGACAAGGGGTATGAGCATGACTAGCATCCCGGCACAGAGGCACTTGTGGAATTGGCGAGGCCTGCAAAGAAACAAAATGATGATGACGGTGTTGGCCCAAAGAATCTTCCAAGAAAATAACAGGACGCATGAACCCGTGTGTTTCTGATGCGAGCTTCGGCGTAGCCAGATTCGGATGAAGTGATAATGCCGGTATCACGAGGTGAGGATGGCTTATGCAACAGGCATTGGGCTTGCCTCGTAATAGTTCACTTCTCTTGCTCGCTCTTTCTGCTGCAGCTACACGCCTTCCTTGCATTTTCACAAGTGATGACGTGCCGGTTGATTGCAAGGTAGGACATCCGGGACGAGTGAGGAAATTTCCGCAACTTCAAGGTGTGATATATAACCACTTTTTATCAACCATCGACAGGGATCACATATCAACGTCAATGAAGGGCCATCACGATGACAAGAAAATCAAAATGTAGGTAATCGGCGTGCTCGCATTCGTTTGCTTCTATCCATCACCTACAAATTTGGCATTTCAACCGTGCTCTTCACCGTCGCTGGAACTATCGTCTGAGTCGCTCAACTCTCCAAGGGGTATCATATCATCCTCTGCTTCACCTGCCGCTTCCTCAACATCGTCCTCAGCTGCATCATCTGACTGGTCGCCCTCGCTGAAGCCTTCGAACTCATCATCTTCATCCTCGTCATCCTTTACTATATCATTCGTAGTTGTCGGGTTATCAAGAGGTTTCGACACCGATGCAGCGTCCTCATCGTCTCGCTTACGCTTCTTAGGCATTTCACCTAGTCGACCCTCACGGCCCTCAATGACGGCACTCTCACCACTTTCGTCTGCCTTTGGCGCTGGCGTGAACCAAGGAATTCTGCCCCTCAAGAAATCTGTTAGGACAGTCTTTGCCACACCGTCCATGTCGATTTCGCCGCCCTTTAATAGCCTTCCATTCTTTCGACCCAGGATCTCAAGAAACTCTTGATAGTTTTTCCAAGTACCTATCTCGTATGTCTTCTGCAAGTGGTGAGGCTTAACTTTCTTCAACATCGGAAGAATGTACTGCTCTGGGTTCTCAACTTTCTCGATTCTGACTACTCCTCGAAGTAATATATCCTCAGGTTTGTCGTTGGGATTGGGCGGCACAATTCCAGGGCAATCAATCAAGTATATGCGTTTCATCAACGTGACGAACTGCCACACTTTCGTTTCGCCTGGTATTGGTGCCACGGTAGCAACCTTTTTCCCGCTCAAAGTATTGATTAGGCTCGATTTTCCCACGTTAGGGTACCCTATCAACCCGACACTGATTTGTTTCCTATCCTTATGTAACGAGGAAAATTGGCGCAGTAGTGAAATAAGCTGGCCCTTGCCGAAACTGTTCGTAACGGAAGCATGGAAGGCAAGTGTTGGGACCTCCTTACTAAGGTGCTTGACCCACGCAGCCTAGACGAGTTAGCTAAATGGTTCTCATCTGGAAAGAGCAGCGATTTCCGCTTGGGATTATGTATGATTCGTAACTAAGAAGTCTACCACAAGCTACCAAGATTGGTAGAGATAGACTTCAACTCAAGTGAAACACGGAAAAACTTATGAAAGAGTTCCAAAACGGCACTCAATCAGCTCTCAAGTCCGAAGACAAAAGAACAGCAAGTTTGGGGGTTTGCTTTTCCAACGCTGTAACAGATATCTTCCAGGGGATGCATTGAAGCAGAAAGTATCCTGACAAGAGCATTGGGACAAGGAGGATATAGTGTGAAAGCTATACTTACTGCTACCGATGTGGGTATTAAATCGACCTTATTTAATATGAAAACTAAATGCTTGTGCGGTGCTTCCTTTTTAAGGTACTGTTCCACAGCTCGACATCTCGTACCCTCAGGATTGCGAGCATCTGTTCAAAATAACATGGTTAGCGATCATCAGAAGAAGCCAGCAATGATCGCGCAGATCTCATACCTAGAAGATGAAGAACGACATCAGATGAATCTAAAACTTTGTAAAGCTGCGTGCACTATTAGTATTGGTTGGATCAGGGTCGAACAGGACTACACACTTCGTTCCAGATTCTTTTCGATGTTCCTTTCGAGAAAACCGGCTCTATGGCGAGTGATAGCGGGTCACCATCAGCATCTTGACCGTCTTGACTGCCTTCACCGGCCCCGCTCAGCAGCCTAGCTTGCTCAAGACGTTCTTTATAGGCATCCATGCTATTTTCTGTGTTCTCGGCCAAATCCTCTATGGAGGAAACCCCAAGCTTCACCCTCTTCCGTTGAGATTTGGGACCGAATGTGTCGGCATATGAGGATGTTTCAATCGCCATTTTCGCCTGATGTTGTTTGAGCCCCGGGACCTCGGAGCCAGTCTCGAGAAGGGACATGGGAAGTTTGTTTGATTTCAGCAGAACAGAGTACGGATCGGAGGCTTTTTCAGCCATGGCCTCGCGAAAACTCGTTAAGCTATCCTGTGAGATTACTCTGGTGTTGGTAAACCATTTTCGATTCGGCTCTATGCGGGCGACCGGCGCGTCTCTGGACTCTGATGGGGTTGTTAGCAAGTTTCATCCAAAGCGGGTGTCTGAAGAGGCCCCGCGGGACAGAGGATATAGCGGTAGTCTCGAGCGAGCGACGTACGGTATTTGGCAGCCCTATAAACAAGGTTAGAAAACACTCCATGGCATCGCATCCAGTACGACTCGAGACTTACTGCACAATTGTGCCCTCGGCATTTCTGCGCGGGCCATGGTCCTTGCGAATGTTCAAAGCGCGGATCTTCTTCGCATCGCGATAGAAGTTTTCTCCTTTTATCTTGACATTCTGCATGCTATCGCCCGACTTGCCCTCCCGGGCAATGCGGGTCCGCTCCTTCTTTCCAGTACCCATGACTGCAGAGTTTTGGCGGGCGACTGGCTTGAAGCAAGGTCGGAGGAAGACGGGGGAGTCTGGGAGCTTTTGGCTACGAAGTTTTATCCTGCTGCGGCCCCACCCAATTTTTCAGATTCTGCCGGCCGTCAAATCTTCACCGCTTTTACAGGCTGGGCTCTGGCTGGCCGGGCTCTCTCTGGTGCCCCAGCCCCGATAACGAGTGGAGCCGGATGGACCCCGGCATCTTCACTTGATTGACTTTTGCATCGGGGAGAAAAAAGTCGGATCACGAGCCTTCGACCATTGCCAATCGACGCTGGCACCAGCGACCGACGAACACAGTCCGCCGATACTGAGAACTACGGTGAAGAATCTGTTCAATTGCATGCATATGTGCAAGAAACGTCAACACCCGACTATCTAGGTACTCGTGGGCTTCATCGTGCCCTGAGTGAGTGAGCCTCAAGGGCCACACCACCCACACCACAATCATGGCCTCCCTACTCCCCCGGGCCGCGCCCCTCCGGCGAAGCATAGCAACGTCACAATGCACGAAGCCATTCATAACTACCCGGCTCCTCTCCTCGACACCTAGCGCCCAATCCCAGAAAATCCCACCCGAATCTCCTCAATTCATCAACGTGCCAAACCCGCCACAAGACCAATCAATAGAGGCAAAGCGAGAGCTCAAGCCCTTGAGGGGCTTCGTGCCCGTTCCCCGGCGCATCTTCGCCCACCGCGACAGCCACCAGAAGCCCACAGACGACTGGCTCGAGCGATCCGCCCCAGTGCCAACAAATGCGAAATCCCAAGCAGAGCCCGCCTCCGAGCTACAGGCCTGGAAGCGCAAGATGGCCACAAGCCGCCGTGAGAACATGCGCTCAGGTGTCCGCGACCTCTGGTCTCGCAAGCAGCGCATCGACGCAAAGCGTATAGCCGCGCGCACAGCGAAGCTCGAAGCCAACAAAGCCGCCATGTTGGCCCCAGAGCGCGAAGACGAGCGTCTAACGCGCGGCAGCGTGAACCCAGGGACCCTGCAAACAGCCGTAGCCCCCGATCCCGAGCGTTTCCAGCGCGCGCTGGCCTCAGCGGCCCGCACGGCCTCCATCGCCGCCGACAAGAGCGAGTTGCGCCGCGACGCGATCCAGACGTTGTACATGAACGCGCGGTCCTTCATCGTCAGCGAGTCCGAGCTCGAGGCCGCCGTCAACATCGAGTTCGCCGACGACCACTTCGAGCGGCTCGGTCAGAGCGGCGCCGGCTACCGCATTCAGAACATCTGGAATGCTGAGAACGAGCCTATGTCCGTGGCAAGCATGTTGAGGGACCTGCAGCGCAGCAACGATACCCTGGTTGCTGACTTCACTTCCGAGAAGACGCGTACGGACCGGAGGCAGAAGCGTGTGGCCGAAGAATTAGCTGGCGGTAAGATGGACTAGTGCGATCAATCTACGACTTCGGAGCCATCATATACGGCCCCAGTTGTGCCCATCCAGATACCTGACATGACGGTCAAACTCAGGTTTTAATGTCATTGGTAATGAAGAACGGGGTCACGAAACCTACACCTCTCTCAATACGAAAGGGGCAAGCATCTGGGATTAGACCCATCCTCTGTAAATGACACCGCGAAAAGATACTTTCAAGTATGTACTATATGTATATAACGACATATCTTTCAATTGTATTTAATCAATTCGAGGATAATACGATAGATAACCACCTAAAAAACGCCATCCGTGACCATAGTGACCATCCATATGCATATATAAAAAGAAAATATATCACCAGGCTGCACCCAAGTGTTGCAGGTTTGCATACAATAGATTTCTATCAATCCACCAAAAAAAAGACTTGGTATCGCCACCAGTGATATACACGCATCAGAAGTGTAGCCATTATCTCCATCCTATCTCTTCTCCACGAGCAAGAAGTGCATTGCCGTATAAGCTAGAACCACAAAGATGGCAGCAAAGATGCCGAGGTTCAGAATGTCCATCCACTTCGCGCCGTTATCGAAACCGAACGAGCTCAGAATTGCGGCACCTGGCACCGTGATATCTAGTCCATATTTCTTGTCAACTAGTGTCAATTTGACCACCTCATTGACGATGAGGGCTTCGAAACCATAATGGAATATGGACAGAGATTGTAGCCACAATGCCGCATCTGGGATCTTGTTGTGATTCAACAAGAGTCCAGCAAACAGCAGTGAAAACAACATGACCAAGCTACCAATCAGATTGGCCACGCCACTGTCTTTGCAGACGATGCCAATGAAAAAGCAGATGGCGGCAGCTGCGAGGTTGAAGAGGACCAAAGTCAACATGAAGGTGAAGAAGTGTGGTGCATCTGGGATAAGGCCGGTCATGGGGTAAATGATAGCGCCCATGAGAATAGGTGGGATAATTCGTAAAGGAACTATGTCAAACACGACTTTTGCCACAAAATATGTGATAGGGGAATAATATCCATTTGCTCGCTCACGAACAAACAAGAGTCGTTCTGAAGCAAAAACATTGAGGCTGGTGAGTGTGCTGAAGCCGAAGAGAGCGAGAAGAAAGAAGAACAAGCCTAGACGGTTCTGGAAGCCAGGTATATCATCTGTCAGACCGTAGAAGAGATACCCAGAAAGAACTGCAAGAACAATGGCGATGGCGTAATGGGTAAGCATGAGCAGCGGGTTGCGATAGAGATTCCTCCACGTGCGTTGTGACAAGATGATGAACTGTCGTAGATAACTAACTCGGGCATAACCACGACCAATTGCGCTACCGTTGCCATTTCCAATCAAAAGACCATTCTGTCCATTCGCCTCACGTGCAACAGTCACAGCCTGATGAATCTCTTCGTGGATACCATTCGCAATATCAGATTCCGCAAATGACTGAACAAGACTATCTAGATTGGTTGTGGCGGTTGGAGGAAGGTCGTGAACGTCTTCGACGATGATCTGTGGCGGGACAACACCAGCCGGCTGTTTGTGAAGTTTGTAAGCACCAACTTCTTCTTCCACATCAGACGACGCAGCTGTATCAGCAGTGTTCTTGCGCCGAGTGAATAGTTCTCGTTCTTGGCGTGCCCTGACAGAATTCTTGCGCTTGTTCTTTGGTCGGCTCGAAGATGGTTCAGCAATAGAGCTTTCTTCAGCCGTAGTGTTACCGGAGATACTAGCAACTGATTTGACAGCCTGGGTGCTGCTAGGGCCAATGCTACTCGCGGTGTCATTCAGTAGACTTCCATCATCAAACACTCCAGCGTTGCTGGCATGCATAGTTAGATCCACAAGATAGTCGGCGATGTTGAATCCCGGCGGGCATGCGTAGCCGACTTGGTCGAAATAATCCTGGCATCGAGAGAAGGGACCTGAATACACGGTCTTGCCTTGAGCTAGGAGAACGAGGCGATCGAACAGGGCAACAATGTTCGACCTTGGTTGGTGAATGGTGAAGATGACCGTTCGCTTGTAGGTTTTGGCCAGCGTAACTAGACATTCGATCACATTATATGCATTATAGGCATCTAGACCGCTTGTCGGTTCGTCGAGGAAGAGAATCGATGGACTCGTAACAAGCTCGCAGGCGATACCAACACGGCGCTTTTCTCCACCTGAGATGCCACGTCCCTTGCCCTCTTCAGAGCCAATCAAAGAGTCCCGAATATGATAGATACCAAGTTGTTTTTCGACCTCATATACCCGCTGCTCTTTAGCGGCGCGGCCCATATGTCGAGGAAGTCGAAGAAGCGCGCTAGTCAAGATGGTCTCATGAACCGTGAGAGTAGGTAGCATTGTATCCTCTTGGTCAACGAATCCAATGACGCTCTTAAAGTCGGCATCGGTGACCTTTTCGCCATTAACATAGAAGTCTCCAGAAGCATGGCCTCGCTTGTTCTTTCGAGCAAGAATGTCTAGAAAACTAGTCTTCCCCGCGCCGGAAGCACCCATGATAGCAGTGATCTCTCCTGGATGGGCTATTCCGCGAATATCGCTCAGAATAGTTTTTCCATTTAGCCCGTAGCTAACATTTTCGTAGTATAGCGTGGCGGGCTTATGGTTTGCCATAAGTTTTGTATTTTCATCATCAGAGTCGTCTAGATGAATAGGCCCGTACTTGAACTGGCGGCGCGAGAGATACCATGTTATCAGAATGACAGCCACAACAAAAAGAGAGCATCCAGCGATAACGCCGGCGATCAATGGAGTATTTATGGTCTTGACAGGTCGTTGATACCCAGGCACCTCGGTGTGGTAGAGACATTCACCGGATCGACATTCCAGTTGAATACTCTCATCGCCGAAAATGCTTCGCACCATCCAGTCTAACTGCGGCTCCCTGAACTTGCACTCGTTTACACCACCACCTTGCTGTAGGCACTCAAATGTGGCTGGGCCCTCAACAGATTCTTTCAGAAAGTCGGTCAGATCGATAGAACCTTCGAGGCCGCAAAGGAACCGGTCCTTAATACAGCTACACTGGACACCAGGACACTTGTAATGGGTACTGTTTTTATCGGAAGTGAATGTTGCGCTTGACTCGCAGTTCTCCAGGTGACAATAGAAGGACTCGACTCGATCAACCCAGACTACAGCGTCGGTATTAGCTCGCGTCCCGTCAATAGCAGAGGTTAAACGATATGTCACAGGCGTTATACTCACATTGAAAGTCACAGAAACCAGTTTCCTTGTCGCAGGTGAAGGTAGCATCAGGGATCTTGCCTTCGAGCATGGATAAGATCTTCTCGTTGGTGACGCCACACATTTGGTAGTTATTCTTGACCACTTCACCGTTCTGATAGCAAACGCCATCCTCTCCGGTTTCCATCAAAGCATTGCAAGCCTTATCCTCAGTACAGACATTGCAATTGATACCAGTCCAGCCATCATCGCAATCGCAAGTATCGCCAGATCTTATCGGTCGGTCTTTGCCACGTGCCAATGAGCCGCATGCTGTTCAATGATCAGTATTAAATCAATACGGGCGGAACGGGTTCGTTTGGGGAGTGTCTTACTTGGCTCAAGGCAGTCTTGTCCTCCAAAACCCGCAGGGCAATCGCATTGCCCACTAGATGGATTGCAGTCGGCGAATTGGCCGCATTTATATGGAGATAGGAGACAGTTGAAGCTGAAATGGGTGTGCGATAAACGTTAGTTTTGAAAACCAGGAGACCCAAAAAGGGATATTGTCATGAGCATCAGAGGTATGGTAGCGCGATCTTACCATGGTGGACAGTCACCGGGCCTATCATCCATAAGAGCCATCTGCGCCCGCATCATGTCGATATGGGTATAGTTCTTCTGTGCAACAGCCATACCAGCTAGGGAAATTGCAGCGAGGCCGACGAGCCGAATAGTCGGCGGCGCCATGTTGAGAAATGCTCGCTGGGCTCCAAGTTGGAGCAGTAAGCGGGATAGTTGCTGGTTTGTTGTTTGTCCGGCAATCGAGCTGGTGAGGCGTCAGGTTGTCTAGTCGGGTGATTAGGTAAGGAGATTATCGCCCACGCCGAGACTTGTGGAGATCGGATTGGACGTGGTTCGAGTCGAGAGGAGATTCAGAGTGACGATGACGAACAGAAGCTGGTGATGGCAGCTCTAGGCTACCACATCAGGTCAATTACTGTTGAAACAGGACTTCATGAATCGGGAGGATGAAGGATTGGCCGACGGGCGGTTGTTTGGGTGAATGGGCTGGCGGTAAAGATAGGAGTCTCCTCCGCTCAACAGATCGCTATTGGCAGCAAATCGGTGTACACGTAAAGATTCAAAAGGCAATACTGGCAGGATGCTGGCAGGAAAACAGTATATCCCACCCGATGTGTAGATAGGCAAATGGAGGTGGAAGATGGTCGAAGGCTCGAGGAGAGTATCTAGCCTTAGGTAGATTCTGGTGGATGTAGTACCTAGGTTTAGGCAGGTAGAGCTCCCTACATATGATATCCAGAAGCCGAGGAATGCGAAAACACATGACGACACATCAAAGCACAGCCCCATGCGCTGAAAAGCTGGGGTAAGCACAGTGCAAAGATCCCGCATTGGGCTGGGCACTGTCTGATATTCCAGTACCAACTCGGTTTGATCCAAGGCTAGAAGTACATCCAAGGTACAGTGTCTATAAAGACTCGCACGCACCTCTCCAACACGTGCTCGTGTATCTGTATGTACCTAAACTACGCTGATGCAGTAACTCCTCGCTTACAAGTATTCACTTTACTTTTTCTCTCCAAACTTTCCAATAGGAATACCCAACTTGAACCCTGTCTACTACACTGGTATACCGGTATGCCAGAGGCTTGTTTCCTATTCTTCAGCCATTCTGAACTACCTCCTCACCCTAGACAGAATGATATCAGTTCCATCCATGTAAGACCATGTTAGTCAAGCACCTTCCGTAGGCCATGTAAAGACACTTATTTTATTTTTAAGGTGTCGAGAACAACCTCATCTCGGAGGAGGGTGTATCTGGTAGCTTCTCTTCGTGACACTAGGTACTTGCTAAATAATAGGAACTCTAAGCAGATACAAATTCCAATACCGCTAGTATGTAGAATTTCATAGCTACTACTTAGCTTGTGTAGGTTGTTGTGCGACGATGAAAAACCTTGTGTTTAGTGAGACTCCAGATCGTTGAATGTTGTCCTGGCGGTTTTTTTGGTTTCCCCCCCCCCCCCCCCCTTTTTTCTCAATGCTATTCTGTCGGGACAAGAATGTGTTTGTTAGTTCACATCACTATAAGCCTCTGGTCTGCCTATTATATGCGATGGATGCTATGGATTGCAACTGGGTATAGACAAAGTTTCGTTACAAGTCTGTTACAGGGCCGGTAATATGTGGATGAGATATGCAATCCATACCAGCTGCTCTTGGGATCAGCGCTCCCCGTAGATTATCTTTGAGACTGGAAATATTGTCAATAAAAGAATAGTAATAGCCACGATATTTCGTTGGCCATTGATCTCAGTGACTGGAGTGAACCGGTGTCCTGCCCGTTCCAAGGTCCATTATGTGCTTTTGAAGTTAGATAGTATTCGGAAGGGTCCGTAAGGTCAGTTACCGAAAGTTTAAGTCATATATATATACCATTATACTCGTCAGGTAAACCAGATGCTAGTCCATAGTGAAAAGGAGCTATAAGTACCAATTTCTAATCCACCCCTACTCGTTCTCAACACCTCCTTCATGTAAATAGTTGGTATGAGAATATTCGCATTCTACACATCATCATAATGAATCAACGCTTTCGGTAGTTGCTGCTTCTACAATACATCGGATGGGTATCCGGTCTTGGTAAACTAAGACATATGTACCTAGTAGTCTGGGGCGCAGAACATGTAGTCGATATAGAAAGTTCAGTCTATATACTAGTAAAAGTACACCTTAAAAATACGGTGATGAAGTATCTATAATTATTAGGTGGTTTTGACAATTTAAGTTAGGGTATTTACTCAATGCCACTCCCAGCAATCTATCTCTAGCCTCCCAATGCAAATTGCCCCATGACAGCGGGGCGGAGATTGCAGATGGAACTGCTTATTCAGAAAAAAAATATATTGCCCAGCCGTCTATAATCCGTTACCAATGCCTGCCTGACACGTCTACGCATGCCCTGATGCCGCAAGTCGAGCAATCTCCCTCGCAACCACGTATCGTCCCGGGTCTTTTCTTGCGGTCTCGCCCAAACGTTCCGCCTTCTCTTTCATTTGACGACCTTCCTCTTTTCCATCCAGTACTCTAAGGAAACTATCACGTAAGCCGTCAACGGTCCAGTAAGGTGCTGAGTGTCGGTTTGCATAGACACCGACACCAATGTCCTCAGCTAATTGTGCGTAGTTGTAACAATCCAGCCACGCAGGGAGAACAACTTGAGGAACACCAGCCCTGAGAGAAATTAGCAGACAATCAGCCTTGAAAGGAAGCGATGACATACGCAATGGCTTCGTGATAACAGTTGGCCCCTCCGTGGTGGACGGAGGCCACAATGTGGCCCGTATCCAATAACGACGCCGGGGTAACGGTAAGCCAGTTGGTGACCCTAAGTCGGCCCTGCTTTATTATGTTCTGAGCCGGTAACGTATAGTCATCCGGTACGTCTTCAGCGTATGACATCTTCCATAGCACCTGAACGTCAGTCTTCGCGAGAATTTCTTCCAAGGCCAAGGCCATCGTTGTGGCATGGTGTTCGGAATAGATAAATAGACTCCCGAGATTCACGAGCACGGTCGGTGCCTTTGCTAACCATGCCACTAGCTCAGGATCATGTTCAATTGCCGGCTCAGCTTCGAAGACGATAGGCCCAGCACTGGTGACATTGGGCGGCATCACGTCAAGCGCAATGCTGGCTCCGGGCATGTCTTGCGACATCCAAGGCCTATCTCTAGGGCGTTTAATATGGAGTGAATTCTTTATCCCGTGCGCCTCGAGCTTTGCCTTTGTGCCGTTGAAATCCCCTGCGGCTATAACTCCATAAATGAAGCGCCATGTGAAATAAAAGTTCTCGGGGATCTTCTGCCACTATACCGCTCAGAGTCAGTCATCGACATTTCTAGCGGGATAAGTTACAGCCTTTACGGGAGATAGCTTTTCGGGGAATTACTTGACGAATAATGCTCCTGCGTTTTCGATGTAATGAAAGTGGAAAATCACAGCACGAGGTACTTACCGGCAGTGGTGAGGGAGAGTCTAAACCAATTCTAAGAGAACTCATCAGTCGCTATTAACTCCTTGTCACAATCAGTCGCAGACGAACCGTGGGATTTTTGTAATCATGGTTTGCAAAGGCTGCTCAAACCAGAAGGTGTCCGCCAGAACATTAGGAGAGAGATAAGTATACAAGCGATCACTCCTGATTGCAGCATCTATCGCCGGTCGGAAAGCCATGTCCAAAACCACCAGGGCTGGGTCGATAGTCCCAATAAGCTCTCTGACTTTTTCATAGATTTCGATGTGATCGGTTCCATCCCACGGTGATATGGCAGGACGAATAACGCGCATGATTTCCTCGATGCCCTTTATTCCAGGGGGGTGAAGAAGGTGTTGAACAGACTTCCCACCAACACCGCCCATCTGATTTGAGAGCGCCTGCGCATAATATCGACCAGGAAGCTCATGGAACTGAACACCCCTATCGACCTTGTATCTCTTCTGAGCCAAGGCGGAGAGCTTTGCTACTTTTGAGGCTGATTGAGGGAAAGAAGCAACATGAACCTCGATGCCTGGATGCTTCTCCAGCAGTGCGCTGGTTGTTGCCAGGTGTACGTTGCTGAGACCATACTCGGTATTGATGATAAATAGGACGGTTCCATTCCTACCCGGGATCGTAGGGGTAGGGATAAATTCGTCCTCGGTCGACTGTGATGTTCGAGCCAAGAACACGGCTACCAAGACTACGAGAGCCGCAACAGCAGCCGCAATCTGACGCAGTCGACCCATCGTTAAGACCTCACTCTTCCACCAAGTACGCTTATATAACGCCTGGTCAAGAAACGAGAGGAACGGAATATCTTATTTTAAAAGGAAAGTAAGAACACAACAAGAAATCAAACCCAAAATCACAAAATAAGAAGGCAGTAAGTAAGATGTGTCAGAAGTATAACCGAGTTGGCGGGACTCGACAAATTCTCACAGCACTAATCTGTACCTATTCCGTTCCTATGAGTAGTGCAGGCGGTACTTCCCAAAGAGATTAGTAGTGCAACAACATGGCAACACCCTGGTTAACAGCGAAACTAACGTATGGCATATTAAAAGCATTCCGAGAGGCGTTGGCCTTCTATCTAGCATGCAACCGATGCGTTCCTAGAGACCCAAGAGACTCTCAAATAAGTTAAAACAGAAGACACCATCAGTGACGCAGATGACGAGCGTTTGTCGGGACGTTACATGAGACGGTAAGAGTCCCCTGTTGCCCATTCACAATATCGAATGCAAATCTTACCATGCAGGAGATCAGTACGCTATACCAACAGTTATGTCATGGTTGTTCTACTTGGCCTAGCATATGCAGCTGTCGACGATAGCGGTGTGTAGTGTACCGTCCACCCATCCTTATCTTTCTATTTATAGCTTGTAAGTAATCTGTCATGAGTCCCTTAGATCAAGTGTATTATCTCACGTACATAATCGTTAAGTAAAGGAAAAGCAACTCGTAACCAAAAGTTCAAGTAGAACGCTACTGGATAAATTCATGTGTGTACTGTGTAGGTAGGTGCAAAATCTGTTATGTCTACTTGTGGACAAGATACTTACTGTAGACTACTCAAAAGGGATGAGGCGTCAAAATATTGTTTGCGGTGTACACTACATCGAAAAGGTAATAAAATACAAATCTTGTCGCATGGTATTACTCATCTTATTTACATCGGTTACGAACTAATGTAGCTTAATTAACAATAAACACAGCGCAAGTTATAACCAAGTTAGTTCGAGATACTAAGTACACTCACATACCGATACTAGTATAGTACCGGCGGCTAAGAATTGACTACCGGCAACAATTTCGGGAGGGAAGCCCTACTGCAGAGTTCCTTTTTTAAAGAATTGGAGTTTCGACAAGATAAGTGTGATTTGGGTTATCTCAATTCAAAGTGATGACAGTCCCCAAAGCCAAGAATGTGTTACCGGTACTTCATACATGTACATACTTCGTAGTATGCCAGAGAAGCCCAAGCTCCGGCTGACAAATTTTGCATGCTTCCCTGCAGCGACCTAGGCTAGACCATCCAGTGTTTTGGTTCAAGGTCATCACTTGCGCATAAACCCTGGACACCGAGATTCCATTGCCACCATACTGTACTACCATGATGCGGGTAGCACTCCACCGGTAGTTCTAGTGTAGCTTAGAGGGTGAGAACTCACCACATACCTAAGTAGGTACACCAAGCGTACTGTAGTCGCCAAGTGCGGGCACCAACACAAGAACTGCAGTTGGTTCTTGGCTGGTAAAGTAAACAAATCGCTTGATAAGGGAGAAGCAGAAGTTATTTCCGGTTTAGGCAACTAGTTTTTCAAAGAGCAGCATAGTACATACATAGTAGTAGAAGAGGACCTATTGAAGGCCTGAAGTGTAGGTGAAGAGGGTCTTTCCCTTTCCTACGGGGAGATTCCCTCGTTCCTTTGTTGAAATTCGCGCGCTTCTCCACTGCTTGTTGTAGTAACTATATGTAGAAACGAACGTGGTATTGACAGTACTATGTACTCATTTGATGTTCAAAAGTACTTAAGATCAGCTCTTAGGAAGACGGGAGCCGGAAAAGTGGTAATCATGGCACGTGCAGTGTAAGGATAAACCATACAAGGTTACAGGGTATAGCGTGAGGTAAAATACCTCAATTTGTCGACAAGACTCAGGAGATATACTAAGTACGAGATAATTAGTACAAAGCTGTGCGCGAGTCAGACGCAAGCACGTTACTTTTCTCACCATACTCGCTGACATGCAAGAATGCGGATATCATCTACCAGCCGATCGCCATTCTCAAAGTGAGATTCGTTGGATCAGTTTTCCATTCTTCAATGCCATGTCGAACGCACAGGAAATTTCAGAATGACGCTGGGCGATTTCCCACGCTATTGTATCCACCTCCCTACTCTCTTCTCTGTTGTGACTCCGCTATGATCTAGCGACGATCTAAAAGGTGAATCGCCTAAGGACTGCCGAAACTTGCCGATTTCTGGCTTTGTATGCGCAAGTCAAGGTCGTGTACGCCCTTTAGTCAACAACACAGAATATGTTCTCTGCATTTTATACCGCTGTGCGCGCCCTTTGGGTCAACACTATGCGCTCTGAATAGCGTCTTGTGAGCAGTTATAAGTGCGCAAGTCGAACTAAGAAGGTAGGAAAGATATTGCCCAAGACAAGACAACCAACATTCCGAAGCACACAGAAGGATCCGAAAAATGAGAAAGGGCATACTAGCTACTTTGGATCAGCATTACACCAGCAATTAAGCAATCATGGTTAAGATTCCTGTCTTCGAAGTTGAGCAATGGATGGACGAGTATGAGTTGACGCCAGGGGTGTTAAACATCGCCGAGACGTGCGCATGCTCCGTCTCAATCTCCGAGCTCAGCGAACTCAGCAGCAGCAGCGCAGGCGACTCCTCACAGCCGGCATCGTCCATCATCGACTTCTCGCGGCCAATGACGTACGGTGCGATCCTCGGATCCGACGAACTACGACGGAACATCGCAGGCTTGTACTCCGAGGAAGGCATCGATAACGCGTCAGTAGCACCAGAGGACGTGATCGTGACGCAGGGCGCCATCGCAGCGAATCACCTCGTATTCTATTCCCTCGTCGGGCCCGGTGACCACGCGGTGTGCGTGTATCCAACGTACCAGCAATTGTACACCATTCCCGAGACGCTGGGCGCCGAGGTCTCGTTGTGGAAGTTGAAGGCCGAAGATGGATACGTCCCTGACGTGAGCGAGCTTGAGAAGCTCCTTAAGAGTAATACAAAGGTATGAATGGCAATGCATACGCTTCCTAACATACTATACCAACCTGCAGAAACACATAGCTGACAGACTTTACTCCGCAGATGATCGTGATCAATAACCCAAACAACCCAACCGGCGCAACGATTCCCGCAGACATTCTCACTAAAATCATCAAAATAGCCCGCGAGCGCAACATCATCGTATTCTCAGACGAAGTCTACCGCCCGCTCTTCCACGGGTCGCCTGGCCCCCCCTCAGCGCTGTCCCTCGGGTATGAAAAAGTGGTCGTAACCTCTTCAATGTCTAAGGCATGGGCACTAGCCGGCATCCGCGTGGGCTGGGCGACCTCGCTCGACAAGGACATCATCAAGCGCATCGCCATCGCCCGCGACTACACCGCGATCAGCGTATCGCAGCTCGACGACCAGGTAGCGCGGTTCGCGCTAAGCGATGCCGTGCGCCCGGCGCTTCTGAAGCGGAACATGGAGCTCGCGCAGACGAATCTCGCGCTTCTCGATACATTCGTACAGGATCACGCCGATGTGTGCTCATGGGTCAAACCCACGGCCGGCACGACGGCACTGGTTAGATTTGCGCGCGGGGACGGACAGCCCGTTGACGACGTGGCGTTCTGCAAGGATGTCTTGGATAAGACGAAGGTCATGTTCGTGCCGGCCGGGCTGTGTTTCGGTCACGAACGGGATTTCCGGGGGTATGTGCGCATTGGGTACGTCAGCGACACGGAAGTGCTCCGGCAGGCGCTGAAGAATTTGAGTGCTTACGTAGCGGAAAATCTGAAATAGCTACGATACTTACTTGTGAGCATGCCAATTCTACATCGTAAAGCAATTAATTCGACGTGAATGTCACTCGTATAGGAAGCATCGATGTTCTTGCTCGAATTGGTCTAATGAAAACTTGTTTAGGAATTGATTATATTTGGTATGATTTAACTTGATTTATGGTATCTTTAACATGGTTGCTGTGAAGACAGGCTACTGAACAACACATTTTGCCGGCAAGCCGCAAGGTCCCTCACTTTTCTTTTTGTTGTTAGTCGCAGCCTCCGCACCGGAAGCTGTCGCCTGTGCCGCTGGTACCGGCTTGGCTTCCTCCTTCTTCACCTTCTCCGATCCACCGCCATGCAGTCAACCAGTGTACTTGGCGACGGTCTTGTAGAACTCCTCGCCCTGGATGGTGGCGATCTCGAGCTCCTTGGCAGTAGGTTGGCGAGAGCCATCACCACTGGCGAAGGTACCAGCACCCCAGGGGCCACCACCGTGGACCTCGGAGAGATCGCTCATGGTTCCGAAAGCCTTGGCGAAGCCGAAAGGCACGTATATTATGCCGTGGTGGGCGAGGGTAGACATGGCAGCAATAGCAGTTGATTCCTGGCCACCACCGAGACTGGCAGTTGAGATGAAGAGGCCGGCCATCTTGCCGTAGTAGCCACCGGTGGCCCACTGCTTGCCGGTCTTGTCCCAGAATGTCTTCCACTGGGCAGGAAAGTTACCATATCTCGTGGGGATACCCAACAGGAAGGCGTCGTACTCCTCGAGGACAGCTGGGTCTTCGAGAAGTGGGATGTCGGCTGATTGACCAGGGGCGTGCATCTTTGCGAGAACATCGGCGGAGAGGGTTTCGGGGATCTGGAATAGGTCGACAGAACCACCAGCCTTCTCAATACCCTCCTTCTCGGCCTGCGCCAGCTTGGCGATGTGACCATACATAGAGTACTATTGCAAGTTTGTTAGCTTCCCGTGACCAAGGGACGGCTATGGAGAGAAGTTTGTTTCCGGGTAGTATAGTAATAGCCCAAGCTCCTATCTTCAGATTCTCGTCTCGAGACAGGTTGGAACAGCTCAGTTATGTCGGCGAGCTTACAGGCCATTGCAAATTGACTATGAAAGGGCACTTACGAAGACAATTGCGATCTTGGGCGCCATTTTGTCCGATAGCGGGGCTAGTAGATATATGAAGAGATTATAGGCTTCTAGAAAGAGTTGCTTTATTTACAGCAGAACGGAATGAGGGAAATGAGCTCCGGGAATTGAGGGAAAACCGGCTTATATACACCTCTGAGTAGTATACTTTCAAGTCATGTATGACCTAGCATTGTCGCCTTATTCAGGGTAGATGCTAAGGGGAGGGGTTTTGTCACGATAATGGTCATTGGCCAGCCAGCTGTCTGCCATGCATAGCATAGGTACGACTAGCGCTGGTTGCTTACTGATGTCTTAAGAATTCTCCTAAGTACGTAGTTCATGAAACGAACCATGACCCGTTACCGGGTTAAGCCAAGTAGACCGGCGGGATGGACAAGTAGCACATGCTTTGGGTGGCTATCATGCATGACTCTGAACCCGGTAGCGTGTCGGTCCTTTGCTGATGAGATGGTTACCAAAGACAAAACGGTGGAGCTTCCGCAATGTCTAGTCCAAGGAACATACCATAGCATCTCGCTCGTAGGTGTGTTTCCGATGTATGTGGATATGTATCTGCAAGTATGCCATGAGCTTCGCATCGCGCTACGGTGTGTGTCGCCAATAGTACCGCAGACTAGCCGTGCCTAGGCGACTTAAGGAAACTAACAGTCATGCCTGACATAGGCTGTCAACATGAAGATGCTCTCAGCCTCGTACTACCTGATTACGACAATCTTCAGGAATCTTACAAATCTGAACAGACAGCGAGGCCCTATCTTAGGTGAGGACGCCAGCACAGATCGCTTGTAACTTGTAAGTAGCGTATATCCAGACACACGATGTCTTACGTTACATGAGCCCTGGAAATGAACCGATTGGCTTATTAATTGTCTCATATCTATCTTGTACTTACTATGTACTTGTAGTAGAATGTAGTATGGAGGTGGGGACCTTGAAGGACCTTACCTAATACTCTACGAGCTTTTGACTCGTACAAGGTTTAACTAGATGATGAATAATTGCTTACTTATACTTGCAGAGTCTGCAGAGGCTGAAAGGCAGCCTCGAAACAGTGGTTTGAGTTCGCATCAATGCCATCTCCCCCAGGTAATGATCGGACTCGTCGGATATTGTCATCAAGTGCTGTCTGTGACAAAGCATCAGCTCCATTGTCCTCGTCATCTTATATTTCCCAGACGAGGATAATTCCTAAGTAATAGATGTAGGAGAGTTTGCTGAGCCTTCGTAATCTATCCCACATACTTTTTTGCTGAAATACACGTATCTGTATCTCTCCAAGACCCTGGCAACGAGACGGTAATTTACGGACTCACCGCTACGGCGATCCTGCGACCGTCTCATCACTCCATACAACCAAAACCGCCGGACTTGGGTTACAGCACATTCGGCTTGCCACCCTCTCTCCCTATTTGGGGTGCTGCATGATGGGTGATCTCGACACCTCATGCCCAATGAGGTGTAGTCACCTCAGCAGGTGGTATCACAATGCATTTTTGGACACAGTTATTAGCTTTCGGGGCGCCTTCTCGGAGCTCCACCAACACCCATGTCTCAAGGCCTCATATAGTATAGTTGGGTTCAAGTTGACGAAGAAAACATGACTACGTTTTTGCCTTGGTATTCAAGATCATTCTCGCTATCAATCTGACTATAAACACAATCACCCCATCTCAATGGGTTCATTATTACTTAACTCTACAAAATCACGTAACTATGACTGGTACACAGACCGTGGTCTTTGCTAAGTTCATGCGACCCTTTCAGCATGCTTATATAAACATGAGTGTATCCTGATGATAGGATAACGCGCTCATCGATCACAGTACCTCGACATTTCCCCCCAACTCACACCATCTCGGTGCTCAAACTTCAAATTACAACACCAGCAAGTCCTCCATCATATATGCATACAGTCCACAAGCCTTTCCCTCCCAAAAATGTGTGACGGACGACATCATTGGTGGGAAACGTGTCTATACATGTGGCATAATGATAGACATCTATGGTGGCGCAAAGCTCGAGACGCTTTGCGGTAAATGCGGCTACCATACCACACATATCACAACACCCGAATACGGTCGGAGCTGATGGGGAAAATCAATCAAAACGACAGAGAATCCTCACCAGACAAAACAATAGCCCAACAGAGGAGAAACGAACAGAAAGAAGCCCGTCTACACCGCCAACTCTCGCGCCAGATTATCAGACACACAGATAGAGCCCCTCAGTCATCACCACATTGATGATGCGCCCTGTGCAAAAGATAATACAATTCATTGTCGTAAGTAATCGTTCAGGCGGTCAACTTCTAAAATATCATCGGGCTTGACTAGACGGGTAATCACCGAATGCTAAACTTTAAAGGATACTCCTCAGCCAAGCATAAGGGTTTCCAAGGAGTACTATACTGAATATCAAAATTACCCCAAGAACTCGCCATTATTATGTACGCGAGACTTACTACAGTCAAGTGACTGTTAGTAACATCATGTCGCTGTAGCTTATTCTTTGCCTTCCCAGAGCCTGGCCATTGTTGATTGGCTCATGAGATGACATTGGAGGTAATAATGTTTGATTCGATCAGCACAAATGGAGACCGCCCTGTTTGATACGTCCTACCGTGATGCCGGCGCCCACCCCTGTCCGCCCCTTTCGTCATTTAAAGCAGGCTATATATATTAAAGTGCATTATCGTGTTTTACAGCGCATTCTGCAGTCATCTGGTTTAATCGTGGAGCACTTATCTGAAGTTCGGAATGAACGCCCTGCTCGTATTGTATCCGATATATGTTCAAAGGAACGTTGATGGCGGAGGTCACGCTCCCCGCTGCCCCAAGGAGCACCGGCAGACGGAGGACGACATTTAGTATATAATAATCATTAGCTGGCTCCGGTTGGCACCGTGTTCTCGCGGAAAACCACGACTACTCATTGCCTAACCAAGTAAGCAGTTCAGCTCAAACTCAGACTAAACTCAGACTCCTCTCGACTGCTCTATTTCAGCTATCATGGCTACGCTCTCTGCAATGTATAACAACCAACTCGGTGACGTGCACGACACTTTCGTTCAAGTAGACGCGAAGCGAGGAGTTATCATGGCCCTCGGGAAGCCATTTGTTGAATTTTACTATGCTTCTCGTCGGCGTGAGATTGAATGTCATTACAATATGGCTCGGTCTATCCATAGTTATATTACAGAGCGTAGGTAAGCAACCCCCACAACATGCCGTTTCTAGTGTACTTAGTCATCGTGTATTGTGGACATCTTCAAACATCCATAATGGGGCTAAGTGTGGCGGTGCAAGAGAGCTGTGTGGTTCTTATGCGTACTAAGTATGTAATAGAGGTCGCAGTTCATTAGATCAGGAGGCTTCACCACTTCACATTCAGGCGTTGACTAGGTAGGCACTGTTCCAGCGGTCCATTAAGATATCTTGACCGGTACTTACCAGGACAATGTCGGGTACGACAAGAGTGCTAGTGTCGAGGACACGACGCTCACATTCTATCGTGGCTGCTGCGAGTATTCCTTGCCTAAGGACCGATCAAAAGAGCGCCTGATGCGATTCCCTTCCAGCGCAAGCATCTGCTACCTGGCTAGCTCTGAAGTTGAGCACATTTAGGACCTGACGTAACGGCGGAGTCGAGAAGAACGGACCGTCACGGGAACGCCCGACACTAGTGTCACAGATGGACTGAAAGTTCTACTAAAGAGTGTATCTGTCTGTATCTATCTTGTAATGGCCAGGTTAGTAAGGGCCGTAGGTAGATAAGGCGAATAGGGCACGGGCTGGGAGATTTCTTTCTCAGAATATAGGACAATTGAGTACAGTCCTTGTCTCTTCAATGCCAGGTACAAAGTGGCTGCAGAGGAGGGCAAATGTTGGTCATCACAGGTGTGGAAGAGGAGAAGCGGTTTGACTCGGGGCTTCAAACTTACTTGGTGGAGAATTGGATTTCCTGTTTACCATGGCGCGACATGATTCATGATTCATGTGTTTGGCAGTGATGACTTGATTCGGGGCAAATCAGTTGTATTCTGTAGAATCCACTTGTGTGGCTATCTCGGCTACGGAAAAGCTATCTAATCGGCCCAGGGTCACGTGGCACCGTATTATTCTGCTAAAGTGCCCGCCTATGAGTACCGCGAAGGGAGAAACCTAAAATATAAAGGAGAAGTAATTAGAGTACGGAGAATCTTAGAACCTATGTTACCTATATGTGCAAGCACATGTACGACGAACTCAGATTCCTCTCCCAAATGTTCACCAGGCAACACAGAAGGTCCGCACGCTTATATCTCGAACTAAAACGCCTTAGGAAAGAAAGCCGACCAGCTGTGGGTACGGCAAGTACAAACGGTGCTATTGGGTGCAAGGGACTTACTCAGCACAAACCTTGGCTACCAGATAGATAAAATGGGAACAAATACTGCGTCGATGAATAAGCAGGTAAGGACCTAGACAGATATCCCGTACGTCTTCCAGCTCTGAGGTGAAGCAAGCGAACAAGAAGAGCGAGTAAGCGAGCAACGTCTAGGTGGGTATGGGCTCGCAAACGGCCACATTAGATTCAAGTGTCCGAGAGAGTTCCTTCCACAAAGAAGTAGGTAAATGTAGAGATATACAAGGTAGGTAGGTATATCATATGGGAAACGCTCAAGACGAATACAAGGCCTACATTACGCATGAGATCTCTTCAAATCCCACGTTGTGCTGTTAAACTGACCGCCTGGCTTGCTCCATATCCCATCCTAGCCGGGTGTTAGTAGGTAGGTAGTTACTTTGTAGATATACATATTAAAGACGAAGTATGCCTCTTCCCCTATACTCCACACCAGTCTACGCCCCAATTCAACAGAATGTCCGAGTTCATCCTAACGATGACATTTCATCGCTAGCTATATATCCAAGTCGCTCGTCTCAACACACCTCTCTGCGCCTTATCTCGCTCCCTGTTTATCCAAGAGGCATCCCGAATCACCCGATTCGCTTTCATCATTCGTTCTTCATCCAAACACCATCGCCCGCTTCGTCTGTTGATATAACATTAAATCCCACACAGTCCTCCCCTGATTCGAAAATCGCAACCGCATTCGTTGAAAATAAGTCGTTCGCCAATGATATGAATAAAGCAATGTGAATGATATGTGTATAGCACGGTAAAATGTCCTGGGTTTTCCGAATAACTGGTCGCACCTCATGTACCAAACCAAGACAAAGCCAATATGAAGGCCCAGAAAAGATTGAGCTGGTCCCGCTTTATATGGCAAAAGATCAATATCATCATCCGGAACGCCTGTTGCTTCTTCCCTGTGTCTTCATCCAGATTGTTAGGATCTCATCACATGAGATTCTCATTTATACAGTAAATCTTGGTCTATGCAGACCAAGGAGAGACGGAAGCCCATGCCTATTTGAGTAGTACATAATTCTGCTTCTCTCCCCATGCTCGTTGCCTTTTCGGCCACTTGGCCCCTGACTGAGTTCCAGGTGAAGGTTCAGGTAGCCGTAAGTACAAACTACCGGGCAGGCTCGCCGGGGTGCGCAGTCGAAGGTTCAATCACAATCTGAGGAAGCTCTCTGATTCTCAGACTCGGAAGCTGCGGAACACCACCTACACCCCGCGATGACCGGTGCGAGGAACGTCTACTCCTGTCGTCATCGGTCGGACTCGGGTTCGTGAGATCGCCGCTTTCACTATCACTGTTTCTGTGACCGTGACCCGAATAGTCCGGCGGGGGCTCATGAAACATTGGCGTTGTAGCACCACAGCGCACATCGTCAAGGGTAACATCTTCATAATCAGGGGGTGGCATATCGCTGTCGCCCAAGTCGGCTTCCGTTACGATCTCGGGGCTTGAGCCGGCACGCGTATATCGTCCACCACCAAGCTGTGGCGTTGTGGCGCCAGAGCGAGGTGACACCTCGCCATTGTTGTCGAGGCTCACAACGGAGCTAACACTGTGTATGCGGTGATGAGAATGCGCTGAGGGCGAGCGCGTGTTCATCGCAATACTCCCTATGTCCGAGACTCGACGGCCTGACATGGCGGATGGGGAGCGCGTAGATACCGCTATGCTCGCAGCGTCCGACAATAGCCCAACGCGCTCGCTTTCTGTACTGTTCGCACGAATGCGAGACCCATCGTGTCGCGCAACACCGAGATCATGATAGCTGACGCTGGAGACGGCACGTTCTCGGCGAGTGCGGATTTGTCCCTGCGCGTCTCGTAGGTCATCTATGGTTGTATCCTCGTTTTCGGCACGTCGACGAGCACGCAACTCTTCCAATGCCACTAAATCACCACGGTCCCTAGCTTCCTGTTGGAGGCGTCGTCTCTCTTCACGTTCTGCATTCAGTTGTCTCCTCGCTAGTCTGATTTGGTACATGGTCTCCATTTCTTCGTCGCGTAATGCCTCATGCTGCTCGTCCGAGGGCATTTCAAGAATGATGTCGACACCATCTCGCTCGCCCTCACGCCCCAATACTTGCTCGTCTTCGTTTGCCGCGTGCCTGTATTTGGGTAAAGTCATGATAGAGCGGATGGAGGTGTTTCGATCGATATTCGAGGCAGTACTGTTTCGGTTTGTTTCCGATACATCATTACCAGAGCCTAGGCGGCGGCCATTGGATGTTGTACTACTATAAGGCTCCAGATGACCACCCTGTCGGAGTTGGCGTCGGTGCTTATCGGCTCGACGCTTCAGGAATACAAAGCCACCGGCGCTGATAATGATAACTGCTATTATAAAAACAATCTAAAGCGCAACAGATGGGCTGTCAGACACGAATACATTAGTGATGGATATCGGGCATGACGTACAACGATTATGATTGTTTGTGACTTTCCCTCGTCGTCATCATTACTGCGAGAGCTATGTGGTGATGGATCATGTCCTTCTCGCGACACCAGTATCGGCAGAGTCGCATGCTCATAACTCCCGCCGCCATTAATGGGTATGGGTATGCGAAACGGCACCGGCATTATGACGGAGCAGGTTGATATCAACTAAGCGAATGACTGGGGATATGATGTTTGTTTCTTATACCGTGCACAAATATGCCCAATGACAAGGTGTGGGTAGGTCGCCAAAGCTGAGCAAATGTTGGCAGAAGCTTAGAAAGAGTAGCCTAACATGCCAATTGGACCTTGGTCCAAGGCGTCGTAAGCGGCGCACCGTGTACACGGAAACGGCAGACAACGGTGGCACGATGGGAGAAAATACAGCGCGCTGTTTAGTGCATTCGTATGAGGTTGTCAACCAACTAGTTGAGATGTCAAGGACCGGACTTGTCGGAAAGTAGACGGGAAGATGGCTCCAGGCGGGACTACGTAAGTACGTGTATAACCGTGGTCTAGATTCGCTACCCAGCCTGGGCTGTATGTAAATGGTGGGGACCGTAGGCGTTGTTATCTTCTCCAATTCACGATTACGAGTAGCGAGAGGCGAGGGTATGATGGTGGAGCGGAAGAAATAGCAAAATGTAAATGGACAATGGACAATGGACGAGTACGGTAGAACGAGGAGCCTGTTGCAGTTCGGTAAGCGCCGTGGTTTTAACAACTGCTTCGTGCCTCTCAGCTCAGGAGACTGGCTGTAACACACGGCACGGCAAACCCGAGATCAATTGATGACTATCGGTAGGCTGGGTCACCGTCGCCGTCGCCGCGGTTGCAGTCGCCTTGATGCTCTGGTAAGAATGCAGCGCCGGTGTTGTGTCGAACAAATGGAGGGTAAAAAGAGCAAGAGCGAGCGCAGAATCTTCCCCCCAAACAAGACTGCGAAAGACCACGAAGGCTTCTCAAAATACGAGGGCAGGGCGAGGAGGGAAAAGAGTGGTAGTGAGATTTTGAGAGGTGGGAGCACTTGCTTGGCAGCCAAGAGTGCGTGCGCGGGTGCGGGAGGGATGTGTGTATATTTACGGCTACTGAGAGTACAGCAATACAGTACTACTTAAGTAGAGTAGGTACCGTACCTACATATGTACGCACGTCGACAGCGGACGCAAGGAGGGTGCTAACCATACCTAGAAAGTTGCATTAGATAGGAGGAAAAGATCGTAACAGTAGGTTAGGTAGGTAGGCAGACAGCCTCGACACCACTCTCTCTTGAAGATGATCCCTGAATACCTACTGTAGGTACTGTACGTAGGCTGGAGGGGACCTATCGGATCTGTGAAATGGCACTGGCCTGGTGTTGTGTTGGCTATAGTACAATATTTGGTAGGTGGTCTAAGTACTCATCCTACGGTCGGAATCAACGCCTAAAACCTTGTGTATATGCATTTACCTACCTACTACATTTCCGTACATTGTAGGCAAGGTATGGATGGATGCTACCCAGTTGAAATTGATCCCTGTCAGATCCTAGCTTCGATGGGGGGAGGGAGGCTGGACAGAGGTCTAAGAGTAGGTACCTACGTACCCGACGTATCCTGCAGTGTCATAGGCTGGCTGTTGTTGCCTTGCCCACTCTATCAGCCATCTATCCGCCATTTGTCCATCGTGTGTGCTTGGAAGTTTTGGAGTGAATACATTTAGATGTGCATTATAAAGACGGGGCACGTGGGTTTGCAACCTACGTTGTTGTCTCGTATTGTGTATCGTGTATTGTGAATTGTGTCTTGTTAAGCTCATGTGGGATGTATCTAGGTACCGGTCCGGTATCCTGATCTGCCCCGAAAAGTGAACCCCACAGCAGACACACACAGCCCTACGTGCCAGGCACCATGTGGAATCTCTGGGGGTACCAGAATTCGCTGTGTCTGGTAGGAAGAGCTGTACACTGTGCCTCTCTATTCATCTACATAGTACATATCCAACTAAGTACAGTACTAACAGACTAAGAACTCATACCGTCATTCAAATGAATATATTCAGACACAGATATCACCTTTGCATTTCGCCTATGTACAATGAATAAATGTTGCTGAGATGCGTTGTGACTCGCTAGGTCTACCCTTGCTGCTTTCACCATGTGTCGGATGAATGCCTCATAGAAACAAGAGGCAGGTACCAATAGTGTGTAATATACTAGGTAGGCCCTTGGTACTGTATGATATCACAGCTAGGACTCAAGAAGAAATCCTTCATGCTTTAGTTCTTATGGATCGTCCCTGCCAATGAGATTAACTAGTAAACACCAGTTCTTAGCCCAAGTCTTGGGCAGTTGGGGTTTCTTGAGTGAAAGCCGATATTCCGTTTCTGTCCGTTGTAAGCTGGTGGTGATCGACATACTCACTTGACTAAACTAAGTACCTACCTTACAGTCCCTGTAATAAGTAGTCAAGATAGTCATGAAATACCTACAATGGGGATGCTGTGGGAAAGACAATGGTAAGCCCCTACGTAAATCTCTGTCCAGATAATGGCCTCTCTGCGCACCATGATCCCGCAAACGTAAGTAAGTGAAGAAGCCGGGTTAGCGCGTGATACACGGCCAACTGCTTGCCGACGGTCAGCATGATCTTGTCAAGGCATGGGAAGCATAGACGAACGGCACAGCGGCCGTGGCTTGGATCAGGTCTCTGTTAGCTGGCACTGACTGCGCCATGCCATGCCATCCATATCAGCCACGAAGAGCTCATACCCAAGACCGATGACTGCCTTCTTGGCCTGGCCGGCCTTGCTTGGTTGTGCACAGCCATGGCACTGAACCCAACCCGCTGGGTTGGTTACCTCCGGAGAAGACCTACGACTCCTACCAGCCAGCAAAACACGTGGTGCGCATTACTGTGTGATCGACGAAACCCGAACCAAACTAAACCATATTGAACTGTCGTCAGAGGAGTCGTGCTGCGACACTTACCTAGAGCACGTGTGCTCCGTGACCGAGACTGAGTCGTGTCTCTAACTGTAAGTCCCTCGGTAGTTTCTACATAGTAAGGGAATCAAAATAGGCCGCGCGCCGTTTGTAATTGTCTAAGACTCTGTCTAAGACACGCATACACACGATAAGTATGTACGAAGTAGGCACACACTTGTGAGTGAGTAGGTAGGTATCTACAGCATGCGCTGCAACACAACCAGCGTCGACGGACCCCACAGGGACAAATCTGCAGACAACCGTCGGCGCTTACGTGCATCTCAATATTATACCGTACCTATGCAGCAACCTCATTCATCGTGCCCTCTTTTTTTTTTTTTTAACCTCTTTTACTTCGCTTATTCATTACGCAGTACATTCCGATATGGTGTTGTACAGCATCATGTATACTACACTGCAGGTAAACATGGCATCTATATAAATAACAGAGTCGAACGGCAGCGCAGAAAGAACATGCATGATATAGTAGCATTTATAGCAAAATCCTTTATTGTAACCCTTTTTTTTTTTTTCTTCTTTCGACAGTCCGAAATGTCTTACCAATGATTACTCATATATAACGTCAAGTTATGATTATATAGGTATTTATATAACTCCAGCTTCCGATCCTAGAGAATAGATTTGCTGCCGCGGGGACTTGAGATGTCGACTGTCAAATAGGTCGGCTTCACCTAGGTAGATGACCACCAAGTCAAGTGACGGTGCTGACAAAAATCTCAGCTGCCTAGGTAGTATGAGAGAGATAAAGATTTCTATCCGTTCCATAACTACCTACACAAGTACATTGGAGCCATTGGTTAGAATAGGTAATCTGAAATCTCGCTATGGATATGCGCTATATCGCCTAAGTTAAGACAATTGATTAAGCCGCCCCTTTCCACCAACATATCATCGCATTTCCCTAACCGAGATAAACATACACAAAATACCACACCGTAAATACTACCATCCCGTCATCTGCAAATACACCCTTCCTTTAACTATACGCCAAACTTCTTTTCAAACTTCTTCAACATCCCCGTGACGCCCCGCTCAAGCCGTTCCGCATTCTGCCCCAACTTACCATGTCCCTCGACCTTAGGTTTGTATTCACCGTATTTAGCTGCGTGTTCCTGCTCCGTTGGCCGGTACAGCTGCTGATGGATGCCATAGTCCGAACTCAGAGGCGCCGCCTGGGCTGCGCTATAGTTGAACTGCGAGAAGCCCCCCGGTGGCGGTGGCGGGAGACCCGGGCTCTGAACGGCTGGCGGAGGCGTGGGTTGGTGGTGCTGGGTCGGAGGCACACCAGGGGAGCCGGGGAAATTAGCCCCGTATGGACTCGTCAGGCCTGGCGATGTGAGGTTTGTGGCTGGCATCGTTACCGAGCGCTGAAGATGGCCGAATTGGGTCGGCGGAATCCCGGGACTGCCTAGAGCTGAGGGAGGCAGACCTGGGCTCGTGGGGCCGGGATATGCTTGAGGTGGCGGTCCTGGGAAGCTTGGAGCGCCCGGCGGTGCGGAAAACGTCGTCTGTCCGTAACCAGGCGTGAAGGGTACTGTTTGATCGCGGGCCAGCGTCGCAGCCAAGGGATTGTAGCCGTCATCTTCTGGTGGTGGCGGGGTCTTCTCTCGATGCTGATATTTCTCCGCCTCAGGGGGCGCGGCGGGATTATACGCCATCGGCGCAAAGCTTTGGGGAGACTCATTCCGGCCACTGGACCCCGTCGTCGGGGGCGGAGCAAAAGATGGGATGTTTTGCTGTTGCTGCTGCTGGACTCGCGGGTCTGATATGGCCGCTTTTTCCAGCTTCTGAACCAGAGGATTTACATCCTGCGAGTGGCTATGCGCGTGTGACGGAGGAGGAGCTGGCTCATCAGCCACTTCGATCTGAGAAGAGGGTAATACTCTTCGGACGCCATTGACGAATTGCAAGGCGTCGGTTTGCGTCCAGAAGTAGATGTCAAGCGAGTGTAGCTTGTAATGATATTTATTTTCGTTGCGCGGGTCATACGTAGGAAGATGCCACTGACTCTGATCTATCGGCGGCCCGGGAACGCCCTCGACGATTATGCTGACAAGGCATTGTTGCTTGTAAGAGTAGCGAACATGAGTTGTATCCAAAACTGTACGGCGCGCGTATTAACAGCACTATTACGGCACTACCAATTGACATTCTATGTTTACGGGTATGACGCGCTTACATCCATCAAAGGCATCTTGGTCATCGGTGCCAGGCTGATTTGCGATCTCAATGCGCGCCCGGCGGTGGCTTGCATTTTCGAACAAATAAACATACGACCCCTTGTCGAAGCGATGATGAGGTGGGTTGGCCGTAGGAGGACCATAGAAATAATGAATATCCCCAAAGCTATGGAGGTAGAACGTCCACTGGTAAGTAAATGGTACGTTAGGCCGTGGCGAGGCTCTGAAGACACTTACAGGGTCGCAACGTTCTCCTCACCAGGTCGAACAGCCATCTCTGCAACCTTTGAGCTGAGCAAAGAAGTTACACTGCAAGTAGTATCTTGGGGAAATACGGATAGGATGATGAAATAATAACTAATATTATATCACAACGGCGAGCTAGAGCTCAGGGAAGTCTAGGACAGGTATATGAGCGTTGACTGTGTAGAGAACCAGCTCAACACCAAGGGAAGAAAAAGATAGATGGATGGAAAAGTGAGAAAAGGAGTAAAAGATTACAACGAGCTATAGCTAGTATAACAGTATCATAGCTCCATGGCACCAGTCTACGTAATGCCGGGATCTATGGACACAGGCGACCATCTTGAACCCGGGATCGCTGCCATCGAGCCTGACTGTCGGCGCTTAACTGTCCAATATCCCACGCTGTGCGACTGCAATGGTGGGGTTGAGGTGGTTTAAGGGATCTTGGACTGGGCTTGGGCTACCTAGGTATTCCGAGCTTTGGCGGGGTTGGCCAATGATCCTCGGTACTCAGGTACTTGTCATATCCTGGTAGGTACCTACCTACCTAGGTGGAGGTAATACAGCGGCCTGTTAGCAGACCTCAATCCGCTAGCCGTACAGCGCGCCCGGGGGCTTGGGGCGGAACTATCGGCGCTGTAATTCTTCCCTTCCGACCAAATTTCCAATTCCCAGCTTTGAGGTTCGAGAAACCTAGGTACCTACGAAGAAGTCCATGATAGACATCTACACAACACATTGCAACCACGAATTATAGCGGAATACGCCGAACATATACCTAACAGCAAGGAAATTGGGGAAAAGTGACGGATTGAGTACGCTCTTCGAATTCCTCGGCAACCCGACGCAAATATAGAGTCAATCGCGCAGGCCCATAGACTCAAGAGAACATACATACATCAGCTCAGCATCCGGCCCATTGGGCACAAAATCTCTGAACACACCTCGACCTCGATCGTCTTACACGACGAGTCCACCATCAAACCCGCCAAGATGGGTATCACATCCATAGTACACTTGACCTCGCACCTCCAGAACGCGGCCCGCGCACGCCTGGGCCTCACCTCAGTACCGCACTGCAAATACAACCTAGGCCTGCTCCTCGCGCTACACCGCGCAGGCTACCTTTCCTTCGTGACGCGCGGAGACACGATGCCTCCCAACCCGGAGACGATCGCGACCTATGAGCCGCCGCCGCTCACGACCGCCAACGTGGCGAAGCAGCGTCTCTGGGTCGGTCTCAAGTACGTCAACAACGAGCCCGTGCTGGGCAATTTCACCGCCATCTCGACGCCGAAGCGGAACATCCACGCCAACCTGGCGGCCCTCAACCGTCTCTCGCGCGGGTTCAGCGCGAGCTATCAGCAAGGGCTGAATCTCGGCGAGAGCATGTTCGTGACCACGTCGGCGGGCACCTTGGAGATCAGGGAGGCCATCCAGAGGAAAGTGGGTGGAACCCTTTTGTGTCGCGTTGGGCTTTGAGCGGGGTTGGATTTCATCTGGTTGGGGCATATGAAAGAAGTCTGTGCTTAGCGAGAGATTCAAGAGACGAGGAGATTCGATGGGGAATATAGAAGTTGGGGCGTTTGGCTGTATATGTGAAGGATACAACGGACTTTCTTCCTCGTCCACACATTTCCAGGGATCTCGCGATAGGTCCATTACTGGAAGGGATGAGGGTGGCCAGACGTGGGACGAAAATCCAATATACGCAGCGAGCACGATGCAGACTCAGCCGTATTCGTCGCAACCCGCCTATGGCCTATGCGTATGAGAAACGAATGTATATAGACATGTATGGATATGTGTCTTTCTGGGCTCTCTTCTTCATTATCTGGAGATAGGGAGCAATGGGCTATAACATTGCTGTACGATACTACTACTATCAAAAACTTAGACACACTGCTTCACACGAATATTCTTATTCAAGTTGCAAAGGCAGCATTGAACATATGGGGCGCGTCGTTCGAATTTATTCTCAGTCGAGAATCTCGTCCACTCTTCTAGCGCAAATAAACAGTCACTTTCATAAACGCCGCCTGAGCAATGTAAAGAGGTTTGGTATTCATTCTCGCTAAGTTCTACATGCAATGCCTATGTCTCTTCTGTCCATGCTGCTCTTCCAATCCTTCTCAATAAAGTCTCGGTGCAGCTAACTGCTGCGAACTGAAGTAGTCCTGGGGCCTGCAGTTATCACTCAGCTCGGCCTCCTATTTATCTACTTTTACAGCTAACGCCTACTGCTACTTCCAAAACAAACAAACGAGCTACTCCTACAACGACCAGTGATAATGAAAAGAATAAGGGAGTCTAAGCAACGCCCGGGGAAAAAAAGAGAGGACAAGGAGGGCTTTCCACAAGACCCTATTTCAAAGTGTCCGAAAGGAGCAAATGCAAATTTGCTGCTTTGCAAGAAGTAAAAGGACGAGACAGTAGCGGGTATCAAAATAAATCTCTCGCCGAGGAAGAAAAACCCTTTTCTCACCAACTTGGTAACGGGGAAGGGGTACAACCAAATCGAAATAGTATTTTCCGACGGTAAACTTTCTTTCGAAACTGACAGGCAAACGGGGGTTCTCGTGCCTAAGGAGTTGCATCCACCAAGTCTTTGGCGGCTGTTTCTTCAACCCCGTTCATCTTCGTGTCCAGGGGGACGTTAGCAGTCGTTGGGTTCTCTGTCTTCACCTGCTCACTAGCTGTCTTTTCGACATCAACGGATGTTTCATCTACCTTCAAGGGCTCTTCTTTCGCCTCTTGAGCATCAGCCTTCGACTCTTCTTTCGCCTCTTCTGTTGAGATGGCAACAGATCCATTCGTTTCAGGAACATCTTCTGGTTGAGAGGCTTCAGCTGTTGCATTCGTGGACTCAGCTTGGTGAATGGGGTCTTGAGCTTCTCGAACCGTATCCTCAATGTCCTCAACTTTCAGTGGATCCTCGCTGATAACTCCAACAGGTTTGGTTACATCTACTTCAGCATCTGGCTCAGGCACAACTTCAACTTCAGCTCTTGGTTCAGATGTAATTTCCTCCTCGATATTTGATTCAAGCACAGCTTCCTCTTCAACAATTGGTTCAGGAACAGCGTCCTCCTCGACAATTGATTCAGGTACAGCTTCCTCTTCAACAACTGGTTCAGTTACAACTTTAGATTCTTCGGTGGAGGGAACATTGGTAGTAGAAGCAGTCTCTTCAGAAGTCTTTGCAGTCTCGATGATAGCCTCTGCGGTTTCTTCTTGTGCGACAACAGCACCAACCTCTTTGGCAGTAGGCTCGACCTCTGTCTTCTCGTCCTGAACGAGAGGGGCTTCGGCGGTCTCAGTCGACAGTTTCGCGCTCTCGATAGCTGCTTCCGCAGTCTCGGCCTTAGCAACAGCTGGCACAATGTCCTTTGCTGTGGGCTGCTCTTTGGCTGCTACTGACTTGACATCATCCTTCGCCGTCTTTGCCTTGGCTGATGACGCTTGGATCTTGGCTGCAACCTTCTTTGCATTTTTCTCAGTATCCTTGGGATCTGGCTTCTTGACCGGAGGATTCTGTTTTCGTGGTGGGGTCAGCGGTGCCTTGTCTGAGGTCTTTTTAGCGCTGCTTTGCGTAGGCCTCATCATACGGGCCAGGAAGCCTTCGTCTACTTGGCTTTCTCTCTTCGTAGCAGGCTGAGTTTTGGCTTCTGGCTTGGGTGGGGGACCGAGGCTTGGACGGGACGAACGGCCCACTGTTGAAGGTTTATGTTTAAGAGTCTTAGTCGTGGTGCCTGTGGTCGAGACACTATTTCGGCTGGGTGACCTGTGTGAGGTAGGATCTACGGACAAATGCTGAGCGTTACCAGAGGCTCTTGACAATGTTTGCCTAGCACCAGGTGCTGTGCTGCCATTGCCTTGCTTCTGGGCTGATGAAGCAGTATGCGTTGTGAGGGTGGACGGCAGTTTGACAGGCCGAGTAGGCGACTTGACTTTTGGTTTCACAAAGCCTGTGCTGGATGGGGCCAAGTTGATTGGAGCTGGCTTCGATGTCGCCGTTTTTGTGGCAGTGGTAGTAGCAGTGGCTTTCTTTGTAGCCGTTGAAGAATTTGCAGGCTTGATAGGTTCTTTTCCATTCGCAGCCTTGGTCGTCAAGGGTGACTTTGTAGCTTTGATGGTGGTTTTGGCTGTGGAGATAGGTGCCACTGTTTTGGCAGCTGGCTTGGTTGGACCGGCAGTTTTGGCTTTTGTAGTGGGCGAGGGAGTACCGTTCAGGGCATCACCAATCCCTTCATTGAGGACGGTGCCACCTAGTCGGGTTGCAGACGATTCTGTCGGGTTGCTAGCTAGCATTTTCGTTCTAGGCTCCTCCTCGTCTATGACCTTGTCTGGGTTTGCGTTGGGCTCTACAGGCGGACCTTTCAAATCTTTCTTGGGCGTAGATTTGACCGGAGTGTCCTGGCTTGGAGACTCGGGTATGGCCTCGTGGGACAGGTTTGTCTTGAAAGGGGGAGCGGTGCTCGTCATCTTGTCTGAAAATATGTCTGGTCTCTCGGAGGTTGTATCGGTGTCGTTACTGAACTTTCGACGGCTTGACACAGACACGGAGTCTTCGCTAGGTTCTCTTCTCAGGCCAATTCTGCCGTCTTTTTCAACCGCAACAAAAGACGTTCGGACTTTTGATAGAGGACGGGGAGATGCAGAAGGAGAATCAGATCCTAGTGGCGCAGAATTTGTGGTTAGCTATGTTGGGTCTAAGATAGCTTTTAAGTGGTGCCCTAGATGGAGGCCCTGTCGTGACGTATGTTTTGATACAACGAATGTTGATCCCTAACCCAAAGCTGAAGTGGAGAATGAAAACAAACAGCTCGGGGGGAGCGGAGAGATCAATGAAGAAATATAATGTTATAGCAGTTGAAAGAACTGGGCAAGGTTTTAAAGTAGATCAGGTAGGTAGGTGCAGCAGACTTGATCGGAGGGCGTGGTCAAGCTTGAGTTGAGCTGAGCAGGTAAGGGGCGGGTTGAAAGCTAAAGATGGGTTGGGTAAAGACAAAAAAAAGCAAGAGCCTCACCGAAACCACCGGGACCTGGAGATCTCCCTCTGTCGGGCAAGCCATCGCCCTTCTGCTCGAACATGGCGCGAAGGTTTCTGACGCCAGACATGGCCGCAACGTGTTCGAGTCGGGTTGAAAGAAAGGGTGGGTAGCTGGTACTGCCGTAAGTCCGTCCGTCTCACTGTTTGCTGCCCACGGACCGGAGCAGGAGCAGCTCGTAGACCAAGCTCTAAGCGATTGCCGCCCTGCAAAAGCTACGTCTCACAATTAGGCTGTCACTCCCAGCTGTTCGTTCCCTCTTTGTCTATGGTGTTTGGGGGGATTTGTTGTGTTGGAGAAACTCTAAAATGCGGTGGGTGGGCTTTTGACTCTTTGAGCCGTTCGACTTAAAATGAAGCTTGTTTCGCTAGTCCAGGGGTAACGAAAGATGCGGTAGCCCACGGTCAGCTACGCAGTACGGGTATGATTCTGGCGATGCTACGACGGCGAAGACAAGACATGGGTAGCTCAAACAGGACGATCAAAGGGAAGAGGAGGACGACGAAGAGGAGCAGTGCAGTGCAGCAGGACCGGATCACAAATTATTACAACGAACGGGAGGGAAAGTCAGGAACATATGAAGACAGCTGGTCAGATTCATGCGATGCTGTCGGATCTGGTGGGATGTTTAGACTCTAGTGCACCTTGGTTAGCGTAGGCCAGCAGGGGAATCGCAGACAGGCTCGACAGGGCCGCCGAGGACGAGAGGGTCCCGCCTTAATAAGTACCTGAAATTACCTGTACGCAGAATCAAATGGCTGGCTTCTGGCTACCCGGTTCTGGCGCTTCAGGGGCTTGCAGCGAGCGTGCCCCGTATTCGTTCGTCCTACGTGTCTGGTGTCTGGCGTCTGATGTCTGATACCTCCCTCCTAGATGCTACCTCAGTAGATACTTGCCTAGAGCATTATCTATCCATCTATCCTCTTGAGATGTTTCCGAGGTTATTCTTATATATATGTGTGTTTGCGAATCAGAGATTGTGCAGCGGATCCCTTGGTCTAGCTGTCATATCACTTTTAGGTATTGATTGGGTACTAGTATCCAGTACTACCTACCAACCTCAGATGCATCATTTTACATTCCACCCAAGGAGAGCTACAATGGCTACAAAATCATTCGAATCGGTGGTGAAATCACGTAGTAGTAGGTATTCCATTACGAATGCTATTGGGAAAATGCGGCTGCTGCTGCATCGCATCTACACTCGGTCACGCACAAGTGAGTGCGCAAAGCCTATCATTCACATTCACACACACACTTTTGGCGAGGAAGATCCCGAGCGATACTTTCTAGGAAGCTATCGCCCTCTCCGAATGCGAGATGAATGTCATAACGGAAAACACCAAGTTACCACAAAGCTTGGCTACGGCCCATCTTTGACGGTTTGGCTTAGTCGAGAATTCTCAGCTCGATAGGTTATTGATGCTCGATTTCTCTTCTGTGCCGACATCGTAGAACCGATCAGCATGTGGCCAAGTATTGCTAACGGTTTTGTGAACGTCAAGTCGCAAAATATTCTGATTGAGATGGCAGATATAAATGAGAAGTTCAGAGGCGCACCATCCGAGTCAGAGTCGAATGCTGCAGACGAAGAGGAGCTGAGGATAGCTGACATCAGTATCAAGTTGGCCAACTTTGGAACTGGTATGCACATGCATGTGCTCTATGTTGCTTGTTTGACTATCGTCCTGGGATACCACGGTCGAGATCTCAAAGGGTTGTAACCCGGCAACAGAATTCTTCGAGGCAAACGGCAATCCCACCTATGATTTTCTAGACTGTATCGCAAAAAAGTAACTTTGATGCGTTTCGGGCCACCAGAAATTGTGTGACCGTTTCTAGAATCCCCGTGGGGCAGGGTCTGGAGGACTTTCCCGCGGTTCTCTCCCTCTCTTTCCCCCCACCCCCCTCCCCCGAGAGAGAGAGGGGGAGAGAGAGAGAACAAGTTAGTATTGGAGCTGAGGAACCGACTAGATCCACGTGAATTATTAGATATAAAATAGGTGCGAATCGGTTGATATCATAAGAGTCGTGATATGCTTTGCAAGATCGGTAGCTTGTACTTGTCTGCTTGCTTGGATGTAGGTCCCATCTGAAACGTCCTCATTGGGGCACACTGGGATCTATGTGAAACAATCCGGGTGACTAGGCTCTCATTGGGCCCAAAAAACATCTGCTAAGACACCTGCTATATTCCGAAGGTCAACGGTAAATAACGGAGAAGATGCTTCAATCTACAGTAGGACGTGTAGTTTCGGAGGAAGAAGGAAAGAGGAACCGGGGGAAAAAATGACAGAATCTAGTATTCCATGTACCAAGACCAAGTTAGCCGAATGCTTCGATATCAAGTAAAAGAGCAATGAGCGCGTGGCACATCCTCGTTCTTTGACTAATCACGACTTAGTGAGAGGCCAGGATAGATCTAACTATCACTGTCATGGCCTTTCAATCATATAGGTAGGTAGGAGCATTACGAGTGCACAGTGCTAGCCATTTCAGGGTATCGGGCATCATCATCATCATCATCATCTGTGACCCATTCATGTCTGGCCAGGACGTCTTCGTGTCTTGCGTCTGATATACGGTATAACCTGCAGAATGCAGCTCGGTTGCATCCGTGCATCATGCACAACACTTGGACCTGATTCAGGAATGCTGCTCTCACGACACCACAGGTATTCAAGCACTCGTCCCACGTCCCACGGGGTACGACGGCGTAGCGCAACGCCTCGAGGGGGTTATTGAAGCCTTGGGGCAATAAAGCGAGCCCGTAATTTTCTTTTCTGTCTGCCTGGGACGCAGTATTCATGGATTGATCTAGACGTATTGATGAACTAATTTCAGCAGTTAATAGAGAATAGAGATGAACCGTCTGGGGTATTAATTAGCATTAATTAAGTAGATGCGACACCGTTACACCGACGAATTCATCCAATCACCTGCCAATCACCCTGGTCTCTCCTGCTACCAAAGACCAAAGACCAAAAACGCCATCTGTTTCTCGCTCCGATCTGCGGAAGACCCCTTCTCAGCTCTCCCACCCCCCAGCTTTTGCCGAACGAACCCCACTACAGCTCGGGTAAGCGCAGCAGCAGCAGCAGCAGCAAAGCTCGACGGGAAAACGCTCCGTAACCGCTAGCGGCATCCAATTCTTTTTCAGCTGGCCATCATTGCGTGCTGGGGAAAAATAACGCCCATTTCTTCTCACCTGGAATGCTCTTGTCCGCGGGTGGCTGAGAATTTCGCTCATAGTCAATCGACTTTTTTCTTTGCAACATGGCGTCCCGCGTCCTCAGAATCGGTCAGTATGGAACTTTGGACTAATTGGCCTATCCCGGTGCACTACCAAGATGAAGATCGCCAAGAGCTAACTCGTCGAGCAAAGGTCTTATTCCTGGCGATGGTATCGGGCGTGAAGTGATCCCCGCAGGTCGGCGTGTGCTCGAGGCCCTTCCTTCGTCCTTCGGCCTCAAATTCGAGTTCACCGACCTTGAGGCCGGCTTCGAGACGTTTCAGAACACTGGCGCCGCGCTGCCCGATCGCACCGTCAAGGTGCTGAAGGATGAGTGTGATGGTGCGCTCTTCGGCGCTGTGTCTTCGCCTACTAAGGCCGTCAAGGGATACTCATCACCAATCGTACGTTGTCGCCGCTTTACACTACCCAACAGCCTAGCCTTCTGACCATGATATTTATCCGGGACAACAGGTTGCTCTCCGCAAGAAGCTCGATCTGTACGCCAACGTGCGTCCCGTGAAGACCATTGCCTCAGCCGCCAACCCCATCGACCTGGTCATCGTGCGCGAGAACACCGAGGATCTCTACGTCAAGGAGGAGCGGACACTCGAGGACCCGGCCAAGGGCGGCGTATACGCCGAGGCTATTAAGCGCATTTCTGCGCGCGCGTCCTCGCGCATCGCCACCATAGCCGGAGAGATCGCCCTGCGCCGCCAAAAGCTGCGCGATTCCGGCTCCGCGAGCATCCACAAGTCGCCGCTAGTCACCATCACGCACAAGTCCAACGTGCTATCACAAACCGACGGTCTCTTCCGCACCTGCGCCAAGGAGGCTCTCGCGGCTGCGCAGTTCGTACAGGGCGGCGTCGCTGTCGAGGAACAGATTGTCGACAGCATGGTCTACAAGCTCTTCCGCCAGCCCAGGGACTACGACGTCATCGTTGCGCCCAACTTATACGGTGACATTCTCTCCGATGGTGCGGCAGCGCTCGTCGGCTCTCTAGGTCTCGTTCCCAGCGCGAACGTCGGCGAGGGTTTCGCCATTGGTGAGCCCTGCCATGGCTCTGCCCCCGATATCGAGGGCAAGGGCATCGCGAACCCGATCGCCACACTGCGCAGCACCGCGCTCATGCTTGAGTTCCTGGGCGAGGAGCAGGCCGCCGCCAAGATCTACGCCGCCGTTGACGCCAATCTTGAGGAGGCGAAACTGTTGACGCCCGATCTAGGTGGCAAGGCCACGACCGAGGAAGTTGTGAACGATATCCTCAAAAGGTTATAAATAGAAAAAAAGAACTTGATAAGGAAGATGAGAATCATCAAACAGGACTCACTCACCCTGACCGCTATCACTTGAGTTATCGCGAGCACTTTCCATCTGACGACATCTGGGGAAAAAAGTATTCTGCAGGGCCTAAACGTAAATAAAAGGAGAGAGATAAAGGGGCCCTAAAAGCTTTCATGTAGATAAAATAGACGGAGTGATCTCGTTGGAAAAGATACCCTCAGTATACTACATCCAGAGCAATGGCACCCTTCTCTCCATGAGCACTCATAACCGTATTTTCACTACAACCAACGTTCGAAGAACCAAGAAACCCAAAATAAGCCAGGAAGGACCAAACGATACAGAAGTGAGAGTGGTAATTGTCTGACTGATATTCATGATCCTGTACCGACGGCAGTGTCTATACACACGTATATACGACCCCCTAACCTAGCCCAACCCAACCCGCTCTGCACTCCTCTGTTCTAGGATATATCACAGCAGCACCGTTTCAGATCCCGTACGTATAAGTCTTCGTCGTCAAAGCATCCATCTATATACATACACGTTACACGGAGACCTTGTTTCCTTTTTCCTTTGGTCTCTCGGTTCATTTCGTTTAGTCTCTCATTCATGACGGTAAAATTACATATGGCCTCTTTTTTCAGGGCCGCGCTGATTCGCGCTTGCGTGGGTCTTGAGTCCCTTGCATTCGTGATTTATCTCCCGAAATAGTTAGGGATCGATCACTAAAGGGTTAGAAGAACGCTGGTGGACCTTCTAGGGGATGAAGTTCCAAGCTTGATCGGGTTTATCACGTTAAAGATGTGAGTTACTCCTCAATCCCGTGTGATTTACTTGCGGGCAGCCTCGAGCTCCTTCTGGTACTTGGCGACCAGTTCCTTCCTATTAGAAATGTATTAGCATACTGTATAGGTAGTTTCTGTAGAGGGTGCGATAGGTTGACGTGGAAGAAAAAACAGTAACTTACTGTAAATGAGGTGCCGCAGGCGCGTAATGGCTGAATTCCATACTGAATTCGCCCTTGCCCTGCGACGCGGCGCGCAATTGTGTCGCGAAGCCGAACATGGAGTTCAAGCTGACATCGCACAAAAGTGTAAAGTCCTCACTGCCAATCTCGGTGTCGATGATTGTGGCGTTGCGCTTGTTCATCAGCATCAGGATGTTGCCCTGGAACTCGTTGGGTGCCATGATAGTCGTCTTCATCAGGGGTTCGAGGACCTGGCCGCCAGCCTCGTGGAACACCTTCTTGAAGGCCATCTGCGCCGCTAGACTGAAGGCGAAATCGGACGAATCCGTGACGTGAGTTGCACCGTCGTTGACGACCATCTTAGTACCGATGACCTTGTGGCCGAGCAATGGGCCCTTCTCACACGAGATCTCGAAACCCTTGCCGCAAGCCGAGATAAACTTATCAGGGATGACACCACCAACAACCTGGTTCTCGAAGGAGTTCTTTTCGGGCTCAGAGTTGGGCTCAATCCAGCCGACAACACGAGCGTAGTCACCCGGTCCACCGGTCTGTCTTCGTAGGAGATAGTCGAAGTTTGCCCGTTGACCAATAGTTTCACGGTATGCGACGCGGGGCTGGCCAGTGATGCATTCTACCTTATACTCTCGGCGGAGACGCTCAACGTAGATCTCAAGGTGCAATTCACCCATACCAGATATAATTGTCTCTTCACTCTCTTCATCGACCATTAACCTGAAGGTAGGATCCTCGCGCTGGAATCGGTTCATCGCCTTACTGAAGTTGTCGGCATCCGTACTGCGCTTAGGCTTGATGGACAGCGACATAACCGCGTCGGGCACGAACATGGAAGACATAGTATAGGGCAAGTTTCCATCCGTGAAGGTATCACCGGAGGCGCAGTCAACACCGAACACGGCGCAAATCTCTCCCGCTCCGACTTCGTTCACATCTTCCATTTCATTGGAGTGCATACGCACGATTCGAGGAATTCGCACCTTCTTGTCGTTTCTCGAGTTGAATAGGTATGTGCCCTTCTTCAATGTACCTTGGTACACTCGGATATAGGTGAGCTGACCATAGTTGTTTTCTTCCAGCTTGAACGCTAAACCGACAAAGGGGAGCGAGTTGTAGGGCACAAGCGAGGTTTCTGCTTCTCCTTTGCTCCTGTCAAGGGCTATGTTCTTAACGTCACTGGGGTTGGGAAGATAGTCGCAAACGGCGTCAAGCATGGGCTGGATGGACTTATCAGCCAAAGCGGATCCCATCATCACAGGAGTGAATTTCAGGGCAATCGTTGCCCGGCGAATGGCGTTCATTATCTGCTCGGGAGTGGGCGTCTGTTCTTCCAAGAAAATCTCAGCGATCTCATCGTCAACATCCGCTAGCTTCTCGATCAATATTTGGCGTTTCTCTTCGGCCAATTCCTTCAGGTCGTCGGGAACCTTGTCTTCTACCCTTATAATGGTGCCTTTGGGTCCTTCGTTGTAAATAGCTCTCATGTGGATAAGGTCAATTACACCTTTGAACTGATCCTCAGCACCGATAGGTACTTGGATAGCGGCGGCAGGAATCTTTAACTTGGAGTTGATCTGTTCCACTGCTTTCCATGGGTTGGCACCCATGCGATCCATCTTATTCACGAAACTTATTCTCGGGATGTTGTAGCGCTTCATCTGTCTATCAACAGTGACAGTTTGGGACTGAACACCGCTCACTGCGCAGAGAATCATGACTGCACCGTCTAGCACTCGCAAAGCACGCTCGACCTCAATTGTGAAGTCAATGTGGCCGGGGGTATCAATCAAGTTAATATGGTATGTTTCCTCCTTCTCGTCCACAATCTTCTTCCAATCGCAGAAGGTAGCAGCAGACTGAATCGTAATGCCCTTCTCTCGTTCGAGGTCCATGGAGTCCATCTTAGCACCGGCGCCATCACGACCTCGAACTTCGTGTATCGCCTTGATACGACCGGTATAGAAGAGAACTCGTTCAGTAACAGTAGTTTTGCCGCTGTCGATGTGTGCCTATGGGGCCGATCCAGTCAGTACATTGCGCTCTTCGGCTCACGTTGGCGTCTAGGGCAAAAGGACGGGTTTACACATACCGCAATACCAATATTTCGTACTCTCGATAGTCGATGCTTTTCTTCGGGGCTCATTTTCTCGAGGACGGATTCGGGTGTGAGGTTTGCAGCTTGTTCAGCGGCTCTCTTGATACTATCAAGTACGACATCTTGTTAGTAAACCACAACTCGAAGATGAATCACCATCTAGGTGGAAGATAAGGGCGTCACCTTACGCGGCGGCACCGGCCGCAGCATTAGCAGCTGCATATCTAGGCCTTGTAAGACTAAAATATCTCTTTCCTTCAACGCGCAATGGGGCGACAATGAACTGCGTGGGGGGTCGGGCGGTGAAGGCTCTCGAGACAGTGTTGAGCTTCGATATACCACCTTTTGTCGTTAAAATACGGCTGTCATTGAGGACAGCAATGGCCCGTTGCGCCCTCATCGTAAAGAATTATTTCAATAACACAACAACCGAAGGGAAGAAATACAAGACCCGGGGGCAGACCTGCGTTTACCCAGATAATATAAAGACTCAAGAATTCGATATCGAGTCCCCAGAATTTTTTAGCGGGTTCGCGTAGCCAATTCAGCGAATCAGACAGCGTGTATAGCGCTCCCCACCTACCCGCAAAAATGCACCATTTAGCGCATCCCGCTGGCAATTCCACACTCTTCTTCCAATGTTGATGATATTCACTTGAAAGTGCGATCATTTTTGTAGCTATTAATTCCGTATCAGACCATGCGTCGCATTCAGTTCATGTAGTCAATCATACGTAGTCTTGCTTTGATGATCAGTGCATATCCGCCGTTTATTAGTAGTAACAACCATGCGTCTGTCTGAAATACCTAGAATATTGTAATTTACTATGGCAATTATGTCGACTGAAGCTGGCTCGATTATGTTCATTTTCCAATGCAGGTATCTATAAAAGATCTCCAATATAAGCTTCAATTTTTCCAGTCATTCGGGTTAAATCCAACGTCCCCGACTGGCCCCTAACCCTGTCATTCTCAACCCATCCGTATGTACGCCTTATGCCCAAGAAAATGCAGTTACTTGTGCGATGCATCTAAAACAAGAGAAACATGCCACCGCCAAACAGCATCAAGCCCATGCTGGCACCCATGACAATGAACTGAGTGAGGTCAAGAGCAGGAGGAAGTGATGCTGCGCTATCGTCGTCTCCGCTACTGCCACCACTGCTGCCACTGCCGCCACCACCACTCTGAAATCCCCTTCCAGCACTGTAATCTGGGTCATTGTTCGGCCCTGAATTGGTGGCACCCTGGCTTGGCGCTGGTGTGGATGACGGGATCTCAGCACCCTGGCTTGGGAACGCGACGATATTCGATTTTGTGGAATTGAAGTCTGTAGGCGCCATAGCAATCTCGTTGTTTTCGAGGTCATACACCACATATGCCGATCGAAGGAACGTATCCCCAAGCAAGAAGGGGTCGCTGCTCATGTTCTGGATGCCGAATTGGCAGGCATCTTTTCCTGCGTATTGACCACTGGTGAATTTGCCTTGGACGGGGATAACCAGCTCATCCATTCCAACCTTGATGACGGGACCACCATTTCCACCGAAGCCAAACGAGAAATAATTGCCGCTATTGCCGAAATCACAAGGAAGGAGAGGCACTCCCGAGCCGTCGTTAGAGACAATAGTATATTCCGCTCCAACTTCCGTCCAAATCTGCTCCACGATATCTTGCGGAAGGTAGCTGAATGTAGTGCCGGAATCGAGTACGACGGGAATAGGGAAGTTGCTCGACGAAAGGGCATCTTCACCAGACGAGGAATGAGCTTCTAACGACGTTAATCTAACCTGAAACGAAGTGTAATTCTGGACTCTCTGGTCCTGGTCGATATTGACACGGATAAGGTTTCCAGTGTATTTTTCGGTGTCGATGCCACCAAATAGAATATTGCCTTTGCTGGCATCTAAGTCGTTCAACCAAAGACTATAAGCAGTGGACTTGATGTGACCTTCGTTGCGCATCACAACAGGTAGATTGTCGTAAATTTGCCGTGTTTGTGAGACAGACGCCTCATTAAGGGCATAGCCAACACCAACAAGACCGTAAGCAATGTCTGTGTCCAGACCTAGACCCATGGTCACATTCTGTAGTTTGATGTTACCGATCCCGAAGGTCTCGCTAATATAATCGCCTCGCGAACCGCTGCCGTCTACATAAGCAATCTGGAAATCATTGTTGAGTACGTCGAGAGTGCTGGACTTCTCGTAGTCGTCTGGGCAGGTGGAGAAACGTCAGTTAAGAGCGGTACCGGTTGTAACGATGATCAGACTCACAAGAACCGAAAGTGCAACCACCTCCCTGAGATGAATCTTCGCATATGCTAGCCTCGCTCGCAGGCACCCAAATATCACTAGATCCAGTATCCAACTGAAGGGTCAACTCCTGAGCAGGAGTTCCCACTGTGCAAGATGCGAAATAGCCGCCACGCATCCTCTCGTTTGTAATAATCTCTTCTACCGAGTTATCTGCACGTTTGCTAAGCCTGGGCTTCGGGTTTTCTCTCCGTTGTATATCCCATTGGACGACCTGGGCAGAAGCGACGGAGGCGAGCAGCGAGCTCGTCGCCAAGTTCGCGATGTTCTTCATAGTGACGGTCTGAACACTATAGGTCTGAACGCTATATTTGATGGAGCGAAGCTGCAATTGAAGCTAGAGGTCAATGGGGAGGAATTGTAAAAATTAGGCACCGCAAACGAGGGCGGATAGGGCGGGGAGACGGCGAGTGATAATGGCAGTGGCTAGGTATGTATTATAACAACCAGGAATAGGTATGATGACGCCAATATCCGATCCAAGGTCAGAAGCCAAGCGTGCAAGCCAAGAATAGAAGCCAAGAAGACGAAGTGCGGGTGGTGGAGCAAATGATCGTCGCAACTGTGAAGCGCAAGCCAAAACAAGATGAGACAAGACAAAGAACAACAGAGAACAGAACAGACAAGGGAAATAGTCAGGAGAAACCTGAGCGAACCCAACGGACTAGCGAGAATCGAGTGCAGGATGAATGAACAGAACAGACGGGCTTAAAGGAGTGGGAAAAGAGGAAGGAAGGGGAATTACGTCGGTCTCCCGGGTTGGATCTATGTATAACCTCTGACGGCTGACACTGACTACCTAAAGTATACCTACTGTGAAACCCGGGGGCTGAGCTCTGGCTCTCCTATGCATGTACGTAGTAAGTACATACATGTAAGTACCTACCATGTCTACTACGTACCTGGCGCTTAACAACGTCATGCTGCGCAAAAATCCTACGCTAGCTATCCTGCTGTACTTACTATGTAGCGACAGAAAAAAAAAAAAAAAAAACATAGCACATGTTATGTACCCTCTGTCTCGGGTACCGGCTCAACTGCACCCACGGTTCGGTTCTTTTTAGCCTCCAGGCCTGTCCGCAATCTCCGCATTGGCATTTCAAGCCACTACCCTACGGCTGGGAGATACCTAGTACTGGTATGTTTGATTTAAGCTTTTTCTGCCAGATGGACCAGAGGGGGGGGAGCTGTTGTCATGGGCAACATATCATCTAGAAATAGACCTAGAGGGCTCAGGAATACTTAAGGTGTCAGTCATGTTTCACGTCTCAATTGTCAGCATTGGGCATTGGGGTCAGAATTAACTGCCAGAAGTGGCTGCATTTCCCGCGCGAGTGGCAATGGGGTCGTAGAGGCGCAGCTAGTGGATGGCGAATATCTACCTACCTACTTACTTACCTAGTAACTACCTAAGGACTGTCCAGACCGTCCTTAACGCTCAGCTCCGTAAGCTACCGAAGTACATAGTAGAGGTTAGATAAAGTACTTGCTGACGTACGTAGGTATGGAAAAGCGCCACAGCGGAATGGGATACCGGTATTCTGATGGGATCAGTGGGTAGTAAAGTCACCGGTCGAGATATCGCCGAAAGAAGTCCGTCTTCAAAGTGAATCTTGGATATACTTACTTCGTAGGTATGAACTAGCATGGCTCTGTACACCATCATTTCGGATCACTTCGGATCACACATTTGATAATGACTCGTTCGCTCGTGACTTCATATTGCAACCCAGTTCAGGCAACCCAGTTGAGTATAAACAGACAGCCAGAGGGGGTCGAGAGCTACGAGCATCGGCTTGCATTGTACTGCATCATTGGGTTACCTCAATCTTTTTGCACATACTTCGTACCATGTACTGAGGAGTCGAAGGATCGATGTGTTACCATGTGTCGGACCCATCATGTTATGTGGGTAAGTATCAAGCATTGGACAAGCATTTGCCTAGAATCTTGGCAGCTGAAGCACTTGTTGGCGACCATTCAGACTATGGCAAAGCAAAACTCGGCATCGATACTGGCATCTCACATCTCCTACCTAGTATCGATTGAATCTTGTGCCACGTCGTACTTAGTAACGGAGCCGTCCTTATTCAGTGCATGTGCCATACCTACTGCTTCAACCAATGCCGTCTCAATCACTCTCAGCTTTTACGCAGCCGCATTTCACAGTGGAGTTACGGCTGAAAAGCGAAAATGCATTCAGCGAATCTCTTTGTCGGAAGATGATGTCTCCGTTGGGGGGGAGGGGAAAGACCCTGAGACATAGCAAGTATTGCCACACATATTCATTAAGTGTATCACTTTTACGATTAATCCTCGTAGGCTGAGCAGTATAATGCGTGAATTGTTTCATGATATTAGCCCCATTCACTTTGATCACGTTTATACTAGGTTGATTGCTCTACATGATACTAGATAATGGCTTATTTGGGTTAAGCACTGCAGACACAACAACTATGGGGACATACTTAGTAAGTTAGGTAGATAAGCATCGGCATCGAGCATCTATAAAGTAATCAACTCAGAGCCTACAATACACAAGGCTATGGAAGATGATGAATAGTAGGTGGTCAAATAACGAACCGGGTTTTATGCGGATTTGTCTTCACCAATATTCGAAGAGTCCCTGTCGCAGGTTGGTTGGAGTTGTGCTGAGGTGGCAGTGCGATGGACGCCATCGCCTCGTCACAGACGCGCGTCCCATCTCACCATCACACCAATACTATCGCCCATTTCGACAAACGGTGTGAGTGTAGTGGATGTCACGAGCCTTTGAAGTCACATTCTCTCACATCACAAGCAGGTGGTCGATCGACCAGCAGTGAGCTGCTTATGATCTCGTGAAGCTTACCTGATTTGTGTTGCCACTACATTGCGAATTGGTGTTGAAAATATTGGTTATATCAGCAATTCATACGCGTTCCTTAAGTACCCAATATCATGAAGCTAGCAACAGTAACTCATCTTGATAGAGCCCTATGAGCAGTAGAGGTTGAAGTAACCCACGCCGACCTAGTATTACGTTGGTGTCGTACTCCTATAGGGATCTTTCCTACCTCCACGAACATTTCCATGTAATGTGGATGAGCCTCGATACAGTCGCATTGAGACACATCCGCACAAGCAGGGATAGGTTCAAAAGGACTAGCCACTGACCCTTGATTCTTGAAAGCCTGTCATCAGAATTTGCACGTGAACGCTAATAGGTAAACACATGTTGGCCTTTGACATGATCGGAATGTGTGGCTTCGGTTACCGCTTCCATAGCTTCTATCAAAGATGAGATACATCTCTTCACTAGAAACGGTTGCCTCGTTGATCGAAGCCAGGAAGAGGGCTAATCGGCCTTCAGTCGAGAATATCCTGCGTTACAGATGGGCAGAAGAGCTGGACAAGAACATTCACTCGATGTGGAGGCTCTGTGAAAACCTTGTTGCCGAGCGCAGGCGGAACCCGAAGCTAGACGCGAGAGACTTATTTAATACGATGTTGAATGTCAGCCTGAGAGCTTTTCCCTAGTTGGGGGGTCACTAACATTCGCTTCAATGTAGTCACGTTTAGTAGGCTACTAATACCTCTTTTAGGGATGCAGATACTGATCTGGTGTTACGAGTTGACTGCTGGACACGAGACGACAGGCGTTACACTCGCTTTCCTGTTTTACCTACTACTCAAGAACCCAGAGACCCATCATAAGACCAAGCAAGAAGTAGATCGAGTTCGTGGTGACGGGGTGTTGAAACTTCACTAGATTCAAGTGAATCGAGGCCTGCACCCGCTAGACACTCAGGTTTCCAAGCTCGGCCGGCAACTCAATATTTCGCTTATAGAGGACACGATAATTAGGCAGAAATGCTGCCTCACTGCTAAGGAGACTTTCGTATGTAATACATACGGACTACACCACAACCGGAGAGTAAAGGGGGTCGACGCAGATATCTTCCACCCTGAAAGGTTGCTGGACGGCGGGTGGGAGACTATCCTTAAACGCTAGGAAGTCATTCGGAAAAGGGGCTTTAAGCCCGCGAAGACCATGGATGGGGGAACAGAAAATATTTCAACAGAAAGCCCTGTGGTGATTGTCAACCCCTCATGCGAGGGCAAACCCGCAGAAAACGCAAGTAAGTTTGTTGCATGGCTAGACATGGTAAACCCGACAGTCTCAAAAGACGTGCAGTACGCCGTGTTCGGCCCAGGCAACAGCAAAATGGATGAACGCATCCCATCGCATACCGAAGGTGGTGGATGGGACGATGGTCAAGCCCGGGGCCAAGATAAAAATCTTGGCCTACCTAGTTCGTAGATGCGAAAGAAGATGCCATCGGGAACCTGGGGGAACTGGCGGGACAAGTGGCTTGATTCCTTTGATAGCGAATCGCAGTCCATTATCTTTGCCGCCTTGAAGGCATGTCTTGAAGGACCAATCCACCCCGTACTCGACTAATTGTCTCCCGAAGATTAGTTGTTCTCCCAACAAACCCGCCGAAGCTAATTCACCGCGCGGCCTTGTAGTTCAAGCTAAATATAGACAGTTGGGTAACCATCAAGGGCACGAATAAAGAGTTCTTGACAGGAGGACCGTAATTGAGATTCCTCGGCACACGCGTGGAGTTGGCGACACCAGCTTCAAAGATATGGGAATAATCGTCCAGATAGCCAACGAAAGCGACATGCGCAAACTACAATCCCTCGTATCCTCCGAAGATGCATTCACGAAGACAGCCATCGAGAAGCGGGTGGCGGTCCTTGGTCTTCCGGATGATCATCCCGGTGCCACGCTCTCCTTTGCCGCATACCTCGATGTGCTCCGCCTGCGTGTAGCAACAGCGGCCGTCAATTTCACGGCGTCGCCTCGACGTGTCTACTTACTCCCATCATCATGGTCGCAGCGGGCACGGGGCTAAGCGGCCTTCATCCAGCAGCGCGCGTGCTGAGCTGCGAGAGATAAGGATATCCTTGGGCCTGTGCTTCTGTCCTTTTGACTGCCGCGACTACGAGAGCGATGAATTTACGTGGAAGAGCTGAGGGAGCGGAAGGCGCTCGAGGTGCGGCCTGCGTCCTCGCGGCGCGGATTACGCGGTGAGAAGGCGGGGTACAAGTATACGCACGAGCGCATGTGGGAGGGAAGGGAGGAGATTAGGGATTTATTCGAGTGCGGAGCTAAGAATCTTCGCGTGTGGCTCTACGAGCAAGCTTGTGAAGAGCACGAACGAGGTTACGAACCATATCTAGAGAGCTTTATTTCCCGACAAGAGCGAGGAGGACGCGCAGAAGTGGTAGGACGGGATCCGTGAGGTGAGATATTTGAGTAATGTGTTTGATTCGCATCGATTTCGATTTGTAGGTAAACACGACCTGAGAGGGCATTCTACCTACCTGAGCAGGTTCATAGCCATCGAGTTATTGCGAGTCTTACTTCCCTCCTCTACTTGGTTACACTTGTTGTCAAGTGAGACTTGAGCCATGATTGAGACAGCTTTGTATCATGACTCTCAGCATCATCGAGATAAGGAGGAACTGGGCCTTGCTGGGCCTATTGATACTTCGTAGTATAATTTCAACAGTTTGGGTATGAACCGGTAATAGGTATCATGTTCCATGTTTGAGCATTGAGGTGGAGCTCGCTGGAGCTTCCACTAAGTAGGTGGCCCTCGGTAGCGTAGATAAGCAAGCATGGAAGATTGGTCGATCATGATATTTGGGGCAGAGCTGGGGACAATGTCGCGTGCGCCAGGGATCATCCAACATGTTAAATTCAGCTGTATTCATCACAGTGTGAAAGGAACTGTCCTAAGATTATCTGTCCCTCAGCAGATTGCTGGAAAAGGAAGGCCGACGATGCCGCTACAAGATAGCTCATTGCAATTGGACTCCTGCGATGATGCAATACCACGTTCCGAGGGCACTATAGCTGCTCTAGACTTGACGGCTCGAAGGCTATCCTAGCTGACCTGTGTGCGCAAGGTGCTGATAAGCCAACGTCGTTGTGTGCAGAAAGCAGACAGTGAGCATCAATTGATGACGATGAGACAAAATGGGAAGATTGTCGACGACGTACCCTGCTAGCTCCATGTCACCATCACACCCCGTTGAGCCCGCTTACCAACGTGGTACTGTACCTGGGCTAGAACCCCGGCATCATACAGCGTATGCCAGGATACATAAGATGCAGTGAGGCTCTGAAATTTGGTAAAATTATTTTTTGTCATTCTGTCTTACCTTCTGCAGTCCCTGCTGTGGTGGTTCACGGTTCAAGACTCAAGCCATCAGTGCTGCTGCAGCCTGAGCATTGTTTTGTTAATTGCCTCAACTAAACACCGCCATGCCGTCTCTTGCACGATTGGCTACAGCAGCTGTGCAACTGGGGTTGCTTGCTCAATCAGCATTCGCCAAACCATGCCCCAGCAAGGATCCGAAGTTGGGTGCTGTTGCATCAGAGAGCTCGGTTTGCTCTGAAATCGGCATCAATACCCTCAAAAAGGGTGGAAATGCCGCCGATGCTCTTGTGGCTACTCAGCTCTGCATTGGTGTGATTGGCATGTACCACAGCGGCATTGGCGGGGGTGGCTTCATGCTGGTTCGGAGTAGCGATGGTCAATATGAGTTCATTGATTTCCGTGAGACGGCGCCCGCTGCGGCATTCGAGGACATGTATAAGAATAATACGACCGCCAGCTTGTATGGCGGGCTAGCGAGGTAGGAAGACCATGACATAGATCAATCTTTAGTGCCTCCCTAACCGTGATTCTTGGACTGACGCGACTATAGTGGTGTTCCTGGCGAATTGAGGGGTTTGGAACACCTCCATAAGAAGTACGGTTCTCTGCCATGGAAACAGCTTGTATTGCCGGCTGTGAAGGTCGCCCGCTATGGCTTCAAGGTGACAGAGGATCTGGTCCGTTACATGGATAGCGTCACACCGAATGGTAATTTCTTGACCGAGGACCCAACTTGGGCAATCGATTTCGCACCGAACGGCTACCGCGTGAAGCTCGGTGAGACTATAACGCGCAAGCGATATGCCGATACTCTGGAAGTTATTGCCCATGAAGGCCCCGACGCCTTCTACACCGGCGCCATCGCAAAGGCCACCATTTCTGCACTGACCAAGGCAAACGGAACGATGACTTTGGAGGACCTGAAAAATTACACTATAGCGATCAGGAAGCCCTCCGTGATCAACTACCGTGGCTACAAGCTGACAGGTACCAGTGCTCCTTCGGGCGGTGTTGTGGCCTTGAGCACATTGAACATTGTGAACGGCTATGAGGACTTTGGAGATCCTGCTGCGATCAACCTCACCACCCACCGCTTGGATGAAGCCATGCGCTTTGCATATGGTCAACGCTCCGAGCTTGGCGATCCCCTATTTGTTGAAGGTCTCGATGACTTTCAGGAAGCGATACTGAGCAGCGACACTGCTGCTCAGATCCGATCCAAGATCTCCGACTTCCGCACGCTGAACGTCTCTGCCTACGACCCTAATGGCTTTGAAAGTTTGCCGACGCCAGGAACCAGTCATATCGTAGCCGCTGATAAAAGCGGCCTGGCCATCAGCGTTACGACCACCATTAATCTCCTGTTTGGATCGCAACTGATGGTTCCGGAAACCGGCGTAATCATGAATGATGAGATGAACGACTTCTCCATCCCTGGATCGAGCAACGCTTTTGGCTACATCCCTTCTCCCGCCAACTTCATTCGCCCCGGAAAGCGACCTCTGTCCTCAATCTCACCTATCATTGCCGAAACCCCCGATGGAAAGCCGTACTTCGTCATTGGCTCCGCAGGAGGTAGCCGCATCATTACTGCTACCATCCAGAATATTCATCATGTCATAGATCAGAACATGACATCCCCGCAAGCTCTTGCTCAGCCTAGATTACATGATCAACTGAGCCCTAACCAGGTCTCGTTTGAGTATGCGTACGACAACTCTACAGTCGCGTTCATGGCAAGCTTGGGGCACAATGTGACGTGGGTTGCACCCGGCCAGAGCACAGCGCAGGGATTGCGTATACTACCCAATGGCACCTTCGAGGCTGCTGGAGAACCGAGACAACTGAACTCAGGTGGCTTCGCTGTATAATCTCAGCCTATCTACTTCGTAAATATAATCATAATTCTATATTAGAACACATGCTGGGCTGAGACTGGCCCTGAGTAGGTTTATCCTTTGCTATGATGTATCTGTGATGTGTGTACGTAGGTTGTGGTCGCAGATTTCCACCAGGCTTGGCATGGCACTATAAGCCAATACTAACGGTGATGGATATTTTGGTCCCCAACCTCCGTAACTGAATGATGCTACAGTCTCTCTTCCGAGGCACTTCATCCCCATATTTCCGTCGTCTTTCCAGAGTGCGGCCTAACCATGGACATACTAGATACACGATAACGGGTGCAATCCAGACTATGTTCGAAGACCTATTCAAACTGACCGAACACGGTAAGTAGCAGCAAAGGGCTAGACGGATAGGTAAAGTCAGCGAAGAAGGGTGGAAGAGGTGTTGGGCTCGAAATATCTGTTGGCACGTGATGCTGCATGTTCCCGGCCAAAATCAAAACAATATGACGTAATTGCGATGATACCATGTGTGTTGCATTCCGAAGCTCTGAGCTATGCTACCAGCGCTTGCCATGCCCATATGTTCTGTGTTTTTACACAAAGTCAGCCGGTCTCATAAAAACCGTCGAACTTGAAAATTTGTGTGTAATAAAGCAATCCATTATGGCGGCACCTCACGTTCTATTGATAGGTGGCAACGGCAAGATTGCACGGCTACTGACGCCGATGCTCCTCAACAGATCATGGACTGTGACGAGCATGATTCGCACTTCCGACCATGTAGCCGACCTCCAGAAACTGGGTGAGAATCAAGGAGGCAAATTGAATGTCCTTGTGCGGAGCCTAGAAGATGTAGCGACGGATGAGGTCGCCAAGGAGAGAATCGACGCTGTCAAGCCTGACTATGTTGTTTGGAGCGCTGGTGCGGGTGGCAAAGGGCCCCCTGAGCGAGTAAGTTTGATTCCAACAGCGCCATCGCTTACGGTCGTAGATGGCTCTAGTACTGCGTCTATCAGTTGGAAGCCCAGCCTGACATTGCCTGCAGACCTGGGCTGTTGACCGAGATGCTGCGTGTCGCTTCATCCGGGCATCGGTCGCCTTACCTTACGTCAAGAAATTCGTCATGATATCCTTCATCGCCTCGCGCCTAGAGAAAGCCCCCTGGTGGACCGATGAGATGTGGGAGAAAGAGAAGAACACCACATTGAAGAACTTAGAGCGCTACTGCCAGGCCAAGGTTGCCGCGGACCAAGTACTCTACGAGGAGAGCAAGAAGCGCTCTGACTTCGCAGCTATCTGCATGCGACCTTCACTCTTGACGGATGGGCGTGTCGGTAAGGTCGCGCTCGGTAGGATCCCTGTATTAAACGGCACCTCGAGTCGGGCTTCGGTTGCACACCTCACTGCCTTGCTGCTGGAGAACCCCAATGTCAAGACCACTTGGCTGGACATGCTTGATGGCGACGAGAAGCCTGAGGCTGCGGTTCAGAGGTGTGTTGATGAGGGGGTTGATTGTCTTCAGGGGGAGCCTTACTATCCCTAAAGGCATGGTTTAACTAAGAAAAGGGGGAAGGAAGTCGTCCGCCAACGGGTTTCAACTTGGGTTATCCAAGCAACGCAGACGACGGACGTCTCGTGTAGTTCTGAAACAAAACATAGGTGTATATTGCAACATGTATCTTCTAGCATCAGCCGAAGTAACACTCTTTTCTCGTGCTTTAGTGAAGTACACCTGGCCATAATCTGCCTGTTGCCTAATTCACCTGATACCGTACTCGTACGACTTAGCTTCTTAATATCGCTTCCTGCAACCCGAACCGTGGTGCTACCAGGCTCTCTACAGCCTATCAATTCAGCACTCTCTTTCCTGTGCTCCTGAGAACGCTTAGGGGTGTTAGGGTGACGGATGGGGGCAAGAGTGGGCTTCATCACTGGACGTTACAAGGCTCAAGAGTAGCAGACGTCAAATTTCCAAGACATGTTATAACGATGGCCTGACTCTTCATCTTGGCCGTTTACCTAGCCTATAGCAAAAGGGTTGTCTTCAACTCGCCCTGTCTAACAAAAACGCTCCCATTTGCAGCTACACATCTCCTTGCTTCTTGGCTCTCTACGACGTCTTTCACTCTCTTATTGTCTCAGCAGCTTTTCCTTCCTTTAATTCTTCCCTATCTGTCATGATATCTACAGCTCTTTTTTGCTGGTAACCAGAAAGCCTATCTTAGATTATTTCGCAAAAAGCCTTTATTATACATGCCGGAGTTAATATTAAGGGCTAGATAGGGAAGCAGTTCATTTTATAATATTCTTAGTGCATGTATAGAAATAATGTTTGAAACCTGTATAAGCGAAAAATAAACGGGTTCAAGCAACTAACCCCAAGATACTTTTAGCCTTTTAAGGTTATTGCTCTTAGAGCTTAAGATTTCTGTATATAAAGCATTGCATATTGAGATATTCCCCTACAGTTGCCAAAATCTGGGTATAGCCTAAGAAACGTCTACCTTATTTCTGATTGCAAGCTGCTTCAGCTTCCCCACCATCATCCGACCCCAAGCCTAATCTATGTTAATAACATTTAGGGCTGTGTGCTTTAATCCAAATAAGTTGTTGTTGTATCATGACGAAGCAACTTAGCAAACTCATCTTGACAAGCGAAGTCGTTATATAGACTGGCAAATATACTTGAAACAGACAAGAAGCATCACCTTGGGCATTACATGCCTGACTCGTGCGGGGAAAGATATAACATACCCGGCAATAGTTTCCGCCTAATCACCTGGGCCCAGCGTATTCGACAAGGTTGCAGACCATACAAGCAGACCCTGCTTGATCCTAACTGTCGTGGTCCTTGCTGTAACCTCCACATCTAGCAACAAGAGTGACCTGAGCGACGGCTGAGCGGTAACCTGGGGTAGTGATTTGTCCCGATTGTTTTCCCAAGAAGAAAAAATGACCGCTAGACTGTAAGAAGATATTGGTGTGCGGCAGAATGGCCTGATGCAGTATGCTATGCTAGACGAAGAAGGCAGGACAAGACATGAGGCCAATATGCAGCCGTGGGAAACTGCAGGGATGGTAACACGCTGGGGTAAGGTGAGAATAGGAAACATCCCTACATGCGCCAAGTGTCCCTTGAGTTTGCTATGCCAGTTTGTCTACCAAGTATGGGGTATGGGGTAGATATGTGACAACTCTAGCTTTAGAGGCGATATTGATATACGATTGGTCACAATGCTCAGCAATCAAAGTTGCTAGAGACACCCGAGCACACCCCGATACTACTTCATTACTTGTGGAGTATTAAACCAAATGCTTTTAGATATTAAAATTCCATTACAAGCTAAGGCTTGGCACATAGCTAGCTAGCTCTGTCGCGTGTCTCATCAATTTTTACCGCATTTATGTACATGAACAGTTAATAGTAAAACACGAAAACAAGAATAGGTATCTGTCGCCCGCATCCCGCTTTGTTCCATACTTGAGCGCCGCGTGGTGCCTAAAATCAAAAATTAAAATAATAGAAAGTAAAGATGAAATCAGATATCACAGTCTCAGATAATCTAGTTCGTAGTTGCGACGCTGGGCGATAGTATCAGTACTCGAGTTGCTGAGCTCCGTATTCTCAGTGAAGACGCTAGATCTCCTCTCGCTGGTCATCCACCCAAGGCTATCGGCGGTTTCGCCCTTACCCTCTACTATATTCTCGCCATCAAGCTCAGAACCCAGGGCCACGCTCAAATCACCATTTTGGCTGGCAATTTTGGGTTCGTGGCGCGGAGTGGCAGATTCACCTATCCAGTCCGGCATCTGTGAATCCAAGTCTGCGCTCGTCTGTTGAACAAGACCTGCTGCGTGAAGACTGTGAAGACCCCAACCTTTGGCCGACGGGGCAAGTCGGAGGTAGTTGTCAGAAGTGTAAAGGACAGAGTGAGTGGAGTACATGTCATCAGTACCTATGGAATATAGCGATCCCAGATTGGTGAACGACTCAGGTGAATCGGGAAATCTAGGAGTGAGATTGGACATGAGATTCAATTGCTCTCTGTTAGGGTAATGGCTATAGGGTGGACTTGGCGGTGCATGGGGCTGTAGCCTAGGTCGAGTCGCTCCGGGTTGCTCATAAGCGGGAAACAACTGTCCTCCGATGCAGAAATCCCTGTTCGTCGGAAACGAGGAATAAACATTGGAGTCCTTAAACTGGAGTAGCCCGTTTTGTTCCCAAGGGTTGCCATAGCCGTTCTGAGGGTCGCGCATATTCAAGTGTAGCTGTGCGCGAGCCATTTCTATTAGATCACCTTGGCGGATCGCCGGCTGGCACGAACGGCTCATGTCCCGGATTATGTCGGTTAATACTTCGAGGGATGAGTGATAGAGTCTTCGGTCAGTCTCAGTCTCACACTGAGCGATCGCAGCAAGCAAGGCGATAGAAGCGATTGTTGCCGGTTGTAAGCTTGTGCAGCATATTTTTCCGATGTCGCACCTTTTCTTAGACTGAGAGACTATCGAAGAGAATTGAAGTGCCGCTTCTGTGCATATCTTGCGTGCCGACTTGGGGCAGTTGCTGGCTTGAGGGGTTTCCTCATTAGCTGCTGGTCTGCGATCTCTACGAGAGCGATGCAACAGTATTATGATAGCGTAGTATTGCTTGTGAAGAAGGAAATAGCTGCAAGGAGCAGTTATGGCGTTTTCTGGTTCCCAGCTCAGGTGACTGGGAAGCCGCCGATACCAGTCGTGAAGCTGCTGGTCGAGTAATATCTCTGTGGAATCATCTTCATCCGCTGCATGGATTGGGAACGAGTCGCTCCTGTCTAGTCCACCGTTGCGTCCAACCCTAACTCTATGATCGAAATTAGAAGTAGCTAAGCTCATCAGCTCAAAAAATTGCTTATGAATTTCTTCGTCAACCATCTCTGTACCGGTTGGTATATAGGGCGTATGCCCAAATGATTGAGTTGTGAAGACAGTCGCTTTAGACAAGTCAAAATCTATGTGGTGACTTGTAATGCTTGTTGCCCGCCCTTGAAACAGTGACCAATATTTGTCATAAAGAACACATGCCTTCATCGCTCTTCGTCGTACGCGGACTTCTTGGTCGGATAGTTGAATAGTACTGCAGTCGATGTGTAGGCCCATATCAAAGGCTAAACGGCTGGCCATTCCTATAATATCAAATATTAGAGTTCTGTTACCCCCTGATTTATGCCGGACTCCAAAGACTCACCGGCATACATCCAACCTATGTTGTCCCTACCAACGCCGCACTCAAGATCTCCTAGAAGCAGAAGCGACTGTATACTGGGAATACCCGTGGGTCTCTCCAAATCAACCTCGAGCATAGATTTAGCTTCTCTGTGTATAGCGCTCTCGTGATTTCCCACATTTATCCTGGCAACATCGCAACGATCCTTGTCGGCGAACCGCCAGCCTAAAGCTAGCATTATAACGTGCAAAAACGATGAGTAGAACCGGGGTCTCTCGGATCCTCTGTCTGCCTCAAAACACTCCCTATCGACAACTTGGAAAACACTATTGTGGTGCTTCCAGAAATTATGCATCAAGTAGTCATATGTTTTCGGTGTGAGCGATCGGATGATACGTTCTGCTCTGCGGACCTGGCCTGATGACTCTCCCACATCGTATCTGCTAAGGGAACCAGTGAATATGTGAGGGGCTGAAGAAGAGCTGGGATTTAGTTTCCTTGGAAGTTGATCGTGCGAGAGATCGCCGTCACAAAAGAGCAAGTGATCTAAAAGATCTTCCTGTTCGAGACCTGGCCTGTGAGCTTGTGAATAATCCATTTGAAGAGATTCTTTGCGTGACTGTGACGCAGTAGTGCTTATAAGGTCCTCTATAGGACTCTCAGACATGGCGAAGTCTTCATGTGAGTATGGCGGGGATAGTATGTGTTGATGTCTTAAACTGGCGTCTGATTTCGAGCGTAGTCGAGCTTCACTAGCTGGCGAGCGAGAATCATCTCCTGAGCTTGTGGACTGTGCTTCATGTCTTGTCACAGGCGGGTGAGTGGCAGGTGGAATAGCTACACCCTTCTCTTCTAGCATGCTTTCTAACATGCCAATTCGAGCGGATAGAGACGATACGTATGCTTTGGATATGGGTCTAACTGCATCATCAACATTACTGGTCTCTTATAGTCCCAGATGGTATGTTCTGAAAAGGAAAAAGCTTCTCACCTACGACGCTCATCGTCCATTCTTATTACACATTCTGTCCCAGATCGCTTGCATTGTGTACACTCTGACGCTCCCTTGGGAACTACACATCGAATACGACGATCCCTGCAAGAGTAGCAGGCGACAGAAGCTCGGTGTCGAATGTGCTGCTTGCTGTTTCGTCTTATAGCATCGGTACGCTGGGAGACGTTCTCCTGGTGGGAGATGTCTATCTCCGATCCATCACCCACTTCTTTATTATTCGAAGCTGCCATTTTCTTGAGTGTCGTTGTGATTGAATGGCGTTTCGATTGCTCAAAATCGACACTACAGGAAAACAAGAAAGTGCCATCAGGTCCCGGGCAAACCGACCTCGGATTAGTGAGAAGCCATCACGCGTGGAAAAGCGAATGTCTAAGTACTGTAGGTACTGGATGGTCTGTCTATATGGAGCCTCCGTTCCCCCACAAAGAGCTTACCCAACATAACGAAGTTGATGGGTCTTCTCCACGCCGCCTCCACGCTTACCCCCATCCTTGGCCCCCCATTTACTCAAGTTGCCAACAAGGCAAATCCTTACATGGACTTACCTTAGTCGTCACCCCAGGGCCCACGACTACCAGGCCTACTGTACGCGGAACCTGGAGTGCGCCTCGCAAGTGCTAGCCTCCTAATGGTGTGGTTGGTTGAAAGAATTTTCTACAGCGCCGCACGTATCCTAGATAGGAATACTGGGCTATTAGTGAGAAGTTCATAAGCGCCAGTAGCACTGCAGTGGGCCTGATTCTTGGTTGAAACGGAGGGAGAGTCTTGCAGGAACGCATGGGATGGAGTGCGGGACAGACTACTATGTATGGTACGCACCATCACGTAGCAATACCGAACTAGGAATTTACCGGTGGGCGGAATAGACGCAGTACATACCTCGAAGTCATGAAGACTCCCCATACCTCAGCGCAATCGTACTGTAAACACTCGGCCATTGCAACCGATCTTATTGCAATTCAATATTCTCGTATGGCCCTTGGCTTATTCCATCGTTCGCGGGGTGGACTTGGACGAAGAATAATGTACATGTAAGCTCCGGGTTCCGCTCTTGACCTGGGGTTTTCCCTGTTATGTGTCTTATAAACGTGGAAACGGCGGATACCAGCATGTGTTAGAGCATGAAAGCCGGGGTGGATCGGTGCCGGCTGACCAGCACTACTCCACTAGGGCGCAGAATCGGCTTGTCCATCGGCTTCATCAAACGGGATTACTGTAGGTTTTGACTGCGGACTGTGGAGGATAGGTACGCGCGGTTGAGGCAGCACCAGCTGCCGACACTGATATGTGGTAATCTAACGTTCATGGTTTATTGGAACAGTCATAATGCAGTTGGAGTTTGACCTAGATGAAAGGAGCGAGCTGCATTGAGCACATGCTTGCAAAGAGAGATGCTAATTACCTAAATAGTCATACAAGATAACTAGTATTCTGATGGCAAGTTCTTGCGCAAATTGGCCATACATTTACACAGAACACTATACGTACGTGTACGATCGCAGCGTCGTGGTAGTGCTCATAAGATGAACCTACTCTTTCATTCAGTTCCGTACTAGGTACAACATGTATTGTAAATATGTATAATGAATATATGGCACACTATGAAATACCATAATATCGAGGATTCAACACCTTGCACCGCCAGGGTACCCCATACTGTTAGGCTTCTTTGGGAGCAGCAAGTCAGGATCGCACATCGAGTCCTCCAATCCTGACTCGTTAGATCAGCCCGGGCAACCCGGTGCGTTCTAGACTAGATAGTCCCAGCCCCGATCTCCTCACAAAGTCGTCACGTGCAGGAGGGCAGGACGACAGGCATGTGATGACCAGTGGACAGTTCAATCCTTGCCGCCCCTTCTTTACATGCAAGCTCGAAACCAACAGCTGCCGAAATCTTCTACTCTCGCCCAGGCACTACTGCTCTTGGCGAGTCTAAGACCTCATTTCCAGGTTATTCCCGGCAACAGTAGTCCTCTGCAAGCTTCCACCTAAGCTCATACGGTGGCTTTGGCATATTAATCAAATTGTTTTGAAAACGTGGTGCTATGGTAAGGCAAATAAGTTCTGGTTAACTACATTAGAATCAACTCGATCTTGGTTGAACTGATTGCATTGCATCTCGATAGATCTTGAGGCTTGAACTACACTAGTTCAAGTTCGAACCTCAGGCTAAGATTAATACATATATGTAGTTAGTCTCCCACTACTTTATACAATAGACCACTTCCCTTTTTCCACGAATGAGAAGGCGAATCGTAAGCCAGCAGGCTCGATATTTGCCTTCGTCACTGGTTATATGTGATAGTGTGTGCCGAATGTGCCTCGTGTCGAAGCACTTGAATAGTTGATAGGGACCACACGTATTTTTAGACGCGAGCGATCAATTGTAGAAAGCGGGATGACTACGTAGTAGCACATGGGTGCGACCCATAAATTACTCAAGATATGGAATAGTGCTCCTCCAGGCTCAGGCCGAATTCCTGTATAGCGCGTGTGGATCGATTGTAACGTCGAATGCTTGCTATTCCCGACGAGAGGGATCCGATGATAGGGATTCGGGGCACATCGTGAATGACTTTACCGATATATACATACTCGCTTTAGAATTAGTTCATAAGAGCATAAAAGGCATCTTGGCATGACGAATGATTTTTTATCTTCGCTGCCGTATCCCGTGAACCATGATAATATTGAAGAATTGTTCCATGCAATGCGTAATACAGGAGTGACTCGAATGGGCATGAAGGTCTTGATCGCGTGTCTCATATGATCGTGCCACCCTACTTACTAAGCCTTCAGCTGAAAGTATACATCTAGTGACGAGTGAAATTAAGCAACGATAACTCACGGAGAATTGGACGGAATGTGTCACGTTGATTACACTAAACCTTTCCTTAAGGGGCGTTGCCACTCTCTAAGGTCTGATCGGGAAACAGTTTCGATAGTCCTATTGCGCATGCTGACTCTATGCTGCTAAGGGGAGCTAGGTAGATAGTTCCAGACTCGGTCTTTAAACACCAAAAAGTCAATGAGCCTTAGTAAGTACATAAAAAATACACTATAATCCGTGCCACATGGCACTCTTGGTAGATTCCCCCCTGGAAAGTACACGACTACTGGTGTTACACGGTGATAAGTCCACCCCTTTTGGTGGTTCAGAAACTCGTATTCCATACTGAGTTTACATAAATTGACTTGATAGAGCATCCATCGTCATGTTAGTCACGATATTGAGTTGCCTACAGCTTAACGTACTGCTACCCACATGTCTAGAACAGAAATCTATTACTATGACTCTATCAAGGTTTGCGTGACTGTCTCAAATGGCTTGCAAATTTGCCGGTGCCAATTGTCCTATTCCCCCTCTGGCCGCAGGCAATTTAAGAGACATTACATCGCTAACGCTTTCGGAGGTGATTAAAATTCGGGGCTATTGACCTTATTCCTCGTTCTGGTCTCCAAGCACCAAATTATACGGTCTCTGGGTTTAAGCGTCTAACTGCTCAATGCTGGTATAAAAAGGCAGTGAGGACAATGGTGTCGTATTGCTTAGACGTCTGATGAGCGCACTCATTAGCCATACAAGCGTTAGGATAGCAAAAAAAGCCCATGATTAAAAAGTAAGTGCAGATCTCATGACTATCTATTCGTGTTATTGATAACATCTAGCGGCACTCACAGTTAACCTATTGACTCACTGATGAAGGCTTCATAAGTTTAATCTAGGCTATGTTGCACCGAGTTACTGGTGCCGCTCACGTAATAGCATCTGATATCAATGTTATTCATTACCTATAGGCGTCGTAGAATGCCTGTCAATATCACTGATGGCGCCGTGAGAGCCACGAGATGTTGAAAAAGGACTGAGAGGGGGTCGCTGAGGAGTGTGAAACCATAGGTAATATAATGGGGCGGATTCCAACAATGGATAGGGATCACAACTTAACTCAATGTCTTTAATCATCTTAGGCAAGTCAGGAAAATAGGGATGAAATATAAGATAAGAAGGAAAAGAATTAAATAAAAGTATTATACGTTTTTAAAAACGACGCTGTTAGATGTATGATGTTTACAGCAATAATAGGTAGAATATGTATTTACGCATTACTACCTCACGTTTAAAGTGGCTATCATGGATTAAAAAACCATCCATTAACACGATAAAAGGGAAAAAGCAAGTGTTAAACGTTAAACTAATTTATAGAGGACCGAATGGGAATTGAACCCATGACCTATGGAACTGCAGTCCATTGCTCTACCACTGAGCTACCAGTCCTTTCCAGACAAGTCTCATTTGTTGGAAATCGCATATACAGCTTTCTACTTATACTGCTGGATTGAGATTAATTATATAAGAGTGAGTTCTGCTCAGGTAGTAATTAAACCCCGGCTACAAGATGTAAAGGCTTTTCCATGACCGCTCTGGTTGGTTTAACTAAGAAACTTAAGCATTAAAGAATAAAACGAGTAGTTAAACGCTTTTCGTATATATTGCTAGCAGGTCATTGTAAACATTGAGTTGATAACCGACGCCGACTGGGGCAGCATATTTTTGTTTCGTTTCACACCTTCGAAGAGATAAGATGAGCGGAACCATGGGTGCCGCCGAAAGTGCCAGAAGACCCAAGAGATCAAAATAATCAAGAGTTCTGTCACAGTACTCTCCTGCTGTGATTGCAAGTAAATGTTCTTATTGCACAAGGAGGGAAGTTCTAATTCCTACTCCTTATTCCCTTATTTGGCTTTATATGCACTATTCCTTGGTCTATGCTGTACTTTATTAGGGTTGGCATGACCTCCAAAACAAGTAGATAGTTGCTCCTCCACGCATTGGTTTTGGAGTTCTTTATAAATCATATTCAAGATGTGGCTGGAGAAACTATCTCTGACTATTAGTAATTGTTGGCATATATAGCAGTAGTACTAGGTATTCGAGTACCCGGTCCATCTGTTTTTACTCACAGTAATTAACATTAAAATACGATCATGGGCAGCGTTCTTCTTAATTGTGGAAATCAACTAACTATAGACCGAAACAGTGCTGGACGGCTGCGAATAAAGGGAGTGACAATGGCTGCGGTGATTAGTATATATGCTCTAATTACAGCGATTGTAACACCATTATGGCGCAAGTAACTCACCAGAACCACTGAAGATGCCGTAATTTTCTCCGACAAGCTTACTAACCAGGAAATATATGATAGTTGTGGTGCTGATAATCCAATAACGTCTGGGCTCTGTGGTGGTTGTGGATGTAGTTGCCACTAATTATTACGTAGTTCCGGAGCGCCGTGTGCCCTGTGTTTACTCTAGGTAGGTTCTAGGGATATTGTCCCACGTTAGCATAGCTCTGTTATGCTACGTTAAAAATAGGTCTTGGGACATCGTTACAAGTCTTCGGAGGGGCGTCACAATCATAGTCGTAAAATCCTTTCGTACAGGACTAGTATAATATTGACGGCGCACTTGGAGATCAAGAACCATATTGCAATCGAGTATCTGCTGCCAGCTACTCAGATACAAACTAACCGAGAGAAAAAGGTCAGGCACTTGAAAGGCTTTCCGCATTCCACCGGCTCAGGCGTGTACTAGTATGTCCATATAGCGAGAAATCGATATACAATATGGAAACAAGAAAAATAAAACATACAACACCAGGGATTCGCTGGTCGTCACCGACCCAACTACTAATCTGGCAGTATCTGACTTAGCTCAGGGGGAGCAGACGGGACCCCGCGTTCTCCAGATCTTATGGTCGTATGTATTAAAAGTGTTCAATGAATGCTACTATAAAGGACGTGTAAGTGTCTATCAGAGTCATGTGGGGGATAAGCATCAAGGTTGCTTGCAGGAAACCGGTCTCGCAATGTTCAAGAGACGAGTAGGTAGCTGGATGTGCACCCATAGTATTCGAGATGTCCACATGTGTTTTAGCAGGTAGTAAGCGGCATGTGATGCGTTCCATTTGATCCTTCGAAGGCTTGATCGTGTTTCATAGGGTTTTATTTGTGAATGCAGATTGGTGTCCGCACCTTCTATCAGGAAAACGTAGTGGCCTCTTGAATGTTATCATTTGTCTTGAAAGAAGAGAAATACTAGCTTCCATACGCTAGAATATCAGAATCGGTAGAATTGAAAATATCTCCTTGTCAAATGTATGTACTTATAGGACAGTGGAACTGGCGCATTTAGCCGTTAGCCCAGCTCCTCGTATGAGAAAACATGCTACATGAACATGCATGTAACACACTTAGTCATAACAACTCAAAGGACGAAAATTGATTAGAGTTAGCGTTACTCAAGAGGAAGTGTCTTATGCAGGCAGCACCTATTCAACTCAGCTATAGAAGATGGCTGGCGATACCCTTTCCCAGGTCAATCATCTTCATCGGCTACAGTTGTTGAGACACTGAGTTTGTGTATTAGATGTTTTCAATAGTTGTATATATAGGTTTGACCTGCTTGATGATGTGCTCAAGAGTACTTGACCAATGTACGTTCTTTGACCGTGCCACTCTCCGTGAGCAACTTTCTCTGCCCAGCGGTAGAAAGAGGGGGGCTATCGTCATGCTCGCGGATGTAATATGCCCAGTCAGCCGTTTCGTCGAGTTCTGTCTGTGAGTACCCATTTCCTAGCCATGCGAAGCGGTTGCCGGAATAAGATATATCAAAGTCGTCGAGACGAAGATTTTTGCACGCTTCGACATAGTGAAGCGTGCTCCCCGGCCACAAGGCAGTAACCTGTCCGTTGCCCCTGTTTTTGTACCACGAATGACAGTCATCCACCCACACTGTCTGCTTCATAAAGTGGTTTTTGTACTGCACAAAGTCTTGGACGGCCTCTTCTTTCGGCATGAACATCTTCATATTGGTGGTCTGATACTGGTCGACAAACCTGCAAATCCAGTCTGCCTGGGCCTCGACGCCATAGAGAACAGGACCATTGCCGACAGGGGAATTAGGCCCTAATACAGTCATATAGTTCGGGAACCCTGCAACAGCCACGCCTAGATATGACTGGGGATCCGTCGCCCATTTATCTTGCAAATTCTCTCCCGTGTGTGAGACGATAGGGAAGCGAGGCCGGAAGCTCGTATCAAAACCAGTAGCACAGATAAGTATGTCGACGGCGTACTCTTTGCCGTCATCACATAAGCAGCCGCGCTCTGTGATCTCCTTGATTTCTCCGCAGACAACTTCAACATTGGGCATAGTCAGAGACTCTAGATAATTGACACCCGGTGTGAGTCGACGGCACCCAAGGCTGAATTTGGGAGTTAGTTTCGATATCAGGTTCTCATCTCTAATCTTTTCCACCATTTGACCATTCACATAAGTTTGGGTATCCTGTTGTATCTTGTGATTCTTCAGGAACAGGCCGAATGATCCATTGAGGCCATTCTCGATAGTTTTTCGATACTCGAGCAGAGCGCCAGGCTTATTTTCGAAAGTAGACCTTTCTTCCTCGCTGAATGCACGTTGCTCAAGACCAGCGGTCGGCGAAACCCATGCGGGATTGCGAATAAATGTAGTGACTTTGCTGCATTTGTCTCGAATCGCAGGTAGGACTTGGATGCCCGACGATCCATTGCCGATAAGACCAACATGCTTTCCCTCTAACTCAACGGATTGGTCCCAATGGGCTGTATGCAAGCGGATTCCCTTGTAGTTGTCTAGACCCGTAATGTCAGGCCAGCGCCAGTGATTAAGGATACCACCCGCATTGATGAGAATGTTGCAGTGATCGGTAATCAACGCATCATTAGCCGTATCCTTGACCCGTATCTCGTATCCTGCTGTGTCGCTTTTCCAGTAGGCCCCAATAACTTGGTGTTGTAGACGGACATATCGCTGTAGGTTATACTTTTGGGCGAATCCTTCAAAGTAGCCGTACGCCTCTTCGGCAGGAGGGTAAACTGATGACCAGTCACTTTTTGGCTCAAAACTCCAGGTGTAGTTGTGTGCCGGGACGTCACAGGCACACCTGATTTAGTTACGTGTCAGGGGTCTCAGAGTCTTGGCTTATGTGATATGACTAAATGATAAAATCTATACTTACCCTGGATACCTATTCTCGTACCATGTCCCTGCTACAGCTGGATTCTTCTCATACACTGTGAAGCTGATATTCTGAAAGTCCTTCTGAAGTTTGTAAGCTAGGAGGAGACCTGATGCTCCAGCTCCGATGATCACAATGCGCATGTCCTTCTCGGCATGAATAGGGCCTTCTAGCCGCTTGCTGGCATCGTGACCGGACGGTGTATCGTCGAAATGAAAGGCTGGCTGGTCTGCCATCTTGAATGATGCAGAAGATGCAAGCTTCAGAGCAAGGTTGGCTTCTCTTCAACGAAGGCTATGTCCAAGGAAATACTGCTCTTTCGTAAATCTATGCAGCAGCATTTGAGGGGTGACCACCAGGGATTAAATATCATTATATCTAGCAGCAACTATAGGCCTTTGTATATGCAACTAGCAATGCTACTTCAACTATGGCCTTAGTAATATGTCGCGATTCGGTAGGTGCTCTTCGAGGCCACGAACCCACGAACCCACCGGAAGCTCGCCCCATTGAGAATTACTAGCTAGAATGCTGCTTGGATAGAGCATTGTTGATAGGCGTCAGTCCACACAGCCTGAAAATTACCAGCCCAGCCTGAGGATTATTTTACATCGTCAAGACCAGGCGAGATTCGCGGATGTGTTGTCATTTGGGTTCCATGATATCACCCATCCCATCCCCTATCCGCTTTTCTGCACTGCCCGGGGTTTAGGTAGGCTTTTGCTGGCAGGCTGCAGTGTAAGTGTTGAAGCTAAGGCTCGTTGGTGCCATTGATGCCGAACCTGCATGATAAATGATTCATGTAGACAGACACGAATCAGGAATAGTCACCCATATTAGCGGCGGGATCGCATTCATGACTCGGGATTATACAACTGTACCATTGGACTAAGTTCCCTAGCCGGGGTAGATGGCTTGGCATTTGCTGGTTCATCGACATGGAGCTCACGGCATGGCAGATAACAGCATAAAGCTGCCCTGTTTTAGTTCAATGTTGCCAATTTCTCATCGGCTGCCGAATGGTTTATATACTGGGTAAATACGTCGCCGAGGAACAATCAGATAGATATGCTGGTCGGGGAATATTTAGTTACTTGCTGGGGTTTGCTGATAGGTTGCTTTGGTGATCTCACGAAGGAAGTTGCTTGCTACTCGCCAACAAGGAAGCTGCATAATAACGGCAAGAATTCACACTCATAATTGCTACATGTTGTCTTATTGAGTATGAAGGACGATGTAGAGTCGTCTCATACCTTTGTTGCGCCGAGAGCCAAGAACAGCCATGTGGGTATCGTACGGAGGGCTGTAGATGCTGAAAGCGCCGAACGCGCTAAACGCGCTGGAGAAGGGTTTGGTGATATCCAGTACTATGTACGAGAAGAGCTCCGCGTGAGGCTACACACAGATAGACAGACAACAAAGAAGTTCCGAAGAGCAGTAGACTGTATACTTAGTAGACATGAACCTATTCTAGCCTAATGAGATTCCGTACTGAGCTTGATAAAAAGTTACTGTTACGATATCATGTCAAATCCAAGCCCTTGCCTGAGACCTTATCAAAGTAAGTGAGACCCCGGCCAAAAAATACAGATTCTTCTCCTAGCTCACTCATCGCAGAGGATGGTTCAGCCATATGCTTTTCCTCATACAGATTGAACGGAGTCATTCTAGCCGTTTTCGCTTCCGGTTGGCCTTTTCCAGCGCTACCCTGTCCCCAAGCCCCTTAATACGTTAAGTTGACCATGATCGTCTTCGGCTCCGTATATGTCCGCAGTACATGGATTCCGTTCTCACGACCCGTACCACTTTCCTTGGTACCTCCGAAGGGCGCGTTCACAAAAGCCACTGCACATCTGATGTCAGCTGTGGTCATCTTAAAGACGCTGTATCCCCAGACGTAGAGCCTACGCTAAGAGGGGTAAAAATATACTAAATGCTACAATTCAAGTAGGAGACATAAAAGTACTTACGGCTCATGCAGTTTACGCCGACCATACCGCTGTCTAATTCGGAAGAAATTCTCATCGCCCTGTTGATATCTTGTGTGAATACACCGGCCATGAGTCCATAATTAGTATCGTTAGCTTTGGCAATAATTTCTTCCTCCGTTTTGAATTTGTTGAGGATCGAAACGGGACCGAAGATCTCCTTCTTGCAAATCTCGGCATCCTCCGGAACGTCAGTAAAGACAGTAGGCTGAACAAAGTAGCCCTACAGCAATTGAAAAAGTCAGCACCTCCCGAATCCTGAAACGTTGGACTCGATACTGACCTGGTCGCCAACTCGCGAGCCGCCAGTCAGCAGTGTACCTTGGCTCCGGCCCCTTTCTAAGAAGCCTGAAACTCTGTCGAACTGCAACTTATCTACTATCGGACCCATTTGAGTCTCGGCTGCGTCCGGGTCACCAATAGCCTTACCTTGTTCCTCCATTGCCTTTTTATACCCTTCCAAGAACTTGTCGTAGATGCCTTCTTGGACGTACACCCGCGATGCCGCAACGCACACCTGGCCGGTGTTAAGACAGATGGCCCTGACACACCAGCTGATAGCGTTCTCAAGGTTCGCATCATCGAACACGACAGCGGGACTCTTGCCGCCAAGCTCCAGAGTAACCCGCTTCAGGTTGCTCTTCGCTGCCATTTCCTGTATCTTCCGACCAGTCGCCGTGGACCCGGTGAAACTGATCTTGCGCACCTTCATATGGCTTGCAAGGAGAGCTCCGGTTGTTCCATCGCCCGTAAGCACCTGGAACACGCCCGGCGGGAAGCCCGCTTCTTTGACAAGGGTTGCAAGTGCCAGTGAGCTGAATGGCGTCTTCTCTGATGGCTTGAGAATGAAGCAATTGCCGGTAGCAAGCGCTGGAGCGGCTTTAAAAGCGGCAACAGCTGTTGGGCCATTCCACTGTCACGATCGGAGTCAGATCATACATGTTCGAAACGTTATACAAATCAAAGAAGTACTTAGAGATCAAGATTCACAGATTGAGAATTCTATGAGCACGTGGAGAGGTAGATGATAGACCATCGGAATTACGTACCGGAGTAATACCCGCAGTGACGCCCAAGGGCTCATTCTGTACGATCTTCAGGAAACCATCGTCTTGAGGATAGGTTTCCCCCGCGAACTTGTCGCACCATCCCGCGAAATATCGGAACGTTTGAGCGCTTCCCCCAGTTTCCAGCGCCCCGATAGTCGAAAAGGGGGCACCCATACTTATCCGTGACAATTCGGCAAGATCGGAAGTGTATTGATCAATCAAGTCAGCGAGCTTCAATAGGAGGCCTCGCTTGACCATTCCTGGGGTCTTTTTCCATGCGGGAAAGGCTGCTTCGGCTGCAGCTACAGCAGCATCAACATCTTGCTCACCTGCGAGAGCTACATCATTGGCTAAGAGTGACCCATCTTTCGGATTATATACTTCCAACGTTTTTGTGCTCTTCGCAGCGACAAACTATACCTCGATTAGTACAGTGTACTTGGATACACTCATTGCGCCAATGACGCACCTCGTTGTTGATGAATAGCTGTTTGGGAAGATTAGACTTGCTCCATGGAAAAGTAGCATCTGTAGCAGATGCTTCTTGTTGAGCCATGTTCAAAAACACAAGTTGGATTCGAGAGGGAAAGCCGCTACTTTTTGGGACAAACTATTGATGCGATGCGCAAACAGCCGCTATATTTGTTTGATGATGATTGAGAGAAAGATGGGTACGCCTGAATAAATACACCATCGCGATGTCCGGGCCCCTCCATCCTCTTTGTATCACACACTCTTGTTGAACAGTACGAAGAATATTGCCTCGACACAGTCCGATCTTGAAAGTGGCTCGGACAATAAACTGTACCATGTACATTCAATACGACATACTCAGGGAGGTAGGTATACTATCCCGGCGCTTCCGCATGCCGTCACGACTAGTATTCTACAACTCGCTACATATCAAAGCCAATGCAAGCTATCTGATGACTTATTTACTCTTTCTGTAGTATGCCCACTATGTGATATGATCTTTCACTGTCTGTCTGCTTCCGTTTTGGTACCTACGCGGAGTTCGTCCTAATCAGAATGGTACGACTGTCTAGGCAATGCCGGGGTTTCCCTTCACACAGTGTACTCACGGAGATTCTCTGGGCGAATGAGAATGCTTTTGGTGTATAAGTTATGTTATATTACCAACGTTATTATGTACGAAGTGGAACCAACCTAACTGGACACGTTTGCTGACGTTATCTCTCCAAGTCTACAACCGTTTTTTTTTTTTTTTCTTTTTTAAGAAGAGTCAGGTCGTGTATGTGTGGGATTACTCTACATACCTAGTATCAGAGTCCAAAGCTTTATTGGTATGTGTTCTGTAGTCTTCGAAATGGAACTGACTAGGTTACATTAGATGATTCGCGGCATAGCGTGCCGTCCCGTTTGTATCCGGTGCAGGGAAGGCCGTCGCCAGAAGACCAGCGGGGAATCTACATTGGGCCAGATCGCCAAGCATCCGCACAACGCATAAAGCTGTTAACGCTTGCAAAGTAGGATCTACTACCTATGGTTTAGCATATTACCACCAGGTTCTACATTTGCTCCTCTACCTCTCCCTAGATAGAAAACACTCAAGCACTAGAACTCTAGTTTTGCAGTAGTTCCCGGGACTGGTTGTGATGGAAGCCAGAGGTTTGATCCTAACAAGTTGCTATGTCAACAACTCAACGGCTTGGAGAAAGCGGGGTGGAGTCGGGGTTCTACCCCTCTTAAGCTTATTCGTCTAATACTAGAAGAGGAAATACCGTGCCTTTTAGATAACCTACCTACCTACTATGTACTAGGGATGCAGGCCTCAGATGATTCACGTCCCTCCACCTCCTATGTCCATTAACTCCGCGCTAGAGAATGCCACCCAGCCGGTGCCTACGCATGTATCACTATGCGGGCAGAAACGTCATTTATCTGGTTCATTGCCTCGGTGAGCTGATAAGTCTGAAGATTGCATCTTCGGTTCGCGAGGGAGAAGTCGCGAAAGAGTCTATGCATGGAGATGATGAGTGCATGATAATTTCGTGGGACAGACTGACTACGAAGTGTAGGGGTGACAAAAACCCGGAATGACTATTTCAGGACTAGGCGGTATTCTACGGAGATAATAGTATGTCACTTAAAAAAAAAAAAAAAAAAGAGTGTCAGAGGGTCTATTTACCTAAGCGATATGTGCACTCGCTTAATTCAAGTTAGATTGGAATGATCATCCTAGATGCTAACCTACCTATATTCTTGTAATGCATACAAGAATCCTTTAAAGATTCAGAATCATGACCTTCTCTCAACGGCCTGCGCAGCTGTATGCTCCTACATCCCCCCCCAAGAGCATCTTTGGAATGACTACACTGTGTTGAAGACTGGGGGCTATTCGAACTACTCACCATGATGCACGCGGAATACTAGCATTTCTTTTTTGCCCAGGATCTCACAGTTGGCCTAGAGGCTAGGTCCAGTCATTATGTTCATGCCACCTTTGCAAGTGTTTAGAACTTAGTTATCAAGAAGAGAAGAGAACCTGTACCGCGACGAGCACAGGTACCGAGAGTTTCATTTTGCCTAGCATCATCCAATACTCGATACCAGCTTTCCTTAGGCTGTACGGATATTTCGGATTTTGTCACGTCATACCAAACTTAGAGCATAATCTCAGGGGATTTCTACTAACCAGATCCCTTAAAGGTCGCGGGCGTCATCGTTGACAGCTCGGGGGCCGGTTCACGTTGGCGCAGCTGTTGTCATACAGCCAAGGCCCCCTAGGCCACTTACAGCCATACGTATCCCTGGCGAAAGTGAAGCTATAAGCGATTGGATATACCGAGTCACAAGGTCAGATTGTTAGATGCATTGGAACCAACAGTTAAGGCAAAGGAGCCTAACAGGCCAGAATGAGCATAAATAGCTCAAGGAATCTCCCACTTTAAAGAAGGAGAGAAATCAAGACCCTAGAGACCCCTAGTAGATTATTACTGAATATGACTAAGTTCCAAGCCCTCTATAAGAACCCTTGTCACAGCTGTATGCTGAGCTCACAATGTTTTCCACGTCAGGATTTTTCATCGCAGCAAGATCTACGGGGATAAGTCCACGTTTATGTAATTACTAGTGTGTGATCATTAATTGGCAGGATTGTGAAAAGATTTAAGAGAGAAAGCCTTGTGTTACTGGGTGTATTGCACCTTGACCAACCAAATCCTTGGCTGTTGGTGGCTTGACTCGACTCTGTATACTACTGGTCTGCCAGCCCAGACCGCCCAGGTCTCAAGGGTCTGTTTCAAGAAGCGAATTCTGTATAACCTCACTTTCCAATATTGCCCAATATTGCCTGCATGTCCGGTATTTCAGATTCGTCCAATCCTGGAACGAGTCTGGGGCATAATGAAGTATTATAACGTTACGCAAGTAAGGCCGCAGAGCCTAGAAGACGGTCAATCTACCCAGAATATCCCGTTCGTTAAGGTCGATTTTTCATGTAAAGATCAGCTTCCGATAAACTAGCCAGCTATCTCTGCATATAGCGAATCGTACCAGCCGATAGATATCACGCTTTAAGCCCAGGTTCCAGTAATCGTTGTTGTTGTTGTTGTTCCATTTAACGCCAGGGGGTGCCCACGTAGCAGATACCTACAGAGCCTTCCGAAGGGCGTAGGGGCATATTAAACCTATCTAATAATTAATTAGTTATAGCATTATTCAACTAATCTAACATTAGGGCAAGCTATAAAGCTATTTACGCTAAGTTTCCTTCATTCTATTTTAAAGGTATGCTTAAATTATTTAAAGTTAATAGTTTATAGCTATATATAAAGGTTACCCCTTAAATTACTTTTAATGCTACATTTATAGTTAGCTTTTATATATATTAATATATTATAAAGAAAAGAAAAAAGTAAAAGAGTTATTTTATAATTAATATTCTATATACTTATAACTTTATAAAAAAATTAAAAGATTATTTAAAAATTAAATTCTTTATTTTATTAACCTAATATTCCTTTTCCCCTTTTATTTTATATTTTTAAATCTTTTCCTCCTTTTTTTTACTTTTCCTTATAATTCCCTTCCTTTTTATCCCTTATTTCCGTTCCTTTTTTTCCTTTATCCTTTTTCTATCCTTTTTTTTTTAATAAAGGGATTTAAAGTTTTTAAAAACCCTTATAATTATTATAAAGGCCTTAAAACGCTTTAAATCTTTATATAATATTAATATATATTAATTTTATTTATATATTTTATATAATTATATTATTAATTAATATAGTTAATTTTTAAAATATTTCTTTACCTTTTTATATTAAATAAAGTATTTTAATAATTTTTTTTTTATATTTAACTATATTTTAATATAATATCCTTATAATTAAACTATTTATAATATTAATTAAAGTTATTATAATTAAATTATCCTATTAATTATTTATATAATTTCTTTTTTATAAAGTTTATAAGTTTTAAATAATTATTTAATATATATTTTAAATATTAACTTAAATATTATTATAATAATTTCCTTTTATATATATCCTTTTAATAATTTTTATATAAATTTTATAGAATTTTTTTAACTTTTAATTTAATATTATATATTATTAAATAATATTTTAATTTTTTATTTTATAAATTAATTTATTTATTTATTTCTTTTAATATTATAATAGCTTAAATATTACTTTATTTTAATATTATGTATTTTTATTATTATTTAAAAATTTAAATAAAATTCCTATATTAATAATATTATATCCTTTTATTAATAATATATTTCCCATTTAACCTAACTACTTAATTAACCTAGCTATATTTTTAACCTTTATATATATATTTAAAAATATCTTAATAATTATTTATATAATTAACTTAAACTAATTTAAATTTAAATTATTAAACGTTTTTATAACATTTTTATAAGTTTATATATTATAGCTAGGTTTATTATAAGCTTTATAATGCTAAATATAAGTTTCCTTTTTCTTTATATAATAATTATCTTAACGTATAATATGATTTTCTACCTTAAAAATACCCCGTACCTTTATTTAATCCTTAATATCTTTAATAATAAAAGATCTTTTATTTTATAATTTAATTTTCTTTATATAGTAATATTTATTAAACTTATAATTTATTTTATAAAAGCTTTTAACCTTCCCTTTTAATAATATAAAATAATATATAATATTAATTATATTATATATAATTT